ACGAAAGGCATAAAGGAACTCGAGCTTGCTTATATAGTTGATATACGCATATACCAAGTCCTTGATCTAGCGACCGTATACCTGCTTTAACAGCCCAAAGCAGCTAACATCAAGTGGCTAGAGGAGGTAGGAGGAATATAGAGGCATATAGAGCGTGATAATGTTATTCTACTGGCAATAGAGCTCGAACTCGGTCGAGTGGTAGCTTTCGTAGCTATTAAGGATCAATAACCGGTATTTACCCTTTGTCTAAGGCGCTATATAGTAGTCGAAGTGCTTGATCCAATCAAGGCCTACCGCATTAGTAGTCCAGACATTCTCGGTGATTACAATACGCCAGTCGGCCAGGAGGTTGTACTCTTGATACCAGTTGGCAAGGTAGTACTGCGCCGCTAAGATAATAAGCAGAGGGATAGCCTAGCCAAGGGCATTGACGCCTTAGATCACTGTCGCCGATTTGCAGTTGCTAAGCTAGGCTAGCTTCGCCTTGCCACGGCCATCCGAGGTTGTAACTACTATACCTGAAAAGATAATGCCTATTATAAACCCAGTCTTATCGAAGTTGTAGATATCATTATCTATAATGCTATACTTGGCCTTAATATTCCGTACAAGGGCAAACCATTCGCCAATAACCTTCGGATCCTCGAACTTAGCCCTCTGGTAGTCGTATCTATACGTATAACGCGTCCGGAGCTCTAGCTGGCATTTGACAAAGTTATACGCCCAGACCTTGCCGACAGAGGGCGCGTCGCGTACACGTAGCAGTTAGTTGGCCATATCTTCTATACCACGCAGTCTCGGCGGAAAAGCTCGCTTAGATAGCTCAATTATATACTGAACAAGAGCCTTCTCTTCGGAATCGGTGAGCCGGCGCGAGTTGGGCGTAGTGTCGCGTCGTGCAGGCCGGCCCACTAGTCGGTCTTGCAAGGTTGTTCGTCGAACGTCGTAGTACTTCGCTACAGCCCTTATGCTTAGTTTTTGGTCTTTTTATATCGCTTTGAGGGCTAGGTTTATCCTAGCCTTGTACGAAGAAGACATGTTAGATTGTAAAAGAAATCTAGTTTTAAGCGCGGAAGTGACGCGTCGCGGGTAAAGTGGCCGGCTCGCTTATAAGATACGTTATAGGTAGAGTATAAATAATATGTATATCTAATTATAACCCCTGTTCGAGTTGCTATCCTAGATATAGGGCTCGATCGGGACTTCTCTATCTTCAATAGAAGGAGCGGACTACTTCGAAACATTATAGATGAGAAGAACTTTATAATACCAAGCATACTAACTATGACAGATATCTTCGGCTATGGCACCTTTATAGTAAGACTTATTATAGAGTATTGTGACGAAACCATAGGCAGTCCTGCCTCTGAAAGGGTTCGCCGGCCGAAGGTAACTGCCAGTCGGACTATAGGTCTCGGTGAAGCCAAAAGGTTCACAACAATGCTTGCCGCAATATCTGCACAATAGGTAGAGGCTATTGCTTGTAATTGCTCACTGAGGAAGCTAGCTATCTGAATGAGTGGCAGAATGGTAGAACTATATACAGCTTCCTCCCCTAGGTATCCCGTACCTAGATCTCTGGAACATTTAGAACAATTGTTGTTCTCATTATTCCATCTGGAACAACGTTCCTTGGCGTTGTTCCCTAGGAACAATCGTTCTTGGCATTGTTCCTGATCTCCCCAATCCTCATTAGTTCTTTCTGACTCGTAATGATTGGATACAGGCGCCGCCCGTTGACCATGCAGGTCGGCCCCCACCGGCCTCTGTAGGTTAGTTCATGACATGAAGCTATCCAGAGGCGCTAGAGGATATAGTTAGATATGCTCGCCGCTATCCCCTAAAGTAGAAACAGCAAAGGCAGGACGGAAGCGTACGCGAGTATAGTGGCGCTAATCTCTGCCATTATAGCCGTAGCGACTAAGGACCCGGGTTCGCAAACGTTTGGGTATATGGTCCTAAACTCCTCGCGGATAAAGTCAGGGATATCATTGCCATACGTGCCGAGCATAGCAGCACCGTTGCTTGTACTCGCCGAGTTTGATTATAGAAAGGTCCTACAGCGGTTAGTTATATAGACCGATATAACCGTAGGATGGCGGGCTAGGAAGCTCTTGTCATCTGTACGTAAGTTCCCGGCGCTAGCGAGGAAGATAATGTTTTCCTTACGCTGCTTCTATACCGTCTGGATGGCCTTGGATATCTCTTGGTCATCCCTTAAGAAGCTAAAGGATATGGAGATAATGTTAGCTTTGCCGGTCTGCCTAGCCTAGAAGATAGCCTGCCTAACTAGTAGTATAAGCTTTAAGCGCCAAGGACGATGTAATTGCTTTACCCACCTTCTTAATATTCTCTTGGCTATTTTCGAGTTAATTTATATCTTCGGCGATATAGGCTACCAGGATTTCTATACTAATGGTATACTTGTTATGAACTAACCTGCAGAGGCCGGTGGGGGCCGACCTGCATGGTCGACAGGCGGCACCCGCGTCCAATCATTACGAGTCAGAAGGACCAATGAGGATTGGGGAAATCAGGAACAATGCCAAGAACGATTGTTCCTAGGGAACAACGCCAAGGAACGTTGTTCCAGATGGAACAATGAGAACAACAATTGTTCCAAATGTTCCAGAGATCTAGGTACGGGATACCTAGGGGAGGAAGCTGTATATAGTTCTACCATTCTGCCACTTATTCAGATAGCTAGCTTCCTCAGTGAGCAATTACAAGCAATAGCCTCTACCTATTGTGCAGACATTGCGGCAAGCATTGTTGTGAACCTTTTGGCTTCACCGAGACCTACAGTCCGACCAGCAGATACCTTCGACCGACGAACCCTTTCAGAGGCAGGACTGCCTGTGGTTTCGTCACACCAAGGGGATAGAGGCAGTGCTAGGTCGGCTGGCATAGAACGATATCGACTACCTACGGCTTAAGGCCGTAAAGCCGATGTAGTTCTGGAAGAACAAACCAAACGATATCCAGCGATATTACGCTATTTGCGATACTTTGTCAGACGTTGATAGGAGGTTTCCGAGAGTGATAGGGACGGGCTAAGAAAGACTGATGACTCATCATCCCACTGGCGAGGATTGCTATGGGCAAACTATCATTCTCGGGGGCGATAAGTGACTAGGACGATCCGCGGACGGCGCTGAACGCAGCAGCATTATCGATCACTAGACTAAGCTGGCAGAAGGTGAAGGTATAGCCATTCCTATCTCATGCTAGTCATTCACTGTTTATTTTGCTTTGTCAGTAAGCAATTGAACTTGCTAGCTACAAACTACCATTGAGAACATGGCTTAAGAATTGTTATAAACCTTTTGGCTTCACTGAGTGTCAGTACTTATCGTTGTAACGACACGCGCAGCTGTTGAGGGGGAGAAGAGGCGTCGAGGGTAGGGGGGCCGGATGTGAGACGTACCTGTGGCCAATAATACACCTCCCGAGTTGGGTGTGGTTGAGCATGTATGACACCATTTCCACCCGATTCATGACGATTCAGGCTGACCGGTTGAAGAGCATTCCCTAGCATCCATTTCTAGCTATCTCTCTGCAAATTGCAGCAACACAAGGGGCTGGAGCCAGCCCCTCTGTCCAATAATGGCGGACGCAACACGCTCGCACTCAGGCAGCAATACGCTCCAGTTCAATCATTCTCATGCCACGTACACCACCCGAGGTCCTGCAAGCCAGCTAGCCCCGGTCCCCGAGCGCAACCTTTGTTCATGCCTTGAAAGTGGCTGCTCATGGCAAGCGCGCAAGATCAAAAGACGGCCTGTGCGGACGACCTCTCGCAAGAACACCATTTTGAAAAGATCAGGTGCTGGCAGGCCACATGATCGCGCCAGGCCAGTCTTTGTCGATGGCCTGTTCCTGACCCCGACAAGGGGATGCTGTCCTTGAAATCCAACGGCTAGGGCAAGCCGCCTACGCCAGTGCCCTCCCCGTATGTCATCAGTGCCGAGCGAATCGACAAGATGACTTCTTTGTTCTAAGGTGTGTATCTGCCTAACAGTCAAGAAACTAGTTACTGACTGTCTATGACATTGGATTTGGTATCACCATAACTGTTTATACCCTTGCCGAACAGGGAATGGTCCCGGAACGCCTGTTCGTGGAACCATGAGCATGGCGCTAAGCATGACAAGCGCGCCGACCGCCGCAAGGAACGAACGATTCAGTCAAGAACACACTGGCTGCTGCGGAGGGCGAAGCATCCTGCCCACAGGAGCACACAAGCGCGCCGGCAGCTGTGAGGGACCGGAGGCTTCAGGCACACCCGTGTCGCACTTTCACAACCTGTTACAAGAGTGACAAGATTGGCATCCAAGGCCGCCATCCCTCAGGCTCAATCTCTATACTTTGTTAATACTAGCTCGAAGAGTTGCTACTAAGGATTGAGTTGACTGTTTCAGCAGTGTGTCATACTTTAGTTGTCATTGTCATCCATCAATCAACTTACAATTTCAGTTGGGTGCCGAGTTCTGATTTCCTGGGTCTCTTGGGTTTGCCCTGAAACCTGGTCGGTGTGGATAACTTAGTAGTTCAAAAATACTCTATACATCCGTGCCAGCGTCACTGGCAAGATGTCTCTCTACTCTCCACTGCATCCTTTTCAATCCTCGTAGATCCTCTATGTTTCACCTATGCGTGGTCGTTCCATGTTCCTTTGAAGGTGGAGTTGTAATCGTTGATTCGTCTCTGGGCCACGGGCCCAAATCCTATGCAAGTGGGGAAATGACTACTAAGAAAAGTTATAACACCACGTGCAAGTGTAGGGAAAGACTAACAAAGCCTTGATGTTGTGCCAGAATAGTATAGATAAACTCATGTATAATAAGTCCAGCTCGGGACTCGCATCTATCCTGTCTTTCAAACCCAGACAGATACACAGTGATACAGACACAATCGCACACGCATACCCCACAGGATTGCGCACATACATACGCAAAAGCAACCACTTATACATACCTCATTTTTTTCAAGTCAATATGTCTTCGAGAGGTCAGCCCAACCCCCCCGGCACCGACGTCCTCCTTATAACGGTAATGAGTATACGCCAGAAAGAGGAGGCCACTAAGGCAAACCTCGCCCACATGGAGCGGCAGCTCGCCGAAATGCAACGAAAGAGTGAGCGAGTCAAGTGCTGCTAAAAGCCGAGTCCATTTCGCTAACCGCATAACAAAATCCTTTAGATAAGTCTCCCTCTGAGAAGAACCCTATAAAAAGAAGGATCGCTAGACTCAGAACCGAGCGTGATCAATGGCCTGAGACCATAGCGGACGTGCTCACGCACTGGCTGCTTTCTCTACCGTCAGATCCTTCGGGGTAAGTTTTTGAGCAGCTTGATGCCGTAGAGCGCAATAGCACATGCCACTCACCGGTGGACGTTTGGAATGCTAACGCACGTCTTCACTCTAGCCCACTCCCCACCTTGCCTCAGGAGGTCAAGAACCAGATTCCCGCGTCCCTTAGCAATACTCGTATCGCACGGATCGAGCAGGAGGCCTATAAAAAGATCCAGGAGAAGATGAAGGAGGAGGCCGCGCATAACGCCCAGCGTAGCAGCCACAGCAGCAGGAGATACGCCTAGCTTGCTTAGGAGAGCGAGGGTCTAGAACTCTCGATACTGGTAGAGGTAGGAGGCGGATGGCGGTGATAGAATGGAAGACGCCGTAGGTGGGAGTTCGTTGGCTTGCGATGCCCGCCTAGGTACTGTAGGTAGATACTTTAGTTGGATCTAGAGTGGCATAAGTAGAGTCGGAGCAGACCGGGGATAAAGGGGTATTATATACAGGACGTATACTACTGCCTAGTATATGAAATATCCAAGACTACCTTGACTTGGCCCTACTCACTGCTTGTCGTTTCCTATACTTGCATAGTCCCGCCCTGAAAGTGGACGGTAATAGATCCTGGCCCGGCACCTAGAGGGCGCCAAAGAGGATTACAAGTCTACCTCGAAAGAAATAAGCAGCGACCATATATAGCTGAAACAGGTATGCCTTACAGCAGACCTTCTAGGATAGATACAGGGAGCGGTAGAAGGCAAGTCGAAGACTCGAAATACATCTCGCCGGTCAGTTAGGTACTGTAGCGGGAAAACGTACGGGGTGGTAATCATAGCAGGGCCTTAGTAGGCTCTCTATTATAATAAGCCTTCCCATCATAGCTATCCTTCTCAACCTCCCTACCTCAAATAAGCACCAGAGCCAGACTAGACCTAACGTACGTTATAAGCGAGTGAAACATATAAGCGAATAAAACACTCCCTACTACATCGCATACCCTTTGCACCATACCTTTAATCTCTCTACAACGAACCATGGCTTTACCTTCTAATGAGGCAAGGATTGTCCTTGCACTTAAAGCTCTTCAAAAGGACTATACTCTTAGTCTTCGGGCTACAGCAAAGGTCTATAACGTCAGCCCTGCAACACTTATGCGGCGACGTGATAGCAGGCCTACACGACACGACACTACGCCTAAATCGCGCCGGCTTACAGATTTAGAAGAGCGGGCTATTGTTCAATATATTATTGAACTATCTTTATAAGCCTTTCCACTAAGGTTGCGTGGTATGGAAGATATGGCCAACCAACTACTACACATACATAATGCGCCCCCTGTCGGCAAGCTCTGGGCATACAACTTTGTCAAACGCCAGCTAGAGCTTCGTACGCGTTATACGCGTCGATATAACTACTAGAGAGCTAAGTGCGAGGATCTAAAGGTCATTAGCGATTGGTTCGCTCTCGTATAGAACGTCAAGGCCAAATACGGTATCGTAGAGGACGATATCTATAACTTCGACGAGACCAGGTTTATGATGGGCATTATCTGCGCGGGTATAGTAGTTACAACCTCAGATGGCCGTAGCAAGGCAAAGCTGGCCTAGCCTGGCAACCGTAAGTGGGCAATAGTAATACAAGGCATGAATGCCCTTGGCTGGGCTATCCCACCCTTTATTATCTTAGCCGTACAATACCACCTCGCTAACTGGTATTAAGAGTGCAACCTCCCAGCTGACTGGCGTATTGCAACTACCGACAACGGCTGGACAACTAATATAATAGGCCTCAATTGGATCAAGCACTTCGACTTGTATATAGCACCTCGTATAAAGGGCAAATACTGGTTATTGATCCTCGACGGCTACGAGAGCCACTACTCGACCGAATTCGAGCTCTACTGCTAGGAGCATAAGATTCTCACGCTCTATATGCCTCCGCATTCCTCCTACCTACTCCAGCCACTTGATGTTGGTTGCTTTGGGCCGTTGAAGCACGCGTATGGTCGCCAGATCGAAGACTTGATACGCGCGCATATCAACCACGTAAGCAAGGTCGAGTTCCTCTATGGGTTCTATGAGGCCTTCTTCTCTTCCATTACTGAGAGGAATATCCAGGGTGACTTTGCTAGGGCTAGCCTTATGCCATATAATTCAGTGAGGGTGCTTTCTAAGCTAGATATCAAGCTTCGTATACCAACACCTCCAACCTTACGGCCTAGCACTGTATAACCTTGGGTCTTCCAGACACTATACAACCCCCGAGAAGCTAACTCGCAATCAACGCTCATCAAGACTCGCATTGCCACCCACCAAAATAGCTCCCCGACTTCGATGTTGGCTGCTATAGACTAGCTGACAAAGAGTACAATAGCTATAATATACCAGGTGGCTCTCCTATAGGCAGAGAATGCTTCGCTCCGCAAGGCCAACGAGGCAGTAAGCAAGCGCCGAAGAGCCAAAAGAACGCGTATATAGCTTGGAGGATCACTTGCAGTAGAAGATGCAAAGGATCTACTAGACCAAAAGGCTATGATTGGGGAGGTGGCACAAGAAATGCAGCCGGATGGTGGTGGTACAGGGGGAGCTTATAGGAAGGTTCGGTGCTATGGTGTATGCAGCAAGCCTGGTCATAATGCCCGCACTTGTCAGGAGGTTGCAGAAGCATCTGATTGAGCCGTTTCTGATGTAATTGTAGTTGGTTGATAGTTTTGTTGTTTTGTAATTGAGGATAATGTTTATAGGGTAGTTGTGACGACTAGATGCAATTGAACAGGGTCAAGCCGGCTGTTGTTGTCATTCTATTTCGTGAATCTAAGGTTGAGGAAAGGAAAGAAAAGTTCTGAGTCGGTGGCTCAGAACATTACACGAAGATAGTCCTGATTTGTGGGTCATGTGACCGGTGCTCCACAACAGCCGTCAATCAGGGAGGTCGTGGGTTCGACCCCCGCCTGGGGCGACACCCATACCGACCGTGACAGTAGTGGAGAGTAGGTCATTCGCTTGTCTGGGTCACTCGCTTATTATATACGTTATATATATATATATATATAACATGCATTATAAGCGAGCCGAACATATAAGCGAGCCGGCCACTCTCCACTATACTACCAACAATATCCTTAATCACAAAATAACAACACTAGGAACTAACAATAATTACATCAGAAATAGATGAATCAGACCCTTCTGCAACCACCTGGCAAGTGCGGGCATTATGGCCAGGCTTGCCGCACACACCACAGCACCGAACCTTCGTACGACCCCCCCAGCACCACTACCATCCAGCTGTATTTCTTGCATTGCCTCCCCACCTACAGCCCCCTGGCCTACCACCTCCTGTGCCTCCTGCACAGTAAGTGATCCTCCAAGCCGCACACGTGTTTTTTTTTAGCTCTTCGGCGCTTGCTTAGCGCCTTGTTAGCCTTGCGGAGCGAAGATACCTCTGCCTGAAGGAGGGCCACCTAGTGCATTACAGCCATCGTACCCTTGGTAAGCTAGTCTATAGCAGTCAACATTGAAGTCAGGGAGCTATTTTGATGGTTGGAAATGCGAGTCTTAATAAGCGTTGACTATAACTTAGCTTCTCGAGGGTTATATAATATCTAGAAGACCCAAGATTATATAGTGCCTGGCCGTGAGATTGGGGGTATTAGTATACGAAGCTTGATATCTAGCTTCGAAAGCACCTTCTCTAGATCGTATAGCATAAGGCTAGCCCCTGTAAAACCGCCCTATATATTCCTCTTGGTTGTAGAGGTAAAGAAGGCTATGCGAAAGGCATAAAGAAACTCAAGCTTGCTTATATAGTTGATATACACACGTACTAAGTCCTTGATCTAGCGACCGTACACCTGCTTCAACAGCCTAAAGCAGCCAACATTAAGTGGCTAGAGGAGGTAGGAGGAATATAGAGGTATGCAGAGCGTAATAATATTATTCTACTTACAGTAGAGCTCGAACTCGGTCGAGTGGTGGCTTTCGTGGCCATCGAGGATCAACAACCGGTATTTACCCTTTGTCTAAGGCGCTATATAGTAGTCGAAGTGCTTGATCCAATCAAGGCCTACCGCATTAGTAGTCCAGCCATTGTCGGTGGTTGCAATACGCCAGTTGGCCGGGAGGTTGCACTCTTGATACCAGTTGGCGAGGTGGTACTACGCCGCTAAGATAATAAACGGAGGGATAGCCCAGCCAAGGGCATTGACGCCTTAGATCACCGTCGCCTATTCGCAGTTGCTGAGCTAGGCTAGCTTCGCCTTGCCATGGCTATCCAAGGTTATAACCACCATACCCAGGAAGATAATGCCTATTATAAACCCAGTCTTATCGAAGTTATAGATATCATCATCTATAATGCTATACTTAGCCTTAACGTTCCGTATAAGGGCAAACCATTCGCCAATAACCTTCGGATCCTCGTACTTGGCCCTTTGGTAGTTGTATCTATACGTATAATGCATCCGGAGCTCTAGCTGGCATTTGACAAAGTTATGCACCCAGAGCTTGCCGATAGGGGGCACGTCGCGTACGCGTAGCAGTTGGTTGGCCATATCTTCCACACTATACAGTCTCGGCGGAAAAGCTCGCTCAGATAGCTCAATTATATACTGAACAAGAGCCTTCTCTTCGGAATCGGTGAGCCGGCGCGAGTTGGGCGTAGTGTCGCGTCGTGCAGGTCGGCCAGCGCGCCGGTTGTAGAGGGTCGTAACTGGCACGTTATAGAGCTTGGCTACGCCTCGGAGACTTAGTTCCTTGTCGTTTTGAAGAGCTTTGAGGGCTAAAATTACCCTGGCTTCCTTTGAAGTAGAAGACATATTGGGTTGTAGAAAAACTAATGTTTAGGTGGAGGGAAGACGCGTTGTGCCAAGAAGTGTTCGACTCGCTTATATGTTCGGCTCGCTTATAATGCACGTTATATATATATATACAGACTACTTGACTTTGGCACGTCACGCTCTTGATGGGGACACGGGCGCTATGGCGCGTGCACGTCAAGGGCTGTAGGAAACAACGCCTTCGACGCTGCGTCAGGTTTGATCCCTTGCACTTCATGCACGATTGACACGCCTCCACCAACCAACCGCATAGGATAGTCGTATTACGAACCAGCCAGGCCTCTGACTTCCAGCCACCTATATACCTCGCCCTCTATGAAGGTTTTCTTGGCCCTTGGTTCATCCATCGAGACAGCGGCAAGGCAGCAGCCCGGGCGAAAAGAAAAAGGGGGAAGGTTGGGTCCGGGCTGGGTTTGCATGTCCTGGCATCTGCGGAAACTGGAGATGGGTACATGTGCAGATATGATGGAGGGTCGGGAAACATCCTTCCAAACAGTTGGTCGATAGTGTGGCACATGATTCATCCGTGAAGCCAGCAAGGCGAGGCTGTGAAGGCAACGGGTGATCTTCAGGGAGTGTAGAGTGTCCCCTAATGAAGAGGCGTGTAGGATACGCCTGCGGAAGGTGCTACAGATCCTGGATGTGTCTTTCGGGAGTTTTCTTGATACTATCTGGGGTCATATCGTTTCGGTACAAACTGGTATATCTGGCTTGTTCGGGCCCCTCAGATGATTCTTGGTCCATTACGCGGGCTTGTGTTTCATAAACCCTTGTTGGAATTCCTGGTTGGCTAAGACCGCACCGCGACGGGGTTGGAGGAGACTAGCCTTAGGTCTGTGAGTCACGAGGTATTTGCTCGCACGAGCCCGGGAACGATGGCCTATCGCTCTTGCTTACCGTGTGTTTGGCGGACTTTCCGCTACAAGGAGATGCGAATATGTACTATGTACACCTGCGGGCTTTAAAAGGTCCTGGAGCGAAGGTGACGGCCGGGTTGCTGAATCTGTTTTGCGTTATCGTCGGCGAAGTGGTCGTTATTGACCGACAATTTCTTCATACTTAGAAGGGTTTATCAGGAACTGGCACGCCGCGAGACTTGCAAAAGCTCGTTATAAGCTGCCCGCGGTTTGCGCTATAGTTCCTTCTCAACTGCCGCAATCCCATATCACGTATTGTGGGGTTTTGAGTCACCTCTTGGTATTGTACTTCAATCGGTCATGGCTCAGATGCGGACACGGCGGAACTGCGGACCACGCGACCCAGGCAGGTCGGCTCCTACGGTGGGCCAAGACACTTCGGCCAGAATGAAGAACACGTTGGCAACCCCATTTTCTGCAGGCACTTCTTTTAACACTAGAAACATTATTTGGTAAGAGGATAGTATGATGCACACGTTGGCTAAGAGAATCTCGGAAATTTTGCAACAAACCTTTATCTACACTCTGTCCTAGCTCTAGGCCTGGGGGCCAGTTCACATTGTACAACCAATTGATCAATTGCTCTCTCAATGGTGCCTATTCAAGTCATCTTCCATTTCTGTTAGCCAGCACATCGCTGATACCTACTCTGAAAGTTATGTGGTGATCTGCTCGGGAGGTCCAGATCGATGGATCTGATTGGGAAATCTAGATCGGTGATGAGATCGGGAACTCGAGATCCTAGCATGTCAGAGGTGGAAGGACAGTGCGGCTACTCTTGGTAATACTCAAAACTTAAACAGGATTAACTTCGATTCATTTCGGTGCTGGTTCAATGGTACTAACTGAAGGCTTGACAGGCTAAAAACTAGGTCACGTAAGACAATACGGTAGCGAAGTCGCGATGACAAGGATGCTAGATGTTGGAGTCCGTTCCACCACCAAGTTCATAAAGACTACGAGTATCAGTAGGTATATAAGTGGCCACGCTTGGAAAGCACTACCTAGAATGCCTCGAGCATGGAATATCTACAGCAATATGGGGCCCTCCACTTGACATAACAGCCCTCAAGCAACGATAAGCTACCTAGCCATCCTAGGCGCTGAACTCCCTCGCCTTCTTCGCCGATCCCTTGAACACCGGCGGGCCCGGGATCGTGTACGTCTGCGGCAGCGCGTGGTTGTTGATGTTGAACTGCGGCAGTCAGTCATGGCGTCTTCGCACCACTGGTATGGGAAACAAGGGGTCCCCGTTGATAGTGCTCACCTTGATGTTAGCATCATTGTCCTTGCAGTAGCCCGGAATGGCCACCTTCTGCGAGGCGTCGGGCTGGGCGGTGCCGGAACCCGAGACGGTGATCTGGGCGCACTCCGGGTAGAACTGCGGCGCGTTGGCCTGGTGCAGGGCGATCAGCTCGTGGCGGATCAGGTAGTTGCCCGGGGCGAGGCCCTGTGGGATCTTGCTGGTCCAGGCCTTGTTGCCGCCGACCAGCTTGGCGATGTCCCAGCCCGAGGGCGTCTCGGTGTCGAGGAACACCTTGGTGCCGTCGCCGTGGAAACCGGCCTCGTCGATCTTGAACCAGCCCGCGCCGGAGCCGTCGCACGAGCTGAAGGCGCCGGGGCACTTGTACATCCACACGATGATCGGGCCCTGGCTGTGCGTCCACTGCTGCCAGATCGCCGTGACCTCGTCGCCCGGCGCGGCTGTGGCGCTGAGCTTGGCCGACGTGCCGCCGTTGCAGCGCAGCTTGGCCGCCGAGCACGATGTGACCGGGTTGTAGTCGGGCCATTGCCACTGGATGACGCTCGGCGAGTTGGCGGGGGAGAAGCCTTGGTATCTGCAGTTACCTCTTAGTTCCACGGGGTGTGGCGGTACATCTCTGAGACTGAAGCTCACCCTGGGTAGGTCTTGCCGGCAATCACGTAGCTGGTCACGGCGCCGTGGGCCGCAGCGCCAGCAACGAAGAGGCCAAGATTGGTGAGGATTTGCATGGTTGACTGGTGTCAGTGTGAATGTACTATGTGCAGTTCGAGGCTTAGTGACGGACGGTCATGGGCTTCTGTTCGGGGGCGAGAAGCCTGAGGTCTTATAAGCTAGGGTCAAGGAACGCTTTACGCCCGAATCCCGCATACAACCTTTCCAAAACCCTCCATAACAGTCACTTTCAGCACAAGCCGCCATCCCCACATTTCCCCAGGTTCTCCAGGTTTTTCTTGGTGTTGCTCGCTACCGGCTAATATGCCATGCCGGAAGCACTCGTGCCTCTGGGCTCGCGCATGATAAGCTTTCCCGGCCAGCGACTGGCTCAGCTGCTGCCGGCAGTGGATGAGATTAATTTGGGATCCCCCCCGCAATAACGGAAGGTAGCGCCGACATTTCCATCTCGATATTTGAACTGCGACGCAACGGTTCGAGTCAAAACGCATGACGTAAACGTGCTGGCGGCTCCCGGACCGTGCGACGGATGACCACCGGCCGAGGAACGTCCAGGGTCGGCGTATGATGCTACCGTAGCGACTTGGACTCGGCGCTTTAACGGGGCAATCTATGTACGGCAGGGATACGATGCCAGCAACTGAACATGGTCATGTCGGAGACACGAGTTGGGAGCCCGAGTCGCGGCATTGTCTCACTGGTTGGCGCTTGCGGGCCGTGGTGGTTCAAGACGAAGGTGCAAAGTCCTCGACACAGCTGTGACATGTCACGCGTAAACAGGATGGATAGGATTAGGGGTTCTCAGGCCACTGGCTTCACCGCTGCAATCTCTCCATGCACAACCACGCGGATCATACGGTACCTATATTGTTTGGCCTCCCTCACTCCTGTGATAGCCTTCTACATCTTTTCTGCAACGAACCCCGGTACAGGCAGGGGTGGATGGAGAACAAGTAAGCCACGTGGTCACATGGTCTTCCGCAACGCCAACGATCCCTACTGCCCTCATCTCTCCCGCTGTTCGCATTTCCAAGCTCTGCGATGACTTACGGGAACTTACTACTAGATGCCGCAATCTCCACTCTCGATTTCAACAATGCGGAACTCGATGAACCTGCCGAGCCGGCGATGGACCTCTTTTGATGGGTGGGACTACAACGGCATGAAAGAACGTTTGCAGACAGCGCTGGTCAACATCGACAAGCCTGCGCTTCTGCGCTATGCAGAGCGTATCAAGGGGCAAAAAGTCATTATGAGCGGACCCTTCTCGGCCGACCAGTACTGGATCTGTTTTGAAATGATTGCCGAGGACGAAAGCCTAGTTATTGCCTAGGTCCGCCTGCCCCGCTATCCCGACGTACCGGCTACCATTAGAGAAGAGGATGAAGCATATGGCATCGTATGCGAGGTCGCTACCATGGAGTTCGTAAGGCAAAGGCTGTCTGCAATTCCTGTCCCTCGCCTATACGTATATAAGGGCCCCGGGTCTTAGCTCGCTGCTGATGTCGGGGCTGTATATATGCTTCTGGAAGGCTTCTATGGAAATACCCTGCAAGATGTCGAATTCGATAAGTCGACCACCCCTCATTCCGCCCACCCCCCATTCCGCCCACTTTGTAAGTCTTGGCGTCTAAACCACCCATCTTCTTCAACACCATCTATTATAGTCTGTTCAACCCACCACAATACAGGAAGCATCTGATTCGGGGCTTTCTGACCTGCTCTCTTCAACGCCAGACTCTTCAATACGGCCAGCCTCAATTTGAGCCCGGTGGACCTGTTCAATGGAAGCGAACTGCTTGTTCGGATCCGGGACCACCCTCTTTCTTCTCGACGGCCGGGCTGCCTCTAACTGAACCTTCAGAGCCTCGTTTTCCTGTTGCAATTGAGCCAATTGGAAGTCCTTCTCGTCAAATGCCTTCTCAACCTTCCTGAATAAAAGCCGTCGTGTAGAAAGATCTTGCCGCCGGATAGCCAGGTTGGTTAGGTGACCGCGAAGGTCTACTTTCTTGCGTGGTGTCTGGAATTCGACCTCCTGAGCTATAGTTGTAGTCTGGCTAGGTAGCCTAGATGCTGGGGTCTATGGTAGTAATAGTGGATTGTCTTTTCCAAGCGCCTGGTTCGAATTTTCCAACAAAAGAGGGCTTATCAGTGGTTTCGCCATACTAAGAGGCCATAACCCGGATGCCTTCCACCCAGCTTTGATATTATGAGCTGTAATTGCCTCCCTGCGAGCCTTGACGAGGCACCGCAACATCAACTGCTTGCCTAATGCCGTAGTTTCTGACCAGCTGGTTAACTGGTTGAGGAGCTTGCGGTAGGTATGCTTCAGGGGGGAGAACACTGATAAATCCAACGGCTGGAGGACGTAGGAGGTATAGGCTGGTAAAAAGAGTAGTTGGATATTGTTGCTGAAGCACTCCTATATAAACTCAGTGCTTATATGGCTATCGTGGCCGTCCAGTATCAACAGACACTTCTGGGTAGGATCTTGCGGCTGGGTCCGGGGGATGAAGACCCGTTACAGCCATTCCAACGCAACCACCCTATTAACCCAGCCTTTTTCAGTTGCAATGAATAGCCAGTCCTTTAGTTCGCCCTTGGCGATAGGAAACCACTGCTGTTGAACACTCTTGCCCTTGAAAATAACAGCTGGTGGGAGTGATACCCCTGTCGTAGAGACGCACTCTAAGAAGGAGGTCTACGCACGCGAACCAGGGACTTTCCGTTGCACTACGCGTGTGTAGGCACTTCCAACTACCAAGCCGTTGATACCCTGACCTTCCATAAGGCCGAATTCATCAAAGTTCCAGCAGTTAGCCGGTAAGATGTCCTTGATGGCTAGGATTTTCAGGAGTAGGAACCAGCTGCGGATAACCGAGTCAGTAGCGCCATTGATACAGGCTAAGTCGATCTTACGGCCTCGCTAGGTATAGAGGACCGGGTTCCTTCGGATAAACCGGTTGATCCAGCTCTTCCCGATAGTCTTTTCGGGTGCTCCTTGGGCCTCTAGAACCCGGCTGGCGAACTCCCGGATCTGCGCATGGGTTGGTGGGACACCTAGAGCGACCTGGGCTAAGACCCATCGCGTAAGATGATCTTCTTGTACTCGGCTAAGTGTCTGTTGCGGTTCGGCCGCAGTTGAATGGGTCTGAGTACCAAGAAGGCGGTCGCGAATAGTAGAGCGTGGGATGCCGAACTCACTACAGATGCTTCGCAATGACTGGCGCCCAAGACGGTATTGCTCAACTGCATCTTGTATATCTTGCTCTGAGTAAGCCATCTTGAACTGGCAATCAGTTTGATACAAAAAAAAGGCCGTTTGGCCAGAGATTGAGTGAGTTATGGTAAGTTGAAGTGGTTGGGTTGAAAAAGCGGTGTGGACTTACAAAGTGGGCGGAATGGGGGGTGGGCGGAATGAGGGGTGGTCGACTTACACCATTGGGGGTTCGACTCTCGGAAACGTTTCCGGGGAGCTTATCCTTTCGAACCCTTCTGATGGCGAAATCTAACTCGGCCCTCTCTGTGGATTTGTCCGAAGTGCAGTCCGCCTAAGGACGCCAGACCTTGGGCCTGGGTACCGTGTACTCCTGCAGAGACATCCCGTCAGCTGGTTCAAGTTCAAAGTCAATGGACGGCGAAGGCGACTTACATAGGTCTGGCGTCTGCGCTCGTAATAGGCATCCCCCAGATACTTGAAAGCCGGGTCAGACTCCTTGTAGACGCCCAGGAAGGAGACCAGGTATTCCTGACTGGGCACCGCGGTGCCCTGACCGCTGACCTCCAGCTGAGCGCACTGCGGAAAGAGCTGCGGGAAGCCGTTGGACCCTTCCGAGAAGAACACCTCGTGGCGGATGAGGTAGTGGCCCGGCTTCAGCTTCTCCGGAACCCGGACGGTGATGGGCTTCTGCCACAGATCGTTCTGCTCCCACGTCCTGCGGTCCGTGATGGACGCTCTCGAGATCGACCCCGCCGGCCAGCTCGTGCTGGAGTAGCCGGACTCCCAGATCTTGAACCAGCGCTGCCCGCGGCCGTCCCACTTGTCGCACGGTCCGCCGCAATCGGCCATGTACACCATCAGGGGGCCCCAGTAGTGATACCAGGGAGATCGAGGCGTGAGGCACACCATAGGCTTGGGATCGTTCCACTCCGGGAAAAGGGGCTCGTCGGGGCGGGACCAGTTTGGCGGGCACGGCGGCGGAGCGTAGAATGCTTGGATCACCCCGCCGGCCTTGATGGGCGCGTGTTCCTTCGGAGGCTGCACCTGAAGCGGGTAGCCGCGGTTGCACGCGAGATAGGGGTGCGAGATGTTGTAGATCGGGTCCCCCCACCAACGGCGTTGTACGGAGACCTGGCCTTTCATGGGCAGCCTTGCGGTGGACTCTCTGTGCGCGATCCCAGTAGGTCATACTCACCCGGGGTAGTCAACACCGTCGATGGTGTAGTTGAAGACGCCTCCATGTGCGGTCACTGGAAGGGCTATGCCCCAGGCGACGGCAAGAAAGGACGGCAGGCGCATGATGGGCAATGTAGAGAGGGATTCCAAAGAACAAAGAGAGGTTTGGATGAGGAGTCGCCTCAGGGCGGACTGGGAGTCGATGTCCTACTTTGAATGATCCCGCTTCCGCACTTGGTTCGTAGCCGTCGTCTGCTTTATATAGACGTTTCCATTTCTCATCGCAAGTCTTGAGCGGTTCTCGATGCTCCGCCAGCAACCTTCCAGAATAAGGGCATCGGTCCGCTCATAGTCGCCATGATGGATACGCCCGCGAACCGAGGTGGCTGCGATAGGTTGTCACATTGCCGACTGCAGGAAGAGTACAGTCCATCGGATGAAAGCGCTGCGTGTAGGTGACATGCAATGGTGGGCACCTGGTACCGAGCCAATAGAGATCGCTCAACTTACCATCAAGGTACCTATATGCTGGGTGTTAAATCGGTGCATGTACCTATATTCAGTCATCAAGGTTCCATCCCGGCCAACAAGAACGATCATGTGAATTCGCTGTCCGGATTGATTCTCGTATTCAACTACCTTTTGACCGCGTCTACCGGAGACTGGAATCGCGGCAATGCTACCTTACGTAAGTTAGTACCTTATATAATCATGTGGCATGCGCACACACCACCTGGATATGATGCAGTAGATTGTTTTGACTGGATCCGGCCTCAATGACAGCTGCGGTGTGGATGGACGAGAATAGACGAGAGTGATGCGTTTGTATACCAGGCCTTTGTACGGCGTCACGGCTCATCGCTCTTCTTTGGTTGCTTGTCTGAGAACAACACCTGCTAGGGTGCTTCGATGTTGGATGTTATTGCTAGTCTTTCTTTAGTCCTTGTTGGTGGATTCCCCGCGGCCCAACACTAACGGATCTCTGCAGAACATCCTAAGTAAGCTCAGGCTGGTATGGAACTGAGCCCGAAGGAGACCTCTGGACCGTACTCTGGACCACCCAAGGTGGAGGCAACAGACACCCCACCACCGATCCTAGTATCGCTTTGTAGGCAACTTATCTGGCAATGCCGCTCTGCCCCCCTTCAGGCGCCTCAACAAAGCGACGCCTCGGCGTCTTGGCCTCGGTGCTGTCAGAAGCTAGATGCGGCGGCGAAGTGCCGGAGTAGGACCGCTCCACCATACACTCCGAGCGCTCATGCTTGTCTCCGGCGTCGGCGCTATCTGTAGAAGATGGTTGCTACCGTCAGTATGCGGGCGAAGACTGCACCGACGGCGGTACCAGCGACAGCGCCGGCGAGGATTCCTCTATCGTTGTTGGTTTGGTTGATCGCCGCTGGCGGCAGGTGTGGAAACAGCAGAGCTGGATGTCTCTCTGGAGGGCATGCCGGGGACCTTCTATGCGAGCTGAATCATGAGTGCGTTGATTGTCATGATTCAGACTGCTTTCGTTAGGCGACGTCAGGAAACTAAAGTCGCAGGAGCCGCTGGAGCCGCCGTGGAGGACAGTAAGACAGGCTGCTGTGGACTCCCGTCGGCACGCGAATCGCAGGTCTGGGCGCGCCTGTCAACAGAACCTCCTTCGGATCAATAGTCCACAAACGTCTCGCCAGCTTCCATCTGGTACTGCACTCGGCAGTCCATCGTCTCACCGACCATGGCTGTACAGGCCGAAGTGTATCCTAGCGGAGAGATAGCTCCCGGACAGTAAAAGGCTCAAAGCCGCACTCGCCTGACGGCCGAGTCCCTGTCGGCATACCCACTGTTGTCGGCCAAAATCCCGTATCGGCTCCTAAGCTGAGCGGAACACTGTCCACACCAGGCCATATCGGAGCATTCGGATGATGTTGGAGTCTTGGTCCTTGCACAGAACCGAAAGTAAAAGTTGGGTCACACTCCAACAACCTCACCAAAATTCAATATGTTCAGCGCCATCGTTAGCAGATTTGGATGAAAACTGAAGACTTCAAGAGAGTCTCTATTGGTGTGTTTTCATAAATTCTTCAGTGGCGGGTTTGTTCATCACGAGTGTCCGGGGCCGGGGGTTGGGGGGTTGATGAGAAGTTGAAAACACCGGGTGGAGCATAACAGTCGAGTGGTCCTAGCGTCTACCCCTAGCCCCACTTGCCAATTTGGACCTCAGTCCTTGATTCAATTTCCACTTTCCCAACATCTGAACCTGGCCTCGAGAGTCGGCAGTTCCAGATTGCTTCATGTCGAAGAGCTTCTGAAGACGTTGGCACTTCGGCCCTGAAGCCGACTCTATACTCCGGCCCTATTTGGCTCGTTGCTCCAGCTCGCACCACGCGGAACGCCACAAAATATGGCGAACGATGATGAGTTCGAGGATAGTATATTCGACAATGTCAACGAAGCCGAACTAGCTGAGCTGGAGCGGCCAAAGAAACGTCGAAGGACATCCAAAGGACCGCAGGACAACCGAGATGATGATAGTATCTTTGACGATCTCGACGAGGCCGACCTCGCAGAGCTGGAGCGACCCACACAACGCCCGAGGACATCTGCAGAAGTGCCAAACACCCAAGGCGGCCAAAGCCGCCTCGCGCTTGCTGAGCGCATCCTGAAGGAACAGTTCGGCTTTCCCTGTTTTCGTCATGAGCAAGCTGGTGCCGTCCAAAGCATTCTCGCGGGAGACAATGCGCTTGTCATCTTCCCAACCGGTGCAGGCAAGTCCCTGTGCTATCAGGTATGATTCTGTACCCCGGCTGGACCTTAACATGGAGCCCGGCAGTACTGCAAAGCATGCTAACATCAATGATAGATTCCTGCAATTGCCTTTCCGGAGCTGGACAAAGTTGATGGGCTTAGGGGACCATCTACTGCTGGCGTCACGCTTGTTGTGTCACCGCTGATCGCTCTAATGACAGATCAGGTCGATGCCCTGAAAAAGCGCGGCCTCCCCGCCGAGAGCATCGACTCAAGCAAGTCATGGGAGGATGTCCAGCGCATCTACGCCAGCTTGCGGGAGTCGAAGTTGCGAATTCTGTACTGCGCACCCGAACGGTTGAACAACGAGGGATTCGTGGCAACCATCGGGGATATTCCCGGAGGGATTCGCTTGCTGGCCGTGGATGAGGCCCACTGCGTCTCAGAAGTGAGGCTATTTCCCCCTGTGGACGCATGAAGGCTGACAGCCGTACGTAGTGGGGTTACTCCTTCAGACCAGAGTATCTGAAAGGTATACCCACCTCTGCATATCATTGCCACGACTGCTTCCTGACTGTTCCGATCTACAGTTGCCCGCTTCGCCGACGAAGTCAAAGCTGAACGTGTTATATGTCTGACAGCCACTGCGACACCGAACGTCGCCAAGGACATTTGCAAGGCTTTCAACGTCAAGGAGAGTTGCGTCTTCAAGACGTCCGTGTATCGGCCCAAGTAAGTTAGCCCTCCCGACGCAGCCACGGGTTTTGTCTGGAAGGCAACTAACATAGGTGCTCAGCCTCGAGCTGCATGCCAAGTCCATCAGTGCTGGCTCCGTGCCGGCAGACTACTGGATCAGACTTGTACTAGGGATGCCGGAGGGCGACAAGGGATTCAAGACGGAAAGTGACAAGAGATTTGAAGAGTTGTTCGGTTTTCTTCGCAGCCATCCCGGGCCGACGCTTGTCTACGTCGCACTGCAACAGCAGGCAGAAACACACGCCAACGTCCTCAAAAAGCACGGTTTCAACGCCGCAGCATTTCATGCCGGCATGAAGACGGAAGAGAAACGATTCGTTCAGGACGGTTTCATGTCCGGTAAGATTCAAATTGTAGGCCACCCCGGGTCAAGTACCTCTGCGTAGCAGACTGACACACTCCCAGGTCTGCGCAACGATTGCCTTTGGCATGGGTATCGACAAGCCAGACATTCGCAACGTCGTCCACTGGGATCTTGCCAACACTGTCGAAGAGTACAGCCAGCAGATTGGCCGCGCAGGCAGAGACGGCAAGAAGAGCTATTGCATGTTCTACCTAGCGCCTAGCGCCTTTTACCTCCGGCAGATCTTCGCCCGTGCGGATCTGCCTTCACGACAGTCCCTCAAGGGCCTCATTCTCGATATCCTCGGCCAAGCGCGCGATCTCGGCGTACGGCAAGTCTTCAAGGTCAGCCACTATCAACAGGAGCGAGAGTACGACATCCGCGCAAGCCCGTTGTCGATCATCTACGCAACCCTCGAACTGCATTTTGGGTTCTTCCGGGCCATTACGCCGCAATACACGACGTACAAGTTTGAGGCTATGAAGTCGTACCACTACACGCTCAAGAATGACAGCAGCAAGGAGGCGACGGCGATTCTCTCAGGCGCCAAGAAGAAAGTCAAGTTCCACGACATTGATGTCAACGAGGTAGCTAGCCAGGCCTGTTTGACCAGAGACAATATCGTCAAGAAGCTCAATCAGCTCAACGAGCGTGGCCATGTCAAGTTGCAGACCAAAGGGCTGGAGCACAGATACATCATCCTGAGGGAGCTGCCGAAGACGGAACCAGAGATTGAGGCAGTGGTCGACAAGGTCTACGCCCAACTGCAGACGCGCGAGACGGATGCCCTCAATCGGGGACGGGAGGTGATGGACCTGATCACGGGCAACAGATGCTTCGCCCGCGCGCTGGCCGAGCACTTTGGCATGGGACTCCCTGGCGGCAAGCCATCGTGCGGTCACTGCACGTACTGCTTCACCAAGCGGCCCGTGAAGCCGCCAGCACAGCCGCGAGAGGCCACGACGGCGGCGTCGATCCAGCGTGTGCTGCAGGCGACCAAGGTGCGCGACGATCCGCGCTTCCTGGCGCGGGTGGCATATGGCATCAAGAGCCCGCGGGTCACAGAGTTGAAGCTGGACAAGTCGCCCGTCTTTCGGTCACTTGCTCACCATGATTTTGACGTAGGCACTGAATATCATTTCATCGGAATCACCCCTGAGCTGAGCTGACGTTGATCTATGTAGGATCTCTTGAGGGAGTTCACTAAAGCCTGCGACGCAGCACCGGCGACGAAACGGCAGGCATGAGGGTTAAAGTGTTGAGCGTTTCGGAGTTCGAATTGTAGGGTGATGGATGCCGGCACCCGAGAGTAACACAGGGACATGGGAGTTGAGTTGGGCCTGGTGTGCTAACGGTGTTGGTTGGACTGGACGGGTTAAGAACACGGTGGAAGTTCTCCTGGTGAGTGGCGTCTCAAAGCAGGCCTTTTGTACGCTGCCACCTTTTACCTTTATATTGTTTGTAACGGCTAGAGTCGCAGGTAATATCTAGCAGACCTATCCTGCAGCACTCTTGATGAACTGTTCAACCATCGCGCTACAAGAGCCTCCCGCCCCTGCAGAGCTCAGTGCCCTATGCGGTGCACAGCGGCATGCTCACCAGGACCGTGATCATGCCCGGCATGGCCCCCATCCTCCTCCTCAGCCCAGTCAGGGAACCCATCCTCAAACAGCTCCGCCAACCGATCCACCTTGTCCTCCACACCCTTATCCTCGCGCATGACCTCTTCCCACAGCTTCATCTCCGCATCGGTCAACAAACACGCATCCAGCACCCGCTCCAGCCCTCCCACGTCGAGCTTCTCCCCAATGAAGACAATCTCCTGCCGCCGATCGCCCCACTCCCCGCCCTGCGCGATGTCGTGCTGCACGAGCGCGTCGACCTCGGGGTCACCCGTCGTGTACTGCTCGGCCGGCAGCGTGCAGAACCAGGGCCGCCCGCCGCGCAGCGTCAGCATGGCGCCGGCCTGCGACCACTCCCCGGCGCGGTGCGGGCGCGTCGCGAGCAGGAACTCGCCCTTGGAGCGGAACAGGCAGGCGAAGAGAGGGTGGGCGCGCTTGGTCGCTAGGATGGTCGGGTTGGAAGGGGGGGTTAGGTCGTCGTCGTCGTCGGTTTCTGCTGCTACTAGTGGTAGTTGTGGTTCCCTGTCCTTTGAATTGGTATTGGCATTGGATTTTGAATTGGAATGGGTGGTGGAGGAGGAGGGCGCGGTGGCTGCTGTTGTGGTGGAGCTGGGGCTGGAACTGGAGGTGCTGCGTGAGGAGGAGGGGGAGGAGGGGATATTATTATCGTCGGTTGAAGCCATGTCGATGTCGATGTCGATGTCGGTTGTGCCTTGGGGCTTTTGTTCGTTGTCTGTTTTGCCTTCGTCTTCATCCTCCCCGTCCTCGTCGTCGTTGTCGTCGTCTTCTGGAGTCTCCAGCTGGAGAATGAACTTATCATACAGCAGCGCCCACAGTCGGCGGGGGTGGAACGGCCGGCGGCGCGAGTAGACGAAGTTGCGCACGTTGTACTCCTCCGTCTCGGGCTTCGGGGTCAGGACGTTGCGGCCGTTGACCTGGTTCCCAATTAGTATCTAGTAGTTCGATGGATGAGACTGCTTAAGACAGACTGGGGAGTTTGTGGTGGGCACTCACCTCCCTGAGAGTCATGGCGTGGAGGTCCTGCAGCCAGCCGTACCCGGTCTGGGCGCGCTCCATGTCGAACATGCCCGTGTTGACAATCTCCTTGACGTCGATCTTGCCGTAGCTGGACTCGAGCAGCTTCGCGCGGTGGTTGAGCTTGGTGATCAGGTCGATGATGCGGGATTTCGTGTCTTTATCGACCTGAAGTACACGGGGGAGGTTAGCTCTCTCAGTGGGCAAGCGTCACAGGGAAAAGGGGGGGTTTGTGGCATGGCGCACCATGTCGATCTTGTTGAGCACAATGACATCGGCGAACTCGATCTGATCCACCATAAGGTCCGACACGGTCCGCTCGTCCTCGGGTGTGACGTCGTCCCGCCTCGACGAGAGGAGTTCGTCCGTGTCAAAGTCATTGAAGATAGTGAAGGCGTCGATGACGGTGGCGGTGGTGTCCAATTTGGCGAACTTGTCCAGCCCACCGGCCTTTTTCCTACAAGCACGGCCATCCAACAGCTGATTAGCGCGCTCTCGGTGGACTCCATAGCCGGTGAGCAGAATGGAGTGGTTCCGTTCCGACTTACACTTTGTTCAGAACCTTCAGCATCTCCTCATCGAGCCCCTCGCAATCCTCGGCCAGGGCGCCCATCTGCTCGGCCAGCCGCCGGTCGAATGTCTCAGCCACCTGCTCGGGCTCGCTGATGCCGCTGCTCTCGATGATGATGTAGTCGAACTCCTGCAGCTCGGAGAGGCGCACCAGCTCCTCGAGGAGGTCGCCGCGGAGAGTGCAGCAGATGCAGCCGTTCTGCAGGGCGATGACTTTCTCTTCCGTCTTTGTCAGGCGGTGGATCTGCTTGATCAGCGATGCGTCGACGTTGATGCTGTCCCCGTAGCGTCAGTCAATACATTTACCCACGAGCTTATCCTGAGGAGAGGGGGCTTTTGGGGGGAGGTCGGAACTCACGCGCCGATGTCGTTGACGATGATGGCGATGCGGAGGCCGTGCTCGCTTCGCAGGATGTGCTGTAGCAGCGTCGTCTTGCCGCTGCCCTGTTCATCCGGGACCGCTTCAATACCGGTTCCCAAAGAGGAACTCTTGCGAGAATTACTACTAGTACTTACCAGGAAGCCCGAGAGGAGAGTGACTGGGAGTGCCTTCTCTGGCACCCGCGGCTTACGCGGCGCAGTCTTCTGCCTTTTGGATCTCGTCTGGGCCATTATGGCTGTGATGAAGCCGCGGGCATGGGTATGGGGAGGATGGAGGATGGACGATAGAGGGGGAGGAGAGAAGGGGAGGAAAAGGCACCGGGTGCCTTTCTTGCCCTTGAATAGTATTTATCCCCCCCCCCCCCCCAATTCATCATTGCTCCTACCTCGATCGTTCTCGTTGATAGGTCCATGTCCGTCCGCATAGCCGTTACAAACGTTGATGTATCCATCAAGGTGTTCTGAGACCTTGGGGTGCGGTCGTCAAGGTTCCCCGTCAGGGATCACTGCAGTAAGGGTGCTCCATGTTTTCAAACCACAGTCTTCTGATTGGATAGACGAGGTCCAAGGACTACCAACCTTGAGCCATCAAGGTGCCTTTTGGTGGGAAGACTCGAGCTTAACCCTGCAGTGCCTGAGAGATCAGAGGCGGGGATACCGTCATGGAGCGCGTCCCACCGAGTGTAGGAGGCCATTGATCGAGGGACACGGAGACATGGACGGGAAAGCGGGAGTACCTCGGCCAGCGGCTTGAGGACACTGCCTTCAAGCTCTTGGGCCAAGTCCTGATTCGTTCAGTCGTAGCCGTTGTGAGAGGTATCGGAAGCGAGGAATTTGCTCGACTGCTGGACTACTAGGAGGTAGGTACTGTAGCTATCCGAAAAATTGTTGTACTAAGTACTAGTAGGTGTCATATAGTAGCTAGAGTCTACGAGCTTCGAGATCTCTAAAAGGCTTCCTGGAGTTGCAAAAATGCCCAGCCATCATTGTGGTGACTGTGCGCCCCTCTTTCTACCATGGTGAATGAAGATTCGATGTAACCCAGACCATCTGCAGTAATCACGACGTGCCGTCGCACGATGCAGAGAAACCATTGGGGCGCAAGTCCAAGGAGCGGCCCGCGGGATAAGCCTGACGGTGGACTGGGCCGAACATGGGGCAGCCTAAGCAAGACTACATAGAGGAAGCATGTCCCGGCTCGTAATCTCTGATTACCCGGTAGGCAGCTTTCCCCTCGAGGCTTCGGTAAAGGTGCTCTAAACGCTGGTCGCCAATGCCATAGGCGGCAACAGCTTCAACAACCGGTGGGCAAACACGTACGACATCACGACGGCCAACATCGACACGCTCGCCTGCAAATGCCATCTCACGTACTTACGAGTTCGGCATCAGCGCGACCCCGGTTATCTCGGGCCGCACCGTCTGGTACCCCGACCAAGGAACGACTCGTTCGTCGCGCTGGACTACAACGACGTGCACGCCGCAATCGACGCTCAACGTAACGCAGCTGATCCACGAGTATGCCCCGCTCACGCTGAAGCAAGGCGCGCGACGTGTAATTGGTCTCCTCTTCTTCAGCACGCAGGCTTATGCCTTGGTGGTCGCCGTTAACAGGCAGACTGGTACCGTGCTGGTCGTGAATACTAACTTTCAAGGGGCCATCGCGGTGCAGGGGAGGTATGTGCTCTTTGGGACGGGGTACCGGAATGGCCAGGCATATCGGGGGAATGGCAGTTTGTGGGTGTTAGTAGAGGCTGGCCGCTTGCAGCATCATGGGGGATGAAACTGCTATCCGTGGTCAGAAATGGCCCTGAGCAGATTGGAGTTCACGACCGACTATACTGAGGCTCCAGCTCGCGACCTTGGATCTGCTGGACTTTCCAGGACGGAGTCTTTGCCCAGCTCATTGTAATAGATCCTTCGGGCATTCTCTTGGCTGGCCCAAGGCAGACCTCAGTGATGAACAAGCACGCTCTTATCAACCAACGTGGATAATGTCCCATCCAGTGAGCGCGGCAGTGAAAGCGTGGAGTAGATGAAGCCAGATTAACCCGGGGACGCTAGGGCGTCAACCATATGCCGAGCAACCGGCATTACGTCAATGCTGTCAACAGTGACACTCGGTAAAAGGCTTGACTTGGATATATTTAGTCATGTCACTGCCGAGGGAGTTGCCGGGCGCCGACTGCCACCATCCCATCCATATCTATGATACCCTAGCCTTGCCATGATATCACATCCGGCCAGGAACTGCCCTGGCGTGTCCATCCGGTAAAATATGTGAGATGGACGACTATCATCCTGACACTTCTGATAGGCCGGGGTAATGTTGTTAATCTTCGCCCCACCAATCTGCCCATCACTGTCCCGGCACTTGACTCCCCCAGGTTCCCAAACAAGGCAAGTCTTGGACCATGGGGCTGTCGTTGTGGTCTTCTTAAGGAACGACAGTGGCCCGGCGGGATCCGCTCGAATGCGGTTCCTCTTTGACCGTTTTCTTGTCGAAGACTCTATTTTTTGTCTGCCAATCTTGGCTGTTTAGGCCTCATCGACTTACACCAACGCGGCTAAACCTCAAGTTACTACTACTTGGTGCTATTTACTTTCGGCAACTTACACAATGCTGTGGCTGGGCCTCCTTTCCCTGCCGGCCGTCTCGGCACAGGGCTTCAGCACCACCATGCTGCGGTTCGGCTGCTCCCAGATCACCATCGACCGCATCGACCCGTATGTGCTCGGGGTACCGCGCAGATAAGAAAGAAAAAAAAGAAACAGCTAACCTCGCTCTAGTCTCGTCGAACCCGGCAACATCCCATCGGCACACGTGCACCAGATTGTCGGCGGCGTATGTCTCCTTCCTCCTCCGATCCACGCCCGTGGGGAATGTAAGCGCTCAGCCGGCTAACTAAGTAACGCTGAGACAGAACGCCTTCAACGCCTCGATGCCCGTGACCGACATCTCCAAGCTGGCCACGTGCACGTCCTGCACCTTCGACCAGGACCTGTCCAACTACTGGACCGCCAACGTCTACTTCCGCGCCCGCAACGGCACCTTCAAGCGCGTGCCGCAGATGGTCAACGACCAGATCGGCGCCGCCAACGGCGGCATCACCGTGTACTACACGGCTCCTGGGCCGAACACCGTCACTGCATTCAAGCCGGTACGATACGACCTTTGTCCCACTACTACTACTACTACTACCAACCCCCACGTTTCTTTCGCGCGGACCGGAGACGGGCTATTATTATCATACTGATTGAGTTATTATTATGCCAGGGCTTCCGCATGTTCTCTGGCGACGTCAACCGCCGGCAGTCCAGCGGGTTGGGCAGCAGGATCCAGAGCTGCTTCCGCTGCTACACGGGGCCCAACTTCGGCGGGAACGTCTACTCGCCGTGCATGGACCCGCAACGGGATACTGAGAGCTTCCCGAAGCAGCCGTGCCCGGGCGGCATCCGGTCTAGCGTCATCTTCCCGATGTGAGTTTTTTGTTGTTTATTGGTTTTTCAGGAATCAATACTTTAGGGAAAGGATGGAAGATGAGATGTCTCTGTCTGGATGATTGATGGCTAACGGGGGAGGGTAAATTGAACAGCTGCTGGGACGGCAAGAACCTAGACTCGCCCAACCATATCGACCACGTCGCGCATCCGGTCGATGGCCCCGCCACGTTCGCCGTGGTAAACGGGAAGTGCCCGTCGAGCCACCCTGTTAAGATCCCGCAGGTCCATTATGAGGTAAGTGGTACTACTACTACTTATACCCAACCCTAGCACACTGGACTAATACATGTAGATCGTCTGGGACACCACCAAGTTCAACAACAAAGCCGAATGGCCCGCGGATGGGTCGCAACCGTTCGTGCTGTCAACCGGAGACCCGTACGTTTTACTTTCCCTGTCCTTACCCGCCCAACACAGCTCCTAGTATCCGCGGGTCCCTCCATTGGTAGTACCTACGACGACTAGAACTAACATATATTTCCCACTTCGTTGTTTTTAGCACCGGCTACGGCCAACACGGCGACTACGTCTTCGGCTGGAAGGACGACTCGCTGCAGCACGCCATGGACAACCGCTGCTTCGGCCCGACCTGCAACGGCCTGACCACGCAGAACTTTGACCGCGCCAACAAGTGCACCGTCAAGCCTGTTGTGAGGGAGGATAATGATGGCTGTGAGCTTTCCTTTTCTTCTATCTCTGAAGAACTATCCCCGTTCCATCACTGAATTGATTCATTTAACTAACGAGTTTGGATGATACTACTACTCAGGGCTCTCGGAGTTGCCTGGTGGGCACATGATTCACTGATTACACACCATTTGAGGGGACAGTACTAGTATGTATGGGGAGGGGATGGGGCAATCTGAGGTCGGTGGGATGAGAGGGCGACCGTCGTACCAACCTGAAAACTACTAAGGTACCTAAGATAGGGCCGGGTTTCATTGTAGCGATTAACAATACAACAAACCCCATTTAATCCAAAACTTCATTTACCAAATCGCTTTAAATCTAGTATGTTCAAGTTGGTTCAATCTTAGTGCCTTGCATTGGGAGCGGTCGTAATCTAGCCAATCGGTGGTGGATTCGGAATTCAAGTCCATGCCTTAGGTATTGCCTTTGAGACTTTGAGTTTACAATAACTACCTATTGACCACGTCTTTCATGGCCACAGCACGGTTGTGTATTGCGCGTTGTGCCTACCAGGTATCAATGTGTAATCATTCTCACCACCTGCTCCCCTTCTGGCCTACCGTTTCTCTCGGTCGGCTAGGCTCCTATCAACCGATAGCCCCACTGCTGGGTTGACCAATTCTGCTGTCTGGTGATCTCGGTGTTCCCTGGTGGTTATATAATTCACTGATGATCTAGATGGGCACTTATGTGAGAGGGCATCGCAATGACAAGTACTAATAAACCGGATTACTGCTTTGCTACGGATGAGTCGCGAGTCCTTTCTTTTTGTAAAATAGAAATCCATATGCAGATCGACTCTTGTCGTGTCAGTAGCGTTCCAGATCTATTCTAGCCCGAATAGTGAATCCACGCGACGGACCCCCTTCCTGGCATTTCACTGCAAGCTCGCCAGAGCATCCGCAACAACCTCCTCCAGGGAATGCCGTTGCAAGCCCAGCTTGTCCGTGAGGATCTCGCCCTCGTGCTCGAGATCGCCCCCGTATCGGCCGGTCGCAAACCCGGCCTCGATCAGCCCAAACGTGCCGGTAGGGTCCCCCGCGGCCTCCATCGCCTGCAGCTCCTTGATCCTCTTCTCACTGTCCACCTCCTCAACCACAAACTCCTCCCCGGTCTGCCGCTTCAATTCCTCCAGCAGCTCCCTTTGCGTGGTCACAAACTCGTGCACCAGCACATTCCGATTCTTGGTCTCCTCCGGCAGGCGGGTCAGCGCCCGCACAATCGCCAGCGCCGTGTTCTCCTCCGTCGTCACACTAAACCTGCCCCGCCCGCCATCCCACAACACAAACTTCCTCGCCCCCTTCGTCTTGATATCCATGCCCAAGAAGTTGTTCTGCGCGGACCACTTCAGCCACATGCCGCAGCTGACACTCATCCACTCAATTTCGGCGGCGGCGGCCTTGTCGCGCAGGTACTGCTGCACGGCGCCCTTGTCGCGGAACACGCGGTTCAGCGCCTGCGCGTCGGCCCGCATGTTGTTGAGCCCGAACTCGGAGGGGACGTAGCGGCGCACGCCCGCGGCGATGGCCGCGTCGATGAAGCGGTGCTGCGTGGCCACCGACAGCGTGGTCACGCACGAGATGACCGCGTCCTGGCCGCGAAAGGCCTGCACGAGCGCGGGCGTCGGGTAGTCGTCCTCGATGGTGATCACGCGCACCTTCTCGTCGTCGGCCCCGCCTCCTCCCGTTCCCGTGGTGAGCGGGGTGGTGGAGGAGGACCGTTGCAGGATGGTGATGCTGAAGGTAGGCTCGGCGAGCAGGGCGCGGAGGACGTAGCGGCCTATGGAGCCCGTTGCGCCGATCAGGAGGATGTTTTTGAACGGGGTGGACATGGTGGGCGGTTGTTAAGAGACTCTTTCTGGGGTGTTGGTGAGAGTGGTGTGGTAACTGTGCGATGAAGGTAGTAGATGGGACTGAGCGACTGGGCTGTGTGGGAGGGTGATGGATATGAAGAACGTGAGCGGGACATCATGGGTCCTCTTATAGCTATAGCATATCGTAGGTCTTCCGATGTAGGATGTGTGCTGTTGCTCAATTACTAGTACTTCATTGCCTCTCGATTACTAACGTCGGCAATTGACTTCTTAGCACTGGTGGTACACCGAGCTCCTCCTGGATGCCAGTGTGTCGTTGTCCCTGTGTTTAGTGAACAATTGCCTGGTCGCCCACTTAAACCGGTGCAGGAAACCTGCCGATTGGGATTATTCGTTTCTCGTGCGTTTCTAGTGCGATGGTGCTGAGTCAACTGAGCGGATTAGTAACATCCATACATATGGGAAGGACCACTAGTACTTGCCTTTATTCCTAACATTGGTGCGCCGCGGTTGGCGAGCTCCATGGCACTAGATTTTATGATGACGGAACTTGGAAGCAACGGTGGACCATCCGCGGATGGCAAACCCACGAATTCATCACCAGTGGAATAGTCTCCAACTCCGTTGAATCTCATCCATTCGGCCACCAACACTATCTACCAGCTCCCTTGGCATCCCATCCCATCACCTTCCCCTCAAGCCAGCACCTTAGCAAGCGCCGTAACCTGGTCCCTCAGCGCCTGACTCTCCCGGGGCGCATTCTTAAGCACCTTTTGCAGCAGATGATCGACCTGCAGACCCGGTGCGGTGGGCGGGTTGCCCTGGGCCGTCTGGATGCGCGAGACCTGGAACTGGAGGAAGAACTTGGGCACCTTGATCGCCAGACTCCCGCCGACCGAGCGGATGCCGGCCTCAGTCGCCAGATACACGTCGAGCTGTTTCTGGAAGGCGGCCAGGTCGGCGCTCCTCAGGGGCGTGGGCGTCGCAAACTTGCTGAGGGCGAACTGCAGCGGCGTCTGCGAGGACGAGGCGAAGTTGACGGACGAGAAGGACACGCCACCGGATGAGACGTCGGGCACGCCGGAGAGGGTCTTCCTCGACGTGTCGCATGTGATGCGCGGCTGGATGGACGTGACGACGTCGGCGACCTCTTTTGGTAGGGCCTGGTTGCCGATCACGAAGCAGGCTGAACCGGCTTGTCTTTCGGAAATGAGGGGGGCTGAGGCGAGGTTAGTGCTTCATCGTTGGAAAAGCGAGGCGGTAATGGACGAGGTGAACGCATACCCGCAAAGACGAGGCCGGCGCCGAAAGTGAGAGCAGTGAAGACCTTCATCTTGTCCGCTATAGAGTATGACAGCTGAAATGGAAGAGACTCGAGGCGGTAATTTATACAGAAAGAAACGAAAGGCAAGCCGGTGCCGTGAGAAAACAAAAGTCTAAGACAAAAAAGAACGTTGCAGCCTCCCACAGTGAAGGTGAGATGATAAGAAGACCCGTTTATCGTCTCCAGACAACGCGCATTAGGTACTTATACTACTTTCGAAGCGCCAGCAGGGTTCTCGGCAAGCTTGCCGAGCTGCTAGTTCCCGTCTCAGAGTTGAGCCACGAGGCTGCCAGGACAGCAGCGGCAATACCACGCTGTCTGTCGGAGGCGGCCGTAAACAGACTGGGTTGTCGCATTTTGGCAAGCGATGAGGTTGTCAAACTGACAGGGGCTTGCTCGGGTTTCATCCCCCGAACCCCTTACCCCTTGTTGCCGCCCCATGGTTTTTGGCGCTCGTCTGAAGTGTCAACCACCTCTGGTAGACTGTAATTAAGTTTCTGTTAAAATGAGCATCGAATCATATCAAGAACACATTTGCGCTAGACGGCGCTTATAACCCGAACCCAGAGAGTGTGTGGAAGGATCGATGATCATGACCCGGGGTGAAGAGCGTCAGGATCCGTATGCGCTGTCGAAAGAGGAAGGGGCGCCCAAAAGCTGGAACCCGAGAGTTTGGGGCCGACATTTAGCACCTAGCCTTATTTCATAAACACAATCCACTGGATGATACTCTTGTATTACTCTTGGTTCAGGTGAACTACCAGCCACTACTGAGCCACCATTGAGTGTACCAAGTCCCATCTTGAGCGATCCAGTTACATGAAGTCTGTTCCCCACTCGAGTGACTGACTACCTAGGGAGTCAACGTCGCATAATCAGCCAGTTCCCCAGCCACAATGTCCCCCACCACAGTCTTGCAAGGGTTGGTGGACATTCAGGACGTCCGCACCATCAGCCACGGAAGTAGGTTCCCGACGGCTTGGACATGGCCCTGGGCACATAGCAGCTGATGAATGTCATGCCCGGTGTCGGACGGAAGTGTTGGACCGGATTGGCCGGGGCGGACTAGTTGGGGCGGCAGTAGTTGTTACAGTAATGTTGGCTAAAGAACGAGCTGATGCCCTCGGGGCCGAGATTGGTCACACCATATTCGCGGGTGTGTAAAGATCCGCTGCCTGCTCATTGTGGTCTCTTTCAATTTGAAGAAAGTCATCTGACTCTTTGAGAAGCACGCCAGCTCGCTCCATTGTTTGTTTTCCAACTCTTTCTGAAGGCTGGTAAGATGAACCGTCTTGTGCCTCGCTCTCCACACATGGTCGGTTCAATGTGTTCTTGTTGATTCTGAAAGTACTATTCACTTGTTGTTCCTCGCTGTGGTTCATGCAGCGTACCATTGCTGTCATGGGACCATGGCCTTGTGTTCTTTCCTGGCCCGGTATGGGCCCGTCAAAGCGCGACTTCATATTCAGTCAGCGACAGCGACATCCACACTGCAGGCAAGTTCTCCCAAAGCTCGAATCTGTTTTAACCCTGCTAAACGGTAGTGTTGGGCAACAGTCAACTACTACCTAAAGGTAGTGGTACTACTACGGAGTACTGAGCGATGCCATGCCTTATCTCACAACTCCAGCTCCTTGAACGCCTCCTCCAAACTCTGCAGACCCTGCACGCCCAGATCATCCTTGGTCAGGACCTTCCGTCCATCCGGATCCGTCCAGCTCCGATCCCGAACGTCATCCCAGTACTCGATCATGGCGCCCACCACATCCGCCACCACGGGCCACATCTCGCGATAGTCCTTCTTACCGACCTGCACGAACTGCGCCTTCGTCCCCTTCACTCGCGCCCAGAGCTGCAGCAGCCCATCCGCCGTATACGTCTCGGTCACGGCCAGCACAATGCCCCCGTTCGCCGTCTTCTCCGGCTGCTCCACAGCCGCCTTGACAAACGGACCTAGATTCCGCGTTACGTCCCCGATGGAGAGGAGCGGGGTGTCGGGCGCGAAGCTGCCGAACTGGATGAACTTGTTGGTCGACGGGATCCAGTTGGGCGTGTGGCACGGGCTGCGGTAGTTGGAGTGGTAGTTGCCCACCCAGAGGAAGGTGGTCTTGCGCAGGAGGTCAGGCTCGCGCTCGCGGATGTAGGCGTCGACGCGGTTCTTGCTCTCAAAGTGCGGCACGGGGTGCTTCCCCGCCGACAGGGCCTTCGCGTTGGGCAGCGTGCTCCAGATGTAGTGCTCCAGCGTCGGGAGCGTGGCGGCGGCGGCCCGCGCGACGTTGATGCCCTGCGCGGTCTCGGCGTCCATGGCTTTGTCTAGGGATCCGAGGGCGACGAAGGAGTCCAGGAAGTTGGTCACGGCGAAGACGATGTGGGAACCCGCAAAGGCGGTCTTGAGGCTGGCGAGGTCGTCGAGGTTGGCGGAGACCACCTCGGCGCCTTGGGCAGAGAGCGCTTGGGCCGCCGCGCTGGACGGGTTGCGGGTGATGGCGCGTACTCGGTAGGCCGGGTTGTTGATGAAGGCGGACACCACGCCCTGGCCCTGCTGGCCGGTGGCGCCAACGACGGTGACAATCTTGGCCATGGCTGGTTGCGAGGGAGTATGGTTGCGTCAAGAAAGGTTGGGTGCGAGAATCGTTGCAAAGGCACCGGTGGGATACCTCGTTATTGGAGATGGAGGTGCGAGATTGCTTGCAATAATAAGGCTCGAGATATAGTATGTATTGTACATGGCGATGGCGACGCCTTGGCACTTAGAAATCATTGCAGTAACTCCGACTCTATCTACTGTGGATCTCATGAGCTGACAAATCTTGTCCGCATCGCGAACAAGAAATCCGAATGATCCTTCGGTTTTATGAACTGAACTACAGATCATCATGCTTGGATTCAGGTGGAAGGTCCGAGTAGGTAAGATCCTCGGACAACCTGGCAGACTGACACGTCAAAAGTGCTGCTCCTACGGGGGATCCTTGCAAGGGTAATTGAAGACGAGAAATACCAAGCCTACTATGTCACGCAACTCAATGTACTGCTTGTGGTCCTTGCATGCGTACATTGTGACCATATCTTGTACGCTCTCGAGGCTTTGTCAGCTGTAGCTCCGAATAGAGTTGTGGACGTTTAAGGCATGATGGGGATGTATAGCTCATCTTCTAGCCTCTGCGCTCAGACTCAATCGCCTACAGGCCACACAGGTACCTTGAACGGAGATTATTACCAAGCAGGATCTCAACATGGTCGTCGCTGGACTCGCCCAGAGCTGACCATTTCTCACGGTGTCCCCTAATGGCGAGGGCCTGCGAAACGCTCTCGCAATGGAAGTCATGCGCTGTTTATATTCGGCGAAGGCAGGGCGTCTTTCTTCCCTTCACGTTCCCTTTAAATTCAGGCTTGTAAGCAACCATCTCTCACCCCCTTACCCCATTTACACCGCCCACGGCTTCTCCCTCCCCTTCTCCTCATAAAACTCGCCCACCCACTCGGCCATATTCTCCACCGCATCCAGCGCCAGTTGCTTGACACCGCCATTCACCTCCCAGTTCGGCCCGTACAGATCCGAGCAGTGCGTGCCGCCTTTGACCAGCCGCACGGGCAGCTGCTTGGTGCTCTTGACGGGCCCGCCGGGGCGGAACTTGCTCGACAGGGTCGCGTCGCGCCAGGGGTCCCACTCGCCGTTGGTGTGCATGGCGCGGGTGGTGTTGAGCGCGTTCCACCCGCCGGTCCAGCGGTTGACGTCCTGGGCGCGCTCGCCCTTGGCGATGCCGAAGTTGCCCTCGGGGAAGAGCAGCGGGCACTGCTTGCGGAAGTAGTTGGCGTTGACGAGGCGGGACACCAGCGTCGGTCGCCCCAGCGGCGCGCCGTCCTGCCACCACTCGAACGGCTCGTTGCACAGCATCCAGATCCACTGCCGGTTGATGTAGTTGCCCGGCGTCAGGTCCTTGTAGGCGACGTTGGAGGCGTTGAGGTTCTGGAAGCAGCCAACGTTGTACGTGCCGCTCCACTCGGCGTACCCCGATGACTCGCACACTGTTGGCGAGGTCAGTAAACTGGGAACCTGTTATTCTAGGGGGACATGGGACAACGCACTGCCTGGGATGATCTCCTCCTTCATGTACTTAGCGTAGCCGTCCAAGGCCCTGGTCAGGCCGACGCCCTTGGCACCGGGCACCTTGTTGGTCGAGTTGGGCCAGACGTTCTCGACGTAGTCGCAGAAGCGGTAGAACGGAGTGTAGCCTGTGTTCTTGACCGAGTAGAACTGGCCAGACTGCCACTGCCATGGCCCATACTCAAGCGCCCTGAAGACAGGTCAAACCGTCAGTCCGATCCCGGTCAAATACCGACCGAGCGAGACAAACTCACGAAGCAAAGTCCGCATCCTCCAGATCGCCCAGCAGGAACTTGTCCTTCAGCGCCTTCTTCTGCTTCGCCGTGCCAAACGTGAGCACAAAGTCAACGTAGTTGACCACGGCATTGACATCGGCACTGCAGTTCTTGGGCGTCGCCTCCTGCACGGGCGCAAAGTACTGCCAGAAATCGCCAATCGCCTCCACGACACCACTCGAGCTGTAATACGCCCAGAACGTGCCCGGCTCCAGCGCCGCAAGCCACCCGGCCAGCGCGCCGGAATACGACCCACCAATGAACACCCACGGCGCCTTGTCCGGGGCGCTGGCGCCGGACGTGTCGAAGGGCGGCACAAAGTTCTTGGCGAAGTAGGTGTGGTCCTTGAGCGAGTTCTCGAGCGTGAGGTGCGTCAGGTTGGCGACCGTCAGCTCCTGGTAAGGGGATGACTCGCCCCAGTAGCGGTGCTCCAGGATGACCACGGCGGCGCCCGTCCGGTTGGCCATCAGGCCCGACAGCCGCGCGTTGCCGAGCCAGGTGCGGTTGAAGCCCTCGCCGCTCTGCTCGCCGGGCGTGACCAGGTAGATGGGCGACCCGGGCCCGGCCCAGTACTGCGTGCCGTACCAGTAGCGCTGCTTGAAGGTGCCCAGAGACGGATTGGCGTGGTCAATCAGCTGGTCGAAGGTGCCCCAGCCGTTGACGGTTTCGGCGCGCTTCTGGAGGATCTCGGCGCTGGTGGTTTCGTCGTCGGGGCCGATGTCCATAGCGTTGCCGCGCATGAAAGCCGCGGTGGCATGGTTGGCGAGCAGCAGGCCCGCCGCGAGGACGCCTGTGAGGAACCTCATGGTGGCCGGTGGAGCGAGTCAGCCAGGGGAGTCGGTTCGCCCTGGGGAGAAGAATGAGGTTGAGAAAAAGAGAAAGAATGGTTTCGCCATTTGGGTCGCGCCGACGTTTATTAAACGTCTTGCATATGCCGTGATCGACTTTGGGTTCCCACTCGATTGTTGTGGACAGGGGCAAGCTTTGCGCAGGACGCAGATCGGAAGAGGAAGCTGGCTGTGACACTGCCTAGGGAGCCAATAAATGGCCCTTGAACCTCGCATAACTTGGGCCCTGCGCGATTGGGCCTGAGCCTGTGCAACGTCTGAAGGTAGGCGCATTGCATGCGCAGTTTGCCATTTATCCCGTCACCTTCCCGTTCCGTGCCACCGTGCCCGACGGGACGGAGACGTCCTCCGAGGAGTCCGATCAACGGTATCAACGGCTCCACCGACATCGCTGAGGTTGATCTGGATTCTGGCCCGTGCGTGGAGCGCTTATTGATTTGCGGATACTCCCGGGACCCGAACTTCCGCAACAAAACTCATCGCACCTTATTAGGTCTCAACCATGCATTAGGATACGCCCTGTGCCGTTCATTTCCTGCTCTTTTTTAGCGGGCGTTTGGCTGCTGCCTCGGGCGGTGTCGGAGGGCTGGCAGTGCTGCGTGGGAATGCGGTTCTCAGCCGGGAATAATGATTGTAATCATGCAATGCCCGTCCACGCAGCAATGATACGCTACTTACGCCTTCCTGGTTCGGATTAGATTAGCAACAGGCACCAAGCAGGAATCGGGAAGGATGCTTGGACTACACAGTAGCTATGGTTCGAAACTAGGTAGACCCGAGGTAGACCAGCCCGACCTAATCAGGCCTCAACTGTCGCATATGCGACTCACCAACAGTCAGAGCAGCGCTCCCAATAAGCCAAAACTAGCCGTCGTTTTATCTTGTTTTGCGTCGCCGGCGGCCGTCTTGCCTCGTGGCGGCTCCCGATCGGTTTGACTGTCTTGCAAACCGGCCGGGGTCTGGCTTTTCCGTGCCGGCAATGTACAGTACTTGTCCAAAAGTCTGGAGCACCCCGCACCAACCACCCTGCGCCACACGATTTTTGACATCATGACCAAGACACCTATCCTACAATAACGTTCCACCAGATGAATTTCTAGCAATCCAGATATATACAGTTTAAAGCCCTGGTTCTAGCCATCAATATTTTGTATACCAACCCCTAGCTTTCTTGACTGCAGCTAATCGCCGGGGTATTGAGTCGACCAGCCTGTCAATCTGAGCCTGGTCAATTGACCACCAATAACGCCGAAGATATCTAGTAAAGTTAGCAACATCTACGTGGTTCTTCTTGAGTAACCAGATATCTGGATATTCCTGCTTCATCCTCCGTTTCAATAGAGCCTATATATGCTCAATAGGGTTAAGATCTGGGCTATGAGCCGGCCAGTCTTTAAGGACCTCAATCATATGATTTAGGAGCCACTCGGTCGAGGATAACGATATATGGACCCGGGCGTTATCCTGCTGGAAATGCCTTGTACTATTGTAAACTGGAAGAAGGCCCTTTTCTAATGCCCACTGATAGCTCCAAGAGCTATATCCTCCTTTTTACAGTGGTTGATAGTTATGTTCCATGACTATAAGGTCAGTCCTCCCCCCTTTCTAGATTCCTGCCTAGATTATAATCGAGATAGTGCCTTTACCATGACTTTATATATTAACAAAGTTCTTATCCCATTTTTAAGAAGGGAACCGGAATACCCAAGCTGCTGGGCTACTTGAATTGTTCTGGCAAGACGATTCGTCGGTGAAGATAGACTAGAGGTTGGTCAGTAGATTCAAGGGTAAACTTCAGAGTCACTTACTCGCATTAGCACCTCGAGATTCTCTAACCAAAGACAAGCAAACTTATATCTGGCCATTGCTATAGCCTTTGTCAATGGAATTCTCTTTTGTGCACGCCACTTGCGCATTCGATGATGGCGGAGAACTCGGCGCACTGTTGATCGAGAGATCCGAGCATCAACTATATTAGTGAGCAGTTGCGTTGTAAGGCAGGGCTTCCGCTTTGCAAGTTGGATGATATACCGCTTCTCCCGACGCGTAAGAATCTCTGGCCGGCCAGTTCTAGGCTTGGATTCAAAGGTAGTAGAAGATTCGAAGCGTTGAAGTGATAGTTGGACTGCACGACGGCTGATGGAAAACGCGTTGGCAACAGCCGTCTGGCTAGCCCCCGCTGCAACGGCACCAGCAATGGCTGCACGTGCAGCTGGTGATAACTCCTGGCCAGGCTGACGGCCGACCGTCAATTTGGCACCAAGCTCGGCCAAATTGAACATGGTGGGCTGTATTTCTGTTGGTTGGAAGGTTGATGATGGGGGGTGTCGTGTCGCGATGCGCGTTTAATTAATGTGGGGTGCTCCAGACTTTTGGACACGTACTGTACATTCCCCTATCCCTGGCGCGCCCCAACCGAAAAGTCGATCTTATTGGGAGCGCTGCCAGGACCCAGGCTACATAACTATCGGGTCGGAAAAATCTGCATAGTACGGTAACCACTCAAGTAGAAAATGCCCGCTGGTAAAATATTAAGGCTACTGACCACATCCGGCTGCAACGAGCAATCGGGGTCATTGATTTTATTACCCGCGTAGCGGGCTCACAGCACTAGTTTTGCCAAGACAGGTGGTCGTTTTGACTTGGCTGGCCGGGCCTCGGCTTGGCTTGTTTTGAAATGTCTGGTCTTATTGGGAGCGCTGGGTCAAAGCCTCAGAGGCATGGCTCACCAACTGTTGGAGGTACGGCCTATGATGTATTTAAACTACCAACCTCTCACTCTGGGAATCATCGGTAGAAAAACTAGAAATCTCATCCTACTAAGAGACTCTACACGACAGTGAGATAATCCGCTACACGCTCGAGACGGTCTAAAGCGAATCGACCATGTCCGAACACAACACCGGTGCTAGCGCCGCGAAACGCCCGGAAGCTATTCCAGGTTCGACTAGGGGGGTGGTTCTCAGTCTCAACCTACTGGAAAATACGTCTCACTCGTACAGCAATGCCTGGCCCACGATCAATCGCTTCCGTCCCCCCCGCGCCCCAATACGGGCCTACCCTAGAGGCATCCTTGGAACTCCTGGACGTCATGGGCTACCAGGGCAAAGATAAAGTCGTTGAAACCTTGGCCTTCGTCGGTGCTGAGTTAAAGGAACGTTTCGAGGCAGCTGCGCGAACGAAGCACATCTCGAAAAAGAACTGGGTCACTTCGGAATATCGGGATAGGTTCCTACGCCTGAGAGGCCCGCTCGTCAACACGACCCTGGTGGGCCTCATGAAAACACCCCCAGGCTCGTCGTATGCGCTGACGACGGCCGCTATGCTCTTGTATGCCGTTGCTAAGGTGTATCGGTCCTCCGACATCGTCAAAACCTTCGGAACCGATGGAGGATCCAAGAAGTTCGAGACCAGACAACTGCGGGAGGGATTCGCCACGGTCCGTATTCCTGGTATCAAGGCCGATTCATTTCAGACAAGCCCCGGTTCCCGACATGCTCTGGTCTGGTACAACGGACTTGTGTTCGAGGTACAGATTTTGAATGGCACGTATGAGCCAGTGCCTCTCAACATCATTATGCGACAGCTCCTAGAGATCCAAAGCCAGTGCAGCAAGCAAACGAGCGACACCCCGACTGTGGCCACCTTGTCGTCGTACTTACCTCGGGCCGATTGGGCGGGCAGAAGGGCAAGTCTACTCAGGACGCACCCCGGAGAGATGAAGATCCTCGAGACCGCTATTACATCCATCGGAATCGAGAGACAGAGGCCGTCCAACTCCAAAGAGGCAGTCGCCCAGAGGCAAGGTTTCAGCACAGTCTACTCGGACCAGACACTCGGCTACTTGGTCTTCCCGAGTGGTTCCTACGTCTATCGCGGCGAACACGGTGCCCTCGACGGCGGGGCCGCACTGCGCATTGCCGAGGCGATTGGCCGTGTTATGGAGAGCATTCCCGAGCCCATCCGGTCTGCTGCATTCTCCAAGGCGGCGCCTGCATCCTCCAAGGCGGCGCCGCGGCCGCGCAGAATCAACCTTCCTCCGGTCACAGTCCATGTCGACGTCTCGAAAACTAGACCGTCGTTCTTGCAGGCATCGGAGACCGGTATAATCCAGAGAAGCGAGGACGATCTCCGAAAGCTAAAGCACCAGCGGCTATACGGTTTTGTATTACAGATGGCGCTTCAGGTGGCCTTGCAACATGTATCGCCTAACAGTTTCACCTCGCTGATCGAGGCGACATCGACTCGCGACTTTGCCTACGGTCGATGCGATCCCAACTGGCTTATCACGCACGAGTCCAAGAGGTTCTGCAGCACCCTTATAACAGGCGCTACCGATCGGGATAGCCAGCAACTCTTCGAAGCTGCCTACAAGAAGTATATGAGCTCCCTTCGCCGGACTCGGCAGTCTTTCGCTCTTGCCGCCAACATTGACCTGCTCCACTCGGCGGTTACGGAGCTAAAGGACAAGAGAGCGAAAAGTGTCTTGCTGCCTATCTTTCCGCCTCTCTGGGCCAGAGATGCCTATCTTCAAGGATATTCGTCGGACCAGCTGGTTAGTCTAGGTACGTTTCTCTTCGCCGACAACCAGGTTAAGGTGACTTATGTCGGACACCCGGGCGAGATTGTAATCTACATGGTGGGATCGGGCCGATTTGCAAAGAGTCTGAATACGCTCAAGAAGTCATTGGAACAGAACTACAATCGTGTAGCGAACATTGCGCTGAGCTACGCACGAAGCCAAGCGCAGTCTGGGTGAAGATTCGGATAACTTAACTAGGTAGTGGCAAATTCGGGTGGTGGTTCATAGATTGATTCAGATTGTTAGACTAGCTGGAAAAGAATGACGGGATGTGTTTCTCTATCCTCCTTCATAATATTGCTACCCCTAAATTGTCGACGATTTGCCAGCATCTGGGCTTATCCCCAAGCATCTTGCTCAGCGCACCAGTGATTGGGGAGAAGCATCCGAACCCAATTGGGCACCATTCTGCCATCTGCACCCAGCCTCATTGTGTAACATCTGCGCATTAGTCATCAATATTTCAAACAGCGCCTTACCTGCTAGATCCTAAGGTTCTTCAACGCTTCCCTCTTGAGCTTTGCAGAGTCTCTCAGTCTCCATTTGACGCCTTCCGGGATAGAAGACCCTTCAAAACCGAAAGCTTCATTTTCAGCCAACGATAGCCAAAGCTCACCCTGTCACATCGCCGTGATGGAAGGTATCAGATTACGCGCCCAGTTCATTTTGAACAATATTAAAAGTTTGATCCATTGTACGAGTCCGAGCAACGCTATGAGGCTATCGAGCTTAGGACCTTTCACGATAAGGCGACCACGAAGGCGTGTACGGAAGGGGGGCAGAAGGATCTTGCGACGCCAAACTTGCAGACCGTCAACAAGGAAGAGCTGTGCACTTGGCTGCTGTCAGAAGTCGGGCACGGCGAGGCCGGATCTCAATGTTTGCCGCAGGCATCCGCTACTACTAGTACTCTTCGACTGGTCCACATACGCCAGCAAGGACGTGGCCTTCTCATCTCGCCGTCGGCCCTCGATCGAATACTCGACGGCATGAAGGCAGACCCCGCAATCAGATACATGATATGCCGTGACTATGACGGCTTCCATGAGTGGCGCGGCGGGGGCTATCGGTTGACGAGGTTCTATGGGCTGGCGCTCTTTGCCCTGGTCTGGACGTTTGATCCAGTGAGCATGACGACCACTGCGCTATTTATCGATCGCGCGGGGGGATCACATCGTTTTGAAGAGTTCGTCGACGTCCTGCGGGGATACCAAAGCCACATGCACACACCGTCGCTCCTCTGTTTCGTGTCGTGCTATTTCCTGCTGGAGCTGTTCGATCGCGAGACTGTTGGCGAAAGGCTGCAGACGGTCCAGTACATCGAGATGCGGACGGGCTTTGCCCCGGACATGAACTCGTTTGCGGACCTCTCGTGGGGACGTCACCATCGTCTACATTGGGACATTGATCAACTATCCTGGTTGCTTCGAGAGGTCAACGACGTGACAATCAACATCAGCAACCACGTCCGGCACCAGGAGAGCTCACGAGTGCTTCTCGGGGTAATACTCAAGGAGCACGGGAACAGTGAGGATCACGGCATCTCAGGTCAGGCGTTGGAGAGCTACCAAAGAAGCCTCGCGAGTCTTGCAGAAGCTGTGCCACCGCTCGAACGGCACATGTCAACCTATCGAGTATATTCTCTACCTCAAGGTCAGAGCCGAGCGGCTTTCCACCGTTGTAAGCGATCTTTCCATCTCTCACCCTTCACCATAACCGGAACGATCGAGTCGACTAAGAGATGCTCCTAGCTGTTTGCGCTGCTTACCCACGAGGACGCCAGCTCGAGCATCGCGCTGGCGGCGGCTGCCAAGCACGATAGCTCGTCGATGAAGACGATCGCAGTGATGACCATGGCCTTCCTGCCCGCAACCTTCTTCGCCGCCCTCTTCGCCGTGCCATCGCTTCAGTGGGACCAGTCGACGGTCGTGCAGGATAACTTCTGGGTGTACTGGGCGTTTACTGCCCCCACAACCGTGCTGGTGTTCTTGATCTGGCTGCTGGCTACCAAGCGGCCTTGGTTATACGGTATGGTTGCTAGCTTTTCCGCGCGACTGGTTCAGACTCGGGGTCTTGATCCGAGCAGGCTTGGGGTGGGAGCTGGAGTGTGATCGCTTCGTGGGCCCTGGACTGTTAGGATTCAGGTCGGTTGTTGTGTGTAACCTCGATGTCCATTCCCACGAAGTCACGGGGCGGAGGGCGTTGCTCGCATAGGCTGGATGTAAGACCGCTGCACCCTCCTCACCCCTGGCATAAGCAGCCCTGAGCCCCCAGAACATCTCACCTCCACCATGAATCAAACCGAACTTTGGTAATTCCCAGGTTCATGACCGCGCTTTCCCCTCCGGAGGATAAACCACAATCCGATCCAGGTCCGCCCCCTTGACATCAAACCCATTCGACAATCCCCCCACCGTAATCGTATTATTCCGCCCCTTCCCAAGCTTCAGAAGCAGCGGCGTCGACATTATCACCCCCTTGTGCGTATCCCTCTGGTACAGCGTGTGCACGTTCTCCACGTCCCCATTGACCACAACACTCGCGATCCGGCGCAGCTGCCACGACCCGCCAATGCGGTCGGGCGTGCCGCCTGGCTGGTCGCCGAAGCCCATGTCGTCGGTATTCTGGTAGTAGAACGACACCCACTGCGGCGCGCCGGCACCCGGAACGCCCTCGAAGGTAACCGTGCTGTCGTTGCCGTAGATGCCCGCGGCGATCGTGCCGTAGCTGGCGAAGTTGGCCTCCTGCTTGAAGGCACCGCCGCTGGTGCGCGTACCTTTCGAGGCGGCGTAGTACGTCGTCCCGCGCACGGGGGCCCACTCCCCCGTTGTGACGTCCAGGTCGTACACGTCGTGCCATTCGAGTCGTAGCGTGCCCTGGCCGTCGTCGATGGTCATCGGCAGCCAGATGTACCGGCTCTCCCAGATCGAGTTGGAGTCCCACTGGTCGCCGAGGTAGAGGTAGGTTGTGCGCCTGGTGCCCTCGATGCGCAGCGCAAACCCGGACTGGGAGTTGAAGGTGCGCGTGTTGAGCGGCGCGACCATGAACGGCTGCGACCAGGGCCCCGCGAGGCTGTCGGCGCGGAAGGCGACCACGTTGTTGGGGCGGTAGCCCGTCTTGTGGCTCATCAGCGCGTAGTAGCTGCGGTCTGTCTGCACGATGGTCGGCGCCTCGAGGTCGAACTTGGGGAAGCGGTAGACGACGCGGTCGAGCGCCGAGATGTCGTCGTTGTAGGACGTGATGTACACGTCGCGGCCCTCGCGCCTGTCGCCGTTGGAGTACAGCGCGTAAGATTGGCCGGTCTTGCGGTCGGTGAACAGCCCGAAGTCCTGCGACCAGTTGCCGAGCGGGGCCGTGGCGCTCACGAACTCGTATGGCCCCGAGATGTTGGGCGATCGCGCGAAGCCTTGCAGGAGCAGGCCGTAGGAGGAGTTGTCCGCGTGCCACCACATCTATGTCCATAGTCAACACGAATGATTTGTGCCATGGAGTCATCGTTCCTCTCGACGTACGTGATACTCATTGCTGACTTTGCTGTACACCACCTTGGGCCGCTGGATGATGTGCTTCGGCGAGATGATCTCGTGCCCTTCGATCGGTGCTACGGAAGTCAGCAACCTGGACTCCTGAAGATCGTAGCCACTTGAAGTTCGCGACTGACCAAGAGCAAGCCCGTGGTACTGCCAGGTGGCAAGATCACTCGAGCTGTAAACCGAGACGCCTCCGCCCTCCGGATGGCTCTCCGTCTTGTACTCGCCGAACCACCAGAACTTGCCCGTGCTCTTGTCGGTGACGATGCCACCGGCGTGTGCGCTGATCAGATTGCCTTCCGTGTCATACCATCTTCCTCCGGGCACGATGTATCTCGTCTCCGACAGAGCAGCCAGCAGCAGGGTTGCGAGAAGCCTCAGTCCGCGCATGATTCCCGTATCCCACGCGAGTGTGCAATAGGTGATTTGATCGTGGAAAGAGATACGGTCGAAGACATCTCGCGTCGACCATATATGACGGCACACCGTACATTACCATAACCGCTTCCTGGCCTGGCAATAGCCGGACCAAAACTATGCCGCCAATGGGCAGGCCAGCTGATCTCTTGGCTTGTTACCACCGTCGCTGTGCGCGGCGGGCCATATCCCGAGCTCTGCCAAGCGCTTCGGCGTCTCGGTGTATCTCGAACCGGCGTCCGCAGTTGCTCCTGAAACCGCCGTGTATAAATCGACCATCTCTACCTAACCTAGATCGACGATCTCTAAGTCTCTCGGACTCTAATGCTCTCGCTCGCGGTACTAGTATGCAACTCGACTCAAAGTTGGGGAAGGGTTAGGGTCAGCTCCGGCGATCGAACAGAGCGCCTTGAGGCTTCAAGTTGCTCGGGACTGGTTAAAAGTCGGTGGTGATGATTAGGGCTAGAAAACAGAGGATGGGAGTAATGGCTAATTGACGACTGAGACCATGATGGATTGAGACGACTAATGCAACTTGTACAATACGTAGTAGGAAGGGTGATGGCCCAATGCCAAGTCTTCGGTCCATGCTCTGGATGGTGGATGTGCAGGGGTTAGGGGTAACTATGTATGTGGAAGTCTGGGCTGGCAATTGGAAATGCACATCCTTTGTATTTTATTGCATTTCTGGGCGATTCAGCCAGTCCTGGGCTCCCTGGCAAATTTGCATGCATATTCCAATCTTGCATCTGGTCTTTCGTCCGTTTTGTGATTTGAAAGGTTAGGTGTGCAGGTAACTAATCCGAAAAGAATTACGGCCGATTTACGAAGTAGAGAGACCCCACAAACCCGATTTGATACCAGTTCCACGCCCGAGTCGCACTTTCCACACCACAGCCACCGGGTTGCCTCTGAACATCCGATGATTACCTGGTACGCTACAGACAGTATGTAAGGTACTAGCACAGCACATGTGGATGGTGCGTGGAATTTTACCCCCACTACTTCGTCGCGGGACGGAATCAAGACCACGATCAAAAGCGGTGGGCCTCATCTTGATGCAGGCGTTTCAACTGACAGCTCCAGGCGAGACCGCGAGATGGTAGAGGCGAACCAGGGTCTCGTACGCGAAAGGATCGAGGGCTTGTCTCGGACTTTTCAGCAGAGTTGTTTACGTACCAGGTAGTGGGGTGTGGGTGAGGCCAGAGACCCGCCCGACCTTACAGGAATCAGATCTTTTGTGGGTGCTGCGGCGGCCTATGGCCGCAGGCAGTATAGATAGCCCGTGCAGGTAAGACGTAAGAACATAGATCACTGAATGTAGGTAATGACGCCTACCGTACGCAGGCCAATTCAAGATCTGACCTACTTTTTGCACACAACAACCCAAGACACTACAGGACGACCCCTGAAAGATTATTAGCGCGGAACCCACGACAGGGGTCTTCTTCTCAACCCTGAAAGAATACTCTTAAACCACGAAAAGAGCTGATTCAACGCAAAAGAAAGAGCGTCTTGCAATAATCCAAAAGGCTGAGTCTATCTGTACGTTTTTTCTGGAGAAAAATTGACCGTTTTGACGTTGAGATCGAGATTTTGGGGCTGACCCTGGTCTTTAAGTCAGAACGCTAACGAACTTTTAGGGGTCTGACTGTACACTAGGTGTTAGTTGCTGCAATGATTTGATTGGCTGCATTTAGTATTTGTGGGTCCTTGTAATGGTAACCGGAAGCTAGCAATTTCAGGTAAGTACAAGTACCTACCTACCTTACCTATCCGTATTGTCGACGTAGATTTACCAGGTACCTACGGTATGTAACCTGACCAGTCCTGCTAGGGTTATGTGGCATGTTTTCACTCTCCCAAGCCATCTCTCACACTCGCTCTCCGCCTTCTTTATCGAGGGACCCATTTGGCCAATACCAATAAACTTTTTAGTAAGAGCTGATTGTCGAGAAATAGAGATTTATGCTTAAAATTAAGTTTGTTTTATTCTGCATCGTTAAACATGAGATCGTAGAGTTGCGGCCTCGCGGCAGACCGTGGACACATCCACGGCCTGCAACGGCAGCCCGCCCGCACGGCCCAGCCTGCAACCCGGGGTGTCACGACTACTACAATACGTGGATTTGGCTGACCCATGCTAAAGACCTACGACGTTGTTTGGCCAGTACCTATCTCAGCAGCGGTGATGCGCAGAGAAGCATAAAGGGCGCAAGGAGGCGGCCGTGCAACACTTCCGTTTGGCAAGGCATTCTGTTCTTCTCCATCTAACTTCCTAGGTTCGACTTGTTCCGGCCAATCCTTAGTCCGTTTTCCTTAGCAGCAGTGCTGGCACTGCTAATCCTACCCGGTATCATCTCACTTTGATGAGCTCTAGTCTTTATTAATTCCTTGCAATCACCGTCTACATTTTAGCCAGGTCCGGCTAGGTACTTCGCACACTCCACAATGAGCAGCCAAGAACTCAGCGTTAGACAAATCAATGGCAGGGATAACGACCCTTATTACAAAATATGTTGGGATAGAAAGTTGGGCGAAGGAGGCTTCGGCGCTGTTTACGAGGCGAAAACGATAACAAGCACGTCGAAGGTATGCCATCCACTCGGGAGCAGCACTCGACGCAGGAACGTGAACACTGACATTTTTTGAAACTAAAGTCTAGGACGCTGGCCTGCAAGGTTGTCAAACTCTCTAACGACCAAAACAAGTTTATGTACCAGGCGCGTGAGCTCAAGATATGGTACAAGGCATGCCGGAACGCACAGCACGTGGCCCAATTCTACGATGCCGCGCTCAACCGACGGAACGGTGAAGCATACATCTACATGGAACTACTTGCGGGCGGCGACACTTGGAAGTTATCCGACAGAATTCAAGCCAAGCGCGATTTCATACATCCGACCCTCCTTTCCATTATAGCCTACCAGGCGGCCTATGGGCTCTATGAGATCCACGCAAAGGACATTCAGCATCGCGACCTCAAGCCAGACAACCTCCTCATGACTAGGAAGATCACAGCAGAGATGAACAGAGCGTTGTGGGACTTGGAGAAGGATGGGCGTCCCAAGGATAACTACCGCGGCGATTTAAAGGCGGTATGGAACATTCTGCACGAATCGCGGCTGGTAGTGCTGACCGACTTCGGCCTGGCGCGCGACCATACGGCCACAAGTCAGGGAAGGATGACCGTGGTCGGCGGCGGGTTCAGCTCCGCCTGGAATGCGCCCGAGGTTTTGGACGGCAACAACAAACAGACGCAGTACGCTGATGTCTTTAGCTTTGGTATGATTATCTACATCCTGGCTTCCTTCCACTTGCCCCAGCACGTTGCCGAGCGGGGAAACCTTCCCAAGGTATATTCTGCTTCTCTTCAGACAGTGTACCGATGGTGTACCGATGACACGCCTGAAAAGCGCCCGATCGCATGGACAGCCATGAATGAGCTGAAATCGATCAAGAATGCCGAACTGGCCAGGATCTCCAAATTATATAACAATTGGGAGCAGTCGTAAGCAAACCAACCCCGCTGCCCCTATGTACTGCCAGACACCTTTCATCACTGACATATAACCTACCCCATATCTAGTGAGAGACAGGCAGCGGCGGCGAGCAGCAGCACCAGGCCAGCAGCAGGATCGAGCAGGCCTGCCGGGAACGGGACTGCGTGTGTGCCGCAAGCTCAGGGAGGAGGCGGAGGAGGACGGACTGCCGAGCACCAGCGGCTGCTCGATGCGGAGTTGGCGCGGATGGCGTATGAGAGGGAGCAGTCGGAGCAGATGAAGCAGAAAGCGCGCCTGAAGGCCAGGCTAGAGGGTCACGGTGGCGGTGGCGGTGGCGGTGGCAGCGGCAGCGGTACTGGTGGCGTCACGCAGGCCATGGGCCAATTGCGCGTGGGAGACGGTGGCCGACACCGGGACGCGGGCCACACGCCCTACCATGGTGGTGGTACCTCGCAGCCACAAAGCCCGAGAACCGCACAGGGCGTGCGGTATGTTCGAGTGGAAGGGCAAGCACAGGGCGGATCTTCTCAGACCGGCGGTGGGTCTGCTCGGACCGGCGGTGGGTCTTCAAGTCGCGTAATTGTCACCGAGAGGACCGAGAGGAGGCGCTAGTCGTGCGTTGCCGCTTTGTTGCAGCAAAGGTTGTTATTCCTAAACCCCGAGACAGGGGGCAGGGGAAGGAGATGGATTGGCCGGGGATGGCTTTGTTGCTTAGCAGACTAGTGTCGGAGAGGGCTTGACGTGGGGAAGGAGGAAGGGACCGAAGGGTTGGAAGTAGGCATTGCCAAGGGTGTCTACTAGTAGTCTGTTTGCAGGGGATGCAAGACGATGCAGGAAGCTAACCATTGCATCGAGGAAGATAGCAAACGAACGATAAGTACCTAAGAAAAATATACAACTAAAACATAGAGCAGCTACGTTCTGAGAGTGATGCAAGTTGAACCAGGTAATGAAGGAAATACTACACACATCACGAATACCTGTAGATCCATATCCGCTAGATCCTGGTATGAGTACAAAGGTAGTAAACCGCAAACATAGGGACTCGCAAAGCCGGCTATCTCACGACCAGCTCACTCCTCGCCTGCCTCCCCTCCTCCATCTTGCGTAGTCTCACCATCCTGACGCTCGACCTCCAGTTGCCTCTCCATCTCAGCCGTCTCACTAGCAATCCAGTGCCTCATACTCTTATACTCCTCATGCCCCCCACCTTCCCAGTACGCGAAGTGTATGACCCTATACTCGCCCTCCCCAACCTCTTCCACCTCCCCCCCGCCCAGAGACTCCCTCCTGGCAGCAAGCCTGCGCCACGTTCCCGGCGGACAAACGACATGTTCAAACTCGTCGTTCTCCACCGTCCCATACCCAACCCACACCGGCCCGGCATCATCATCATCATCCGCCCCTTGCTGCGCGGTGCCCGAACCAAGCCCAATCTCGTAGACCGTCGCCACCCCGCCGGCAGCCGTAACCACCCTCTTGGGCGCGGGAAACACACCGAAGTACGTCTCGTACTCCCCCGCACTGGGCGCAGCACACAGCTTGTCGACGCCCGGGAACCCGCCCCCCAGGAAGTGCCACGCGCCCTTGAACCCGTTCGCGACCAGCGCCATCTCCCGCATGTCGGGCGGCAGCGGGCCCCCCGGGAGGGCCTGCTCGACCTCGGCTAGCGCCTCGGGCGTGAGCGGCGGGAGCAGGATGTCGGACGGCCTTTGGGGCGGGTCGTCTGTTTGTGCGTAGTCGTCGCTGTGGACATGGAAGGCGGCTTCGGAGAAGCGGCGGAGCAGCTCGGGCCAGGGGACTCCGTGGAGCGGGTCTTGTTGGCCGTGCTGTTTGCGGTGGGCGAGGGCGGAGGTGAGGGTGGCGATTGTAGCCGAGGCGGCGGGTTCGGAGATGAGTGGCTCACTACTAGTGGGTTTATCAACGTCGCCACCGCCAAAGTAGACTTCATACAGCGCCGGGATCGGCAGCAGATCCTGCGGACACCACTCCCCGACCGTGCAGGCCAGTGCAAAGATGTCCCTCGCCTTCTGGCGCCTGCCCAGCCCGACCGCGAGCGCGAAGTATACCTTCATGGGGAAGATGTGGCAGTGCGGCAGGCTGTCGCCCCGCTTGGGCAGCTGCGTGAAGAGGCGGTCGACGGCCTCGAAGGCCTCGCACACTGAATCCCGGTCTGGGACGACCTGGCCGTCTGGCACGCGGCAGAGGAGGCGCGCGCAGATGGCGTGCGTCCACGGGTCCTGGGACGTCTTCCATTGGTGGCTGTCGTAGGCGTCGTTGATTTCCTGCCGGTGCCCGTAGTCGGTGCGGGGGATCCAATGCGTTTCGGTCCACTTGTCGAGCTGGAAGAAGGCCGGGTTTTGGATGTCGTACTCCGGCGGATTGGCCGAGTCTTCGGTAGACGCTGCGACATCCGGGGGAATGTTTCCCGGCTTGGCCGAAGGGCAGTGCTTCCAGAGCAGGCTCAGAATCTGTTTGTCTTGTGGTCCTGCGTGTGGTGCGAGGCCAGGCTGGACATCAAAGTAGGCCGCCAGCAGTGTCTTGGCTGGATCATGCAGCCCGCTGAAGGTGCATAGGAGATACAGCTGAAATATCTCGTGCCAGACGTTTTCCTGGAGAGAGAGAGGGGTGCCCGTCAGAATCTTGTCGCGGAGCTGCAATTTCATCTGCGACGTGTTACGGCGCCACTCGAGGAGCGAGTGGTAGGACATGTTGCGACGGTGTCAGCGGTAATTGGATCTGATGCTTATACGGTTGTCAGAGAAGTTAGGAGTCAGGACTTGGCACACATCGCAATTGTCTGCAGGGAAATGGAATTTGCGCAGGCGTGACAAGATATATATATTCGCGTCGATGCCATGTTAGCGAATGCCAACGCAACAGGCAACCTAGGTGTCGTCTGCCTGAGAATGCGAGGCTGGAGCCTGTTCTCCTCGACGAATATGCAGGAGACGGAGATATCATGGTGGGTGCCTGGAACACGCACCCGGTACGGACCGTACGTAAGTTACGGACCGCAACCCCGGTCCACGGCCGGGATCCACAATTCAGCCCGTTCCCATCATCGCGGTTCATCGGGATCTACGGAGTACGGATACCAACTATCGATTGTTCCTGCTGATCATATCCCTTGTCGATCTAGCTTGGGTTGACTAACAATGGAATAACGAATGGCATACAAGATGAGGCTGGATTTGTCTCACAGTTCAGCTCCACGACATCCGCATCCAGTTCGGGTAATATTCTCTGGCCGTCGGATGGGGCCGGCCTCAAGAATTGCTCGTATATATAGCAGTGAAGCCAGGTCTCCCGAGCTGATCGAACAACTGTTCGGGGCCTATGCATGTTTGATTTTGTAGTAGTGATACTTGCAATGCGTCTCCCATCATCTACCCTCGCGGTCATTCCAACCTTGACCCTTTTTGAAACGTGTGCCGCAGTCTCCAACGCCAATGGCTTCCCGGCCGAGGACATCATCGACCGCGATGTCGTAATCCTCGGCGGCGGCGCGACAGGAACGTACGCCGCCGTGCAGCTCCGCCAGCAGGGCCACAGCGTCGCCTTGGTCGAGCAGAAAAGCCGGCTAGGGGGCCACGCCGAGACCGTCTACCTGCCGAACGGCGGATACGTCAACTATGGCGTGGAGGGATACTTCAACAACGAGATCACGAAGGACTACTTCGCCCAGCTCAACATCGATTACGAACCGCTGCTTCCTGCCGCCGTCCTCAGTGAGTATGTCGACTTCCGCACCGGCAAGCGCGTCCTGCCGGGCAACGACATCGTAACTACCGCCATCGCGGCCGCACTGTACCGCGTTGCAATCGAGCAGTTCGACTACCTGGCCACGGGCGCATACTACCTACCCGACGAGGTCCCCGAGGTCCTCCTGCGGCCGTTCCGCGAATTCGTCGAGTCCCACGGCCTCCACCGCGCAGTGGACCTGATCTTTACCTTCGCCAATAACGTCGGCAACATGCTCGACACGCCGCTGCTGTACGTGATCATGAACTTCGGCATCCCCCAGGTGGACGCCCTGCTCAAGGGCGGCTACATCCGGCCGAAGAACGGCACCGACGCGCTCTTCAACGCGGCGGCGACCTACATCGACGAAACGACCAACATCTTCTACAACTCCACCGCCATCCACACCCTTCGTACCAACGACGGCACGGGCGTGCAGGTCACCATCCAGAACAGCCAGACCAACTCGCGCACGCTCATCCGCGCCAAGAAACTGCTCGTCGCCTTCCCGCCCACGCTGGACAAGCTCGCCGGCTTCGACCTCCGCGAGGACGAGACGGCGCTCTTCGCCAAGTGGACGCACCGCAACTACTACGCGGCCGCCGTGCGCGCGCCCTCCCTGCCCAGCGCGGGCTTCAACATCCTCAACACCAACCCGGCCAACCAGCCCGGCAGCCTGCCCACCACGCCCTTCCAGTGGGCGCTCGAGTACTCGGGCGTGCCGGGGTACTTCATGAGCAAGATCGTGGGCGAGGCGAATTTCACGGAGGAGGCGGCGAGGCGGATGGTGCTGGACGAGATCAGGCGGATGAGCGATGCGGGCACGTTCCGGATGAAGGACGGCGAGGAGGAGCCGGAGCTGGTGGCGTTTGCGTCGCACTCGCCCGAGACGCTGATGGTGCACGTCGACGAGATCCGCGCCGGGTTCTATGACAGGTTGTATGCCCTCCAGGGGCGGTATAGTACGTACTACACGGGGTACACGTTCTGCACGGACTACTCGACCGTCTTGTGGAACTATACGGCCGCGGTGGTGCAGATGATGGGGTTGTGATGGGTCGAGAGTGGCCCGGTGTTGGATAGTAGTAGTAATAGTAGAATTACTAGTAATATCTTAGGCACGTCGCCGGTGTAAGAGAACTTTCTGTAGCATCACCGAGTCACCGACACAAGCGTTAGGGTTCATGTCTTCGTTTCTCAACAAGCCATGGGCGCTAGCTCCCACAACAGGAGTTTAGCTAGGGCAACACGGGTCGGTCGGGATGGCAAGCACATGGCGCTCATCCGGTGTTTGGCGCGTGGATCCTGTCCCTTCCCTGTTTTCGAGGTACACGCGGTATTTTGCGAGACGCTGAAACTGTGCAACCGTGATAAGCGTGCAGGAACGGAACGCAACGACCTTGCGCGACCGATCCTCTATGGCCACTGCTCGTACCGGAAGCCTGATACGCGTGAATCTAGTTCAGCTCGTCCGAGCGACGCCCCTCCGGAGCCCCGTACCTCCCTTCAAAATTTGCGATCATCAAAACTCCAGTCCTTCCGAGGGGAGCCTGGTTGAAGGTGTCGAAGATATTCCATCTGCACATTCCGCCTTCCGCAAGGTATTGCGCACCAATGCCAACTTGAACGCGTCTGTCCCTTTCACATTGGCCTTAATGGAGCTCGCCTCACGAGAAGAATGCGGCTTTAGGGGTAACCCAGATCTATATGGACTCGGCATTCGGCTCGGCATCTACATGCAATGGATTTCTGCCATCATCATCACGGTCTTTCGACTCAAGGGGCTCAAATCTCTGTCACAGTCCTACACGATGTTTGTCTTCGCGGTCTTTCTGGCTGCTGTCATTCTCACCGCCGGATCTCAGCCCACATACGTCGCGGAGATTTTGGTGCTCACATATATCATATTTGGCGGCACCTATGTTGTCGCGGGATCCCGTGACGACATAGTACAATCCCATCCGCCAGATGCAACAAGACGGGGTGCCGCAGGTCTTAAGAAAGACATTCAACTTGTGCCTGTTCACCGCCGCCGCCATCTACTGCGCCTGGCTCTGGCTTCGGGGCATGTACGGCAGCAATTTCAAGGCAACACCATGCGGAACGCATGGATTCCTATTCGCCAGGGTGTCGCTTGATAATCCAAAGGTCACGCAGTTCTTCGCTGCCCTAGCAATCATGGGCGCCATCGCCTGGGGTACCACACTAGCAAGCTTTGTTTGGACGCTGAGTCGTCTAGCATCCCGGTCGCGAAACCGAGGCCGGGTGCATCGCGGGTCAAGTCTGCCTGACAGTACAGATCCGGATGCAGAAGGTGCTGAAGAGCCTTGGTACTTATTCCCTGAGAAGCCCCCATCAGCATTACTTGCTAAGTGTGTCTAATCAAACCAGGAATGGTGTGTCTATCAGGATTCGGAAGGGCGCTCAGTCTGTGCTTCCAGCTTTCAAGGCATTCATGCTCGTCTACTCAATCCTAGGTATCGAGCTTACGCTGTACTGGAACGGCACGACGGATGTGTACAACATTGCTACGACTGGCCAGCTGATCCCTTTTACAATTGGTATTTGTGGGCTGTTGAAGATTCTACTCGCTCTACTCCTCGAGGTGAGCCCGCTCTCCCGACCGGGACGCTGTTGCTTCGCAGTATGCTGAACAGCCGCAGAGGGTTTCCAGTGACACCCCGACTACTACTCGATCTGACGCTGATTCGGGCTCCAAGCAACTTGAGGAACAAGTGGTAGAGTTGGCACCCCTAACGTCCATTGGTGAATCCAAGGATTGAGGGTCCAAGCCTCGAGGGATACGTCCTATAACGCGCTGCTATGGTCTTGGGGACTTGCACCAGGAAATGTGATCATCACGACAGGGAATGGATAGACCGCCAGGAGATTGTATTCTGTTCCGTTCAACTTCACACGTTGCTACCTATAGCACACCTCGACTTTAGTTAGGGATGAGAGCAAACGGGGTTGACGCCGCTCCTGTAAGGCAGAGTCAACCATTCAGTTGCCTTTGCTTTCCTGCCTAGATAAGGTACCTACCTAGGTAGCTACTAGAGGAGCATCCCACTTGACAAATAAATGGAGCTTAGAAATCACCGCAAAGCTAACGTCTCATTCAATATAACATACCGTGCCTCGGGCTCCAAACCCACTTTACCCGCCATAACCATGCTTAGTATCTAGGAACTATCGTATACTGTCATGAACTAACCTGCAGAGGCCGGTGGGGCCCGACCTGCATGGTCGACGGGCGGCGCCCGTGTCCAATCATTACAAGCCAGAAAGGACCAATGAGGATTGGGGAGATTGGGAACAATGCCAAGAACGATTGTTCCTAAGGAACAACGCCAAGGAACGTTGTTCTAGATGGAACAACGAGCACAACAATTGTTCCAAATGTTCTAGACATCTAGGTATAGTGTCACGGCAGGTTGCTCCTCGGTGTGGCCGAGTGGAGCACGCGCTGCGGCGCGCCTGCGTGAACGCGTATATGAACCACAGAGTCGCAAGGTCGGGGGACTTGCGATGTCGGCATCCTTTTGGAAGGTGCGAGTTAGCCGAGTGGTTCAGGTAGCTCAATCCGTCACGATACCTAGGGGAGGAAGCTATATATAGTCCTACTATTCTATCGCTCATTCAGATAGCTAGCTTCCTCAGTGAGCAATAACAATCAGTAGCCTCACCTACTGTGCAGACATTGCGATTTGCATTGTTGTGAACCCTTTGGCTTCACCGAGACCTATAGTCCGATCAGCAGTACCTTCGACCGGCGAACCCTTTCAGAGGCAGGACTGCCTGTGGTTTCGTCACATTTATATTATACGTTTTAACTCGAACTATTACATCGTAGTTCAATATCAAAGTAGAAATATTATTACTACCTTTTATTATAATAAAGGGGATCCTAAATTAATCGTATCTATTACCAGGTAGTAGCTAAGCTAGTTGCTAGCCAGGAAAGCTTATTATACGCGAGTATAAGGTACGAGTACTTCTGGTATGGTATATTAGCCGGTAGCGAGTAATACCAAGAAAACTTAGAGAACCCGGGGAAATATGGGGATGGCGGCTTGTGCTGAAGGTGACTGTTATAGAGAGTTTTGGAGAGGTTGTATAAGGGATTCAGTTTTAAATGCTCGCATTGGTGCCTTGATGTCATGAACTAACCTGCAGAGGCCGGTGGGGGGCCGACCTGCATGGTCAACGGGCGGCGCCCGTACCCAATCATTACGAGTCAGAAAGAACCAATGAGGATTGGGGAAATCAGGAACAATGCCAAGAACGATTGTTCCTGGGGAACAACGCCAAGGAACGTTGTTCCAGATAGAACAATGAGAACAACAATTGTTCCAAATGTTCCAAGGATCTAGGTACGGGATACCTAGGGGAGGAAGCTATATATAGTTCTACCATTCTGCCACTCATTCAGAATAGCTAGCTTCCTCAGTGAGCAATTACAAGCAATAGCCCACACCTATTGTGCAGACATTGCGGCAAGCATTGTTGTGAACCTTTTGGCTTCACCGAGACCTACAGTCCGACCAGCAGTTACCTTCGACCGGCGAACCCTTTCAGAGGCAGGACTGCCTGTGGTTTCGTCACACTTGACCCTAGCCTATTTCGGAAATTATTACCACTGGTCCCTCGCCGCCCACAACCCCTCTACCGACGAGTGGCATCTCTTTAAAGTCGTCTAGCACGGCGAGAATGGTCCCTTCAGACCTGAATACAGACATGTCAACCTGTCACGGTCGGTATGGGTGTCACCCCAGGCGGGGGTCGAACCCACGACCTCCCTGATTGACGGCTGTTGTGGAGCACCGGTCACATGACCCACAAATCAGGAATATCTTCTTGTAATGTTCTGAGCCACCGACTCAGAACTTCTCTTTCCTTTCCTCAACCTTAGATTCACGAAATAGAATGACAACAACAGCCGGCTTGACCCTGTTCAATTGCATCTAGTCGTCACACAACCCCACCGCTTCTGACAGATGCCATCTCCCTCTGACCTTTCTGTGTCAGATGCATTCGGGCTGGCTGGGCATACTTGTGGAACGGATTCGCGGCATCCAGGTTCCGGGCGAGGACCGGGAATGGAACTGTCAGGACTATGTGATGGAGATATGGAACGTTATGCAGCAATCGGGCATGATCAGTTATAAAACATGGGAAGAAGGCAGAGGCAAGTTGATGCCATACTTCGGACAGGACTGGGGTGGCGGCGAATTGGAAGACATGGAGGTGGATGAAGAGGAGGAAGACGAAGAGGCGGGCGAGAGGAGGATTTTGTCGGAAGAGTTCGCTTACGACTCGAGTGAGTGATTGCCGTCCCTCACAGCGATAGGAGAAGGAGTGAGTTTACGGGCAAGACTTGTCCCTCTCCTTCCCTTTTTTTCTATTTTATTTTATTTTATTTCTCTTTCGCCCCCCAGGCCAGCCAGCCTACCTGCCCGCTGATCCCCCAGACGCGGTGCCCTCAGCTGTTCTTCCCTTTTTTTGGAAACTCTCCTTCACCGTTACGCTTTGTTTTTGTTGGCAGCTTCAGGTTGTTCCTTTTCTAGGTACTACTTATTCTGCCTTGTCAACACAGGTTTGTCCGTCGCAATGAAATAGTCAAGAAATGATCTTCGTTTTCCTGAAGATTGAATACATGCAATAACAAAGATCCCCATCTAGCTGTTCTCCAGATTGCATCCCATATCCTGTCTATCAGCCACTGCACTGGGAACTGCCGTGGCGACAAGGACTCCGGCAGCAACAGATACCAGTCATCCCCATCCCTAGGGGTTAGGTTGTTGGTCATTTTGACGCATTCCCAGTACTTGGGATAGAAGCCACTCGACTCCCAGTCAATGATAGAAACGACGGTCCAAGAGCCTCCCTCATCCTGGCGCACCAAGATGTTTACCGGTCGGATGTCTCCGTGGGTGAAGACAATTTTTGCCGGGGATGCGGGCATCAGAGATCGCAGGAATCGAGTTTACATGTGTGAGGCCGTTTTGGAGCCAGTGAAGATGAAATCTTCAAATTGACTGACATCCAGGATCGGCTTGGGACTGATGCGTACACCCCGTCTTCCATCTTTGCAGCCTTGGCCGCTTACCCCACCAAGCGGTGTGTTTGGTGGAAATGGAAGGGATCGGAGGTCGATGAGGAGCTTGTCAAGCTGGGTGCTGACGGACCGTTTCTGGACATCATCCAGTTGGGGCCACACTTTCTCCTAGTCGAGACCCGAGACGAAGGAGGTGAACAGCAGACCATACCGCCCGATGCGGATCACGCCATGCAAGCGTGGCACTGGAAAGCGCGGCAAGTGTTCCTGCAGGCACGGCAGTAATGCATTGAGCATTCCCACCTGCTTCCTTGAACGACTTGAGCTGCTGGGGATATGAAGAGGACAGAAGGTCGCCAAGGTTGGCCTCCGGATCCTTCAACAGCGCTGTTTCCAGACCGCGCAGCACCTTGATATTGTATCTGGCCGCAACCGTCTTGCGATTCACCTTTACCACTCGATTGCTGGACGTCTGGCCGGCTGGCGCTGAACTCTTGGCTCCGTCCATGTCAGCCTGCAACCGTGGACCTAAAACCTGCGCACCGAAGTGGTTTGTCGGAAACACTTAGGTTGGGTGATCGTGGTTCCTTCAAAAGCAAAAAAGAGAGAAAAAACGAAGGGCCAGCTCTGAACCAGCGAGGATAGTCGGATCTGAGAGTTTTCCCTGGGAGTATTGTCATGACCCGGGAGAGAGAATGAAGGATGGCCGATGGATATGCCAGCGCGCAGGCCACGGCAGGCAGACACGCGTTTGGTGCGCGAACCCGGGATGTGAGCCGCAATCGCTGATTGGTTGTCTCTCCCTCTCCGTCTCCTGCTGCTTCCCTCCCCGGGACTAACTTCAATGTACGGATTACAGTCTACCTACCCGCTCCCACCTATCTCGCCACCCTGCTCTAGCTCCGAGAGATACTCCTCCACTTTGTCTGCATCCAACCCGAAGGCAAGCCGCACCATCTCACGCAGGTGGCCCCTATCAGCCTGCTGTAAACGACCTAGGCTAGTGAAGCAAGCATATATCCTTAATGCTGAACTATTCAAAGTGTCTGCAAAGGACCCTTCAAGAGCTCGGCCTTCCTCCTTAAGTTTTCTCTCCGCCTCTTGGAACTTCTGGCGGTAGATTCGTCGAGAAACGTCTTGCCGTAACACATTCCTATACGCGAGATGGCTAGGATTTCTGAGAATGTCCTCGGTGTCTGGTCCTAGTAAAGGAAACGGCATAGCGTAGCGGTTAACCTGCCACGGAGCAGTCTGCGCGAACTCCCAGTCGATAATGGCAACAAAATTGAAGTTATCATCGACGATGATGTTCTGAGTGCCGAGATCCATATGGGTGAGGGGGAATTGCTCAACGGTGTCGATGTCTCCGAACAGAGTAGTCTTGTCCAAAATGTCGCAGGAGACCAGGGCACCCAGCCTGATGGATGGATCCAGCTTGCCGGCCGCGGCGTTCGCAACAGCAGTGAAGTACTCAACTGCTCTAGAGAATGCTCCGGCATCACTAAGCTCTGCGGCGGAAGAAGCAGCTAAACTGCATATAACTGGTTCTCCCGACGGGGAAATAGAGCAGACAGAGCCTATTTGAGGATAAGCAAGAATAGCTAGTTCCGCTTGAACCCATGTCCACTGCGTCATGATGTGTTCTTGCGTTGCAACCTGACCCAAGTCAGTGAATTTCCATTCAAGATGCGCTGTGGCGGAACAACACAAAGCAGGAGATGTGATAGAAGTGAGATCGATTCCGGACATAGCATGACTTACTGGCAAATTACGAATAATTACTGCACTTTTGCCTTGAGAATCAATGGAGTTCTGTAACTCAGCTTTGCTGTCTCTGACGGAATATGACACCTAGCCTTGCTGGAGATTTGCCTAACATTGATTGAAACCACTTACGAACACCCCAATTTACTGTACTGTGTGCATGAATTGTACGGTGTGGAATTTCTAAGTCCCTGAGCTACTAATAGTTAACAGGGAGGGGAAATGTATGTACAACCTACTGGCAGCACTAACCCTAACCTCCGAGCGGGCCCGGCTTTTCATGATGCTAGGCCACGGCGTCAGACGGGACGCGTCACTGCGAGGGAGGTATGCGGTGAGTTGGACATGCCTTTGAGGCCGAGACACCTCGGGTTGCTGCGTATTACGGAAAGCCTAAATGGATTCTCTCTTCAGTTTGCGAAGACACAAACTGAACGCAACCAGCTCAACCAACAATTGCGCGGCCTACTTTACCCAAGTTTATCTACCTTAGGTATTTAGTACGACCAACTTGCGATCCTCACCGCCATCATGACTTTTGTCGACACCATCACCTCTGTATTCGGCAATCTCGCACCCTACCACTTGCTGTTCTTCTCCACCCTCCTGGGCACCGAGCTGTACCAAACCTTCGTCAACACCAAGATCTGCTACCTTGCCCTCCCGCGGCCGACATTCACGACCCTCCAGAAGCGGCTCTTCCCTATCTACTTCCGCGGCCAGACAATCTTGCTTCTTCTGACGGCCGCAACCCTTCCTCCGCGCGGTCTGTTCTCACTAGTCAAGCACAAAGCCGACTGGATCCCGTTCACCCTGGCGGGAGTGACGGCCGTGCTTAATCTTGTGGTGTACGGGCCGGGGACGCAGAAAGCGATGGTGGATTGCATTCATCAAGGTACTTCCATTCTCCATTCGTCTTCTCAACAACAAGTATGGAATGGGGGGCAACGGGAACATGCAATAGTACTGACGCACACCGTTCGCGACAGAGACTCGAGATGCAAAGCTCAGGCTCAATGGCCACTTAGGCGAGGACACGCCGTCTCCCGAGATGCAGCGTCTCAGAAAGGCCTTCTCCAGAAACCATACCATGTCCATACATCTGAACTTGATATCCATTGTGGCAATGGTGTTTTATGGCTGGAGGTTTGCTTCTCGGTTGGCTGTTGTGTCTGAGTAGAAGCAGCCCAGCTGCTGAGGTGCTTGAGTTATCCGCTAGTGTGGTGAAACACGATGGATTTCGGAAGTCCGATGTTTTTTTCTGCTGAGCACTACTAGTACAGAAGTAAGGTTGGTAGATCAGATCAAGATTCGAGTCGTCCTGTACAATACCACTAGACGTAAATGACACCCCTGGGTCAATACTAGTATGGACCCTCACCACTGCAAGGCCCTGCCAGCCTCTCCAACATCCACCCGGCCATTTTCTCCAGCCGCTGACGGTCCCAGAACACCCAGCCCCAGCACTTCAGTCCCCACGGCAGCACACCTCCACACCAGTTACAATACCTGCCCCGGAACACGACGAACCACGCAAGCGGCGGCTCGTCCTCGGCGTCGGCCCCGAAAAGCGACAATAGCTCCCCCAAACTCAGTCACACGCAGTCGTTCTGCGACCTCCAGAAGGTTCGGGGGCTCCAACAGGTACCGAGAGAACGTGCGGTCCCGCTTGCGCCTCTCCGTCTGCGCGTTCGAAGACAGAGCCTGCGACAAGGAGTTCTGATCGGACAAGAACGCCACCTCGGACAGTATCATGCGCAGCTTCGCGTAGACATCGCCGGATCCCATGACGCGTAGGTGCCATTTCAGGCCTTTGGCAAGCGCGCCGTTTCTCCAATGGTCTTGAGGCACGCCCAACGTGTCTCGGTTAGGTGGTGTCGGGTAGGTGATTCGCTGCGTGGTAACGTGCAGCGTAGGCCGGACTGGAAAGAAAAACCGAGAGCTATGGTCGCTAAAATAGCGCAGTTCCTCTGCGACGGATGGAGGATGGCCGTCAGCTGGGGGCTTCTCTCGTCCAGGACGCGAACAGAATGCCTTGTAAGCAGCAGAGCCACCAAGCCCGTGCCTAACTACCTCGTGTACATCGGCCTTGCTAGCCTCCTCCTCCTCGAGAGCCTTGTCGTCTTCTTCGAAACGGAGTCTGACGTCATCGAAAATCCCCTCGTACATCTCGAAAAGCATCGTATACACGCAGGCAATCTCCTCTCTTTCCCACGGCTGGTAGACCTCGAAGAAGTTCTCGAGAAGGCCTATAGGACCACCGCGCGGAAGTGGAGGATAGTTAGGGCAAGCATCGGAGCCGGCGCCGTACAGGTTGCACCACAGCTCGAAGCGATACAAGGCCCGCATGATCCGCCTCGTCTCCAGTGTGCTGACGGGGTCGACCACCACGCCAGGGGGGGCAACCTGCAGGAACATTTCCGGAACCTTCTGCAGCAGCGGCCGGATGGCGGAGAAAAAGAAGCCCGATATGCCAGTCAGATCCTCGACGCTGCATGCGGGCAGTTGCAGAATGGTGTTCCTTGGCAAGAAAGGGAATCTCTGATGGATGAAAGTGATAAAATGCTCTATGGCCGTCTGCCGAGCGACCTGGGCTAGGTTCTGAAAGTGCGACGTCGTCTGCACGGCGTAGGCATCGACAAAGACGCTGTCGCCGAGAGTGGCCTGCAGGGCGACGTAGAGAATGCGCCGGCGGTCCGACAAGTACGCTTGGTGGAAGATGGACGTCGCCTGCACAGCCGCCTTCAGGTCGACCAGGCTTGGTAGGAGAGACAGGATCTGGCTGACGAGCTCGACAGGGAGGCTCGCCAGGGTGCAAGGCTCCCTGGCCGACTTCAGGGGAGCCATCACCGCCTGGGACTGTCCATTTCCTTGGCCAGCCTTGCCGTGGTAGGTCGGTAGGGAGCGTAGAGCGGGCCTCTTAAGAGCGTTCGTGGAGGCTTGCTCGGCAAGGGTTTGGATAGCACGGTCCATGGTGGTCAGGCCTGTCTCAGGGGCTAGTTCTCTTGCGTTGACCTCTTGAGAGTTGACGTGGCGTTGGCGCTGCGAGGCAAGATCAAAAAAAGCCCTGATTCTGCCGGCGATGCGCTTGCGCATTGGGACTTCCATGACTGAGCGCGACCTCTCGTCACTGCCGTCAGATGCAGACGTAACCGGATAAGAGAGGAAGATTAAGACGTGATCGAACCTACAGTTTAAAAAAAGAATGTTGTTCATTATGCGCGGAATTTAATAGCTTAAGAGCCGATTGGAACCCCATGAAATTATACCTTGCTTAGATCATCTCGTCTGACCCTGTGGACGCACCAGATGATGACGCAGAGTGGCGTTCGTGAGATCGGATCGGTTGATACGATCGGGATCGAGGTGCTGGACACCGACAGGCAACGAGATGTGGCACCTTATTATTCACCCTGCATACCTTACCTACGCAGGCACCTACTGGCTCGAAAATCTCACAGGTTGATTACCAAATGCGTCCCGACCTCAAGAAACATCTTGTGTTATTCCTTCCCTTTTCCAAAAGCTGTCAAGCAACTGTGAGGGTTGGGGGTTCCCTCTTTGTAGGATACTGTTCCATCGAGCCGCCTGTGTTTGTGCTGCTTCCCTCTTACACTGGCACACCATAACACCATTCCAAGTACATGCATCACTAGACCCGTCTCACAGCAATATAGACACCACTAGTGTTTCCTTTACCTACAGTCCAATGATCTCCCCACACAAACTCATGGCACCCTACTGATCTGCCATTGCTGCTCGCTGGTTTGGCCGTTTATTAGGGTGCCAGCTACTAGTACTAATGGTGGCACCTTTATTACCCATGCGTCCATGATTGAGAAGCAAAATGCGAGTCGTTAGCTACCAGGTATGTATTCCTCGGCACCAAGATGTAAGGTGTACTCCCACGACGGGAGCTTAAACAGGTCATCATGCACCTCCGACGGCGTAGCAGAGCAGATGTTGGCTTTCTGGCAGCGAAAATGGAACTCATTCACCTCCATCTATGTCTCCCAACTAGTCCTGAACTCAGCGTCTAAGATTCTAAACATCCTGCAAAACCCAACCGGCCACTGCTAACTTGAAGACAATTAAAATCGAAATACTGCTAAGAAAATTTCAAGCCAATCGACAAATCACCTATATCAAAGCATCCCCTCTCCTCACCCTCCCTCAACCCAAGCCCTTCCCCTTATTAGAACCCACCCAGCGGGTTCGGATTCGCCCCGCGCCAACCACCCTGCACCAGCGGCTGCACGCCCGACGGGCCCTGCACCATCGCTGCCTTGCTCCTGAACACGTCGAGCGTCTTCTCAGCCTCGTCAAACCGCTGGTTGACCACGCCGACCATGCCGCTCTGGCAATGCCGCCCCGTGTTCTGCGCGCAGTAGAACCAGATCGGCCGGTCGGCATCCCTCACCTCGATCTGGAAGACCTCGCCGGACTGGCTGGCGCTGCCGTCGGCGTTGCGCGGCACGGGGAAGAAGCCCGAGAAGAAGGACCCGGCGACGCCGGCGTCCTTAGGCTGGCAGGGCGAGTCGAAGGAGGCCTCGGCCACCGAGTGGTTCAGCTGCAGGAAGTGGAACTCCACGATCGAGCCGACCTCGGCCACGACGTTCTCCGGATCGAAGCGCAAGCCGGGACGGCCGGCCACAACGGTGTGGGTGGTTCGTGGCGAGGCGGCGGTGCCGTCGGGAGCTCGTTGGCCGAGGGTGGGGTTGGGAGCCGGGGCGGCGGAGATGAGGGGGAGGGCGGCGGCGAGGAGAAGGAGAGCTTGGCTGAACATTTTGATATGGTGGTGAAGAGATTTAAAAGTTCTCTGGAGGGGTGCTAAGTGTTGGACACTTTTGGCTGATGATAGGGTGCTGAGAAGATGGTCTTGTGGTTGAGGTAGCTCAGTGCAGAACTTGAGATGATGAAACTGGTGATGATGTGAAGATGGTGAGGATGAGTCGCAGGACAACTGCGATGATTAAATACACCTGGAAGTCCGGTCTACACTATGCGTACCCAAGGTAGGTTATCAACGGCATCGCTAACTTCGGCCTCACTCTCAGAAGACTGAGAATGTTGCGAGCTCAACCCGGAGTTGAGGGCTTCCGGGATCCCAGCCCCGGGGGCTTGGATAAACTGCAGTCCGAATAATTGCATTGCGACCATTTTACTCGACGATAACAATGGAAGCGACACCGGAGGATCGGGTAGTCTGACATCCGGTCAGCAACCAGGCTGAGCCTGGTGGTTTGGTCCGCACGTGGCGGCTAAGCGCCCCGTTTTAGCAACAGGCGCTCGGCTGGAGGCTGTGCTTGCTCGCGTAGGCGCGCAAAACATACCAGTGATTAAGCCATGCTTGTCCTACCGACCTTTCGATAGCATCATCAGCCGAAGAGTACAGCGGTGAGATGCGCCTAAATCAGGGTATACTGCGGTTTATTAATCACAGTTTCGTTGTCAGGATCCAGGCGGAGGGATGCAACATCTTCCCTATCCGTATCACCCTGTAAAACTCAGGTGGGGACGAAGTATCCAATCAACCGTGCTGGGACGAAGGGTAAAGGCAGATTGAATTGATACAGAACCCTCTAGGAGAGGTCAGAATCGAATAAGCCATAGGGCTAAAGGTACGTATGTACAGGGTCAAAATGAAGCCAAGATAATATATAACACAGAGGCAGAAATTAATGTGCGCGTGCTGTACACGAAGCAGTGTGTTCGCTTCACTTGTCATTGGATGAGTCCCCGGCGAACATTAAAGGCATTGCGAGTACCAGTCGTTCTGCTTCTGGCAGGTGGTTCCCGAGACGCACGTTGTGCAGCCGGTAAATCCATTCCCGCCACACTGTGACCAGCGCTGAGCGGTGCAGCTATCGGAGGTCTGGCTCGCCTGACACGAATCTGCTGAAGTTGAGCTTGGCTTGGACGCCACAGGAGACGAGCTCGGCTTGGACGCGGCAGGGGACGGGCTTGGCTTGGAAATGGCCGAGGGAGAAGATGGACTTGGCGAAGACGCGGCCGATGACGGCTTTGATGAGCCGCTGCCGCCGCTGGGAGTGAAGGCCGGGAACTTGGAGTCGTCGTCGCGCCTGCAGCCTGTCCGGGCAACGAGCTCGGCCGGGCACTGCACCTGCTCGAAGGTGAAGGTCGGGTTGTCGGCATTCTTGAACCAGTCGAAGCGCCACTGGCAGCCTGGCTTGAGAGCGTCGGGGAACGAGTCGCACTCGGCGCGCGACGAAATCCCGCCATACTGCGCGCCAGGCAGGCCGCCGAACTGGGACGAGCAGCCGTTGAAGATACCCAGGCCACCACCCGGCATGGCGAGGTCAAAGTGGTTGCTGCCTAAGTCGCCGCCCGTGCTGGTGGACTGGACAACCATTGTCTTGCCCGCCACAGGGCCCGAAGTGAATGTGAGGCTAGCGTCCGGTTAGGCTTGGTCCACTACTTTCTGGGATACGGAACTTACGCGTAGCACGCGCAGCACCATGACGCCTCGGACCCGCCAGCGATGTGTGTTGCCGCGAAACCATAGGCGAGGTTATCGTTCACCGCCCAGGGAGTCTGGTCGGCACAGGAGTAGGCCGAGCCGCCATCGCACCCGGACTTGGCGTTGACGTCGGTGAGGCGGTTGAAGTTGGCATCGCAGGCGAAGACAGGCTGGCTCACCGAGGCCTTTCCAGACCACGAGCACGACGGCTTGCAGCAGTCCCAGTATCTGGACGGGTTGTCAACAATAATAAGATCGGCTGTTAAGGCGAAGGGTGTTGCGGGTAGCATACCTGGTAGACTTGCCATCCGCGGCGGATGCAACAAGGGGCAGAGCAGCAGCCAAGGCTGTGCGGAGAACTGGGGTAGAACGCATGCTGCGAGGGGTTCGAAGCTTCTGATGAGAAGACAAAGAGTCTCGATAGTGTAGGTAGTAATGGAACCGCTGAAACAAAAGGAGGGACTGCGGTGAAGGTCGTTGTCGGCGTTATGAGGTCTTGAGCAGCCGAATAGCGAGGACCTACCGTCTTTATATGTTTTACTCATAGGCCTACGGCCCCTTCTTGTCTTCACCCGTGGGCCACCGCTTTTTGACGGTGGGATGGACTCGGCGCCGCCAACAAGGCCGTATACTTGCTCATACTAGCATACGTAGACGAAATGGTATCCCCCCAAAGGACCAAAGAACTCGCAGGGAGGCCCCACAAAGTACTCAGGAACCGGGGTTTGCAACCATGATCCAAGACGCCAGTGTTTCGATGAAACAGAGAGTCGATCCACCTTCGCGGAACCTGGACCGAGCATACCGTTTGCTCGAGCATACTTTGGGAATAGCGGCATGCAGCCCTTAATTGGAGACGGAAGCTTGATTTCCATCCCGGTCGACCAGCTGTCCGGAACGCCCAGACGAACCTCTCTTCAGAAGAGTGGACTGAGAATCCTGTCAGGGGCAAATTAGCTCACGAGGATATCAGGACGTGCGAGAGGGTCAATATCCGAGAAACGCCTCTGCCCAGGAACTCCAAGGTTTAAGCTGTTGTGAAGCACTATAAGAGGACTCTCCTAGTCTTATTATTACGGCCGAGTACGGTGCCGCTGCGAACAAGATTGATGAAGAGATAGCATGACCAAGCCCACCTTCGATCTGTGGAAGTCGATCGACTCCGGGACCGATCTGATGAGTGGGGTTGATGGCGGGAAGACCCCACTGCCAAAGTTCCAGAACCATGGAATGGCTGTCAGCCACAAGCCCACAACCGATCACGCCACACTTAAGCACGTCAGCTAAGCCATTTGTGGCTTGTCAGGATAAGGATTGGAGGGTGGGTCAAACCCGGCAATCACACGAGCACGGGCCTCAGCCGAATAAGGACTAGCGCCTTTTGCCGCGTCTTGCACTTCAACCTCTGCAGGGGCCAGAAATTCGCCCGGCGGCGCTTCTTCCTTGCACATCACAAATACCAAACCATCAACCACCATCTCTCTGAGACTCAACCGCGCCTGCACGTAATCGCAAATCGTGCCATCCTCAGGACGCGGTTTGCTTTCATAGCACTTCGATCTTGCGCTTAGTTGATGAATAAGGCTTTGCGCCCAGAGAACTGATGCGCCCGCCCACCGTCGGTGGCGATTTCTAAGCCTGCTCAGGTCGCCTCCAAGCGACGTCCAGTGCATCGGTGTTGAAGTTATCTAACCCCTCCTTGCGCAGGTGATTCTGAACTGTGCTTCTGCACCTTCTATTCGCACAGCGAGCAACCGACTCCCTCGCTTTCGAACGTCCATCCTTTCGTTTACCGCACCCTCGATTTCGAAGTCCGAGTTCCCAAACCGCCTCGACTTCTTAGCTCAGAATGACCGACTACGCGACCCAAGGTCAATATGGCGAGTACGCTGATACGTACGAAAATGAGGACAACTATGAAAATGGGACCGGCTTTGATGATGGCACGGGCTTCAGTCCCGATGACAGCATCACGCCCGAAGACTGCTGGGAGGTCATTTCTGCCTATTTTGACATGAAGGGCCTGGTGTCGCAGCAGATCGATTCGTTCGATGAGTTCACGTCAACCACTATACAATCTCTCGTCGACGAATATGCCGACCTTACACTGGACCACCCCAATCCCGGTGATGACAGCGGCCGAGACGTCGTGATGCGCAGATACGACGTCCACTTCGGGAACGTTATGATTTCTAAGCCGACGCTTACGGAGGCCACCGGCGAAACCACCTGTCTCTTGCCTTACGAGTGTCGGGACCGTAATTTGACCTACTCTGCGCCTATGTTTTGCAGAGTCGAGAAGCGCGCCCGCCTTGCGATAAACGAGCCGATCCCTCTTAACGAGATGGACGACGAGCAGCAGGAGCATCTCAAACAGTTTGGCGAGCACCCGAAAGCGCTCCGGTGGGAAGAAGAGGACACCGGGCCACGAGAGGGTCCGTCAAAGGGAGGTGATGACGAAGAGAAGGGGGATTTAATTTTCCTTGGCAAGCTCCCTGTGATGGTCAAATCGCGGGTGTGTCATCTGCGCGATGAAGACGACGACTCGCTCTTTTCGCTTAACGAATGCCCGTACGACCAGGGTGGCTATTTCATTATAAATGGCAGCGAGAAGGTCTTGATCGCGCAGGAGCGCTCGGCTGCGAATATCGTGCAGGTGTTCAAGAAACCGCCAGGAGGCAACGTTTCATACCAGGCCGAGATCCGCTCCGCGCTGGAGAAAGGCTCACGGCTCATCTCGTCCCTGCAGATGAAGCTGCACAGCAAGGCCTCGCCCGACAGGGGAAGGCTAGCGAACACCGTCAGCGTCACTCTCCCCTACGTTCGGGAAGACATCTCTTTGGTCATCGTTTTCCGCGCCCTTGGTGTTGTCTCAGATGAGGACATTCTGAACCACATCTGCTACGATCGGACGGACACGCAGATGCTCGAGGCGCTGCGCCCGTGCATCGAGGAGTCGTTCTGCATCCAGGACCGCGAAATCGCCCTGGACTTCATCGGCAAGCGCGGAAACGGTAACACTGGACAGAATCGAGCGAACCGCATCCGTGCGGCCAAGGACCTCCTTCAGAAGGAAATGCTGCCTCACATCTCGCAAACTGAGGGTTGCGAGACGAGAAAGGCCTTTTTCCTCGGCTACATGGTCCACAAGTTGCTTCAATGTGCCCTAGGTCGGCGTGACACGGATGACCGTGACCACTTCGGCAAGAAGAGACTGGATCTTGCGGGGCCTCTGCTTGCGAAGCTGTTCCGTGGTGTCGTTCGTCGCGTCACCCAGGACTTGATGTCGTACATGAAGCGCTGCATTGAAACGAACAAGAACTTCTCGCTCGCCCTGGGCATTAAGTCTGCGACAATCACAAACGCACTGAAGTACTCGCTGGCGACAGGCAACTGGGGCGAGCAGAAGAAGGCCATGAGCTCTACCGCCGGCGTGTCGCAAGTGCTGAATCGATACACGTTCGCGTCAACACTGTCGCACTTGAGGCGGACGAACACGCCTATTGGGCGCGACGGCAAGCTGGCGAAACCCCGCCAGCTTCACAATACCCACTGGGGCCTGGTCTGCCCGGCAGAAACGCCAGAAGGTCAGGCTTGCGGCCTCGTCAAAAACTTGTCGCTCATGTGCTACGTGAGTGTTGGCACGCCCGCAGAACCCATCATCGAGTTCATGATCGCCCGGAACATGGAGGTGCTCGAGGAGTACGAGCCGCTCCGGTATCCCAACGCCACCAAGGTGTTTGTCAACGGCACCTGGGTTGGCGTTCACCAGGATCCCAAGCATCTGGTCTCATTGGTCCAGGGTCTTCGGAGAAAGAACATCATCTCCTTCGAGGTTTCGTTGGTGAGGGACATTCGCGATCGTGAATTCAAGATCTTCTCTGATGCGGGCCGTGTGATGAGGCCGCTCTTCACCGTCGAACAAGAAGACAACAGCGACAGCGGTGTCGAGAAGGGCCAACTGCTCCTGAAGAAGGAGCATATCCTGGAGCTGGAGAAGGATAAAGAACGGGGCAAATACGATCCCGACTATTGGGGATGGAAGGGTCTGCTGAAGTCGGGTGCCATCGAGTACCTGGACGCAGAGGAGGAAGAAACGGCCATGATCTGCATGACTCCGGAGGACCTCGACATGTATCGGCTCACCAAGTTGGGGTTCAGCGTGGACGACACTTCAGGTCAGGGCAACACCCGAATCAGAACGAAGACAAATCCGACCACGCATATGTACACACATTGCGAGATCCACCCAAGCATGCTGCTCGGTGTATGCGCCAGCATCATTCCGTTCCCGGACCATAATCAGTCTCCGCGGAACACCTACCAGTCTGCTATGGGGAAGCAGGCTATGGGTTTCTTCCTGACAAATTACTCTCGCCGCATGGATACGATGGCGAACATCCTTTATTATCCTCAGAAGCCACTGGCGACGACTCGGTCGATGGAGTTCCTTAAATTCCGCGAGCTTCCGGCCGGGCAGAATGCCATCGTCGCCATCGCATGTTATTCCGGCTACAACCAGGAAGACTCTGTAATTATGAATCAGAGCAGTATCGACCGCGGTCTTTTCCGCAGTCTCTTTTTCCGGTCGTACACCGACTGCGAGAAACGCGTGGGGATTAATATCGTGGAGAAGTTTGAGAAGCCCAACAGGAGCGACACGCTGCGTCTGAAGCACAGCACGTACGAGAAGCTTGACCCAGACGGCATCATCGCTCCGGGCACCCGCGTCTCAGGCGATGATATCATCATTGGCAAGACGTGCCCTATCAACCCTGACAATGCTGAGCTGGGCCAGCGATCCACTCAGCACGTTAAACGCGATGCATCCACGCCGCTACGCCCGACCGAGAGCGGCATTGTCGACCAGGTCATTCTGACGACTAACCAGGATGGCATGCGCTACGTCAAAGTCAGGGTGAGGACGACCAAGATCCCACAGATTGGAGACAAGTTCGCGTCGCGCCACGGCCAGAAGGGTACCATTGGCGTCACGTATCGGCAGGAGGATATGCCCTTTACATGCGAGGGCATCACGCCCGATATCATCATCAATCCTCACGCCATCCCGTCTCGTATGACCATCGCCCATTTGATCGAGTGCTTGCTCTCCAAGGTGGCCACGCTCAAGGGCATGGAGGGCGACGCGACGCCCTTCACCGACGTTACGGTCGACTCCGTCTCGACCCTCCTCCGCGAGCACGGCTACCAGTCGCGCGGCTTCGAGATCATGTACCACGGCCACACGGGCCGGAAGCTGCGCGCCCAGGTATTCTTCGGCCCCACGTACTACCAGCGTCTGCGGCACATGGTGGACGACAAGATCCATGCGCGCGCGCGCGGCCCGCTGCAGATCATGACGCGGCAGCCGGTAGAGGGTCGTGCGAGGGACGGCGGGCTGCGCTTCGGAGAAATGGAGCGCGACTGCATGATCGCGCACGGCGCGGCCAGCTTCTTGAAGGAGCGGCTGTTTGAAGTGTCTGACGCATTCCGCGTGCATATTTGCGAGATTTGCGGGCTCATGACGCCGATTTCGTATGTTGCTCCCTTTCTTTTTTTTTATTGCGTGTTCTGTTGCTGACAAGTCTTTGATTCAGAAACTTGACCAAGCAGTCATTCGAGTGCCGCCCCTGCAAAAACAAGACCAAGATCGCGCAGGTACACATCCCGTACGCTGCCAAGCTGCTCTTCCAGGAGCTTATGTCCATGAACATCGCCGCGCGCATGTTTACCAGCCGGTCGGGTATCACGGTGCGCTGAGGGGACGGAGCTGGGAGTCCGTATGGATGGTTTCCTAGGATCGGGGAGAACAAAAGCGGGAGGATATCATACCATAACTCTGCGTGCATTTGAGGGTCGTTTCGGCGTTTCGTTTTCCTTTTTCTCTTAAACCTTGCGGGGTGGTCTAACTGAGGCATTCTACCCCAGCCTTTGGTTTAGTACCTGCATGATTTTGCAAGAGGTGACTTTTGGCCGCTTGGTTGCGCACTGGCGCTGGGAGAATAGCTCATTGGCGGTGGTTCCGTATGGTTCTTTAGAGGAGGGTGTGAGCCGGGAGGGGGAAAGAAGTTGTGGCTGTAATGTAGTTAGATACCGGAGCATAGATGGCCCGGCCGCTTCTTACGCGGTTTTGTACAATGGCTGGAGATTGGTCGATGCGATGTTGATCGTTACACTCGTGCCGTACACGTATCGTACACTGCAGTAGCTACTAGTAATGTGTCAGGGTATCCTTCTTCTACCCGAGTCCCAGAGGGTAAGGCTTTTTGCACCTAGCCGTTGTCCAGCATGCTCGGCGGTTCTTTCTCACAGGCACCACTCCCCTTTCCATCCTCTCCCCGGCATCACATCGTGAGCGTAGGTATGCGAGCAGCAGCAGCCTCCTCCATCCCGTGCCTTCCGAGCCTCCACCACCCCTCCCATGGACCCAAGAGGACGGGACAGCCGCTAACTACCTCCCCCTCGTCGGCGCCGCCATCTCCGCCGTGCTGTCCCGCACCGTCTGCTCCTTCTTGTACTCGGCCTCGAGCGCCCGCTGAAGGTCAAAGTCGGCTTGCCGCTCGCGCTTCAGTCGCTGCTGCTCCACGTCGCGGATCACGCCCTGGTGCATTGCCTACATGAACACACAGAGTTAGTGGAAGGTAGGTAGCTTGGGTAGCACTTAGGAGTTGGCTGAGGGAGGGAAAAGGCAGAATTAGAAAACATACATCTTGCTCTGCTTTTTGCTGGTAGTGCACCAGGACAACGGTGCCCAGAGCGAAGAGCGAAGTGCCCAGCAGTGTGAGCTTGGAGGCGCGGGACATGGTCTCACAGAAGAAGGGAAGAATGAGTTGCTGGGTTGTTATTGCCAGGCCATTATCGCAGGCGCAAGCTTGAGATTCCGTTCCGATATCCGATCATAACCGGAGCTTGCCAGGTGAAGGGGGAGCGGTGTTCTGCCGCTATACACCGCCCACGTGCATGCGATCCGGCAGGCAACGGTTGCCGAAGTGGGGCATTGCCATCAGAAAGGCAGGGCGAGCTGCGCCGCAACCTTGCGAGCCGTTGGCGGCGGATGTCCCACTTCGGCTGCATCCGCCCTGCTTGCGACGACTTAGACTGCAGCACATCACCTCGCGCAACTAACACGACGACAACCTGCGATCTCTGGATTGTACCGAACGTTCTTTTTGGTACTCCGAACCACCTTCCCTTCCTCGCTTCGTTTGACAATCCTTGGTGCTGTCACGGGTCCCGGAAGCTGAGCTCGCAGGATGGTATGTATGGTTGGCAAGCCGTCGCATTGCCAGCGCTGCACCTTGGGGATTCCCGAGTTTACAAAGCTAATCCTGTGGATAGTCGGCGCAACACTCCGCGGGCATTCAGACCCTACTCGATGTACGTCCCGGCAACTATCGATGGCTCGCGCGCACGTTGGAGATGGGGGGCTGACCAAGGATGTGAAGGCCGAGAGGGAGGCATCCAAGATTGTCCAGAAAGGTTCGTTTCAAGCAAGTCCGGATCTGCAATAAAGTATGGTGAACTGACTACCATGTGTCGGGATAGCTCGGGAGTGTACGTCTTGCGAAACCTCTTTTCAACCCACACCCAACTAACACCGTCCAGACCGCACAAAGCGAGTGAGAGAAGCCCGCGACGAGGCCAAGAAAGAGATCGAAGAATATAAAGCCAATAAGGAAGCCGAGTTCAAGAAGTTCGAGGCGGAGGTACTTTAGCTCTTCTGGGTTACTGGGGATGAGGTTGATGCTGACGGTAGCCAGCATACACAAGGAAACAAGGCGGCCGAAGAGGAAGCCAACCGGGAGGCTGAGGCCGCAATCAAGGAGATCAGGGAGGCCGGGAACAAGGGCCAGGATAAGGTTATCAACGACCTGCTCTCAGCGGTGTGGAACGCCCACCCAACGCCCGTCTCTTGAGGCGGCGGCGTTCCGAACAACGAGGGATGGTGGCAGGGGTTGCAGAGGGATGGCAGATACATGCCGGCTACGACTAAAGTTGGGGAGGGGGCAAAGCTGCTGAGCCTACGGCAGCGATGTTTATGCCGCGGGGACGATGACACCTGAGCAAAAGAGTCACCGGGCGGCCCACACATCAGAAGGCCCTTCTCAAACATCAACGGAGAGCCGGCTAAGGCCGTGGTATCTTTGGTATCGCTAAACTGATGTACACATACTCGCATATTAACAACCCTTGGTATCTGCATCATTCCAGAAACTCTACCAGTGTCGCCAGCATCTCCTTCGTCTCTTTCGCATCCGCAGTCTCGGCGTCAATCCCGTCAATCTGCTCCTGAATCGTCGCTCTGATGGTGGCAAATGTCTCGTCCCTGTCGGCTAATAACGCTTGTATCTTCTTCTTGGCCCCGTCGTCCTCCGCGACCAGCCATGCCAAGATGACATCAATGGTCTGCAGACAGAACAGCCCGGCATCGAGCCGTCGAGAGAACCAGTCGTCGGCCATCTCTTCCCTCTCGTCCTCACTCATCCCCCTCTGCTCCTCCTTGATCCGGTCATCGACCCCTTTCATGACGCCCGCGTACTCGCCTCTCAGCCTCATCAGCTTCACGGTCTTCTCGTAGTCCTTCTCCACGAACTTGCTCAATGTGCGGATCCGCTCCGCCGAATCGGCCGGAAGGAGCCTCAGCATGGAGGCGAAAATGCCCAAGAGGTGCTCCGTTGTCCGCTGGTCCTGCTTCTTCATGAACATGGTGAACGTCGTCTTGAGCCCACCGGCTTCCACAATCTTCTGGCAGACACCGCTCCCGGCCGGCCCGGTGGCGGCATGGTCGAGCAGGCGCAACGCAGCCGGTTTGCTCAGCTTCCCTTCCTTGAGCATGATCAAGCACAGCTCGACACCCTCGGCGTCGACAAACTTAGCCTTGCCCTCGGGCTCATCCGCAATGCAGGTCAGCGCCTCGAACAGGTTCTCCATGTACTCCTCCTCGTCCCCGCCCTTCTCGGGGTCCCGCTTCCGGTACGCCGCCACGAGCTGCAGCAGCGCATCTACGGCGTCCAACTCGGCAAGCCTCCTCCGATTCTTCGTCGAACTTTGCACCAGAATCGCCAATATCTCCGCCGCATACTGCTTGTTCTGCCCCACCGGCTTCTCCGCGCGCCCCGCCCGTTCCAGCAACCACTTCAGCAGCGCCTCGTCCGCGCCCACAACCTCGGCTGTCTCGGGCTTCGAGCACAGATTCTCCACCACGCCCAACCCGCGATACACCCCCTCGCGGTCCGCCTCCTGGCTCTCGTCCAGCCGGTGGAAGTTGCTCACCAACAGACCCAGCAGATCGGCCTCGAGCAGGGCATCCACCAGCGCGCTCCACTGCTCCTCGCTGGCGGCCACGTCCTCGTCGGTCAGCTCGTCGACGATCTCGACCGCGTCGATCGCAATATCCGTGTTCTCGTGCGCCAGCAGCGACACGAGGCTGCCCACGCAGCCCAGCCGCGCAAAGTCCGGGTACAGGCTCGGGTGCTCCGACAGGATCGACAGCGTCTTGATGGCCGCGTCCAGATCGGCCTCGGAGTCGATGAACCTGTGCGGCTCATCGGCGTGGCGCGCGCGCAGCTCGGCGTTGCGCGTGATCTTCTTCTCGAAGGCGAGCGCGGTGCGTTTGAGCCACGACAGGTCGACGCTTTCGTCGCTGTCGGCGGGGATCGCGGCGTCCTCCTCCTGATTGCCGGCGGAGTCGACGAAGTCGAGGATCTCGCGCTCGGTGCGCGAGATGCCGCCGCCGAAGAAGCGGCCTTCTTCGTCGTCGCCTGCTTCTTCTTCGTCGTCGTCGGGAGGTGGGGCGGACGGGCCGTAGTCGGCTTCGTCGTCGCCGTCGGTGGGTGGGAGGGGTCCTGCTTCGGTGTAGGCTTGGTGGAAGTCGTCTACGCGGGCATGGCGGTTGGTGGTGGATGGGAGCTTGGTGGATTTGTAGATTTCGGCTGCCAGGGGTTAGGATTGAGCAGTAAGAGGGGACAATGGTGAGAGGCGGCGTACTTGGGTCTCGGACGGGTTCCAGCTTGCGTTTGCTGGGGATCCCGGATTTCTGGGACGATTAGGTTAGGACCAAGTCTCTGGGTACAATTGAGGTGGCAATGGACTGTGACATACCTGGAAGAGTTCATCTATGTTCATGGTGTGATAGTAACGGGTTGGTGGATTGTTGTGAGAAGGAAAGGCTGTGATGCTTTGCGCCGCGATGTGATGTCTGGAAACGGATCCTCAGAGCAACCGCGATAACGAGCAACAATTGGACAGTTATCGGACAGATGGCTCTCACACTGTGTCAGCCTTCCACTTTGCCAGGGCCGACACAGTGTCTCGAATAGTAGCCCCTGATTAACTGCCTACGCCCGAGACCAGACTAACACCACACCGAGTACTAACTCGAAGCAAAAACGAGGGCTTCGGTGTTATTTCTTGATATTTCCGCCTGGAAAATCACAGGTCCTCATCTTAACATTCACGATGCCCCCCACGCTGATCCTGGTCCGCCACGCGTAGGCACTCCACAGTCCACAACGTTGAGAATAAATCTCCACCCCTAACACACCTTGCTTCCGCTACTAACACCTGACACAAGACTACAAGTGAGAGTTGGGGGGGGGGAAGAGGGGGAGGGAGGGAGGTGGTGGTGCGTTTGTGGCAGTGGGAGGAGACTACAGTCTACGAGAGGTGGGATGGGGTGTGGAGTTGGGACAGGACGGTGCCGTTGGGGAATGGGTTGCCTGAGGAGAAAGACGGGGTTGAGAAACGGGGTGATACTGTTGTTGTGTGGACTAGGGATGAGATTGTATTGATACTAGACAAGTAAGGCCGCTCGTCTTACATCGAGCGGCTAGGTTATGGCGCAATGCCAGATTTTGGACGCTAGACAAGTCCGAGATGCGTGTCTTATAGAGATCGGCAGCGTGGAATGGGTTGGTGTGCGATACGGCGTCGGAGGCTGTTGTATCGGAGACACAGTAATATGGACCCATAGATATAGAGGGCAGCTACCACAATCGGTCAACTATCAACACACTACTATACAATGCCGATGTATCCAAAACTTGAACCTGGACGCGCAAGTTACCAGAGCTCACAAGTCGGCTCCTTCCTCTCACACTTGAAGCTCTCGCGGAACTCGCGGCTATTCGCCATGGTCCCCAGGATCCTCGCCCACTTGGGAGCGTGCGGGTCGGTGTAGATGCGGTTGATCGCCGTGTCCGGACGCGTCTTGCCGCACCACCAGTTCGCGTAGCTCACGAAGAAGAGCTGGCTCTGCGAGAAGTGCTCGAGGCCGGGCAGATGGGCGTTCGGCTTCTCTGATGCCCGTACCTTCCACGCCTGGAAGGAGGCCGAGAGGCCGCCGGCGTCGGCGATGTTCTCGCCCAGCGTCAGCCTGCCGTTGACGTGCAGCGGCTTGCCGTCCGGCCCGGGCACGGTGTAGTTGCCGTACTGCTCGACGAAGCACTCGGCCCGCTCCTCGAAGGCCTTGACGGTTGCGTTGTTCCACCAGTCGGTGTAGTTCCCGTTCTGATCGTAGTGTCGGCCGGTTGAGTCGAAGGCGTGAGAGAGCTCGTGGCCGGCGACGGATCCAAATGCGCCGTACGAGACATAGGCGGGAACGTCGACGTCGAAGACTGGGAACTGCATGATGCCGGCGGGGAAGACTATCTCGTTGCCGGGAGGGTTGTAGTAGGCATTGACTGTGGGGACAGTCATATCCCACCGGTCGCGGTCGACGGGCTTGCCTAGAGCTGACCACTCACGAGCGACCTCGAAGGCGCTCATGGAGAGGGCATTGGCAAAATATGTATCAGAGCTGACGTTCACGGTCGCGTAAAACGACGCAAGACTTTCGGGATCCATGATGTTTGGGCTTTCGGTAGGATAGCCGATCTTCTGCACGATGTTGTGTACCTTCTCGATAGCCTTGGAAGCGGTCTCGTCGTCCATCCAGTCGACCGCTTTAAGTTTCTTGACGAACTGGTCCTTGATGTCAGAAACAATCAAGTCGCCAAAGTCCTTGGCGGCTGCCGAGAAAGCCTTCTCGACGAAGAAGCGGGAGAGAATCCAGCCAAGGCCGTCGTCGACGTGGGCAACGCAAGTGCGCCAGCGCTCAGGCTCCGACTCGGGGTCCTGAGAAATGTCAGTATGAGAGAGAGAGAGACATAGCAGGGTCCAGGGGATCATGATCGCACCTTACCAGCAAGCTCGTTAACAAACCGCTTATACGGCTTGAGAACTGGCGAGTCAACATATCGATAAAAGGCCTGAACTGCCTTCCAGACAAAGTAGCTCTGCAAGATGACTTCGTCCGTCTCCTCAAGGATGGTCTGCAGGTCCTTCATATACTTGGGTGCCGCCACAATCACTCGAGTTACGTCGTGGGTTGCCGAGAGACCTGAGATGATGTTGGCCAGGTCAATCTTGGGTGCCAGCGCCGCGGCGTCCTGGAGAGACATTGGGTTGTAGTATTTCTGTGAAGAGGTGAGTCGTCAAAAGCCCTATCTCGGCTTCCAGGCTGGGAACTCTTACAGTGACGTCCTGGCGGTCTTCTGAACTGGGCGACGCCGCGGCGAGCTTCTTTTCCAGCTCCACCACGCCTGCCAACGCTTCGTTGTCTTGATTGGGGTCCAGCTTGGAGACCACGTCGACCACGACACCCTGATACTTCTTAACTAAAGCATCGTCTTCGTAGCGCTCCTTGGCTGGAAGGCCAAATGTCCAAGGCGGCGAGACGGACACGACAACCACGTCAGGGTCCGTGTCATCGGCACCAGTCCCGGGTGCAATAAGAGCTGAGACGCCGTATTTGGCAAGGAGCAGGATCGTTTCGCTGAGGGCGTTGGCCGAGCGGCGGGCGCTGGTTCCACCCAAGGGGAAAGACTTTTTGACCAGGTCAATAACTTCGGTCAGAGGACGAAATCCAATCCTTTGGATGGTATCCTCGTCCAGGCAAGCATTGTAAGCTGCTAACAGCTTGTTGAAGTTGGCCTCGTCAGTAGATTGGCCGGCAGGGTTGAGTTGCATGGGCGAGAAGTACGAGTGCTGCAAGATCCTGTTAGCAATCTGCCATCCTAGCGGCCTAGTCTTTCTTGTTCGGCACACATACGGCGGATGTATTAGGGTACGGAGCCTCGAGGATGTGGCGGAGGAGCGTTTGCGAGTTCTCAGCCATGATGGTTCCAGTGAACGCGTCGCCCTGGTCAGGGCGGAGGTCATGGCGGTCCCTCCACCCGCCGCAGACAAGCTCCTCGAAGTCGGTGCAGGGGTCGAGGTCCTTGTAGTTCGGAGATAGATTGTAGAGTATCTCGGATGAGGCATGGATGCAAGCCTCCGTCAAGCAGATGTCTGGCTTGCCATCACGCTCGGCCGGGCCAGCAGGCGGCAAGCCAACTACGCGGTAGTGAGAGAAAAAAAGGTAAGAAAAGTAGGCGGACGTTAGAAACAGGCCGAACAGGCGGAAATAGTAGCCCTTTTTCGACCGGCCATCAATTGGGGCACGGTTTCGGTGAGACTCGTCCGTTGCGACGAGGGAGGCCTTCTCCGACATGGCGACAGATGTCGAGCGCTTGCCGATATTGGAGCACACGCACCGAGCAAGCGCCGAGCAGTGAAACGGTGTCTAACTTTCAATTGCGCATCAAATATATGAGATATCGCACTCGAGTTTCATTCAGTACTCGGGTTTGAAGTGCGTAGTCTTGTTATACAAGGCGGCAGTGATAAGGGAGAGGGAAGTCAAGGACCTCAAGAGGCTCAAGGTTGCGTCACAGGATGTGCTCGGTGGCTGGGGTGTTTGTAAGCGAAACACAGTGCAATTGGGGGATGATCACGGTGCTCTCACCGCTATAATGTGGCCTCCGGACCTTGCCAATCGACAATTGATCAAGACAGCATGGGCAGGGAGGCTGTATTAGCTGACCGCTAATTGCTTTTAGACCCGATGCATTGGACAAGTCGCAAACACACCACTAACAGGATTGAAACTCTCCAAAGCGCATCGTTTTGCCCAGTGTACTGTGTGGGAATCAGGGCATTTCTGCCTACGGCTGCCTGGCTTTCCACCTCTGGCTTCCCGGTCGAAGTTTAAAGTGTTCGCGGTGTTGAGTTGTGCTCATTATTCAAGTTATAAAAGACCGGATGTTGCTGGATATTGCACTTGGGTCACGATCAAACCTCCTCTTCCAAGCTGCAGTCGGGTATCGGGCTCCAAGGACCCAGGTGTTGCAAGATTCCTCTTGCCCAGTTGTCATATATCACATCCATCACCTACCCTATATCCAAATAACATCACATCCCTCCAGGAATTGGTAACCAGCATGGGCACTGAGGGCTCAACCACGATCATCCGCGGCTTCAAGGTCTCCGTCCTGACGCTCGATGCCTTCCTCGCAGCCCACGGCGTCGACCAGACCTACGGCGCCCCGCCCTTCTACAGCCATCATCCAGACGATGACCCCATCTCGAAGCTGCTCATCTCCAAGATCTCCCAGCACGACCCCAACGCCGACAAAAGCCGGTTCCGCGTCCTCATCCCGTTGTACGAGAGCATGCCCAACTTTAAGACGGCGTATGTCGCCTACGCATGGGTTCCCGTGAAGGCGCATCGCGAGATAAAGCTGGACGAGTATCTCCCGGCGGAGATCCCCAGGGGTTTTGAGGAGCTGCGGCAGGAGATTCTGAGTTATGAGGGGCTTGGCAAGGATGAGTTTGGTAATCCCGCGAAGGAGGGAGAAAGGATTGCGGAGGAGGGGAAGATGGGCGTGTATGCGATCATTACTTATAATATCCGCGGCGGTTATAGGCGGGACCAGTGGGAGCAGTATGGTCCGGAGGGTCTCTAAGACTTGTGTAGATCAGTGGTTGTGTGATGCTTAGTTGGATTATCGCACCTGAAGCGTCCGCGGTTCGGTTGGGCCAATATTCCATCCCCTATCCACTCGTCTGCTGCTTCTTCTAACTCGCCCCTGAGTGGGAATGTTGATCTACTTGGGGTGTTGAAGTGCGCTGTTAAATTTGCGGCTTCCGCGGTGAGAAATCTCAAATAGAAGTGGCCGTATAACAGTATCTGATACCAGCATTTCCTGGACCTAGGACGATCCATAATTTGATCCCACTAGTGACAAGATAGCTTCGGAGTACACGTACTACAAAGCGCCTAGTTCCCCAACCTAACCATATCCTTGGTTCCCTAGGCCAGTCGCCCTAGCGTCCGTCGACTGAGCAGTCGACCAACACAGCATGAGTCTTCCGAGATTTGGCTTCCGAGACTCGACCAAGGGCATCAAAGGTTCCGATCGCGGGAGAATGAGACACGAAAGTTCCCGCCGGAGATCTCGGATGCATTCCTGCATCGAACGCTATCATCGCACGCGATAGAGCTAAGTAGTCCCAAGGCTGCGCCTGCTGAAGTTCTCATTGGGTCGGGAATTGTATGAGTTCGAACAGAGCTCGGTAACATGCATGCCGCAACTGCTGTCCTCCCCGAGATAATGCATCGCACCGTATCCCGACGAATCGCCGTGGACTAACCCCGCTCCTTATGCGGCAAGCCCAGGTAGGGACCTAGCTGACTTCAGGAGACATTGCCGACAAAGACGACTTCGACGGCCACAAAGCTGTGATGTAGGCAGTGTTTAGCCTCAGTGCTCGTGGGCGGAGAGATGGCATGGTTGGTTGGTTGCAGCGGAAGGACTCACCCGGCGACAGCAACGAAGATCTCTGCTCGGCTTGCAGATGTGAACCCCTTGACGATCAGGGAGAATGTGACCGTCAGGGGGATCATGGCGAATAGTTTGTTTCGCCTATCGTGTATTGAATACAGGATCAGCGATGCCGAGACGAGGAGTAATGAAGACAGGACTGGAGCAAGCCAATTTCCCACGGTGACCAAGTAGGACTGTTTGAAGTGCAATCCGTCGTCGCTCTCCACCGATCTCAGGAACTATCAATTCGAGTTAGGTCCTAGAAGGATGGGGCTATAGGAGGACGAGCACGACTAGTAGCAAGGATACGTACCAATTTTCGGGTGAGAGTGATGTCCAGCATGCCCTTCCCGGAAAGCCAGCAATACAGCCGTGTATACCAGTGTAGAAGAAAAGGAGGGAAGATATCCTTTTCCTCGTCGGGCTTCTGGACCAAGACATAGCGGTCAAGATCAGATGGCCTGTAGGCCAGGCCTTCGGGTCCCTTCATGAACTTGTTGTTCACGATCCTCTCAAAGGTCCACTTCTGGATACTCAAAAGCTCGATTTCTTCAGGCTGCTTCATCTTGCAGACCTGGTCGAACTGCAGAAGTAATTTGTCTATATCCCCATCATTAGCGTCACCTTCTGTGGCAATGGGCCTCACTCCTTCACAAGTCCACTTTAGGTTTGGAACAAGACTCAACTGTATTCCTTCAACTTGGCCCGAAGCTGCAACAACTTGTAGTACTGGGGGCAATGGCTGGGGTTGCTTCTATAGACCTGCTGCATGTCTGCGAAGCAAGACGAGAATAACTCTGGCTGGTACTGTAATGCACGAACTCCCTCTGGGAACCCAAGTTCCTGATTCACGTACGGGATATCGATGGGTTCATTATTGTTGTCGTCCTTAATCCGGATGCTGTCAAGGTCGCTTTTAAGCACGGATATCTCAGCCTGTAGCTGCAGGAGGCACAAGATGTTAAGCTCCTTGAAGTTCCGAAATACCGCCAACTCGTTGTCGGCCACTATCATCCGATTAGCGAGCTCATAGTAGCCTCGGTCACTGTGCTTAGTCTCGTTCCGACCCATTGCACTGATGACGCGCTTCGCACGAGGGCTGAGAGGCAATGAAGAAGCTTGGCGAGTAACGTCGAGTCAGCTGGAATGCGCAGCCTTCGATAGTACTTGTATGAGCATTAGGAACGAGACCTAAGTTACCATCCAGGTCTGATGCTCAGACGCGGAACTGCATCTCACTCTATGTGTGCCGGCGATACGGGAACCTTCAGTCCCAATCCTGAGCAATGAAATGCTGAGAATGTAGTGGCGTCGAATGGGAATCTTTGTAGATCCCGCTCTCGTGCGATTACACCGCAGAAAGGAGGGTGGGAACCCCGCTCGACGAGGCTCTGGGAAAGAACGACCAAGTCAGTGGTGTGGGAATGGGAATATAACCCACGCCCCGAACCCCCGTGATCCGACTGGCCGCTTTGACCTTTCAACGTATCCTTCGCCACCAGATTCCGCAATCCGAGTCACCTTAGGTACTGATACAAACAGGTCTTGTGTGCTCATCACCCCACAGCGTTCGACATCTTTTCGTGCCCAACATGAATTCCATTGCCCGGTCCGCCACCCTCGTGGCCCTCATGGGTTTTCAGCACAAGGTCCTTGAGCCGAAGGGTAAAGTCGAGGACTACTCCGTCCTGACCGCCGTATTCCGAGACCTGTATCATGCGCTCCGGTCCACCGACATCCCACTGTCGCTGGCAGCAGCCCAAGCGCTTGAGCATTGTCGGCACGCTCAGGATGAGTTGCTACAAATTCTGCACTCAATGGGCTGATTTACGCTGGACAATCCCGGAGAGAGCGTGTTTAGTCGCGTCTTCCGCTTTGTCCGTCGATTCACCCACAAACGGACCCTGGAGCGAGCAGAAGCCAAATACAGGAATTCCGTTTTCCTGCTGCGGGACATCACAATGGAGTGAGTGAGCCCCTCTCGAACGTCCCAGACCGGGACGCTGACAAGGTGCTGTACCAGTGCTGTAACACACTACCACTTGCAGCACATGAGGTGAGTCGCCTACCATGGTAGGACTAATGTGACACGCTGGCCGTGCATGATGAAGTATCACACTTGATAACACCTTCACCGACTCCCCAGATACGAACTTGACCACTTGTGTGGCGGCTGGGACCATTCCAGAATTGACATAACCATAAGCCAATCGGCTACCGCTCCCTGCGACCCAATGGACCGGGCCAAGAGCGATAAGCCCATTGACCCGGAAGATTTCAACACCGACAGGGCGGAGGGGACGAAGGCTGACGACTTCTGGTTCAATGGTGTGGCCCGCGTGTCTAAAGCTGTGGGGCAGTCTGCAGACAAGACTCAGCGGGACACCCGTGACATCCCTCTGAGGGGCCTCTGGGACACTGGAAGTGATGGGAATTTCGTCTCTGCAAGCTTCTTGGACAAGCACGGGATACATGGCCCTGATGTAGTACGGAGCCTCTCCCGTAAGAAAACGGTCGTTGGTGCGGAGGAGACGATGGAGACTAAGATAGACCACGAGGCGGATCTGACTTGGAGCTTGGATGGCATAGCTTTCCGCAAGGATACATTCTTTGTGATGAAGAACGGCGGGGATTCATATGACATTCTGCTGGGACGGGAGTTCATCTCAGACAACGATATCTTTGCGGTGAAGGCCAAGGTGCCGGTGATGAGAGTCCGCAGACTGGGCGTGTTCAGCAGGAGGAAGCTGAAAGATGAGGTTGACGAACTGCAGAAGCAAGCGGACAAGCTGTCCGAGAGGCCCGAAGACCGCGATCTTCGCCTGCAGCTGGACGCCAAGGACATGCGAAAGTCTCCGTTTACCGTGTCCTCGACCGCAACTACCACCGTCAACGGCACCCCGAGCGTCTTTGGCACCCCTTTCTTGGGCAGCTCTTCTCCTCCAGGGTTGGGTATCACCCACCCCCCCTCTCCCTTGCGACGCGGGACAAGGAACGAATCGCCATCTCGATCCCCGGCGGCGACGCTTCCCTCCCCGCAGCCAACTCCATCCCTCTGATAGGGCGGGCATGGTATTGCTAGGTGCACATCTCCGGTTCGATACAGCCCCCGCCGACATGCACACGCCTTGGACTCGCGCATCCCACTGGCCGGGTTTACGGACTGAGTGGGGTCATTGACACCCGACAGCATGCGGAGAGAGACGAGAGGGACGAATAGGGGGCACGGATACGACGAACATGTTGCAGTACCTCAGTCTACACCGACGGATCCGGAGGCGGAGGAGCCGGGTGACAAGGTGGTGCATGATGCACGGCCTTAGACTTGCAGACGAGTCTTGCTCTCTCGTTGGGTTATCTTTGGCGGGCGGTATTTGGAGGCGGTCCCCAGCCGCGTCGTGGGCAGTCTCCCAGCCACCCTTATTACGGTGGCTGGACGGGGATTTACCCTCAAGAAGGTGTTAAGGGAGAGGTGGTGATTGGGGGGTTTCCCTGCATCATTTTCGAAGCCGAAATGTTGGAAGGATGAAGAGCCGAGGGTCTTGAACGTGGAAAGGTGCAGGTTCATGAGAATACGTGATTTTCAGGGGCAAAAACAACGATATCAGTACCGACAAACAACCCCATTGCTATGGGGTGAACGAATTATGACGACTCCGATCTTGGGCTCAACGCTAAAGTCGCTTTCTTTTGGCATATAACTGCAATTACAATATGTACTGACCGTCTATTCTGACTGTTGATAAAGTTGGCCAACTTAGATACCTCATTCTGCTTGCAACAGTATACCCTCTGGGGTCACGTCTATTAGCCATAGCTTCTCTTGCGAGGATAGACCACAGGTTTGGATAGCTTATTGGCCAGGTATTAGGTCCTCCGCGTCCATTCCGCACGCAACATACGGTACTCCTTTCCAGCCGTTCCTGTCTATCTATCACGTGAGCTCCTTTTCGTCAACCCGTTCTATTATGTCTAGCAGCAAAAGCCCATCACAATCAGATCCCCGTTCCATGTCTGTCTCGCAAATCGAACCGTCCTCATTAACCATGCATCACTTCGCATCCAAAACCGTCATGGCAATTAGAACACTCCTTGCGGCCTCACATTCTAGGTTGCCCAATGCCCCCAGGACATTTTCATACCAGGCCTTCCTCGATGCCCTTACGATAACGCTCCCTAGCGACCCTCCAACCATAGTCTGGTCGGAAAATATGTTTTAGCCCCATCCACGGGGTGTTGATAGGTGATGCTCCGGTGTAGATAAACACGTCGTAGAGAAGGCCCCCGAAAACGCAGCCGCAGAACGGCGCGACTATCGGAATCTTTTTGGTACTTTAAGTTAGACTTCTGACTCCATTGCAACCTTTAAGAGTCACACTCACCCAGAAGTAGTACCCGCCTGCCGTCCACATTTCGGAGCCATAGCCCAGAAGCGTAGCCATGATGCGCGGCCCAAGATCCCGCGCCGGATTGATGGCATTCCCAGTTTCCCACCCCAGCCCGGAGCCAAGCGCAAAGATGAGGAACATCATCATAAGGGGGAACCATTTGCCGTCCTATCTCAAGTTAGAATCTTGATTCCTCCAACCGGGACCGTCGGGGCGAGGGTTACCTTTTCGATTCCATTGTTGCCCGGATCCCTCAGCGCAAAGACGACGAGCACGAGGATCGCGCTGGCGATGAACTCGGAGAAGAACTGGCCCGATCTGGAGAGAAAGGGCTGGGGGAAGGTGCAGAAGATGGACGCCGTGGCCTTCTCGCTTGGCGGCACTGTCCTGATGCCCTTCCCCTCGTAGTGGTCGATGGCGTTGACGTAGTTCGCATAGACGATGCCGGACCCGACGAACGCCCCGAGCAGTTGGGCGACCGCATAGCTGGGAAACCGCCGCCACGGGAGCTGCCGGAAGAGGCAGTTGGAGAAGGTGATGGCCGGGTTGAGGTACGCCCCCGAATCCCCGGCCACGTACAGCCCCAGCATGACGCCGATGCCCCATCTATATTATGTACAATACATTCCACGTCAGCCCAAGTCCAACACCCCACAAACGCACCACAATTAGCGCAAAATCGAGCAATACCACGCATATATAAATGAATCAAAGAAAAAGAAAATGGACATACCCCCAGTTGATACTCTGATACCCGCCATAGCCACCCCCACCAGGCGCCTCCCGCTGGCCCGTACTCAGCAGCACCTGCGCGACCGACGCGTTGCCGAGCACCACCATGGTGACGACGCCAAAGAACTCGGAGAAGGGCTCGCGCAGCGCCACTCGCACGCGCGACCACCGCAGGCCCTGCCACTGCGCGATCTGCTCCTCCTCGTTGATGGGCGCCGCCGGCCGCAGGCCGAGCCGCGCGCGCGTGTTGCGGATCGTCGGCGACGAGGTCACGCGCTGCACACCGCCATTGCCATGGTCGTTTACTCCGTGGCAGGTGGTGGTGGTTTTGCTCGTCGTGTGCCGGACGGCGGTGCGGGAGTGGGAGTGGTGAGAGGAGGAGGCGGACGTCACGCGGTGCGTGTTGCTGTTGTTGCCGTTGTTGTCAAGAAGCGCGTCTTCCTTCTCGTCGGCGTCCTCCGCGATGCGCTGCTGCTGCTGCTTGTGGTGGTGGTGCTGCGTATGTTCGACCTCCTGCCGGGTCTCTACTTTGGTGATGTTGTGGGTTGGGTTGCCGGCGGTAGTGTTGTTGGTGCTGTCGCGGCTGGGTAGGGTGTGGCATTCTTGCGGTTGGGGTTCCAGGTCTTGCCCCCTGGGGTCCATCGGGTCTTCCGGCTGGTCTGGCGGCATGGCGAGCTCGGTGTTGTTTGGATTCGGTACAGTATGAGGTGCTTGTAGCTCGACACGGTTGTCTGCATCAATGAGCGGCGAGAGCTGGCCGGATGGGTGAAAGAAACAGAGGCGACCGGTGTCTGAAGATTATGTTTTCGGGCCGTCTGTCTAATAACTTGGAAGCGTTGGGAAGCTGGCTGAAACTGATCCAGCTCCAGCAGATACTCCACCGTTCACCAATAAGTGATAGTACGATTCCTGGTGTTGTTAAGGACTTGCTTGGTTTGCTACGCTTACACAAAGAGTGGGTCACCGCGCACTAACTGTTCTTGAAGTTTCTCCCTCCCATACAGCAATTGACTGCACATCAGTGGATCTGTAGTGCGGAAGTGCGTCATTCCTTGCATCCACTACGAAATCTAGATCATACGTCGTATCATGTAGTTGGCGTCATACCTATTGTGATCCCGTTCTCAGACAGTTGCCAGTGTGCTAAATACAGCCCAGACACCTACAACAGCAAGGCAACATCACCTACTTTGGAAGAGTTGGGCAGCTTCCCCTATACACAGGTTGATGTCGAATACTAAACTCGAACTGCGTCCACGCGATCTCACTCTAGTTGTATTCTCTGCTCAAGCCGCATCATGCATGCCCGGATTGCATGGCCCTCCTGACCTGCGGGGTAACGTCTCATCAGCTCGAGGATGAAGCAACAATCAACAGGCAACTATCACTTATAGGCAGCACACATCAGACCCTGAGCTTGCAGCGCCTTCTTTGGAGGAACGAAAGCTATCGGCAGACTCCCAAGTCGTTCTATCGTCATGTGTGCGGCAAATTCACGCGCATGGGTGAATTTCTCGTGAGATCATCTGAGTACCGCGCTAAGAAGAAGACATTCAACATCAGGCCGAGCTGGGCTGGTCAAGACTGGAAAAGCGCTCCAAAAATCTGGCTCGCAATCGTTGAGGCTGCAGTATTAATTATGCCCCGGTTCCTCTCGTATACAGATGGCAGCTTGGCCTTCCACCAAAGACCCCGACTAGAGCTCAGCTCTCCACTACGTAACGATGCTGAGAGAAGAAGGAACATACCGGCCCATGGTGACGCAGAAGGCCATCTCCGTGTTTTCTTGTACCGCACCATTGAGCTTGGCTGTCCATGACTGCCGTACCGCCCTAGGTTGTTGACGCTACGGTGCTAGGCTTTCCTGGGGTGTTGTGTGGAGGAGTGTGGGAGGTAGGAGATGTAGATGGGTTAAGGTCAACAGGACCATCGCACGGAGGGTCTAGTGTTACGCGGGTGAGTAGTACTAATAGCTGGAGTTTAAGGTACTAGTGGGGATACGTCTTGGGTCACTTTTTAATATACACGTCTTGTTGGTATAGATACCTTAGTACTAGTCCTCGTTCCCGACTCCACGAACGACCACCGTCTATCAGCTCCTCTTTCTAGTACCACATCCCCCAGCGAGCTACTGCTATTCCTACTAGTAGCGAGAGGCCTAGCACTCAGAGCTCATTCAGCCTCCCGGCGGCTTTATACAACAGATACAAGCAACTAGCATTGCCAATCCACCAGGTCACCCCGCGCACCTGGCTCCAGCGCGGATGATCAATCAGGATATACACAACGCCATACGCGACGCGCGCAACCGTGTACGTCAGCCCGGCCCGATTGATCAGCGCCCGGTCGACCCCGGCAAAGGTAGCCATGCCGACGGCGCCGACAAGCAGGGCGTAGTTTTCGACGGCGTTGGCGTGCGCCGACTCGTTGCGCCGGAGCATGTCGAGCTGCCGCTGCGTGATGCGGCCGGCCGCGACCGCCGCGTCGCCGTACTTGGCCAGGTCGTAGCGCGGCGACTCGTTGTGGTCGAGCCCGTACCACTGCTTGAGCGTGCGCGACGAGAGGAGGCCGTAGGCGAAGAGGAAGTGGAAGCCTAGCAAGGCGGGCGCGTAATTGGGGATACTGTGGTGCCCTGCAAGGGTTGCGCTTCGGAGCCCGAGGGCGAGACTGAGGGAGGGCATGGTTTGTTTTGTTATATCTTGTCTTGATTTGTTTGCCTATCCCGGAGAAAGGCTGCAGGAAAAGGGAAGGTTGATGGTGGGCTTCCCAGCAGTGAAGTAGTGCAAGCTGGCGGTTTTAGTACGGGCCTTCCGTAGCTTCCGAATGAGTTCGGAAGGATGAGCCACCCCTGTCGCGGCTCGGAGTGTAATCCGTACCGTCCGCTTGGGGAGCGCAAACTTACATTCTATTCCTGCTTTCGTTGGTTTCGACTTTTGACTTACAATGAGATTCGAACCGAGGCTTAAGAAACTCAATTATGACCACCAAGTTGCGTGGTCATATTCTCTGACCAGTATATAGGTATACTTAGCGACTCTGGCCCTCTGGGCTAACAAGGAACAAAGGTTGTCACCCGAGACGAATGGGTTGCCGCCCGGAAGGTGCTCCTCGAGAAAGAGAAGGAGATCACACGGGCCCAGGACGCTCTCGCCGCCTAGGTGCGCGAGCTGCCAATGGTCCTAGTTGACAAGCAGTATCAGTTCGGTGGTCCTGGCGGTTCAATGCTGTCACTCCCAGATCTCTTTGGCGGTAAAGATCGGCTCATCATCTACCACTTCATGTTTGAGCCAGATGCCGATAGTGGATGTAGAGGTTGCGCTTTTGTCGGTGCGTTGTCCGTTCCGCTCATTACTCTTATACTCACCCGCCTGCCGCCGGCTGACATCGGATCCCCCACAAGATTAAAGGCGAGCACATCCCCGACCTCAGCTACCTTCGCTCGCGCAACACCGGCTTGGCCGTTGTCTCCCGGACGCCCTTCGCAAAGCTGGACACGTGGAAGAAGAAGCTTGGCTGGACGTTCCCCTGGTACTCCAGCGAAGGATCGGACTTCAACTGAGACTTTCACGTGACCCTGGACCCTGCCCTCCGCCCTGCGGAATACAACTTCGCCGCGGCGGCGGAGCTCGAGGCGAAAGGGCTGAAGTACAACACCTCGGGCGAGCAGCCGGGCCTGAACGTCTTCCTGCGCCTGGATGGCAAGGTGTGTCGCACGTATTTGGCGTATTCGCGAGGCCTGGATTGCCTGCTGGGCACCCTCTAGCTGCTGGATATGACGCCCCTCGGCCATCAGGTTGGGCCCGGCGGGCCGGGTGGGGGGTTCAAACTGAGGTATGAGTATGAGTATGAGGAGGATGGGGCTTGAAACGAACGCAGGGATGCTCTTCAGGTTAAGCGCTGCAGGGGCTCGGTTGATGTAACGGCCCTCAGAATGGAGCACGAAGGCATGAACCTCGTGCTGAGAGGGGTACTCGCTGTGCCTCCTGGAGCGGCCGACTCCAGCTCCCCGCCAAGGCGTCGTTGGGAGGCGCAGCGAGTATTGGCATACCCTAGAGAAGGTATTTGGAAATCCCAACAGGCAAGTTCTGGGAGCATGGCCGTCTCCTAGGCACAATCAGTCCGGTCCGCCCCGCCGGCGTGTCCTGCCTTATGTTGGTATGCACATGCAGATTTCCCGCATCGGCACCACGCTGCCTGCAGTTTCTCTGGTTCGTCACAATGATCAAGCTGTCTTTTATTGGCTCCGGTCCTGTGATCACTTAATCCAAGAGGCCTCCTCGTGCAGGCACTGCAGGCCCCCCTCGGTGAACCGCAGCGGCTAATCCCCCATTTATTATAACCATGAGCCTGGGACCCGTGTGAACTTCCGTGTTCGGTCTGCCAACATTCTCAGATATAACTGCCTACTAGTAGAACCCACACCGCAGTCGTCACACGCTTCAGGCTCAAGACAAGTCCGCCTGCTTCCCTAGATCGGTGACTTCCCCCATTTCTTTTTGGTCAATCTCCGCTGGCAAACCATCTCAACGCGCGACTACAACCCCGGAATTCGCCAGCACAATGCCCAGAAGGAGGGGCACGTACCGAATCGTTCCCAACGCGGTCCGGCGGTCGGCCGCCCTGCTGTCCGATGAAGAGGAAGACTCCAGTGCAGCATCAGCATGGCAGGCGCGGTACGACAAGATGGTACGAGAGCAAGAGGCAGAGGAGGCACGACGGCGAAGCCTCCACCCGACCGAGCGACTAGCGGAAGACGGCGCGAAACTCCGGACAGAGATCGAGTCGCACGACGACATGTCGGTCGTGCTCGAGGTGTCGGCGTCGGCCCGGGCCGTGTGCCGCGCCGGCAGGGACTGCTTCTATATCCGTCCTCCTCCTTCCGGCGGCGATGACTACTACTATCAAGCCTATCGCGACGGTGGTGGTGGTGGTGGTGGCGCTGCGATCCAGGACGACTTCCGCATTCGTGTCAACGGCGTGCGCGGAGAGCTTGCCCATTGGCGCATGCACCACTTCTATCATGTTCTCTGCTTCGTTGCCATGATGGATGTGGAGGAGCTGATCCCTTCGAGGAAATTCACGTTCGAATGCGGGCCGGGCTGGGGGCTGATGGTGAGGAAGTGGGAAAAGCACCGGGGGCGGGTCGACTTGGATGTGCTGGCTAAGTTCATCGATGACATGGAGCAGTGGGAAGAAGAAAAGAAGGAGGAGAACTCCACATCCGAGACTTCTGCAGCTACTACTAGTAGTACACAGGAGAAAAAGCCTGTGCTTCGGAACTACGTCACTACTACGAGTACGGACGCTGAGGCGGGAACGAACCTCTGGGAGCTCATGAAGCACCCGCACATCTGGAAAGGAACATCCTTCATCCTCCCCACCGCGAACGGACCCAAGGCGTATGGGCCCTGGGCCGAGAGCTGGGAAGAAGAAGAAGATCTACCATCAGAGGAAGTGGAGAGCGGCGCGGGTAATAACCAGGAGGGCGATACGGCCGACGACGCTGCAGGACGCCCTAACCCAGCGGAGAGAGTCGTAAATTCGATAGGGATGTCATTACGCGAGTTCTGGGACCTGTTGCGTGGCGATCGGGGACGGTCCCAGGACGCTGGCTCCTCCCAAGGAAGTGATGACGGCTCGACGGACGACGCGGGAGGTACTAGCGAAGAGGGCGTTCAGGAGGCGGAGAGTAAGCATAGTAAGAAACGAGGTGGACATGGCAGCAGCGGGGACGAGCGGAGTGGCAAGAGAAGAAAAAGGACGGATAGGGACGACGCGGAGTCAGAGGCCGAGCTGGAAAGGGAAGGGACCGGGAGGGTGGTTGTGTCAGAATAGCAGCGGAACGAAAGTTCTTGCTCCTGGGCGGCTGCAGAAAGATAAGACACCTATGTTACCTTCTCCATGTGTCTACGGACTACTAGTCCAGCGGGCATCACCTCGCCGCCTCCACGATCTCGCTCTCTCCCTTCTCCTCGACCTGTTTCCCTGGCAAGAACTCGACGTCATGCTTCTTCTGGATGTCGCCAAAGATTTCGTCGATCTGCTCGAGCGATTTGCCTGTAGACGTGGGGTTATTAGAATATAGTCACGGGGATCCAAGAAACAGTACCAACTCCAAACGTACCTCTTGTTTCCGGGTAGGCGAACGCAAAGACAAGCGTGCAGAGGGCGTTGGTGAGGATGAAGAGGATCTGCGTTGTCCTGCGTCAGCGGAGCGGCAAACAAAACACCGTACGGAGGCTCGCTGGAAAGTTGGAACTCACATAGTATTTCCAGCCAACCTTCTCCAGCGCAATCGGCGAGCACTGCGTGATGACCAAGCTGATGGAGTAGTGGATGACCTGGACGACGGCGTTCGCTTTGGCGCGCAGCTCGGTCGTGAAGACCTCGGGGCTGTAAGGTTTAGGTAGTTTCGTCAGCCACTAATCTGGTGGGACAACTCTCCTACTACTAGTAGTATCTCAAGTGATCAAAAAGACAAAGAGTGGCTCAGCTTACGGAATGATCCAAGTCATCGGGCCCAGCAGGGCCGAGTAGTTGGCCGACACTAAGAAGATGCAGGCAATCAGGGCCTTCTGAGCAGCGGCATTTGTCGGCTGGCCGGGCCGTGCGGGATACAGCGCGGCAAGGATGGTGATGACCATGTACGAGACCGACAGCAGGCCGGAGCTGGTGATCAGGATCTTCTTGCGGCCGATGCGGTCGACGAAGAAGAGCGAGAGGATGCAGGCGATGGGGGCGACGCAGCCGTACAGGCCGCTGACGAGCAGCTGCTGGTCCTGGTCGAACTGCAGGGTCGCGTAGATGGCCGTCTGGAAGTACTGCACGAAGCTGATGCCCGAGAGCATGGCCGCCGCCCACACGAACGACCCGACGAAGAGCCGCTTGCGGAAGGGCGGCGTGCGCACGAGGTCGCGCCAGCCGAGCCGGTGCTGCGCCTGCACCTCCTCGGCGATGGTCGTCTGGATCATGGCGAACTCGGTCCGGCACCACGCGTCGTTGGACCCGTCGAAGTGCCAGTTGCGGAATGCCGTCTCGGCTTCCTCGTACCGGCCCTTGAGACACAGCCACCGCGGCGACTCGCCGATGAAGAGCACGCCGCCGCCGAGCAACAGCGCGGGGATGGCCTGGATGGCAAACCCGAGACGCCACTGGTTGGCGTTGTGCCATTTCCCTTCGCCCACGCCCGTCCATAGCGCGATGAAGAATCCCCAGGCGACCACTGTTTGTCAGGGGGCAGAAACTGTTAGCCGGGCAAAGGTTTCTTGACAGGTAGGCAAGAAGAAGAAGACGAAGAAGAAGAAGACGAAGAAGAAGAACGCACTCATCTGATTCACTGCCGTGATCCTCGCCCGTTCATTCGTCTATCACACATATTCTATCAGCAAACCTCATCGTCAACAACTTAAACCAACCCATCCCTACCTTGGCAATCTCGGCCCCAAACACCGGCGCAACGCCCGTGATGGTGCCGACGGCATACCCGACAAACAGCCGGCCCAGGATCAGCATGGCGACGTGCGCGGCGCCGGCCATCAGCGCGCCGCCCAGCACGCCCCAGGCGCATCCGAAGGCGATGGCCTTGCGCCGCCCGAGCCGGTCGCTGGTCACGCCGACGCTGGCGCTGCCCAGCCAGGCGCCGGCCTGGTAGATGGACACGATGGCGCCGCGGAGGGCCGCGTTGGGCCGGTTGAAGTAGGCGTTGAACGAGCCTAGCGCGAGGCTGGGGGTTATGATGCCCGAGTCGCTGGAGGACAGGCGAAGGTGGGTTAGAAAATATAGTACTACTAAAGAAAGAATTGGTTATGTAAGGTAAGTAGGGATGTACTGACAAGCCATAGAGGAACCCTCCGATGCCGAGGAAGAGGGAGGCAAGGAAGGTTTTGGTCAGCCACTGCGGACGGCGCGCCATTGCGAGGGGCTGCTGCTTTGGCCCGATGGTCAGGGGCGTTCGTATCCGAATAGGTGTCGTCGGCGTCAGGGGAACAACAGCGAGGGGAGGACGAACGAGGTCGAAGTCAAGCAAAAGGAAAGAAAGACACCCCTACTAGTACTTATGACGGGAGGCTCAAATAGAGTACATACAACCACCCCCCGAGGATCGGCAGAGATTTCTTTCATTCTTTATTTACTCCCAGACACCGACCCGCAGCAGCTGCAGCCCGCCTCTGCAATGCGGAGAAAATTGCCGAACTTCTGGGGGCGGGGACGGCGTCGAGGCCAAGCCGAGCTAACGTGCGGAGAAGCTGCGAGCTAGCCCGGCGAGGGGGTCAGGGGAATGACTTTTGGCCTGTCACTGCCTGTCTATTTGTTGCCAAGGCCCGCCCTAGGCAGGGGGCTGAATCCCAAGGGCTCGGGACTCCGGGAGAGAGCGCGCATGGCAGGTGTCCAGCCGGACGGCAGCCGTTACCCTCGGTCCCAGGCGCTCGGGTCAGCGTTAGGTGAGGTGACACCCCGGCAGAGGGCATATTGCGTGCATGACTCGGGTTCTGGGCTGCAGGTGGGCATGGTTAGGAATCGTCAGGGGCGAGTCGAGCTACCTTGTCACTGCTTTTACACATAGGGTACTCTCCGTATATAGTAGTAATGGTACTGGCAGGCGGAATTCGTGTGACAGTATCATCGAGAAGAAAACTAGTGCTTTGCCCCCGCTTCCGATATAGTGGTACAATGCCTCCTATTCCATTGTACGATTGTAGGTTGTGCTTTCTATCCCTTACGTTCGACGTTTACCGAACACCAGGTACTTACCTGCTTACCTGCTTACCTACCTCTTCCTAACCTCGCCGTCAGGGATAAGTACCCATCAGCAGGATACGCTCCCCTTTGTGGTCTGAGCGCCCGCTCGCCATTCACCCTCACCCTCACCCTCCCACCCCATCCCACTCAACATACATACAGCACTCACCTCCAGCCCGCACATCACCAGCCCACCAGCACGACTTTGAGATCCAGCATTGGCAGCTACTGCCCCAAACAGTTCCTTAGCCCATGCTAAAAGCGGTACCACCGTCCTCCCCTAGGCCTATTGCCAGGCACAGGAAGAGCGCCACAGCAGATAAGGCATCGTTTTAGTCGTGGTCCTTTCTGCGAGGTCATTCAGGGCGTTGTTGCTAGAGTGCAGAGTGAAGTACTAGTAGTTGCTAATAAACCCTGGTATGCCCGCGTCCCCACGTACCTTAGACAACAAGATCGGCGATCGGACTAATCTGTGGCGTCTTCCCTTTTCCCCTCAGCCTCCGCGTCCCTCTCAAGCGTGAAGACAAAGCGGTAGAAGGGATTGCTGTCCCCGGCGACATATTTTCCGGTATGCATCCTCCAGGCCCTCTGTGCCCATGAAGCGCCCGGTTGCAGTACACGCTCGGCTAGCGTCCTCTAGGGGTTCGCACGACGCCAAATGAAAGGCACAAAGCTCAGCACCAGAAGAATATCCTCGTCGCAGTAGTAGTAGTCCCTGATTATGGGATCGTCATCCTCGCAAACACCATCCGGAGCGGTTACCACGTGGCGGTTGTCGTCATCCTCATCGCCACCATCATCATCATCATCTTGGAGCTCGACCGTTGCAATCTCTCTGATAGTAGGACTGTAGTCCTGGCTACGGTCGTACCCTGGTCTCACATGGCTGCCGTAGAAGACGCCTTGGGAGAATCTCGTTTTGTACAACGTTATGAGTGTGGAATGCAGCTCCTGGCCAGCTTGGATGTCATCCATGGCGTCGCGGTCCTTGATCTGCTGATATTGCGCCGCCCAGACAAGCTCCCCCTTGGTGGGAACTTCGAGGTCGCTGCCGGACTCGCGCGCCAGACCAAGGGAAGGACCCGCCGGAACTCGTGCCGCGGCTTCCATGACCTCAGCGGATATACCCGCCTCGAAGCCAAGCTTTGATTTGTCGATGATGATCGCCTTGGCGTCTTGGAGCGCATATAGCCCGGTCGGAAGTCAGATCTTGGGCGGTCTGACCTTTGCCTTCAACCCCTGGCACCGTGGAAGGGCTGCTAACCACTTGTAAAGAGCCTCGGCGGACTCCTTTCTCCGGAGGACACGCTCGGCGAAGAAGCTCCTGGGGCTGGGGCTACTAGTTAGCAGCCAATCAAGAAATTCTCGATATAAATTACTACAGGAAAGTCTGGGCGTATTTCCTGAGCACGAGATGCCCTAGGCATAGTTGGTCTGGGGTGATGCCCTAACCGTAGACGAAACACGGTTTCTTCTGAGGAGACATGCTTGGTCGGTCCGCTACCCTGGTGAGAGTGGAGAAGGATTTTTGACGACAGCCGGATAGCTCAGAGCTATCTATATACTCTCGTGTTTTATTCACCCACAGGTCCGAAACCATAGGGAGGTAATATGAAGGCTCGGTCAGAATAAATGGCGAAAAAAGCTACCACGGTTCGACGAGAGAGGGGTTGCAATGGTTGCACATGGAGGCCTCTTGATTCTTGATGACGAATCAGAGAAACCGTACGGAGCGTGGTGCCGATATTCACCCCTCGCGGACGTGGGAAATATATGCAGTCAATGGAGGACAGGAATAGCTGACGATCGTGGCACATGCAGAGGATTGTATCTAGGGGACGATACGTTCCGGGGAGCTGCTCGGGGTTTCCGAATGTCTAGACTAATAATAGTAGGTAAGTTACGGGTTGTTCATCTGCGTGTTTACCAGGCGTCTTAAAGTTAGTAATTATCGATGAGGTATGTGTTGGTGCTACAAGAACTACTTCATGCGGGATTCTTTCTGTCCCACCGTACGGAGGTACTTCGGTCAGAGGTGAAGTCCCCAGCGCAAACACGCATAGCAGGGCACGGTCTATAGATCCAAGGACAGGTTCATCATTAACCACCGGTATGAGAGCTCGGGGTTGGTCAGGAGGGATGTGCCGGGGGTGCTTGAACGTAGACCACGCATGCTTTGGGCTGGGCAGGCAGAAGGTAAAACACAAGTCAGCTTCCGGGTTCGGAGGTGAAGGCTTGACGGTGGATGATCCCATAGTTCACTTCTAGCATATAATTTGATGGATCAAAGATATACATGTATGTATTTTGGTAATATGTACTCAAAGTATGTGCAGTTTAAAATATAGCAATTTATGTACGAGAATTCTTCCATCTCCTGCTCACCACTCCCATTTGAGTCTCCAGCCTCGGCCACGGGACAAGCAACCCGGAATGCCCAGGCAGTAGTAGCAGTACCTATCTTATTTAACAAGTGGTCGATAGCCCGGTAACCTTGCAGTAGGTGCCGTCCGGGCCGGAGCCGATCTTGGGGGGCTCGTCGCCGTCGCTGTTGCCCTCGAAGCGGTCGCAGCTCTTGCCGTCGTCCTGGCACGAGTTGGTGACGGTGCACGTGTCGCCGTAGTTGGTGTTGATGCCGCACAGCACGCCGCCGTCGACGGCCTTGACGCCGTCGAGGACCACGTGGCGCGCCCCGCCGTTGTTCTTGCAGTTGCCGCAGCTGCGCACCAGCTTGCCGTAGTCGTTGGCGTAGAAGTCCGTGATCGAGACGGTGCCGAAGCCGTTGAACTGCACGACCTTGTCGTCGGCGTGGAACGCGCCGCCGCCGATCACGTTGGACGTGCCGCTCTCCTGCTTGAGGGTGCTGAACATCGGCGGGAGGAAAGGTTAGTCATGGACGAGGGGATGAGGCCAAGGAAGTGAGTGGTGTTAATATCTTACAGCGCATCCTCGCACACATCCTCCCACCAGACGTTGATCAGGGTGCAAGTGCCCTTGCAGTGGACGCCCTCGGCCTGGTTGGGACCGATGATAACCTGCACGCCTGGTTAGTCTTTGTGTAAAACGGCTTGAAAGCTGCGCTGACATACATTCTGGAGAGTCGCGCCGTCCTCGAGGACGAACATGGCATCCGCCTCGCCCGTCTCTGTTTGACCCTGGCAGACCGCGGCTATTTCACGTGTCAGCCTTCCACTTTTTCTTTTCTCCTTCGGTGTGAGTCAGTGAGATATATCTGCTTACGTGACCGGTCATAGTTCTTCATGCCGCCATCAAACACCTGGCCGGCGGTGAGCGTGATGGCCTTGGAGCTGGACACGGCCCCGGAGCTCTGGGGGAGCTTCGTGGTGACACCCGAGGGCGCGGCTGTGACGATGGGCGCGGCGGTGGCCGTTGTCTTCGCCGTCGTCTGCTGTGCCGCCGTCGTCTTGGCCGTCGATGTCGATGTCTGCGTGGGGCCCGCGGCCGCACCGCCCGTGAAATAGCACGAGCACTCCTTGGAGATCATGCTGGGCTTGTTGCTGCAGTTGGCCGCCCACGCGGGAAGCCCTGTCGAGGCCGTCGCCTTGCTCTGCGTGAAGGTGGCGCAGAAGGCCGAGGCCGTCGCCTGGTTGGCGCTCATGTAGCTGGCGCATGGGTTGTTCTTGGGGTCCAGGCAGCCCAGTGCCGCTGGCAGCAGGCCGAGGAGGGCGTAGCGGTGCATCGTGGCTGTGGGCTGTTCGGTACCGGACCGTACAGGGGGAAAGATGACTGGATGCTGAAGTGAGGTGACAGGTCGTGGCGATGCAGTGTGGTGATGAGATCCCGCAAGGTGTATACAGGTCGTTATTATATATCTCGAATCTCTAGAGCCCGCTATGCCTCTCTATATCTTGGTGTATTACGCGTATTGTTGTTTGCTCAGGGAAATCCGCTAGGGAGTCCAGGAGCTAGGCGAGCTTGGCCAACACTTGCGCCTACCCCTTTTCTCCACTACTCATGTCCGATATCTTTTTCTAGTATCTACATACCGAGACGATACAGAAGATGACGAAAGCCAGCTCTCTCTCCGCGGAGTGAGAGGTCGATGAGCGAAATGCTAGTAGTAAAGCTGCTTCGTCCCCGAACCTTCCAGTCGATTCAAACCATGACATGCGGGAGAATCACAAGCACTAGCGCCGCCCAACGAACCCCGTGCCCGTTTCCCATTAAGGCCTCTCCGTCCGGCATCCTTAGCCTATAATTTGTGGAAACAATACCGTCACTCGGTCCATCTGATCGATCTGGAAGGATGTCGACGGCGAACCGACCGCCACAACGGCTGCGGCCTCCCGTCTTCCGTCATTCTCAAGCTGGCATCGCTGCCAAGATCTTTAGCTGAGTTTGGAGTTTGAGGCGTGGGGCGCCTACGCACTCCTTACGCTCCCTGGCCCATGCACGGAGTAGGAGGTGTACCCCGGATCCAAAAGTCGTAGTGTGAGCCTGCATCAGGATGCGGGATTGTCGGCGTCGTCTGGTGGTGGGCGGAGAATCGTCCAGGGACCAAAATGCCACCAATCGGGCGACCCAGTGTTTCGTAGATCGGGCCCTTACAAAGCAGAGCTATACCCGAGATGGTTGTGGGCTGAAGGCCGACTGAAGGTGAAACAAAACACACGTGGACGGGGGCTCCACTGTTGCCCTTAAATCTCGAAACCTCCTGTCTACAATCTACATACTGTACTGTGTATTGTACATATCGGATGACAATCGACTGTACTTCGTAGTCCTAGCCTCTACGGAGGTAATTATACCAAGGGTACGACGAATACGCCCCAGAAAGCCTCCCTGTTGAACATATCGGACATGAGTAAATCACAGGCCGCCCGGTTTTACATCGTCGACAGTGCGCCTGGCCCTTCCAGGCCCCGGACCAGTCACAGCTCAGCGGTTGGGGGTTGGCGTGTGTATGTCTCCGCTCCGCCAGCAGGCCCCCAATCAAGGCGGCGGACAGTTCGCCGTGCGCTTCGAGCAGTTCCACGAAGCCTTTCCTCTTCAACAGGTCTTCCGTCACCAAGGCCGCGTACTGCATCACAAGTGACCTGAGCCGCTCCGTGGCATTGTCGTAGGAGTATCGCAGCAGGTCGATGAAACCTTCCACCGCCGCTTCTTTCGCCGTGTCAGGCTCTGCCACTCCCTTCGCGCTGAGTGGATATCCGCGTAGTGCCAGGCCAAGTTTGGACAGCGCGCGATCCATCAAATCCATGATTCCGTAGTAGTGGGCGAACACGTACGCCTTCGCGTGGCGGAGTAGACCCTCGGCGGCGTCCTGTTGGCCACCTGCGGCGGCGGGGATAGACTTCGGCGGTGCGACGGACTGGCAGATCTCATTGACGGTCTGCTCAAATGTTTCCCACGCCTTCTTGTTCGTGTTGGTTTGCCCCCCGCCGCTGTTTTCCTCTTTCTCTTTGGGCATGCAAGGGGGCACCGTGGACAAGGCCGTCGTCGACTTCGGCGCCGCGTCATAGTCCCACGGTATAAGCGTACTGGGCGAAAAGGGTGAACGTCTGCTCATCAACCTCCTCCAGGACGGCATGGGCCCCACGAGCCTCCTTGAAATTGGTGTTGTTGACCAGTGCGGCGAGGACGGGGGATAGATGTGCCACAAGGGCGCGGTGCATAGTGAACTCGCGCCTCTCCGGTCCTACAGAAAACCGAAACATATCGGATGAGGCGATGCTAAAATGAAAGTCGTTAGCTTAGAAGCCGAGCGACGGTATTGTAAATTCGGATATACTTGAGGTTAGGCTTACTCTTCCCAGCGGATCGGCTCCATTTTGATGCCGTGTCTGTAGATTCTCGCGGCATTAATTCTCTGCAACGCTGAGCAGCACGCGGCCAACATGAATTGAGAATGTTCGGGGTTGTTCAAACGATCCAGCGATTTTTAGAGAAAGACGGGAGAAGGGAGGGAAAGACGAGAAATTATTAGTGGCAAACGGGCCTGGAACTTGGGAGGGGTGAAAGCCCAAGTGTTTACCTCATCACATCAGACGGCTACATCATCATTTTCCATGACTCCATAAGGGTACGGTGACTTATAATCACGCACCGAGCTTTCGTCATACTAGGCCTATCAAGACTCAAAAGTCATGGCAGCTATGTGTTTTGAGAGGTGTCACTTATTGCTACTGTAGTAAATAGTTATACTGAGTCTGGTATGTCCCGCGGCATATTCATCGCGATGCTATCTGAGGGTTTCGGTTTCGGTACCCAGTAGGTCCCTAATGGTACAGGTAAGTGCCTGCGGTAAGATCATGATGTCAACTTCAGTTATTATTACTCACCTGCTCATCCCAACCCACTACATCGGAGCATGAGCCTCGAAAGAAGGAACACATATCATATGAACTACCTGGTAGGTATGGGCTTGCCTGTTGCGGGAATCAATGTGCGACACAAAGTAATAAAGCAGCCAAGCGACACTTTGTCATGTTGCATCTGGCCACTTTTCCCCAGACTGGTAAGTGACAGAAGTGTACAGAGAATCGGGCATTTCTTAGTATCACGGACCGTCATTTACCTAAGGTACAGAGTTCTTACTCATAATTCTCACTGTTAGGAAGCATCCATAACCTAACCCTTTCAATAGTCAGATAGAAATACCATATAAGAATATTACAAGATATAGTACCTTACTCTTACCAGAAATATCATCCGTACGAGAGTACGGAGAACTGTCTGAATGTATTGAAGTTGTGTATGTATAGTACACGCAATACATACATACAAACACAGTTACCGGAGGCTGGTAATGACGTCACCGGCACCGATGGAATCTATTTATCAAGAGTCGAGCATTTGACCAACCGAAATGAAAATGACTTCTGCTACTACGCTTGAATTGAATCAGTATGGAGGTACGACAGCTTGAGTTCCTACTCAAAGGACCGCTTTATGAACTGTCACAGGCTGTGCTTTTGCAACCAGCGAAATGTCCCCGCCCAAGCAGGGCTTCAAAGTTGTTTGCCGGCACCCGGGTACGGACCTGGTTTTCCAATCCAGCCACCGTTGCATCCAAACCGCACACTAGCCTCATGCACGATTACATCACTGCGATGCCCAGCTTCCCAGTCTGCTGCACAACCAGAAACATGTATAAACCAAAAAGGTGATCAGCGAACCCCATTGATGAGCTCTCGCAGCCGTCTCAAAACTTCTTGCCGAGCTCCATCTCAAAACTCCTTCCCACACTCCGAAGGGGGTAGCCCCTGAACCCATCCAGATCTTCTCGGAAAACAAAATCATGGCGCCCTTCCCACCCCTCAACGACCTGCTCGCCGCGGCCGCAGCAAACCTGCACCCGACCCGAACCCTCCCACACCTCCTCTTCCAACGCCAAACAACCACCACACCAGGCGCGACCGTCACCGTAGTCACGGGCGGCGGTAGCACCACCACCACCACGGGCTCGGACAACACGAGCAACGACCCGGACGACGCCAACGACCTCTCGGGCGGCGCCATCGCGGGCATCGTGATTGGCTCCATCGCCGGGTTCCTGATCCTGGTCTGGATCATCCGCAGCTGCACCAACCTGGGCGCGCCGCCCAACGACCCGGCCGAGCCGGGCCGCCCGTGGTACGGGAGCGTGCGCGACGAAGGGTACCCGCCGCCACCGCGGCCTCGGGGCAGGAGCAGGCATTCGCGCCGCGAGAGCTATCGGTACGGCAGCAGGAGTCACAGTCATGGTGGTGGGGGTCATGGGAGCAGGAGTCGGTCGAGGAGGGTCAGTGTCGTCCGGGAGGCGGTGCCGGTGAGGGAGGTTGCGCCTGTTGTGGTTAGGGATGATAGGTATTATTATGGTGGAGGGTCGGTGAGGGAGGGGAGGAGTCGTAGTCGGTCGAGGTATTGATGGGGGAGGTGGTGAGTGGGTGCGGGGGAGCCTGGTGATGGTCGTTGGTGGGGCGCCGGGATGGGAGTTGGGGGTTTGGAACGTCGGGGGAAAGGGTGCTGGGAGAGTTTATATACGAGACGGGAGTTCTGTGGCGGTCTCTTTCTTGTCATGTCTTTGATACCACTGGCGGATATCTCTTTTGGTGCTGGGTAATGATTTGTTCTACACAGCGGAAGCAACATTGAATTCCGCCGATGAATGGGGTTGCTCTAAATAAGTGAAGATCGATTACTATGACTGAGCAACATCAATGAGTCCGGACACTCAAGGGGTAATTTAACAGAGCACCCGGCCCAACATGAGATTCGAATATCTCGAAGACTATAGCCACTCTAAGAATCCGCAGTCTGTTGAAACATCTGATCAGCGAATTGCCGCGACAATGCATACAATACTGCTAAATATTCCGAAACAACTTAAGATGCAGACTCCCAGACTCAGCATATCCCAAGACATTTATTATCCATCCATCATTCCGAGCTTTGAAAAGCAAAGGATAAATCTCTGGGTCGCGTATGAAGGTTTCCCCACCAGGGTTAGGGAACACAGTTGTGATGCTTCAAACCCCACCTGCATGACTCACCCGAAGTCGGCGACAGGAAGATTGAGCGAGCGAGCAGAAATCTCACAAACTGGCCAGATCCTTTGTTTTGCCCAAGGTCCCCAGCAACCGACTCAAGTAGCTTTGCACCTGCCAACACAATTGGTCCTCACGGTTGACTAGGTAGACCTGTCGTCCAAATCCCAGCATTGTACAGCCGCCAATGGCTTCGCAGGGCAAACTCGATGTCCGGCCGACGGCTGCCGAGGCCCACCGGCTCTTTGAGCAGACTGGCAAGGCCACACCCCGGCCAACACTGCTGCCCGTGTGTATCACAGTGCCCTCCGACCTGTTGACGCCGTCGGCCATCTATCTGAAGCTGTCGAATGGGTGCGTGAGCGCTCTGTTTGCTCACTTTGAGACTACCTGGAAGTCAATTGCTGATCATTCTCCCCAGCGCCACGGCCGACTACTCGTTCCTGTTAGAGAGTGCGACGGGAAGCACGGAGACAATCGGGCGGTACAGCTTTATCGGAGCTAGTATGTGGGGCTTCAGCCAAGTATAGTGTGGTTGCCTCATCTAACGTCACGTCGTCACCAGATCCCAGGAAGGTGCTTGCTACCGGTCCCGGCTACGATGATGTCGGGGATCCGCTGCGCGCCCTGGAAGCCCAGCTCGGCCAGGACCGCGTGCTCAGCGTCCCGTCGCTCAAGCTGCCCAGCCTGACGGGCGGCGCGGTCGGCTACATCTCGTACGACTGCATCAAGTACTTTGAGCCCAAGACGGCCCGCCCGCTCAAGGACAACCTGCACATCCCCGAGGCCCTGTTCATGATCTTCGACACCATCGTGGCCTTCGACCACTTCTTCCAGGCCCTCACCATCATCACTCACATGAGGCTCCCGCAGAGCCCCGCGGACGACTTCCAAGCAGCTTACGACGACGCCTACGCCACCATCCGCTCGACGCTCGACCGTATCCAGCAGCCGGAAACGCCGCTGCCGCCCAAGAACCCGGCCAACCCCGTCTCCTCGCAGCAGTACGCTTCCAACGTCGGGCGACACGGCTACGAGTCGTTCGTCACCAGCCTCAAATCGCACATCGTCAAGGGCGACATCATCCAAGCGGTGCCGTCGCAGCGCTTCTCGCGCAGCACCTCGCTGCACCCCTTCAACATCTACCGCACGCTGCGCACGCTCAACCCTTCCCCGTACCTCTTCTTCCTGTCCTGCGCCGACTTCCACATCGTGGGCGCCTCGCCCGAGTGCCTGATGAAGACGGACGGCTACGCGCCGCTCCCCGTCGACGCGCGCTTCCGCTACGCCTCAGCTCCGGAGCAAGCGCGCTCGCGGCACCGGCCGCGCATCGTCAACCACGCGATCGCGGGCACGATCCGGCGGGGCGCCAACCCGGCCGAGGACGACGCGCTGGCGGCCGAGCTGCACGCCAGCACCAAGGACCGGGCCGAGCACGTCATGCTGGTCGACCTGGCGCGCAACGACGTCAACCGCGTGTGCCACCCGTCGACCGTGAAAGTCGACCGGCTGATGCGCATCGACAGGTTCAGCCACGTGCAGCACCTCACGAGCGAGGTGTCGGGCCTGCTGCGGCCCGAGTGCACCCGCTGGGACGCCATGCGCAGCATCTTCCCCGCCGGCACGGTCTCGGGTGCGCCCAAGATCCGCGCCATGGAGCTGATCTACGACCTGGAGCAGGAGAAGCGCGGCATCTACGCCGGCGCGGCGGGCTGGTTTGCGTATGACGTGGTGCGGGTGGAGAACAACACCAACGGGGCGAATGCAGGAGGGGATGGGGAGGAAGTGGAGGTGGTGCTGGACGAGGGCCAGATGGACACGTGCATCGCGATCCGGACGATGCTGGTCAAGGACGGCGTGGCGTATCTCCAGGCGGGCGGGGGCATCGTGTTTGATAGTGAGAAGACGGAGGAGTGGATGGAGACGATGAACAAGCTCGCCGCGAACCTGCGGTGCATCGAGCTGGCCGAGAGGCACTATGGCGAAGGCGCCGAGGGCAAGTCGGTGCAGGAGATCATTGACGAGGAGAGGCGCAAGGGGGACGAGTTCTATCGCCTGCAGACCATGAGCGCTGGGGCGTAGGGCCTTGCAAGAAGCTGTTGGAAAAGCAAAGAGGGGAGAGTTGTCATTGGGGCTAGATAGCAGAGACAAGTTCGATGTATCTAGTGATAGGCAAGTCGACTGAGCTTGAAGTAACCTGAGCTGCTGCCATGCTAGCACGATTGTCACAGCAGGGGCTGGCGTCTTGGTCTTTGATATTGCACCCTTCTATGGATTTAGAGACCTGTCAATTTGTGTTGTTCAGTCGCTCGTGTCTTTGGAGGTGCTAAGTACTAGTAGTTGTAATGGAATGGTGGGCCACAAAACGTAGGATGGCCTGCAGGTAGACTTCACTACCCAAGCCAGGGACCTCAAAATCGTACGGGCACAATTTGGACACATGCCACAGGCCTAGGCATGCTATACCAACATATCCAGCGAATACTCAGCTTCTCAAGCGTTGCACCAAACAAGCTACCAGTACTACCGATTCATAAAATGCCATCCCAGGTCCTGCCTCGGCCTTCCCACCCCTTTAACCCTTATTTAATAAACATAGCGGAAGTTCGGGTTCTCCTTATCCGTCAAGTCCTCAAAAGCATGCACCATCCTCTCGTCCCTGGCCTCGCTGACGCCGGCGGCGGCCAGCGCGTCGCGCTTCCTGTTCTGCGCCACGAGGTAGAACCGCAGCGCGATGATCACAATCACCAGCAGGCTGTAGCAGCCCAGGTGGGTGGCGAAGGCGATGAAGTAGCGCGGCTTGTCGTACGACAGGAACACCTGCGGCCCGATGGCATTGCCGGCCGACCAGACGATGAAGTTGAGCGCCACCACCACGCTCTTCTTGGTCTGCCCCGCGATGTTGCGCGAGACCATGGACAGAGCCAGCGTCTGGGCCGACCAGAAGGAGAGCGTGATGTAGTAGCAGATGACCAGGCCGATCTTCTGGGACTTGGTGTCGAGGGGCACGGTCATGAGGCAGATTGTGCCGATGAAGGAGCTGTGAGTGTGGGGGTTTACGTGTTAGTTTAAAAATATAAAGGGAAAAGAAAAAGAGGAATAAAAAAGAAACACGACAAAGACAAAGACTCACGGAATGCAGAAGCCCAGCATGACCAGCAGGTTCTGCTGCGTCTTCTTGACCAGCCACGACGAGCTCAGCAGCACGATGATGATGTAGGCGCCCAGCACCATGGCCAGCAGCTGGGTCTGCAGAGTGGTGAAGCCGAAGCTCTTGATGATGATGCCCTGGAAGCTGCCGAGGCCGCTGGTCGGCAGCGTGGTGCACAGCTGGATCAGCGCGTAGCCCCAGGCCTGGGGGTCCAGCAGGCCCTCCCACATCTGCTCCCGCTTGAAGGTGCGGTTCTGGATGCCGGTCTGGTTGGAGCGCACGCGCTCGACCATGAGGTGCTTGTCCTCCTCGGAGAAGCACTTGGCGCGCATAGGCGAATCGGGCATCCACCAGCCGACGAAGACGCCGTAGACGACCGAGATGATGCCATAGGCCATGAACAGCCACTGCCAGCTCTTGAGCGGGCCCGTGGTGATCAGCGAGAAGCAGTAGGCCAGCAGGCCGCCGACCATCTGCTGCGCGCCGTTCATCATGTACCAGTAGGTCACGCGCGCCGCCTGCTCCTCACGCTTGTACCACGTCGAGGACAGCACCACGAAGGCTGGCTGGCACACCGACTCGAACAGGCCCAGCAGCGTGCGCACGACGAGCAACCCCGTGAAGTTGTGGCAGGCCGCCGTGCAGGCCAGCACCGCGCCCCACGCCACGATGGAGAAGGACAGGTACTTGGCGATGGGCACGCGCGCGATGATGTAGTTCTGCGGGTACTCGACCACCAGGATGGTGATGTAGATGCAGGTTGTGAGCCACGAGTACTGCAAGGGGATCAGTACTAGTACTGCTAATAGTACCATGGTAGTCGGTAGAGAGTGAAAAGTGGCATGGACCAAGTGAACTTACATCCGGCCCCTCGAGCCCCGTGTCCTCGACGATGCCCATGATGGATGCAAAGCTCATGGTGCCCTTGTCGATGGCCTGCAAGAAGTAGGTGGCGATCATGATGAGAAGCACGCGCTTGTCGATGAGCCGCCGCAGCCGCGTGTTCTCCTCGTCCGAGATCTCGATGGCCGCGTCCGACACGTACTGTGCCAGCTCCTTGTCCATCCTGCTGAGGTTCTGGCCCGACTTCTGCAGTTCTGGCGACTGCGCCCGCTCGGCCTCGACGATGTCGCCATCCCGCTCCGGATTGACCTTGCTGTCGGCCATGGTGCTTTGTGGGGACTATTAGAGGTCGTAGAATTAGTACTACTAGTACTAGTAGTAGTAGAAAAAATGCCTTGCCGATACAACGAAGAACAGAGCCAGCCCTACGGCGAGGAGAGGCGGAAAAGGTGGCGGAAAACCCCAGGTAAAGGATGCAAAGGAAGATAAAAACTCGCGTGTACGGATAAAAGGTCAACGTTTGTCTATAATAAGGCCTCCCCCATACCCCAGACTTCCCCGTGGGGGAGAAACCTTCCCCAGGATCCAGGATCTGTGGCCCCACTGGCCGCGCGCCCACAAACCGGGGCCCCAGAGCTCGGTTTGCTCGCCCTTGTCTACCCCGAGCTTCACCGCAACGTCTTTTCACTGTTGTACATACCTTAGTAAAAGGGACCGTGTCCGCTCGCTTGCTCAGAGCCATTTGATGGTGCGGTTTACGGACGAGAGGGTGTGGGGCCCCGATCCACTGGCCGACTCTACAGGCTCTGATCCATGGTTTCCCCTCTCGAGCTCGCCGTGTCTTCCTCCGAGGCACAGGTGCACTCCTCGGCGCAATCGACCCCGAGCTCTCTCCTCCTCCTCCAAAAATCCACCCCCTGACTTCAGGGTGTCTGGTTGGTTGACAAGGGGATATTTCTCCACCAAGCACGACCCGAGAACCGGGGATGACTTCTTAAAGAGTGCGGTAACACACCAGGGCAGGACCGCGGAGCTATCCGTCCTACCGAATTTTGGCTCTAGGAAAGTACAGGATCGCAGAGCAAGGGAAAAAAACGACTTGAGCGAGAAGAACTGCGTATCAATCGGCCCTTGGCCCTGGAAAGACTCCCACAAAAAGAAAAAAAGAAAAAAACATCCAAAATGCCCACCTCCCACGCGGGCATCGCCTCCGCCGACATCCACGCCAAGATCGAGCTCCTCATCTCGGCCCTCGTCAACATCCGCGACAGCACAGGCGAGTTCCTGCTGACCCTCCCGGACGGCCGCGTGATCGACACCAAGGGCTGGCACGACTGGGAATGGACGCACGGCATCGGCCTGTACGGCATCTGGCAGTACTACTGCCTGACCCAGTCCCCCCGCCACCTAGGAATCATCGAGGCCTGGTTCCGCGACCGCTTCGCCGCGGGCGGCACCACCAAGAACATCAACACCATGTCCGTCTTCCTGACCCTCGCCTGCGTGTACGAGCACACGGGCAACAAGCGCTACCTCCCCTGGCTGGACGGCTGGGCCGAGTGGGCGTACCACGACCTCGTGCGCACCAAGCACGGTGGCATGCAGCACATCACCTATCTGGAAGAGAACCGGCAGCAGCTGTGGGACGACACGCTCATGATGACGGTGCTGCCGCTGGCCAAGATCGGGCTGGTGCTGGGCAGGCCGCACTACGTCGACGAGGCCAAGCGCCAGTTCCTGCTGCATATCCAGTACCTGTTTGATGCGAAGACGGGGCTGTTCTTCCACGGGTGGGAGTTCAACGAGACCGGGCCGGGGGGCCATAACTTTGCTGAGGCGCGGTGGGCGCGGGGGAATAGTTGGCTGACGATTGCGATTCCGGAGTTTTTGGAGTTGTTGAGTGAAGCCGGGGTGAGGGATGTGGCGTTTGAGCAGGTGCTGCGCAGCACGCTGCAGGCGCAGTGCGAGGCGTTGAGGCCGCTGCAGATTGCCGAGACGGGCCTGTGGCGCACGCTGTTGGACGTGCCCGAGTCGGAAGGGTCGTACCCGGAGGCGAGCGCCACGGCCGGGTTTGCGTACGGCGCGCTGAAGGGCCAGAGGAAGAAGTATGTGGGCGGAGAGTTTGAGGAGATGGCGGTCCGGGCGGTGAGGGGCGTGCTGGCGAATGTCAGTGCCGAGGGGGAGCTGCTGAATACCTCGTTCGGCACGGGCATGGGCCGCGATCTGCAGCATTATAAGGACATTCCCGTTACGAGTATGCCGTATGGCCAGGCCATGGCTATCATGGCGCTGGTCGAGTTTGCCAGGAGGTATATTTAGAGGGACATATGGTAGATTAGATAGGTAATGCCTTGTAGAGTCCATGTCCGGTACGTTGCTGTTCAACCGTCATGACACGTCCCTGAACCCCTACACCGTGCCCACATTCCCCTCCACATTATTTCGTATTAGCGATAACGAGGCATCGGTAAGGTACCCTAGCTCTATAGAGTTTAAGCTCGAACAGAAGTAACAAAAAAATTGAAATCTAGAAATGCCGCATCTCCGGAGACAGAGGCTGCCGGGGAGGCGATGAAATGGTAGGCGGGTGCGGGGACCCGTCCGGCTCGTCCGACTCACAGCTGCGCCGCGTATTGAGCAGCCGCGGACAGAGTCTCACCACCAGCGGCTTGAGCGTGGGGACGCAGGCAATGATGATGGCTACGTTGATCTCCATCATGGACCAGTAGATGAGGTAGATGCCCGTGTAGGTCGGGTCGCTGGTGAGCAGGCTGATGTTGATGAAGTGGAAACGGAGCACCGAGATGATGCAGATGCTGCAGGTTATTATTAGCGGGAGTCATTGGCGAGAGTTCTAGGCCGGGGGGGTGGGGGACCAACAAAAACCCGAGGGCAAAGATCGAGTACAGCCACAGCTTTTGCCGCCACGGCAGCGTCATGGGCCAGATGACGGGCAGCGGCAGGAACAGGATGGCGAAGTCGAGCGCGAGGTTCAGCGAGGCGTCGATGTAGTACTTGAGCGGCACGGCGATGCAGCGGCGGTCGACGATGGTGAAGTCCCAGAAGGCCGACACGGGGATGCAGTAGAGGATGTTGGTCAGCAGCGTGAACAGGCCGCAGAGCGTCGCCACGACGAGGAGAATGTACGCCACGCGCCGGACCCAGCTGACGACGAAGATGTCGAGGAACAGCAGCAGCACCGAGATCTTGGTCAGGGAGAGGCTCAGCATGTTGGCGATGACCTCGTAGTACATGACCTGGAAGAAGACCCGGATCTCATCCCAGCCGAGGTCCGCGATGCGGTGGCCCAGCCCGTGGGCGACATCTGGCGCAGTCAGTCAGCCTATATAAGGTACCTTTCGTTAATTACCTAAAAGAGGGAAGAAAGGAAAAAGAAAAAGAAAAACATAACAAAGCGCAACAACATACGGAATCCGATAGCGATGGTGTTGACGAGTGAAAAGGCCTACGTATGCCCCAGGGTCAGCTCCGGCTGTCACGGTCGCATTGGCATAACTAGCTGGCCAGGGTCCGGGTCGGGGTCGGGGGTGGGCACACTTACCAACGTAAGAACAATCAAGCAATCCGTCGGCCCCAGCACACGGAGAATGCGGCCGCGCGAGATCAGGCGGAGCACGACGGCCGCGGCCGCCAGCGCCCACATCACCGCGGCCCAGATGACGAGCCGCCTGCCGCGTTCCGCCCATTCCATCGCTCACCGCCGCGGGGGGGACGTCAACACGGCCGCCGAGGGCAAGTACTCATCCTGTCCGCCCGACGTGAGTGGGCTGGGCTGGGCGTGTGTATTTGCGCGCGCGTTGGGAGTCCGAGGCGAAGGGGGGGGGAGCAAAAAGCAGGACGAGACGAAAGAACCCGGACCGCGCTCCGGGCTGGGACGGGAATTCTGCTATCCGCTACTCCCGCATCAAGGGGCACGCATACCTACTGTACATGTAGGTAATCAAAATGGAAAATAGCTGACCTGACGTTGTTTTTCCCGCCCTAAACCGAATCCAGTGATAGATGCGCTGACAGGGCTGCGCTGCCCAATTGGCGGCGTCCTTCGGCGTGGATCTCGGTCAAGGTCTTGTTTTGTCGACGAACTAACCCTAACGGCTTAGGATGGATCGGACCGGTGAGCAGTCCCCGCATTATCCCTGGTCAATCCTTCGAACATCAAAGTTGTGATGACTTTGGATGACCGTGTATGAGTGTATGTGGCCGGAAGTCCTGCAGGTATCAGTTAAGCGTAGTAGTAGTACGAAGTATGGCCGACCTTTTATTCGGGTCGGGGGAAAGGGATAGAAGAATAACAAAAACAGATGGAGAGAAAGAGAAAATAGGCAAGAGAAAGAAGTAACGTACATTATCAGCGAGCGGGACATATCAGCGAGCGGGACACTCTCCACTACTCTATAACAACTACTCTCAATTGCAATGCAACAACACTAAGAACCAACTACAATTACATCAGAAACAGATGAATCAGACCCTTCTGCACCCTCCTGGCAAGTGCGGGCATTATGACCAGGCTTGCCGCATACACCACAGCACCGAACCTTCGTACGACCCCCCCCAGCACCACTACCATCCAGCTGTGTTTCTTGCATTGCCTCCCCACCTATAGCCCCCTGGCCTACCACCTCCTGTGCCTCCTGCACAGTAAGTGATCCTCCAAGCCGTACACGAGTTTTTTTGGCTCTCCGGCGCTTGCTTAGCGCCTCGTTGGCCTTGCGGAGCGAAGACACCTCTGCCTGAAGGAGGGCCACCTGGTACATTATAGCCATTGTACCCTTGGTAAGCTGGTCCACAGCAGCCAACATCGAAGTCGGGGAGCTATTTTGATGGTTGGCAATGCGAGTCTTGATAAGCGTTGACTGTGAGTTGGCTTCTCGGGGGTTGTATGGTATCTGGAAGACCCAAGATTATATAGTGCCTGGCCGTGAGGTTAGGGGTGTTGGTATACGAAGCTTGATATCTAGCTTCGAAAGTACCCTCTCTAGATCGTACGGTATAAGGCCAGCCCCTGCAAAACCGCCCTGGATATTCCTCTTGGTGATAAAGGCAAAGAAGGCTGCGCGAAAGGTACAAAGGAACTCGAGCTTGCTTATATGGTTGATATATATGCGTATCAAGTCCTCGATCTGGCGACCGTACGCCTGCTTCAACGGCCCAAAGCAGCCAATATCAAGTGGCTGGAGGAGGTGGGAGGAATATGGAGGCATATAGAGCGTGATAATGTTGTTCTGCTGGCAGTAGAGCTCGAACTCGGTTGAGTGGTGGCTTTCGTGGCCATCGAGGATCAACAACCGGTATTTGCCCTTTGTCTAAGGCGCTATATGGTAGTCGAAGTGCTTGATCCAATCAAGGCCTACCATATTGGTAGTCCAGCCATTCTCGGTAGTTATAATGCGCCAGTCGGCTGGGAGGTTGCACTCAGTATACCAGTTGGCGAGGTAGAACTACGCTGCTAAGATGATGAACAGAGGGATAGCCCAGCCAAGGGCATTAACGCCTTAGATCACCGTCGCCCATTCGCGGTTGCCAGGCTAGGCTAGCTTCGCCTTGCCACAGCCATCCGAGGTTGTAACTACCATGCCCAGGAAGATAATGCCCATCATAAACCCAGTCTCGTCGAAGTTATAGATATCGTCATCTACGATACCGTACTTGGCCTTAACATTCCGTACAAGGGTAAACCACTCGCCAATGACCTTCGGATCCTCGTACTTTACCCTCTAGTAATCGTATCTTCGCGAATAACGCATACGGAGCTCTGGCTGGCGTTTGACAAACCGATGCGCCTAGAGCTTGCCGACAGGGGGCGCGTCGCGTACGCGTAGCAGTTGGTTGGCCATATCTTTTATACCACGTAGTCTCGGCGGAAAAGCTCGCATAGATAGCTCAATAATATATTGGACAATAGCCTCCTCTTTAGATTGAGTAAGCTTCTTCGAATTGGCTGGAAGATCGCGTCGTATAGGCCGGCCGGTACGTCGGTAGCCGAGGGTTGAAACTGGCACGTTATAGAGCTTGGCCGCGGCTCGAAGGCTTAGTTCTGTATCATTTTCAAGAGCTTTGAGGGCCAAGGTTACCCTAGCTTCCTTTGAAGTGGAAGACATCTTTAGTTGTAGGAAAAACGCGTTGTTAGAGGTAGATGAGGAAGGACGCGTTGTGCCAAGAACTTAGTGTCCCGCTCGCTGATATGTCCCGCTCGCTGATAATGTACGTTAAAGTAATGGCATGCTTAAACCACTATGGATGCTATTAGGTTCACCAACGACAGAAGTGCCTAATACACAGACTACAGTAGCCTCCAGCAACCCAGTCTTCAAGATGAATGTATGCGGGGTGTGGATAATGAGACAACAATATCAGGTTGAAGTACCCGCGGAATAGAGGACATGGAATCAGCTTAGTATGTTTCGTCTATAAACACTCAACAATCAACGATACAAGGCAACCGCGAGAAACGGAGGGGAAAACACTAGAAACTCACAACTTCTTGCAACAATAAAACCTGAAGTACCTAATCTATGCCATACCAAAGCTACAACCGGGTATCTTCCCATTTCCATGACATCCCCCAAGTACCTCGCCCTCTATCCGTAGCTTTCTAGTGCCTGGCATATAAAAAGCAGAATAAGAAAAAACATATAACAACATATCAACGAAAACTGCCCATCTTAGATAACCCCAATCTCACCTACCCACCACCTATCAACACCCCACTCCCATCCTTCTGCTCCCTGCCCTCGTTCTCGGCTTCGTCCCAAACAACAAATATCCCAAACCTGCTCACGCCGCCCTCATTCTCCCCCCCGCCGACCTCGCGCCCTTCCCAATCCGGCACAGTGCCCCATCCCATCCAGAACTTGGCCCTCTCTAACCGTGGATCTCCTAACCGCCTATTTTCCTTCTCTCCATCTCCATCACCACCTTTAGTACCACTACCACTACTAGTAGTAGCACTACCAACACGATCCCATATCCATCCCCCCCCCCCACCCGCTTTCTCCCCCTTTCCCTCCTTACTAGTAGTACCAGCCGCATCACCGTCCAGCGGCCCTTCAAAAAGATTCCCCCCGGCCAAAAGCGCCACCACACTCGCGATGGTCGTCGGACTGCGAGGCAGTACATCCGTCTCGTGCATGCACGCCCAGCCCACCGCGATCAACGCGATGGTTGTGGCCAGCAGGGCCTGCAAGATCCGCGTCGAGGTCGTGTCCTGCGCCACACGGCGCTTGCCCTCTCCGTCTGCTGTATTGGTGGTAGCTGTGCCGGTGTACGTGACCCCGTCGTCGGTTGCGTTCGGGTTCGCTTTCAGGATAGATGCCGGCAGCGTAGCGTTGGACGAGTTGGCGGGAACTAATTGTTGGGCAAAGGTCTGAGCGGCGATGAGGCCGTGGTGCTGCTTGATGGAGTCCGTGATGGCCTGTAGAGCGGTCGGGTCGCCGAGGGAAGACAGCGGGATCGCCCACGGCGAGGAGGTCAGCATCTGGAAGAAGGGGTCGAGGATCTGCGGGGCGGTGTTGATGCTCGCTAGGTAGGAGTAAATTAGGGAGGACGAAAGGCGGAGGGTGCTGGGGCCGGCGGTGTGTTCGAGGGGCTGCGGGAAGTTGCGCGAGTCGATGTCGAGCGCCGTGCCGACGAAGGTGGTGTTAACCAAGACAGTCTCGGCGGTCTGGTTGCAGCCGACCGAGGCGATGTGCTGTACGATGGGCGTGGCCGTGAAGTCTAGCTTGCCCCAGGTGTAGAGCAGGTCGCTGCAGCCTTGGACGGCGCTGATGTTCGAGGTCTGGTCGCCGAGGCCGAAGTAGGTCATGTTAGGGTAGGTAGGGAGGATGTTGTTGTATTTGCTGTACTCATTTTTTGGAAAGCGGTTGCATTCTTCGCCCTCGATGTAGATGCCAAGTGGATTCTGGTAAGACGTGTATTGAATCGTGTAGTTGAGGGTGAGGTTGGTCTGGATCTTGGAAGCGTCGTAGATGCGGCATGTCATCTTGGCACGAACCGCAGGGATCTCCGCATTGATGGAGATGGAGGACGTGTTGACGATGTGGTCGGGGTCTATAGAGACCGACGGCACCAGCTGCGGAAACGCGAGATCGCCGTAGGTGAATCTCGGGTAGGAGAGGTTGCTCTCAAGAATTAGCGATGCGATGGAGGCGGCCTCCTTGTTGCCGTAGGGGGTAAGCGCAAAGGACATGTTGGCGTGGAGCGTGGCCGGAAGTACAGTGGGAACGGCGACAAGCTGAAACAGGGACGATGAGACGATGGCAAATAAGGACGAAACGAGAAACGCCGTGGTGGCTGCGAGGGCCCCAATGTTGACGAACTTGATCTCGTTGAACATCGTCCGGGGAATGGACATGTCCATGAAGTCGATGGTCATAAAGGTCTTGGCGTCTATCGTGTGCTTGAGCGCGGTGTAGGGCGCGAGGGACCTGACCTGGAAGTCCATGGACGAGATGGTCATCGCCAGAACACCAAAGACGAAAGCCGGCAGCGCAGTCCACGCGTAGTGAATGTAGGTATCGTCGCCTACGTCGCCGAGGCCATCTTCCTTGTTGGACTTCCGTAACGTCAGCTCCAGAGAGATGATCAGCCCCGCTAGAACCAGGCATAATGCGCAGCGCGAGATAGGGTGAAGAACGCCGGGATGCGTGTGCTTGGAGCTGATCTGCGGGAACGCCGTCGACGACCTATCAAGGAGTTCGTGTGCGCTCAGGATGGCGAACCGTGGTTTGTTCGACGCTGGGTCAGTCACAGTTCCCGACTGGAACCTCAGCGCGGCCAACGGACGCGCGAGACTTGGAGCATTGGCCGCACCCGAATATCGTAGGCTCGCCAGGAGGTCGTGGCTTTCCGCAACGAGCGACGCCATGCCCGGCAGTGTCGTCGGACTGTGGGGCAGAATGCCGCGTCTTGGGACGAGGAACGCCCCGATCGTGGCTAGAACGGAACAACAAATCGCCAAGCCGGCCATCCACTGCGCGGCCCAAGTGCGCATCACCAGTCTGTTTCCGAACAACACCACAGAACCATGTGTCTCGACAGATGCGGGCTCTACCAAGGCCTGCTTGGCAATAATCGCACCGAACTGCTGGTAATAGCGGGTGGCGAGCTCCCGGAGCGGCTCGGGGTCTAGGAGGGAGGGTAGCTGCTCGCCAGTTTCAAATTGTCTCGGGAGCGCAATCTGTAGGTATGGGTCCACGTCCACGACTGTTCCTGAGATGTTGACACTCCGTGGGTAGGCAGACGCGGTTGACCCGATGCCGGCAAAGGCTGCATAGTGAGCATCCATCATATGCCAGCCAGTGACCGAATCGAGTGTCCGGTTGCCCGCGCCCGGCGAGCGGGTTACACTGCTGGTGTGGGTGCCGTTGCGGACAACCTCGACCCGCGTGATAGCGTAAGTCGGCACGCACAGCATCTGAGCCGATCGGTTGAGCGTAGCCAGAATTGGATGTTTGCGCAGCTGGCCAGTGTAGTCCTTCTCGACCGTCGAGCGGTCTACGACATAAGTCATATTCCCAAACATGACGAGCACCCGCCTGCCCGAGTCGCCTGACGTCCCATCACACTGAATCGGATGGAAGCGCCCAAACAAAAAGGTACAACGGTCGGGGTCATCGCGGAAGCAGGCAGCCCCTGGGCCGGGGTATATTCTCAAGTCTTGTACCTTGCACTCTGGCGATTTGATAGTTAAATTCATGGTCGATTCTGCGAAAGTATGCGGGTCTCCGGGCCTCGAACCCCTCAGGACCACGTCGGCAGGCCGGCAGTCAAGCGAGTTTCCGAAACCGTCGACGACAACGCGCGTCTCGGCGGTGTCGGGGAGGTCGGCTTGAACAGACTGGAAGGCAAAGGTTTCAGACATGCCGTCCGGGTATGAAAGGTTTCGATCCATCAGCCCCTGCATGATGTAGTAGGCAAGGTTCCCAGAGTTGCCCAGACGGGCACCGTTGTCCACGAAGTGGTCTTGCACCGTCATGGGAAACGAAGCGTGGTCGACCAGCATCCACGAGAGAGTGATGAGACCAGTCGAGATGACGATCATGACCTTAATGATGATGGCGACGGCCGAGGCGATGGAGACGACGAAGTCGCGGTTGCGGAGCGCCTTGAACACGGCATAGAGCTGGAAGTTGGACAAGTAATCCAGCAGCACCGTATGCTTGGGATGCGAAGGCTGTTGAGACAGCCGGATCCACGGGGCAACCAACTTGCTCTGGTACTCCGTCCGGCTCCATATGGCCGCGATCAAGGTCAGCAAGGCGGTCGGCCCGTATGTCCAGAGGTAGTGCAAGTTGGAAGAAGCCGAGGCGATGCCATTGTTCTTCTCAGACACGGCTACCAGCGCCTCGATGGCGATAAGGATGATGGCAAAGACGGCGGCGAAGACGAGAAGGACGCGCCGCTGGAGGTAGAAGGGTCTCCATCGTAGATTGGCGTTTTCGATGCTGCCCGCAAATGTCGCCTCATTGTTGGGCGAGGGAGGTGTCGAGTCCGAGTCTGAGCCTGGAGACGAAGTGTGGTCCTTTTCAGCTTCACTTTCGAGCTCAATGGCTTCGTAGCGGTGGCCAGCCCACTTTGGCGGCGTCAACGGCGCAGAATCCGGGGATAGCGGCGCCGCCATGATCCATCTGCGCCGTTGCGGTGGGTTGCAGAACTAGGTGCTAATGCAGTAGGCGAAGACCCGCTGCCGAACATGCCATGCAGATTGCCAAGTTCCTGGGCGACAGCTTCATGTTTAATGGATATTGGGAGGTAATTCTCGGAAAATAGCTGCTGCCTGGAAAATGCATTGTGCGAAGGTCGGATTTGTCAGGTGCGATCGAGCCAATCCAGGTGCCGTTGCACGCTCATCATCCCAGGATGTGCGACGGAAAGTGGATAACAATAAGACCACTAGCAACAAGATATTACGTGTTTCAAGGGTCATGTCAGCAGTATAGTGGGAGGGTTTAGTTTGGTGCAATCAGATATTGACAGATATCTCAGGCCGACTCTCGCGTCCCCGCCACCGTGGGTTCAAAGCCATCGCTCGGCAAATCTCCTCGTACAATAACCAAGGAAACATCTTACCGTAAGCCTCAAGGTTTCCACCCCCCAGTCCTCTCCCTAAACAACCCAGTCGGATCAACATCCTCAGCCACGCGCCTCGCCAACTCCCTACTCTCCGACCTCAACCGTCCCCAATAGTCCTGCTGATAAAACCCATAATTCATAAACACCGGACAATACACACCGCGTTCCAACGTCCCTTCCTCTTGCCACTGCACAACCCTCTCCCTGACACCCTCATACGTCTCCCTCATCTTCGCCTCCATCCTTGCATAATCCGCGGGCAACAAGAACGCATAGTTCAGCTCAACAATCACCCGATCCGCCCCCGCATCGGCATCAATCAGATCCCTCCCCCTCTCCCGCGCAGCCTGCGCAATGCGCCGCGGAAACGGCTGGTACGCGATCGACGCCACAATGCCCGGCACTGCCAGTGTGGTACCACTAACATTGCGCCAGTGCGCATGGATCCCCTCGACCAGCACCTTATTTACCTTCTCCGCCGAAGGGAGCGGGATGGTCTCGGTGCCGATCTGCACCTGGAACCCCTTGAGCACGACCCAGTTCGACGAGGCCATCAAGTCGGCGTAGGTGCGCGTGCGAAGCGTGTTGGTGACCAAGCCCGGGAGGGAGGTGAAGTTGGTGAAGGTGCCCGGGGGCACAGCCGACGCGGGTCCGTCGTAGAAGAGGAACAGGATCCAGCTGTCGAGGAGGTTGGCATTGGTGCGCTCGGCCGTGACGATGATGGCGGCGCGGTCGTCGGTGTTGTGCTGTGTGAAGTCCCGCACGGCCGAGAGCAGCTTCGCGTCGAGTGACGTGTCGCTGCCGCGCAGGAAGACCAGGTTGCCGCCGTAGACGAGCCCCTGGCGCTGCGCTTGCAGGCGGTAGTTGGTTACGATGCCGAAGTTGTTGCCGCCGCCCTTGAGCGCGACGAAAAGGTCCGCGTGGGAGGTGGATGTCACGGTGGTGATGGTGCCGTTGGGGAGCACGAGTTCGTAGGACAGGACTGAGGACGCCGACCAGCCGTATTGGGCCGACATGTACGACAGCCCGCCGCCCAGGACGAGCCCGCCGACGCCTGTGTTGCCGATGCGCCCGCCAACGAAGGTCCAGCCCGTGCCCTGCAGCTTGGCAGCGATGCTGTCGAGCCGGTTGCCGGGGCCCACGTCCACAATGCCCGTGGCCGGGTCGAGGATGGCGTGGTCCAGCTTCTGGGTGGAGATGATGGGGCCCCCGTTGACGCTGGAGAAGTAGTTGTTGGGGTTGTGGCCGCCGGACTTGATGGCGAACGACTCATTGTTGGTGTTGAGCACGCGGATTACGGCGGCAACCTCGGCGGCGGTGCTGGGGAAGATGATGCACGATGGCTTGAGGGCGCTGCACGAGGCTGACCAGTACTCGGATTGCTCGCCAATGTAGGAGAGCTCGAGGGGGCCCGACACTTGGATGTCAGTATTGTCGCGCAGTTCAGAACAGGTGTCGGCATACACCGTCCCAAGGCAGCAGAGGAGGAGGTAGACCCAGGAAGTTGCTCGGAGTCGGAGGTCCATCATTTTGAGCTGGGTCAGCTGGATCCGCGACGAAATAGAAAGTGTGCTGGGAGGTTGAGAAGGAGTGAAGCTTGAACCTGACGTTGACATCCGGCACCAACAACACGCGGCAGGTAATGTAAAATGATATGCGCCCCAGGTTCTCACTTATATGCATTCTCCTCCGCCTTTGTCTTCGCCCCTTCTTCACTTATCCCGCCATCACAGTCCGCTTCCACCTACCCGACCTCCTTTGACTCAGGCCGTCCCAGACTTCAAGCCGCATCGTGCAGGAAGTTGGGAAATATTGGTTCTTGACCCGTCGCCAAGAGGTGACCGGCGACATTCCTCCATGTAGGCAGCTCGAGGGCGACCGTGGTACAGCTATTCTAGTCTAGGACCAAAGAGGGCGGCATGCAACCTTTGCTTCCTCCATCTCCGGAAGCGAGGGATTGGCATGGATTATCGTTGGCTGAAGACCTGGTCCCCGCATCCGCAAAGGCGGCTTTGACAGCAGCGCACCTCCACTATCGAGCTAGGAGAAGCCGGTTTCTCGTGCAGTAGTCTGAGCCAGCTGGCGGACGAGAATACTGGCTGATCCCACGGTCGGAATATCATGCCTCTATTCAGCCGTGCTGAGATCGTTGAGCTGAGAGAACAGGTCAAAGTGCCCTGCAGTGGCCGGTAGCATTGGGGTCCAGCAGCTACTTTATAGGATGTCCAGATCCACTGAATACGGCATAGCGTCCATAACAGAAATAGAAACGAACATCCTAACCTGTTCCCTAGATAATAAGAAACCTGGTTTATGCTCCTTCTCTAGCAGTGAAGATGGTTTGCCTCTTGAAGAGTCTGTCAACTTACGTCATGCTGAGCGAGAAACGGAGCAGATCAAAGACAGTGCGTGACTCAATACCTCCTGTTGTTTTACCCTCAACTTGCCCTATTACCTCATGTACATATGTCGACACAGAATTTATCCTCAACCAACTGATTGGCTCTAGCATTCCGGTCGCATGAGCACTCAACCTCCCCGCAATCCGCAATGCCATCTCGGAACCAGAAGAAGCTTTCCGGCTTGTGTATCCGCCGTATCCACCACCATTACCCTTCACACCCCCATCAGAGCTGTTGAGTAGTCACACAAGGAACTTCTAACTTTTCGACTAACGGCCACACCTAGGTAATTATCCTCAGATTTTATCACAGTTCTACTGCAATGCTAATGAGCGTCTGAGGAGTACAGACTATTGAGGCCTGGTGCGATGCATCAATTCGCAGATTACATAAAGCAGTGACCGCGAGCCGACTGTCACGCTACGGTGGTTGCCAACAACCACACATCTTCCGTAGTATAGTGGTCAGTATGTGAGCTTGTCATCAGACTGCAAAGTCGCTGACATCGCTCGAGACCCGGGTTCAATTCCCGGCGGGAGAGGCCATCTTTTTTCGCTTCTTGTTCCATACCCCTCTCAAATGCCCCTAACACACGGTGTTTCCCCATCCACTCATTCACCGGTGATCTCTGGTACGCCGAACTCGCATTGGGAACCAAGGGGTAATTTTTTACTTCTGTTCATTGGTACTGGTACTGACGTTAAATAACATGAAAGTAGTCCGTAGATCATATCACCCTTTTAGCCATGTCCGAACCGTAAAACTCACTTAAGTACCTGAGGTACCCAATCCCAAACGCCAACCGCTCAACCCACATAACAGAATATATGATAAATCAGAAAGAAATGGTAAGAAGAGTCCAGAGTCCACCCCTCGCCTCACCGTCCCCTTCCCCGCCAACCCTCCTCCTCACCGCATGTGCTTCTTCATATGTCTCTTAAGATTATCCCCGCGGCCCTCGTAGTCACAATGCGGGCACTTGGCCCGCTCCGAGGGGATGTTGTGCAGCTCGGCATACTCGCGGTGCCTGGTCCAGAAGTGGCGGTGGAGAGCGCGTTGGTCGGCGTGGCCTTTCCCACACCCCTGGAGGTGACAGCGGAAGGGTTGCCGGTGAGTGCTGCGCTCGTGTTTTCTGCAGGTAGCAACCACGTTAGACTTGCCTCGTTGATTCGAGGAGACTTGGGGGACAGGGGAAGCTAACTTCAGATCAGATCGGCGGGAGAAGACCTTTGTACACGAGGTCTCGGCGCAGCGGTGGACTTGGCGGGGCGCGGAAGTGGCTGGGGAGCGCGACGCCGGGGAAGTACCGGCAGTCGGAAAAGGGGCGGGGCTGAAACGTTCCAGGGGAGAGCTGGTGCCGGAAGTGAAGTCCAAGACACTGTCCACGGGGCTTTCAGAGCCGACTAGGCTTGGGGTTCCGAAGGGATCCAGGAAATCGGAGCCGAGTCCCCAGTCGAAACTAGCAAGCATTTCCGTATCCAAGCAATTGTTAAAAGTTTCCATGGACATAGCGTGGTCTGGTGCTAGATCGACGGTGGACAAGTCAAGATCTCCTGAACAGGCATCCAACATCGCCTTGAAGTCGAATCCCTCAAAAGGATTCACCAAACCTTCGTTCGGCATGTTGGGGCCGTCGTGACTCATCGGTGAGTCGGCAAAGACCGGCGAGCCAATCCATGGCAGGCTCGGCTCGCTGGTTTGCGAACTCCCCGCGCCGAGGGAAGGGCATACTGGATTCTGATAGGAAGAGGACGGTGCCGGAAGACCCGACATGTCGAGAATGTGTTTCGGAACCCAAACCCACTCCCCTTGCTCCTCCAAGGAGCGAGGGTGGTGGGCTCGGGCGCAGGACGCGTTGTTTTGCATTGTTGATGCCCAACTCACGTTGCCGTGAGTCGGATATGCTCTCTCGAGCTAACGATTCGACTAGGTGTGGTATGGTAGTGGAGCTGGAGCTCTGTCCGAAGACGGCAAAGTTCTGTTGGCGATGACAGATACGGACCAGTTTAACGACGTGATCCCAGGTCGGGGAGGCTCAATAGATTGCTCGTGGCATCGCTTTCCAGGACGAAGCCCTGTCCAAGCAGAGCTGGCGGCCGCCGTAGTAGCCATAGGCCGCTCCGACAACACTGACCATCAGTGCCCAAAGGACGTCGGATTGGCACAGATCAGCTGGGTCCTTTCCGCCGGTTTTCTTGGCGCGGACTGCTTCCTTCGGCTCAGCTTGTGGCATCTTGGGCTTCTCCTTTCCCTCGGATCCGAAACTCGTGTCCTCCGCTTCCTTCGTCCCAGGCTGGGATCCCACCGCCCATTCGGCTTTCGTGGTGCTGGGGGCCTCGAGACAGGCGTAGTTGTTACGACACGTCCCTAAGGGGTCGGCTTCTTCAGCATCAGGGCCGAGTTGCTCGTGGATTCCTTCCAGAAGACCATGATTGGCGGAAACGAGAGCGACGCTCCGGAGGAGCAACTCGTCCAAAATTCGACCCGGGCGATGGAGCGACAGAGGGATCTCCCGGCTGGTCGATGGCACGTTCCGCCTGCAGGGAGACGTGCTGTCGAGCACAAGCAAACCCTTTTCGTAGCGTGTACACTCTGTTCCCTCGCCTCCAGCTTTCGCATCAAACCCCCTGCGCATCACGGCAACACTGTCACCTGGTCCTGCACAGCGTTCCCCCCCTGCCGCAGCATCGGAGGGCAGCAAAGTGTGGAGGGCGACTAGCTGGCACTGCAGTGTAACCATTCTCCCTTGGGAGGAATAGAATGTACAATCAGTTGAGTGGAATGCTGGGGCTGTAGAGGAAGAGGACGGGAGGCACCGAAGACGTCGAGGTGACCGGGTCCGGCGCGACGGTGACTCAGGGGGCTTGCCATGGCCGACGTTCAAGGCGGCATGAAAGTCACGCGCAATCCTTGAGACGAGGTAGGTCGTCTGGGGCAGGAGCGCAGAGCTGATCCCGGTTACGCCGGCGCCGAGAATGGCCACTCGACGGTCATTGTCTGCAGCGGGCACATCCCGTAGGACAGCCTGGTCTCCCGGGGGGGCTGGAATTGGAGTCGCAGATGCCGCAGATGCAGCAGATCCATTGTCCACGCACCCATTGTCAGGTTTCTAGAGCAACAGTTAGAACAGAGAACGGGGGTGGTGTTGGTATCAGTCACAAGTTTCCGTACTGGATAGGGCATTGATGATGCTGGGACACGCGGAGGCTTCGGGGCCGGTAACATGTAGCTCCCGCAATGCGGTGCGAAATGTCGATTATGTGGTTTGACGAGCACAACTAAACAAAACAATCAAAGTATGCGGTGTAATTGGCGAACAGTTCGAAACTACACAGTATGATGGCGGTTGACGTGGAAGAGAAGAGGGTGAGGTGGGGACCAACGTCGCGGTGGTGAGTCAATGGATTTAAACGGGCGCCTCAGGACACAAGGGTGCCACAAGGATGCTGATCGCTCTGCAGATGACGGGGCTTTCTGGGGAGGCTTAAAGCACCATGGGCAATTTCATTCGTTGACCAAGTGAGGACAGCAGGAGCAAGCAGCCGTCCTCAATTGTGGCGGTGCTCGAGGTACGGATTACGCCGTACTAGCATGCATTCCAAATCTGACCCCACTTGATCTGTCTTATTATCGCGCAACTCACCTCACAGCCCCACCGGCCGAGTACGCGACAACAAAACGCCTCGGGTACGCCAACAACACCTTCCCGTCTTGCGCCCGCGCATACTCCCGCCTCAGCCGGGCCTTGTACTCTTTCAGGAACGTGTCCCTTAACCTCTCATCCGGCAGCAAATTCAGGTAGGGCTGCAACCCGGTCCCCTTCACCCACTCCACAATGTCCTCGTAAGCGTCTAGCACGTGCACGTAACGCGTCGTCCAGGTCTCAACGGCGCGACAGTGCGGCATGAGCGCATTGTAGTACTCGATTGGCTCCTCGGTCTCATCGATCCACGGTCGCTCCTCCCTGGGCAGATCTTTGAAATGGAGCGCCAGCGAGCTTGTTTTCATCATGTCGCGCATCGCCCGATGCGATCCCTCGTGGTAGTTATCCGGCATCTGCAACGCGAGGATCCCGCCCGGCTTCAGGGTGCGGAGGAGGCGCGTGATGTGGAAGATGCGTTCATCCTGACGCAGCCAGTGGAAGACTGCGTTGGAAAAGAGGAGGTCCACGCCCGGTGGTGGCTCGTACCAGCGCAGGTCGGCTTGGGTGAAGTCGATGTTGGGCAGCGCGGTGCGCGCCCTGGCTAGCATCGCAGGCGACGAGTCGACGCCGGAGATCTTTGCGTTGGGAAATCGCTTGGCGAGGAGTTCGGTGCTGTTTCCTGGTCCACAGCCGAGGTCGATGATAGAGCTGGGCGAATACTCCGGACTGAGGAAGGCGATGAGGTCGTGGATCGGGCGGTTGCGGGCGTCGGCGAAGAGGAGATACTGGTCCGGCGACCAGTCACTGCCTCGTGTTTCGCTGCCTGTGGATTTGGACATTGCAGCTCTAAATTGTGTTGGTTGCAGATGCCACTGAGGCACAGTAGGGTGACCGGGCCGGAGGTTACTAGCAGTCGGTAAGCGCCGACACGAGCGAAAGAGGAACGAGATAGCGCGGTTTACGGCCATGACTCAATTGACCAAGTGGTTTGAAAGCCAAACGCAGTCTCTTTCTCTTTCTCTTTCTCTTACACTGGATAGCGTTCAAAACCAACGGCATCGGGCGGGGGTGCTGATCTGCGCTTGTTTTGAGCAGCGCGCAAAGGACGGAAGATCGAGCCGGGACCGCCGGCCCGGATAACAGTAATGTGTGCTTATGTAAGCATATAACATATGGGGTAGGTTAGTAGGTAAGGTAGTTAAGAGGGAACTTGACGTACATTATTGGAATTGTGAGAGTGCGTGAGAAACAAGACGAGGAAGGATATAAGAATGTAACGAGAGAGAAATACATGCCAAGAAAGGAGGAATGCCATGGACAAGACACAAAGAGCCACAAGAGACAGCGAAGTATGTCCCCAACCACCTTCATCTGAACAGACTGTATTCTCAGGTAAAGAGCTGATTTTAAATTGACACGGTATGAGGCTAGCTACCTTGCCTAGACACCTTTGCTATCGTCAGGTACTACTCCTGTTGCGCTGCCAGAGTCTTCTGCCCGATTCTCACCAAGTCCTCGTTGCGAAGTGTGTCCTTCTCAAACCCACTTACAACCTGGTCAAGGAGGGCCGCAGCTATCTCGCTGACTTGAATCCTTGGGAGGCCGATAACGGAAGTGAACACCTGCGTGACCAATGTTGCCGGCTTGCCGGGGCCACTGATCAGACCAGGTTTGGCTGTGCAGGCCTCAACAGCGCCATCGGAGCGTTGTGCGTATTCAAGGATGCGTTCTTCGGCCTCACCCTGTGGAGGAGCAACAATAGAGTCCGAGTCAGCAGGCGGATCACTCGCCTTTGAGAACGGCTCAGATAATATGAGAGGGAAGTTGTACCCGCATCAGACAGTAATCGCCTAGTATCCAAGGCTTCTTCTTCGGATCTCTTTCCGCCCTGTCGCCGCTGATGTAGACAAAGCGAAACGGCTTATCCTTCTGGCTCTCGTGGACCAACTGCGAGATAGTCTCGATGCCCCTGATGGCATAGTCACGGCAAACTTTAATCGTCTGCTCCCATGAAAACAGTTTCGACTTTGATGGCGTGATGGCAATTGTCCTGTCATAAGACGCGACAAGGCAACACGTAAGCAAATCTAGCGGACATCTGATCTGAGACGATCCGGCGGGCGGAGGAGAGGGGATGAGAGTACCAAATGCAAGCATCGGCACCGGACAGCTCTTTCTTGACATGGTCCGGGTACTCTTCGCCAAGGTCATCCACAGTAACGGACCTAAGCTTGGTCAAGTCGGCGCGCGACCCAGTGCTTTGCGGTTCCGGCGCTGGGCGACGACCGAGGGCAACGACGGATGTGATGGATGGGTTTGACAGGGCTTGACGGATGACTTCGGTAGCCACGAAGCCGGTGGATCCGGCGACTACGAGCTTCATTGCTAGGTATTCAGCTGGTCAGTACCTTAGGTATATGGCGAGAAGCGTCTCGGATTGTAAAATGTGGTACGTTCGATGGGAAAGGTTCTTGATAAAGAGAGGGGAACGGAGCTTCTAAAAATAAATCTGACATAATCAACAGCAGGGCACTAAAGTCATGTATCAAAAAAGATACCTGAAGTTGACACTCCCATCTTGACACCCACCCAGGTTGCCACCCTGTTTTAAAGAATCAGCCACAAATCAACCAAAGCACTTAGCCCGGTCTACGAGTCTACGCCTGGCCGCTTGATTCTACATACTACAAGCCTGTTTCTCTAGGTACATACAATCATACATTTCCTTGTATAACTCGCTTCGGTCACTGATACAGTACCTTGGTACCTATTTACTTATTAACTATGCAAAGATGCCATAGTGTCCCTACCTGTCAAGTATCCGTCTCATGCTCTACTACTTCAAGCTCTGTTCAGCTGTCACATAATGAGAACCGAGACTGCAGCCCTGGCCCCTATGCCAATGCTGACTTGTTATCAGAGCCTTAGCAGTTAGATGCCACCTCAGCCCCCTCTGTTGTGCATATGGAGGGGGTGCGAAGATACTAGTACTTATTGAAACTATGGCTCATGGGCATCCTCGCCGCTGGATTTCGAATTGGCGCTTACTTAGATGGTGCTGCCCTTGCCGCCACTCTGGTTTCTTTACGCCGTATCTCGACGCTTGGGATCACCGTTGTATTTGAGTCCGCTTGTTCCCTCGCGCATCTAGGAATACCAGCGGCGATGAGAAAGGAATGAATCTTCGACATCGCAGTCTAAGTTATCGCTTTTGCCCACATAAGCGTAATAGGCGAGACCTTAAACCACCAGCTATTCACGTTCAGGTCCGCTGGCTCAATGGCAGAGCGTCTGACTACGATGTGTTAATCAGGAGGTTCCAGGTTCGACCCCTGGGTGGATCGTCTTTTGCCAATTCCCACGACCCCGACTTCCTTTTTTCCCCCCTCCCATGGTCATGGTGTACTAACCAGCTGCTCAAAGATCAGTAGCCAATTAATGTTGTTCATTTCTGACATTTCTTTCTCCTTTGCCACTTCGTCTCTACTGCTATGTAGCAGTAGTATCCTTTAGCTTTCCCTAGGCCACGTTACCATCTTTTGCTGTTGATGTTCCTTCGTCCTGTTCATGTTTTGTACGCACTTACTTTACTACCAGGTACTAGGCAGACTAAAGGTTATAGTCTTCGGAGGTGGTAAAGCACCGTGTTCTGCCCAAAAGGTCCGGGCCTATTTCACCCAGGACTCCACACCAGCAACTCGCCATACGGGAACAACTGCTTGGTGTAACCGAGAAGTAGGAAAAGCAGAGTTGGGGGAGCCGTGATTTATTAATATAACTGATCGTACTAGTATTGGATCCTACCTATGACATCTGTAATCATGAGGGATGTGTCATGTGTCTACTTGCATGGGGTGTTTAGGATGCTTGGGGTTATGCCACCCAGTTCGGGCAGATGACTTTGCGGAAGAATGTCCAACGAAGACATAGAGACATAGCGCATCTGTTGACCGTAGTAGTGATTGGTTCACAGAGCAGACGGCTGCTGGAGTTGTATTCCATAAGTCACAGACTCTATCAATACACCCGCCCATGCACAATCTGCGCCGCCCCCGGCGAATCCGAGGGCAGACTGAAACCTCGGCACGAGCATACGCGATATCGCCAGGGAGTAATCGGGATTGTTCAAGATATCACCATACAATTCCATCTTGTCGCCACCGGTCCGGTCATGTGCCCCTCCCTGTCACCTACCTCACCACTGCAACCCCCTTTCCATAGCACAAGATCCTAAGCCCCAACACCAACAACAACCACCTCCTGACTCGCCACCTGCACATCCATCTTTCCAGTCTCACCATCCGCTCTCTTACCATGATCACCAAGCACAACAACCTTCACAACCGCATCTCCATCCTTCCCATCCCCACCACCATCCCCACCACCATCCGCCTTCTTCTCCTCCGCCACAGCCGCCGCCGCCGCCGGCTGCTGCCACTTAAACGGCGGATCTCCCTCCCTGCCGAAATTCGTCTCAAAGCAAATCGGATCGTGCAGTCCCACAACAGGGAACAGCCTCCCCTCGACTCCCGTCACCACACTATCCAGCCGCTTGCCATCCCGCGTAAACCAGATCTCCCCCTTGCCCAAGTCCACACCACATCCCACCGTATCCCCCACAGCATAGCGGTACTCTTCATCCTCGAAATCTTCCCTGTTCGCCACCGAGGAATACACCCCGCCCGTGTCGGAGTGATACCCCCACGACTTGGCCGTGGACGGGCTGTCCGACGCGGCCGACCAGCCGGGAAACTCGAGCGCCGCGCCGCCGAGGGTGCAGAAGCCGATGGCCATCTCGGGCCACTCCGCTTTACCCTCTTCAATACCAGCAGGCAGCTCCTGCAGAGTAACCTCGAAATAATACCCCTCCAAGTCAGCAGGCAGCGGGCGGTCTGCCGAGACACACACGCGCTTGCCGCTGGTGTGTAGGACCTTATTCCTCCTCCGTTCTTTCCCTCCTCTGCCTCCTTCGTCCTCATCGTCACCGGACACGACGATGCTAATCGCCCCCGCGGGCGTCGTGCCGGGAAATTGGGTCTCCCACTTGCTCGGCAGCAAATTGGCACGCGCGGCGCGCTGCTTGAGGAACTGCTCGGCCTCCTTGTGGTGGAAGTGCCGCGCCAGGTTGAGCGGGGTCCAGCCGAAGTGGTCTGGGCGACTGAGGTCGGCATTGAGGCGCCAGAGCTGGGTGAGGAGCGCGACGCTGCCATTTGCGGCGCACACGGCGACCAAGTCCGCGTCGGCGGCGGCGGCTTCGGGGGAGGCGGCTATGAGGGTCGAGATGATTTCCTCGTAGGATGAGGTTTTGTTCGCGATGGACCACCGTTCGTAGGCGAGGGCGAGGGCGGTACGCGATTGGGAGTCGGTCAGGGACGCGTCGGCTGGCGGGTTCGCGGAGAGGAGGAGGTGCACGCAGGCCGCGTGGCCGTTCATGGCGGCGCGATGGAGGGGTGTCATGCCCTTCTTGGTGTCCTGGGCGTTGATATGCAAACTTGAAGGATCGTTGCGGTCCGAGGCTAAGCGAATAAGCCTGGACACGACGCCGTCGAAACCGTGGTCTGCCGCCTGGCGGAGGACGGTCCGTCCACTCCTCGTAGGCTTGTTGATATCTTCTAATAACAGGCCGCGTTCGATAAGAGCGTCGAGGATCAGTGACGCGGCCCCCTCGTTCCTGCTGAGACACGCGCAGAACAATGGCGACCAACCTGCGTGGTCGAGAAGGTTGACCTCCTTTGTGTACTCGAGAAGGACCCGAATAGTGTCGGAAAACCCCATTCTGGCAGCGGTATGCAGCGCCACTCTGTTCTGTTTATCGATGATGTCAGGATCTGCGCGATGTTCCAGCAACGTCCGGATCATATCGCTATAGTCATATAGCGTGGCTTCGTGGAGGGCGGTCGTGCCGCGGAAGTCGATGTCGTCTATATCGAGACCCTCGGACTGCAGTATAATCTTAAGAACCTCGCGCTGGCCGCTCGAACAGATAATCTGCAGCGGCCTCCTAGACCCGGCGTCTTCCGAATGCAGGTTGGCCCCTTGTTTGATGAACGCCTCCAGCAGCGGGCCAGGCACCTCTCGCCTCATGAGCACCATGTGCAGTGGTGGAAACTTAAAGGGATCTTCCGGGTGCACTGCGTTAATGTCCGCCCCGCAGCCCAATAGAAGGTCGAGAACCTCAGGGTCCTCCCCTCTGCTGGCGAAATATTGTAGCGCATTGTAATGGTCGAACGAGCTGCTCACTTGGGGGTCGGCTTTGTACTCTAGGAGCATCCGCGCTCCTTCGACGGTCACGTCACCGCACATGAACCACAGCTGAAACGCACTGCGACCGACGCCATTCTCCGCATTGACATCAGATCCCGCTTCCAGCAGTAGCTTCATGGTTTCGAGCCCGCCTTCTGAGCACGCCGCGGCTTGCAGCGGACTGAAGCCATGTGACAACCCATTCGGTTCCTCCCCGCGATTGAGGAGGTGACTCGTCCAAGAAGTAAGGCCGAGAGAGGCGGCCACATGCAGTGGTCTGTGATCGCCATCGCCGACGCTGAAATAGCTGTCGTTACGGAAGAGGCCATCCTTCTCGTGCTTCTCGGGGTACTTCCGTTGCCAAGCAGCGAAGACCTCGGGCGTCTCAAAGACGAGCTTATCGAGTTCGCCCATTAGAGCAGCCCACTCAGGACTCTCACCACGTTCCTCTACAGGCCACAGCTCCTCAGCTTGACGTATATGCGAAGGCCAGAACTGGATCTCGTATCGAACGCGGGTGGACTCGTCATCGTCGCTTTCGTCATCGTCTTCAGAGCCTCGGTCGACCAAGCCATCAAATTGAGGTTCAATGACGTCTTCGTCGTCCATGGAGTCCTCGGTCTGATAGCCATCCTGAGCGTCTTGGCTAAGGTCCTCCTCGTCTGCCTCGTTCTCGGGTGAAACTTGCTTTTCTGCCTTTTCCTGGTCCATTGCCTCGTCTCCATCTTCCCTACTCTCTGCCGCGTCCGCATTTTCAGTTTCCACGCCACTGTTCACTTGCCCGGCAGTGGTAACTAACCCTGCCCTCCTCTGGAAGAGCGGGTGGTTTAGATGACGGAGACACGTTAGAGCCATTTGCAGATGTCCTTCCTTGGGATCAACCTGCAATAGCTTTCCTGAATCCCGGGACGATCCGCAGCGAGCGCAGAGATGATCGTGATCTTGCGACTCTTCCTGCACCTCGCTGCCCGACTTGAGGAAGAAATCAGGAACGGCTACCGGGTCGGTTTGATACATTTGGAAGCCGTCAGGGCCTGGAAACAACCCCAAGAAGGGGTCTGTGGCTTCCCGAAGCTGGTCGAGCTCAAGACGCGAAGCCGGTGGGAAAGCGTCGGCTTCCTCAGGTGTGGCCGTCTCGGGAGGAATGTCGTAAGTCCCTTGGAAAGAGTCCATAACCTCTCTCGCATACGGAAAGTCAGGGCTCAGAAGCGTCCAGGTGAGGGCGGTACGGAGGAGGTCGACATAGTTAGGGCTCATCTTGCTCAGCGCCGTTTTGTAGGTGTCGCTTATGCCGCCAGGCAAGGCCTCCAGCCGCTTAGAGATTGGTCTCTGAAAGGGCTCCCGCATGAAGGGGATGGCAGTGTCCATCAGGTAGACGAATCGTGAGCCGGCTTTCTCGAGGATCCGAGTCATGGCCTCCTCCCTCTCAGCGGCTGACAGGCCGGCGATGTCATTGAGCGCGTTTGTGAGAACAAGCTTCATGTCTTCCCGATTGCCGAAGCCAACGTCAAGAGGCCAGCCGCCAGACGCATCCACTTCATTAAAGAACTTGGTCGCCGAAGCACACCCGACGAGGATGTGAAGGCAAACGCCTGTTTCCTCAGGAAGTGCGCGAATGAGGCTCTGGAACTTCCGTAGAAGCTCTTCCTGGTTCCTGTCGTCCACCGTATTCCGATCCAGACCGTCCACGATGACCACCAGGTTTTTCTTGAGGAGGCAGGCGATCCGGGAGAATCCCTCGGAAAACTCGGGTAGGCCGGTGTTTTCGCCGCGCATGTAGCTTGGCAGACCAATGCTCCGGTCTTTGGCCTTCTTGAAGACGCTATTACACGCCTCAAGCAGACCGATATTGTCTTCGCCCTGAACGGCGAAGTCGTAGAGCTGTGACAGAAGAGTGCGGCAGATGCTGTCTGCCGTGTATGACTGGCTGCTGCTCAACCCGTGGCCGCTTGCCGAGCTACTGCATGTCACGTACAGTAGCGACCTCCCGGAGTCGACAGCTTCCATGGTGCGTTGAGCGATGGATGCTAACACGTAGGACTTGCCGGAACCTGAAGGATTGTCAGTAAGGCTCCTGAGGCCGTAACTCTACATAGGATAGCAGCATGAGGCTCACCTTCCGGCCCTGTGACGCAGAGGAGAGCGCTCGTAGCAGTATCCTCCCACTGCCTGTACAACGGATCTTCAAACACCCATTGACAGGTTCCGGGGTATGTCGAATCGATAATGTTTCCGAGTACGTCGAAAGAAGCTTCCAACGGGCTCAGGTCCTTCTGGAATGTTTGGAAGTCGGACACACAATAGTCCCAATGAGTCTTGCGTTTCGTTGATGCCTTGATGTCCTCCAAGCCCTTGATTAGAGTGTCGAACTTGGCCATGGCTTCTTCATGCAGCTTCTTTTGGGTGTCCTGGAAGTCCCTCACATGCCTGACGGTGCCCTCAATACTAGCGAGGACGGTGGACATGCCTTGGAGCTGCGTAAGCGTCTTATCCTGGAATGCAGCCGCACTCTCCTCAAGGATCGCCTTCTTCAGCGCGGCCACCTTGCCAAGCTTGGCCTCAAACTTTTGCTTCGAGAGGCCAAAGAAGTCCTTGAAGCCATGCTTGATGCGAGTCAGGGCGCCGGCGGTCAGGTGGCGCTTGATGGTAAAGGAGAAGTCCAGGACGGCAGCATAGGCACTAACAACGTCCTGCAACAGCTTCTCGACAAGAGGGCTGGGCCTCCATTGGGGGTTCGACCTCTCGTCGTAAAGGCGGTCGTAGTGACGCACGAAGATCATAATCTCGCTGACATCACTCAGGCCAGAGCCGAAGAAGGTGTAGAGGTCGTAGTTGGAATGGATGGCAGTCAGGGTGAGCTTGACGGCGTACCAGGCCATGCCGACGCTCTCGGGAGCGTTCTTGGTGACAAAGTCGCCGGCGGCCACGAAGTACTCGATGTTGGCCATGATGTTGTCGATCCAGTCGCCCGGAATCTCGGCGTCGCCGATCTTGCGACTTCCATACTTCTTCCCGGCGTCGGCCTGCAACATCTCGGCAGCTCGCTTCGTCTCTTCGGGAGTGGCTCGCTCACGCAAGAACTCCTTGAGCAGCTCAGTGTCCTTGGGACTTGAGTGTTCCTCGGACGCCTCCTTGCGGAAACGGGCCAGGGCCTCATCATACAGACTGCGCTTGTCCTTATCCTTGCCCTTATCCTTGTCCATGGCGGCGTCTATGTCGGGGCGATTGCGAATTTGCGAAGGCCGATGTGCGGGACGAATTTGGCATCCTCGGGATGACAAGAGACGCTGGCGAGCACACCATGATGTTAGGACTTGGTCCCGGCCGACTCTTATACGCCGTTCCTGTCATGATGGCCTCTCCATGTCCCGTGCTTGGCGTGAAGCGTGGGTGAAGAGGGTGGATGCTCAGGAAAGGGGTTCGGCTGCCGCTGATTTGTTGAAGCGCAAACAGTGCTGTGTCATCCAGACCGCAAAGCTGCAAACGCAATTGGCCTGACGTCAAGCTGGCTTTTTTATTTCGGTGCCTAGAATGAATCCGGCTGCGGTCAGATTTTGGGTTGCTACATGTGAGGTTCATACTACAGTAGTAGTAGTACACCGGTAGTATGATCAACAGATGACTTCCCATTGTCTGGGTCGCTCCTGCCTGAAGGTATTGTCCTCATGCAGTGTTGCTGACCCACCTTTCTCGGAGTTCAATCCAATCGTACGGGCGCCTAGGATTAGAGAATTGGTCCGATCACGACATCAGAGGGAAGAAAAGATGCACGCCTGGTTGATCCGAAGATTTCGGTGCTATTTACAACAGAGCCAGCTTGGCGTGGCATTTTCAGGGGCAACACCGCGATTTTCTCAATCCTGCGAGTAACCCGTGCTCATCGTTTCCCGCGACCAACCAGTTGATTCAAGTCCCCAATTCATCCTCATCCTCGTCCTCCTAGCTATCGGACTTGATGAGACATAATATTCACTGCGACAGCAGCTGGACGATGGCGTTGTACGCAGCCTTGGGGTTGTAGTTGCTGTCGAAGAGGAGCGGGTTGCCCTGTGGACGCCACGAGTCCTGCGAAGCAAGGTCAGCCCGACTCGTCGAAAACGGAACCGGATAAGAAGGAGAAAACTCACGTTGTCGCGGACGCCCCAGACGGTGATGCCCACGCACTTGGGCTCGTCCAGGCAGCCCTTGGTGACGGCAGTGTAGTCGTTGACATTGTTGTTCTGGATATCCAGCTCGGTTACGGCAACCTCGCTAACGCCCGAGGCCGCGAGCGCCTTGATAGCACCAGCCAGGCCGCTGCCCTGGCCGGACTGCAGGTGGCCCTGTGTGCCGATGCCGTCGATGGGGATGCCGGCCGCCAGCCACTTCTTGACGTGGTCTACCATGCCCCTCGTCAACTTGGCCGCGTTGGGGCTGTCGAGGTTGTAGTCATTGATGTACAACTTGGCGTCGGGGTCGGCGGCGCGGGCGGCCTTGAAGGCGATGCCGACGAAGTCTTCACCAAGCACCTGGGAGAAGACACTGCTGCGAAGGGAGCCGTCTTCGTTGAACATCTCGTTGATAACGTCCTGTTATCATTTTCTCTTGTCAGCACGCGTCCGAGTGTATACACTGGGGGTAGCGTTATGGGGCGGTGCGCACATATCCGTAGATCTTGCCCTTGTACCGCGTCATGACCGTCGTGATGTGGTCCTGGATGACCTGGGTCAAGGTGTTACGGTCGCGGATGTTGCCGACCCAGCCGGCCAGCTGCGAATGCCAGACAAAGGTGTGACCGCGGATGGTCTTGTTGTTCTGGGTGGCCCAGTTGACGAGGTAGTCGGCCTGGCCCCAGCTGTAGCTGCCCCGGTTGGGGTTGATGGACTGCCACTTCATGCTGTTCTCGGGCGTCACCTGGCCGAAGTTGGCCTGGATGATGGCCGCATTCTTGCCCGAGGTGAGCCGGCCTTGGTCGGTGCAGGTGCCGTAATAGAGCTTGCCCTTGGCCTTGAACAGCTGGTCGATGCTCTGAGCTGCCTGGCGGGTATCGAGGGCCGGTGCTGCCAGGACGGCGAGCGGCGCCAACAGGAGCATAAGACTGGCCTTCATTGTGGTGACGACTGACTTCGAAAGGACCGAGATGAGGCTTGACGAATTCCGCGTCTGTCAGGGACAACCGAGATCCTGGGAGCGGACGAGGGATGCCACCATATATGCTCACCATCCCGGGCACTCGTCACCCTGACATTAATCTACTGAAAATGGCAAGGGAGCCGCTCATCCCGGCCTTCCCCTTATCCGCGCCTATTGTAGTCTCCTGGTCAGAGGGTGTTGAGGAAAAGGTAATACTTGCGACGGGTACCTGCCATCTTCCCGTTGCACTGATGAGCCTGCTTCTTCCCCCACACTTGCATGATTACATCAAGCCCGGAGGCTCCAATTACGGGGGACATGAATACCACACGACGTCGGCACATCGCGCGGGGCCCCGCGATGTAATGCGACTTCAGCGGCGTCGAGCATATCGTTCTCCATTTTAGCCGCATCGCCGGGGAACGGTTAAAAGGACCTCGCCCCTGGGCTCTTTTTGCCAGATGGTAGATCACCATACAATATCCAGCATTGCCACCGTCGTCCCCACCGGGCTCTTTATATCCTACGTTCCTTAAGCATCTGCAACATGATGAACCTCTCAAATCAAATCGCCGAATGCCCGAAAAGGAATCATTGGTGCGCGTGTCAAGCCAGGGTCATTTACTGGGACGGAGCTCGGGAATAGTCGCCCTATTCGGGGGGATTGAGGTTGAAGCTCGGTAGCTGAGCCTTCCGCGGAAGGAGATGAAAGCCAAAAGAATACAAGAGCCTGGTGTGGAAGAATGGCCCGTGTTTATCTGGTTGCAAGACCGAACTCAACCGACGAAGAAACCCAGACTCAAACCCGCGTCATTATCACCAAGTAGCACGCGGGGAGCCGTCAAAACGTTGATGGCAGTGCCTAAGACAGGTTCCGAAACGGGGAATATTCTGCTGACGTTGACAGCTGGCACACTCTGCAAGTAACGGTACAGTGTACACAGGAATACAGGGAGGTAGACTGGGAATTGATGCTCTCTGGACATAAAGGGCCGCTGCTTTCAAGGACTCAGTCTCTTCCCCGACCAAAGAGCTCAACAACCTGTGTGACCCCTCCATGCAATTCACATCGCACCACGCTTTTGTTTCCCAAGGTCTCTACCATATGTATCTGAACACACCGAAACGCCCCGTGCTCATCATTAAACAACTTAGATACATATACATATATGTACGTACATCTACACTACAGTACATGCATTAATGTACTTATACAGACTGACGCTCAGTTCATCTCGTCAAAGCTCACTTCGACAAGAACTTCTGAAACGCCGCCTGCTCGATGACGACGTTGCCCACGGCCCTGAGGCGCTTCCGGCCCGCCTTCTGCTTCTCCAGCAGCTTCCGCCGGCGGGTGATGTCGCTGGCATGCAGCTTGGCGAGGACGTCCTTGCGGAAGGGCTTGATGGTCTCGCGCGCAACAATGCGCTTGCCGGCGGCGGCTTGGATGATGACCTCTACATAAGTAGTACAAAAAGTGTCAGTGAGTTAGAACCGCACCAATAATAAAGCAAGAATATTGGGTGGAGGGGGGCAGGGGGAAAAGGGGGAGAGACAAAGGAAGACTGAGAAGAAGAATTGAGAAAAGAAAACGCACCAAACATCTGCCTCTCCACATGCTCCTTGAACTTGGTCACCCACTGCCGGCCCAGCCTCTCCACCTGGCTGGAGTGCACGACGCGCGCGATCGCGTCGACGGGCTTCTTGTTGACCAGCAGGTTCATCTTGACCAGGCCGCTCTCGCGCCACCCGGCGTCCTCGTAGTCCAGCGTGGCGTACCCCTTCGTCGCACCCTTGAGCTTGCCGAACAGGTCGTCCACCAGGCTGGACATGGGCACCTCGTACTTGAGGATGACCTGCGTGGCGTGGAAGTACTCGATGCTCTTCTGCATGCCGCGCGCGTTCTCGCAGATCTCGATGACCCGCCCCAGGTACTCGTCCGGCAGCGTGATGGTGGCCAGGACAAAGGGCTCGTAGATGGTGGCCCTGCGCATGCGGACGTCGTCGTTGTCCGGGAACTCGGCCGGGTTGGTGATGATGGTCTCGGGCCCGCCGTTGTTCCAGACGATCTTAGTGGGGACTGCAGGCTCGGTGATGATGATATCGGCTCCGTGCTCCTGCCGCAGCCGGTCTTGGAACACGGAGCAGTGCAGGCTCCCCAGGAACCCCAGCCGCCATCCGGCCCCGAGCGCTTCCGAGAAATCCTTCTGCAGCGTCACGCTGCGGTCGTTGAGCACCAGCTGCCCGATGCTGTCCGCCAGCTTGTTGTAGTCGCCCTGGTCCGTCGGAAAGGCCGCCACAAACACCATCGGCTTGGGCTCCTCAAACCCGGGGTACGGCTCCACCGCGTCTTCCGACCCGGCCGTGGTAAACGTATCCCCGATCTTCGCATCCTGAATCTTCTTCATGCCCGGGTTGAAGAACACATACCCGACCTGCCCCGCCCTCAATACCTTCTGCGGCACCTGGTTGGGGTACTGTATCCCAACCTCGCCCACGGTATACTCATTCCCCGTCCCCAAGCTCACCAACCGATCCCCGGCCTTGATCGTCCCGTCAAACACCCTAACAAGCAACACCACCCCCTTGAAGTGGTCATACCACGAATCAACGAGCAGCATCCTCAACGGCTTCTTGGTATCGCCCACGGGCGCCGGGACCAGATCAATGACCGCCGGCAGGATATCGCCCACGCCCTGCCCGGTCTTCGCGCTGACCCTCACGGCGCGGCTGGTATCCAATTCAAACACGCTCTCCAGCTGGCCCAGCGCCCTGTCGACGTCCGCCGTGGGCAGATCGATCTTGTTCACCACGGGGACCAGCGCCAGGCCCTGGGCGAAGGCCAGGTAGAAGTTGGCGACCGTCTGCGCCTGCACGCCCTGCGAGGCGTCGACCAGCAGCAGGGCGCCGCCGCACGAGGCGTACGAGCGCGTGACCTCGGCGCGGAAGTCGACGTGGCCCGGCGTGTCGACCAGGTGGAGCAGGTAGTCTTCGCCCGTGGCCGGGTGGCGGTAGATCATGGTGCAAGTTTGTGCCTTGACGGTGATGCCACGCTCGCGTTCGACGTCGAGTTTGTCCTGTCGCATTCATAAAGGGGGAGGGTGTTAGAGAAAAGGAAGGGACAGAGCGTGGGGGAAGGGGGCGGGAAGGGGAGGGAGGAGGGGTTGACGGAGCGCACCAGGATCTGCTTGTTAGCGTCGCTTGCAGAGATGGTGCCCGTGTGTTCGAGGAGCCGGTCGCTGAGGGTACTCTTGCCGTGGTCGATGTGTGCGACGATGCAGAAGTTGCGGTAGCGCTCGATGGGGATCGCCGCGATGCGTTTCTCGAGCTCGGCCGCGCGGCGTTGTTCGGGCCCGTCCTTGGCCGTGGTGCTGCTGGCGAGCCGGCATTGTTGTGGTGGGAAAACTACTACCGCGGGACGGGGGGGGGAGTATCTGGCAGCTAGGGTATGGCTGACATCCCATCGACGTCGAGGTCTGGGGACGCCGGCGAAGCAGGAGAAGCATCGCGTGCTACTACCGCTACCTGCCGCTGCTTCCCTTGCACGATGCAGTAGAGCAGGCCTCGGGCCCGGGGGCGGCGTCAGACGCACACGCCTCAGCCATGGTCCCATTCGTGTGTCCAGACCCGACACGCCACGCATCAATCGGCGCTCTGGGTCATGTAACGCTGGGCTGTGCTTGTTTTGGAACGCGGAGCTGTGGTGTTGCGCTTTGGTGGTCGTGGTTCGGGGTTGCGCGACCAAAATTTAGTGGGTCGATATGGACGCCAAGAACGCTGCTTCCATCGACGGACGGTTGTTATCTTATCAGATGGACAGCGCTCCAGGAATTATCAGTACAATGAGCACATACATTGCTTTGGGGATTCTCCATTGTGATGGAATAAGAGCAGTATATGCAATTCCTTCCATGAGAAGCTGTACCCTTCCGATTGCTGCCCCCCTCCCGAACCACAGCAACCTCTGTGGAGAAGAAAAGGTCTACAAGTCTAGATAAGAATAGTTGAGGGAACGCTCTGTACGTACAATACAAGTGGCTTCCACCATTGTATATCCCCCTTTCATCTCAAGCAATTATACAAGCAGCCAAATCAGCTATATACCGGCGACGACGTCTTGTTCATACCAGTCATGTGATACCCATCAGGTTTGTCCCACGATCATGCGCATCTTTCCTCCCCATCCGTCCATGCCTATTGTTCCACCGTCTGGTCTCCTCGGACGGCCACGATCTTGCTACCGATTACCTAGGCTAAACTCCCCGGCGTGCTTCACGCAAGCACCCACTCGCTGCCGCGCTTGATGAACTTGTCCAACAACAGCGTCAGGTCGGACAGCACAAAGCGGCATATATAAAATGTGAAGAAGTCCGTCGCATGCTTGGTGCACAGTTCGAGTCCAACTTGGGTCTTGTCCGCGTGGCGGAGGCCGGGGTCGTCGACCTGGCGGGCAATTTGGTCTGGAACACTCGTTAGCACTCCTTCACTGCCCCCGCGTATGCCGACATGCGCAATGAAAATCGGTCCAACTCACCAACTGCCTGCGCGGCATCGAACAACTTCGCCAGCGAAGCCATGTAATTCGCATTGGGTCCCGTAAACGCAACACTCGCGACATCCCGCTTCGTCGGCCGGCTTGTTGGGTGACTCGTCATGGGCAGGCTCGCCAGCATCGTATCCTTGCCCGTGGCGCCCTCGTGTAGGTTGGTCGAACTCGCGCCACCGCTGCCTCCTTTCCCACCGTACGATGTCGCCAGGCCAGGCAGGTTGGCCGAGCTGTTCTTGCTGCGCAGCCTCCGCCACGAAAAGCTGCTCGCCTTGCCCGCGACGCTCGCGGACCTCGGCATGGAGGCCGGGTCGGCGTCCACTGCGTTGGCGTCTTTGAACATGGACCCGGCGCCCTGCGGGCCAACCTCGCTGCCCAGCTTGCGCGAAAGCGTGGTCTTCACCTGCTCCAGCACGCCCTCGAGCGACTGCATCTCCTCCAGGACCGCGTCGGCATCGCAGGTGTCTACTCTGGCCAGCTTCTGCAGCGCAGCGGTGAGCAGATCGCAGTTGGCAATTTTATCTTCGATATTCCTGAGCTTGACCCCCTTGACGCGCCATACATCTCGCGGAACAAACAGCTTGTTGCTGAGGTAGCCTCCGCGCGGGTGGCAGAGGGTTTGGTACAGGCAGCGCATCAGCCAAAACGGCCGCAGCATAACATCGCTTGGGCACGGTTCAAGTGGCGCCGGGGCATCTGGGGCGAGCACATTCGGAGACCCAGGGGTTTCCGACGAGTGGAAATTGCTCTCGAACAGTTGCAACCCACCAGGTGTGGTACTATTTGCCCGCTCCTTGACGCCTGGCGGAAGGGATGGGACGGCGGGCAGCCGTGCACCGAATTGGGTGCTTAGTGGTGTGCCTGGCGATAAGTCGGAAGTTTCTTCCAAGTGCGATATGGATGGATTCCGCGACCTCAGGCTCTTCAAACTCGAGGATGAGTAATTCTTCCGTAAGGCTGGACGCACGATGGAAGGAGTGCCCACACGCGGGTATTCCTCTTGGGGCGTGGTCATTGGAGGTAAGTCGTCCGAATCCTCTCCCGGCACTCCAGGCGGAATAGGCGAGGGACCTGACCTTGATGTGAGCGGTCCAAGGGTGCGATTGGCACCCGCTGAAAGGGCTTGACGCTGCTGCACGATGTAGTTGCCCGATTTCGACTGAGCTGGGATGGCACCGCCCGTCGTTGCTGGTGCTGCTGGTGCACTCGGTGCAAGCTTCGTCGTTTCGATTTTCAGCTCCTTCGGGTTCTGCCCGGAAAGCCGGCGATTGCGCACGCTTTGGCCCGAGTTTTGCGAACCAGCTGAGCCCGGCGGCGGGGGCAATTCCGACATCGCATGGGCGGGTAGCGCTGGCAACGGACCCGAAGGCTTAGAAGGGACATTGTCTTCGCTTACCGTAGTAAGGAGAGTCGTAGCGGTCGTCGGGTTCGACGCCATGGAGCTCGGCCAGGTGCGGTTGGTCATCCCGCTCGAGTCCGATTCTCGTGGAACCGACGGCCTGGACCGTGCTCCATAGTTGAAGTCTTCAACGGCGTCGGCCCCTGTTATTTCCTCCAGCAGCCGCTCTCCCTCTTCCGAGTCGTTTCCGTCATAAAAGTCCTCGCCTATCGCTTCCTGTCGCCTGTACTCCTCGTCTTCGAGTTGCTGCTGTAACCGTAGCCGTTTCTCCCTTTCGTTCGCCAGCTCTAGTGCCTCTCTTTCATGTTCCCGGACTAGTTCCCTCGCCATTTCCACACGGCGCAATGTGTTGGCGATCGGGTCGCCACCGAGCCCCGGCTTGTATTCGTGTCCGAAGTAATCCGACTCCGGCTCGTATCCATCGTCATATGCCGCCTCGATCGCGTCGTCCAGGGCGGCGTCAAACTCGGCTCCGGTGGCACCACTTGCAGCACGTATGTGTTTCCTCCTCACCTTTGACGACGACCGCGAATGGACCGAAGACACGCTGGATTGCTCGGATTCATCGATCGGATCGAGCCACGAGACCGACTCATGGCTGTTGCCCCGCTGATGACCAGACGGGGCCTGCTGGGCTAACCGACCGCTGGAGATGGGTATCTCGGGCCCAGCTGCTCGCTTGGGACTCACTTGCTCGTGTGGTGCGGGGGATCCCCTGCCGGGAGATGATGGCCGTCGAGGAGACAGCGGTGGAGGCATATAGTTGTTATCCACGGGAGGTCTGAGTGAGGAGTTACTGTTGTATCTCGCTCCGGAAAATGCGGAGCGGAGCGAGTACTGCTGGGTTAAATAAGACGAAGATCCTTCCTGAGGATCCAACAATGTGTTTGCATAGGCAGCGGGTGCCGCCCTAGAGGGGGGCGGTGGGTTTCTGACCGGTTCCCGAATAGCGTAAGCCGGTTGCGTGTCAACATCCTTTTCATAAATCCTGTGGCGCGAATAATCGTCTGCCGCGCTCTGCACGCCTAACATATCGTCCAGCTCGCCACTTGCCGGTCGATGCGGCAGCTCTTTGCCCCCGGGTTCCAAATCGATCAGCTGCTCATCGAGCTCCATGACTCGACTCAAGTATGTTTCATGCTGTTGACGAGCGAATGCGTTAGGCCTGCCGAGAAACACTCACGGGACACTGAGCGCATAGGAACTTACAATGGCCTCCAGTTTCCTCCTGTCCTCCTCCCCGGAGGTCCGTAGGAGCACTTGCTGGAGCACAGCGCATGCTTCGGCATACGCCCTCCTCGCGCCCTCAAGGTTCTGCGCGTTATCCAATTGGACCGCCGTGTTTGCCTTCTGCAACGCTTTCGACAACATTGCCTTCTGAGATGGAGGTTTCCCGCCACGTTCCCGTTCTCGGTCGCGATCGCGATCTTTCTCTCGGCTTCTTGGCGAAACAGTGATTTCGGCGCTGCTGTTTGGCCCGCTTGGTCGACCGCGTGAGTGGCCTCTGGCATGGCCGTTCTGTGCGTAGGCCATGGTTGATTGATGCGTGATCATTCCGGATGGCAGCCGCGGTTCGGCGGTACTTGGATGAAGCGACGACAATCCTCGCTCTTCTTCCAGAGCTTGCGATCGACCATTCCAATACGCTCCAAAATCCTCGCTCCGCTCCGGGTGCGATTGAGGCTGCTCAGTTGATGATAACACTCCTAGCAGGTTTAACTCGAGAACCTCATGCTCCAGCGACGGGCCGGTCGAGATCCGGGGTAAAATTGCCAGCGGCGGGACGGGTGCTGCCGATGGTGCCGGTGATTCAGCCCGGAATTTCGCTTGGGCTGATGACCTCGGGGAGCTGTCCGAAGTCGATGGCCTATGTTTGTGTAGTTTCTTCCCCGGAGAGTGGAACGCTGCTCCCAACACCTCTGTACTCACACGACGAGTGAAGCCCACAAAGTTGGAAGCGCGACTCGATGTCGTGGAAGCCGACCAGCGGTTGAGGTTGCGCAGGGTATCGCTTAGACCGCCGGCACTGCTTGATCGCGAATGACCCCTTGAATGGCCCCTCCTGTGGCGCGAATCTCCCTCTCTCGCCGCGTCGGGGATCTTGGGTGCCGGCCGAGGGTCGCTGAACGGGTCGGGGGGTGAAGCGATTGCGTGTGGAGCGCCTTGGTCCACAAGAATTCTCGCCGGCGGTAAGAGTGACGAGGTGCGTGGGGGGTTGCTGGCGGCGGCAAGGGAGGAGGATCGTGGAGGATTGGGAGGGAAAGTCGCATATGATGTACTAGCCGAGGGTCTCTCCGGTGCTGCGGGGGGATTGCTGTCGATCGCGTTGTAGTTGTGGTAGCGGCTCCTCAACGAGGCAGGGTTGCCCACGTTTCGGCTGCCGGTGCGGACACTTGTTCGGGGTGACGGCGATGCGTCGGGCCAGGCGCTAGTGAAAGCGCTCGGCGGTGGTGGCGGCGGCGGTTGCTGCGGCGGCGTGCTCGAGAATATCGCGTCCGACACTGGATACGTTGGGGTTGTAGGTGTGACCGCGGGGCGGGATGAGGACATTGCGGGAGAGTCCCGGAGACCGGTCCCCAATTCCTCTTTTGCACGGCTGAGCAACCAGCCGAATCGAGCCAGGCGTGATGGCTCACGGCAGAGGCCAGGGGAAACTGAGACACGCGTGGGTTCGTGTGACTGCGGGCGCAGGGAGTCGGGCAATCAGCCGAGAGTGTGCGATGATTGATCCTCGGGCTGCTGTTGGCCCGCGCGCAGAGCGCCGCAGCACTAACGTTTAGCTCGGGTTCAATTCGTTGCGCCCCTCCAATAATTTCCCCACCGCTAAGTCAGGGGTCCAGTCTTTGGGTGCAGCGCCGGCGCCAGTGCGGAATCACCCTGGAATTATCGATGCTTGGTTTGGGATGGGTAATATTGAAGAAGCCAGGATGCTGGCGCTTCGAATGGAGGATTATCTCGAGACTGTGAACTTCTCTCAATTTCCTCGAATCTGGCGACTCGGGCGCCGCGACGGAAAGGGTCGACTTTGGAGGGCACGAACGGTGGTTTTGAGTGGTCAATTCGATGTTGAGGTTGTATTGCTTCGAGAGGACATGGGAGGAAAGGGGCAAGGGAAACCGCCCGTTTGCGGGGCCCAGGGCAGCGGTTCCTTTTTGTTTCTGCCAGTCGCCGAGTCAGTTCCAGCGACATGCTGTGCCCTTGGGACGATCTGTATTTGTGCCATGTTGTCATCCGGTCATGTGTGTACGTGGTACAATACATGTTTTAAGCTTTCGCCCTAGCCGATACACCACATGTCAGGATGTCAGGAGAAGAGGAAGAGGGTGGCAACAAGGCGACAAAACCGGGCTGGAAGCTTGAGGTCGACAAGCGCTTCTCGCGCGAACCCTAGGCATGCATGGAGGGTCGCAACACAGTAATAACATACAGTATCTTACCTTATCCCGGATCAAGACTTTGACAAGTTCACAGACTTTAGGCAACACCATAACAAGTCATCCAAGGAGGCATTGCAAGGGGTGAGTATTTCTATATTTCCCTTTGCATATGCACACATGATCCCCGGTTGAGAGGCTTGCCAAGTGTTCCTCCCGCGAATAACACGGACTGTCTTCCTGTACGGAATACCTAGGTAAGGTACCTACCTTTCCGTACTCGGTTTTGTGGGAACCGGAATGACTCGTCGGGTCACTAACACGCACAGACCAGCAACCCACCAAATTCTGAAGAAGTAAGATAGGGACACTTGCGCAAACTCGAGGGGGGTTTGTGTTGCTGCCTTCAGCCGGCATCTTCGTTCGAGACCGCAAAGCGCAAGATGACGACAGTTGAAGATCGGCACTGTTTGTCTGCAGATCAACGAAACAAACTATCTTGCATCTCTCCCCTCCACAACAAACACCTCAACAAAAGACAGTACAAGCAACCTTACGCCGGCCTACGGTTCCTTCCGAGTGCTTGGACCCAATGTGACTCGGTGAGACACGGTAACACAGAGTTGCGTTGACCGGCTGCTGGGCCAGACACACTCCGTTTCACAAGGCGTGCTTTTGCATGGGCCGTCGAAATCCTGTTAGTCGGCTCGGTAGGATCTGACGTATTTATCTGCATGCCATTCAATACTGTAGAAGGCTGCATGAGCGACGCCATGATGTTGACCATCAAGGGACTCTTTCACTCCCGTGTAACTATCGTTCACTTGAGGATTTTCAGATATCGGTGTTACCCTATAGGATGACCATCATGCTCCGTTACATGCAGGGAAAGCGCCCCAAACGCGAAATCTAGCAGCATACGGACTACGGAAGGTCATTACATTTCGCAGTATCAACAAGCAACCAGTGTTGGTACGTTTAGTTCCTTCGACAGACGCCCAGCGGACTTGTTGCAAAAGCGTCTGGCTTCCAGAGGTTTCCACGGAGGACCGGGTAGTCGGTGTGTATCATCCCCCTTCCGCCCGACACAAGCAGGCAGTTGCTGCCCGAGGCACGGCGTCTTCCTCGCCGGCCTGCGCGGACTTTCCTGTGGGACTCGATTCAAAGAGCAAGAAGCAAGACATTTGTTTCTCCAAATCCGGGTTCCTTCTGTGGCTTGAGCCTCAAATGGACGTCAATCCCTTCTGGGACCCGAGGATCCTATATCCATACTCTCTGTTTCTCCTCCCAAGCCAACAAAGCACTTCGTTCGTACTACCTAGTACAACGTGGCATATATCCGTCTACATTGGAGCGCCGGGGGATTCTTTAAGGTGCTTCCTAACCTGGCAATATTCGCCGTCCCCTTAACTCCCTGTTCGCAGTCGACTCAAGGTTCTGAGTCAGCCTAGGGTCTCAGATTGGACGCCCACGCTTTTGTGCTACCTACCTCGAGGGTCGTACCTGCATATGCTGATCAAGGTCGGGAATCATGTGGTGCTTTGTTGGCGGCGCAGCCAGGATATGAGCGCGGCGTCTCCGGAGATGGGCACTGGGCTAAATAAGCCTTCCTGTTCGTGGCGGGTGGGTTACACGGCATCAGGTCGGAGACTCACAGCACTTCTGAATCCAATCTATGCCGATCAACCGTTCCGAGTCGCGTCGCCAACGCTGCACGCTTCGTAAGCACGAAGAAACGGATAGTTCGCAGGCCACGCAGGATCCTCCTACACCTGAAAAGTGGCGCTGGTGTCCTCAAGCCCACCGGGACTATATAACAAATGGAAAAGGGATCTCACTGAGACACGCGACGTCCGCGATAACCTCATCGCAAGCCAGACACATAATTGGCTCCTCTGGCAGGGTCAATACCCTCGAGAACACCAATACCATGGGAGAGTTTGACACAGTTAGGGAATACTCACATGACTTGCCCTTCCCATGCTCATCCCCAGTGAGGAACGTAGTGAAGTCTTACTGCCATCTTACATACCATATCACCTCGAGAGGGACATCCTCCATTTGCTTTTGACGTTGTATTTCACAAATTCGATGTCCCTTGCTAGGCACTTGCCAGGGAAGCAACATCGCCGCATCGAGTGGTCATCGTGCCGCAACCTTAATACCCGCATTTACCCACGCCGGAACCGTGACCCGGTCAGACCAGCCCGTGACCTTCAGTTGCTACTACTAAAACCACAACGTGGCGACACCCTCTCGAGGATGCATCCACCCTAAAGTGCGGTATAGCCCGACATCCTACCTCCTAGATCGAAACTTACCATACTATAGTTTCAGCTCTGGTGCCATGACTCACATGACTCCGCGCCGCCGCAATGTCGCGCTCTTCCTCGAGCTCGTCGTGGCCCTACTCCTGTGGTCCAGGGAATCAGAATGGCTCCTCGTTCTGCCACGTTGGTCGTCGGACATCGCACAAAGCGGTCATCCCGATATCCAGAATCGCACCTTAGGTGTAAGCTGTTCTTCGTCGAGTTCTCCCTCTTGAAGAAGGTCTGGTTCCGCTAAGGTGTGCACATTTCGCAGTTCCAGCACATCTTCGCCATCAACCTCCCGCCGCGTACGGATCGGCGGGATGCCATGACGATAGCCGCCTCACTGAGCAACCTGAATGTCACTTGGATTGATGGCATAGCGGGGAATGACGTTCTGGATGAGGTGTTGCCCGGGAATTCCGAGAGTCGACAGAGCGGGTTTACGGTAGGGAACAAAGGCTCATGGAGGGCTCATATGAACGTTCTGCAACGGTAGGACTCACACCTCCCCTAATGCCTTATACTGAAGGTAGTTGTAAGGCCAGCTAACTGACGGGGCTAGGAAAGCATCGTCCACGAAAACATCACCAGCGCTCTTATTCTCGAGGACGACGCGGACTGGGACGTACGGCTCAAAAGACAACTGCAAGTCTTCGCCCGCGCAGCGCGTGCGTTCACGCAGCCTACAAGTAGACACGGCCAAACCCTCGCGCGCGAGCGGGAGCGGCACCACAACACCGCACGTCCGGAAGTCCACATCAACCAGTTGCCACGGCGCATCACCCACCACCATCACCAAGCCGGTCCCTCCCCGTACGGAACAGACTGGGACGTCCTCTGGCTGGGCCACTGCGGCACTGAATTTCCTTCCACCATCAGCAGAAGCAACAATAGCAAAACACCGCCCAACAATCAATTATCCCCACCATCTCTGCTGCGAGTGACCATCCCCAACGACAAGACCGTCCCCTCCCCGCACCACCTCAAGCCGCACCCGTTCGCTCTGCCGGACGCCCTAGCCTCGCAGTACCCACCCCACACGCGGGTGGTGCACGCGTCGCACGGCACCGTCTGCACCCAGGCCTACGCGGTCAGCCAGCAGGGCGCGCGGAGGCTGCTGTGGCGGTTTGGGCTGCAGACGGTGATGGCCGGGTGGGATCTGATGCTACGGGACTGGTGCGATGGGTTACTATATTCGACGACGACGACGACGATGACAGGGGATGCTACGGGTGCCGGTGTCGACGAGGAGGAGGAGGAAGAGAAGGAGAATGAGTGGAGGAGGAGGAAGGGGAGGGGGAGAGGGCCGGTCTGTGTGACGGTGCAGCCGCCGCTGTTTAGTCACCATTATGGGCCGGGGGCGGCGTCGGATATTATGGCGCCTGGAGGCGGGTTTGTGAATCGGGAGAGGGAGATGACGCCTTATGTCAGAGTTAGTGTGAGGTTGAATATGGAGAGGTTGGTGGACGGGCGGGAAGGGGTGGAGCAGTGGGATGACGGGGGTTGACGGAGCTTATGGTTCGATTAGTACAGACTAGTGGCCTCCAAGACCTTCGATTCGTGAGGCACATGCTCTGCTCTCTATGTACCACTAGCAGGCCTTAGACGATGTACCCTCTGGCCTTCGACCCTTGCATATATATAGAATATTCATATATTCTATGGACGAATTGGGACACTGACCATTCCCAAATGGTCATCCCTTCGTATTGCTTCAACCCTATCGAGACTCGTATGTACTCCGCTTTGGACGCTGCGATGTCATCTAGACAACACCACTGTATCCCAAACGGTCATACCCATTGCAGTTGCAATTCTTGCATCGCAAAGCTCTTGGGTTGTGCGAGCCATAACTCTAAAAGGCTGGATCCTACAGCATTCTCCTATCATTACCCCCAGAAGACCTGGACAATTCGTGCAAGCCTGGAAAAAAGACTCTCTGGCAATCTCTTCCATTCTCTGGATCGACATTCCTTTTCAAAATGCAGTAGGGTATATGTTCCCACTCTGTCCAAACACAAGACGGAGCCTAATAACCATGGAAACGGGAGGCACCAATGGACTCGATGTTTACCTACTGTGTTAGTCCGGGCACTTTATTTCAGTAATCAGGGGTCCTTGGGAGAGACATAAGCTCACGTCGAAGGGAACGCTTACGTGGAATAGTCTACTTCCGCCCCGGGTCTCCCCGACAACACGGGAAACCACGGTAGCCCCATCGATGGGGGTGATGGGGATATATTCGTTTGAGCCATTATCGACAATCAACTGAGGCAATAGGCTGCCCATCTTCAAGCGATGCTCGAACAGGACTCCGGGTGCGACAAGCGCAGCATAGAGCAATGCAGTTGCAGGGAATCTCGGCACTCATGGCCGGCGTGCAAATGTCAGGTTGCGAGAATAGGTACAGAGGCGGCTTCTCTGCTGCGCCATTTACGCCGTTGGTGGTCTGAGTCCGGGTTACGGCGCGTTGGCCAGGGTTTCGGCTGAGGTGATATTGGTGTCGGCAGTCGCCGTAGAGCCGCACTAGGGCGATCTGGCAAACGCCAGGATGATGTGCTCCCCCAGAAGAGGATGCTATGTTGCAATGCCTGGTGCAACCCATTGCAAAGAGCATGTCTCTAGATGCTCTTGGGATTTGGCGTATGAGTCGTCATCCGCTTCGCCGAACGGCTGGGAGATAGTATATATTGTTTGTAGGATTCTGCCCTCAACAGAATCAGCGAATTCGTATTGGGGAGAGGCCGGGGCTTCGCCGCCATTCGCGCTGCTCAAGGTTGGCAGCTACAATCTGGAAGGCCACTCCGTTGTAGTGGAAGGTGAACATGGGCGGAATTTAAACCATCGCCCATATAGCGAATGAATTTCAACCAGTGTAGACGACGCGTGGAGAGTCCGCGTCGACGCTGCCATGGGTTGCCGGTTCGTAGTGTATCGCCAGAACCCTTCGCTCCCGCCAAGGGCTCGATCTCGGCTCTCCACTGGCTTGGGGTTTGGCGTTCTGTTTCTGAATTCGGCGTCGCGGTTCAGCTACTACTAGAGGGAAACGGTGCGACAGCCGTCCTTCCGAGAACATGCGAGACCGCATTCCTGCAGCAGCCCGCTCTCTTCACCCTCGCCCGCTGCTCTTCGCCTTACTGTTCGCGTTATCGTACCCCGTCTCGGTTCCTTCTCCTGGTTCATTATAGCATTTCCAAACAACTTACCCGTGGCGCAAACCCTTCGCGCCGGCGACCAAGTCTCTCAACACAACGTCGCGACGGGGCAGCTTTGAAACCTGCAGCGGCCAGCCTAGTACCGCAACCTAGCCACCGGGAGAAGAGCAAGTTCAAGGGAACACATAAGAGGAGCCAAGGTACTTGTTCAAACTCGCCCCGCTCATCCTCGCCGAGGTTGAATGAACTCGCCAACGTCAAAGAAGAATCGGAGGCGCCGGGAGCCCCTTGGCGGAGACCGTTATTAATCGACCATTTATTTTACCGCTGCGAGGGAAGCCCTCCCTGCCGCAGACCCATTGTACGAGCCGCCGCGCCGGGCTACCACCCCAAAGCGGCCGCCGCCTGTGATTATCCCCATTGACGACGGTCTTGAGGAGCCAGCCGTGCGGGATGTACCGGGGAGCGGCGTAGAAGTACACACTGTCAGGTACACGGCCATGCACGACATATACCCCCTGCGCGCACGAACACCGGCACGGCCAGTAGGTTAGTCCTTTTTGGTCAACCACACCAAATGCCAACAACATCATAACTCGCCGTTGGCTAGTCTGTCGCTGAGGAAGGAACTCAACCTGACCCACTAATGCTCTGGAGTCGGTATCTGCGACGAAGAATACTGCGAACCCAAGCCCGCAAGGGATGCACCAGATTATTATATGGCCGGGTTCATGTAGGGCTGATACTCGGGCTGTACCCTGTCGGATAGTATTCTGAAAGCGGCGGATCGATGAGCTGTTGGAGGTGTGCTGCACGCTAATAATAGGAAAGACAGCGAAAGCGTGTAGGGTGGTCGCGTGGGAGACAGCGACTGATCGGACGGCCTGAAGAAGGCGCTGGATCAGCACCAAAAGAGGGTACGGGGTTGCCTGTGGCGGTGGGCTAGACGCCGAGCCTTTGAGGGTCTATAATAAAATGACCTGGAGCAAAACATCTCGCCTGACCGACCGGCACATCACTAGCTTGACCGGCAGCTTACCTGAGCTCCGAGTTCGTCCTGAGCACTATACCGCAATCAGGACATTTCAAGCTTTGATTGTTGGCATTCCCCAAAGAGGACTTCTGGCCCCGTCGTTGCTATTGCCTTCGCCGCGCGTCAGCTCGCCAAGCAGGTCCAAGTTCGTTGTCCCTGAGGGTTCGCAGTGGATTCCACGCCGGCAGCTTTGGGCAGTCGGAAGCGGACCCATGATGATGAGATCAAGCTGCCACATGCAGCACTTAAGAAGGCTGTAAAGGACCATACCAAAGGCCATATCACGAAGGAATGGGTGGCGGACACCCCAAGTTGACACGCCCGGGATGACGTGTCGGCTGGAACTTTCGAGGACGTTTCTATACAGTCCACTGCTATGCCTCGGTACCGGCTATGCTGTCCCTGGGCCAGGAGGTGCTGGCCTAGCCTGGTCGATGTTCTACAACAGTGGAAACCAGTCTCTGCACTCTCCTGCAGGCTACCATCTCGCGGTTGGACAAAGAGATCACTGGCGTCTCTGGCAGCACGTGGCCCCCCATGCGTATACTACCGTGCGCCCTAACCTGTATACCACTGGCTGTACCGACGCACTGGAAACACATGATTGCCCCCAAAAAGCGGCCCACCCCCAGAGGCTATGCGCGTGTGGCAGGCCGGGCGACGAGCTGCCTGTATGCCACCTTGTCCTATCGTCAAGTTGAAGGCCGACATCCTCCACGTCAACCAGTGACAGGCTTTATTCCGTTCCCCGACTACAACCATCCCCCAAGAAAAACACCTACTAGCTTGCCATTAGGACAGCAAGGGGATTTGGAGCGCGTTGTAGCCATTGGACACGCTAGGACTGATCGACGACCATAAATCTTGACCATATAGGTAGGTTTATAGGTAGTTGTCTGAGCGATGTCTGCCGGTAGGACGGGAGGCAAGGGTTATCGTGTCCTTTTCGATCTAGAGCTTGTACTGTACAAGTTACTTCGACGTGTAAACAACCGCAATGGTGAGGCTCGGGATGTTGTCTGATAAGCCCAGCGAGTTTGTTGGACAATGTTGAATGTGCGGGGACGGATAGTAGGGGATAAGCAGGCACTAAACATAACATCATTGGAAATACCTCCAGGAGACAACGGTATCTACAGCACATTAGCAACCCTTGAAATCGTCGTGACGATCTGGTAGTGTCCAGCGTGAGCCCGGAACCGGTAGGATCCGATATAGAACTAGGTCGACTGTCAAGGGCCTTAATACTCGGCAAGCACTCCCGCGGCCGCGTCGGATTGACAAGTCAGTAACAGGTTGCGTTTACTATGATGTCTGGCGGGTGAACCCGAAGCTCGACTGGAGTGGAAGGAGGAGCATTTCGCTGTATTTGAGAGACTAAGGCAGCTCTTATAGCCTGTACATAGTTACATACGGTTAACTTGAACATGAAAAAACGGGTATATAAGTTCCCATGGTGGGCATTCCTTCCAACACCCCTCGCAACCGCACACTTCCCACCAATCTCTGTGTGGCGTAGTGGTCGAACTGTGAAAAATCGTCCAACACTCTGCGCGTGCGCAACCCTGCTGTGGACTTTGTAGGACCACATGTTCGATGCACGGTAGCATCTCATTTTCTTTCCCTTTTCCCCGCTCTCCCTGATATTTATTTACCCACCACCCGACCCCTTATCAGGAAATATGACGGGCCTCCAACTCAACACTCTCTCTTGGTGTTCAGCTAGTCTGAGCTCGGCCATTCTTTACTCTATTTGCTATGACAGATAAAGCTAAGAGCCGTTGTTGGACCATGACGAATCTGCTCTCATTACACCGGTGGCTTTACTCGGTAGAGGCTCACTGGCCACGATATCGCCTGCAAAATACCAACCAACCATGTCTAGACGCCCCCAGACACCCCTCAACTCCGGTCTCCGCTTCTCATCGCAGGACGCACTCGATGACACCGTTGTCCTCACGCGCATAGAGCGCCTGCGTGACCACGAGGCCCGCTTGATCCGCCATCTCCTTGAAGCCATCCAGCCCGCGCTCCTTGCCCGAAAGGAGGAGCATCATGAGGTCTATCGCGCTCTGATACGCCGTCGGCGGATTGTTAATCACCGTCTCCGAGATCAGCAGTCTGCTATCTAGGACCATGGCGTTGGCGATCTGCCGCAGAATCCCGACGCACGTTTCGTCGTGGTAGTCATGCAGGCAGCGTCGGATGTAGTACACTAGAGCACCTGGGTTCTCGTCAGAAAGACCAATTGAGGAGATGTGTTTGATGGGAGACTGTTATGTTTTCGGGACGACGTACCCTTGATGGGCTGTTCCTTATGGAAGTCCATACCGACCATCTGCACACCAGCCAGCTCGGGCTGCTGCTCCCGCTTTGCCTGGTCGATGACGCCAGGCAAGTCCTCCAGAACACACTGCTCGCGCGGCAGCGTCGGGTATGTGTCGAAGAGGTTCTTGAGAACCTGGCCTCTTCCACCGCCGACATCGACGAAAATCACGCGGTCCGATGGCTGTTTCTTGGCCTCTCTGACAATCCAGCTGAAGTCGTAGGTGGACTGAAAGATAGCCCACTCCAATCCAGTGCTCATGGCGAGCATGAAGGTCTTGCGGCGCCGCTCATCGCTTTGGATGATGTCCCAGGCAGGGGAGCCGAGCATGCCTGCCGCAAACGCCACGGGGGTCTGCAGGCGGTCCTTGGGTTCGATCCGGCCGAAGTGGTTGAAGTAGTCCGGCAAGGCCATGAGTGTAGGACAGTGGTCCTCGAATCTAGAAGGTGGGGAGGCGGGTTTTGTTAGTGAATGGACAAGATGCTCGTCGGTCGGGCAGGAGAGTAAATCCTACAGTAACTCCATTGTTGCCTTCTGCTGCGGAGTGGTAAGGCGCGCAGAGAATGGCGTATGCGCGAGGCGCTCGACTATCTCGATTCTCTGTTCCAGAGTGCCGTTGGCCACAAGTACCTTGCCAAGACGAGCTGTGAAATGCATGATCAGGGAACTTCAAGTGAAACACGAGGAAATTGCGGCTCACTGATCAAGGACACATCGGCGCCCAGCTTGTTGGCCAACTGGATGTACGAGATGGTGAGCGGCGTTCCGTCGGAACGTCTTCCCTTGGGAATCTTGTCGAAGGCATCCCACTTCAGGAACAGGCGGAGGGCAGTCATGTGGCAAAGCTGGGTTAGATACAAGTGAACCTTGTCTTCAGGCTGGCTGACGGTATTGATCAATTCGTTGCCTGCTTTAACAAGCTCCATTCGCTGTTCCGTGTCGGTCTGCAGGGAGACCTTCCCGGCTCTGAGCTTCTGGGCCACTCCACTCAGTGTCTGAGCGAGGGCGTCCAACTTATCCGCGATCTTGGAACCTTCCATCATAGAAGGAAGCGGAAACTGAGCATTGCTGCTTCCATGCCGTGATGCGAACATTCCAGGAGTCTGACAGGCTGGTACCGACTTGAGATGCGTTCTGAAAAGGGAAATTGTGCCGTCAAAGTGAGTTTCGAGTGGGGGTTTTTGGAAAGGTATTCAAGTTGGGAGTCCCCGCCATATATATGCAAGACAGATACGGGTATGTGGACGGTGCGACCCTCTAAAGTGAAATCCGTGCCCAACCCTTTTCAATTCAGGAAGGCCTGATCAGTCGGCAGGGATCGCGGGAACTCCATGCACCGACTTCCGCGTTAACCTTCCAACGAAGCCTGGTAGCGAAGTTCGGCCAAGCTCGTGGCCTGGAGTGTCATGCTACCCAAGCAATCAGGATAGTAGATCGATGCCAGTGCTTGGCTCGTGAAGTATCCGGAGCAGGACCTCAATGTTGAGGAACCATAGTTGGTCCTGATTCATCTCTTGGGAGTGATGTAGGCCAATGGTCAGCCTCGTGTTTCGTTGTACGTGGCCGAGGGGACGAGAAATTGAATTTTGTCTGTAGTGACGTGTAAGCACGGGACATTTCGTAACTCTCTCCTTGTATTCTCGGTCAATACACGTTCTATGGTCTGTTTCTGGGTTCCGCCAGCTTGGTATACACAGAAAGAGGGATGCTGTTAAGGCACCTAGCCTTGCTTATTATTTAGGTGGCTATCCTTCGCTCTGTATATTGTGGAGTACACAGCTTATCTCAAACGCCATGACTGATCCTCAAACTCTCGCTTGTCAAGATTGTTCTCTGTAACACACACTGCTGGTTACTGACTCAGGTCTGCCGGGAGGCGGGGTAATCGCACCGGAGCCGAGTGGCGATTCATAGCACGCACTGCCGAACTTTCGTATCAATTATCAGGCGGGTCGACCCTCCACGCTTGTCCGACTTCAACATTGACCAACCACCAACTCGAAGTTGACCGGGGTACCTGGTAATCTGCGTCTAAGTCCGCGACAATGGATGTCGATGGTGAGGGAGCTTATGTGTGCCGTCAGCGATTGTTAGACCATAATCCTGAGCTCCCGAAACCACCTTGCTACTATCAACGGACACCTGGAGTCCTGGACTGCCGCAGTGGTTGTGGGCAAACGCGCGATCCAACAGGCAGCAACTCGCCGCCATCTCCAAATTCATCCCAACCTCCCCCCATCATTGTCGAATGAAAACACGGATACCTACGACAAAGGGCCAAAAGGCCGCCCAAGCAGCGTCCTTATTTGAGCTCGCCGCGGCATCCCGTCATACCATTTAAAGCCAGCCATGTCGTACAACGTCTACCTCGCCGAGTCTCTCGGCGGAGGGAAGTCAGACCACCATGCCATCCTTGTGCAGCGGGATGTGCCCTCGAAGACTGGCGAACCGCACTTTCTCTATCAAGTCAAGGGCTCCATTGCCCAGGGAATGACATACGAGTTCCGCGAAGCCAGAGAAGACGATTTCATGCTGGGGAAGACCTGGCTTGGTACTGTTGATGCCGACGACTTCAACTGCATCGACCGCATCTGCTCTTTAGTGCCGCCACCCAAGAAGCAATTCGACGGCCCGAGAAGACTGTATCCGAGGGAGAAGCTGTACAAGTGCCAGGCCTGGACTCGCGCTGCGCTCCGGGCGCTAGAAGCCGAAGGCGTCCTTCGATGCCCGCATGGCATTCCGTGGGAGACAATTCATGAGAGTAGGAGGACTGACACTTGGAGCATCTGAGGGAGAGAGCGCAGACAGGCGGCTCTAGAATGGGAAATTCTTCTACGACACATGGTCAAGAGGGCCAAGACGGGATGTAATTCGCGTGAGAACGAAGTGAAAATGACTTCAATTTTTTTTTTGAAGAACGCCAGCTAAGGGCGCGATATGTGATTGAAGAATTGATCGACTCCCAATGTAGGGAGCGATTTTCGACCCTCCTCCCAGTCCATATGCGGCCCGATCCCAGCAGTTAACGCCCCGGGTCTCAAACATCCCAGACTCCTGGCCGCACGGTGTTCATACCCATTCCCGTGCGATCACTCCTCCTCCGGGCAAGTCCACGCCCACATGATCGAGCCTCCGCTAGGTTAAGGTCAGCAATGACAAACTTAAGACCACCAAGGACCTGAGATGGAAAAAAAGGGGGGGGAAAAAGAACTTACCAAGGATAGCCCCGTCCCATTAGCTCCACCGTCTTGCTCGCGTATTGCTGGCTGGCAAACATGGCCAGGACGTAAAACGTCCCGTCGTGGGCACGCAGCATCTGGCACAGATGGAGGCCACTCCTCCTGTCGCCGCCCAGTTTCTTGTGGAGATAGGCCTTTCCCCGGTCTCCCTTCCAGGCCTCACGGGCCGCGTCGCTTACCGGGCCGATCACGACCCGGTACGGGTTCTCGGCCACCGTGGGGCCCTTCTTGCGCAGGGCCTGGACGTCCTAGTCGTCCATGAGGTGTGGGTAGGCGGGGCGCGACAGGTCCGGCACGATCGGCACGATCGTGTACGCCAGCGGGATTCCGTAGAGGGAATCCCGCTGGCCCGCGGACGTCGTCGCGGCGGGGGCGGTCGTGGGGGTGGCGGCGGTGGTCGTGGTTGTGGTTGTGGCGGCGGGGGCGGTGGTAGCGGCAGCGGCAGCGGCGCTATCCCCGGCACTGACGTCTGCGAGCACCGCGGGGAGGCGAGGCTCGAGGTCCGACAGCTCACGAACGGCAGCCGCGGGCGGAGAGGACGAAGGTGTCGGCGCAACGAGCGCCGCGCGGGAGCCAGTCTCGACATCCGCGATCTCGCCCGGTTCAACCGCCGCCAGCGCCGCCAGATGGGCACGGGGGATGGTCGACCGCGCGTAGCGGAAAAACGGGTTCCGCTGCCTGACGGGGGACATCGTCTCAACCCACGCACTCACGACGTCACCCGACCAATCTGCTGAATTTCCCTTAGTTGAGGTCGATGGTATCGGGTGAGAGACCGTAGGTATGAGAAGAAACGGAAGATCTGGGAAAAAATGCCCTGATCTGAAAAGTCGTGAAGAGACTGAAACAAAATAGTGCTCACCGTCGTTTTCAGAGTCCTCCTCGTTCTCGTCCACCGACTCCTCTACCTCGAACTCGGCCTGGGCCTCGCGACAGCCCGCCTCGTCACCCTCCCGGCTGACTTGTCTCGCTTGCCTCAAGGCTTTGGCCAAACCTGCGAGGTATCCCATCTCATATGCTTTAAGGAAGACTTCTTTGACCATGCCGTACTGGGGGAGGTCGAGATCGGCTAAGTAAGCATCGGCCAAGGCCGACACCTCCGGTCCGCGCGTTTCTATTGGAACATAGGCAGTCAGCTGGGCTCGTAGGGACGCAGCAAAGAAAAAGGCAAACGCGGCGAAAGGAAAGATTCTGCTTACCTCGGTTCAAGGTTGATCTCGCTTCGTTTGCCATCGTTTCGGTGTTTCTCGCAGATGTGGATGATTGTGTTTCGGAATGCGGAAGAAAAAGGAAAAGGGTTTAGAATGCGGAGGGGAAGAGGGAGGAATCTAAAGCTCAGAGGGCACCGTAATGCGGAGGAAGGGGGAAGGAGTAGAATACTTCACTGGAAATGCGAGGGTAAATTGGCGAGGGGCGCCGGAACACAGAATGGATGGCAGATAAGTTGAACAATTCACTGGAGTCATGAATACAAAGCGGCGAGGGGCACCGGAATACGGAGGCACGTAGAACACACCGCCAGGGCCACGACCTTGAAGGAACGAGGGGCTCCGCAAGCGGGAGGATACGCCGAGAAGTTGAATACTTCACCGGAAGTACGAGATTAAAGCGGCAACAGGAACCAGAGCACGGATGGGAGAGAAGAACCAGCAGAATACTTCACCGGAGCCATGACTCTGGGGCGACTAGGGGCACCGGAAAGCGGCTAGGAGAAGAAAGAAGTTCAATACTTCACTAGAGCCATGAGACTACAGCGGCAACAAGCACGACGTGATGTTGGAATACGGAATGAAGATGGAAGCTGCCGAAACCCTCACCGGAGCCATGAACTAAAGCGGCGAGTGGCACCAGCCATGCCATCCAAACTGGCCCTCATCGCGGCTGAGCTTCTTGCTGGCTCAGACAACTGCGGCTAGCCTCTCGGTGCCTTCGGTCCCATGCGGCTTGGGCTTATCACGGCATCACCAGGTGCGGCGGGTCCGGTCCTGGTCCGGACCCGCCGCGGATAGGTGCAACGGACGGCTTGGACTTACCATGAATCCCGAACTTCAACTCACGGTAGCTTGGTCCTCTACTCAACAATTCACCGGCAGCACAACTGCACCTTTGTGATAACCAACGTCAGACTACGGTATTGGGTAATATAGGCCCGCCCAGCTGGTGTCTCTCTTCACATTCTAGGCTTGCTATAGTAACTCAGCCTCACCGCCAGCTGGTCCGGTTGAACCTCTGGTTCACCATTCACCTATATATTACTAGGCTTCAAAATGTGGCGTCAAGACATGATAGCAGTCATCTTTCTCCAACCGATCATACGAGACGGCGCCGCAAGTCTATCAACGTATCTGTATCTCCGATCTCACAAGTTGTGAACAGCGACATATAATTAGGACGGCTGTAGGGGACAAAGCTCTGATCTAAAACCTCGAATAGGGCACATATGGCTACTACTAACCTTAACTCCTTGGAAATGTGCATCCTGCAAATAGTCAAGAGGAGTGGTGATATGCTAGCATCATTCTTAGAGTCGCTGGGTTTGAGAGTTTGACAGAGGGACCACAAAGACCGGCGGGTGCTTGTGATTGGGAGTGAGTGATGCAGATGAAAGCGTTGATAGGACTTGCATATTGAACTAGTACTAGTACCTATGAAGTGGGCTTGCTCTCAGCGCTATTGTGGCTCAGGGGTTTGTTTACATTGCCCCCTTGCGCACGGACCATGCCGGCTGAGTTAACTTGTTAAGGGACCTAGTAGGTACTCTTTAAGAACCCAATGCATTCATTCGATGCTAGTGGCACTACTAAATTTACCTAGCTACTCTAGTGAATATGGGAACTTAGAAAGAGCAACGATGATATACTGCTCAACAAGAGGTTGATGCTCGGATGAACAGAGAAGAGATGCAGATGAGACGACGATACGTGAGAGATGTTCCCTTCAAGCAAAAGCGACAAGATAATTGATATTATATATACTACTAGTAGTAGTACTGATTCAAGTCAGATCCGCCACATGGGACGACCATTTTGAGTCCACCTATACAGCGACTATTATGGCCACCTACAAGAATACCTAAGTATGCATACAACACCATCTCCAAGATACACTGGAGACAATCAATCCTTGTCGTTACGCTTGATGGTATTACCGTGACAACTCCCTTTCAATGGCAGGAGTGTTTTGACAACTCGCCTCTGAGTCATCGCGCAAGTACCTTAAGTATTGCTCCCCCAATATCCAAGTGTTCTACATAGAGACCTCCCGAGCTTCAAGTCGTGCACCACTTAGGACCTTTGAACCTCCCAAGCGGACAAACTTAAAAGTTGAAAGCTTCTTATTCAATTGGAAGTATCTTGTGACACAGACATTGACTTGAAGGGTTGCCATTCATGAATGGTCTGTAAGCGTTTTGCCGCTACTTCTAATATCCATCGAGTATCCCAGCTCTCAAGGCTGACAATAGGTAGTCAGGACATCGCAATTGAGACGAAGCAGAGTGTAGGATGTAGAATCTCACCCGGTTCCTTGTTGTCTCCCCGCCGTACAATCCAGACAGCAAAACTCCCAACCAAAGCCAGTTGCCTGAAAATGCTTCATCCATTTCCCTCGCCTGACAGGTATCAGTACCGCTTATTAGGTCACAACACCAACAGCCGCAAGGCACGCTATGCTAGGATCCATTAGATACAGCAGGTTTGTACATACGGCTTCTTCGACAACACGCCAAGTTCATTACCCCCGCCTCAACTACAACGAAGAAGAACCCACCGCGTAGTGGGAACAGTCTCAATCGCCCCTCACAACGCTACCTCACCCCAAACCCAACAACAGGACGAGGAGAAGCAGGCAATTCCACCGGCGCCATATATAGCCGCCCATTCCCATCATACACAGTGCCACCCTTCCAAGGACTACTACTGGTATCATACGCCGCCGGCCCCCGCGCAGACAGCTCCGCAACGGGATACCCCGCCAGCTCCTCCACTCCATACCCTGGCGGTGGCGGCGGCGATTTATTCGCCACGTCCTGACCCGAGGGATCGCTGCCGCCGGAAGACTCGCAGGCGGATGCGGATGCGGTTGCGGTGGCCTTTTTGTTCCGCCGCAGAACCCACGCTGTTGCGACACAGCATATGCAGAGGAGGGCTAAGCAGCCCACGACGCCACCTATTATAGCCCCTGTGTTGTTGTTACTGTTACTGTTGTTGTTGGAACGGCCGCTGCTGGGGGGGTTGTTGGCATCGGTGGTGGATTGGGTGTCGACGGCTGTGGATATGTCGCCGCTAGAAGGGGCGATGCCGCTGCTCTGGGAGTTGGTGGTGGACTGGGCTGCGCCGTCTGGCGAGGAAGTTGAAGTTCTCTGGGAGTCCGCTGCCGACGACGACGACGCTGTGGAAGATGGGATTGATGATGATGTCGGTTTTGTAATGGAGGTTGTGACCGCTTCTGTTGTGAAGACCATGTAATGGTCTGTTTTAGCACTTTCCCCACAGGCGATGTAGGAATATGGGCCGACATTGTTGGACAGCGTGAGGAGAGCGGTTGAGCAGAATGGGGCTTCGGCGTCGGAGCTAGGGCAGGCGTCAGCCAGCCTATAACAGAAAAACTCGATCTGTCGTTTAAAATGGCGTTGCTATAAGCTCACCAGGTAAAGGTGGTTAAGGGAGCATTTGTAAGGCCGCATCCCTTAGAGCAGTCAAAACTGTCGACACAAGCGCCAGCCAGGCCGCAGTCCGTTGCCGCGATGACGGTGGTAGGGCAGAATCCCCAGAGGTCGTTCAGTAAGTCGACGCGGCATTCATATCCGGAGTTGGCAGTCCGCGGCTCTGATCCATCGCCGCTTGCGAAGATGGTTGTGTATCTGGTGGCGATGACCGTGCCTTGTCTCTCGATCAGAGGCAGTGTTGCATTATTCCGGCGCCGGGACCGGCCTAACAGGGCGAGGCCAGCGGCTTGATGTGCGCAGATTAGGAGTAGTACCGGAACAAGGAGGGGGGACATTGGGAATCATGAGAAACTCCTACTGGCAATATGGCATGGAGAGGAGGTGAGAACGGCGGAAGGGGATGATGCTGCGGACGGAGTGGAATTCAGAAAAGAGATGCTCAAAGTCGGCATTTTCAAAGCCAGTACCTTATAGTTGGTTGACAGGTATGTGATTACGATGCCGCTCCTGCAGAACACCGGTACCAACAGCTTGCTGAACTTACATGCGTGCCCACTGCCCAGGCCGAGCATACGCGGTGGCACGCACAGTGCACGCTGCAACTCGGTCCCTGCTGAAACCATCCCTCGCGTCTAATAAAGAAGCACCATTCAGGGGCTAAGGCCGCAGCTGCTTGGCGAATCATGACCCTGGCTCATTATACTCCCTACGTGGTAGGCATGTAAGCGCTTAAGGAATGTCACCCTACCCCATGGGCGTGTATTCTTTGCCGGCCCCGGTAGCAAACGCAATCGAACCAACACCGAAAGAAAATGCGCCGTCACCAAGGTTGAGCGTTGGCCAGGCGTCTTCATTTCTTCCAGTCTCTTCACGTTCAGACCCAAACCTATTTTACGAAGTCGAACCAGCCGCGCCACTTTTCTTTCCTCTCGATGACCTAACCCGGGCCGCATCTATCTGGGACTGTCTCGCCTTGGCAGGGCATTCGGGCCGTCATCTGTCGCCCCACCGCTCGGTCCGTACAGTGCCTACTTATCACGCCCACTTCTGTCGCTCACTACTACTACCTCCTGCTCAAGATGAGGAGAAGCTTTTTCTTGTGGCCGGCGGCATGCCTGGCTCTTATAGGGCTGACCCTTTATTTGCGCCATGAGCGGCTCACGCCCGTGCCACGCCCACATTTTCTCCCGCCGGATGGAAGCACGAGGATTATACCATCGGCATCGGCATCGGCTACCAATATCCCCGAGGCCACTGATGCCCCGAAAGGGACCACCACCACAGGACGCGGTGAGCAATTCTCAATGCTGCTTCTGGAGGGGAGTCTTTAATCTGACTTCTAACCATCTCTTCCAACAGTTTTGCCCCAAGAGACAAGGGCGGCGTACATCAAAGCCATCATGGATCCAGCCGCGGGGGATTTGCCCCGACTGGAATGTCCCGATCTGAATGTATCCCGGTATCAGCATCTACAGGCCGATAAGATCGCCGGTTCCAGCACCGACTCAACCATCCAGTACTATTTCGCCCTCGACCTGCGGCAATGTCTCACCCTACTGCCACGGCTCATCGGCAGCGTGGTAGAAGCCATCCGCTTCCTGGGCCCCAACAGCTGCGCCCTATCGATCATCGAGGGCAACTCAGAGGACGGCACCGGCGAGGTCTTGGCCGCCCTGCGCCCCGAACTCGAAGCGCTAGGCACAACCTACTACTTCAGCACAAGCGACATCAACCCGAAAGAGGGCAACCGCATCGACAAGCTAGCCCGCCTACGAAACATGGCCCTCCAGCCAATCTTCGACGATGCGGAAAAAACCCCCACAGGTAATACCAGTACCAGTACCAGTACCAAACGCTTCTCCGCCAACAGCACGACAGTCATCTTCCTCAACGACGTGGCCGCCTGCGCCGAGGACATCCTCGAGCTGGTCCACCAGCGCGCGCTTCTCGGCGCCGACATGGTCTGCGGCATGGACTGGACGTACGTCGGGCGCGACCCGACCTTCTACGACGTGTGGATCGCACGCGGCCTGCGCGGCGGCGACTCCTTCTTCGAGATCCCGCCCGACGGCAGCTGGGACTCGGCCTGGAACCTGTTCTGGAACGACCCGGATGCCCAGTCGCGCTTCCGCGCCCGCCAGCCGTTCCAGGTGTTTTCCTGCTGGAACGGCGCGGCTGTGTTCGGCGCCGCGCCGCTCCTCGAGAAGAGCGGGATTAGGTTCCGCGCCGAGAGGGAGGGGGAGTGTCGGCAGGGCGAGCCGCAGCTTTTCTGTAAGGATTTGTGGTTCCATGGGTATGGCAAGATTGCGGTTGTTCCGACAGTCAACTTGGAGTACTCGGATGAGGCGGGGAAGAGGATCAAGGAGGCAAAAGGGTATGTGTCCCGCTGGGTGGGCGCGCCGGAGTGGAAGGATGAGAAGATTGAGTGGCAGCGGGAGCCGCCGGAGAAGGTTAAGTGCATGGCGGTATATGAGAATCAGTTCTTCGAGCCCTGGAATATAACGCAGCCTGGGACTTGAGCGCGTAGGGGTCCAAGAGATGTCGCTCTGCCCAGTGCCAGGCGACACCGTCGCTTTATCCACAGCGGTCCCCGGAGTCCGAAGATTCTAGTGTACTATGCCCAAAAGTATGTCTCATTTTTTGGTCCTGGCTATACCATTCAACGGGATCGAAGCTCAACTGGGTGGGCGATACGATAAGCGCTATGAAGTCCCGCCGTCGACAAGTTCAACTGGTCCTTAGGCATCGTGATGTAGCTTCATGGAAACATGTCTAATGGCAACATGCCCTAAGCGTGGCTACCCACTTTCAAGTCTCCAGTCTCGCGGGCCCTAGGTATGGGACTATCTATCCCGCACGCTTGACTTGGAGGTGCCTCGTGGTTTGCGACTTGGAGTTGTTGAGGCTCATGGCTTGGCGAATCGTTGTAATGAATCGGCTACGGTGGCTCATTGCGCTTATTGTTCCGAAACCTCAAGATCCTGGAGAGTAAGCGTTGTAAGCCTCAGTGGAAGTCAGTCACTGAGAAAAAAAATGACAGTTGCTTGGGTTACGTAGGAGATGATGATGGCAGTAGACCAAGACGATGTGAATTGGGTTCCGGATACTAAATGGCATCCTGGGACGATTGGGGTGAGTGTCCCGCCGTATGTGCTGTGGGTCCAATTAGCCTTTTGTGCCTGAATGCCAAGCCGTCTAAACCCTGCCGCCAAGGCGGCGCCCCATTCGTCATCTCATGATCGGGGGGTTGATTTCCCCTGAAAGCGTTTGCAGTTGTCGCGACATCAACAGTTTCTGCAAAATCGCAGCCAAAAATGCAGAACCAGCCGCCCAAGTACGTCTCCCCGCCGGGGACATGGAGAACGAAGCTGGCCCTCCGGGCTGCTTCGGTACTGTTCTTGATCATCATCGCTGGTGTCGGCGGGTCGCTGGCGGCGACCCCACGGGTTGAGATGACGGCTGTGATGCTTCTCGTCCTGGTACCTGCTGTGAGTCGCGATACCCCTCTTCCGCGACCTTAGAGCCTGGCGCCCTTCAGCTGACAGCTCTCCCTCCACTAGCTCCTCGCAACGTTCATCTGGGACGCCGCCGAAGCCATCTGCATCTGGAAGCGAGAGGGAAACCGGGGCATACACCCCGGGGCAGTCGTGGCGATCGACCTCTTCTGCTGGTTGGGATGGGCTGTCGTCGATCTTTTCCTCGTCGCATCTGGAGTCACCAGCAGGCCCCGTTACCTCATCGAGGACTACAGTGGCTACGACGACTATCGCTACACGTACGATCCGTCCAAGGTCACCCCCGAGGATGCGCAGCTGGAGAAGGACATCATGGGCAAAGGGGAGGCTCTGGTTGCATTCGTCAGCCTCACATTGTGGGTAACACCAGGATCTCACTTCCGTCGCGTGTTTCTGACCTCGGAGGTACTTATCTAGGATCGTACATTTTGTGCTATTCGTCATCGCCTGCTACGAGACCAACATCCGGAACCGAATGCCGAGGACCGTGTACGTGATGCAACCAATTTACGGGCCTCCGTCGGCGGTGCCAGGCGGGTACCAACCTCTCGGCTCATTCCAAGGCCCACCGCCTCCGGGCCCGCCACTGTCGCCGTATCAGATGTATATGCAGCCGCCGCCGAGCCCGTTACCCACCCAACCATCTCCGACACACACACCAGAACTCAAAGGAGGACCCGACCGCTTTGCTTGAGGCCAGTGGTGGTGGTGAATTCATTTGTACATATATAGACTGGCGGACCGGAAAATTTACTGTGTAATGGGCATCAACTGGGAGGTAGTTGGAGTAAATGGGAATAGTCATGTTCATTGCAACACAACGAGTTCGAGTGCGACTTGGCCTTCTGTCATTGACTTGTAAACGGATATCGTACCATCTGTGTGTGGGAATGGGAGCCATAGAATGGATATGGAGCAGCAGAAAAGTCGCAATGTACCTGTATATTGTATCTCTACCCTACCGCAGCAATGCAAGCCGTAGGAGCCACAGAAACCGCCAGAGGTTTCTGCCCATTCCACGCCCGCCTTAGTACCTGAGCCTTCCTCATGGCAATGCGGGCAGGGAATGCCGCAGCAGGTAAGCTACCTTCAGGAATTCCCATCTTGTCCGCCTTTCAGACGAGAATACCAACTCTAATTCGTCTGCTCTTCACCGGCAAGTGTCCAGGACATGCACCGCAGTAGAGAGCAGACGAATTAGAGTTGGTATTCTCGTCTGAAAGGCGGACAAGATGGGAATTCCTGAAGGTAGCTTACCTGCCACGGCATTCCCTGCGCGCATGCCGTGGGGAAACAGCTCAGAACGGGTTTGGGATGGCAAGGGATACTATACCCGGTCTTCCACCGGGTCACTTATCCACTGGGCTTGCAAGCTCCTGATTTCTGGTGCCGTCGCATGTTGTGTATCCGATTGGTGAACCTCTTGTGGCATCGTGGACACTCCACATTCTTGCCGCCGCCGTGCTGGCCGGAGTTCATGTGTCGCGTCAGCTCTGCGCGAACGCTGAACTCCGCTTTACACCCGACACCCGCGAAGGGACAGGGCTGCTTGGGTTTGTGGCGTTTTCTGTGTTGCCTTTCTCTAGGTGTCAGTGAGAGAAGATCGGACAGGGATTGACCAAACTCACGAGAGCTGCACGCGGGTGTCATACACGTTGCCACAATCAGCACACTGATACCCACTGCCCAAGCCCTCAGATTGACGAGCGACAGCTGGGCTGCTGCCGGCCCATGACACGGACTGGTTATTCGGGGACCCTCCAGAGCTGGACCCCAACAGGGTCGGCGTCATTTGCGGACACGAGCCCATCCTGTCCGAGCTCGAGAATGGCAGCTCCGCCTCAGAGTCCGGGGCACCCTCCCATTCTTCCCAGTCCAACGGCGCACACAGAGATGCCAAAAGGTCCGCCGGGTCAATCGAACGTAGCCAACTTGCGACATTGGCGTCACCAGAAAATCCTCTTCCGATGTCAAAGTCAAACCCCTTCAGCTCTCCCCCCTGAAGCCCACCCAAGCAAGAGTAACCAGCGAGATGATCTTCTTCGTGGCTATGATCCGGCACGGCTGTGGCAGAGGGTCCTGGAATTGAGCAAGCACTGCCACTGGCCGCCGGAAAACGACCCCCATGGTCACGGAGAAGATCATCACCGACTTGATTACCAGTCCATGACTCGTGAATGCGGTTGTCGTAGCGGGGGCTGACGACGCCCCCGCGGGCGAACGGTCAAGGTTTGAGGACTTGACGAACAACGTTAGAACTTTGGTAACCTACCAGTAGGTACTAGCTAAAAGGAGAAGAACTTACTCGACCTCGGGCCGGCCAGACAGACCGGCCAAATGCTCACACTTCTTTTGGTTGTGATTTCAGGACAAAGGAGATCAGTCTGGAAACCTTTGGGGGAGGAGTGAAGTTTAAGTAAACCTGGGGCACCAAAGAGGCATCCATCTCGGCCCGCCTTTGCCGCCACACTGCAGGTGGCATTGCAGGAAATGTGTCTGGCCCACCAATCCTGCTATTGGAGATCCGACATGCAATGATGCAGGCTGGTGTGCCTCAATCCGTCTTGGGCCAATTACAACATTGACTCTCACCGGCCTTGATTGTTGTCGACATAACATGCATTAGCCGCTAATACACTATGGCTTGGGCAATATTGAGCACATGTCGAGTTGCGGAAACTACCACTTACCATAAAGGACGGGCTCGGGCTGGAACCCCTGGAGCGGAGGCAGACATACAGCCACCTATCTAAGTATGAATTGTGGTGCAGCACGGTGGGAGCCTCATTGTGGGACTATGCCAACATGAATGCCTCAAGGTTGTGGTGACCATGGGGCGTCATGCGAGCCGCTTCCGCAACTCGTTACGGTATCCACCGGACATAGCATCCTCTCCCACATAACCCACGCAGTGAGCTGCAATTTGATCGGGCATCTCGGTATTCAGACAGACCTTAGGTGAGCAAAGGGATTCGCGGACGAGCGTTTGTCTCTGGTATATTCAGACGATTCGCGCTCGACACCACAGGCCCGATATAGGAGGTTGTCCATATAGTCTCGACTCCAAGACCAGAGAAGTTCCACCGACGCGAGGCATTTCCATGATGACAACGCGGGATTTCATCGTGCGGTAACTATAGCTTTCTGCGAATATGGACCACGAGGCACGATGCCATACATTATGTGTTCTTAGTTGTTAAGCAACTTATGTTTAGAAGAGGGCTGACGCAAAGTTTCCATGTCCCTTGCGATAATTGGCGCGGCTATTTGGCGTGACTACCCGGGCTGAGGGCGAATCCGCCTACGCGTTGGCCAAATCATGAACGCCAGAATCCTCATACTTTAACCCTCTCCGCTATTCTGTTCCGGCGGGGGGTAAAAGGGTTGTATTGCGCGTGAGACAGTCAAAAAGGGATGGCTGCGAAGATTACCGGAGTGATTATCGAAGCCTTTTGTCCACACCAAGCGGGCTCTACGATGGAAGCCAACCCAGTTACTACTAGTACTACTCCTCCACTACTACCTTACGGCAACAATGCCTATGACCTACAGGGATGGCAAGAGCCAGGAAGGAAAGAATGTCTGGACTTATTCTCGGCTACCCAGACAAAAGTCGTAACTTGTCCGCCTCTGGTAGCTTGCGCCTCATGGCACTCCTCGGCACGGTCGGCCAGGGGTTAGCCCACGGTAGCCGTCCCCGTAGCCATTCTTCCGTGCGCCCTAGCCTCGAGGAGGGCCGCGGCGGCGTGACGTCGTGGAGGTCGCGGGCGGATACGGTGGACGCGGAGATGGGCAGCGGGATAAGTTCCAAGCGGGTATCTTCGATCAAGCCTACGGAAGCAGAGTCGTTGTTACCTTGTCGTTTGTCATAGCCCTCGCTGTCGCTGTCGCCGCCGCCGACTCCATTGAGTAAGTTGGACTGAGTTCGAGACATGCTCGAACTTCCCAACCCAGTCAAAGGTATGATATGATGTTGGGCTGCGGTGACTGTCACGGCACGGCGTCTGGGTGATTGGGGATGGATGAGTACTCCTTGATAGACAGACGCGGGGTCGGCATTCCGGACAGTAAACAAAGTCCGATCTAAAATACTTGAGCTCCAAGGCGTAGAGTTCGAAGACGAAGCATGTATGTCCAGGTTCTCCCTCTGGTGGAAAGGCAACAATGACCTTATCGCATTCATGTTACGTACCTTATTGTATACATGAGAAGATTCGCCCGTCTGGGAAGCTGCAGTGCTGACGACTACGAAGCGAACCGAGCTTCCGTCAATTGTTCATTAATTCGTGCTTTCGTACAATTACAAGCTATTTACGTGCAAGGACACGGATTTCCCCATGATCCTTTTATCAATAGCCATCACTGTTCGAATGAGCATGTGCGATACGTCTGACAGGACCATTCCCAACCTAGTCCTCTGCAACGTGTTCAGTGTCTTCCTCCTAAAAGGCCTGGGATGGTATCCTCTCGATACTCAAATTATCCCCCCTTCCCCACCCCAAAAGGCACTTAGGAGCGTGTAATGGAGTGTGTTTGCGACCAGGATAGCAGCCATATTGTCACCGTCCGCCCATACTTCGTGCTGAGACGACAGATGTCGTGTTAGTTAAGGAGGTTCAAGGTTGACCCTTTCCACATTTAGTGAGGGCTTACCATGCACAAGTACTTCTTCTCGTCCGGCCGTATCCCACCCTCCCCTTTGAGTGCCCTGGCTGCGGGCGGACACGGACACGTCGGATCAGTCCTGAACAAAGTCGACCGCACGCGCCCGACAGCGGTCAGACCCGGCCACGAAACTCGTAACACTGTCTCTGGGTCGTTCCCATCTCCTTGTGCGGCATCGAGATATACCAGAACCAGGTGCTTCGCGGGGCCTGCTCGAACGTCAGCACCATACCACTGTCCCGGAAATCGCCGCACGGAAAAGAAAAGGAGGAAAGGAAAGGAAAGCAAGAAAACAGAAATGTCACCACTCACCTTCTGGCCCCGGCGTCCCTTTCCGCTCATCCTCACCAAATCCCACCCTTGCCACAACCTCCCAAAACCCAGCCTCAAACTCAGCCACCTCCACCACACTCCTGACCCCTTTCCCTCCCGCAGAATCCACTGGTACATCCCCCTTTTCCAACCCAAGTGGTCCATCGGGCTTCTCCTCGTCCAGCTCAAGAGACACCCCCCAGAACGGACACCCGTCGTCATGCAACCAGCCCATATCCCCCAGACAGTACACGGCAAGGAAGGGGAGCTGAGTCTCCGCACCTAAAGTCTGGCTCTGATCTTGAGTATGACTTTGGCTGTCTTCTTCCGCATCTCCCTCTCCCGGCCCAGACCCAGACCTACTACTAGTAGTAGTAGACGCAGACTCCCCAGACAGACCAGCGCGCTTGCGCTTCCCCCCCGCTCCTGTTCCTCCTCCTCCTCCTCCTCCTCCTGTCCCACGACGACGTTTCCTCTTCGTTCCTGCCCTGCTGAGCCTCGGTAGTTGCTGTTGTTGCTGTTGTTGCTGTTGTTGCTGTTGTTGCTGTTGTTGCTGTTGTTGCTGTTGTTGCTGTTGTTGCTGTTGTTGCTGTTGTTGCTGTTGTTGCTGTTGTTGCTGTTGTTGCTGTTGTTGCTGTTGTTGCTGTTGTTGCTGTTGTTGTTCCTGTTCTTGCTGCTGAGAAGCTTGGAGCTGATACCGCACGGCAAACCCCACCCCGCCCGTGGCAAGCACCTCGGGGATATGCTTATGCTCGTACCAGCGAGTCAGGTCGTGGGAGGTAAAGTTATCTGGCGCCGCCGCGGCGGTGGTGGTGGGCGAGGGGCGCGAGCGGACGAGGATTGCGCCCGGTCTTGGTTTTGGTCTTTTTGCACTTTCATGAGTTTCATCATGCCGGGTTGGGTCTGTTGTTGTTATTGTTGTTGTTGCTGTTGCTGTTGCTGTTGTTTCTCCCTCGGTGGCGGCTCTGGGATTTGGTGGGGGAGGGCTTGAGGGTGGAGTAATAGTATCCGGGGTGGTGGTGGTGGTGGTGGTTGTGGTGGTGTCTGACATGGTGGTGGGCTCCGGTTGCTGCTGGTGTTGTTGTTGTTGATGGTAGCGGTATGGCCGGTTGGGGAGGCTGACGAGCAACATTGCTGACTTTGTGACTTGGACTCTGATGTATGGTCACTTGGAATATGGGATGGAAAGTGATCGATGGCAGGGGATGGCAAAAAGTAAGGACTGGTTGGTGACGACAGGAAAAAGAAAGGGAAGAGACCCTGAAGCTTGGGTTTATGTACATACATACATGATACAGGTACTGTATATCCCGGGAACCTGGATACGAGGGCGATCACCGGCGGAGCTGGCACTCACGTAAGCGGTGGAGCCTCGGCATTTCCGACTGTTGACCGCTACTGACGTGGCGGGCGGCAGAATAAATTTGTTGATGGTGAAGAGGATGGGAAGGTGATTCTTTTGCTTTGTTGAGTGTGAATGGGTTGCCTGGTAATACCGGAGCACTGGAACGGACGGAGTGGCCCCGCCTTGACGTCCGGTGACTCCGGTCTCCTGGGCGGCTACGGTAGCCTATGGCAGCTCACGACCGGGGTTCTCCTGGGTTGCTGTTCCAAGACTAGTAACTCCTGAATTGTGGCTGTGATAGACTTGTGACTGGCACCGTGGCCTGCTGATAAATCCCAATCTAGCGGTAAGTTGTGGCAAACTGTGTTAAGTCTACGCAGCTTCCACTTATCAAACCCTCTTCTTCTTATATATACCCAGCAGTTCACTCTGCCTGTATTCACGGGATCACCACTTTATCTTCTCCATCCACTCCCTTATCCTGTGGTCATCTTCCGCAGCTGGCCACCTGCCATCCCGTATGCGATTCCCGATCACCATCTTCAGCCACGCAAGACGCGGCCTGTCTTGCGGCTGATCACACAGGCAGCGCGCCACTAACGTCCGCATATAGGGATCAACCCCCCGCTCGCGGAGCTTCTGATCCTTAAGCAGGTAGGCGCCGTACGACCATACGCATTTCCTATCGTCGTGAGAGTCGTACTCCGAGTCGTTGACGATCGGGGCATTGTCTTCCCTCCTCTGCGGTTCCGCATCGTCTTGGGCCCTAAGGTGAAGTACGTTGCCGGTCAGCGCTCAGCCAACCAACCCCATGCCGCGACTGCTGCGCTGCTGCGCGTAAGGTGCGTACCGTGCTGCGTACGTCTCCTCGGCGGAGTCCGCGCGCCTCTGGTGGTGGAACGGCTCCTTCGTCTGCATCCTTTTCACTCTTCGTTGCCTGTCCTCGTCGCCACCGTCGCGGTCGTCGTCCTCCGGCATGACCCACATCCGCTGCGGATGGGGAGGCACCAGCGGGTACGTTCTGGTCATGACCTGGCAAGGGCGGGCGGGAAAAAGAGAGAGCACTATTAGTACATACTTACTAGTAGTAGTGGCTTCAACGGCTGATCGACTGCCTGCCAAGGGCCGGGGGGGAAATAACTGAGGGCACTTACAAGTCCTATCTGAAAGAGGTTGTGGGTCCAGAAATACTTCCCTGCGACCGACCAAGGCTCTGCCAGGGACAAGGGACCACGGCCGAGCGGGATGTAGTCCCATTCGGCGCTGAACTGCTCCTGTGGGATGGGTTTAGCTGGGGGAAGTTGATCACCGTTTACTGATGCAAGCTTGCAAGCTCCACGGTAAACCGGTATATGGGCATGGTCTTCTCGAGAGGGCCGCTTACCGGTGTAAAGTAGCCGAATTTGCCCAAGGTGCGATAGTACCAGGGCAAGTCGCTAAGCGACGCAACGTCAACGTCAACCTCTGCCTCACTCACTTTCTCGTATGCCATGCTTAGTACTACTAGTAGTACTTACTCTTGCACGTAATGCCGCCGCGTGACGGTTCTGCCAAGGCCGAAATCGCCCATCTTAAGAACGGGCAGCAGCGGATGGTCTGGATCACGACCAGGGTCACCGACAAGGACTATTTTAAATAGGTAGGTGATACACAAGGAGTTAGCTCGACACCCTACTGAGACATGACAGTGGTCAACCTTTTGCGGTTGGTCCTGAGGTGCTTACTGTTATTGGGAACAATGTCGAAGTGGACGAAGTCCCTCTTCCTCTCCTGGGGGTTGATGCGTTCCATGAAGGGCGGCTGCATTCCGTTGTACAGATGACCGTTCTCTGTAGGCGCGTATGCCATTGCCACGCAGGATTGGACGACTGTAAAAAAGCAGAAGGTTAGCACTAGTACTACCAGTAGTAGTAAAGTATAGACTCTACTCGGACAAAGCCAGCCAGAGCCTCAGCAACATACGGCAGTGGAACATGTGCCAGAGCACGCGGTTGGGGAAGTGCTGCTTCGCCTCGGTCGCCTTGGACAGGGCCTTGTGCAAGCTTCCGCACATCAGGTACTCGAGGATTATCAAGCCCTCGGTGTCGACATGCACGGGAGGTTGAGCAGGCGCTTGACTCCCCTGCCCGCCTTGTTGTGCTCGGATCCGGCGGGATCGGAGCGGCGGCATTGGTCTAGGGAGCCCGGCCAACTGGACGATGTGCATCGCGTCTTGAAACCTATTTGTTTTGTTGGTGGTCAGCACGCCATTATTAAATACTATGGAAGGACATAGACTTGCCGATTGGATCCGCAGCTCGCGCTGGATCCATTCGCTGCTACTCGAGCCAGAGGAACCCGAGCTGTCCCCTCCTCCACCTGCGATGTCGACTTTCACGACGAAGTATTGCCGCCGGTAAGAAGTCCTCCGGTCCTCGCTGAAGAACAGCGCAGCCAATCCGTTCCCTCCCCACCCGAGGACCTTGGCAAACCGAACGCCAGTCAGAGGCTTGAGGTCCTGCTTGAGCTTCCGAAGAGCTGTTGAGACTCTTGCCGTCTTGCGGCGCTGGGATCGGTGAGGTCCGTAGGTAAAGGCGGGTGTTGGCGCGACCCGGAAGCTCTTCTCGACTCCGGGGTACTGTCCAGGCCGGGGGACACAGAAGCGTCTGAACTGGTCCAAATTGCGATCCCTTTCCTCCAGGTGTGTCCCGAATGTGTGGTATACATGATATCTGTAACAGAGCCATCTTTGCTCCCGGCGATATGTCCAGCTATCTCCCTCCTGGGCCATGATAGGGGGCGTGTGTCGTATTTGGTTGACGGGCAAGAAGACGACTCAAGTGATAGGGCGAAGTTGGGTGTCGTCTGACGGATCGAACTGCTGTTGTGCCAGCTCACTTACCTAGGGGAGAGCTCTCAAATCCAGACGCCCAAACAAAGACAGAGAATCGATCTACAGTGGTGGTTCGCCTACACCTGCTGCCTTCTTACGCATTCGGAGCGTCTTTGGTCTGGGCAGGAGCTAAGTAGACAAAGGCCTTGCTTGATCGTTGCTTAGTCCGCACCTATAGGCTATGGGCTTTGTTGCTTGTCAATTACTGTAAGTTAGAGTCCAAACAATGAAATCTGCGTCTACCATCAGCTAGCCTGGGCAGCGTGAAAAAAGCTCTCCAACGCGGGCAGAGAATAATAAGGAAGTAAAACCAGAGATCAGAGTAATACATGATAGACACCCCCGAATACCATCCATCAAACACAGCTCACCATGCCAACAATTCCCAAGTTCCCCAACAACCCCACCCTTCATCATCCCCTATACGCACTACAGTAACATCGGAGACTAAAAGTAGCTAACTAATAGACCAAAAGAAAAAAAAATCCAAATTCAAACTCAGTACCACAATCCAACCATCCCTCACATGCCTCCTTTAATACTAGCACTACTAGTAACCTAATAGATCCCCCTCTAACCGTCATCCACCACCCACCCACCGCCAAAGCATCAGCATCCCCGCACCACCACCCTTACCCTTCACCACCACACCCCACACACTCCTTGCAATCCAAGCCACGCCCCGACCCAACATCACCGCAATACCCCTCAGCAACCACCAAGCATTCACAGCGACCCATTTCCCTGCCGCCAGCAACGCCCTTGCCACCTCGGCCCGATGCACCCACCCCACCTGCACGCCCAGGAGCAGCAGCCCAAGGGCAAAGCCGCACAGGATGTATTTCCGAGGGGTTGGTGTTGTTGGCCCGTCTGTTCCTCCTCCACTGCTTGCACGAATAAATGGACTGTTCCATCTCCTGCTACTGCTGCGGTAGGTGGGCTGGGAGAGGGGGTGGGGGTGGGGATGATACCGAGGGAGGAGTAATGGTGTTGTCTCCCTGGCTTTGGGCCTGGGCCTGTTGACTGTAGTACTAGTATTGCTACTAGTACTGCCAGTACCAGTACGTGTTGTTCCGGTTTGCGCCTGGCTCCACTCGGAGTAGGTACGCGGGTACTGATAGTCGGTGTGGTGGTGGTAGCTTGGGAGGTCTTGGTAGACGGTGCGAGTGGGACCAGTGGGTAGGAGGTTAGGTGTCGCATTACTACTAGTACCGGTATGTGTGCGAACGGTGGTCGGTGGCTGAGCTGGCGGTGCAGTCGCACATGTACCATAATCTAAATACTCCGAGGACGCCGGCTGCGATGGGACTGGGATGAGTGGTGTCGTTGCCGTCTGTTGTTGTTGTTGTTGTTTTTGTTGTTGTTGTTGTCGGTATTGTAGAGCGGGAGTGGGATTTTCGACTGCCACTGGCAGCGGAGATGGCACAGGTACTGGTACAACAGACACGACGCTAGCGTACTCGACCAGGTCTTGGTAGGATCCCCGCGTGAGAATGTATACACTGCTGCTGCTGTGGTGGTGATCCCGACGATCATATGGGCGCAGGACATGAAAGGTGATGGTGTGATGCTTTTCGATGTTCACGTAGGTCATCTTCGGCAGCGTGGCTTCCTCATCGAGATACAGGAGCCTCTGGTTATCGGGATGTGGGTTGCATGGGGATATGGGAACGTATTGCCTTCTTCGCGGGTTATTGCGAGCGAACTTGACCGCAAGATCTGTGTCGTCCAAGGAAGTCAGCTGCCGATTTGCAAGGTTAGTCACGACGGGTCGCAACTGTGGTCTGAGCCCCTGGGGGTGTCCCGGCACATACTATGAAGATCTCGACTTTCCCTGCTCTCAGCCCGGGAGACAGTATCACCACCGGATGGTTGTATGCATCTGGGTGAATACTCTGGACTCGATCGCTTTCGTCTACGTCCATCACCGAAGGCAGCCACATGATCTGACCGGCGAGGTGGGTCGGGGTCGGAGCCGATACGGAATGGCGCGGTCCAATTCTCGGCATCTTGTCAATGCTTCGTGGAGTACTCTAGGAGCCTAGATGCCCGACACTTTTACATTGAGAAGGAGGGAAAGATGGCAAGCCCAAAAGACGCCCATGAACACAAGTTGGGCACGCCACGTCCATACGCATGAAGCGGGGTTGGAGGTCGCGACAACTGGTCGGCGTTTGCTGGAGCTACAGAGTACTACAGTACGTTACAGACCAATCCGCTAGCATCATTGATTCATGCTGTCCAACACGACCTACCAACACGCCCAAACCGCGATGGTTCACAGCCACTCACTATGCCACGTCTGCCCAGCCAACCAGACTTTATACACCTACCGTATATGCGCGTGTCAACCCTTCTAACCGTGTCCAGAATCTAACTACTACTACTCCTCCTCCCCATCCCCAAAGAGATCATCACGCAACGCCGTATCAACCCAACGCGGCGGATCCGGCGGCCCAGCAGGCGGCTCCCCGATATTATCCTGCACCCACTGCTGCACCGCCGCGTCGCTGTCCTCCTCGCCCCACGGCGTGTTCCGCAGCACGCTGGCAATCATGATCTTGAGGTCGGACAGCCGCGGCCGGTCCGCGGGGCTGTCGCACAGGCAGCGCGCCACCAGGTGCCGCAGCCGCTTGTCGACCCGCTTGTACTTCGCTTCGAGGAGGTAGGCGCCGTAGGACATGACTTCAGCCTCTTTTCGTCGGGCCGTGCCAGGTTCGGGTTGCTGTTGTTGGCCTGCGTTATTCTGCTGCTGGCCGGCGTTTCTCGAGAGGTTGAGGGTCGTGACGTTGACCTTGACTTTGCCGGGGGTGGGTGGAACCGGCGGGAAGCAGAGCGTAATGAACGACGACATGACCTAGTTTAGTAGAGGGACAGGTGTGAGCGGGAATGGTAGGTAAGAGTAAACAGCAGGACACTGTTTGTCTCTCGTATGTTGGACGTACCAGGGCCATCTGGTAGAGGTTGGTCTTGTAGCTATACTTGCCCGCCGTCTTACGCACCCCGTCAAAGCGCGCAGCCCTCGGGAACGTGTCGACCCAGTTCCACTCCTCGGTGAATTGTTCCTGCGTGGTGAGGAGTTGTAACAAAAGTCCGAGCCCCTCTGGACAAAGAAGTGTGCTTACCGGTGTTGTGTAGAAGGTCTTTGATCTATCCCGAAACTGCCACATCGAGGAGCTAGAACAGAGTTATTAGGTCTGTTTCCCTCAACAGCCCGCCATCATCAGGAGGTGCTCTCTTACGCGTTGACAAAAGCCTGCGGGATCATCGTATAGGCAGAGCCGAAGTCGCTCAGCTTCAAAACAGGAACCAGGTCGTGGTGGTCCGCTTGGGGTCCGGTATTGAGGTCGCCGACAAGGACTGTTCCGTAGGCAATGAGACACCCTTCGTGTAGGAGAAGATTTGAAGATTCAGGTAGGGTGCTTACCGTTCTGGGGGTCAATGTCCCAGTGGACTAGCCCGGTGCCGCTGGGCGACGCGCCCTCGTTGATGTACAAGCCGACACGGCGGTTATCCCAGGTGCTCTCTGCTGCCCGGCCTTTCGTGATGCGTTCGCTGACGGGTTGCCCATTTATCATCCCCGACGCATCTCGCTGTCCAGCTAGTTCCCAGTCCAAGTCAGGCGGATGCTCCAAGGCGATACAAGCTTGGATCACTGGCGAGGTTGGTCAGACTATCTATCTCGCAGTCGATGGAGAAAGGGGAGCCTTACAGCACTGAAATAGCAGCCACAACACCCGGTTGGGTATCGGGTGCCGATGTTCACTGATCTTGCGTAGAATCTTGTGTAGGCTGCCACGCCGTAGGTACTCGAGGAAGAGGATATCGCCGAAAGGATCTTGGTCAGCTTGGCCGCCTCCACTGCCTCCACCGCCTTCATGTCTTGGTTGACGCGGTTGGGTGTTACTAGAACTAGCAGTGACCGGCGGCTGAAAGTTCTTGAGCTGGACCACATGCAAGCAGCCTCGATACACCTATTTCGACCCTCGGTTATCAGCAACGTCCACCAAACGTATTGTCTCTGCCAAAAGCTTACCGCTTGCGCCTGCTTCTCTGCCCGTACAACCCATGCACGTTGCGGGTTTATGGAACACTTGGCAACAAAGTACTCCCGGGGACCGCCGTTCCGGTTATCGAGATAGAACAGGCAAGCGAGGCCATTCCCGCCCCATCCGAGCGTTTGTTCCAGACGAAGGTGGTACAATGCGAGGTGCTGTCGCAGCCGAATGCGGGCTTGTCGAGCAGCGAGTCTGTTGTACCAGAATCCGACGCCCAGAGGGTTTGCGCCTTCGGTGTAGGTGTACTTCTTTGGCCTGCGCTTCCGAGCCTTCAGTTCCGGGGGCACCCCTCGCTTGGCGGGCTTTCTGTAGTAGGTAGGCCAGTCCACGACGGCCTGGAGCTTCCCTGCATCCGGCTCCTCGCCGTTCTCCCGGAACCAGTCGAACTTGTAGGTGAGTTTCCTCTTAAGCTGGGTGAAGGTTAGTGGATTACTCATGGTGAGGGTTGTGCGCTGCTCTCAGGGCCGACAATGATGGAATGGTAATAGTATAGTTTGACTTTCAATTTTACTCTTGCTATGTGGCACCCAGCTGTTAGGTTGGCTTATAAGTGTGTGGTTTTATTGACCAACAAAGGATGGGGTTGGAGTCTTCGGACAATGCGAAATCCAGGGGCGGATCTCTGTGTCTTACGCATTCGGACGGATGCTGAACCGCTAGTTCTTTGACCTTCTTTTGTTTCATCGGTGCCAGTCAGCGATGTGTGCCTACCCCTAAATCGATGAGAGAACGCCGCTCTGTGAAGTGTCCTTGGTGTTGAGCAATCACTACCGGGTTTATTTACGACCTGTCCAGGCGTCAGAATGCATGAAACGAAAACATGCAGGGCTAGGATTAATATGTAACTCACAGTCCGCTTGTCCTGGTTCAAGTCCGGCACCCAATCATGGGTAACAGATGAGGCAGGCAGCCCAATGAGACAGCTTTCTAGTCAATATTCCATGCAGCTATGTTGCGGGGTGACTCTCGGGTGGGAGAGCCTCTGGCCCCTCAGACTCATAGTTTTCGACTTGTCTTGATTCCCTGTGGACGGCGGATCATTTGGAGTCGGACTACAAACTGTTCGCGACCGTGGTATCGACATGTCAAGGCCAAGTTGAAAATTACCTAGTACTAGTACCGCCAGTTCAATCAGATCCCGCTCGACGATTGCCATGAGGCTCCTCGAGACATCCAGCGCCGACATCCCGAGGATGCGCGAATTCATCGGTCCCCAGATCCCTCCATACGCCATTCTCTCTCACACCTGGGAGGATGAGGAGGTCACGATGCAGCAGTTAATCGCGGGCACCGCCGACCTAGGAGGTCTGCAGGCCAAAGCCGGCTTCCGCAAAATCCATCGGACATGCGAGGTAGCCCGCACGAGGGACAGGCTCGAATACGTATGGGTGGACACGTGCTGCATCGACAAGACCAGCAGTGCCGAGCTCACCGAGGCCATCAACTCCATGTTTGCGTGGTACCGGGATGCCGAGGTGTGCTATGTGTTCCTGGCCGATCTCGAGCCCGGCAGCGACGAGGATCTCGAAGTGGCCCTGCCCAGGTGCCGGTGGTTCACCCGTGGGTGGACGCTGCAGGAGCTGATTGCGCCTCGGGAAGTGGTCTTCTTCGACAAGAGGTGGAACAACAGAGGGACAAAGAAGCATCTTACCGGACTCCTCAATTCCATCACTGGAATCCCCGAGGGACTCCTATCCCAGGATGCTGAGCTGTGCGATTTCCCCGTCGCCCGCAGGATGTCGTGGGCCGCCCGGCGGCAGACAACCCGGGTCGAGGATATGGCGTACTGCCTCCTGGGGATATTCGACGTCAGCATGCCGTTCATTTATGGGGACGGTATGAAAGTGTTCCAGCGGCTGCAGACCAAAATCATCGAGACCACATTGGATTTGAGCATCCTTGCGTGGACCGATGCCCGCGACTCTTGCCCGCCATTTTCGGGGGTGCTGGCCGAGTCGCCCAGCCAATTTTCCCAGTGCGGCAACATCGAGTTGGGCCACGGGGACTCCGCCTACGTCAACTTCGCCATCACAGCCAGTGGTATCGTCACTGATGCCAGCCTGATCCATCACGACTATCAGCTCATGAAGCACAACTACGAGCGTGACAAGACAAACCCCGAGTACCACCGGAGCTGTGCTTGCCACGAGGTGGATGCTAGATTCCCGGTGGTTCTGAACCTATTCTGTGACCTGCATGGCAAAACGCTGGGAATCGGCCTGCGCAAGATTGGCGGAGGCTTGTATGCGAGGTACAAGCCGAACACTGTGTTGACGCTGGGCAGGCCTCCAGAAAGATGCCCCCTCGCGAGGTATTCCAAACGCTTAGTCGAGACACTCACATTGGTTATGAAGCTTCCACGTCCCGCTCTCTGTGGTAGTAGGGGTCTCGATCCGGCGGTGCGCAATAGGATTTCGGTACTCCGCGTCGACTGGGGGCCGCTTGTGATTCTGGACTTCCGTGTTAGGCCCCAAAGCCACTGGGACATCCACGACGGAGTGTTCTTCAACTGCAACGCGCCAACGATAGGCTGGGGGGCATGGTTTGTCCGGGCCGAGCTACCCCAAGACAGGAATTCACTTTACGTCGCCGGGAGCGTGCATTTCTTCCTTGCCTGCTTCGATTGGCGGGGGCAGCCAATTGTCTGCATGGCGGACCTGGACAAGGTGGACTCGGCAAAGACCGTGCTGCTCGAGTCGCAGTTAAACCAGCTCAAGTTTGAAATGAATCGCCAGGCATATACGATGGTGAGAAGCGTCTTGGCGGATCAGCTTCGGGAATCGAGGGGGTCCCCGACTATGCAGTGCGATTTCGGTGCGACAGAAGTCAAAGTAACTTCCAGCGTATCAAAGGAATCCCGGCCTGATCTTTGCGTTAATCCTGTCTTGGTATTGAACATCGAGAGTAAGGTGGTACCTAACCTATTTCGGGGGCTCTGGGCCCGCCTTAGTCGACGTACCGGCAGGCTAGCAACTGCGTACTGCAGCACGGCGCATAGATAAAGTAGCGGCTACTCCTGAAATCGAATACCGCGAGTCAAGGGCTAGAATCCAGGGCTACGAAGAGACATGTGGAACAGTTCCAGGCATACAGTTGACTTCGGGAAGACTGTGAAGGTTGGAAGAACGAATGTGTGAGAGACAGCCAACCGGAAATGATACCCCACGACGGGCGCTGCATACGGAAGCAATAAATGCAAAGGGCGTTTAGAGCAAGGTATCGAACGAGAGAGGCTAAGATCACGCAACTGTGACGACCGGTGCACGCCTTTGGTGCGAGGGCGGCGGCGCAGAAATGTTTCGGAATATCGGGTTGAGCTTGGCGGTGTGGCGCTCGGCTGCGCTCTGCTCGCCGTCTTCGACACGCCACGCAGCCATGTTTCCAAACTATCTAGCCAGGGCTTAGGGCTGACCTGTCGCCGCTGGACAGCTTGCCACTAGGTGGCTGGCTGCGACTGAGCAATTGTCAACACCAAGCCCCTTGGCACGACAGGATATGCCCGGAAGCGGACGAGGGTGAGAAAACGGGAGACAAAAGAGATACACATAATCGCCTCGACGGCCGGGGTCCTGGAAGACAGGATGCCAGACCGACGTCAAATATTGGGCCTAGTGGTGATAGCTCAGTGCCGGGGCTTGCTAAGTAGGACATCAGCTAGCCTCACGAAGTGTTCGACATGCAAGAGATGTGATGACGGCACGGAGGATATGCGTAGGATGACGACATCTGAGCTTCGTGCTCCCGGGCCGACTCGGATATAAAATGACAACTTGACCTCAGCTCCAACGTCTGCTACACACGGCAAGAATCACTTCGAAGCACCACATTGCTGCACTTCTCCCATCATTCAAGCCCTTGACTCTTTACCCGTCAGCCGCATCCCTGAAACCCTCAACAACAGCCATCATGTCTGCCGCCCGCATTTTGCACTGGTTCGAGTCTCAGCTCGACAACACCAACATCGGCAACAACGGCTGGAACTTCCAGGTGGCCAAGGCGGTCGCGGCCAACTCGGCGGCTCCCACGTACAACCTGGTTTGGCAGTCGCGGGCGCTCGCTCCCAGCACCACCCTCTCGTGGAAGGTGGAGTATGCGCTAGGCTGGACGGCGACGGTGCCCGGCCAGGGCGTGCAGGTGCAGATCCAGGGCAACTGGCAGCCGTGCAACAAGGGCGAGTCCTTCGACATCAACTCGCGCGGCTACTGGGAGCCGTCGAAGGGCCCCGCCAACCCCGACAACGCGGGCTGGCTCCAGGTCGGTAACGTCGACTACGCCTACCCGGGGGTGCTCGGCCTGCACATTGTCGTGGGCATGCGCAACGCCCAGACCAACATGTTTGAGCCCATCTTCATCGACAAGGCCGCCCTGGGCCCCGGCAGCTCGGCACGCTACCAGCCGCAGGAAACGGTCAGCTGGTGGCTCGAGGGTGGCAACCTCACGGGCCAGGTCTTCACCCACACCCAGTCGCGCTCGGCCTCGCAGGACTTCACCAATCCGAGCGACCCTCTGACCGGCGCGTTTGAGTGGTCGACCTCCTTCCTCACCGTCAGCAGCACGTGGATCACCGCCGCCGGCCGCCCGCCCCAGGCGCTCTGGACCCCGCCGCCCTCGGCCGCGGCCGCGCTGGATGGCCTGAGCCTGGGAGGCCCGCCGCCGGTGGAGCTGCAGCTCGACTACGCCAGCTGGATAGTCACCTTTACCATCCCCCTGGCGGGCGCCGCGATCGCCGCCGCCGCGAGTGCGCTGTACGCCAAGCTCAAGGACCGCTTCAAGAAGCTGGAGGTCACGGTCTACGGCAAGGACGGCTCCAAACTCCACGTCGAGTACGAGTTCGGCAGCGGCATGGGCGCCAACCCGGGCACCGTCGGCTTCCTGGGCATCCCGAAGGGCGCTGTCGGCGGCCCCGCCGACGCCATCGAGAAGGCGCTCGCCGCGATGAAGGCCAGCGGCGAGATCCCCGCCGACGAGACCTGGACCGTGACGGCGTCTCCTACATTGCTCTCGGACGACCCCTCGCCCTCCGCCGCCGCCGCGTACCCTGGCAACTTTGCCTTCCGCTTCCCCGACGGCGTCAATGGACACCAGCAGCAGCAGCAGAACATTGTCTCCAAGTCGCCCTACGCCCAGGCCGCCTACTCTGGAGGTGCGGTGGTGGCGTAAAGCTGCGATGTGGGCGCGAGAATGAGATGGGGTCGCAGACACATGTTGCAGATAATCCGAGGGTGGAACTCAACGCGTACCATCTTGTCGGGCCGAATCGGTTGACCATCGATGAAGGGTACGAGGGTGTTGGAGCTGCTTCGGGTTAGAGCACTGAATAGGAAAATATGAATGTACCGTGAAATAAGTGACATGCCAGGTGCTGTCTGACCGAGTGCCATCTTCCTGCCCGCAAATGAGGACTGATTAGGTGGTTGTCCTTCAAAGCGTGAGGAGGGGAGCTTGATGACCGAGGCTTGTGCTTAATCCAGTGGCTGGCAACCAGGCTGTATACTGGGCGTCAATTCTGATGCGTGAGAAACTCTTACCATGCACGGATCAGCTGCTTGTGTGTGGTTAAAGTAGACACATTGCGCGCAGAGTGCAAACTGCAAAGTCACCTGAGCACGCAAGGATGGGCCTTGATAGAGGAGATACGCACCACAGTCAAATAACATCCCCCGGACTGAGCGTGTGGCTCAATGGTCAAGTGTCTCAGCCCGGAGGAGGCCGCAGGCGGGCCGGGCAATCGACGGCTGCCTCCACGGAGGCCGTCAGTTCGATTCCTGTGAGCTGCGCGCGGTTTTCTAGTAAAACCCCGGGCTGATATTCCCACGCTTCGCCGTGGGGAATTCACCCTTGGGGGTTTTCGTAGCCGAGTACCTCTCTTCGCTGGGCCCACGAAGAGGGATACTCGGTGAGCTTTTGCATATAAAGCTTCCTTATCTGCTCAAAAGGGTCCAAAACTGGTCGCTCAGAGGACAAGAATCCGCCCCCTTTGAACAACAATGAAGACAAGAAGATGTCGCTATTGTAGGGAGCCGAGAACGTGAATCTGGAACTAGATTTTAACTTTCATTTTGGGTTGGGTTGCTGACTTAGCAGAGTCCAGGTCACGTGTTAGGACGCTTTCTGGTGACTGAAACGGTAGTGAACGCGTTTGCGCTTAGTTTTCACCACTCCGTCTTTTAGTTCCGCTTTCTGACTTTCACTGTGGTGTAAATCTAATGTTGCCTTATATGACCACAAGTTTTACCAACACGTTATAAACCCTGCTCTTAGCCAACCAAACGTGTTTGTGGCCCCCCTCTATATGTCTTCGGTAATAGGCGCTTTCGTATTCATGTGTATGTCGAAGGATACCGCGGGCCACTATCCTCGACCAGCCTAATTCGACGACTGCACCGCAGGCGACCTGCCGGTCTTATCGGCCCGCTTTCCGTGGTATACCAAAAGTGGGGTTACTATACAAGGAGCAAGAACGTAGAGACGTAGACTCGGCGACCTAGAGTGCTCGCGCTACGAGTACCGGCTCCGGCGCTTGTCAATCTGAGCGAGCTGGTCAATGTCGAACTGGATGCAACCGTGGCCTATATAGTCTGACCTAGCCGACCCTAATGCTCGTCGTAGAAGGAAAGCCTCGACCATACAACAGACCTATACAAGCTAGGAGCAGACCTAGCAACAAGTACATACGCTACTCTTAAGGTTTACAATAACTTGCGGCGCCGACATCATCCGAAGGCGGATTGCCGGTCTCTACGTCGCATACTAGCGATAAGCATAGGAACCGACCTAACACTAGGCGCAGTCCTGTATCAGCACGGCTATAGAGCAGTGGCAAGGTAGACCATAGCTTGCTAGGATGTACGTTCCTAAGCCAAGCGGTCGGTAGGGTCTAAACTACGTCCAACTGATATGCTACTCTAGAACGTACCACTTATAGACTTCCCGGAATACCTACCCAAGGGGCTGTTCAAGCGGACTGGCAACTGTTCGGCCTAACGATAGCCTCGCCGATATATATCATGTAGTTGGCGATGTATTTCTGCTAATCTTGGTGAGATTCGCCGTAAGGCTGACCGAGTTCCTCGACCTGCGACAGACTGATCCTACGTATAGTTAGAGCTCCTATGGAAGGAGTATGGGTAGACCTTACGTCGGTCTTGTCGAGAGAGCCTATAATAAAGGCGTTGGGCTAGGAGCTAGTACGCCTCCATGGCGGTAGTAGATAAAACGGGCGACAAGGAGAGTGCTTGCTACGACTTCAAGTGGACTCTCGGCCACCCCTCGTCGGCACAATAAACCCGACCAGCCCTATTGCAATAAGCCCATTTTTCGGTTCCTAACCTGCATATGCATTCTTCACAGACACCGACGCAGCCATCTACTCCCTCCGAGAGGCATCGACAGACCGGTAGGTTGAGAAGAAACACCTAGGGGCTTAGTGAAATGGAGGGTTGAGACTCTCCGACTGGTCCATTTGGCCTGAGATCTCATGTACTCTTAGCTAACCTACAACTTCCCGAGTTACACTGCGACGCCGCTATACACGAGGCATGGCGAATGGACCGTACGACGATTCCGAGCAGCTTGCGGCAAGGGATGTAGGTCGTTGGTTGCGAGAAAGACAGCTTGGTGTCTCGGATTGGATCGGATCACACACCGCGACTCCGGCGGCCGCAGACAGGTTCAGGTGGGCGGGGGCTGGCGTCGACGACCATGAGCGCTCGGCTAAGCTAGGTGATCCGATTGGCAAGGGTCCTCAAGGGAAGGTCGCAGCGGGCTCAACTGGGGAGGTGACAAGGCGGACTCGACATAACGTGGCCTCTCCAGCTCTGTGGGCGGCTTGCGGGGGGTGAGTCAACACGACGATGAGGCCTCGGTCAGGGGCCATCCAACGGGAAAGAGTCCCCTAGAGAAGGTCGCAGTACGGGCCCAGTCAGGGGAGGGGACGAGGCGGACTCGACGTGACGTGACCTCTTCGGCGCTGCGGGCGGCTCGCGATAGCTGAGTCGATACGACGATAAGGGGTTGGTTAGAGGCAATCCAACTAGGAAGAGCCCTCAAAGGGAGGTTGCAGCGCTTGCCTAAACAGGGGAGGGGACGAAGCGGACTCGGCATGGTGTGGTCTCTGCAGTTCTGTGGGCGGCTCGGAGTCACGCCGTAGGATGAAGGCGTTGGCGACGGGCCTGGGAATCTGCTCACGACAGGTGATTCGTTGTCTTCGCTTCAGCTAGAGTGAGACGGCAAAGGGACGGGACGACCGTGCGTATCAAGTAGCTCGGTGCCCCCTATTTCTTGCTGCTGGTGGCGCCAGGAATATGACAACAGGGATGAGGAGCCTGGTCGTGCAGAAAGAGGAGGTCACGGATCGTCGCATGAGGAGGGGACGAGGCATGTACTGCCTGGTCCGAGCCGCCCTGCTGAGCAATTCCTAAAGAGATGCAGTGGATCACGGTATCAGGTCTGGGTTGTGATTCGTGGCTCCAACAACATCCTGCGGAAGCTGCCTTTTCTGGCGTGAAGCAACGCCGTATAAGGGGCGATCCTTGTTGTCGTCGCATTGACAGCGAGGCAGACGCGGCCCTCGGGAAGGCCGACGGCGCGAGCTAGCGTTTACGTGTGCGGCAGCTCGGTGAGGGGCCCTCTGCCTCGCGATTGGTGATTCCGGCTGCATGGATGACGAAGAAGGAGTCCAGTTCATGCAGCCATCACAGTGGCCGAGCCGGCCGGGTGCCCGAGGCTGGGGGTATAACAAGACCCTTCATAGCTCAGCACGTTGCTTAGTATTTGTCATAATTGGCGGAGCATATAGGAAGCGGGAGGCTGAGTTCCACTGGGTTCAACTCGTCTCGTGCTTGGTTGCCGAGTCCAGTCTCCGCGGAGGCGTATATATTTCGCTTGTTATCCTAGTTCTCAGCAGCGCAAAGATGTCCTTAGTTCACCCTATACTTCTTCCGAACCTGGTTTCCCATTACGGCCTTATGAACTATTCTATAATTTAGCAGCACAGAAGCACTAAGCAACACTATGGCAATAGATTGTCAAGAGACTCTCATCCCCTTTGCAGTGGCGGGTTCTGACCGTCCACGCCTCAATCTTCTGATTCCAAAACTCCCCTCCTTATCCGTCTCTAACACACACGAGTTCAAATTCAAGAGTGGTGCCGGCATAGGTATGGCTTTGAATCCTCGTCATGATTAGACTACAGGTTGCTAACACACTTAAGCAGGAAACAATATTGCCACCGCTTATGCTACCAGTGGCGGCAGCCGCCAGTCGCAGTCTTTACGTGCCGGTCAACTACACTGCGGCGATGTCGGCGGTACCAAGATACCACCGAAGGACGTGATCGTGATTTCGAGCAACGATGAGTCAAGCGATGGTGAGATTTACGACGACGAGTCTTACGATGCTAAGTCCTATAACGATAAGCTAAGCGACAATAAGTCGAGCGACAATAAGTCGAGCGACAATAAGTCGAGCGACAATAAGTCGAGCGACAATAAGTCGAGCGACAATAAGTCGAGCGACAATAAGTCGAGCGACAATAAGTCGAGCGACAATAAGTCGATCCACGAACAGCAGAAAGCGGCCCAGGATGCCCGCTAGCGCCCTCGTCTATCTCACCTATAGCTCCCTCTACAAAGCTGTCCCAATTGGCCAACGGGGCCTCGGCTACATGCCAGCTAGGACAGGCATCTACTCCTAATCACACCACACGTAACAACACCGCTCCAGCGACGAATGCCGCTTCCCTTGTTAAACACAAGGCCGTACGCCCTGATCACGGATGTCAACGCGATCCCCGGCCGTTCGCAGAGCCATGCGAAACGACGTCGAAGGACGATATTTCGAAATACCTCTTATACGACGAGCGGGATAAGTGTCACTTTCGCCATGATGTCCAGGATCCGCACAGGGCTGCCTCCAGACAGGAGAGGGAGACACGACAGAAATCGGATGGCAGCTACCGCTCTGCATCCCATAATCACCACGGCGACGGCGACCAGACGAGCAGCTCAGCCCACCGCCATCTGCCGGTTCCAGACGAGACCGGAGAGCCGACCAAGAATGATCCTGTCAGGTTGCTATATGTTTAGGAGCGGCGGGCGAGCCCATCGGTAGTGCCGGACCATCAGAGCATCAGCGAACCTAAGCCAGCAGATGCCAAGCTACGCTTCCAGTACCAGAGTTCATCTAGTACCGCCTCCAAACATAGGGTGGAAAAAGAGCATGAGTCCGGTAGCAGCGCCCTCTCTTAGCACCGTGATCACCATTACGACAGCAAGCAAACCAACGACCGGAAGCAAGGTAATTCTTAGCTACCGGGCGATAGAGTAGAGCAGGGTGTGGGAAGTCCTTTCGTGACGTCGCAAGTACAAGAGAGTAGGGCGAGCATATCGAGATCGTCGGAAGCTATAAGCAACGACGATCGTATGCTGGCTGATGTCGGGCCATCCGTACAGCCATCCGCCAGCCAGGACCGCGTCAGCCTTTAGCAGAGCTTGGGCCGTCGTCCACGTAGCGGTACTGATATAGGAGACAACCACAGACCTATCGAGGACAGCGTCAGAAAGCACGGTCTAGGAGATGTCACCCAGCCACCATAGAAGCGCCGTAGGATAAGCACTTCGACCCCGGCAATTGGCGAAACGGCACCTAAGCGGGCGGCAGATCCGCATTGCGCCAGCTCCCGGTTACAACAGACTCACAAACCGACAACCCGCCACGCAACGCCTCGCCGAAGTCGGCTTAAAACTCCCAAGCCGCACTCTGCAGGGGTAGCTTCCATGACCAAGAAGCCTCAGGAAGAGTATTTTAATGTCAAGCGCATTCTCAACTTTCAGGTGAGGTACTTGGTCGAGTGGGAAGGGTACGGACCTCAGCACAACAGTTGGGAACCTGTTGAGCATTTCGAGCGATGTCCCAATCTGCTGCGGGATTTCTGTAAGAGTACGGGATCGGTAGGGGAATAGATCGCGCGGGAGTTTCGGGCCCTAAGACCGTATAGTACGGAGGCCTACCGTTCAGCACAGTAGGACGATAGGGTGTTGATGTATATTTAGGGAAGTTTGCACGAGATATTGCGGATTGGGCGAGCCCGTGACGACGGAGTAAACCCGAGAAGCATAATAGGTTGAAGATCTGGTCACCGTGTAGAGAGTATGCTTCCTTATGGTTTGGGGGTTTAGGACCGGTGGGAGGTATAACGTATATAAATCGAGCACATTCCTTGGGCTGTCTGGGTATCGTACGCTGCTTGAAAGGTACCGTTACGCATTATAAATCACACCACTGCCCGATAGCCATCGCTTCTCCTGCCAAGGCAATTGCAACGTAGCAGATCGGTCTGCCCCTTACCTAGCGTCTCCCATTGTTCACTCTATATTAGATCAATGTTCTGCCCAAAACCTAAGTCGGGCGCGGAATAGTGAGATGCTATTGTTCAGCATTGTTAGTAGGTTTGACGTTACAAGGGACCATGATCGTATATGAAGAGTAGAAAAAGAAAAAGTAACATAAGGCTTAGGAAAGCAGTCAATTATAAAAGGTCCGGGCTAGGCAGGACATGAACACAAGCCATGGTAAGATATCTACTGCTGAACTAATCATACAGATGATATTACTTAGGCGAACGAGAACAACAGTTGAAAACAAATAAAAGCATGTAAACGAAAGCGAAACGACAAAGCAGTATAGGAAAATAAGCCGAAACAGACGACAACAGCACTTGAAAAAGACAACCCCCGGCTACCTTTCTACTATATAACAGAACAAACTAACGGGGACCCCTGATGACAGAAGTTCGAGTGTCTAGCTCAATTCGTGAGCAAACCCGGCTAGAACTAGGGTCGCCAAATGGCGTCAAGATAACAGTGGCTATTGAACTGGGACAAACCGCTTCGCCCTTAAGCTGATCACCTCAGGCTAAGCCTCGCCTATACCCTCGTAGCTAGACTGGCCCGTTCTATCTATGTACGTCTGGAGCATCCCGGTAGTGGCGGCATCTTTAAACACCTTTGATAGGGAGGTCTTCGAGAACATCAACATATGGCGAATATTCGCGTTCTTTGGACGACTATATCTATAGCAGTAGTATATCCTCCCCTACTTTATCCTGAATACACTGTCGAGGTAGAAGTCTGCTATGGTTTGACATCCGGCGAGTAGATCTTTAGGCAATAACAATAGCTTTCCCTTTGGGAATGCTTTCATATAATCTTTATATGCCTCCAGCTCCTTTCTGCCTTTGCACTCGACCTAGAGGCTACGCCCTAGATCCGGATACTGCTCTGACAGACTAGCGAGTCGGACTCTGAGGGTATTCTTTTTCGTTATATGGAGTCCGATAACCTTCCCTTTGGTCGGTATATTGTCGTAGGGATCGATGACGTCCATAAAGAAATCTTGGTTAGAGGTCGAATCGGACGAGGCTATAGTTATAGTCGTGGCCACCCGAGCCACCTCGGGCGCGGCTAAGGCGAGGGACCAGAGATTGTTAAGGCGCTTGGCAGCTCCCTTTCTGGCGCCCGAGTTGCTAGCCTATACATACCAACCTTCTTAGCAACTATTCTTGTCGAGGAGATAGTCTATAAAGTCCAGGTTCGGCAAGGACAGGTAGGAGTCGAAGAAGACGAGGGCAGGACCGACAGGGATATCTAACTCTTGGCCACCGACGTAAACCAATCTATAAGACCGGTTACTTTCTATTTGAGGTTCGCCTGGCCGAGGTCTCTTTTGATTGTAGGCAAACATGCCGAGGCTGTAGGATATTCAAGCAGGAGCCGTCGCTCGAGGTCTGTGAGTTTGTTAGCTGGATTAGAGATACCGGCCTCCCTTGCCTTCTCCGTATGGCCTTTATAGTCTGAAAGGTCAACTAGATATTGGACTGACCTTGTCGTTACAGAAGTCGAGTCCGAACCTAAGCCGGGACTGGGGCCGTCACCGGAGCTATCGCCGGAGTCCTCGTTCATGCCGTCACCGGAGCCGTCACCGGAGCTATCGCCGGAGTCCTTGTTCATGCCGTTACCGGAGCTGTCACCGGAGCCGTCACCGGACTCGCCGCCGGAGTCCTTATCCAAGCCGCCGCTGGAGCTCTCATCGGAGCCGAGAGGGGGATAATCCTAAGCAATCTGCTCGAGACCAAGAACTTCGACTACGCTAAGGTCTGGTGCTATTCTACTCTGCTGTACTCGGTCTAGGGAGACCTATTTGCCTGTAACAACGCAAGTAGGCTCTCCTTGTTGGCTTTCTTCCTATCATACGGGATGCTATATCGATAAAGGAGCGGCTTGATCTCGTTATTAAGTCGAAGAGGTTTGCACTATTTAGCAAGGGAGGGCATATTTTCCGTTGTCCAAGTGACAAGATTTCCGTTCGTTGATAGGCCGATAATGCAAGAAGGATGGTAGAATCTGCGCGTTTGGCCTAGCTATACCAGGTAGGAGGACGAAGAAACGGTGGAGAAAGGCGCTTATATATACGGTTGGGGCTACCGTAAACGTGAAGCGGGAACGCAAAGTAGCGACGTAAATTAGGATACACGAACGTAGCCCAGGTACTCTTAAGAACACGGACTCTTAGGACATCTTGCCCACCCAAAAAAAGAAAAGGGCATACCTCAACGGTCACTGTACAAGGCTCGCACCCAACTTCAACGCTATCTTCAAACAAATGTAGCATCACCATGCACCGCTATCCCGAGCGGCTTTATATAGCGGCCTGACCGGGCTCAGAACACGGCTATCGTCCACCAACCCCGCGTCCGTATTATAAGGAGCCCAAACCTCAAAGCCGCTACTCCGACCGGCACGTCGACGCCGCTTCCTACCGGTACACGGGGGACCTAGAGCGGAGAATCCACGAGCAGAACGCCAGAATCGCTAGGCGGCCGCTCCATGCGCAGAGCCGCCATTTCGAGGTAGAGCAGCCCGTACGAAAGCGCGTGCGCTTCTCGCTGCCTACATTGCGACGCGACGAAGATAAGCTAGATCGTCTTGCGCGGGAGTTGGCGAAGCTCAGCTTCCTTGACCCGTATGCCAGGCCGAGTCGGCGCCGATGCAGCCGTTGTAGGCAGAAACTATGATATAGGAGGGACGGGCTCTAACGCGTTTGGGGGTGGGGACGGGCTTAAACCCGTTTAGGGGAGGGGTAGAGGGCGGGGCTAGCGGGAACGAACGTAATGTTAGAACGTCACCTAGTTAGCGACAATACCGGTGCGGGCACCTTGGGCAATTCGAGTTTTCAATATATTGACTTCATAGCTTCCTTGCTCAGCTACCCTGCTACTGTAAGCTACCTCTAAGCTGCTCTGCCGCTGCTGGACTGCTACCGCGAGATCTAAGCCTAATTCCCTCAACCTCCTATAACTTAACTTCAAGACCCCTTAGGGCTTTGACCATAGGCAGGTTCTTAGCCCTCGCGTTCTGATATGGCGGTAGAAACAAAGTTGGTACATCCGACTGTGCATCCTGAATTAACAGCACTTCTTGATCTTAGATGCATTCGACAAAGCTGTTCGTGCTGCCCTTTTCATCCCTATACCGCGTTTGCGTCTACGTAACACGTTCGCGTTCTCACCCCACGACTGGTTCTCCTCGGCGACTAATTTTGAAGGCGGGGACAGGGCTCGAACCTGTTCGTCAATCCCTGTTCTTGCCCCCCTTCTCGTCATAGGATTCCGATTTCAGAACACTGGTTTAACTATAGTACACACTACGGGGATGTTGGCTGTTGGATGGTGAGAGTGTGTACGAATATTCAACGCAGTCCCTAGCTAAGCTAGAATACTTAGTTAACTAAGCATTGAAGAGAAAGGCTTCTTCTGCGTTCTTTGTAGGCAGTTCGTTGTAGATATATCGAAGGCGCCAACAAAACTTTACGTGGAAACCAAGCGTCCTGCTTCCAAAAGCCGCGGGGTCGAAAGTAAGAGTCAAGAGAGATGTCTCCGAGATCCTGCTTGCTCCGGCCGCAGCGCCTTTACAATTCTCATCAAACCACGAGCAGCAGAGACCCGCACCAGACCACCTGAACGTGCCACCCCCGCCCCGCCCGCCGCGCCGCTTCTCCGTGCCGTATTGCTCATCGTCGCCGGGACCATGCTGGTGGTCATACTGATTATGACAAGGTGTCAGAGTGGCACAGCGCTGGGCGTGACTGTTGGAGCGCCCTGCTCGTCGTCACAGGCTGTAGGGGTGACAGCGTGCTCGTGGCCCGCCCAGGTAGTGGGAGCCTAAGACAGCCTTCTATGAGCTCGGATATCGATCCGAGGCTTCCCTTACTAAGGTCAGATAACAAGAACGTGTTGATGGATGCTCCTAAACCGCCTTGATTCCCAGCCTCGAAAAGGACTGTACTGACCGGGAGACTAAAGCATGTCAACATGGCGCTGTATCAAAGGTCACCGAGACAAGGTCATTTGTACCGCTCCCATCTGCTGCTCACTTCTGCAGCAAGAGGATCAGAAACATATAAGCTGCTGCACCCGTTCAAGGTCTTATCGCCCTCTAAACTCGTCCTATCCAGTTATCTCGCAGTTTGTAATTAGCCCCTACCGTTCGTAGCCCTGCGGTTGTTCATCGTCACCACTGAATACTACTGCGCCTACGCCAAGTCCAAATCTGGGCAATCCTTGGGGTTGGCGTAGAAGGTAGCGCCTAGCTTCTCGATCACGTTGCAGCGCTCCTCCATAGTGTAGGCGTTGAATAGCATGCCGGCGTTCTTCTCGCTAGCCGCTTCGACATCCCCGCTGAGGACCCATACACCGCCTCCAGCCGGCCATCCCGTAGCGATAAATTTCTCCTCTAGGGGTACTGCGTGTACCTCCCTGAAACTCCTAGCCCATGCATGCTCGCTCTCCCACCATCGGGCACCCAGCTGACGCACTAGAATATCAGATTCACTACATTAGCGTCACGAGTCTCTTATAGTAGGATTCTCGCAAGGGGGCGGGGGAGGGGCGCAGGTTTTCCTACTCTTATTGCAGTGCGCCTCTTCGTCTGCGGCCGTGTTGGGGTCTTTTGGATCGGGACGCAGCACAGGTTCAAACCGGCCGTAGCCCAAGAACTCAAGGTCGACGGTAGCAGCTCGCATAGTGTATACGCCGCCCTTGGTGGGCCAGCCAAACACTCTAGCGCCGGGTTTGGTGCCATATGACACCCTCTGGAGAGGCGGGTCGAAATACCCTCCTTCCTCTGGTGCGTAGTCGCACGATTTTCCGTCTGGAGCGACTGAGGTCGCCATGGCAGGCTGAAATCGGGGCTCGGGTTGGGGCTTCACGACAAGTCTGAGGAGTGCGGCCACTGCCACGACGACAATCGCTGTTTCGATAAGCATATCCCAAGAACACGGCCGGCGCAGCTCTCCGAGCGGATGGCGGGTGGAAGATAGGTCCAAGGAGGGGGCCCGGAGACGTAAGACCGGACGGCCGTGTGACCGTGTCGCTCTTTTATGGGCCGAGTGATGGGTCTACTTTCGTCGTATAGGAATTGGAACCCTGCGTGGTACCTTATTTGTAATCGGTCCCATAAATGATAAAGTAAGGTACATAGGTGGTAGGTACGGATGTACACTACTTACTGGGCCTCCTAAAACGGCCGATCCAGTTCCCCGCCAAGGCGGGGGACTGGGTTCAGCGACCTGTCCGAAATCTTCCAAACATTAACGTACATGATAAGCGAGTGACCCAGACAAGCGAATGACCCACTCTCCACTACCCTACAAACATTATCCTCAATTACAAAACAACAAAACTATCAACCAACTACAATTACATCAGAAACGGCTGAATCAGATGCTTCTGCAACCTCCTGGCAAGTGCGGGCATTATGACCAGGCTTGCCGCATACACCACAGCACCGAACCTTCGTACGACCCCCACCAGCACCACTACCATCCAGCTGTGTTTCTTGCATTGCCTCCCCACCTATAGCCCCCTGGCTTACCACCTCCTGTGCCTCCTGCACAGTAAGTGATCCTCCAAGCCGCACACGTGTTTTTTTGGCTCTCCGGCGCTTGCTTAGCGCCTCGTTAGCCTTGTGGAGCGAAGACACCTCTGCCTGAAGGAGGGCCACCTGGTGCATTATAGCCATCGTACCCTTGGTAAGCTGGTCTATAGCAGCTAACATTGAAGTCGGGGAGCTATTTTGATGGTTGGCAATGCGAGTCTTGATAAGCGTTGACTGTGACTCGGCTTCTCGAGGGTTGTGTGGTGTCTGGAAGACCCAAGATTGTGCAGTGCCCGGCCGTGAGATTGGGGGTGTTGGTGTACGAAGCTTGATATCTAGCTTCGAAAGCACCCTCTCTGGATCGTATGGCACAAGGCCAGCCCCTGTAAAACCGCCCTGTATATTCCTCTTGGTGATAGAGGCAAAGAAGGCCGTGCGAAAGGCATAAAGAAACTCGAGCTTGCTTATATGGTTGATATACGCGCGTACCAAGTCCTCGATCTGGCGACCGTACGCCTGCTTCAACGGCCCAAAGCAGCCAACATCAAGTGGCTGGAGGAGGTAGGAGGAATGTGGAGGCATGCAGAGCGTGATAATATTGTTCTGCTGGCAGTAGAGCTCGAACTCGGTCGAGTGGTGGCTTTCGTGGCCATCGAGGATCAACAACCGGTATTTGCCCTTTGTCCGAGGCGCTATATGGTAGTCGAAGTGCTTGATCCAATCAAGGCCTATTGTGTTGGTAGTCCAGCCGTTCTTGGTGGTTGCGATATGCTAGTCGGCCGGGAGGTTGCACTCGGTATACCAGTTGACGAGGTAGTATTGTGCGGCCAAGATGATGAACAGAGGGATAGCCCAGCCGAGAGCATTGACTCCCTGGATTACTGTTGCCCACTCGCGATTGCCAGGCTGGGCCAGCTTAGCCTTGCTCCGGCCATCTGAGGTCGTAACAACTATACCCGTAAAGATAATGCCCATTATAAACCCGGTCTCGTCAAAGTTATAGATATCGTCATCTACGATACTATACTTGGCCTTAGTGTTCTGCACAAGCCTAAACCACTCGCGAATAACATCTGGATCTTTGCATCTAGCCCTCTGGTAGTTGTATCTACATATATATTGCGTACGGAGCTCTGGCCGGCGTTTGACGAAGTTGTAAGCCCAGCGTTTGCCAATAGGGGGCGCGTCGTATTCGCACAGTAGTTGGTTGGCTATATCTTCCATACCATATAACCTAGGCGGGAATACACATGCAGATAGCTTATTGATATATTGAACTATCGCCTTCTCTTCTAGATCTGTGAGCTTGCGCGAGTTGGCTGGAAGATTGTATCGTGCAGGCTTGCCGGCGCGTCGGCGCCCTAGGGTCCTACGGTCAACCCCATAGATCTTAGCTGCGGCTCGTTCGCTTAGATTCTTGTCGTTTTGAAGAGCTTAGAGAGCCAAGATTATCTGGCCTTCTTTTGAAGTAGAGGGCATTTTGGATGGTAGAGGAAATTTTGTTGTTGAGTGCAAAGATATCGCGTCGTATAGGAAGTGGGTCATTCGCTTGCCTGGGTCACTCGCTTATCATGTACGTTAGCGACCTATCCGAAAAAATCGTATACCTCTATTTCTTAGCCGGCCCCATACAAAATTAGGTACACTTGCCTTTTAAGCACCGCGAAAGGGTTGCATATTAATCAATCGCCTTACATCTATCCTAACACATCCTAAACAATTGAAGAAAAGTAAGTTACCTATTCGTAATACCCTTCTAATACTATAGCTAGATTTTCCGGCAGTCCCAACGACGGCCCGAACTACCCGCCTTCCTCAAGACGGTCCGGGCCCTCTTGCCGACGGGCGTCTCCCTGTCCATTGCAGCGCCCGCCTCGTACTGGTACCTCAAGGGCTTCCCCATCGCGGAAATGGCCGAGGTCCTCGACTACATTGTCTACATGACGTACGATCTCCACGGCCAGTGGGACTACAACAACACTTGGGCCAACCCGGGCTGTCCCCTGGGCAACTAACTGCCTCCGCTCGCACATCAACCTGACCGAGACCGAGTATGCGCTCGCCATGATCACCAAGGCCGGCGTCCCCGCGAGCAAGATCGCTGTGGGCATCGCCGGCTACGGACGGAGCTTTGGCCTGGCAGACCCGGGTTGCACCGGGCCCCACTGTCTCTTCACGGGGCCGGAATCGACGGCCGAGCAAGGGCCCTGCACGGGCACCGCCGGCTACATCGCGCAGGCCGAGCTCGACTCCCTGGTGTCGGGGGGCGCCGCGGCGCCGTCAGGACGTGGTACGACAGCAGCAGCGACTCGGACATGATGACCTACGGCGGCGGCACGTGGGTGTCGCACATGAGCCACGCCACCAAGGCGTCGCGCATCAGCCGGTACGCCAGTTACGGCTTCGCCGGCTCGGTCGAGTGGGCCGTGGACCTGGCGTAGTTTGTCCTCGGCCAGGACGAGCACAGCCCTAGCTTGTCGGTCGCCCAGAAGGAGAGCGAGTTCAATGACGCGCTAGCGCTCAGCAACTATGATACGTCGCTGTTCGCCGACTACAACTTCACCGACCTGGCGACGAGGCTGGAGAGCTTCAGGGGCTGCAATGGCGCACAGCGGCGGGCCATCTACTCGGGCTGGCAGCAGTCGTGGAAGATCATGAACCTGATATACTCCGAGACGAAGAATGGCCTCGACCTCAACTCGGCGGCTGCGCTGGAGTACCTGGGTCCGCCGGCTGACAGCGGGTCCAAGAAATCCGCCTTTGAGAGGATCTTCAGGACTTATGCCACGATCCAGCCGGGCTATATCACCACCCCGTTCGACTGGCGGCTGCCGGTCCGGTGTGACGATCCAAGCAACCTATGTCCATGTGGTAAGCCCAGCAACACGGCCGCCTATACGATGCTCCCCGGGGAAGACCCGACTTTCAACGGGCGGCAGAGCATCAACTTCTGCCCGCTGTATTTCGCTTCACCGACGCTCGGCAGCGCGATGTAGTACGCCAACAAAGACGAGTGGCCGGCTGATATATACGCTGATGTGACCAAGTACTACCCCAATCAGGGCAGGACCTGGTACCACAAGCTGATGCATGTTGACTGGGCCACAGGTGCGTCGCCGCAAGGGGTGCCAACCGGCGTAGTCCACATCACGGCCGGCTGGGCCACGCAGTCGGATTACCCCGCCGACTACCTCTCGAGTTACTCGTCGTGGGCCAACCTCAAACCCACCAGCACTGCTCCCGCAGACCCGTCGCCCACCCCCAACCTGACGCCGCTGACGCGAGGTCGTATCGACTGCTTCAACGAGGCCGACTTTCCGGGCCACGCCGACATCCAGTCGGATTACCAGGATACGTTCTCGGTCGAGTTTAGCAGCCTCGACGACATCATCATTGGGCCAGGCGACGCGCCGATCCCGCTCTACCGCACGGACCGCTATAGCGTCAATTACGACTACCGCGTCGAGTGGGTTGCCGGGTATGTCACGACGGTCGAGAGGCAGAGCTTCCGTTTCCCGCTGGGTATATCGCAGAGCCTGATCACGGCTTACTTGCTTGTAAGGGAGGATTATACCAAGTGTAAGTTAGGCTTTCCTCTTTCCTATTTCATTTGTTTCTGCTATATATTCTTCGAGATTCGAATAAAGATACGCCACTGACGCTTCTTATCTATAGGCAATAACGGTGGTATCGGTGGCTCGTATCAGGTTGGCTGTTTGTTATATACCTTTAAGGGTGGGCGAGGTGATCAAGGCCGCTTCCGGATGCCAGTTGCGCCGTCACAGTATCCCCCCAGTAATTATAGTCACTATATGCCGGGGGAGAATGGCGGGATTGTTATCGATAATCTGAAGTAGTATTGATTGACCAGGATTGGAGATAGGTACAAATACCCTACTACATGTAGGTCAGGCGTTTAAATACTTCTATCATTTCAGTAGGGGTGGCTCTAGGGGCATTTTCGGCTCGGCTCGGCTCGAACGAAGTTTTAGGTTTAGAACACGAGTAAGGTCAGACTTCCGTAACTACCAACGTCGCTTTGGCGGAGTTCCTTCTTGCTTTCCCCACAATCAGGCGTGCGAGAAAACGGTTGGTTGAATCCCAGAAACCTGGAATCCTTTGCGAAAAAACCTGGGGTTAACCCTTATACACTAGGGTAGCGGCGATGGCGGGTCTAGGGGATGCACGGCAATTGACGCGGGGAAGGAATCCCTTTGGCCCCAAAGGCAGTGTGCTCGCGAATTCGACCATTCTGTCGCTAGTGGCAGGATAATATTACCTCAGCTGTGCTTCCACGGCGCTTCCATAGCAAAGCTGGCTCTCCGGCTTTGAGTCTTGGTCTTCGAGCATCGCCATTTTCCTCGGGAGAGAATGGTCGAGCGGAGGCATCCTGAGATTTTGCAGCCACATGGCACAAACAACCTACAGTCACATGACGTTCAAATAGCGTGTTACCATTTGCATTTATGCATTGTGACTGTGCCGCTGCGGTGCAAAACAAGTGAAGTTTTGAGTTTTCACTTTAACGCCCACTCAACTTTGTTTACTCAACAGACCAAATCCACAGAACCACAACTAAAGTTCATGCAAGCCTCCAAATGAACGATCAGCACCGTGAGGGACTTGAGTGGGATGATAGTGGTTGGGACCTTGTCCCCCGTTGGGCGCGGGAGCCTCGGCTTGAGGCCATCGCAGAACTGTGCCGGAGAGTCCTAGAGCTCGCCGCTGGGGATCACTGTCACGTCGCATTCTATGCCGAAGGTGCCTTCAACAAGCTTTACCTGGTCGAAAGCCGGCGGGGCAAGTCGTTGTTGCGGGTTTCGCTGCCCGTCGATCCACGACACAAAACGCACGGCGAGTGCGCAACGTTACACTGGATTCGCGAGATGACCACCGTGCCCGTCCCCAAGGTCATCGCATTCGACGACTGCCGAGACAATGAAATCGGCTTCGAGTGGATTCTCATGGAGTTGATGCCTGGCGTGTCGGCGTACAAGCGGTGGCGCAAGCTGTCGATGGCCGAGAAAACCCAGGTCGTCGAGCAGGTTGCAGAGTTTCAGAGCCAACTGTTCCGCCATGGCATTGAGGACGCCAATTTCCAGTCGATAGGCACACTCCGCTTCGGCGATGGGACTTCTCAACTCGGCCCCGGCAACCCGAAGCCGGGCCGACTGGTGTCCCGCTTTTTCTTCGGGGGAGACCGTTTCAATTACGACGTCCCTCGGGGGCCTTTCAGATCGAGCCACGACTGGCTGGGCACCCAGCTCGGCATTGTCCGAGAGGAGCAAAGTAGAATTCTAGAAACGGCAGAAGACGAGGAGGATCGAGCCGACGCCAAGGCAATCCTGCGGGGTGCCGAGAAGTTGGCCGCCCTTCTGCCCAAGATCTTCCCCCAGCTACAGAATAATCCGCTCGAACGCACTGTTCTCTGGCACGACGACCTCTCACTCGCCAACATCCTCATCGGCGAGAAAGACGCCAAGATCACGGCCATCATTGACTGGGAAGGCGTCTCATGCGAACCCCTCTGGGTCGCCGCCGAGATGCCCAAGTTCTTGCGCGGGCCCAGTCGGGAAGAGGAACCGCAAAGAGACCGTTATGGGGAGGCGAACGAGTACGATCAAGATGACGAGTTGGACAATGAAGGGAAAACCGGGCTCTATTGGATCCATCTGATGGAATACGACATGACCCAGTTGCGCAAGGTCTACGCCGCCAAGATGAGGGAACTTTGGCCGCGGTGGGAGGAGGAGGTCACGTACAGCTCCTTAAAGTCGGATCTCTACGAAGCTTTGCATCGGCTCAGCGACGGCTGGCAGGTGAAGCGCGTTGAGAAATGGGTTGATCTTGTCATAGAGGGCGGAGAATTTCCCCGCCTGAGCGATGTTTTAGCTCGACCCGCCGATGAAGCTAGAACAATTCCATAGCCTTGAGACGCCCTACAACACTAGCCCATGAAAAATCAGGAAGTGATGAAGTTTGCAGCCCTGGAATGCTTGTCTGCTGGCATGTGTAAATTACAGGGGTTGGATTCTCAAGTCGGCATCTTTTCGGCCCCTGTTATTCAACCATAATCGAACGTCAAACAAAGCCAAGCCGTTGGTGGCTCCACAGCCCCTGCGTCTCGGTCACCATAAGCGCCAGAAGACCATAGATGCCATTACATCGCCGCATCCTGCGGGCCCATCGTGTGAGTTCGATAGTTTGCTGCCTTGGAAAGTTCCGACGAAGGCCCCTAACACGTCGTCGCCAAGCAAGGCTGTCTAAATCTACTCCGGACTGAGATCCGTATGTACATAGTCCGTAACGTTGGGTGAGTTGAGACTTGAGAGTTCTATTCGAGAGATGTATAAGTAGAAGAATCAGCCGGATCTCAATCTTCAATTCTCAACTCATCTCAACATCCACTTCACATCACAAACTCCCTGGTGGATTCTGTCTGTCTGCACTTCCTTCTTTGCATCTTCGACCAGTCTCGTCCACCATGGCTCGCCAACTTTCTCTCGCGGCGGCGCTTCTCGCAACTCAGGTAGCTGCTCACGGTTATATCAATACCTTCACCCTAGACGGTGTCGACTACGAGGGCTTCAGCCGCTGGAACCCTTCTCCCGACCCCAACGCCATCGGCTGGAGCTTCAGCACCCCGGATGAGGGCCCGGAGCTGGACATTAGCTCCCCCAACTTCGTCTGCCGCCGCGACTCGGAGCCTTCCCGCAACTACGGCACGATCGCGGCCGGAGGCACTGCCTCGTTCTTCTGGACCTCGGACGACAAGGTCATCAACCCCAACGGGTGGGCAGAGTCGCATCGGGGACCGATCCTCACGTACATTGCGCCGTGCAACGGCGACTGCGCCAACGTCGACAAGACATCCCTGCGGTGGACCAAGATCGCCGAGTCCGGCCTGGTCTCGGGACCCGCCAACACGCAGGGCATCTGGGCCACCGACGTGATGCGCGAGAACGGCGGCATCAACTCGGCCACCATCCCCAAGTCGATTGCGCCGGGCAAGTACGTGATCCGCAACGAGATCATCGCACTGCACCGGGCCCACATCAACGAGCCGGAGTTCTACATGCAGTGCGGCAACATCGAAGTCACGGGGGACGGCACCGACGACTTGTCGGGCTCCGGGGTTCCGGCGACCGAGCTCTACAGCAGAAGCGATTCCCAGATGTTCGGCTTCTCGGTCTACGACAGCCGTGACAACGAATGGCCGATTCCCGGCCCGGCCCTTTATCAGTCGGTGCAGTCGCAGGAGTCGCAACAGTCGCAGCCCTCGCCGTCTAAGGAGTCGCAGCAGTCGCGGCCGTCGCCGTCGCAACAGTCGCAACGGGGCAGGCCGACTGGTGGTGCCTCGTGCCGAGGCGAATAAGAGGGAAGAGGAAAAGCAACTGGACTTGTCTTCCTCTCCATCATGTCATGGTAATTGATTGAGACGAACTTCTTTTCTGTGTAACATTCTGTATAATTTTAAATTGGACTTTGAAGCGGGTTGTGGTCGCATCCTAGACATGCATGGGCCAACTCTTACTGTACCATGTATATAAATAAGCAGAGCTCAATCATGGTCTTATTGCTGCGGCACGAATCGATGACCTCTCGCAACGTACATAGCCGAAACATCGACCCAGCCCGGCCAAGGACCGCCCCATCTCACGCCCGGGGTAAGCCGGACCTAACAGAGCAGAACCACGGGCAGACATAAGCCCACATCGCCTGCAACGTAACACACAAACACATGCATGATTTGTGGCATAAAGTCGGACGGTGTATGAACTTTTTACGTTTGCGATCCCAAAGGCGAGGGGCCACCTTCGGGGGCTGGTGCTCGGGCCCGATACCCCACATTTACGGACGTGTTCGGCCCAAGGCGGGTCGGCCTCCCCCGCTCCGGAGCTCCGCTCCGTAGTGGGCCCTCGATGATTTCCCATTCTGGGTATCCGTATCGGGAGCATCGGATAAGTAAGGGAATGGGATGGTCATTCTTTTGTGCAACCCCAAGTTAGAGAACCTGCAGCCTGAAGCTGCCCGATGACGCATTGGGCGTGGGGTTGTGGCCGGCAGGTCGGGTCCAACAGCTTTCTAACCTGCCGATCGGCTGACGTCGGAGATGGGCCGCTTCAGTGCAAGCCAATGGTCCGCTACACCTGACTGAATCATGTGCTAGATCCCTTGTAATACGTGTGCACTGCAATTAGCTTCTTTGGAATCAAGAAGCAGAAAGTAGGTGGCTATGAGAAGTCGCTGCAGCAAATCACTGCTTAAGAGAAATGGTTTGCCCACGAATTGAAAGACAATGGCAAGCCACCCTGGGCCTTCCTCGACCCTGTCCATCAGCTGGTTTTAAGCCTTGACGAGGTCACACAGTGAGACAAGTGTCGTAATCGCGCAGCTCGAGGGCGCGCCAGCGAGAATCCGCCTCAACCTTAATCCAATGTTCGCCGAGGATACCGTGTTTCTCTCGTCGTCGGTCATGGGAGGCATTGACAGTTGTCAACCACATACGATGATGCAACGCACTCCAGAACATTCCGCTTATCGCTCGACCGACTCATTAAGCAGCTTAGTTACGACTGGCGGTGTAAGCCTTGCATTTCCGCCAGAACCAGATGTGTGACCGCTACACGCCAATGGCTGGGGATCGGCTGCGCAGCTTGCGCTACGCTACGCGTGTCCTGCAGCGTGCCACACTTTCTGCGCTGACGTCATTTCTCGTCGAGCTTCTCGCTGAAGACATTCACATGCGACAATACACTTTCCATATTAACGCCATTCACCTGCCTTACTTAGCTCGCCATAATCATTGTTTTGACAAGGACATCGGCAAGAATCCCTTGAAATTCTTCAGCAATGCCAAGCAAGAAGCAGCTGCCTAGACGAGAAGAAGACCCCTTCCGCCGCATCAGGAACTGGGACGATGGCTTCTCTTCCGCGAGCAGCGCGCCGCCGCCGCCAGCACCTACACCGCCAGCCGAGGCATGGGAGCTGGGCAATTCGGGTCGGCCGTTGAGAAGGAACACAGGAAGGAGAGCTCTCTACCATTCCCCACCGCCGATTTCCGAAGACCATATGCGTCGCAGGAGAGATGCCAGTCCAATCCCCCGTCGCGCAGGACGGTCCCCTTCCCCTCCACCACGGCGCCGAGCGACATACTCCCCTCCTCGCTCGCCCTCGCCCCGACCCGGGCGACTAAACACCCGGTCAACCGCGCCGCTACCACGAACACGTACTTATTCCCATTCACAACCACCACGGCCGCGCGCCTATTCCCCACCTCCAGCGCGACGAGCACGCGCATATTCCCCATCGCCACCACGGCGAACACGCGCCTACTCCCCATCTCCACCGCCGCGCTATCGATCGCGACCATCCAGATACGACGACGGCAATGACAGAAACCCGCGCTCCCGTCCACGCTACACACCCTCGCCCTCACCACCACCCCGACCCCGCGCCCGCTCGCGCGACTGGGACGACCGTCCCTCCCGCAGGCGATACAGCAGCCCGTCCCCTACCCGCTCCTCTCCCCGCCATCGGGACCGCGCGCGCGAACGTATCCGACCTCGAGACCTCGACCCCTACGGGCCCTACCTCGACCGCGACCGAGCCCCGCCACGCAGCAGATCCACGCCAGCGAAAAGCTCGGCGCCCAAAGGCTTCGCGCCGCTCAAGAAGCCGCACTGGCGAGACGCAGCCGCGGCGGCGCTGCAGGCGGGCGGCATGGCGGCGGTGAGCCAGCTGAGGGCGCCGGGGGCATGGAAGGGCGAGAAGGCGGCGCGGGTGGCGACGGCCGCCTTAGCGGGTGCGGCGGGGCCGTTGTTGAATAAGCCGAAGAAGGAGGGTGGTAATAAGGCGGCCAAGGGAGGGGGTAGACCTAAGATGCCGAAGGTGCCGAATGGGCTGGTGCAGGAGCTGGGGGGCGCATTGGGGGGGTTTATTGTTGATCGTTGGGCTACTAGTGCCAAGGGAGGGGGGAGACGTTGATATTGGGGAGGGGACGGGGTCGGGGGAAGGTTGAAGAAGGGGAGTCTGTTAGACTGTTGGAGCCTATTGCGCTAACAATGGTTCGGGATGAGGGGAAGATTGCATCTTAAGGAAAGCGTTGCCTTTTGTCATTGTTTTGTTGCATTTAGCGTGGCGCAGGGAAGAGTATGCTAGATGATCTCCGGATTTGATACACGATACAGGCTGGGAAAAGGGACATGATATCATCACTGCTTTACTGCATTTTGGTGCATTTTTGGCAGCCAAAATATAAGAGTACGACGGGTCAACTATTTAGAAAAATGTCACTGATTCGAACCACCTCCCGGTTTAGTCAGTGCCAATGTCATCACCTGATCACTTGCCTTTCCAGATGGACGTGGCAAGTCAGAAGCTGCCAACCTATCACGCACATCTACTCTACCATATCACCAGCGAAGCTCCCGCCAAAAGAGATTTGTTCATTCCTTAGTAGCTATTTCCCAAAGCCATTGTGCGAGTGAAGACTTGGGCTCGTGGCCGGCACCTACCACGATTTCAGCTATCGCTCCACTATGGTCTTAGGCTGAGTCCCTCGGAAAAGGCTTTCTCTGTTCCTATCAGCTCCTACAAACCGCCCTACGCTAATGCCAACACCAATGCCAAACCAAGCTCCTAACGTTAAACTCCTTCGCGCCCGCGACTAATCCATACCTCCATATCATCTTACCCCCTTTATCGTCCCTACCCCGTCGGCAACAAATGTGACACATCTTCTCGTCTTCCAGTCCACCGGTCCCGACACTACCTAATCACCTTGGCCCGTGTGCCTGGGTTTGGCCGAGTTGGCCTCTCTGTGACTTCGCGGCCAATGCGTCGAACTTGGCGTGCAAGCTATTGTCCAAGGAGGGGGACGAGTCCCTTGAGGTACTCCTTTCACGACGGTGCTGTGATGCTCGCCGCCGCTTAGATGTTGGCATCCTTGGTTGTTGAAGTGCCTGTTGGCCAGCTGGTGTATGCGCGCACGTCCGATGACGAGGACAGGGAAGGCCTTTGCCCCGGCCGGTGGGAATCCCCTGTATGTGATGCGCCTGCCAGTTTTAGTCGTAGGTGCACTGTTGTCGGTGTACCTCCTTCCGGATCAGGGCATGGTGGAAAGCCAGTGGGTACGACAAGTTCAGGGAACTGAACTCGCCAAACGTCGCCTCTGGATCTGTGTGGTGTCGTGTGACGTCGTGGCGAGGGGGGTGGTGAAGTGATAAGCACCTTGTACTATACTTATATAGAAATATTCCGCGACTCGACCACAGTGGCGGCTTGTCTTGCGCAGTTCCCGCACCTCTCATCTCTCCCTTGCCCAAGGCATGAGATGAGGTCAAGGACTCCCCGAGATTTCAGGAGGCATCTGCTCTGCCTTGAGTTGTCCGAGCTGTTTGAGGGAGATAGCGTAAGAATCATCTCCCCAATATCGTGGACCCATCGCGAGGAGGGCGGGTGCGAAACTTTCTTTTGGAGGTTGCTCATTCTGTTTAGCCTGGCCGAGACCAGGAACTCAGGATCAAATGGTTGCAGCCCCTCCGGACAGAGGCCATCCCCGTGTCTATCCCCGCTCGCTCGTTGCGGTCGAGGGACCTGTACTTAATAAGAGATGTTCGTGTCGTCGATACTTCTTGGCTTCTCGATGCCCTCCTTTGGTATGGTCTTCGGAATGATGGGCCTCCGCGACAGGGCTTGCGATCTGGGCACAACCATGGAACTGTAACCTCGGGACGAGGAAAAGAGTCTGCCCAGGCCCGTTATGGCACTGGGCAAGCAAGATCTGTGTCGCCATGGCGTTGAACAAAGGGGCCACAATCTTCAGCGGCGGAGCCGGAGGAAGGATGTCCGCCAGACACGTGCGATCCGCTTGTAGCTAATACGGGGACCGTTGTGCCACCGTAATATTCTTTAAGTGCGGTGTCGTCTTCCCGGTTTCTTGGCGGGTCGGGAGGATAGGTCTGGTGGTGAACTTGGGTAAGAGTCTACAGTAGTAGCTACTAGTTGCTCCGATGGTTGGGTTACTTGGGTGTCGGCTTTGGCGGCCTGTTGCTTCTCCTCCTCTTTCAACTCCGGTGGTTGCCGGCGATGCAGGGCAAGCGTTTAAACTCCGAAGTTAACTATATATTAGTAGAAAATGAAAGGATAACTGGTATGGTCGGCAACTGAGACGGGGTGGTATGAGTAGAGTAGTCGAAGGCCTTCTTGACGACACACGATCCAGAACGTATCGGGTGTGACCTTCTGTAGAAATTCACAAACGGGTTCAACCCCCGGCCCAGAGTAGTGGACTGGACAATGCGTCGTGACCAGGGTGGTGAAGCTGTGCAGAGTCTCAGCCTCTGATGATAGGCTTTTCCGGATGGTTGTTGCGAGCGGTAGTAGAGCCCGGTGGAGGAGGAAGATGAGTTGGTGAGGAGGGTACAATCCGGGCTATGTAGTCGACCTACTCCTCGCGAGAGCAACACTCGACGAGCAAGCCTTTGTGCTGAAAACAGGGGCAGAGACCACAAGCTAGGGGCAGGTACCGGAGGTACCGGTACGGCAAGAACGGGGGCAGAAGACTGGGAAACAGGCTCTCCATGTACATAAGGAACCAAGGTTTCCAGAGTCTCAAACTCCTCAAGTAAGCAATACAACCTGTGCGACCCCCTAAGTTCAACACTTTGGTCCTAGAGAACGGGCGGCCGATGTTAGCGCTGGTGGTGGTAGAGTATCATACTAGGAGTCGTGGATATATACGCGAATTTGGGAGAGTAAAGAAGTAGCGTAACGTTTATGCAATCCCGAGTTGGACCCAGGCTTTTATATTCATGCCATATAGGACTCCTCATGGCATGGAATGGTTTGCTCATGAATTAAGACGATTGTTGTTGGCATAACGATGTCCAAGCATGGGATTGTGGCTCATTTTCACTGGTTCTGACTAAACCACCCGCATGTCCAGCAAACAGTATGACGACAGTATTATCAGTTGAGGTGTGTTAGACATGACTGCGGTGACAACACAGAGGTCTTGCTTGGCAAGCCTTCTACACCTGCGGGACAGAACAAGGAGAAACTTATCATAGCGCATGTATTGTCATCTGGATTGCCACAAACGAATTGGAAACCGCTGGTTGTTGCAAACCACTGCAGTGTCATCAGTTCAGTCGTCCCAAACCACGACATCCTTCGTAAACAATCTTCCAGCTGATTGCCTGACCTGACTCTTCCATACGACCCCCCGTTCACGGGCTGGAATCATACCCCTTCCCCAAAATACACGCATCATCCACCTCATCCGCACTCACCAGCTCCTCCGCCAACCCTTTCCTCCCCGCAAACCTCATCATTTCCCTCCTCCCGTCCGCCTCCCCCCAAGGCTTCCACCCCCTTTTTCTCAACCCACCCTCGGGATCCTCCATAAAGGCAAGGACATAATCCTGCATCCGCCTCGCCACCTCTCTCTGATACTCGGTGACCTTCTCCCTTTCCCCCAGCGTCTCAAACGTCCCAAACACCATGGGCACGTCGCTCGCGTGGTAGGCGCCCATCCAGCCCAGCGGCGTGACGCTGCTGAAATTGCCCGCGTACTCGTACCGGTAGGTGGTCAGCCCCAGCCCCAGCCCCAGCCCCTGCACGGCGGCGCGGGAGCGGGTGGTGTTACTGGCGAGGCACACAAAGATGGAGACCGTCTCGCCGTCGACGGCTGGTTGGTACGGGCCCTGGGTGACGTTGGAGGTCGGGTAGCGGGTGAGAGAGGACTGCTCGTTGGCTGTGGTCGATACCAGCGCTGGGATTCTCGGGATGAGGCCCTGTAGGTCGCGGAGGGTGTAGTTGAAGAAGACTGTTCGCTCGTCCGGGAGGGGTTTGAACAAGGGTAAGGGAGGGGTGTCAGGATCGTTGGCGGCGGTGCCGTTGTCGCGGTACTGGCCGATGAAGTTTTGGATGAGGGACATGGGCACCTGGCGCATGCACGCCAGCTCGGCCTGCGGGTCTGAGGGGAAGTCGCAGCCCAGATTGCGCGCGACGAAGGTGAAGTTGCTGTGGGTCGGGTCGGGCCAGCTGATGTTGACCATGGCGGTGCCCGACTGCAGGAAGAGGCCGGCCGCGAGCGGGTTGTCGTGGTAGGCGTGCGCGAGCATGTCGACGGCCACGCCGCCCGCCGAGTGGCCCCACAGCGTGATGCGGGACGGGTCGCCGCCGAAGGAGCCGATGTTGGCGTACACCCACTCGAGTGCCGCCCGCTGGTCGAGCAGGCCGACATTTTGCTCGTCCAGCCCCGCTGCCCAGGGGAAGCCGGCGATGTTGACGCGGTAGTTGGCCGCGACAAAAATGTGCCGCTGCGTGCGCTGCACCCAGGGAGTGGGTTGCTGATAGGGCACGTCGACGCCGCCCGTGACGAACGATCCGCCGGGGATGAAGAGCGCGACCGGCAGGTTGGAGTCGGCCGTGGCGTTCAGGGGCGCCCAGATGGCCAGGTACAGGCAGTCCTCGGACGACGTCTGTGCCATGGCGCCGGCTGTCGTGCTCTGTCCGTGCAGCCGGATGGAGAAGTTGGTGATGTTGGAGTTCCATACCGTCAGGTTCCTGGACATGTACTGCGGGCATGACGGTGGGAACCGGTAGGCGTACGAGTGCCGGAGCGACGGCGTGACGGGAACAGGGGGCAGCCATCGCCGCTTCCCCGATGGTGGCTCGGCATAGGGGATGCTGCGGAATTGGCGAACATCGGGAAACTCAGGGTCGATGAGCCCAGTGTAGACGCCGGTAATTGTCTTGACGGTAAGCTTTGCCCCGTTACTGGCATTGACTGCGTCGGCCAGGTTGGGAAGGAGAGCCGATAACAGAATAAACATGCGTGAGGACCACATTGCTGGGAATGAGTGCTAGAGTATACCTTAACTGATCATCGTGAGGTCCCTTCCCAGGTGGCCGGGAACATAGAACCCGAGATGGTAGAGATCTTCAAGTCTTAATATACCTATCGTGGCCATCCTTAGTCTTGCTCCTCCGTTCATCGCGACAGTGTCATGGGATCTCTGCGGTTCAGCAGCTGAGTGCTACACCCCAGATACTCTCCAATGTAACAGAACCAGAAGCCGAGTCATCACTTGCATCGGCCCAAACTGCACCATCACTTCTTGAAATGCGGGCACCTCTACAATTGGACAGACCATTGCAGATACGGAAGGAGGGTGCCCTCCGCAGTGAGACACAGTTAACAGCAATCTCATGCCGCTACAAGTTGCATGCACCTGGTGTTTTTCCAGACTTATCCCTGACTATGTGTGAAGTGTTTGCTGGAATCCAAGCAGATCCTGGGTTGCAGTGAGAAGTCAGCTGGAGTGGACATCCCACGGGTTATTCGCTCCCTAAGAGTAATGCATTGTCGTAAACACAAGGAAGGACCTTTCGTAACCCTCCTGCAATCTGCTTCTACGTTCATGGGAGAAGGGGAAATGAGAGACGTGAGTGAACTCCGCGTTAGCCACGAAGTAATAAGACGAGGGACACAGGGATTCTAGTCACGTCCTATTTCACTGATTCGATAGCTTGATATCAGGATGTCCGCCATAAACCAAGACATAGAAAACATTGACCACTCAGGACTCCTTGGCGCAATTGGTAGCGCGTTCGACTCCAGATCGAAAGGTTATCCGTTCAAGTCGGGTAGGGGTCAAATTTGAAACCAAATTCTTTTGCTGCTTACCTTTCTCCGCATTCTTTTTCACTACCCCTTTGGACGAAGGGACACGAGGCCTCAATGAACGCGAGAGAGCGCTGCACGATAGGCTTGGTGTCGGCAGAACAGAGTATGTACACAGATGTCAAGAGACCATTTTCTAGGAACCTACCTACCTATCTTAGGCATCCTGCCGGCCTTTCTGTTCCCTTGTTAGCGGGGCAGGAACCGTGAAAGCAAGATCAGGATCTCCGAAGACACCAGCGGTATAAGAACTTATGTGTTAGGAAGTATCACGTAGTACTTGAGTGTTTCCAACTCGTTCCCCACCATTGGATTCACTCGCAAAGATAAAAGCCCCTGACCTGCCATACTAACAGGCACCCTATTAACTCGTCTTGTCGTTCTGCTGCATTATTTGGATCTGGATTTAGAAGACTAGTACTAGTCCAGGAACACAAGGCTATCGAGGCTGTTAACAGCACTCCAATTATAACAAGGTCATCGGGATGCACTGAATTTATCAAGAGCGTTCATTTTGCTTGTGCCCGTTGGCAAGGCTCGTGGTGGCAAGGGGCGCCGGAGACGAACCAACAGATCCGGAATTCCAACGCTTTCTGGAAAAGCATCAGGCTCAGGCAAGCGTTGATTTTAGTGCTACTGAAAAGGTGCAACAGCTCTTTCCATGTTACTTAGAGTCATCAGTAGCCTCCATCCGTGTTACTCAGCAGTAGTCTCCTTCGCCTCTTCTAAATGCCACTTTCCGTCTTCCGTCGTAGCGTCGATGATTCCCTCTTCAATATCCAGACAGCCAGCCTTATGCCACGCCGTGTTAGAACATCATTAGCGGGTGTGTCATACTCGTACTATCTTGAGTCAGGAAGAGCTCACCTCATCAAGAAGACTGACCATTTTCTCGGCTTCCGGAACCGCCATTTCGGCCAAAGCTTTATTGACCTCCTCCAAGGAGCCACTCTCCAACGCTGCTCTTATCTTGGGGGAGAATTGCTCAAAGATCTCCCTTCCCCTTTTCTCCTTCTCGTCCTGGCTTCCGGCCGGTGGAACCCTGATCCGAATCGAACTGTCCTCGCTTACTGGGTATAATTGGACCTGCTCAACTTCCTTTTGCTTGGAGTCCCGCTTTGCCATAGACCGGATTTTATGGAACCTCTCAGCGAGGTCCTTTTGAAACTCCTCCCGAGCCCGGTGGCCCGGCGTTGTCATACCTTTGAAGAAGAGCGCAACACCTTCGCGTCCGAGTGTATGACAGTACTGTAACAGTAGAGCTTGGTGCGTATACTGCCAGGCCCGCTTCTCGTCATTTTGATCCAGCATTGCATAATAGGCTTCGATAAACAGCCCATCAATATTCGACTCCTTCTGGATAATTTCTGGGTGCGACTGCAGATAACCATGACTAGCGCGGTAGTCGGAGGCCGGGATCTGTGCAAACCATGTGGCCGCTAGAGATGGGCGAACCCTCTGCTCACCATCCCCAGAGCTTTCTGTGCCGACAGACTTCTCAAGCTTTGCTACGCCCAGGTCATGATTCGGGTTTAGCAGCTCCACTGTGGTCTCCTCTTTGGATGCCCCTCCTGGTTTGGTCTTATTGACGTGCGAACTGTCAAACCCAACGTGGTAGCTTTCGCTAGTGATCTTCTTGGAATCCTGTTGTTCAAGCGTCTCAAGCCTCCTGGCCAGTTCTGCCTGGAGGTCTTGAACCTTTTGAATATGCACGCCAAGCTCCTGAACAAACGCTTCGTAGCCTCGGTCGTTCTCCGTTTGCCGCTCCTGTATGGTTTTGTTCACTTCATCTAGAATGGTCGCAAGCAACTTTGAGTAAGTCGGAAGAGGCAGCAAGTCGCTGTCAAACACGCCTTCTGGTCGTGGCGGGGGACTATCTTCCGTGGGATTAGTGGACGCCAATTCCATCACAGCCTGGAATGCAATGTCAGCTGGGTTCAAGTTGCTGTCGACAGAGTCGGCATGCTGCGATTGCAGGGTGGATGTCAGGAAGCGGAGACGTTGCAACAGGGCATCATTGATGATACGCTCATGCTTGAGTGCCTGAACCTCCCGCTTCCGTTGCTCCCGCTCCATGTGTATCTGGTTCTGCTTTGCTCGAATGAATGACCGTTTATCGACATTTGGGTGGACCTCGATATCGGAGTCGTCGCTAAGCTCCAAGGCGTCCTAGCAAGTTTCATCTTCAGTTTAAACCAGCCATCTTCCAACACGGACCTTCTTAAAGAAGAACAAAAATAAAACATACCCATTTGCTATAGTCCACCATTTTGACGAGGCACTCGATGCTGAAAGATCGCGGCTGGAGAGCAGTTGGTGGGGTTGCTGGATGGAAAGTTGTGGAAGGTCGGGTGTTGGTTTGCCATTGCAGCGCGAGAATGGAAGAAAGAGGGGGAAGCTCATTACCTCCTTACATGGTTTCAGTCGGGATGACTAAGCTCATCGGGTATCTTCTATTGGACGCAGGCAGTTTAATGTTAACGGGTCGTCGATAGTCGATATTCCCGTCGTAAGGCGGGCAGTTTGAAACATAATCTCAAAAGTGGCCTGTGCACCAATGCACACACCCCCAGGACACCTTCCGTAGGTGGGTTGAATATCTAGGTAGGTACCGTAGGTACTAGTAGTTACATTATTACTGGGTAACTCGCTTCCGGCCGGGGCTGTTAAACCGGAAGACGCCCATCAGGCAGTTATAACTTGTCACACGCTTGACACGGGTCAGCCCATAGTGACAACCCCGAATCTCTGGTCTCGTTATCGACTAAGAAGGGCCGTTGTCGATGAAAGTGCACGGTCAGAGGGATTGATTGAAGTGGTGGGATCCTGTACACAGCACTCGACAGCACTCCGCATGAGAAGGACATCAAAAGACTCCAGAGACTTGTTTGTTCTCTGCCTTAGCTGTGCCGAGTCTTTGTGCGCACATGTGGCGCATTGAGAAGCCGCCCGACAATCTGTCTACTCAGTCCGTCTGATTCTACGGTTATTTCCGTCCAACGTCCGTTTGCGGCCCTGGGGTAGCCGTTCAGCCCACCAGGCCCTGGCAGCAATAATGGGTACAGGAAATCGATTCGGCTGCTAATTCTACTTTATCATCCTCTTCATCATCATCTTCTTCATCATCTTCATCATCTTTACATTCGTCTTCGTCTTTATTTTTATCTCTATCTTCCACTAGCTAGGTAAGTCGACCACCCCCCATTCCGCCCACTTTGTAAGTCCACACCGCTTTTTCAACCTAACCACTTCAACTTACCACAACTCACTCAATCTCTGGCCAAACGGCCTTTTTTTTTGGATCAAACTGATTGCCAGTTCAAGATGGCTTACTCAGAGCAAGATATACAAGATGCAGTTGAGCAATACCGTCTTGGGCGCCAGTTATTGCGAAGCATCTATAGTGAGTTCGGCATCCTACGCTCTACTCTTCGCGACCGCCTTCGTAGTACTCAGACCTATTCAACTGCGGCCGAACCGCAACAGATACTTAGCCGAGTATAAGAAGATCATCTTACGCGATAGGTCTTAGCCTAAGTCGCTCTAGGTGTCCTACTAACCTATACATAGATCCGGGAGTTCGCTAGCCGGGTTCTATAGGCCCAAGGAGCACCCGAAAAGACTATTAGGAAGAGCTGGATCAACCGGTTTATCTAAAGGAACCTGGTCCTCTATACCTAGCGAGGCCGTAAGATCGACTTAGCCTGTATTAATGGCGCTACTGACTCGGTTATCCGTAGCTGGTTCCCACTCCTAAAAATCCTAGCTATTAAGGATATCTTACTAGCTAACCGCTGAAACTTTGACGATTTCGGCCTTATAGAAGGTCAGGGTATTAACAGCTTAGTTGTTGGAAGTGCCTATATATATATATAATGCAATGGAAAGTCCCTAGTTCGTATATATAGACCTCCTTCTTAGAGTACGTCTCTACAATAGGGGTATTACTCCTACCAGCTGTGACGGTGGAACGCACCGACCATGATAATGATATCATTTGTATGTATAATGATTCATCATACCAAGTGATGATTCATTATGCATGTTCCATTACATCATGCATGCAAGCTCAGACCTACTCGCATCCTGTATTTAGACTTCTTCGCACCTTGCAGTCTTCGAGGATTCCTTTCCTCCTGCAAGTTCAATATTCTTGCAATGCAGTCAGTTTACCACCAGAGGCTTGACCCTGGCCTTGAACGACGGCCTTCGTGACACCAGCTGTTATTTTCAAGGGCAAGATGTGACGAAACCACAGGCAGTCCTGCCTCTGAAAGAGTTCGCCGGTCGAAGGTAACTGCTGGTCGGACTGTAGGTCTCGGTGAAGCCAAAAGGTTCACAACAATGCTAGTCGCAATGTCTGCACAATAGGTAGAGGCTATTGCTTGTAATTGCTCACTGAGGAAGCTAGCTACCTGAATGAGTGACAGAACGGTAGAACTATATATAGCTTCCTCTATGGTGCTTATTAATATGCTCCTGATGCTCCCGGTGCTCCTTGGGAGCGATGGGAGCAATAGGAGCAGATGGTGATCCCGTCCGGGGAATGCTCCACTTGAGAGCACCCAAGGTCTCTACCAGGTGCTTCCGTACGATTGGTCCGGGGCGCCCCGCGCTCCCGTTCCGCATGCATAGCTGGGCCCTGTTGGTTCAGTTCATGACATAAGAGTGTTCAATAATAGTGGTTTCCTATCGCCAAGGACGAACTAAAGGACTGGCTATTTACTACAACTGAAAAAGGCTGGGTAAATAGGGTGGTTGCGTTGGAATAGCTGCAACGGGTCTTTATCCCCTGGACCCAGCTGCAAGATCCTATCTAGAAGCATCTGTTGATGCTGGACGGCCACGATAGCCATATAAGTACTGAGTTTATATGGGAGTGCTTCAGCAACAATATCCAAATACTCTTTTTACTAGCCTATACCTCCCACGTCCTCCAGCCGTTGGATTTATCAGTGTTCTCCCCCCTAAAGCATACCTACCGCAAGCTCCTCAAGTTAACTAGCTGGTCGGAAACTATAGCATTAGGCAAGCAGTTGATGTTATAGTGCCTCGTCAAGGCTCGCAGGGAGGCAATTACAGCTTATAATATCAAAGCTGAGTGGAAGGCATCCGGGTTATGGCCTCTTAGTATAGCGAAACCACTAGTTAATAAGCCCTCTTTTGTTGGAAAATTCGAACCAGGCGCTTGGCAAAGACGATCCACTACTACTACCACAGACCCTGGCATCTAGGCTACCTAGCCAGACCATAACTATGGCTTAGGAGGTCGAATTCCAGACACCATATAAGAAAGTAGACCTTCGCGGTCACCTAACCAACCTGGCTATCCGGCGGCAAGATCTTTCTACACGACGGCTTTTATTCAGGAAGGTTGAGAAGGCATTTGACGAGAAGGACTTCCAATTGGCTCAATTGCAACAGGAAAACAAGACTCTGAAGGTTTAGTTAGAGGCAGCCCGGCCGTCGAGAAGAAAGAGGGTGGTCCCAGATCTGAACAAGTAGTTCGCTTCCATTGAACAGGTCCACCGAGCTCAAATTGAGGCTGGCCGTATTGAAGAGTCTGGCATTGAAGAGAGCAGGTCAGAAAGCCCCGAATCAGATGCTTCCTGTATTGTGGTGGTGGTGGGTTGAACAGACTGTAATAGATGGTGTTGAAGAAGATGGGTGGTTTAGACGCCAAGATGTCACGAGGGCCGTCGTTCAAGGCCAGGGTCAAGCCTCTGGTGGTAAACTGACTGCATTGCAAGAATATTGAACTTGCAGGAGGAAAGAAATCCTCGAGACTGCAAGGTAGGCTTTAAATACAGGATGCGAGTAGGTCTGAGCTTGCATGCATGATGTAATGGAACATGCATAATGAATCATCACTTGGTATGATGAATCATTATACATACAAATGATATCATCATCATGGTCGGTGCATTGCACCGTCACACAAGACTTACAAAGTGGGCGGAATGGGGGGTGGGCGGCATGGGGGGTAGTCGACTTATACAGCGCATGACAAGTCAGAACGTATGAAATCTGAACACTATTCTAATGCCTAGGCAATACGCTGTGCCTTCCAGTTTTCTAAGTATAGAATATTGAGTATTTAGTCTGCCTAACGGTTGATAGATGCCTGGCCCAACTTTAGTTGTTGTGGTCGGAGAACCGGTTTTCTTTTGCCCATTATTGCTGCCAGGGCGTGCCCTCCCACGATAAGACACCGATCTAGGATAGTAAAGACACAAATGGAGCACCCCCAAGACCAGGGGCTCAAAGATGAAGCTGCTCATGTCCAGCGTAACGTTATAAAGCGTCGGCCGCGGTGACGTCCGAGTTGGCCAGTTATCTGACACCCTTCTGCTTTCCACGATCTCATCCATCTCTTCGCATCTCTACTGCCTGGCAGCATGGCTTGGCTGATTTTGGCATATCAACAAGAGTCGTCTTCTTCAGACAAGCGCGGCGAGAAGGGAAAACGCACGCACACCATGGCTGTGAACCCCACGATTCCGTACTATGCTCCAGCCGAGGAGCTCCCGGCACCTCTGCCAACCGTGGAAGAAGTCCTTGCCGCCAAGAGCCTGTCTCCCACGCGATACAGACCCCTGTCCTCCACATCCGCGAGCACTACGCTGTCAAGTGGGGGCGCAGGAGTCAGGACCAATGTGCAGGAGGGGCTCAACATGCTTTCCGTTGCGCAGTCGACCAGTATCCCCGTACCCAAGGTGTACGCCATCTCCGAGCACGAGTTTGAAGGGTACCCCATCTCCTTCATCGTGATGGAGTATATCCCCGGAAAGACGCTCTCGAGTGTGTGGAAGTCCATCGACCAGGACAAGAAGCGAGAGATGGCTATAACGCTCCGCGCCTACATGGACGAGCTTCGCAGCCTCCATCGTAGTAGCTGGTGAAATATCGGGGTCACACAGGTTAGGTTGAGTTGCTTGAAGGGTCTGAGTCCCTGGGAGGCTCCGAATCATTATGTACACAGAGAGCCTGTTTCCCAGTCTTCTGCCCCTGCACCGGCTGTACCGGTACCTCCTGTGCCTCCCTGGCTTATGGTCTCTGTCCCTGATTGCAGCAGTAGCCGCCAAAAAAAGAAAAAAGAAAAAAAGAACAATGCTGTATTGTATATAAGAGTGATACCTTATTAGTTCGTGTATATCTTTCCGATGTCTCTGCATACAACTGCAGTCCCAGCCCCAACTCCTGGGCCATGTGATGGTGGAACCCACCGTACTATGGCACAGGCCATTGCTTAGTCATGTGCCCGGCTTCCGATGCATGCATGCATGATTGGTCAACCTGGTTGGTGCCCCACCTTCCACATCTGGGCACATGCCCCACATCCTGTATTTAGACAGTCTTCGAGGATTCCTTTCCTCCTGCAGGTTCAATATTCTTGCAATGAAGTCAGTTGCCCACCAGAGCCTTGAGCCTGGCCTGCGACGACAGTCACCGTGACAGGCCAGCAAAAACACTCGTTTATAGTCGTCACGGTGAGCCGGCCCCGGTCTGGGAACGCGAATGGGTTCTGGTCCTAGCAACATATCGGGCGAGCGATACGCCGAGTCTGCTGAGTCAGCAACAGGTAGTCTGAGGGCGCCCGCTAGATGCGCGGGTCCGCGCAGGATTAGTCAGCCTAATTGGTTATGTCAGCCCAAAAATTACCCCTGAATTGCCGTGCCCCTGAATTGCACCACTAACATCGCCATCGCCAACGCCATCGCCAACGCCATCGCCAACGCCATCGCCATGGCCGCTTTCCCAGGGGACTGCCTCCCCCCCGAAGCTATATACGACTCCCAAGAGGCCTTGTTCAGGTCTATCAACGCGTGGGCTGCAACTCGAGGCTACGCTTTTTCGACCGGAAAATCGACCAAGGAAAAGAGTGGGAGGCTTACAGTCACTTACGCATGCGACCGAACGTTCCTATTACCAACAACTAGAAGAGAGCGAGAGCGAATAAGAAAGACAATAACTCGAGGGACTGGTTGCCCTTTCTCAGTCCTTGCAAAGGAGTCCCCCGACAATACTTGGATTCTTAAGCACTGTCCTGATCGCCGTTTCTCGATGCACAACCACGAGCCAAGCCAACACCCCTCTGCTTACCCAGTCCACCGACAACTCTCTAGAGGTACCTCATAGCTTGCAACTCTTTCGAATGCTGGCCTTGCGCCAAAGGAGATTCAGACCCTTATACGACAAAGTGGCTCGCTAGCTATACGGCAAGATATCTACAACCGTATCGCGGACGTTTGTCGCGATATATACGAAGGCCAGAGTCCAATCTATACGCTTGCCAACCAACTTGACAAGGAGGGCTTCTGGAGCAGAATCCAGTTTGCGCCAGATGGTCGGATTACGGTAGTTCTCTTTACCCATCCTAAATCTCTTAGCTACCTTCAAGCATACCTTGAGCTTCTCCTTCTTAATTGTATATATAAGATAAACAAGTATAGCATACCTCTCCTTGATATAATTAGTATTAATATGGCTTAACGGTTTTTCTATATTGCATTTGCGTTCTTAAGTGGCGAGATAGAGGAAGACTATACTTGGGCGCTTAAGCGGCTGAGATTACTATATAAGCAATGCAATACCTCTCTCCTATCTATTATTCTTATAGACCGCTGTCTTACAGTTATAAATATAGCTTCAGCTCTCTTTCCCTCTGCTGTAACTCTCCTTTGCCTTTGGCATATAAATAAGGCAGTCCTTACTTGTTATCAACCTATATTCCCAGAGGCTAAGGAGTAGAAGGAGTTCTATAGGTTCTGGCACTCGATCATCAGCTCGCCTATAGAAGAAGACTATATTAAATGCCTTGCCGAAATACAACAAAAATATCTTCCCCGGTATCTTAAAGAGGTTGGGTATATTAAGACAATATAGCTTATTCTATTCAAGGAGAAGCTTGTTCATGCTTAGATCGACCAGTCAACCCATTTTGGCAATATAGCTACCTTGCGGGTTGAGGGGATTTATACACTCCTTAAGTCGTATTTAAGGAGGTTAACATTTGACCTCTTTAATGCTTGGAAGGCGATTCAACTTGCCCTCCAAAACCAGCTTGCTGAATTACAAGCACGTCAAGCAAAGCAATAGACTCGGACTCCTCTCGAGCTCTCAGGGGCTTTATATAGAGTTGTACGAGGCTGGGTATCGCATGAGGCAATGAGGAAGGTTAAGAAACAGCGGAAGTTGCTTGCAAAGACAGACCCTCCTCTATCCCCTACTTGTACAGGCACCTTCTCTCGAGTCTATGGGCTACCATGCTTACATACGCTTGAGAGTTTGCAAGGCGAGGTTCTTCATCTTAGCTACTTTCACCCGCACTGGCATTTGAAGCGCGAGAGCAACCTACAGCTTCTCCTTGAACCTCGCCAGCTTATTGAGCCAGTTCGGGTTCGAGCCCAAAGCTCACTCCTAAGGTCGAGTACCAACCGAGAGCCTAGTCAATTTGAAGTGGTTGAGGCCTAGGCCCGTCGGGCCCCAACCACGTGTTCGAAGTGCCACACAGTTGGCCATATAAGAACCTCAAGGGCATGCCCTTTGCGGTATTCAGAAGTACTGTAGTTAGGTAGCCAGAGTAGTGCTCGTGGTGCAATTCAGGGGCGCGGCAATTCAGGGGTAATTTTTCGTGCTGACATAATCAATTGGGCTGACTAATACTCGCGGACCCGCGACTCTAGTGGGCGCCGTAGTCTGAACCGCTGACTCAGCAGAGCCTGGGTCACGTGCCAAGGACGTTTTCTGAAGATTGAAACGGTAGGGAACTCGTACGTGCTCAGTTTGCAACGTAAACCGGAAATCTGCCTTTGGGCGATGTCGGCGTAAGTGATCGTGACCTGAGTGCAGCGCGTGTATAAGTTGCCAGGTATGCTCGTGGCTCGCGTGGTTCCGTTGCGGTGAGCGAGCTTTCCCTCCATGACGAGCATCAAGGTCGGCTGAGCAGGGTCGGCTGATAGACGTACGGGCCACGGGCGCGTCCAGTTCGACATCGGTCAGCTCGCTTAGGTTGACGAGCGCTGTGGCCGCGAACACGCCAGGTCGCTGAGTCCATGCCGCTAGTTTTTCACTCATTGTGCAGTAGCCCCACCGTTGGCGGTCGGTATACCACGGAAGCGCTCGCTCCTGGGCCGGCCAGGCCAGCAGGTCGCTCGCAGCTCCAGCCGTCAGGTAGGGGCCGAAGATGGTGGGCCGTGGGGCAATCCTTCGACACGCATAAATACGAAAGTGTTATCAGCCAAGACGTGTAGAGGGGGGTCGCAAACGCGTTTGGTTGGCTAAGAACAGGATTTGCAAAATTTTGTAGTCACTGAAAGCGATGTTAACTTCACACCCAAAGTATAGATAGGAAACGGAGCTTGAAAACGGAAAACTGAGCGCGTACGCGTTCACTACCGTTCTGTTCATCAGAGAACGCCGTACCACGCGACTCAAAGTATGCTGAGTCAGCAATTCGACCGGAAAAAAAAGTGAACTACGGATTACCAAAGTCCAGATTCGCGTTGTCGCCCTCCCGGAAAAGCGACAGCTTTTGATCTTCGTGGCTGCTCAAAAGGTGCGGTTTCTTGTCTTTATGGTTACCAGTTCTGGACCCTTTTGAGCGGACAGGGAAGATTTATATGCAAACTGAGTGTTTTGGCAACATGGCTGGGCTTCGGCGGCAACGGCGCGCTTCTTGCCTCCGGTGTGAGCACTGGACGCTGCGACAGCTCAGCGAGGCATCTCACCGGGACTAAAGGAGTATCCCACCGCGAGCGACGCTTCAGAGCGTTCAGCGTGTCCGTGTGGTGGGCGCTTGTTATATATGACAGTGCCGTTAAATAAAAGAATTGGCATTGTACCTCTCTGTGCGCCGCTTCGGGAGCACCGCCACGCTTCGTCAAAGGGCCGGTGGCAGTGCTCTGCCGCTGTAACCGCCTAATAACCCCGGGTCCCGTGGCCGGTGGCTGAACATCAATTCGTGGCGCAGATTGATTCACTGGCGCACTCACAGCCCCTCTCCGGGGTCGATGGCTGGCGGCATTCAGCTTCGCCCCAGCCTGTCTTGGTTTCCAGACCAGCAACTTTGCCTGTCCGCTCCCGCCATTGACGAACGATATTGACAGCTTTGTTCATTCCCTGTATTCCATGCTTCGTTGGAAATACTGAAATACTGGCATTGTGAGCGGTAATTTCTCGGTTCGTGGTCGCGCAAGCTTCCGGTCAAGCGACCCTCGTTCACTGCAGTTCCCTATCGAGCAGCCGCACCCGTCGTCTACCCATCGCTGTAGTCAACTCACAGTCATCAGGCACAACCGCGATTCTCTACGTTTTCGCGAGCGCGTCTTTGATTGATCAACGCCCCTGAACAATGCTGCTTTTTAGGAAGAAGGGCCCAGAGAAGTCGCCGAGAAGCGGCCCAACAGAACGAGCGTGCGGGGACGGTTACCCACCCGGCCCGCAACCCCACAAGGCAGCTCAGCCGGGTTCCTCCACGGACCGAGCCACCGTTCCGCGTGACGCTATTGACAACTCCACCCCCGATGGGCGGCCCCAAGTACAGCAACACCCTTTCCTCCAGTTCCGCCAAGCGCCACCAGATCGCAAGACGAGTTTGACGTGGGGGACCCGCGATGAGCCCGCTCAGTCACGTCTTGAACTGGACAAACAAACCCGGAAATTGCTTGGAGGGAGCCTTTGGGAGAAAGCAATGAATAGCCTGGATCGAGAAGATCAGGAAAAGATCAACGGTCTCAAACCCAAACGCGAAGACCAGGCGGCAAGCTCCCCTCCAAACGACCAAGGGGAAGCCAGCGCTCGCGGAGCCGGTCCAGCGGCTGACATCGATATCGTACTCCGCAAGGCGGATGACGTCAAAGAGAAAGACAAGGAGGGGACATGGAAGCCGGTAAGCTCAACGCTGGCCTGGAGTGGTAGCGCATGCTTAATTCCCTGTACTAGGTCCTCGAGAATATCACCAAGGGAGGCTTGGCATTCAAGTCCCTCGGCGACGCTGCGGTGAAATTTGACCAGTCCGGCTACGCAGCCCTGGGCTGGTCTGTCGTGTCTTTCGGCCTGCAGATCGCTGCAAACAATGACGCCGTTCGCGAATTGGCCCTCTCCAGTTCGCAGTTTGTTAGGGACTTTACGACAAGATACGCGGCGTATGAGACGTTGTTTAGAGGGGCCCAGCCCGACGAAGAATTCGACCGTCGCCTGGTAGCAGCGTATAAGGCCATCTTACACTACGTGATAGCCCTGGACAAATACCTACGGCAGGGCGGACTAGGTTTGTATTTCGTTATGGATATCTGGTCTTCACAGTTCTGATTTGTTTAGAGCATCTTAAACGTGCATTTGTTGAACCTAAGGATCGCTCCATCTCCAGAAGGAAGGATGAGGTCGTTGAAGCAGACGCTAAGGTTACAGCCTTTGTAAGTATCGTTGCTCAAGGACATCACCGCTTTCTGCGCATGCGTGACTGACCTCTGCCAGCTACCTGTTGTCATCTACCAGTGTCACTCCGCCATGATTCAGGAGTTGTTAAAGACCCCAAAACCCCCCACCGCACCAGAACCCTCCGCACGAGACTGCCTGAAATCGCTGGCCTTCCACGAAATGGATAGTCGGTTTCATGAAATCGGTGCCGCTGCTCCGGACACCTGCAAGTGGCTTCCTCTTCACCGTCAGTTTAGAGACTGGATCGAATGCGATCGAGGCCTGCTATGGATCAAGGGGAAGCCCGGCTCGGGAAAGTCGACGTTGCTACGATTCGCTCTTAACAATACAATGGCCGCCTCCAACATCCCTACAAACGACGCTATCGTTCTCTCTTTCTTCTTCCACGGTCGCGGTGTCGAACTCCAAAGGGCGTTGCTCGGCCTCTTTCGGTCACTCCTCTATCAGCTCCTCAGCAAGCTTCCCGACAAACTGAGTGATCTTCATACAGCCTTTACCAAGCACAAGGACTCTGTCAAGCCGGGAGAGGAGTGGCACTGGCCTCTAGACGAGCTACAATCCCTATTCGGGTTGTCGCTTAAGGAGGCTCTGAAAGAGCAGCCGGTCTGGCTCTTTGTCGACGCCCTAGATGAAAGCGGCAGAGCGAGCGCGATCAAGCTAGTCGATCAGCTCAACTCCATACGTCAGACACTCCCAACGACCGGGTCACCGTTTCGCATCTGCTTCACCTGCCGCCACTATCCGGTGCTTGACTGGCATGTTGGCCAGGATCGCGTATTCAAAATATGCCCCGAGGACAACAATGGAGCCGATATTTCAAGTTACGTGCAAGCCCGGCTTTCTACGTTCCGTGACCTCGTGGAAGCTAGGATTCCGACTTCAATCACTGAACGGGCTCGCGGCGTTTTCATGTGGGCGCGTCTCGTGGTGGACACGGTTCTGGAGTGTAAGAGCCGAGGAGAAGGATTGGCAAAGATCCAAAAGGAGATCTCTTCTATCCACCAGGACCTAGATCAGCTATACCACAAGCTCATCCAGGACATGGACGAGAAGGCAGCCTCTCTAAAACTGATGCAATGGATCTGCTTTGCCACACGGCCCCTAACCCTGGACGAATTACGATGGGCTCTGGTCATCGATGCCGACTGCTCGTTCGAGAGATTTCAGGATGCGAAACTTGACGTAACCGACGCCGATATGATGGAGACGAGACTTAAAGCGCTCAGTCGTGGTCTTGCGGAAGCCGTACCTTCATATAACGTACCCGACGCCGATATGATGGAGAGAACACGTGAAGCGCTCAGCCATGACCTTGAGGAAGCCGAACCTCCATCCAACACAAAGGTTGTGCAGTTTATCCACCAGTCGGTCAAGGACTTTTTTGTCGATAAAGGCTTGTCGGCTCTGGACATGTCCAACAAATGGGTTGTACCAGTTATCCGCCAGTCGGCCAGAGACGTCTACAAGTCGGTCCAGCACAGTTTCGCCGAACAGGGCTTATCAGTTCTAGACGGCAGTCCAAATACGTGCTTAACAGCTATGATTGCGCTCGCCATTGTCATCGTGTACGTGGATTACTTCACGAGAGGTCGCCGAAGCCTCTTGCCGGATTATGCGTTCCTTGTGCCTGTCGTCGTCGCCGTCCTCTCCACTTCCTGGCTACACGATGAGTTCGTCAGGAACGCAAAATCCGATTTCGCAGTCGGAACCGCACACTATCGGCTGTCCAGGGCTTGCATACGCTACTTGTCAATGGAGGAGATAAGACGGTCAACCGCCCGCGATCGGGATAAGCTAAAGTCGGAGTTTCCACTGCTACACTACGCTACGACGTCGTGGGTAGCGCACGTGCGACGAAGCCAGGAGAAGGAGATCTCCCAAGACGATCTTCTAAATTCTTTTGAATGGCCATCGGAGGCTCGTTTGGAAGTATGGGAAGTATGGGTACAGATTTACTCCATACTCGACAGATACTCAGGCCACTGCCCACGAGAAGGAACGAGCATAGTACACGTAGCATCGCGCTACCAGTTAATGGGGCCGCTGCGAGCAATTCTACGTAGGACGGGACAGACTATCGCTGCTGTCGATGCGAAAGACGAGGATGGCCGTACGCCGCTGTCGTGGGCTGCCGAGAACGGACACGAGGCGGTTGTAAGGCTACTGCTCGATCGAGGCGCTGCTGTCGATGCGAAGGATCGGAATCGTCAGACGCCGCTATCGTGGGCTGCCGAGAACGGGCACGAGGCGGTTGTAAGGCTACTGCTCGATCGGGGCGCTGCTGTCGATATGGAGGATTGGAATGGTCGGACGCCGCTATTGTGGGCTGCCGAGAACGGACATGAGGTGGTTGTAAGGTTACTGCTCGATCGGGGCGCTGCTGTCGATGCGAAGGATCGGCATGGTCGGACGCCGCTATTGTGGGCTGCCAGGAACAGACACGAGGTGGTTGTAAGGCTGCTGCTCGATCGGGGCGCTGTTGTCGATGCGAAGGATTGGCATGGTCAGACGCCGCTATTGTGGGCTATTATGTACGGGCACGAGGCGGTTATAAGGCTACTGCTCGATCGGGGTGCTACTGTCGATATAAAGGATGGGTATGATCGGACGCCGCTATTATGGGCTATTATGTACGGGCACGAGGCGGTTATAAGGCTACTGCTCGATCGGGGCGCTACTGTCGATGTGGAGGATCGGTATAGTCGGACGCCGCTATCGTGGGCTGCCGAGAACGGGCACGAGGCGGTTGTAAGGCTACTGCTCGATCGGGGCGCTGCTATCGATGTAGAGGATCGGAATGGTTGGACGCCGCTGTTATGGGCTGCCAGGGACGGACACGAGGCGGTTATAAGGCTACTGCTCGATCGGGGTGCTGCTGTCGATGCGGAGGATCGGTATAGTCGGACGCCGCTATCGTGGGCTGCCGAGAACGGGCACGAGGCGGTTATAAGGCTCCTGCTCGATCGGGGTGCTACTGTCGATACAAAGGATGGGTATGATCGGACGCCGCTATTATGGGCTATTATGTACGGGCACGAGGCGGTTGTAAGGCTACTTCTCGATCGGGGCGCTACTGTCGATGCGAAGGATAATGTTTTTGGCCGGACGCCGCTATTGTGGGCTGCCAGGAAACGACACGAAGCGGTTGTAAGGCTACTGCTCGACCAGGGCGCTGCTGTCGATGCGGAGGATCGGTATAGTCGGACGCCGCTATCGTGGGCTACCGAGAACGGGCACGAGGCGGTTATAAGGCTCCTGCTCGATCGGGGCGCTGCTGTCGATGCAAAGGATCGGTATGGTCAGACGCCGCTATCGTGGGCTGCCGAGAACGGGCACGAGGCAGTCGTAAGTCTGCTTTAGATCTAGGGCAATCGCTCTGTCGTTTCAGCGTGAAATGACTATAATTATTATATTCATTCGGATTTGTCTTCAATAAAAGGGCCTGGGAGACAGTGTAAATATATATATGATATATCTCATGGTGACATTCCAACACTTTCTAGTTGCTCCCGATTATTAATTATTCGTCAGGAATCCCTTGGTCTGGCTATCGCTAACAGAATTCCGGTGTTCAACTTGAGACAAACCGCCGACTGCCGAACTCGACGTGTGGCGACGCCACAGGGACAGAAGACAAAAACGGGGAGACGTACCCTATAATCCGATGCGGTTGCGTATGCGGGAGGGGCATTTTGCGTCGTGCAGATCGCAAATTGCGTATTGCGTGGACCACAACTCCAGACATAGGATGAACTTTGTCTGGCTCAGGGGACTGCCAGTCTGGCTTGTAGGAGCCGTCGCTGCTGAGGTCGATGTACAAGGCGCCGGGTTATAAAAGTTACGTAGCTCGGTACGGCCCAGCCACTAGCGAAGCGGGTATTGATAACGATAGTACTCGTGGCACCCCCCCGCCTGCCCCGCTTTTCTTCGGACCAGCCAACGAACCGCCAGGCAGGTTGGTGGTGGACAGCCATACGGCCAGATCACCCGAATGGCCACCTTTTTGACCCCTTGGCGATGCCAACGTCCCAGCCATCTACAGCCCTCTGCGTAGTAGCCTTATCTTTCCCACTTCTTCAACAACCTCGGCAGGGCCCAGCCGGCCAATCAACCTCCATTTCCGGGCTTCCTTGGCCGCATCTGCATATACGCGTTTGATCTTGTTGTGAGCCCGCTGTTCAGCGGCCTGGACCACTCGCCTGGCTTTTGCGAGCTCATCATCCTCCCTGACCTTGACCATTCGACGTGCCTGGGCTACTGTCAGGACCCCCCCTGACTGTAGTGGCCGGTTCTTTTGAAGTCTTCTACGATTGGCGATGTCCTCGGCCATCTTCGTCCTCTGGAGGTCACGCTTGACTTGGACAAGCTCAGTAGCCGTAGCAAGCGAACCTTTGATAAATTGTTGAAGATTGGGCGATGTCTCCCGCGATGGTAGCTAGCTTGTCGGCTACCTTATTCATCTGTCGGAGCGTGACGGGGGTAGCGAAAGGAGAGCTGTTGAGAACTGCGCTGGTTGGTGGCGAGGGTGTCCGAACTGCCTGGCGTTCTTGAACAACTTGTAAGACAATAGATGGCTGGAATGGCTAGATCCCTGTCTTCTTAAATGCAGCTCGGATAGTAGCTTCTTTAAAGGCTTGCTTATAGGCTTGCTAGATAATAATAAGGAACTCGATCTTCGTAATATTGACTAGGCCGTTGCGGAGCAGGATGTCAAGCTCCTTTGTATAGTAGTGCTTCAATAGCTAGAAGACAACAACGTCGAGCGGCTGGATCAGATATGTAAGATATAGTGGTAACGTATCTTATCAGCGAGCGCCGCATATCACCGAGCGCCGCACCTTTCTACACTACATGTCACCTCTGCACTTAACACCAATTTTTTCATCAACCCAATATGCCTCCTACTTCAAATGAAGCCAGGGTAATCTTGGCCATTGAGGCTATTCAGAAGAACCCGGAACTAAGTATACGCGCCGCAGCAAAGATCTACAACGTTGCCGACCGAACTATCCGCCGTCGACTTGCCGGCCGTATTGCAAGACGCGATCTTCCAGCCAACTCGCGTAAGCTCACCGATCTAGAAGAGAGGGCAATAGTATAGTATATGATTGACTTCTCTATACGCGTATTCCCACCTAGATTGAGTGGTGTAGAAGATATGGCCAACCATCTGCTACGTGAACGCGACGCGCCGCCTGTTGGCAAGCTCTAGGCGCATCGGTTTGTCAAACGCCAGCCAGAGCTCCGAACGCATTATACGCGTAGATACAACTACCAAAGGGCGAAGTACGAGGATCCAAAAGTCATTGGCAAGTGGTTTGCCCTTGTATAGAATGTCAAGGCCAAGTATAGTATTGTAGATGACGATATCTATAACTTCGACAAGACTGGGTTTATAATGGGTATTATCTTTGCGGGCATGGTGGTCACAACCTCGGATGGTTATAGCAAGGTAAAGCTGGCCTAGCCTGGCAACCGTGAGTGGGCAATAGTGATCTAGGGAGTCAATGCCCTCGGCTGGGCCATCCCTCTGTTCATTATCTTGGCCGTGCAATACCACCTCGCCAACTGGTACACCGAGTATAACCTCCCGGCCGACTGGCATATTACAACCACCGACAATGGCTGGACTACCAATAAAGTAGGCCTAGATTGGATCAAGCACTTTGACTTCTATATAGCACCTTGTACAAAAGGCAAATACCGGTTGTTAATCCTCGACGGCCATGAAAGCCACCACTCGACCGAATTCGAGCTCTATTACCAGCAGAACAACATTATCACACTCTACATGCCTCTGCATTCGTCCCACCTCCTCCAGCTACTTAATGCTGGCTGCTTTAGGCCATTGAAGCAGGTATACGGTCGCCAGATCGAGGACTTAATGCACATGCATATCAACCACGTAAGCAAGCTCGAGTTCCTTTGCGCCTTTCGCAAGGCCTTCTTTGCCTCCATCACCGAGAGGAATATCCAGGGCGGCTTTACAGGGGCTGGCCTTGTGCCGTACGATCCAGAGAGGGTGCTTTCCAAGCTGGATGTAAAGCTTCGTACGCCAACACCCCCAACCTCCCGGCCTGACACTGCGCAACCTTGGGTGTTCCAGACACCATACAACCCTCGGGAAGCCGAATCGCAGTCAACCCTCATCAAGACTCGCATTGCCAACCATCAAAATAGCTCCCCGACTTCAATATTGGCTGCTGTAGACCAGCTTGCTAAAAGCACAACGGCTGTGATGCACCAGGTGGCCCTCCTTCAGGCAGAGAACGCTTCGCTCCGCAAGGCCAACGAGGCACTAAGCAAGCGCCGGAGAGCTAAAAGAACACGCGTGCAGCTTGGAGGATCACTTACTATACAGGAGGCACAAGAGGTGGTAAGTCAGGGGGCTATAGGTGGGGAGGCAATGCAAGAAACACAGCGAGATAGTGGTGGTGCCGGGGTAGGTCGTACGAAGGTTCGGTGCTGTGGTGTGTGCGGCAAGCCTGGCCATAATGCCCGCACTTGCCAGGAGGATGTAGAAGGATATGATTTATCTGTTTCTGATGTAATTATAGTTGGTTGCTAGTGTTGTTGTATTGTAATTGAAGATGGTGTTCGTAGGGTAGTAGGGAGTGCGGCGCTCGGTGATATGCGGCGCTCGCTGATAAGATACGTTAGGCCAAATGGGATAATATTATAATCCTCGCAGTATTTGACGAACTCCTAAGTAAGATGCAAGCTATAGCCGTCAAAGATCAGGAGCCGATATTTTCCAACCATCCCTCGCTAGGAGTGCTCTTTAAAGTGCTATAGCCACTAGAGGCTAATCTCATCGTTTAAGTAGCCACTTGCCGATATAATGATCGCCATCTTAGGGTCCAATTCGGGTTGCTCGTACCATTGCGATATATGGACTTGGCCAGCCAAGATGATAAAGGCTGAGATCACCCTTCCTCTAGCAGAGATAGCTTCAATGGCTGTTGCCGACTCTTGGTTCTCCGCGATGCCAAAGTAGTATGCCCGCTTACGTTTGGTAACGATAAGTTGGTCCTTTCCTATCCCAATACGAAAGCCAGTCTTATCCACGTCCCAGATATCTTCAGGGTTTACCCCCTTACCCCTAAGGACGGCCAGGAGCTTGTCAAAGTATTCGGCAACAACAGCAGGCTGTTCAGCCTTCTGGCGGTTAGCGTTGAGCTTCCTTTGCCACTGCTTGAAGTATCCATGGCGCTTGATAAACCGGGAGGTCCATTTCTGGCCAACAACTGGTGGGTTGTCCTGCTCAGCCCGGCTGGCCCGCGAACGCAAGATATGGTTCGCTGCGTCGGTAACGAAGGCCGGCCGTACCGCAAGGTTGATATTGTCAAGCCGATCGATATATCGGCACAATGCAACCTCTTCGGGAGCTGACAACTTGGTATGCGTTGGTGGGCGGCCAGTTCTGGGCCCAGTGCCGGCGAGGCGGCGACGCAGGCGGTCCCGCGGGACAGCGAATTCTCGGGCAACTGCAGCCACTGGGGCATCCGGATTTTTAGCAATGTATTCGACGGCATCTTGCATACGGGTCTCCATCTTGTTGATCGTTGAATTCGAGTGTGGGCTTCAAAAGTGGTGGTTTTGTTGAAGAGGTCGAAAAAGGTGGCCATTAGGGTGATCTGGCCGTATGGCTGTCCACCACCAACCTGCCTGGCGGTTCGTTGGCTGGTCCGAAGAAAAGCGGGGCAGGTGGGGGGGGTGCCACGAGTACACCTCCGCCGGGGTTTCAATTGTTAAAAACCAGTATGCCGACCAGGGTGCCTGCCAGGTTGCCAGCCGGGATGCCAGCCACTCATAGACTTCAGACTTTAATTCACTTTTCTAGCATTTTCTATGGGAAAATATTTGCAATTCAAATCCCAGGATGGCATCTAGCCAACACTACATCCTGCACTCTCTATCCTCCACCACATCCTCCATCTTCCACGGCCCAAGGGCGTCATATGCCGACGTCGCCCGCACACCTCTAGCGAGCCAATCAAGCGGGGTGCGTACCCTCTCCACATCAAATACGGCACCCTCCGCTGTCACTGATATCCTATTCTGCATAGTTGATACGTCAAGAGTGGAAGAAGGGGAGAAGGATAAGGTCCAGGTCGCGGACATTAGGAAGGCGAATGAGATGGAGATCCAGAGATACGAGAATCAGGGTAACTGGCGCTGCGCAGCAGTGGTAAAGGAGGCCAGGAACCCGGACCGGATCAGAGTCATTTATAGGGAAGAGAGCGAAGTTGCACTTGTCAAGGAAGTAGCGTAGAAGATAATGGTGCCAGGAGTGCGTATGCTGAGGGACCAGTTGTACCCGGTAAGGATTGACAATGCCAACCGGACAGCAGTCCCCGATATAGAGGGGAACATCCTTACTAGAGCAGCGGAAGCACTGGGAAGAGAAAATGAAGTCAACATTGCCAGGATCGCCTGGCTTAGTAGGAAGGATGCTGGCAGAGCGTATAGTTCGATAGTTGTCTATATAACTAAAGGCAGCGAAGCGAGACGGCTCCTAGATATACGCTACTTCTATTTGGCTGGGGGATCGGCTTACACAGCTGTGTTTGCACCCCGGGACAACGTCAGCTGGCTGCTTATATTCGACAACGTCGACCAAGACCTTGAATAGGGCAGTGAGATCGGTGCTTACCATATCAGGCGGTATCTGCCTGGCGATCACGGGTCGGTGCTGATCACGACACGGCTGGGGCGGATGGCGTAGCTCGGCGCTTCGCTTTAATTATGGAGAATCACCTGCTTCGAAGCATTCCCTCAGCTCTCCTAGACCCAGCTAGCGATTACTGTGAAATTGTGGCTTTGATATAATGAGCTATGCGCCTAAACATTCGGCTCATACGAGGGCGCTTTGCATGTCCGCCTCCCATGAGTTCATGACGTGTAAAGATATCCGGGTATCGGGGTGAGTTTGGCCTAACACCTTACACTGCAACTGGAAACACTCTTGCATCATAGACAACGCCTCAAGACCTTGCTGTCGGCTCTTCCAGGTAATGGCGAGGTCGTACATGGCCCGGAGAGTGTCGGGGTGCTTCTCGCCGAGAACGTCGCGCCGTAGCGCCAGCACTTCCACCTTGATCTTCTCCGCCTGCTCATACCTCCCCTGGGCGCGGTATGTCACGGCTAGAGACGCCATGCTCCAAATCGTGTCGGGGTGCCTCTTCCCGAGCCTCTTTTGTCGAAATTCGTAGGCCCTCTTGTCTACTGGCTCCTTCTCTCTCCACCTCCCACGATCGTACATGTAGTTCGATACTCGACTCAAAAGGTCCGACGCTTCAATCTCCTCTCCGCACAGTTCCGCCCATTCTCCCGCTCGCTGTGCGTGAACCACGTATTCCTCACACTCCCACCAGAGTTCCCGTCGACGTTCTGGAAACAGGTCCACAACAACTCGGAGGGCCAACTTTGAGAAACTCGCTTCATCCTTCCGCCGGTCCCTCCTGCTTAAGGCATATTGGGCGGCCTCCTGTACTAACTTGTGCATCTCATAAGCCTGGCTCATACCCTCGGATGTGCGAAGATGTAGGAACGAGAACTCCTGGAGACGGATGGCTGCATGAAGGACCTCATCATCGTCATCCTCGCTGTCGCTTCCAAAGCTGACGCTTCTAGCGCTTTCGTCGCCTTGCCTATCGTCCGTCATATTCTCCTTACGAAGAGCCGCCGCCTTGATCATGATCTCGAGTGGGATGTTCTGGCTGTCCAAAAAGGCCAGAACGTGGAGGATATCGTATGCCATCTCGTTCTCTCGCCGGATTTGTTGCAACGAGATATCCCACGTCTCTAAAAATACAGTTCGACAGCCCGGGCCTTCGATGTCGGTCAAACTCCAATTCCTGCAGGACTTTCCATCGCTTCTTGTGTCTGGTTAGCTTGGACAGGTATTCTCAAAGCGTTATCGACATCCTCCGTATATATGCGGCAGTTTGGGATACGGCGAGCGGGAGCCAGTCGAGCTCGGCAAGTAGCTGTGCAGCATCGTCTAACTCGTCCTCGTCAATCTTCCTGTTCCTAACTGTCTCGAGAAGCGTCATGGCCTCTTTGTCCGTCATACGGGCGATGTTGATCCCTCGCTGGGCACCCACAAGGCTGCCGCTAATCTGCTCGTCACGGCTCGTCCACAGCACCGTCCCTGCGGGGCCCCGCGGCACGAAATTGTACAAACTGTGTTTCTCTCCTACGCCTTGACCCTGGTCCCTGCCTGATTGTGTCCGGCCGACCCCAAACGCTGCAAGGTTGTCCGCGTTATCGAGAATGAGCAGCCAGCACGGGTCCGCCTCGATCCGCTCGCGCACGGCCGTTAACAATTCCGGTCCATCCAGACCATCCGCCAAGCCCAGCCTCTTTGCAATCATCTTGTAGTCCTGCGTAAATGCCGTTTCGTTGTCAGCGTGGACCCAGAACACCGAGCAGGGCGGGTCGCGGCTCCGGCGGTAAGCGTATTCGAGTGCCACCTGAGTTTTCCTTCGACTGTTAGTCCGCGCGCATATTATTGCCTGGCCGTAAACAGCTTACCCGAAACCGCCGAGTCCCCACAGGGCGGCACTCTGGTATTCGGACGCCGGTGGCAAGAGGGCGTCAAGTTGGCCGAAGATGTGGGTACGATCGACGACGTCCTCGTTACGAGGGAAGGGGATTACGCGACAGGCTTTGGGTCTACTGCCTAGCACGGTGAGACATGTTAGATAACAACAATATCTAGTGCGAATACAAACTGACTTTCTATATAAATATGCTTTATTTTCGTAACTATAAACCCTTTAGTTAGGTATCTACTCAATATAGTTTCGAGATATGCCCTTAAATCATCATCGTTGAGAGCGCCAGACGGCGCCTATGTTTCCTTTTTCCCCATCGACTCCTTGGAGGGAACTATACCGAAATTCTGATCGCCCTTCGCCTCAAAGTAGTTTCCATCGACATTCTTCTGCGTGCCCGTCCCGAAATTGTTGAATTGCCGATTTCCATCTCCATTCTGGATGGCACTGCCGGGCTGCTCGTTGAGATCTCGGTCGTTGCAGAGTGGTAGATTCTCGCGGTGGGCTGCTTAAATGTCTCTATCCACCGACGTAGCTCTCTGCAGACAGCCACAAACCCTGGGTCGTCTGTACTGGTAAATTTGGTCATGTCCCTATGGTTGCTATGGATTCCGATGGGAATGTACCCAGGCAAAACGGGTTAGCGCAATGGACTCTAACCTCCAAGTGCAACAAGCTGTGAAAGAACCAAACTAACACGGCGGTAGCAGCAAGCGCCTCGGACGGCTGAGCCAACGAAGCGAAGGTGAGTATGGGCAGAAAGACAACAATCAAGGCAGTAATGATCGCCAACCACCAGACAGGTACAGTCGCGAATGCGACGATCCATAGCGGCGCAATCAGTAAGCCTAGACCTACGACGACCATGATCGCATCGACAAAGTTGTTGATTCTTGCCTCGCACGTTGTAGTGCACGGTCTCGCTGTCGGCAGAGCGCTCCTGCCTTCATGACTAGGTTGCTCCTTCCTTCTAGGCGCACCTTCTACACAGGTGCCTTACGCTTCTATGAACCGACCAGTGTTTCAGGTAAATATCCGAGTCATCTAAACACCCACAAGGTCTAGCAAATTTCTTCATTTTCTTCTTCAAAAGCCACTTTTCACAATAGGTTCGCAATCCTCAGCTCAACGCCTTGGGGTCCCTCTGGGTCCTGGGATCCCCCTTCGGGTCTCAGCTCTTGGAATACAATCAACAATCCCAATTCTGAGGCAATTCAAGATCCAGTCAGCCATACCAGGGCTCGTCAGGATCACAGGCAATGTCAGAAGCGCTGGCGTCAGAAGCAAAAAAGACAAGAAAAAGAGGCTGCGTTGCGCCACCAGGGTGTTGCGGTCGAGATTGACGGATATCACCGCTGACTCAGCCTGAGTTAGGGCTGTTAGGCAGGCGCCCGGGACGACGTCCTACCTACATATAGGTTAGGGGCCCGGGACGAGGGAGAATGGAGTGGCCAGTCTCGCCCAGCGCCGTCTGCCTTAATTGAATGCTCATATATCATCATGTGCCGACGGGAGGACTCCAAAGAAACCCATCCACTGGCGTGGTACTTGGGCCTGAGCGTCCCAAATACTGGGGTCTGCTGCGCCAATGTAGCCGCGAGGTGCAGTGTCACAGTATGGCGGTGGCGGAGCCCGATTCAGCAGTGAGGCTGAACCATGATGATGTTTAAACAGGTCTCCGTAAGTCCGTCGCGCTTCACTTCTTCCTTTCAACCTTACGAAGTTTGATGCTTACACTCTATGGCAGCTAAGCGGGTGTCCGAGGCGCAAAGCCTTCGCATTCTTTGTATCGACGGAGGGGGCATCAAAGGCTACACTGCGCTTCTCATTCTGCGCCGCATCCTCCGCACTAGAGGAATACGAGCATCTTGGGAAAGAGGTTTTCGGCAGACCTGTCGGCGGTCAGCTCGGTCGAGTCGTCAGGGGCATCACCGGATCCCCCTTTTATAATATCGCTAACCTGCAAAACGCAATCCAGTTCGTCATAAAGAAAAGGGGTATCCCGCCCGATAACGTACATTATCAGTGAGTGGGCCATATCAGTGAGTGGGCCATATCAGTGAGTGGGCCACTTTTCCACGCGACGCGCTACATCTACACATTACATCAACCTCATCCATCACCCAGAATGCCTCCTACTTTAAAAGAAGCCAGGGTAATCTTAGCCCTTGAGGCTCTTCAAAACGACAAAAATCTAAGCCTACGAGATGCAGCAAAGATCTATAGCGTCAGCCGTAGTACTCTTATACGACGACGCGATGGCATGACTGCACGACGCGACACAACGCCTGGGGTAAAGAAGCTTACGCAATCTGAAGAAGAGGCTATTATTCAATATATTATTGAGCTATCTGAACGAGTATTTCCACCGAGATTGAGTGGTGTAGAAGATATGGCCAACCAATTGCTACGTGTACGCGATGCGCCCCCTGTCGGCAAGCTCTGGGCGCATCGATTCGTCAAACGCCAGCCAGCCCTCTATATACGTTGGTCGCGTCGATACAACTACCAGAGAGCTAAGTGCGAGGATCCAAAGGTCATTGCCGAGTGGTTTACCCTCGTACGGAATATCAAGGCCAAGTACAGTATCCTAGATGATGATGTCTACAACTTCGATAAGACGGGGTTTATAATGGGCATTATCTCTGCGGGCATAGTAGTTACTACCTCGGATGGCCGTAGCAAGGCAAAGCTGGCTCGGCCTGCCAACCGCGAGTGGGCTACGGTAATCCAGGGAGTCAATGCCCTCGGCTGGGCTATCCCACCCTTTATCATCTTGGCTGCACAGTACCACCTTGCCAACTGGTACACCGAATGCAACCTCCTAGCCGACTGGTGTATCGCGACTACCGAGAATGGCTGGTCTACCAATATAGTAGGCCTGGATTGGATCAAGCACTTTGACTACCATACAGTACTACGGACAAAGGGCAAATACCGGTTATTGATCCTCGACGGCCACGAGAGCTACCACTCGACTAAATTCGAGCTCTACTGCCAGGAGCATCAGATTATCATACTCTGCATGCCTCCGCATTCCTCCTACCTCCTCCAGCCACTCGATGTTGGCTGCTTTGGACCGCTAAAGCAGGCATATGGTCGCCAGATCGAGGATTTAATACGGATGCATATCAACCATATAAGCAAGCTCGAGTTCCTCTATAGCTTCCGCGAGGCCTACTTTGCCTCGATGACAGAGAAGAATATCCAGGGTGGCTTTGCAGGAGCCGGCCAAGTGCCATACGATCGAGAGAGAGTACTTTCTAAGCTGGATATCAAGCTTCGTACGCCAACACCCCTGAACTCACGGCCCGGCACTATACAGTCTTGGGTCTTCCAGACACCACATAACCCCCAGGAAGCCAACGCATAGTCAACGCTCATCAAGACCCGTATTACCAACCATCAAAATAGCTCCCCGACATCAATGTTAACTGCTGTGGACCAGTTAGCCAAAGGTACAATAGCTGTGATGCATCAGATGGCTCTTCTTCGCGCAGAGGTCTCTTCGCTCCGTAAGGCCAACGAAGCACTAAGCAAGCGCCGGAGAGCCAAAAGAACACGCGTACAGCTTGGAGGATCGCTTGCAGTACGAGATACAAAGGATCTACTAGACCAGAAAGCTATGGTTGGGGAGGTAGCACAAGAAACGCAGCCGGATGGTGGTGGTGCAGGGGGGGCTCGTACGAAAGTTCAGTGCTGTGGTGTGTGCGGCAAGCCTGGCCATAATGCCCGTACGTGCCAGGAGGTTGCAGAAGGGTCTGATTCAACTGTTTCTGATGTAATTATAGTTGGTTCCTAGTGTTGATGTGTTGTAATAGAGGATAGTCGTTATAAGTTGGTGAAAAGTGGCCTACTCACTGATATGGCCCACTCACTGATATGGCCCACTCACTGATATGGCCCACTCACTGATATGGCCCACTCACTGATATGGCCCACTCACTGATAATGTACGTTACCCCGTTCATCGAGAAGTCAGAGCCAAGCTGCAAAGTGTACGTTTCCATCGAACGCAGAGACAAAACTAGTAACCTTTATTGTCTAGAGAACTAACACTAGTCGTCAACAGAATCCTGTATGCAACCAGGATAGAAAGTGGCAAGGCAGACATCCTCCGCAACTACGAGTCTTGTCATCCGACAGCAGAAAACTATGACTGCCGAATATGGGAAGCCGCCAGCGCAACAGCCGCCGCTCCCATGTACTTCAAAGCTATCAAGTTTGCGGCAAGTGGCGAGCGCTGGTGTGATGGAGCCATTCGCCGAAACAACCCGATCAACGAAGCACTTGCCGAGCTAGCTAGAGAGCCAGAGTGGCAAAACAAGAAGATAGGATGCATCCTAAATCTTGGCACTGGACTCGCACGGAGCAGATCTGTCTCATCGAACCTGGCCGGCTTTCTCAAAGGGGCGCTTAAGATGTTGACCGATGCTGAGGACACGGCCAAGGTCTTTTCCGCGTCTGCCCTTGGGAGGGAGCTCGCTCAAACACACCGTTATTTTCGATTCAACGTGCCCCACGGAATGGAGGATCTGCAGATCGACGAGTGGAAGGAGACAGAAAGGATGAAGGCGATGACGACCGAATATCTCAGTCATACCGACAACGGAGATTCTATCATGAGATGTGCAAAGACACTGCTATATCCGGATGAGAATTGTAAGTCTGGCTCTAATATGCACAACTACAACCATTGAACTCCCCGCTCACAACGACTTGGTTAGTACAGCGAACACTGAAGACCAAGGTGTCGTTGACACCACATCTACCCTACACTCATCTCATAAGACGCACCCTCTACCACGAGCGGCTTCGAGCCTTCTTTTCCCCCCAGATGAGGCGTGGCCAAATCTTTGCTCTCTGGGGCCTCGGTGGCACCGGGTGAGCCCCCCCGCCTAAGACATCCTATTCACACAAGAGCGACAAGTTTCTCGCAGTGCAGTGGCTAACTAGTAGCGGTTCCTTCCTTATCCAGGAAAACCCAAATTGCTTTGGACTTCTCTCAGAGTATGAAAGACAGACTGTCCATCTTTTGGATTCGCGCGGACAACCTCGGAAACTTTATCGCCGATTATTCGCGGGTTTTGCCCCTATTGAACCCCGAGCTCGATGGATTGTCACCGCAGGAGGTTATGTTGTCACTCCTGGCGAGGACTCGAGACAAGCTGGAAGAGCTAGCAGGCGACTGGCTACTGATTCTGGACAATGCGGACCATCTGAACGACTTCATTGGAGTCCCGGACAAGGACGGACCACGCATTTCCAAATACGTCCCCAGGCGAGGACGGATTCTGATAACAACACGGGACCGACGTTTCCAGGGGTTGGCCGCCGCAGCGAGCGATGGACTGTGTGTCGAGCCAATGATACGGTTGGAAGCTAAAGACCTTTTACTCAAGTACGTTCCCAATCACCTTGTTCGGCCCAGCGCTGTCAATACACTTATGGCTGATGACTTGGTGGAGAAGCTCGGCTGCCTGTCGCTAGCCGTTGCATAGGCGGCCGCCAATATCGTTGACCAGCAGATGTCCTTCGCAGAATACGTGGGTCTCTTCCGAGAAAAGCGACGTCGACTTGATCTGATGGCCTCACTAGCTTATGACTTTGCGAATAAAGATGTCCGAAACGGCATTTCTTCGGTCACCATAACGTAGAGGATCTCCATCGACGCCCTAAGGCGATAGTCGCCCTTATCTGTCACCTTCCTGCAGTATCTCGCATGCTTTTACTGGAGAGAAACACCGCAAATATTGCTGAGACGTCTGCCTGAGTTTCATGATCTCGACGATGTTTCGTTTCTTCAGGTTACGAAGAGGCCACTGGCATTGTCATTGATCGACCAGACGCTGGATGAGGACCCTCGGCTCTCCAGCTACAGTGTCCACCCAGTCCTCCACAAAGTCATGACGGCCGAGCTCTCTATAGAGGACAAGCGCCGTATGCTAAGTCATCTAACCCCAATCATATCAAGTGTATTCCCAACCGTTCCAGCCCCGGCAACCGAAAGCTGGCCTTGGCGGTACTCCTCGCACCCTATCTATCCTGGCAGATGGACCTCTGTCAGGAGGTTGGCCACGGCTCATAGACGGTCGCTATGCTCATGTTCAATCGAAGCCGATTCCATAGCCATTCCAGCATGTTTAATGCTGCGGCCGACATGGCGGACGCAGCTCTGTCAATGGCAAGCCAGCTCATTGGCCCCGAAAACGAGTTGAGACATTATTTCCGACGAAATGCGATCGAAAGACTCAATGACGCCGGAAGATATGATCGCGCGGAGGCAGAATGCTCATTGGCCCTGGAACTCCTGGAGGCGCGGGCGGCTACCACATCACTCGATACGAAGGCATACAACAAGGAGAAAGTCCTGCTCCTGGACTATCTGTCCATTGCTCTTCGCGACAGGCTCGGTTATGGTATGCTCGAATCAATATACAAAGAACAGCTTCACTGCCAACAAGCCGAGCAATGGTCTGCTGAAGATGTTCTGCGCCGGCACAACCTAGCATACGCCTTGCTCCGCAACGGCAAACACGCTGAAGCAAAAGAAATGAACGACGAACTCCTGAGATATTGCGAGACCGATGAAGATATTTAGGTCGTTGAAAAGAGACTGCATCTCATCATGCTAAATCTGAGGGCATTGATCATGAGGACGGGAGACGACGTCTGGCAGAACCTTGACCAGGTCATTGCACTTTACGAGCGCGTCCTACACGAGACCTTGTCGGTTGTTGGCATCGACGACAAAGAAACTTGGATCGCTCTGAATAACCGACTGGGATCTCTGAGCCAGGCGCTACGAATGAACGAGGTGGGAGATGCGTTGTAGCCCATCCTCCCGGTTGCCATCGCGGCCAACGTCAAAGCCGACGGGGGAATCGCCATATCTATGGGGGAGATCCACCAGACCGCCACCATGTACTTGAACCACCATCTGGCCAGAGAGGGGCCGGTAAAAGGCGCCCGCGCAGCTGAGTTTGCAGAGCTTCTCGACCGATGGAGCTACGTTTCCGGGATTGAGGACGTCATCAAGAGTGGGAGCATCAATCGCCTCTCTCACCTCAACTCGCTCAATTCGTATGGTGTATACCTTCAGTATCACGGGAGGTACGAGGAAGCGGTGACTGTCCACCGTAAAGTTATCCGTCAGCTGGAGGGCAGAGACGATGGCCTTGGGCGACTCTCGCATTGCAATTTCATGCTTGCCTTAGCGAAGGCCGGCCGGGAGGACGAGGCCCTCGCGTTTAGACGGGAGCATAAGGAACTGATAATGCCCATGGAGGCTGTATATGGGACACTCGAGCAGCGGCAAGAGGAGCGTAAGAAGGAAATGAGGGTTTACGAAGAAGCAAAGTCGCGGATCGAGAGAAAGTCCCTTTGCCAGCAGGATCAGTGGTGGCTCGATAACGCCACTACCGTTCGACGGGTGGGACTCCGTCTTGATCACGACCTTGTACCTCTTCCATGAACCGAAAGCAGGCCCTTTGTGATGGAACGGGACTTACAGCATCGCGACGCCCGGGCGCCGAAATCAAGCGTTAACAATCCACCACCCAGAACTCCGGAGATAGGACTAAGGAGGGTATTTAGTGCCGAGGTAAAGCGATGCATTCAGATTTCAGCATCATCGAGCTTCCTCAAACGGCAGCTGAGTATCTATGGAAGAGTTCTCATCAGATGATCGAATGTTGATTGCTGTCTTAGACGTGCAGAAGCACCATGTCACGGTTACAAAAGCCTCGTAAGCGGAGATAGGTGCGGACTTGGCTCCAACATACGAACCCGCCAATGAACGGTTCGTGCACCGTGAAAGTTTGTCCATGGAACGGGCCGTTCTGGCACAGGATGGATATTATGTGCTCGCGGATACTCCACCGAAGGCAACAGGCCGTCTTCGACAAAAAGAGACGGCACCGTACTGACACCCTAAAGGACTTGATATACGGTGATATAGGGTTACGAGTCAGTCATATTATTTCCTCCAGCCCTGGATCTCTGTGTAGTGTTACCGCTTACTAGTAGCTCGGCTCTTGAGATCGGTGACCATCCAGGTTTTCCCATTCATAAGAAGAAGACACCTCCAATCCAGATCCGTTTGGCCCTGTGTATCGCGTGCAACGACATCGTGAGCCAAGGTTGTCAACAGCAAGAGGCTGGGGAAATTCTACTCCATTCTTGCCCAAGCAGAGCTGGATTTGTTAGGAACTTTAGTACTTCAATGGAGGATTCTGGACAGCTTGGAGTAAAATCCCATGCAGCGGAGGTAGCATTGACCTATCGGTGCCGTGGTGCATACTGTACGACGTACGAGTAAGGCAGGTTTTGTCATGGTCGGGTAAGCATTTTACAGTTGTCAATACTACATGACCAGACTAAGCAACCAGCCCCTGTGACTTGGCAAGCATAAGGTAGGTAGCTAAGCGGAGACTACGGGACAGCAGTAACAATTCAATCTATATAAACACATCCGTAAACCATCTGTAAATCATGGTCTGTCCTCACCGGTGACCGTCGCTTTACACCCCCGTCACCTACAAGCAGGACGCTTCCATCGACAATGACGCGCACGCTAGGTCTCGGGCTCGCTCTTGGGGCTTGCCTGCTCCAGCTTGCCACGCTCACCTCGGCAAGCCCGGTTCAGCCTATCAGGGAGATCAAGGACGTTGCTCGACGGGACACGACGGACACAACAACCGTCTGGATCGACCCGACCACAGTCACGGTCAACCCCCGGGACCCAACCATCACGAGGGAGGCCGGATGGACGACAACCACCGGCCCGCCACCCTTCATCAGCACCGTCACCTCGTCATGCATCACCTACAACTACAGCTACCCGGCGGGCCACGAGACTACAACCACCACCACCACCGTCTTCCGTCAGAGCACAGTCACAGTGACCGACACCAACCGGCCGACCGAGACACAGTACTTCTTCCACACGCCGACAGTGACCGTCACGACGCCCCTCGCGACATACGTCTCCTACCACTGCCTCAACACGTTAGTCGTGCAGTACGCCGACTGGGAGTACCTGACCTGGACCTGGTCACAGTGGGAGCACGTGGCGTCAACGACGGGGCTGTGCCTCACTACCTCAACGCGCTCGACCACCATCCCGGGCTTCACGCTCCCCGCCAGCAGCACGCGCACGCTCGAGGATTGGGAATATTTCAGCGTGCCGGGCGTGTCGGTCGTGACGAAGAACACGGTAGCCATCGCGACGGACGTGACGAGTGTCATCCCGGGCACGTCGACGCGCACGGTGTGTGACAGTCGGAATCTGAGGCCGACTACGACGACGACTATTACTGTGACAAGGCAGGCGACGACTACGAGGACGGTTACCGGTGGTGGGCCGGGATGCGTTACTAGGGCGCCGAGCAGGAGCGATGTGGAGGCGGCTGCGGTTGTTGGGACGCCCGTGGAGGTGCATACTGTGGTGTATACGACGGTGACGGTGATTGATAACTCGGTGTATACCCTGACCGGCACGGCGGTGGTGGATGTCAATACGGCCGAGTTTCCGGTGACGAGGATTGCGTATTCCACCGTGACGGGCCCTGGCGCCACGGTGACGGCGACGATTTGTAGATGATTGCTAGGGGTTGCTAGGGTGTTGGATTGATGTAGGGAAGCTCGGGGTGGGTTGTTTAGCAGGCCATCTAGTTCTAGTAGATACTGTTTGAATGATGGGAGGGGACGTTGTTTGATGGTCTAATTGGTCTACTGCGAGTCGCCAGTCTGCTCTAGAAGCGCAAGGAGTTCGTAGGGGATGGCCCGCCTAGGCTAAGTCTCAAGGTGTCGAGTATTCTCCTCCAACCACCTGGAGCCACCCCTTGCATTTGCTAATGATAGCATGCACCTTTTCCTTTCCCTCCGCAGTGCCATTGACACTATAATTAAAGGACAAGTCGCCTAGAGACAATATAACTAGTCTCGCCTTCCAACCACACCGTCTTTCCGTGACTTAGCAATCCCCCGATATATCGCTCAGTCCTTCCTATATCCTGCCGTCCGAAGATCCGAACTATGTGCATGGCAATGACTGCATAGAGCTAATAGCTAAGACAAAGATATTGCACACCTTGCTCTGGCCACTGGGTGATAAGCAGGCCGACAGGAAAATATAGGAACAAACAGCAAAGCATCGCCATGCACACAACTTCCCTCACCCGATCACCAACCCAAAGAGGAATATGATTCCGCCTAGGATGACCGTAATGCCTGAAGAATTGGACCACAAGAGGCTGTGGTCCCTCAATGACCATGAACTTGTGAATCGGGTCAGCCACCTCAAAGGCTTCCGCCATCGACATGGTGGTGTCTTCCTTGTCGGCTACCTTTTCTAGCTCTTGCTGTGACATCAACCTACTTTGACGGACAGAGAAGGCGACCAGGAGTAGCTTGAGAAGTAAAGGCACAAGGAAGTAGAGAACAAGGAGCGAGTTCCTGAATTTGAGGCCAGCAACCAAGCATGCAATGACTGAGACAGACTCGCTGCAGAAGCAGCTGATGACTACTGCCGTGCCTGTGCGACTTTCGTTCACACAGACTTCATCGGGACCGACCGTCGTGTTGCTGGGTACGACACCAAGCTTCAGATGATACACCGGTTGCAGCGATCGATAGTCATCGCCCAGTTGGTTGGTTTCGGTGTCCTGCGGCGGTACTTTGAATCGGACATGCTGATGAGGGTTCGTGTTCTGCAAGACTCGGATCCAGAACCCATTCCGTGACTTTTCGGGAATAAACATCGGCGAATCTTTGCAACGTTGAAAATGCATGACGTTGAGGTCGCAGAAAAATACTGTCCCGAGCATGTGTCCTCGACATAGCCCCGCGAACAAGCCGCGTCCACGTAGGACATCAAGAGTCCTCAGAGCTGCTTTGTGAAGCGGTCCGCCGATTGTCATGAGAAAGGTTTGTTGCAAGAAAACAGGAACCGTTAGCTCGTAATTGAATCTTTGGGGCCAGAGCAGTCGTTCCAGAACGGATTCTTCGGCAACTTCCGAGCCGATATATCCTATCACGGCTATAAGTGCACCTGCCGTAACCGTGTTCATAGCTTCAGTTGATGGATCCACTGAGAATCACGGTCTGCCTCAGATTTCTTTGGGATTGGTTGTACTGATACTGTCGCCGAGTCCTTAATCATCCGGGGTTCTCTGCTGGTAGCTTGGTTTTTGGTGAAATCTCGGGGGCGACACAGGTTGATTTTCTTGCTTAGAGAATATCTGACTTCCTCCGATATGCCAGTTCTATATGGACGGACATATTTGAGGCCTGGACCCCGGCCTTCTGTCCCTTTCCTTGTACGCCTGTACTTCCTATGCCAGGCTGGCCTATGGTCTCGGCCCCTTGATCCCAGTATTTTCCATTAATAGCGCACGAGGCAATCCAGGTGCCCCTTCTGCTGTGTAAGTAGCCCTGCAGTAACACAATCAGCCACCTGCATTGGATATCATTCGCAGAAGTGGGACATTGCTCAGCCGCAAGAGACGCTAGGCGTTCGCTGGTCTGCAAGTGCCTCGGGATGCAGGGCGATGCTTGCCTCTGCGTACAATAGGCGTGAACGGCCAAGTATCGACCAATGGGATAGATATATAGGAAGCTGTATAGTTCAGGACTTTCTTGCCAAGATATAAAGACGGCACGGACACCACCGTATCAGCCATTATAATACCCATCGTTGGACGTTCTAGAAATGGAGATAACAAACACACCACCACCCCACCGGCCTAACTGCTAACGGCCAATCATTATCGAATTGAGCTGACCGAGCGAGCTATGGCGCAATCTACAGTTACATGGCGAATGGTTTGCCCTTATGCGGAATGTTAAGGCCAAGTACGGCATTATAGATAACGATATCTATAACTTCGATAAGACTGGGTTTATAATGGGCATTATCTTCCCGGGTATAGTGGTTATAACCTCGGATGGCCGTGGCAAGGCGAAGCTGGCCTAGCCTAGCAACCGCGAATGGGCGATAGTGATCTAAGGCGTTAATGCCCTTAGCTGGGCTATCCCTCCGTTCATCATCTTAGCGGCGTAGTACCACCTCGCCAACTGGCATACCGAGTGCAACCTCCTAGCTGACTGGCGCATTGTAACTACCGAGAATGGCTAGACTACCAATATAATAGGCCTTGATTGGATCAAGCACTTCGACTACCATATAATGCCTCGGACAAAGGGCAAATACCGGTTGTTGATCCTTAATGGCCACGAAAGCCACCACTCGACCAAGTTCGAGCTCTACTGCCAGTAGAATAACATTATCATACTCTGCATGCCTCTATATTCCTCCCACCTCCTCCAGCCACTTGATGTTGGCTGCTTTGGGCTATTGAAGCAGGCGTACAGTCGCCAGATCGAGGACTTAATACACGCGCGTATCAACCAGGTCAGCAAGCTCGAGTTCCTTTGTGCCTTTCGCGCGGCCTTCTTTGCCTCTACCATTAAGAGGAATATCCAGAGGGGTTTTGCAGAGGCTGGCCTTATGCCGTACGATCTAGAGAGGGTGCTTTCGAAGCTAGATATCAAGCTTCGTACACCAATACCCCCAACCTCACGGCCGGGCACTATATAATCTTGGGTCTTCCAGACACCACACAACCCTCGAGAAGCCGAACCACAGTCAACGCTTATCAAGACTTGCATTGCCAACCATCAAAATAGTTCCCCGACTTCAATGTTGGCTGCTATGGACCAGTTGGCCAAGGGTACAATGGCTATAATGCACTAGATGGCTCTTCTTCGCGCCGAGGTCTCTTCGCTCCGCAAGGCCAACGAGGCACTCAGCAAGCGCCGGAGAGCCAGAAAAACACGTGTGCGGCTTGGAGGATCACTTACTGTGCAGGAGGCACAGGAGGTGGTAAGCCAGGGGGCTATAGGTGGGGAGGAAATGCAAGAAATACAGCTGGATGGTAGTGGTGCTAGGGGGGGGGTCGTACGAAGGTTTGGTGCTGTAGTGTGTGCGGCAAGCCTGGCCATAATGCCCGCACTTGCCAGGAGGGTGCAGAAGGGTCTAATTCATCTGTTTCTGATGTAATTATTGTTAGTTCCTAGTGTTGTTGTTTTGTGATTGAGATATTGTTGGTAGTGTAGTGGAGAGTGGCCGGCTCGCTTATATGGCCGGCTCGCTTATAAGATACGTTATAGATAAAATTACAAGTAGATTTAGACCTGATATCCTTAAGGTACTATATAGAGATAACGTATCTTATAAGCGAGATGAACATATAAGCGAATTGAACACTTGCCACCATACTATAACAGTCAACTACAATTACAACACAACAACATTATGAACCTACTATAATTACATCAGAAACGGCTGAATCAGATGCTTTTGCAACCTCCTGACAAGTGCGGGCATTATGACCAGGCTTGCCGCACACACCACAGCACCGAACCTTCGTACGAGCCCCCCCTGCACCACCACCATCCGGCTGCATTTCTTGTGCCACCTCCCCAACCACAGCCTTTTGGTCTAGTAGATCCTTTGCATCTTCTACTGCAAGTGATCCTCCAAGCTATACACGCGTTCTTTTAGCTCTTCGGCGCTTGCTTAGCGCCTCGTTGGCCTTGCAGAGCGAAGACACCTCTGCCTGAAGGAGGGCCACCTGGTACATTATAGCTATCGTACCCTTGGTAAGCTAGTCCACAGCAGCCAATATCGAAGTTGGGGAGCTATTTTGATGGTTGGCAATGCGAGTCTTGATGAGCGTTGACTGTGAGTTGGCTTCTCGGGGGTTGTATGGTGTCTGGAAGACCTAAGATTGTATAGTGCCTGGCTGTAAGGTTGGGGGTATTGGTGTACGAAGCTTGATATCTAGCTTCGAAAGTACCCTCTCTAGATCGTACGGTATAAGGCCAGCCCCTATAAAACCGCCCTATATATTCCTCTTGGTAATAAAGGCAAAGAAGGCTGTACGAAAGGCATAAAGGAACTCGAGCTTACTTATATGGCTGATATATACGCGTATTAAGTCCTCGATCTGGCGACCGTATACTTGCTTCAACGGCCTAAAGCAGCTAATATCAAGTGGCTGGAGGAGGTAGGAGGAATATAAAGGCATATAGAGCATGATAATATTGTTCTACTGGCAGTAGAGCTCGAACTTGGTTGAGTAATGGCTTTTATAGCTATCGAGGATCAACAACCAGTATTTACCCTTTATCTAAGGCGTTGTATAGTAGTCGAAGTGCTTGATCTAATTAAGGCCTACTATATTGGTAGTCCAGCCATTGTCGGTGGTTACAATGCGCCAGTCGGCCGGGAGGTTGCACTCGGTATACCAGTTGGCAAGGTAGTATTGCGCCGCTAAGATAATGAACGGAGGGATAGCCTAGCCAAGGGCATTGACACCTTGGATTACAGTCGCCCATTCACAGTTGTCAGGCTAGGCTAGCTTCACCTTGCTACGGCCATCCAAGGTTGTAACCACCATGCCTAGGAAGATAATACCTATTATAAACCCAGTCTCGTCAAAGTTATAGATATCGTTATCTACAATACTATACTTGTGTCACGGGATCACCTGACCTCTGGTCATGTGCCTCTGCTCCAGTATTTAAGGTCTGGTCGCACGCATACTGCTGTCATCTAGATCTTGCTCTCTCTCTGTCGCAATATCAATCTTGTATGTGCGAGCTGACCCGACCGGTGCCCGTCACAACTTGGCCTTAATGTTCCGTATAAGGGTAAACCATTCGCCAATGACCTTTGGATCCTCGTATTTGGCCCTCTAGTAGTCGTATCTACATATATAGTACATCCAGAGCTCTGGCTGGCGTTTGACGAAGTTATACGCCTAGAGCTTACCGACAGGGGGCGCATTGCATATGCATAGCAGTTGGTTGGCTATATCTTCCATACCACGTAGTCTCGGGGGAAAGGCTCGCTCAGGTAGCTCAATTATATACTGAATAAGAGCCTTCTCTTCGGAATCGGTGAGCCGGCGCGAGTTTGGCGTAGTGTCGCGTCGTGCAGGCTTGCCGTCGCGTCGGTTTCGGATGGTATTGACTATGACGTTATAGATCTTTGCTACGGCGCAAAGACTAAGTTTCGGGTTCTTTAGAATAGCTTCAAGAGCTAAGATTACCCTAGACTCTCTTGAAGCCGAAGACATCGTTAGGTGTAGAGGATTTTGGTTGTGGTATGGAGAGAAGACGCGTCGCGGTCAAAGTGTTCAATTCGCTTATATGTTCATCTCGCTTATAAGATACGTTACCCTAAATATAATCGCCAAGCTTATAGTTCAGCTACGGGTTAAGGCTAAGATAGAGAGAAAGAGACAGCGGCTATAAGTACCATCGGCGGTTCTAGGTTTCGTAACCGAGTTGTTTCTTGGGCGAGGCTTCTACGGGATAGAATCCTTCCTCCGCCATTTGTACATTACTGTAAGATTCGACGTAAATAGTAATTAAAACCTTCAACTTACTTGTCTGGCTTGATAGTTTTACTCTCTACTATAACCTATCTTTGTTACCTCAAGCTTGCGCTGCAAGCTCTCGGGGTATACAGCGACTGCTTCGAGGGCACGCACTACAGTGATGCGTCGCCGGCGGGCATCGAAGAGTGGTCTATAACTTCTAACCTATGTCACGCACCGGCCCCTAGGGCACGGCGCCGCTCAGTACCTTCGTGGTTCTTACCGATGCCTTCGGGTGGTAGCTCCACAATACGCGCGCCCTTGCCGACGCCTACGCGCGACAGGTGCCGTGCACCATGTACATACCCGAATTTCTGATCGGTAGGTACTGTATGAACCCCGCCCACAGCTTGTCTCCTTTCCACGTGTCCTCCAGCAACACGAACGCATAAAACCGGGCCACATATATGGAAGCACGACACAGCGTGCAACATAACTCACACTAGCCTGGCCGGCCCACCACCGCACGTGGAATCGCCATCGCACACGATGACGTGACACCAGAGTCCAAACCCCTCGCTAACCAGCCGCCCCTTCCACCCCCCACCACAGGTCGCGCAGTCTTCGAATCGGTGCTCAACGAGCTCGAGAAGAAGCCCGCGCCCAGCCTGCTCGCCAAGGTCAGCCGGACCCTCACGACGCTATCCCTCCTCCCAGCCTACCTCAGCTCCCTATACCATACCCGCCAGGCGGTCGCACACCCGCACGCACAGGCCTTCCTGCGCGGCCTGCGCGTGGACCAGCAGCCATCACTCAACGCTACCGGCGCAATCAAGATCGGCGTGGCGGGCTTTTGCTGTTGGGGGGGGGGGGGGGGGGGGGGGGGGGGGCTGCATGCCGTGCTACTGACGTACGACGGACCTCAGAACCGGTAGCAAGCGTCCGGGGGTGGTGGAAGAGCAGGAGGTCTGGGGGACGGCGCGGATCCAGAAGTTGTCCGCAGTGTCGGACTGGTCTGCACGGATGATAACATCATACCTTTGGCCTAAAGAGCTCTAGTTAGTGAACAAGTGGCTATTGACGGAGCAGTGTGTTGTACGAACCAATGCCAATGCTGACGATGCTCGTGTTGAACGGCTGAATAGGAACCAAGCCATTCGCAATGACTTCCATGGTGTGGTTATCGATGGAGAACATGAAGAAAATATCCATCGCAGCATTGATGAGGCGCACGCGGTACGACGTCCCCGCGGTAAATGACACATTGAAACGAGAGCCCACTGTTGTGTCGCCGTCAACGTAGATGTTCGTGCCGTTAATCAGGTGGTTGTCCTGAGTTGGTGGTCAATTCAGCTGGGCACGATAGAACAGCGAGCCCGCAGTCTCATGGGTCCAGTCGTTGAGGAAGAGCACGCCGAGGTCTTCGTCGTAGTCGGCAGAGGCAGGCCCGTTGATAACGATGCCGCCAAAGACACCGTCATAAGCCTGCGGACCGTAATGAGAGTGGTACCAGGTAGTGCCGTATTGGGTGGCTTTCCACGTGTACGTAATGGAGGATCCTGCGGCAACCGGACACTGCGTGATGCTACTGACTCCGTCGTTTGGGTTGGTGTAGTTTTGGCGGATCCCGTGGAAGTGGATGCTCGTTCCGTTGGTGGACATGGAGTTAGTGACGTGAACGACAACGGTATCTCCCCAATCTGCGAAGAGGGTAGGGCCTGGGATACTGCCGTTGATGGCCATGACAGATTGCGCAACTCCATCTAGCGCAGCAGTGAATTCGGTGATTTCCCACCAATACTCCCTGGTGACGCCGGTTGTCGGGCCGTCATTGTAGTAATCTGTCGAGATATCGGAGTCACAACCACTCAGAACGAGTTGTAGCTGTATTATTGGAGAAAGCGGCACGTGGGTGCAGGTTGACTGAGTCAGAGTTGAAAGGAGACGCCCTGGCAAGGGTGGCAGCGAGCAAGCCTAACAAGACATAAGACTTGGCCATGTCAGGCAGATGGGAATAGAATAACAGAAGCGATTATGAAGTTGAATTCAGCTAATGAAAGACTGGGACTGCAGGCGTTGGTGATAGTAAGACTTGCACATACTGCTGAGGTATTTATACCTGCAATTTCGCATCTGGTTAAGGATGCAAGTAACTTCGAGCTTACATGCCACGTATTGCTACGATTCGTGGCTATGGAACGAAGGTGGAAGGAAACGGGCTGTCGAGGTTCAGTTCAGCAGAGGAAGGAACCGCTGGTGTTATGGCCGGTAATCAGGCTTCTACCATTGGCAGGAAACCAACCTGAGGGAATCCATCTAACATTTGAATGGCTCTCCACGATGATGATGATGACCTAGCGGTCTCACATGCCTTTGATGTAGTTTTGCATTGGAACTTACAACGGCGAGCCAAGAGAGCGCAGCTGGAGACCGTTGTGTTGGCGGCCATAATGGCACGCCATCACTCTCATAACAGAGTATCACGAGAATGGGACACAGGATGTGAATGATACTATCAATGGACCCGGCCGGGCCCGAATGTCGCCCGATGCTGACTTGTTGGTGGCAATGCTGAGCAACCCAACGTGGACTGGAGACTCGGCAACATGTGTTATCATCCAACGCCAAAGCTTAAGCAAGCGTCTCGGTGCCCGCCGCTCCTTGCAAACGCCTCCTCTGCACACACTCCTGATCTATCTTTCTCTGACGTGGTTGGTCACACGCAGATCTTCGTTCAACAGCCACAATCGTACTAACCTCCATGCCTTTGCGCTGCATTTGCAACAATCTTACTGTGATGGATTACGCCATTGGTGAGCTGTCCCAGCGATTTTGAGTCTTGGAGACGGTTGTCGCCTGCTCATATGTGGCTCTACTCCGTACTACACCAAGGCTTTCCTCCATGTGCATCCGCGGTATTTTGGACGTGTTCTAGCGTGTTGGTGGTGTAAGCCAAGCCGGCAGTGAGTGCTCCGCCGGGTGAGCACCGTGAGCTACCATTGCGGCATTGCCCCCATAGTCGCCCCTTAATCAACCAAGATTCTTGGCTGGCTGGCTGCACATCAATTTCCGCCAACGGCTTGTCTCGGAGTCGTATTGTCCGCGCATCTCTGTCACCCTTTCAGGATGCGTCCCTCCGGCGGCAGGAAATGCGACACGAGGCCTCGGGTTTTTGAGGGCCGAGCTACGCCATTATTGTTTGGTATATGAGGAGTGCAAGCACATCCACATCATGACAACTTCATGTCTGTCACACGTTCCGGCCATCACCCTTTGACGAACTAAGCACCACAGCCATGGTTCAGTTCATGCTCTCCGTGCTCGCCGCAGCGCTCTCACTCGCTTCAGCGGTGACAGCCCAATGCGGGTCTGGCTCGCCACATGCCACCGTGACCGGCTCTGGCAGCTCCTTCAAGGCCACGCGTGGCTCCAGCACGGTCTATTCGGGCTCTGACTACCGGGCCGCCATCCAGGCCGCGCTGGACTCGATCAGCAGCGGGCAGCGGGTGGCCGTGATGGCGTCGGGCTCGATCGGGGCCAGCACCATCACTATCAGCAGCGGCAAGATCTTCGAAGGCTGCGGCACCATCAACGTCGGCAACCGAGCCGGCCGAGGCGCCATCGAGTCCACCAACACGGCCGACGTGCAGATCCCCTACCTGACCATGACGGGCAACCCGTACTTCGGCCTGCGCTTCTCGGGCACGCGCAACCTCAGCCTGGGCAGGATCACCATGAATCTGAGCGGCGGCCTGGGCATCCGCTTCGACCGCGACGCCGCCGCCAACTCCAACGTCAAGATGGACGTCATCAGCGTCACGGGTGCCGGCAGCCACGCGGTCGAAACGTGGAACATCGACGGGCTCACCATCAACCAGGTCATCGCGCGCAACGTGGGCGAGTCGGGCCTGCTGCTGCAGAAGACGACCAACGCGCAGGTCGGGCTCGTCGACGGCAACAACGTCGGCGCCGGCACCGGCTACGCCACGCTGCGCATGGCCAACAACAACGGCCAGAACGCCAACGGCAACTACAACACCAACGTCTACGTCGACAGGGTCGTCTCGCGCGGCGGCGGCCGCGGCGTGTTCTGCGTGTCGCAGTCCGGCGCCGCCGTCATCAAGGAGGTCGACCTGGCCAGCAACGGGAACAACGCCATCCTCATCGAGAACTGCTACAACGTCTCGATCCGCGGCGGCATCGTCAACGGCGGCGGCGAGGTCCGCCTTGCCGCCCGCTCCGAGTTCCCCAACAACCGGGACATCTGGATCACCCTGACGGTCAACAACAACTCGGTTCGCGAGTCGCCGTGCGGCGAGAACACCAACTGGACGCTGTCGGGTAATGCCGCGAAGAACATCTGCTAGCGGATGCCGTTTATAAGCAAGGGAAGGTGATTGGTTGCTTCGGTGTCACATGGAGCGCAGGTGTGAATCTCATGTAGTATAGTATAGTAGGTAGGTACCCTAGACTGTGAAGACCTTTAGTGCTAGGTAGTGTATCCTCTAAAAAGGGATCTCTGTCAAACATCATACTACTAACTTATGTCCCTCCATCCGCATCCAGCAATTCAACCTCGGCCTTCTCTGCGAAACCAAGGGCAAAGAACGGCCAGTGACCAGCAGGATGCGTTGGGCTCTACCGGTGTCGTGGTTTCAACACCACTGCTTTTCCCCGAATTGTCGCGCGAAGCTCCAGGCCCAGAGGAGGAGTCCATGGACGTCCGTCTTCCTTGGCCCTCCTCCGCCAACGCTGCACCGTCGCCATCGTCGTCACTAGTCGTGCGCCACTTGGCGAAGAGGTAGGCGAGGAACGTGATGCCAGTCATGAATATTGAGAGCACAATGTAGATGATGGCGTAGCCCGAGAACACAGGCTTTGTAGCCTCCCCATTGACCGGTTGGAACGAGGTGTCGACCCACCAGTTCTCGAACTTGAAGGCAGGGACGGCGAAGATAGTCTGCCAGCGATGGGAGACTGTATTAGCCCGTGCTACTCATACGTCGCATGATGGGGTTATTCAACTTACTGCCACGCTTGTGATGGGGAGGTAGAGGGTTGCAATGGTAGCCAGAAAAGTGCTCTGTTTGGCCTGGACCCTGCTCGCGGCAGCTTCACGTCTGGAAATCTCCGACATGAACTGGAGGCGAATTCATCCATAAGGTACCTTGGTCAGCTTACATGGCCACCATTACTTCGGCAATGGCATCATCTGGCAGTTCTGAATACTCACCATTTGCCCCGCCTGCGTTTGCCTCTCTGCAGCCACACGGCATTGAGTCATCAGGCTGTTTAGCTCCATGTCAATATCCCTGAATCTGTTTATGAATCTGTCGGCGGCCTCCAAGTGATCATCCTGGAGATCGTTGTCCTCCAGGGGAAAAGAAGATGCGGCGTCTTTGTTTGCCCATTGCTCCCATCGTTTTTGCTCTTCTCGCCTTTTCTCCGTCCGGTCTTTCTTCTTGGCAAACCTGTCCGCCATCTCCTTTAGCTGAGCTCTAGTGACCTGCACCTCCTCTTCAACCTCCTTGGCCTTCAGGATACTGTCGAGCAGGTCTTCGTATCTCTGCCACACCGCACGCCTGGATTCCTTCAAGTCGAGTAGTATGCCGTTTCTGCTCGGATCACACAGCTCGTGGACGATGCGCACTAGATCCTGCATTCGGTTGAGCTGGAGTTCGGCGAAGACGCCGACCATGAGCCACGGATGGGAGGCCACTTCAGGAGAGGTCTCGAGAAGTTCGGTGACCCGCATCGTCTGCCTGAAGTCGCAACCGTATAGCACTGCCAATGAGAGCTTGGAATCCTCGAAGTAGGTGCATGAGAGCGAGAAGCTTCCCGGCCGGTGGTATGCGGCGGCCACGGCAGTGTGCAGCTCCAAGTCCTGATTTGTGCCATTGTCCCTGTATCGTAGCAGCGTAGAGTGGCACTTGTTGTACGTCGTCGAGTGAATGATTGCCCTATGCAATTTAAACGTTTTCGTGATCGTATCCCACCAATCCCTAGAGAAGGGGAGATGGTAGTGTGGGAATGGCACCGGGGGGCAGCCGGGTATTTGTAAGGGTTCGATGCGAGGCGACAGTCTGAAGAACGTCAGTATCTAGCCTCCGTCGATGGGTGCGAGACATAAGCTGACACTCTAGTGCAAATGGGAACTTACAGGACATGGAATCCAGAGACTTGGTCGCTGCTGGTGAAGATGTTGCTCTCCTTTGTTCAAGACCGTATTAGCAGGATAAACAAGAGTCGAAGTCAAAGAGCAGCAGAAGGGAAAGGAGAGAAGGAGAGCTTGGGGCAAATAGAATAGAAAAGCCAGTAAGACAGAAGGCAAAAAGGCGAAAACGGAAAGAAGCAGAAAATGGATTAGGGAGAAAAGAGATAAGGAAAGAAGGTAGCAGAGGAAGAGACAGAAAGCGAGAAGGTGAAGTGAAGGTGAAAGTGAAGGTGAAGGCGAAAGTGAAGGTGAAGGAGAAGGAACTCAGGTCACATACCTGGAGCCACTTTTTCCAATCACTTTCTGTCTCGAGCAGAATGGGTTCGAATTTGCTGCCCTGCAAGTACGAGTCAGACAAGAAAACCTTTCACATCACAAGTGTCAAACGCAACAACACGAGACCAAGGTGTGACTCACTTGGTACCTCAGAACTGTCAGAGGGGCGGAGTCCTCTGTTCGCGATTTGCCGTACACGAAATCGTCCAGATAGTCAGCATTGATGAAAGGGTCAATGACTGGTGCCCAATCCATGGTGACGAGGACAATGCAGATGATTTGTACTGTCTGGAATCGAGTGATTTGCCGGAACGCGCGGGCTGGGCAGCCAGCCCAGCCACCGGGGTGGCCCAAACAGCCCCCTTTATACCATGACATGATTACACCACAGCGAAGTTCGAGGCTGCAAGCGCTGCGAGCCTCCTCTCTGGGTTCACTCGAGCCGCCGCCCATGAGCTGAAGGAAGTGTTTGAGGTCGGAACATGCGTATCGACGGGGAAGCCGATCTGCGATAAGCAAGCAGGCTCTGTACGGCCGAGCTGATCGTCAACGTGGTGGCACCATTTGTGAGACGCCTGTGGCTCGTACCGGCTAAAGACGAATAGGCGAGGAGGTCTCACAACAGATGGTCTGGCTGTCCCGAGGCCAATGACCGCTGCAGCCGTCCAGCACCCTTAGGCAATATTTCTGCGATACAACCCGTCCGGGTCTCCGCGGAGCGGAACCTCTGGCGCCAGGCGCAATGGGCGGGAGAATCAGTTGCGTCGATCTGGTCCAACTCAGAAGAATTAGGTAGCCAGAGGGAATGAACAGCCAAAAGCAGCACTTCTCGTAAAATCAGTCATGCGTTTGTGTCTGAAGCGCACCAGGCTAGTGGCAAGCAAAGACGTGTTTGGTAAGCACTGGAGGGAGAATCAGACTTAACAGCGGTCCAGTCACGCCTCCTGGCATTGGATACTGACGCCCCACATCCGTGTCTGATGTGGTGCTGCTGACGGACTGCCGTCGGCCATAAAGGGAGGGCCGCTTCCGTCTCTGTTGCAGCTCGGCGGCAACCTGAGGACGGCAGAGCCTAGGACTGCCACACCAAGCGACCGTTCACGTAATACAACGTCAGCCACCAATGTGGCACTGGAAGGCCCTCGCAAAATCGAACCATCCTGCTTCCCCGCCCCCCTTTTTCCTCTGAAATTCCCTCATCATCCGGCTCCTGCGTTCTCTGACGTGCTAAGAGCCTCATGCGCATGTCCGCCTCCCTGTCAACCCACCTGAAGTTGCGATGCATCTTGTTTGATGCTTGACGACCACGAACCATCATTGACATAGATATCTGGAGTAGCTTTTGCTGTCCCCCTTTCTGTCCAAACACGACTGCTTCGACAATGGAGACCGAAAGACCGACCGGACGCCGCGAATTCTATTTCCAAACAAACGGCGCAGACCCAGATCTACTCAAGGGTACACTGGATAGCAAGTTCGGGGAAGGGAATTATGAACTGAAGGCATGACTCCCCAGACCATAACTCTGGGCAACGACTACTGACCGGCAGGTGCTACGAGCAGATGGTAGATGCCGATCGTTGGATGTTGAGATCTCGGAAGAGCCTGAGCAAGGCACGAATTTTCCGCTTGCTCGCTCCCCTTTGCAAACGCGACATCATGTATCAAACTACTAACTGATTTTCAATTGCTGCAGGCCGAAGAGAATGACCTTCGACAGCAGATCCGCACCGGTTCCGCGAGAAAGCTCCACAAGAGAAAGGTCCCTAGTCTCGAGGCTACTGCTCAAGCGATGACTGCCTTCCGACGGGGAGCAAAAATGGCCGAGCAACGGTCTCCTCAGACAGCGGTGGTCTCATCGGGATGGCAACGATTTTTCAGCAAATTCGGGTTACGGAATGCGGAATCCCCAGGCGAGAATGTACACTAGCTGGGGAGCGAGCCACGAACCCAGACGCGGGCTGAGTGAAACGCGACGATTTCCGGAGGGGTAACACTGTACTGGCACCATTGCCTGTGGTACCAGGTGTAGGGATCCTTGACACAGATTGCCGGAGAGGGAAGGCATCATGTACCTTAATTTGTTTGCAGCAGAAGGTTCCAAGGAGCATTTACGGCGTTGGGAGCATAGCCTACTTGTAATTAACTACACCGGTGGTTAATCGGGAATCTGAAGTGATGGTATTGAGCGTACGATCTATAGCACCTTACAGTATAAGCGCAGTATCTAAGGTAATGTAGGTAGAGTCAACGATGCAATGTCAGCTAAAACACCCCGCTTATCTCTAGGTTAGGCATCTGGCGATGGCAGAGACATGCCTACCATGTGCCTTCATGTTTAATTCGCAAAAGTCTATACTAAGTTTCGCTTCAAGCCCTTCCTTCGGTGAGGAACCTGTCTCGCATGATACACCATACGGCAAATAATCTATCTCAGACCGCCATACAGGGAGGGGCCGTCAAATAACATGATGTTATACGGATGCGTAAGTCTATTAGCTCCGAGCGCAGACTGTAAATTGCAGGCTGGTATCTGTTCCGGCCAAAACAGGTTTAAGCCAGTATGTTTAGAGCGAACATGTCGAAAATCACCAACAACCCCGTTCGCATCAACATAGTGTTGGCTAGGCTATAGTCTTATAGAGTAAGACTAAGCCTTGCTGGCACGGTCATTCTGTTCTAAGCAAAACAGTCTGTTTCGTTAAACAGGCTTAAGGATCCGGTTGATAGAGCTGAACAGAGCCTACCCGGCAAGGCTTGCTCCTGCCTAGTAAGGCTCGCTCCTGCCGTCCTCGCCGGAATATGGACGGCGACTTCCACCCTCACGCGTATACCTTCTCCCTATAACAGTATAATGTAGTTGTAAATGCCGTAGACTTGTAATCGTCATTCTACTTATAGTACCAAGGTCCCCGGTTTAATTCTCGCTTCCATACTTCCTTTTAGTTAATTGTGACAACTCGGATCAACTAAGAGAAACGAGATGCGGAAGCGAGGACCTCTCCTTTTGCACTTCCGACCTACCTAGTAAGCTTTGCGTGCGTGGTTATAGTAGGTTCGTTACCTAGTAGGCCAGGTGCTACCTGGAAGGTGTTCATAATGTTCAGCTCTAACAGGCTTAAGGTAGTGGTAACAGAGTGTTAGCTAAATATGATTGATAATGCTATATTAGTCTGTTCGAACGAACATAGATTTCTGGACTTTTCTGTCTGTTAGACTGGCTATTATGTGCTGCGTAAGGGGCTGTTTTCACCATGTTCCGGCCCACATAATGTTTTCACCCTATCACTAACAGACTTACCCTTCCTCTGTTGTATGACCGGACCCTCCCAGTATGGCGGTGCTAGCTAATATTACACTCCCTCAAGCATTTCCTCTACAGCCAAGAACCACCATACAACATCCGTTTCCGGAACAGGCAGCCGCCTCGGTGACCCCGTTCTCCTTTCAAAGGAGGACCGGTGGTGGAAGGCAAGCTATCAGACGGTAAAACCATCACCAGTATCTAGCTACCGTACTCTCCAATTCCGATGCCTAGGCCCTGAAGGGACTCAATATGTCCCGATAACAAAGCAAGTGGTCAGAGCACAGCGGAGCCAAAGTCAGAGTACCTTAAGGTACATACCTCACGTAGGTGCCTGAGGTATTGACTATATGGTCCCTTCTAGCAGTGAATACCCGAGGTACAAGCCAGCTAAGGCATTAACGCTCCATAAAAGCGTCAGGCAGAAGTGAAGTGGCCATCGCCTATGCGCAGTATAAGGAAAGTGACCTGTCACCGGGATGGAAGTGCCAATGTGTCATTTGTATAGCACATTGATACATGAGACGCAAATCCGCCCTGCTAGGCCTACGTCACTGGCTCTGCCCTACCTTCAGGTCGCTCCCTTCTTCCCAAATCCTCCACGTGATTCGCAGGCTTTTCCTCGCCTATTTGTGACTCTGACGTTTTGCTGTCACGTGTCAGCCCTTGACGCTAATGATGAACAAACAAGCAAACAAACAAACAAAAGCTGCCACATGCCAGTGCGCTTAAGGTCCCTTACCTTTTTAATAAGCCCCTCATTCTACAACGGGTGCTCTTTCGACACTCAACGAACCCAAATCAATTGGTGACTATTGCCTTACTAAGAGTAACTAATTACTAGAAATCTTGCAACTGTCGGGCTCTGGTGCCCATCACCTCACGCTAACGCAGCCATCTGTAAGATGAAGACCGAACGAGCAACCCAAAGCGGCCACGAATTATGTCTCCAAACACCGTGCGCAGATCCCATACAACTTTTGGAAGCCCTGGATGAGGTCTTCGGAGAGGGAAAATACCAACTGAGGGCACGTCACCCTCCTCGATCACCATACTGTTGAGAAACAATGGCTAACCACACGCCTGCAAACGAACAGGTCATGGAGAAGGCGGATGATCTTTGGCGGCTGATATACACAGGGCCGAAACTGAGCCCTGTAAGAATCACATCTTTCCCTCCCGCCCCGACTGTTGGCTCCCATACTGCGGGATCTATTGAACAGAACTCTGACGCTTTTCAATTCTGTAGACCTGCATATATCAGATCCAGCAGCGTGCGAGATGGAAAAGGCCTCTTACCAGTTTGCAAAACACCTCAAGGACGGGTTTAGAGGCTGCGACGAGAACGTGCAAAGCATCAGTCAGATCTGTCACGCCTGCCCCTTACACGCTCTGTCTGAATATGGAAATGGATGAGCGAACAATAAGCGATGACCAGGAAGAAACCGATCAGCAAGAGGGAGGGGATGAGCAGGATGGAGGCGATGGTGATGGTCAGGAGACAGCTCCACTTCTGGCGACAGTGTGCCGGCATAACCTTAGGCGAAAGTCTCGGAGAAAGTTTTGGAGGAAGTTATGACGTTAACTTGGGCCGTTGTGTGACGGTATGTCAACATTGTGCGAGTCCAAAACTACCTAGTACCTCCTACTACCAGTGCACTGAGTGTACGTGAGCACCTCACCCTCCTGGCACAGCGTGCGATTTCTGGTTCTCCGCGCCGGATAATTGAAGCCTCCCAGGCATTGCTGCAGGGCTGGCCTTATCCATGCGCGAAGGAAGGCTCTAACACTTTCCTCTGTTTCGCATCTAACTAGTATGCTTCTAATATAAAAGCGACCCCCAGCAACCTAACAAGTCTACCGGACGAACATAACTGGGGTGGAACACTTAACTGGCGGCGATGCTCGCGGCATGTGTTGCGCCGGGGACGATGGGGAAGCAGATGACTGCTGGTCCACCGCCTGGGCATAGGGAGGCGCTTCTGCGTTTGGAAGGGAATGTGGGCATGGCGGAGGACGCGAATGCGAAACTTCATGGGACGCTGAAGTCCTAGAGCGGGTGGATGTTCTTCGGGCCCCTGGATCATCATGCCACGCAGTCGAGGTCGACCTTGGAGGATGAGCTAAATGGTATCCTGGCGAGTGCTGGGAGTTACATGGCTGGGGCGACGTGTGGCTTGGTGGATGGACCATAGCCTAGGGGTTACAGTCGGCTCTGATCAGAAATCAATGAATGGCAGTCAGGGATAGCCAGGAAAGTGTTTGCTTAAGGAATGTAGGCTCGATGAGAGGCGTAGTATAGGTCATCATCCCATTATTATCGTAAGACTAACTGAACTTGTGAACCTAATATCCTATCTAGAAACCAGGAAACCCGGAAGCAAACCCTGGTCCCTGGGCCACTCGTCTTGAGTCGGAAAACAAGCCCAACCGACCTCTAGACTCTGATCGCTCCCTATAAACCCTCATCAAGCACAAAGTCACCTCTATTCATTAGACCGCCTTCCCGAAATCCGCTCAGATGATACAGCAGTCGCAAGGCAACGGGCACGGCACGCAGAAGCAGAAACGCCCTGGGCACACACTGCTGCGGCCACCGCGCAGGCCCAGCGAAGTGTCAGTCTCGGGATGAGGCTTCTGCGGGTCTGTCGTCATGTTAGCCTTCCGTACCTAGTTGATATCTCATGTTTGAATCGCGTTTGTCTCCATGCGGTCCGCTGTGAATGTCGGCAACTTCTTCGACAAGCAGAACAGCTTGACGGGGAAATAGTGAGGGATACGTACTCATCGGCTGGGGTACCCTGGGCTGGGACGTTTGCAGGTTCTTGTTCTGGCTGAGGTTGTGCAGCTGCACAGGTGAGGGCTGCTGGATGCTTGTTTGTGTGGAGTCCATGTTGAAGTCGGGCGCAGCTGATTGAACTTCGTTGGCTACTGTGAGTAGGCGCTGGGAGATGATTGAGGTTGAAGTCTGCTGGTGCGGTGGTAGAGATGGAGATATCTGAGATGTGGGAGAAATGGTTCCCCTTTGTTCAGGCACCGCGCAGGTGATGGTGTCGGAGGTTCTGACGTGTCGAGGTTTCAATGGCAGTGCGTGATGACGTCACCAGCTGACTGCAGGTTTAAGGTTAAAAGAGGCTGAAATCTTGGCAGAGCTTGGCAGCCATGCAGGGCTCATCCTACCCTAACCCCTGCGTTACCCTGCCTTCCCTGACCAGAATAATTGATATAGGAAAATCAACCCACCAACACACAACTTGAAGTCATCACAACTAGGTCAAACACATGCAATTTGAACACTAGCTATACGAATGGAAACACAGCTGTCTCACCCTTGAACCACAGAAGAGTCATCGGAGCTCCGGAGGGATCGATGGTCATTGAAGAAGTCCCGGCCTTGCTCAACTTTTTGTTACCATAGACTGTCTTTATCGCCTCAAGCGCGGACAGGTGCTCTCTTCTCCGACATCCTGACATGTATTAACCAATTCAATCTCAGAGACACCTTGCATAAACCGCAATTGTCGATTATTATCAGTCCGGAAACAGTTACGGGGATTTGCGTCACGACAGGCCGGTGAGATCTACGAGCTCCACGAGGTTCGGATATATGGTCAGATTCTAAGGTTAACTCTTCGTCGTCTAGCACGATGGAATGGTGACCACTCGGAAATCCTTGTGCCAGCCGCCGGGCATTTTACTCGCTTCGGACTACTCTATGCCCGGAGGGATCTTCGTCGTGTACAAGTCCAATACTAGCTCAAACACCGTTGGAGGACGTGCTTACGGTTGAGTTTCTTGGATACAACAAATGGGTTTCAAACTGGGAAAAGAGCGAGCTCATATACGGGACTCCGCTTCCACTAGGAACTACTATATCTAAGCTCGAGCTTTGAGGCGCGGTTGCTTCTGGCACCTGCAGCCGACATCTAAACCAACGGCAGCGTTCCATTACACTTCCCGACAACCAGCTTCGCCCCCTGTCCCACCAGCCCATCAAAATACGCCAGTAGCCTCTCGACAGGGAGCATGTCCATGACGCCCAAGCTAGGGTTGCTCGACTTGAGCACCTTCCCTCCCCACAGCACCCTCACATAATACCCACCACCCCCTCCTTTCTTCGTCCTTCTGTTGTACAACTCAAACACGACCTCGCTCCCCATCCCCGGCCAGACCATCTCATCCAGCTGCAACACCGCAAGTAGCCTGCTCACCGACCCGTCGTGCGCAACATTGTGGAAATACACAACGCCCCCGTTCCCGCCGGGAGGCGCCATAGCGCCCCGCAGATGCGCCGCCAGCTCAGCGATCCACACGCCGTACGACGCGGCCGCGGCGGCGAGCGCCTCGCGCGACCCGCGGTACATGTGGTCGTACTCCCAGTGGCCGAAGCGGTAGACCTCGTCGGCGAGAGCCTGCGTGACGCAACCCTCCGCGCTGCTGCTACTGCAGGGCAGCGGTTTCTGGTGGCACTGGCGCGCCGAGAGGTTGTCGTAGTAGTGGTCCAGGCTGGCGTGGAAGCCCGCGTCCGAGGGCGGCACGCCCGAGATGGCGTCCAGCTTGGCGTAGAGCGGCGCGGCGGCGTCGAGGTGGGCCGCCCAGCGCGGGTTGGTGTTGCGATTGGTGAGGCGGCCGGAGAGGTCCCGCGCGGCGGGGCACGAGTACTTGGGCTCGAGCGAGTCGATGGCGTCGGCTTGGACGAGCAGCGGCACGCGCTCGGTCGTGCGCCACATGCCGTGCACGAGCATGCCGGCCACCTGCGAGGTGATGCTGTTGTGCGTGACGCGGTAGGCGACCTTGCGCCGCCACTTGTGGTCACTACGGCCCGGGAGGAAGTTCAGGAGGTCGTGGTAGACGGAATAGAGGTCTTCGCCGTGCTGCCACGAATCCGAGAGTCCGTCGGACGTGATCTGCGGGAATTGGCACGATCCGATCCAGCCCGAGGGGATGAACGGGTTGATCTCGGAGGTGTAGCCCTGCCAGTAAGCCGGCGTGGCTTTTTGTTTTCTCCCAAATGGTTCTCCGTGGTAGTAGAGGCCTTCATCGTCGCAGTTCCATTGGTATGGCTCCACGGGGAAGGCGTTGGAGGAGTATGGCGTCCGCTTGTGATGACGGTGAATCTGGATACAGAAAGGTCATCCATAAGGAGCAGATACGCAGTGCTTTGCGGTCGTAAAGACGTACCACCTCCACAAAGACGAGCTCATACTCTTTCGGAGCTTTGACATACTCCCTCTTCCGGACATGCGGCATGTTGCACCAGTTATACACGCCATACAGCGCATCTGGGGTATCGGACGAGTTATATACGAACCCGTAGACCCCATGTCCATTGACCACAGCAGTGAGGTTGTTCAGGTGCGTCTGCTTCGAGGGGTGCCATGACAGGTCCACCGTCTCGTTGCCGCCATTCGTATGTTGTGAGAGCCCAAGCCCGGCAAAGGTTAGGAGGACGTGGCCGGCGTGCAGCAGCATCTCGCTCTGGTCTTCTCTGACCGAAATAAACGAAAGCGAGACGGCTATCAAGATCACGATGCCAGTCGTATACAGGACGACCGGGCTGTGGAACGGGAAGACTCGTCGCGAAGGTTGAAGGGCACTGTTATTCATCGGGAGATCGCCCCTTACCGGTTCTTATGGCGCCAGACACCTGCTCACTTGCATGGGTCGTCTACCGAGCGCTCAAAGACTTCCCTGACGAAGCACATGGCGGGGTAGAATTATGGTTCGTGTGCCGGGATGAAGAGCGGATGGAGTTCCAAAAGCGCGATCGTGGGATCTGCAAGCCGATCGCCTAGCAAACACGTGGTTCGGGAAACGTGCCGACTGGTCGGTTCTGCTCCCGTGTCGCACGTGGTATCTCAAGTTCTCAATCTCAACCGACGCAGCCCTAGCTGTCTGCTTCATCTTGGCTCAGGCTCGGGCAAGTGATTGAAATCGCAGAGTTAACTCTTTCGGTAGTTATCGGATATCCCACTATAGTCTATACCCACCTGACGGCGGCGACCGTTTGAAGAAATGAGGCGACACTCTTTAGTCCTGGCCACAGCTATATGTGTGTTCCTCAAGGATTCGTCGGTTCTGTTGACTGAAGTCACTCTGGAGAGCCCTTTGCTACTTACCTACCTGGTGTGTTAGGCGATCAACTTGCTGAGGTCATTGTTGCGCTGACCCGTGGCTCTTGCCTCCTGCTGCAATACACTCTAACCATAGTAGTTGGTAAGAGTCAACTCCCATGAGTCTTACATGCCCGAAAGAATACATCCAGAATTCCCAATGTCGGCAAGAGATTACCCTCTCTCCAGCATCCCATGTCCAATGTCTCGCATACCCACTTGGCGACTTTGAATGCTAGCAATTCTCAACCTCAGTACTTAGAGCTGATATTGCATGGCATGTCAAGAGTGCAAAGCCGGTACAATATTGGAAGCGGTTGTCTACCATGTAGCAAAGGCTAGCCTAACGCCCGCAAGGACCTAAGGCACCCCCCCACCCCCCCCGCTGGGGACTGTTGTATGGCGAATACGACATCGACAGGAGACCAAGCGACAACAACACCGAGATACCCAGGCATGACACAGTGATAAGGCATTTGACTCGACCGGGCGAGTGCTGCAATCCGGAACAAGGCCACGATCACTTGGTCCCGACCTATTAATATGCACGGGTGCGACCCCTTGACTGCCGCTGTCTCCGGGAATTTACCCCAGACCCCACAAACGCTCTATGGCCTCACCTAGCCAATGCCATTAACCCGCCGTTTATTAAGCGGTTATTAAAGTTACTTGCCGAGAAGGCATTCGAAGCTTCCGGGTCTTGGAAGAAGCGTTCCATTAATATGTCCCGCATGCTACTCTCGGTACTTGGATGCCGCCGACCATGTGCGCTGCCGTGGTACCCTCTCCAGATAAAGTCGGCGGACGCTGCCAAGAAGGAGATGGTTAGACTATGAAAAACCCGGCCCGTCTAGGGAAGTCCTCTATTGTTCGCTATCAAGAATTCCTCGTGTTGTCCCATCCTGACTCCTAAGTCCGTTGTTTTCGGTTCGAAGATGCACTGGAGCTCTGTTCTGCTTGCGGCCGCGGCCCTGGCGCCCGGCGCCAACTCAGCGGCCACGCTGCGCTTCTCATGCGCTCAGCTGGTTGTGGACCGCCTAGACCCGTGAGTACCTCATCTGATTCAGCTCAGGAAATGCATGTTCGCTGAGACTGACCGGCGCAGTCTCGTCAACCCCGGGATGGCACCCTCTCCGCATCTCCACCAGATCGTCGGCGGCAACGCCTTCAACGTCACCATGGACCACCAGGCGCACGACATAGCCTCGACAGCGACGTGCACCAGCTGCATGCCCACCGAGGACTTCTCCAACTACTGGACGGCCGTGCTCTTCTTCCGGGCCCGCAACGGCACCTACAAGCGCGTCAACACCATGGGCAACGGCCTGGGCTACACGGGCTCCAACGGCGGCCAGACGGTCTACTACCTCTCCAACGGCAAGGTCACCGCCTTCCGGCCGGGCTTCCGCATGATCGTCGGGAACCCGGCCTACCGCACCGAGGCCGAGGCGCGCAGGAACCCGGCGCTGCAGTTCACCTGTCTCGACAGCCCCATGACGCGCACGGGGTACCGCTACTCGTTCCCGACGACGCCGTGCAAGGCCGGCATCATGGTGACGGTGCGCTTCCCGACGTGCTGGGACGGTAAGAACGTCGACAGCCCGGACCACAGCTCGCACGTGGCCTACCGCCAGGGCAACAGCTGCCCGTCGACGCACCCGGTCGCCATCCCGGAGGTCTTCTACGAGACCTACTGGGACACGCGCCCGTTCAACGACAAGTCGCTGTGGCCCGAGGACGGGTCGCAGCCGTTCGTGTGGTCGTTCGGCGACAGGACGGGCTACGGCAACCACGGCGACTACGTCTTTGGCTGGAAGGGCGACGCCCTGCAGCGCGCCATGGACGCCAACTGCCAGAGCGATCTGTTCAGTGACCGCGTCAACTGCCCGACCCTCAAGCTCCAGTCGATCCAGGACACCAACCGGTGCACCATCCAGCGCCGCGTCCGGGAGGATATCGATGGTTGGCTGAAGGAGCTGCCTGGTGCCTCGATGCAGGGTATGTTGTGAGGAACCGGGTCCAATGTCGCGTTGGAAATGCGCTGTCCAGGGGGGAATCGGGAGGCGGATGGTCAAGAACTAGTACCACTAGTAGTAGGTAGTAGGTAAGGGGTAGACTCGAGCTGTGCTACCGGCCTCTGCAGCTCATGTTCATAGTACTACCTTTCGTATACTTATCATGCTAAAAAGAGATTCATCTGCCGTCTAGTCAAGTGAATGTTAACAGTTGTCGTCTCCGAGATCCACCTTACGTTTCGCAGATCGGCTAATCCTTGCTTTGCTGGGAATGACATCACCAACCATCTAGACCCCGGCCGACTAAACCGTATTAGAACCACGAGTAATATTTGTTCAAGCGTCGAACTATTGCATTCCCCCCATAATACGTCCTAATCCGACAAACACTCCAAGACAACCAAACATGATTCCCTCATCCAGCACAGGGAGAGCTGCGGCATGGTGGAGAACCGGAACTGCTCAGCTCTCAACATCGGCCGTCCCCAGATCCATCTCCCTGCAATGCTCAGCACGTAGTTTCTCCACTACGCCCGCGTTTTCAACTAAGCAAAACTCGAGGACAGAGGTGAGACTTGCATTGAAAGAGGGGTTTATTATACCAACGAGATGCTCATCCTCCACTTAGCACTCACAAACCCAATCTGGGGGAGCACCCACAGCCACAGTCAATAATACACAACAAAGCGGCACTTCCCAAAAGGCTACCACGCAAACAACAACAGAAACGGCCCATAGCAAGACCCAGGCGGAATTAGATGAGGATCTGAAGCAAAAGATGGAGGGCATCGCGGGAGACGGCGGCGCGTCAGGCGTGGAGTATGAGAATGGGCAGCCCGTGGCCATGAAGAGGTCGGTGAGGGAGAACATGTTTCGCTATATCTAAGAATTTTGTTCTATCATTTACCGGTACTCAGCTATCTTCATCTGTTCGTGTGTCTATCTGGGGAAGCTTCTATCATAGACTCGAAGTGAAAAGAGAACATGGTATTGTGGCCGCCGGCAATGCCTCACCTCCTGCCTGGGTATCTAAGACAATGCTTTGAGGCGGTATTTCCAACAAACAAACCCTAGAAAAGTAATACATTGCATCTAGAAAGTTTCCAAACTTTTCTCTGTTTTCACAAAGCAAGAACCCCCAAAAGGCCAATCGCAAGAGAGGCACCCACGGCCCGAACCACATTCGGGTGGGTTCCGGCACCGGCGTTGGGCTTGCATTCACCGGTGGCGCTGGCGGTCTTCTCCGCGCCGCCGGTGATAGCCACCTGGTAGCGATGGTAGTCGGCGCCGGAAAGGACCGTGCTGAACGAGGTGGCAGTCGCTCGATCATCGATCTCGATGGCACCAGTAGCGAAGCAGCTGGCTGCGGTTGTCCCTTGGAGGCTGCAGGATTCGAAGACACTCACTGCCGCCTCATGGCCTCCCGCGCTAGTCTCTGTGACGTAGCTGACCATGTATACGGAGGGGCCTGCCGTGACGGTGAGAGCCTAGATTGATTCGTTAACCTTTTTTCTTTTTTTTTTTTTTTTCTCTTTTTCTCTTCTTTTTCCTTTTTATTTTCATGCCGTTTCCGTCTTTCTCCACGACAATCGAAATATACGCACCGATACATCGGGGCCACATATGGTAGGCTTGATATCGTCATCTCTGGCACTTGTGCATCGGAGGGCATAGACGGTCTGGTCCTTGCAGGCGCTTATAATGGAAGCGGCGTAGAGACCCTGGCCATTGATCCCATCTTCAATGAACATGTTGACGCTGTTGTTCTGCGCGACAACCAAGCTTGCCAGAGTGGCAGCTGCGGCGAGGGTGGTGGTGAAAGAACGCATGATCGCCAAGTACTAGGAGCTAAAGGAACGAAAGCGGCTGTGTCTGAAGTCTGAAAAGCAGTGGATTGGCATCAAGCGCAGCTCTCTTGAGGTGAGAAGACCAGGGTTCTTATAAAATCACCCTATTGATTCCCATCTTTCCAATGCAACCCGAAGTTCACTAATAATAACGGCTCATGTGCCGTCCTGTGTTTGGCAGACTCGGATTAGTTAGGTCGCATTCGAAAATCGGATCATAATCCTGGCGCATGGTGCATTGCCGCTAGGCTGCCGCCGCCGAGCCTCCTTGGTTGAGGCTTTGACCCTTGGCAAGATCCCTGACATCGGGAAGCCGGCACAAAAAGTTCTGCAGAGCGGATAAACGTAGTTTTTCCGTCCTTTTCTTTTCTTTTTTCTTTTTGCCTTTTAGCGCACGCCTAGAAGACCTTGGGCTGGGGTTATATATCATAGTTACCGAGATACCTACCTTCGAAATCATTGACTCCCATCAGTTCACAGGAAGACGAAGGCTTTGGTTGGTATCCGTATACTAACTAATGGTTTATGTATGCATATCATGTCCCCACTTGTTGCCCGGGTTCGTGTAGACCACGCTTGAGGTGTTCAGTAGCAGAGGCTATGAAAGGCCAACGTTTCCTCGCAGAGATAGCCACGATTGATTCACGGCTTGGCTACGGGCTTAATAGGTATAGTATATCAAATCGGGAGGTATCCTAGTACTGTTGGTGCCGTTGATTCCCACTACATAGATGCAGCTGGGTCTAATGCGACGCCTGAGGTGTATCCCTCAGCTTGGGATATATCGACATTTAGGCGGAACGCCCGTCGCCCCAAAAAGTCAACGGTAGCCACCCAGGCACTGATGGAAAAGTTCGAGATAATCAGCGGGTTGATCCCGTAACCTTGACCGTTCCAAGACGGCACAAGAATTGAGAGATGGCGATACCTCCACATCCGCTTACGGAACTCGCTGTCTGTCAAAAGATTCACCACCCAATCGTCATCCAAGCGCTCGGAGCCCTCGATGGAGATGTCACTCCAGGTCAAGACGGAACAGCCCATCTCAAGTTTATCCCACCAGAACGTACTAGAGGAAGCGATCGCAGGCATCCTGTGTTGCATATCGCCGTCCTTTAGCTTGTGTGTCCGCCCCCAGAGGATGAAAAATCCGTTTTCGGGGGCGCCGCAGCAGCTCAAGTACGCGATGCCAAAAGTGTGAAGCCGCTGCTCTCGACCTTCAATATCTGGCGGGAAGGACGTGACTTGGAAATGATTCAGAACCTGAAGGCGCCACGTAATGATCCCGCACAGCGGGCAGGGATGCGAAAAGGCGGAAAGAGTGTCGGAGAGTACCCATTGTCCATACACTGAGTGGCGGGGTCAGGCCGTCCGTCACATAGGAATCATTAGTCGAGTCCTGGAGGAAGATTGTGAATGGCTGAGGTTCCTGCCTGTAGCTGCCAGCGGGCTTGGATAACGATTAGCATAGACTCTCTGCCGGGGACTGCTGCCGCCGGAAAGAAGTTGCATACCTTTGAATGGATGTTGCTCTGTCTCAATATCCTTCAAAGTTTCAGCTCGGTTGCAGTAGACGGCTCCGACTTGCAAGTCATTGCCGGCAGCATGGGCTGGTGGAATTAGCCAAGCAACTGGACCGATTTTTCGGAACGATCGATACCCCGATTCCATAGACCCGTTGAGAGGCTCCAGGAGGATGGCTGGTCTGATGAGAAAGTCGGATGCGTGGTGGCAATCTAGCACGGCCAGCCACGTCCGATTCAGTTCTGTCGAGTTGTCCGGCGGTCTGAGCGAGGACACCTTCAACACTTTGGCTAGAAGGGGAACGCGGAGCTCGAGTCCAGCATTTGTCAGTGTTATGTACCTCGATGTGAGTGACGCTCCCCCTGGAGAGGTGGGCCGCGGCCGGCCCGACAGCACGCGTACAAATTGAGACCTAGGAGGAACTCTCGCCAGGAGCCCCTCCCAGCCATCTCTAGTGCCAAGAGTCCAATGGGCCAGAATTGACTGATCGTCTATGTTCTTTATGATCTCTTGCTGGAGGCGAGTGTAAGCCTTTGTGCCCTCGCCATACAGGAGCGGCATGTTCACGTCGAATAGTCGCATGAGACAATATGCCATGTCCTCCTTTCTTGTGGTTTGCCTGTGGCGAATCCAAGACATGCGCGCGGCGACGCCGATCTCAGCTAACAGACGGTTCACATCGACACCGGGGTCCCTGTGTAAAATTGCCTCGTCGATTCTGGTGAGGTTCGACAGATGGGCTGCAAGATCCCTCCGGTTTCCAATTATCTCCCAGTACTTGTTGCAGAAGACAACCTCATCCGGTGCTATGAGTTCCTGGAGGGTCCATCCCCGCGTGAGCCACCGGCTGCTCTGCGGGGCTGCCTCATCTCCGTCGGTGACGTCCGACAGATAGGCGTAGCAGATTTGACAAGCACGATACCATTCGAACATGGAGTTGATTGCCTCCGAGAGCTCCGCGCTGCTTGATTTGTTGATGCAGCAAGTGTCGATCTAGACGTAACGGTAACCTTGGCTCCGAGCTTTGGCACATGCGCCCATCACTTTCGCGTCGCCAGCCTTGCCGGTGTTCAGAGGTCCCGGCGGTTTGCCCCTGAGGTCCTCGAAGAGCGTTTCATCCTCGTCCCATGTATGAGAAAGAATCGCGTAGCGGGATGTTTCGTGAGACACGAAAGTCTCGAGCTGGAGGGTCTCGGTATTGAGGAGCCTCATTGCGAGCTGGTATTAAAGAAGGTCCTGGATAGCAAGCAGTGTTAGATACCTAGGAATGTCGCTTCAGGAGATCCGACGAGAATATCCAGAGCATAAGTGGATGGAAGTGCGAACCAAATCGAAGTGCTGGAGTGAGCTGGCGTGTGGGGGCTCCGGATCCGTGAGATACATTAGGGAGTGGCTGAGGTTCGCCTTGGGGCCTTGGGCAGACATCATTGGATAGGATTCTGTACCCTGCATCAGGTAGGGTGGTACGAGTGTAATGTATGTGTGGCGGCCACCTACCGCACTTCCTCGTGAGTTCCGAGGCCTCGAACTAATGAGTCGAGTTTTATTTTATGAATCTGTCCCAAAGAAAGATATTCGTCGCGCGCCATGGATACGGCCTCTTCACGGTGACGACAGGAAGGTGGCTGAAAATCAGGTGCCGCATTAGGTCGTCAACATTCGGTGCTCCGGAAAAGCAGAGACATTGAGCTGAAGTCTTACTGTCAAAATTGGATTGTCAATTGCAATATGAAAATTCTCGGTTGCGATTTGGACCGACCAGAAACCTCCCCGCCATACCATCGCTGACCGCACCTTCTCGACTCCTAATCCGAGTCGCTGCTCGAGCTACTGCTCGACCCCGACTTCTTTCTCTTGTGGTGCTTATCCTTCTTGTGCTTCTTGTCCTTCTTGTGCTTCCTACAGCAAGGCTATGTTAGTACAGTATGCTCTATGCCGTATTCCCAGAGCACTCTGTCCCGATACACAGGGAACTTACTTTCCGCCGTGGCCCATAGCGTCCTGAATCTTGTGTCCTGCAAAGGCACCTCCCAAAACGCCGGCAGCCGTGCCCAAGCCGCCCCCGCCGGCCGAGTGCCCGAGGAAGGCGCCAGCAGCCGCGCCTAGGAGGCCACCACCGAGACCGCGGTCTTGTTGTCCTGGGTCCGGGTATCCTCCTACGCTTTGTCCGGGTGTGCCGTAGCCGTGGGGAGGTTGCTGCTGGTGATGGGGAGGAGGGTATTGTCCAGCAGGCGGCTGCTGATGCTGCTGTTGCGGAGGAGGGTAGTATCCGCCTTGCTGGTACTGCTGTTGCTGATGCGGCTGCTGCTGCTGCTGCTGAGGAGGATAGTACCCGCCCTGCTGGTGTTGCTGGTGAGGGGGAGGAGGCGAGTACGGCGAGCTCCCTGGCGGGGGTCCGCCGTGGGATTGGGGCGTTTGATACTGGTACTGCTGCGGCGGCGGGGACGAGTAATACGGCGGGTTCGAAGGAGGGGTTGGGTGTCCATATGGCTGGACAGAAGCGAAAGGGATCGATCGATTAGCATGTAGATCTCTTAAGGTAGGTACGGTTCGGTCGTTTTTGGGTAGCTCACTTGCTGCTGGTAGTTTGGCGGCTGCCCCTGACTGTAAGGGGCTTGCGGGTTGTAACCTTGCTGGCCTTGGTTACTATAACCGTAGCCTTGCTGCTGGCCATAATAATCTTGAGCAGACATGATGGATACGCGTTGTCGCGAGGGACGCGCCGATCGGTGAGTTCGGTAAAGGGTCTTGGCTTTGAACAGGGCGGGGAAACGTCGCGGGGCTCGGGGCCTTTTATCATCAGCAGCCTATTGTAAGTTACCAGGCTCCTGTAAGTCATCCACAGCATGAGGTAAGATACTGGTAATATACTGTAAGTTACAAGCAGCCAATTGTAAGTTATCTAGCTGTTCGTGGAGTTGCATGATACGCCTTTGAGATTTCAGTATGTTACCTGTATGAGTCTGGTATTCTTGGCACACCGCATGACCGGTCTCTCCGCCTCCCCGGGCAAACGCAATCCTGGACCACCCTCCCCAATGCTGAGTCCTGACTGATCTTCACAGCCTCCACAAAGGACAGGACTCGTCGGCAAACCCAGCACTCTACGCCATGTGTAATATCTCTCAGTACCACAAATAAGCATCTAAACCCGGTTTCCTATGTTTGCAATGTCAACACCGCTTCAGCACATGACCTGGCCATTTGCCGATCACCTCGAACCGTGCCTTGACGACCTCACGACTCACGACAATGCTTGAAGAAGCGCCCATCGGGCGGCACAGGCTAACTGCCGACTGGCATTCTACCTTGAAGCCTGGGGGTTGAGATATTCCCCATGAGGCCTCCTTCCTTCTGCGCGGCCAGGTCTCTCGAATTGATTAGCCACTTCCTCCGGGGACGGGCGGGGGAGCAGCTATGTACTGCCTGCGCCTCTGGCCTACACGGCCGTACTAAAGCCGAGCAGACCAATCACAATCGGCACGTTGCATCAAGATGCTCTCCTCCTGGAGGGGGGAGCTCATCCTACCGCCTCTGTCCCATTTCGTCCAACTACTAGTACCTATCGGACTATCACCAAGTCTCGTCGTGAGACTCTCGTGATCTCATCCTATGGGCATGGGACGACACCGCGTCGGGGGAACAATGACCGAAGAAGAAGAACCCCCATCCAGCGCTGACCACAACGACCCTGAAGCAAACCCCTCCCCGGTCCTACAAGCCTCCCTGGAAGGTAACCTCCCCCTCTTACAACACCTCCTCTCCCACGGCCACGACCCCAACCCGCCCGCAACAGGCTACTACGGCCGCACCCCACTCCAAGCCGCCTCGTTGACGGGGCATCTCCCGGTCGTGGGCGCCCTCCTCGCCGCCGGCGCAGACGTCAACGCGCCGGGCGGGAACAACGGCGGGCTCACGGCACTGGCGCTCGCCGCGCGGGCGGGCCACGCAGCCGTTGTCGAGACGCTGCTCGCCCACGGCGCGGACGCGCACCTCCCTGCCGCGCGGTATATGGGGCGGACAGCGCTGCAGGCGGCGTGCGAGGGGGGCCATGTAGGGATTGTGAGGCGCTTGCTGGAGCTGGATCAAGGCGGCGGAGAGGTCGACATGGTCAACGCGCCTGCTGCGCGGAATAGTGGACGCACTGCGCTGCAGGCGGCGGCGCAGGGCGGGTTTGGGGACGTGGTGGAGCTGCTGTTGGAGAGGGGCGCCGAGGTGAACAGGCCGCCGCTGGGGCGGTATAAGGGGGTGACGGCGCTGCAGGCGGCTGCGTTGAGCGGCAGTGTCGAGGTTGTGGAACGGCTGATTGCTGCTGGGGCCGAGGTGAATGCCGATGGGAGCTACTATAATGGGCATACGGCGCTGTATGCGGCGGCGGAGGGCGGGCATGGGAGGATGGTGGAGGTCTTGCTTGCCGCTGGGGCGGACGTGTTGCAGACAGCAGGGAATAAGAGGCTGACTCCCTCGCAGGCGGCGAGCTTGAGAGGGCATTCGGAGGTCTCGAGGCGTCTGAGAGAAGAGGAGCAAAGGATAGGGCTGTGAGAAGCCGTGAAGGTCAGTCACAGGTCCGGTACCCTTTGTTGGCATGGGAAAGGAGGAGGGGTGCGGTAGCCGAGAGAAAGCGGTATCATGGACATATCTCTCACCAACATGGTCCAGTCGACATGATATCATGACGATCCTGAGCCCGATGCCTGGTTACGACAAGGGGTGCTTTCGAACCACCTCCACGGTGATGAAGCTTCGCAGTTTGTTCGAGAAATGGCCGGTATTGCGGTTGGCCTTCGTACCTGGAGGCATGTGGTCTTCATAGTGAATATCGGCTGTGCCTACCACGCCCACCGGAGCCCGGAAGGCGCCGGAAGTCACGCACCACAACGCACCCACACTGATCTTAACTTGGCACGTTCTACGATGGGCAGCATTGTGCGAATTTGATGCCAGAGACGTTATTGAGCTGCATTCAGAACAATAGCCATTCAGAGGCCTATTCGGCTCGGGACTCGACACCGGCATTGTGATTCGGAACTTGAATACACGACAGCACCCCTATTCATCTCGCGGACAGCGACGACGTGTCGCTCGAAGTATATATTCCCCTCACCGGTCAACCGAGGCAAAGAACTTCGACTCTTACAACACCATCCCCTTCGGTACATTTTCGATATCCTCACGAGCACCCGATACCACCGCGACGAGGGCAGACATCATGGGCAACAAGTGCACCAAGTTCAGCTGCTTTACCTGCTCCTGCACGGTGATCTGCCACGGCGATGGAAGGAAGCATGACCACGGCGACGGAGATGACCACTGCCTGCGGTGCCGTCAGACGCGTCGTCGCGCCGAATCTCGCGCGTCTGTCTCGAACACCAGCACCGAGCCGATGCCGCGTCAGCGGGAGGATTACACCGCCCCAGCGCACCACGTTCAGAGTACGTCCCGAGATCATAATGCCTTTTTCTGGAGCTTTTCCCTTGCATCTTCACCGAGACGACTTATTCTCTGCTCTTATCCTTACCGATCTCGGTCACTGGGGACTGGTGGTTTGAGTCGGTTGAGACTGGATCTCCCTCAGCCGCAGTTTGACATGAGCAAAAGAGCTGACGAGCGCCAGAAGAATCGCGCGGAAGAACTCCCGATAACGCCCACCCCGCCAACCCGCGGCGCCATCAGTCACCGCACCAGACCCAGAACCACCCGAACACCCCGCGGCCCATGTCGCCTGCTGCTCGCCCGACCATCCCCAACCGGTCGTCTTCCCTCGCGCATGGCGCTGTGATGGAGAGGCAGAGGAGCCTCGCTAGTTTCGCTCCTGGCGTCGTCGCGCAAGAGTACCAAACCTGGGGAGCCCAGCCGGTATGGGGTCTCACCCCCGAGGACCTTCCCCATCTCTCGGGCCAAATGCGATATGAGCCGCCAGACGAGCCGCGGCCGGGAGCGTGGAACGAGCCGGCTTTGGGAATGCCGAATGGGAATGGGGAGCCGGTATGCAACGGCCATGTTTCGGACTCCTCGCCGTCGAGCACGGCGAGCCACCAGGACTCGGAGGAGGGTGCCAGGACCAATCCCGGCCCCCCTGGCTGGTTCTCGCCCTATGTTTCAACTTCGGGCTGGTACGAGGCTTGGAGGCATTGACCCCGCTACGTAGAGCCCGGTGGGCAGTAGGTGTCCGTTGGAAGAGGTCAAGGGAGGCTATCACGGATAAGCTGTAGCATTGAGCGGCATGACACACATCCTATTGTCTGCCTTGCATTTCAAAGAGACAGGTGGCGTTTGGTACGGCACAAAAAAGGATGATCCCTGCATTCTCCGGCCAAGTGATTGCTCTTTATTATATGTTGGCGACGTGATCAGAAATGGAAAAGGGGGGAGGGGTTCCAAGCTTCCAACCCGGGCACGGCATAGCTGCTTCCACATGGCCCAAGCGGGCTGTAATCTGCATTGTCCTGCGCCAACCCACAATCTGCCACATACTACGGTGTTTAATCCCGGCTTGACGGCCATTGGACATGCAATATGCGTCCTCACGGGGGCATATGTCTTGCTCATGCAGTGGACCGAGAGACCGGCATTTGACTGTGGCCTGGACAACGGACCACGGAGCCAGAGCTATGGTCGGCTGTTCTTATAGTCAAGCAGGTGACGCGATTCGTTCTAACAGCTGACTGAACGATCAGTTTTCATTTTTCTTCTGTCACCATCTTCAGCAACACCCTTCGCGTGGTAAAAGTTATCGCCTAGTTTCCAACGCAATCCCCCCCAAACACACCATGAAGCTGCCCGCTCTCCTCGCCGCCCTCTCCCTCGGCGTGGCCGACGTCTCGGGCCACTACATTTTCCAGCAACTCGGCGTGGGATCCTCCAAGTTTGGCGTGTACGAGCACATAAGGAAGAACACCAACTACAACTCACCCGTAACGAGCCTGTCGTCCAACGACCTGCGCTGCAACGTGGGCGGCAACTCGGGCGCCAGCACGACCGTCGTCAACGTCAAAGCCGGCGACTCCTTTACCTTCTACAGCGACACGGCCGTTTATCATCAGGGGCCGATCTCTCTGTACGTCTTCTCCCCGCCCAGGTGTTTGGGGATCCACGGGTGGTGGTAGCATAGTAGTAACTGATGACTTTGATTTCCAGGTACATGTCCAAGGCGCCGGGCTCGGTCCAAGACTACGACGGATCGGGTGACTGGTTCAAGATCTACGACTGGGGCCCTACCTTCAGCGGCGGGTCGTCCTCGTGGCCGATGCGGAGTATGCACCCTTTATAATCTCCACCCACTCCGGTCTCAAGCCTATTGCTAATAATCACCTTTCCGTGTGTCCGATGTATACAGACTCCTACCAGTACAACATCCCGCGCTGCATCAAGGACGGCGAGTACCTGCTGCGCATCCAGTCGCTGGCCATCCACAACCCGGGCAGCACGCCGCAGTTCTACATCAGCTGCGCCCAGGTGAACGTCACAGGCGGCGGGAATGCCACCCCGAGCCCGACTGCCAAGATTCCGGGTGCTTTCAAGGCTACCGATCCTGGGTACACTGCCAATGTGAGTCTCAAATGACTTCGAATCGCTTTGCGGGTTCTTTTGTTCTAGGATGTTGACGGGGGCTTCGAAAACAGATCTACAACAACTTCCACTCGTACACTGTCCCGGGACCAGCTGTGTTTCAGTGCTAGTTGACATGGCTGGATGATACGTACCGGACTGATTTCTAGGAAAGGACTTGAAGAGGAACGTCGGTCTTGATGTGAGGTCAGGTGGTGGGTGGGCCTCTGGATCGTAGATAGTATATTGAAGCAATCCTTCGCATAAGACTCGGCCTCAAGGTTCATTGAGATTCTAGAACTCAGAGCATGTCATTACCACAAAACTTTGCCTTAGCTACAAGCCATTGACATGAGTCTGCCCGGATGGATCTCGTGGCGACTGGGGAGGAACCGACGAGCGAAGACGCTTTTCCATAGTAACTCAACCATCAAGCCACATCCCGCACAGCAAAGGACGGAATGAAAACCTCGTCCGGTCGTAGACGCCTTTGCTCATGCAATGCTCCTTGCAAACGTCCACGGAAATGGGAGGCACCAAGTTCACACCCTCGAACCATCCGCCAGGTGAGTGAGTATTCATCATTCCCCTTTCCCCCAAGGGGGTGCAGAATTCAGATGAACACCGCTCCAACCAGGTTTTCACGGAGCATTTTACAGTGTCGAACTTATTTGCAGGCGTCTGGACCATCTCCCGACAATAGCTAGTTCTGCTTTTCCATCCTTCCCGGGCATACAGGATACACACGGTACTGGTATATAACGATGGCGCTAGATGGACTTCCCGTGTCTGTCCGGCTGTCTGTGGCATCTAATGGGTTGCTCGATTTCGTTTGGAAATCTTTCCCCCTGTACATCAAGCGAAGCGTTCCTTCGTCGATATCTCGTGTGTTCATAGTGTACTGTGTAACCAAAGAGAACGGCCCGGGACAACGACGCTTCGCTTGAACTAGTACCGCAGCCCGGGTTCACTGTCAATGACAGGCGAGCATCACGTCAAATGTAGAGACAGAACCCGTTCCGTGGCGGAAGCACCCACTGTGGTCCGCCACACAGTAGCTTCACCTTCGAAAAAGAAACCGTCCCACTGTCTGTCACATGCATCATCTGCGGCAACCATGCTGCTTCGTTCGTCAAAGACCTTCAGCGGACCTGTCAGTCGCGGCGTCGCCCAGGGGTAGCTTTGCCTCCGTCGACGTGCCATACAGAGGTATGTATAAAGCTATATAGGTCAACCCCCTTCAGCTTTCTTCTTGCTCCCCGTCTTACCCTCCATCTCCTTACTGCGGATTCCCCTCGGACTGCGGCCCTCTGGGATGTTAGCTAACCTACTAGTATATCGCTGAGATATATCCCCAAACTTGAGCATGCCTACAACATAAGTAATGCTCTCCTTTCCCTCGTACTTGTTGTCTCATATCGATTCGGCACTGGTTGCGCCCATCTTCGGGCCCGGCCTCATGCGGTTCCTTGGCTTCCTTGCTACCCGATCCCGATCCATCACTCCTATTCCTATCCTCCCTCTACCGGGCCGATGTAATCCCGCGCCGGCCTTTCGTCTTTCCCATCCAAAATATCCAAATAGGTCGTGGGATAATCTGATTTACCGAAGGTTAGCCCGCAAGCTAAGAGAAAGAGGTACAAAGGGTTGAGTTTGTGTGGCGGTTTATCAATGCGAGACAGCCAGCCACCGATCATGCCGAGAAGCGATCAGCGAAGAAAGATCCGCAGTGCCGGTCATTGCCGTATTCGGCCCGGAGGACGGCTGATCTGTTCGGAACGCCAAGCCCAGTTATCCGGAAGTGGGACCGGGGCCTGAACCGGGGGCCGGCTCGGCCGGGGCCATGTGTCACACTCCTGACTCACACAGGGCACTGCCTTCAATGCGAACATGGAAGTGTTATCTTTTCTCTTCCACCCAGTGCCCCTACTCTCTACGACATCATTGCATACGGGTTTACAGGGTCGCTGAGCTCAACACCGATTACTATACAGGGCCGATTAAAGTTGGACAGATTCGGATTGGAGGTAGGCGTCTCGCACGGTTGCGTGAACGAGCAAACAAGGACGGCAAACTAAAAGCGCGCACACCGTGGCCATATTGATGGTAGTGCTAGTGCAACACCTGTAGGCAGCCTCCATCAGCGGCCGCGTCGACAGCAACTCGTCGATGTCGCAACCTTCCTGCAGTCTGTCGCTCGACCACCAACGGTGAAATGTGCACTCCTCTTTTTGCAAAATTTAGATCCTTCACTCGAGCTGGATAGTTTGTTCGGGACAAAACAAATACAACTTTTATGGGCGTGAGATCGCTTTCAGCTTTACTGCAACCTCTTCGGTCAGGGCCTCAGATCTGGGAGATACCGTGCGGTGGCCAGGCTCAACTTGGTAGAACAACTAAGGTATCGCTCTTCTTTGCTGCCTTTCCCCCCTGGGGGGTGGAGGAGACTGACAATATTTACATGCTGATACGGAATAAGTACGACCCAATCCTCTACATCGTCCAATGCGGCCTTGCCAGAGATAACCCCAGCTTTGCCAATAAGGACCAACAGAGCACGCCTCCTGGGTCCTGGGACTTTAGTCACGAATGTAGGTGCCTATCCAGCTCCAAAATCATAGATATCAAACCCAGTGGTAAACAGATTAGATAGCAAGGGGAAGGACGCGGTCCTTCACGCGAGGAATAGACAAGGTAGAGGTACTCGAGCCAGATACCTTGTTGAAACGGGAGGCTATTGATTGCAGTATGAACTTGGTAACCTAGCGTGTATTATCACAGATGTGGTTGTGATTTGCCACTACTCCACGCAGCTAGGGTCTGTTGCGGCGCATTATGGTGAAATGACTACCTACTATTAGAATCTCCCCTACCACATTTGTCCTCCAGGCTCGACATGTAAACAGGAGAAAGGCGGTTGTCCTCCTGCTTGCAATGGTCAGAGAAACACCGGTAATTTCACAGCGCTTGCTTTGTTATCTTAAGTTACGGACATAGGTAGGTACTTACCTTAGCTATAGTCTGAAGAGTGAAAGAAAATCAGGACTAACGAGGTCATTGTCGCGCAGAACGAGGAATACGGGCACATAGGAGTCCTCACCTTGCGTACTTAAGTTACATAAAGAGCCCGCCCCCTGACTCTCATAGACTCAAGCCTATTACCCATTCATGCACATGAAGCACAACGCACTTATCCCTCTGGCACGACGCTAAGGTCCGGTCACAGACTGTCTCAATGTACGTTGCCAGCCCTTCGGTATGAGAGACTGGGATAATCACCTGGGTGCCTGTGCCTTTTTATCTAACTACCGCAACGTTTGCCAAATACTAGTAACTTGAAGCGTCAATGAGCAGATGCTGTCTCCCATGTGAAGCAGAGTTCACTGAGCAAATCCTTGCTTATTTTCACCCAGCTAGGCGGCAGGCCAAAGGCGCTGTCCGGGTCTGCCGAGTGAACAGAAACGGAACGTAACCGCAATGGGCCGTCGGACCGCTCAGCTTACTATAAGCAAGTTGATTGGGTATAGGCTGATTATCAAAACGAAATGGACCCACGAAGGGCTCTCCAGGACCATGGAGGATTGTGAGGATGAAGACGGAGGGACGCAGTCAGCGAAACGGGCATGGGGGGCATGGCCGGGGATTTATCCAAAGTGGGGGTCGAATTACCGCGCCCAGAATGCCACCGTTGCCACAGGATCTCTTTCTGGCACCGGACAAGCCCGCATGCAAGGACCTCAACATGGAATGATGGAAGTCAGCCCGTCAATTGCGAGTGTTCTCTGCAGTCAGTAGGTATTTTGGCAGAGACAAGGAGAAAGATTCGAGCTTGTTATGCCACAGTCCGGACGCCAACCGACACTCGACATCTCTGACTTATTGAGTTTCGATGCTTGGAAGCCACAGCTGATTGTTGCATCCCGACCAAAGAGCCGATCGATCCCCTTTGTTCGACCGCTGGGTTTTACCCGTGAATCATCAAGCTCCGGTTTCTGCTTGCCTATCGTTTCAAACTTCCAATTCTCATGCCGTTGGTTCGCTTATTATTACGTTCTGAGCAGTCCCCCGCAACGTTCCCCTGGGGCGCATGTCAACATCGGCGCTTGGTTCCGCATGCTACGTTGATTCCCCGGCTCTGCCATGCCCGTGCTCGCGCCTGGCAATCAGCTTTGTCGGCAACCCCTGGCAGGCGTTGGGGCCGGTCGCACTCAGGCGACTCCTTCCCCAATCTACATGGTCCCTTTAATATGCACGCCGCGCTAACTGGCCCGCCGATCCCATATGCTTCTGGTTTGGAGGCTATACTCTGGCGCTGCAGCCCAATCTATCCGCCTCCAGCAGCGCCAACAACAGAGGGGTTGGCATTCTTCCGTAGGATCCGTCCTATCGGCCACGTTCCGTTCTCCTTTCCCCGGAGGCCGGAGAGCCTTTCCGTTACTTCAATCACGGGAGCCCGGGGCACGGGAACACTGCCTACCTCAGGTAGGTAGGTCGGGTAGGTACCTGACAGGCTGACACACCGTCGTGGCAAGAGCAGATATGTGTTATTTATTCCTTCTGCTCTTCCGCAATCGCCTTTGACCAGGAGAGATGCTTGTCTTTCCTGGCTCAACCTGGTTCCGGCACCTCCTGTGACTCCCGGCTGCGTTCCAACGATGAGACTTCTCAGCCGCATTGGGGCGACCGCCCTCGCGGCGTCGTTGTGTAAGTGGTGCAGCATCATCAGCTTCCGAGGCCTTCGCAGCACTGACCTTTCCCAGGCCTGCAGCAATGCGTAGCCCAGATGACCGAGGGGTCTTACACCGACGCCGAGACGGGTATCAAGTTGAAGACATGGACGGCTACCGACGGAGCCCCTTTCACCTTCGGCCTGGCCTTGCCCTCTGATGCCTTGACCAAGGATGCCACCGAGTACATTGGTCTTCTGGTGGGTTCGCAGATTGCCTCAACAAAGATCTTGAAGGCTCATTTGACTGACATCATTATTGTAGCGCTGCCAAATCGCAAATGCCACGTCGCCCGGGTGGTGCGGTCTCTCGCACGGTCAATCCGGTCAGATGACGCAGGCGCTGCTGCTCGTGGCATGGCAATCCAAGGGGACGGTTTACACGTCGTTCCGCTATGCCACCGGCTACACCCTGCCCGGAGTCTACACGGGCGATGCCAAGCTGACCCAGATCTCGACCAACGTCACCGACACCAGTTTCGAGCTGCTCTACCGGTGCCAGAACTGCTTTGCGTGGAGCCAGGAGGGGACCACGGGAAGCGTATCGACGAGCCAAGGAAACCTGGTCCTCGGTCACGCGGCGGCCAAGCAGGGGCTGGAAAATCCCACCTGCCCGGACCAAGCCACCTTCGGCTTCCACGATAACGGGTTTGGGCAGTGGGGTGCGCCGCTTGAGGGTGCCAACCAGGCCTCGTACACTGAGTGGGCGGCGCTGGCCACAAAGACGCCTGCCACTACCTGCGACGGGTGAGTTTCAGCCCGGTCTCTTGGTCAAATTACCTACGCGGTTCTGACTGTGCTGTTCTCAGTCCCGGCGGCCCCATCGCGGAGTGCAAGCCCGCCCCCACGACGACGTACGACTACATTGTCGTTGGGGCCGGCGCGGGCGGCATTCCGGTTGCCGACAAACTCAGTGCGGCCGGCCACAAGGTTCTGCTCATCGAAAAGGGGCCGCCTTCGACCGGCAGGTGGAAGGGGACCATGAAGCCGCAGTGGCTGGAAGGCACCGAGCTGACCCGCTTCGACGTCCCGGGCCTATGCAATGAGATCTGGGTCAACTCTGCCGGCGTGGCCTGCACCGATACCGATCAGATGGCAGGCTGTGTCTTGGGCGGTGGGACTGCTGTCAACGCTGGTCTTTGGTGGAAGGTAAAGCAACCCTCCCGCTCTTGCTGTTTCGAACGTGGAGCCTGGAGACTAATAACGGTGTTGCTAGCCTAATTCCAAGGACTGGGATTACAACTGGCCCAACGGTTGGAAGTCTAAGGACCTCGCTGCCGCAACAAGCCGCGTCTTCAGCCGGATCCCGGGCACGTGGCACCCGTCTGTGGACGGCAAGCTTTACCGGCAGGAGGGATATGACGTCCTCACCAGCGGTCTCGCCAAGTCCGGGTGGAAGCAGGTGGTTGCCAACGACGCGCCCAACTCGAAGAACCGCACCTTCGCCCACACTCACTTCATGTTCTCCAACGGCGAGCGGGGCGGCCCGCTGGCGACCTACCTCGTTACGGCGGACGGACGGTCGAACTTCGACCTGTGGACCAACACGGCCGTGAGAAGGGCGATCCGCACGGGAAGCCAGGTTACGGGTGTTGAGCTGGAGTGCCTGACCAACGGCGGCTTCAGCGGCACCGTCAAGTTGAACCCCAAGGGCGGTGTCATCTTCTCGGCCGGTGCTTTCGGTACGGCGAAGCTGCTATTCCGCAGTATGTGTAACACCGTGGTGTGGCCGGGAAGTGAAAGGGATAACTGACAAAGTGATGCAGGCGGTGTCGGCCCGGAGGATCAGCTCCAGATCGTCGCCAATTCGAAGGACGGCGCGACCTTCACTCCCAAGAGCGACTGGATCAAGCTGCCCGTGGGCAAGAACCTGATCGACCACCTCAATACTGACCTGATCATCACGCACCCCGATGTCGTCTTCTACGACTTTTACGAGGCGTGGGATTCCCCCATCGAGAGCGACAAGAACTTGTACCTCGATAAACGGTCTGGTATCCTGGCGCAGGCTGCACCGAACATTGGCCCGATGGTAGCCCTGCCCCTGAATCTTGGCCTCGCGCACATGGATCGTAGCTGACCGTAACGCAGATCTGGGAAGAGGTCACCCCCTCGGACGGCATCCTCCGCCAGTTCCAGTGGACCGCCCGTGTCGAGGGCGATTCCCGCCAGACCAACTCGACGCGTGAGTTGTTTCCCCCCCACAAGACACAAGCCTCAACCCTTTTCGCAGGAAAGCTAAAACCCGTCTCCTAGACGCCATGACCCTGAGCCAGTACCTCGGCAGAGGTGTCGTCTCGCGCGGCCGCATGGCCATCACTCCCTCGCTGGACACCGTCGTCGCCGAGGCCCCCTATCTCCACAACGCCGGCGATAAGGAGGCCGTCATCACGGGGATCAAGAACCTGATGGCCGCGCTGAACGTCATCCCCAACATCACCTGGGTCCTGCCCCCGCCCGACGGGACCGTCGAGGATTATGTCAACAGCGTAAGCCTCCTCTCCTCTCCTCTTCTCTACCCCAACAAAAAAATTAGTAACCAGTGTTTCGCTGACAAATAAAAAAAAAACAGCTCCCCGTGACACCCGCAGCTCGGCGCGCCAACCACTGGATGGGCACGGCCAAGCTGGGCACCGACGATGGCCGGAAGGGCGGCGGCACGTCGGTGGTGGACCTCAACACCAAGGTGTACGGCACCGACAACCTGTTTGTCGTGGACGCGTCCATCTTCCCGGGCATGAGCACCGGCAACCCGTCGGCCATGATCGTCATTGCGGCGGAGCAGGCGGCCGGCAAGATCTTGGCTTTGAGGGGTCGGTGAAGGAGAAACGGGGGAAAGGGTCTTGATAGTAAGGCTGCGGTCTGCGGATGTAACGTGTATGTATAGGGGGTTTATTACGACGAAGAAATAAGTAGGGGGCTTTTCGCCCATCCCTCTGACAGCCACTCCTTGAGAAGTATGCAGCGTTGATCTTGTGGGAAAACTCTGAAACAAAGAAACGGATCCCTTTCTCTGGATACCTTTATCTAGCTGGCCACGATCACAACTCCGTCTGCTTGATGTCCTGTTACCTTGAAGCTTTTGCACTTAATAGAGTACTGGCACGGAATCCCCTGCCACGCTACGGTGGGTGACAACACCCACAATTCTTCCGTAGTATAGTGGTCAGTATGTGAGCTTGTCATCGGACTCCGGTCCTGACGTCGCTCGAGACCCGGGTTCAATTCCCGGCGGGAGAGATTACCACATTTTTTCGCACATCTTTTCAGATTCTGACAGATTCTGGTCGTCGAATTTGGCCCATCATGTTTTTTTATTTTTTATTTTTTATTTTTTTTTTTTTGTTTTTTAAGTCTCAGTTCTCTCTAGGCGTAACCATCAACTGTTGTCGTCTGGATGATATCCCATCCCTCGGCATGGACTCCATGGAGCCTAAGCAGGGTAATCAATCATGGCCAATACCACGGTCAGCCCCGACAGAAACCAAAGGCAAAAGGGTGCTTAGCCTCAGCGCTGCTTAGGTACGGTACCCTAGGGTTGGAACCCGGAAGCTTGCGAGGTTATGGACCATTTGCTACTGAGGGCATGACGCCGATCAGCGACACCAATCAGTTGAGCAAATGACTCCCCAGGTCAGGAACTGAAGGTATGATATCGGCAATGAGTTTCACTTCGCACATTTCGGATTCGGATTTCTATTGTGACGATGAGGACGCGGACAATAATGTATTCTGCCAACTCATCTACGTGATATGTGAAGCCACAGTCAGAAACTGGGACATAATTCCCACCTGCGTTACTTCGAAGGCCTATTTCTATTTCATCGGTATTCCTGTCATAAAGTGGTTGACTACCAGGTACTAAGCAGAGACGGCACCGGCTACCCCTGATTCGAACAATCACAGTTAGCATTGTGAGGGCAGTTTGGCCATCATTTTACGCGTGACCGCCGTGTGGATCTAGACGTTCAAGTTCCAACTACACACACTTGGTGCCATGTGCACGTGTCACTTGTGTTTTGAGGCATCTCGACGGATCCGTCGCGTGAAAGTCGCATAGAGGTTTCAGACCTTGGATCAGGTATAGCCCGCGTCGCCTCCTGTGCCCGTGGCGCCATACGGGAGTAGTAGAGACGAGAGTCTAAGTAGACACTGTGACTTCCTCTATGCGCGCCTTCGGTCATCCGAAAAGAAGCTCGAGCGTCGTATGAGCCCAACAGATGGCCAGCTCAGCCTATCAGACCTACCATCCTAATTCTGTTTGATTGAAAGCCGAGTCATCGTTTGTGGCGTGCACCACTTTCGCCACCACCGACCGACCTTCTTCATCACAAGTCACGTCCGGTGTCACCGCACCGCCCCAAGCCAGATTTCCTGTGCATATAAATCTTCCTAAGAATCTTCAAGGCGTTGGCTCTCCAAATTTACTTCATACTTGGGTACTCACTACAAACCGACCGACTTGCTTAGGCATTCTGCTAACGAGCCTGAAGCTGTTGTGTTTTCAACCCTCAACTTAGTTTAACCCACACTCCCTGAGTACTCGATACCCCCGCCCATTATGTGTGTCGGCATCATCGGACACTGCTCGTGCGTGCGCTGTCTCGAGCAGCCGAACCCAGGCAAGCTCCTGCGCGTCGATTTCTGCAACGAGCACCAGGAGCGACTCCGTGGCGTCTGGAAGCGCTCCTTGCCCGTGCAGCCCACGATTGCTCTTTGCCCCAAGGTGACCTTCAAGCGGGTCCACGACCCCAACAGCTGCCACTGCAAGGGCGTCGATGCTGTTGAGACCGAGCAGAATGCCTCCACTGCTGCTGCCGAGCGGCCGTCGGAGGAGCCTGCCGTAGTTGCGCCGTGGTTCGCGGCCGCGAACCAGTCTGCCGCGATTCCCAACGCTGACAAGGGAAAGGGGAAGGTGAAAGAGACTCAGCCGGCTCCCCAAGCTGGCCATGAACGCGCTGAGAAAGAAGCGCCGACAGGCAAGTTCAAGGAGCCCGCTCAGCACCCCTCTCAGACCGACAGGGAGGAGGAGCCCTCCTTCCCAACCATCCTAAAATTCACCCCAATCAACCGCAAACCGGCTGTGTCGACCAGCGAGAACCGTCCCCGCGGCGGCCTCGACTCTGGCACACCACCTGCTGGCAATCCCAAAGAGAAGGAGAAAAGCGCCACCGCAACCTCAAAAAAGCCCGACAACATCATCAGAAAGCGCACTCCGCTGCCCAGCAGTCGTCCCCGCCCTAGGCCTGCCGTCTCAGCCTCCACCTCCGCCTCTGGCACTCCCGCGCCCACCCCGGACCCGGACACGGACACGGACAATAAGAGTGGAGAAGAGGAGGGGGAGGAGCACTCTGCTCCTCAGCCCGGTCACAGCAGGCCCTACTCGCCGCCCCTGGTCCGCGAGGCGGATGGTGCGCGGCCGGGCTGTGGACCGTGGACGGTGGAGGAGACTATCAAGTTGCTGGCGCTCAAGTCCAAGGGGCTGGGGTATAGTCAGATGCAGCCGGTATGTTTCTTCCTCTTCTTTTTCCTTTCCTTTTTTTTGGCCGGGGGGGGGGGGGGGGGGGGGTGTTTCTTCCTCCTGTTCCTGATGAAAATGGATGGATGGACGGATGCATTTCAGGGGCGTGAGAGGGTTAATTATTACCACCCTACCTAGGTATCTTTTGGAAGCTAGGTTGTGCTAACGACAAAAAAAAAAAAACACAGTGGCTCCCGGGCGTGACGAGCTGTCCTGCTATGATCGCATCCATCTGCTGGCGGTCAAGTATGGCTATGAGGAGTACATTGATTAGGGTCATCTTTGGGAATTGATCTGGGCAAGGGGGGACTGCATGCTCGGGGTGTTGGATCAAGAGTTGGTCCTGGATAAGGGAGAAGACGGGGTGGTAGTAGCAGACCTGGGTTATGCTGCTGGATTCCGGCGTTTTGGAGGGCATTGGAACATGGATTTTCATGGGCAACGGCAGACGGCTGCCATAAAGCGTACACATGGAGTTTCAGGTATTGTGGATTCTTTTGCACAAGGGGGGATTCTGGGGCTGCGTATTGGGCCCAGCCGTGTTGATCTTAGATACAGTTCTTGAGCTTCTTGAGTCTCCAATTCGTTGCTGCGGTTTGTATGTATGTATTGTACATGGACACCAGGTATAGCAAATGTTGAAGAATGCCGCGGCTGGTTGACAGTCAAATGCACAACCAGTTTGACTGGCAGACACGTAAGCAAGACATCCCACAGGAATACGCCATAGTTGACATCACGCACCCAAGAGAGAGCTTGTAAAAGAATGCCTGCAGAATACTACTACTAGTACCTATTAACACTGCGCATCGTCAGCGGGGTGCCCCTTTTACCATCCGCCTGCTTCTAATGCTTCAATATTTTGGACCTGAACCATACGAGCCCTCTCAAGTGATGGTTCTTCTCACAGAATAACACAAGACGTGTGTTTCGATTTTGACTTGGACTTGGATTTGTGCCTGCGTTCGGTTCGGGGAGATCCACCACGGGCTTCCGGGGTACTCCAGTTGTCATCGTGGTGGCGGCTGCTGCTACCGTGATGGTGGCTGCCACCAGACTGGCTGCCACCATCGTGATGGCTGCTGCCGTGCTGCCGGCTGCTACTGGAGTGGTCTTTCTTAGAAAGCTTCCGCGAGCTTGAGGACTTCTTCTTGGACATCTTTGTAGTCGTTTCCCAGAGCGTTACAATAGGTGTAGATCTAGCTAGGTGTACCATTAGTTGGAGATCGACAGGCCATTGGTAGTTAGACTTACGTAGGGCTTGAGCGTTGGCGATGGCAGTTGTGGTTTGTGAGCTCGAGTTACGAATATGAGAATTACAACACGAAGGGGGGCTTGGAGAAGACCATATATATCCGCATAGGAGGTGCCAACAGGCTCGGGGATATGCCCAGAAATATTCAGTAGACTTTAGCTCCCAAGCATGCTTGGGTCACTAGATTGTCGTCAAAGGCGAATGGAGAGAGCCATGAAAGCGGCCGACATGAGTTGATGGCCCGTGACTCTGCTCTTTGACAACGAGCGATATGTGTCATGACACTCGGATAGAAGGCCTCAAGTTGTTTCTTTTGGGGTGTGTTGTGGTCATAGCTGGCCCAGAACGTTTAGATTGTGCTGAAACTAGGTATCTGAGCAAGGAGCCCGCCTCGCTCTCCGTCGTCTGCTGACTCTGAGCCTCATTTCTTTGACTTCTTGGCCCAGACCAACCCTAAAATCCCAACCTCCACCATGTCCCTCGTCTTGTTCTTCGATTTCGACTTGGATTCCATCTCCTTCGAGTCCTTCGACTTGCGGTTGGACTTTGACTTGGAATCGACCTTGGGGTCTGATTTGGACTTAGACTTGGGTCCGTCTTTCTTCGTGGCCTCGGGCATGATCAAAGCTGTCGTGTACTGGAACCTTCTGAAGTATGTAGACCTAGGCATAACGTTGGCTGAGATCAAGGGTATCATTAGTTGTGAGGCTTACCTAGATCCTGAACAGGGCCAGCTGGTTGTGTAAGCGCATTGCAGGTGTAGCGAGACACAGTAAAGAGGAGAGTCATGGAGGGGACGATCTATACGTACAAGACGCCATCACAGCTCTGATCACACACACATCAACAGTCACAGGTGCTGAGGTCCGTAGCCTGCCCGCGGTCACGATTCAGGTCAGCGTGAATGAAAAGCTAGCCACAGAACGTGTCCAGAGGTTCGGATGGGTTGAACTTGAATCCCCTGTTCTCCACGGCTGACACGCTCTCTGTTACATTGGTCACCCGCACCTAGACACAAACACTCGGGATGGCGGCGTCGACAGTGCTCTTTTTTGTGTATCCAAGAAGCTTGGAATCATGTGTTGCGGCCATTGCTGGCCCGTATGCCAATGCTGTATGTAGCAAAGGCTATCTCTCCCAAGCATCATGCTCACCCTCTCTCTCCCGTTTACCACCTAATCTACGCCCTGGCCATGCTTCAAAACTCTCAACGACACCATTCAAGTGCCCCTCCTAGTTGATACATTCCTTCCAAATACCATACGCCTTCGACACCAGCAAAGATGCCCCATCCAAGTCTGCTCGCCATAACATTACTGTTGCTCTCCGGGGCTACGGTCAAGCCGGTTCAGGGAGCGGCTCACGCCTTCGCTGACCAATACACGGACAGGGACACAGGGATCGCCTTCTCCGGATACTCTTACAAAAGTGGCTACGGCTTCGGCATGGTGATGCCGAAGCAGCCAACGACCGACTTCATCGCGCAGATCGTATCGCCCCTGGCGGACAGCGCCGGATGGGCAGGCGTCAGCTTTGATAGCTCCATGGTGGGCCCGCTGCTGCTTGTAACATGGTGAGAACCAATCCAAAAACAAAGAAGGGCGATGGTGGTGGGACAAGGGAGGATAATGGAAGGGAGACAATGAGACAATCTCACTGACTCCCAACAGGGCCAACGGCAATAAAGTGATGACAACCCCTTACGTAGCCAAAGACTATACCCCTTCCGGAGTGGTACCCTACACAGCGCACCCGATATCCCTGAGGCCGATCGAGAAGGGAACCTACGTCAACGACACCCACGTCTCCTCAACTTTCCTCTGCGGCGGCTGCATCAACGCCGACTCCTTCAACGCCAACTGGACCCTCGACAGAAAGCACGAGGCCGTCTTCGGCTACGCCTACTCGCAAACCGCTGTCCACGACCCGTCCAACATCAACACCAGCCTCTCAGACCACACATCATCACGCGGAGGCGGGTATGGCGCCTTCACCATTGTGCTGAGCGACGTCAGGTCTGAGCTCTATGACAAGTACGCGGCGTTGGTGGTGGAAGAAGGCCCGGGAGGGGTGATCGGCGTTGAGCCGGACCACCCGACGCCGAGCCCTACCACCAGCACCAGCTCCAGCTCGGCGGCAAAATCAAGCTTCTCCCTGACCACGGAAACACCTGCTGCTGCTACTGCCGCCGCGCAGGGCTGGACGGACCCATGCTTAGAGTCAGGGTTGGCGTGCGACATGCCGACCGGGTTAGACTTCAGCCACCGGGAGATACCGCTAATGGAACTCATGGCGTTGGCGCTTGTGGGCTTGCTGTACTTGTGGCAGGCATTCAAGTCGAGCTGAGAGGGATGAAGTTGGGAGCTGTATTCAAGGAGCTGGACGCTGGGGAAAATAAGAAGCGGCCGTGGATTGGAAACACAACAGACCTGCATTAGAAGTGAGCCGCGCAGTTTTTACATGCCATTCTCATTTGCTTTGCCATACGAACTCATTAGGAAAGACTCGATACTTCGCGGCGCTCTTCCCAACGCCGATAACGGGCCTGATGGCTCTCAAAACTCCTTATATGTCATCAAGCAGGGTATCCAGACATCGACCGATCCAGCAACGCCTAACGCCAACCCCCCCAATCCAACAGGAAACGCCCCGTTCAAGCGCTGTTGCCAAAGAACTTTGTGATCTTCTGGCTGCCATCCGCCTTCGCCTTGGCCTTGGCCGGACTCCGACCCGTGTTGCTGGTCGCGCTGATCTTGCCTCGTCCCTGCTGCTTCCCCTTAACAGGGGACGACGGCTTCGCGTGTGCCACTTTCTTAGCCGGCGGCTCTTCCTTAACCGGAGACGAGTCCGCCTCTCGCTTGAACCCCTTCTTCGGCGTTGCGCTCATCCCGCCATCGTCAGCCCCCCTTGCTAATTCATTCACTGTCTTCAGCTCCCTCTCAACACTCTTCCCCTGGCTTGAACTGGCGTCATCTTTCTTCACCTCCACCTCTACATCCGCCTTCCCTACTCCCCCCTTCTTCCCCGCCGCCGCCGACCTCTCCGCATTAGCAAAGAAGTTGGCAATATTCGCCTTATTCTCCCTGCTCGCGACGGGAATCACAAAGCTCGGCGAGTTATTCCCCACCTTCCCGACCTCCTTGCTGACGGGATACACCTCCAGCTCGCCGTCAAACGGCCGCAGCACCGCCTGCAACTCCTTACTCCACTCCGTCCGCCCAGGGTCCAACCACGTCCACAGCGCCTCCGACCCGGGCTCCAAGATAACCGGCATTCGATCATGCAGGAACTTCAGCTGCGCGTTACTGTCAGTCGTGATGATCGTGTACGTATAGAGCGGCCCCTCCCCCTTCCCTTCCCCCTGCCCTTTCCCTTTCTCCCCCTTTCGGTTCTCCCCCCCATCATCATCATCATCATCATCATCATCATCATCATACCGCACACAATCCCACAACCCTGCAAAGCACATCAACCTCCCATCCTTCCGCTTCACGTAATGCGGAACCCTCTCCTTCCCGCCGCCAGGCCCCCGCTTCAGCCACTCGTAGAACCCCTCGGCCAGCACGACGCACCGCTTGCGCGCCTTCATGCTCGCCCACATGCCGCCCGGGGTCGCGAGCGAGTCGTCGCGGCAGTTGATGGTCTTGAGCAGCGCCGGGTATGAGGGCTTGCCCTTGGTCCAGAAGGGGACCAGGCCCCATTTCATGGACTGGAGCTTGTAGTGGTGCGCTTCTTTGGCTTCGGGTTCCGTTTCCGGGGTGCTGTCTTCTTCTTGTTCTTGTTGTTGTTGCTGTGCTGCGTCGCTGCCTTGGTGAGTAGTACTACTAGTAGTAGTGGTGGCGGTGGTGCTGGAATTGCCAGCAGTAGTTCCGGCGCCACGATCGGGCACGTCGGCGCGGTAGACGACGCCGTAGTAGCCCGGCGCAAAGTTGTAGCTCTGGCGCGGCGCGCCGTCGCCTTCGTCGGCCGGGGCATCGTTGACGGGCATGTCCATGTCATCTTGGAGCATCTGCCTGATTTGTGACGGCCTCTGCAGCCCAATTGATTAGAAATGACGGGGATCTCAGGTGTGCCGCGTGCGCCACGACTTTCACTCACCAACACCAGCGAGTATCGGCCGCACATGGTGGACTTTTGTCGCAAGCCGGAGATCTAGACAGAAATTGCTGTTTCTTTTTTTTTTTTTTTTTTTTTTTTTTGGGTATGACGAGAATAAGACCGTGCTTGCGCAATGGTACACGAAGATGGGAAAGTGCAATTCCGATGTTGCACTTCACCTGGTTCCCGATGACGTTGATGCAATGGTTTGGGATCGCGATTTGCGGAGCTCAAGTCGCGTAATAGGGTCGCCAGATCACGTGGTCTTCTATTAACTACTATTAGCCTCAAATTCCCTCTTTGGTCTCAACTCTCAAGTGAGCTATCCGTACTTGCTGAATTGACAGCCAATTTACCACCACAGATACTAAGTTGCCGAAACATGAACGCAAATATTGTAGTTAACTGACGCTCCTCCCTTCCTAGCAAACCTAAAAACACACCGGCACACCGGTTTACCCAGCCACGGCCACCATGGCCGACAATTCGATCCCTCCCTCAACAACCCCATTCCTGCGCTTCTCCATCCTCGTCCTTCGCTTGACCGCCTCATCTTTCTTCCACGCATCCTCAAACAACGTCGGCTTCGGCACGACCTGATGATCCCGAATTCCGAGCCTCCTGACAACCTGGAACGCCCCGGTACCGATCGACATGGTCTGGCCCATGATAATGCACTCGCTCACGCCCTGGATGCGGTCCTTCTTCATCCCCGCGGCCGCGTCAAACAGATGGTCGGGCGTCTTCTCGAATGACGCAAGCTGCAAGACACTGTCGCGCATCTTGGCTAGCCCGAAGCGTGTGATGCCCAGGATCTCGCCCTTGTACGTCATCACGTCAGCCAGCAGCTCCATGTGGCGCGGGTCGATGTTCATGTCGCCCATGACAGAGCCGATTTCTGTGGCGATGGTCGTGCGCGCCGCCTCGATGCCCAGCACGTCGCGGCACTCCATGACCGAATTGGTCACGCACTTGGTGCCGACCACGCCCTCCGTCGTCATGCACGCCCGCAGGCCGTATCCTTCAACCAAGACTTTGTGCTGGCTGGTCTTGTCGTCCGTTTGGATGATGGCTCGCGCAGCTTCCGGATAGCCCGAGATGGAGACTTGTGGGAGCATCCGCTTGAGAAAGTTGACCCGCAGCTGGAAGTCCGCGGCCGATTCGTTCATGGCGCTGGATACGAGCTGGCCCTTTTCGATCGCGGCCGCCCGGACACGCGCGGCTTTTCTTGCGGCCGTCACGTCCTGCCATGTGTTGCGCACAATGACCTCGACGCGATCGTGTCCGATCCGCAGGTCGTCCGGCTCCACCTTAAGCTTGAGCTTCTTCGCCCGCACGATGGCGTCCGCGATGTCCTTCATGGAGATGCCGAGCTGCATGTCGGAGAGCGCCTGCAGATCCACCTGCAGCACGATTTTGGCCACATCCGGGAGCCACTCATCGTCAATGTACGATATGACATCCGAAATGTAGGTCTTCTCGATCCTCCCCTTGACCACGCGCGCCGCCTTGAGATCCACCTTGTTCTCCAACTCGCAGGTAATGACAGGCGTGCTGATGAGTTTGGACGCGTTGATGATTTCCTTGATACGGGGCACACCCTGCGTAATACTCATGCCTGCGACACCAGCAAAATGGAATGTCTTGAGCGTCATCTGCGTACCAGGCTCGCCGATAGACTGCGCACCGACGGCGCCAACAGCATGCCCCGGCTCGACGCGTGCCTTCCTGTACTTGTGGAGACACATCTGGATAAACTGCCGCAGTGTGCGCTCCGAGACCTTTGCAACGCGGTCAACATGGCCTTGGGCCTTGGCCCGTATCCTCGCCTCCCGAGCCGCCTCATCCAGCTCGCTCTCTTGGTCGAGCTCTCGGCGCAGATCCTTCAGAACATACTCAAACGGCTTGTGCGGCTCGCCAAAACTGTCGAGCTCCATTTCCGAATTGTCTGTTGATCGTACCGGCTCCCATCGGTCGAGTTCTTTCTTCATCGCCTCGTCGCCGGGTGGTAGGCATGGATCCAGACCGACCGCCTTGCGTGCCTTGGCTAGCTTCATGGCATGCTCTCTGACGTAGTCCCTGATCGTGTTGAGGTAGACTCGGGCGCTCTCGTGCTCATCAATGGCGATCAGGACGTCATGATCCATACTCTTACGGATCGTCTCGTCGTCGTACTTGATCTCCTCGTTTGTAACAAGATGCCTCCTGACATACTTTCTCCTTTCCTCGTCCAAGATCGTCTTGCACAATTCTTGAATTTCCGATGGCAACAACGACACTTCGGAATTGCTCCAAGTGACGCTCTGCGCGTGATTCCACGTTCTGGCAAAATCGACGGGTTTTGCATCGCCTTCCATGTCGACAGGATCGAGTCTGTCAGCGCCGTACTGGAACTGCACGATTCCGCCCTCGGACGTGCGGACCGTGTCGTCATACTGAGTTGAGAGATCTTCTAAAGATTTCATAAGTCGTCTGGACATGTAGCCGGTCTCGGCTGTCTTGACGGCTGTATCGACCAAGCCTTCTCTGCCGGAAATCGCGTGGAAGAGGAACTCAGTTGGGACCAGGCCGGTGTAGAAACTGTTCCTGACGAAACCTTTTGACGGCGGCTGGCGTGCGTTCTTGTGGAAGTGCGGCAGACTGCGGTCCTGGAATCCATCCGGCACACGCTTGCCGCCGATAATCTGCTGTCCGACGCAGGCAACCATCTGGGCCACGTTGATATCAGACCCCTTAGAACCGGATTTGGCCATGATTAGTGGAGCATTGTTCTTGCTCAAATTTCCGACGCAATAATCACCCGCCTGCTGTCTGACTGCGCTCAGCACACCGGAGATGGTGTTCTCGAGAGTCTCCTCCAGGTTGCAGCCGGGAGCCTTTTCCAGCTTCCCTTGCCTGTAGGTCTCGATGAGTTCGTCGCACCTTTTGTAGGCATCTTCCACGAGCCTCGACTTGTACTCTGTCAAGGCTCCCGACGGCCACACATCGCCGACACCGATCGAGAACCCACGGAGTGTCAGTGTTCTAGCGCAGAGCTTGGCCAGGCGGTTCATAGCAGCAGCAGCATAATCCGGTCCAAAATCCCGAAGAATCACGTAAAAGACCGAGTTCTTTTTGCCGCCTCCGACTGTTGACTTGTCCATCCTGCCGCACATGACTTCGGAATTCCGAACGACTAGGAAGGCGTCGTCAATGTCCATGTCGGGAATCTGGCCATCGTTCTTCTTCTTGAAAACCTTGTTCTTCGCGTCCAGGTTCACCAGGACAGGGGATTCTTTATTAGGCCGCATGAGGACGTTGAAGATCTGCTTGCCCGTCCAGAGTGCCCTAGGCTTGATAATGGCGGGCGGAGGGAGCTCAAGATATGTGTCTCCCAGAAGCATCTGAGTGCAGATGTAGGTAAAAGCCGTCCGGTCGAAAAATCTGTCCTTGCTACTGAGCAGAAAGGCCGCAGTGATAAAGTCTTGCGTAGCGGCAATGATGGGCTCGCCATTCTTAGGGGTGATCAAGTTGTGCTTTACGCCCATCAGGTTAATGGCCTCTGCTCGAGCCTCCTCTGTCTGCGGGACGTGCAAATTCATCTCGTCTCCGTCGAAATCGGCGTTGTACGGCGTACAGACACATTCGTTGAGACGGAAAGTCCTCCAGGGCCGAACCTTGACGAGATGACTCATGATACTGAGCTTATGCAGAGACGGCTGTCGGTTGAAGAGGACAATATCGTTATCCTCCAGGTGGCGTTCGACAACATCTCCAAACTCTAGACTGCTAGCGTGCCTCTCCCGGAGCGATTCTGTGCCGATTTTGAGGTCATACTTTGCGCCGTCTTTCTTGACGATGCCCTGAGCACCGGGCCAGATGTTGGGTCCGTTGATCACACGTTCCCGGAGCTTCTCAATGTTCGCGTGGTTCACTCGTTCGGGATACGTCAGGTTCTTGGCCACCAGCTGCGGGACTGCCACCTGCTCGATGCTGAGGTTGGGATCAGGGGAGATGACTGTTCTCCCGGAGAAGTCGACACGCTTTCCCGAGAGATTGCCACGAAACCGACCCTGCTTTCCCTTGAGACGCTGGCAGAACCCACGAATAGGCTTTCCAAACCCAGGTTGATACAGGCCCGGGACATCGCTGTTAACATACATGCCCACCTGCAACTGCAGGAACTCCCATTGTTCCATAATCACAGGTAGTGCAACCCCCTTCTTGAGCGATTCGCGCAGATGACCGGCGTAGAGAATGATTTCTGACAACTTGCTTGTGATGTCATCTTCATTACTCGCATTCTCCTGGGCAACCGACGGCCTGATGGCGATCGGCGGCGCTGGGACGTATCTCCAGAGGAACATCTCGGGTCGTCCTTCGGCAGGATCTAACCCCAGAAGCTCGCAGTCCGCGGGTTCGATCATCTTGAAGAGATTCAGGACTTTCAGGGGGTTCAGATCGTCCATCGCCTTGCGCGTATGCTTCTCCAGTTCAGGTGTATATTTTTTGGCTTGTTCGAACGAGGCATCGAATTCAACCTTGGCTTCGGGCGGAATCTTTTTCTGTGCCGTCGATTTGTTGTAGGCCGCGAACTTGTCGTGTACGAGCTTCATAACGCTCAACTTCCGTATTACGCCTTGTATCGAGCCACAGTACGGACAGGTCCTAGCCTTCCTACACTGCTCATTGATCTTCTTGAGAATCGCCGTCCGCCTTAGATTGTCGATGCCGGGGCGACGCAGTTCCTTCAGGAATTGGCGCCGTTCAGGCTCCTGGAGAAGGACTTTCGCGCAGTCCTTGCAAATATTTTGCAGCGTCGTCTGGATATATTTCAGGTAGCCGATGTGGAAGACCGGGAGCGGCAGTCGGACGTAGCCAAAATGACCGGGACACTCCTTAAGACCAAGCTGGCATGTGCTACACTTGCTCTCTCGGTTTGTGCTCGACGTTCCCTGAGATCGTGTCAGTTCCTGGACCAATGATCATGAAGTACGGCAAGATACGAACCAGGCGTGGATCGAGGGGTCCATGTGGGAAGGGCGTTCGTCGATTTTCGACATCGTAGAGCAAGTTGTCAGAGACCTCGAGGACGCCTTGGCTCACGATATCCTGATGAGATCTACAAAGAAAGCATACGTCAGCCACCTGGCTTCCAGTATCTTACCTAGCCGACTCGAGGAAGGCTTTGGAGGGTTCTTACTGGATGCCGAACTTGAGCGCCTTGAAGCGCTTAGGGAGCTGGTCAACCAGCTGCTCCTTGCGTCGGCGCACTCGCTTTTCAACTGCCATGTCTATTCTATTGTCGAATCTTCTGAATATGGGTTGCTGGTCGAGGAATGGTAGGTTCCGGTAAGGCCTTCGACGTTGATTGTGGACTACCTGCTCATAGCGGGCAACAGGTGTCACTCGGAATAAATGGTGCTGATGAACGCGCGCGTAGATGGGACGCGTAACCTAATGGTGGTATGTGGCAAGTCAATAACAATCGTCGTCCGGTGTTGTTGACAAGATGGCGAATAATTTTGATAGAGGCGGGGCATGCGCATGGAGATGACTCCAAGAATCCAATTCCGAGTCGTACCCCACCAGGATGCGATGCGACGCAGGGATCAGACCACAACCGTAGTGGGCACAGATCCTTGTTGCATGCGTCTTGGCGCTGCGTTAACCTCAAGATGACATACTAGTAGTTGCTATACTTGAGCTTGGAGCTCTCAACTGACCCGAACGACAACCACTCAATTTGAACCCATGTGATTAGCCTGTGCCTCACCCTTGGAACATTGTTAACTCGACCAGACTGCCCAACCACTTAGTGACCTTTTCCGCTTTCTCTTTCTATTGTCCAACCCTGTCTCCGCTTCATCCTGAGTGCGAAAGGCAGACGCCGCGCAACCCGGAACTCCCGCTCCGCGCCACTGCAAACGACAAAGTTCCTCGCCGCACAGTGTTCAGTTCTTCACTCGGTTCCAGCCAGTGACAGGGCTGGCAACCCTCGAGCGCTCTATCACTTCCTCCATATTGGCGTCTCTAGTGCCACTCCCAATTCGCCCTCATTGCAGGTTGTGCCGACGTGTCCTTCAACGAAGTTGCCGACAATCTTTGCAACAAGCGAGGACATCGAGATTTATTTTCGGGTGGCCACTAGGCCATACCGAAGCCATGGCGTCGACATCCGGCGATAAGAAGGCGGAGAAGTCGTATCTCGCCTCAGCTGTCGACTCTATCAATCCGTGGGCCCGGGGCCGCAGCGCGACCCCGACACCGAAAGAACCTCAGCCCGTCATCGCTCCGTCAAATTCTGTAGACCATACGACGAACCCTTACTATGGACAGAGCCTCTGGAGCTATCCGCCGGACTGTCCACAGCTGAAAGTGCAATGGTTCCACGCAGTGGACGTGAGTGGTCCAAGGATACTTACATTCCTTGCCTCGCCTTTGAGGACCATACTTATCAGAACTCTGCCAGGTCCCGAAACGCAAGCCAAAGTTCATGCAATCCAATAGTACTAGCGACACAAAACCGCCGCAAGCGAAGAAGTTTGTCACGTTCTCTGTCGAGGACTCCCGCGCCATCGAAGCCGCATATCAGAACAAACTACAGGAGCTGGAGGCGGAAAGAAGTCAGGAAAGCGTGCATGCCGCTGCACGCGCGGGATCTAAACGGCCGCGTGCCGCCTCTCCAGAAGCAGCACAGGACGCAGATCAAACGATTCCCTCCACAAGAGTCGCGGTAAACGAAGACTTTCTCTTCGACGTCAGCATAGAAGACCGTGAACTTGCCCCTGTCTATTGGGAGGGCCCTGTCTACGAGGTGCGGCGTGGAAGCTGGTTCTATCAAGAAGGTTCGACACTCCGGCCCTGTGAGGAGAATCTAGCCGCCCAGCTTGAAGAGGGCTACCTCAAGGTCAAGCCCTGGCAGTACCCGCTCAGGTCGCGTAGCAATTCTGCCTCAAAGGTTGATACTTCAAAGGCCTCGATCGATAATCTGAGGAATGCTGCCGAAGCGCAAGATGATGTATCCAAGAAAAATCCTGCAGCAACTCAACAGCATCCGTCAACGCACCGTCTCTTTGGGAGCTACATGAATAGCGTTGTGACGTACCAAGATTCAGCCACAGCCTGGCTGTCGTCGGACAGCATGTTATCCTGGGTGACGTCCACGGTATACGAGAAATTCGCCGTTGGCGGCTACTTGAGCGGTACAAAGCTCGTTCGTGGTTATGAGGAGCCGAAAAAGTCTAAAGACGAGAAACGGCCGCCTACTCCAACAGAGACAAGGTCAGCCTCCAAAGACCGCGGCGACAAGCCGACCAAGGCGCAAAAGAGACGTTCCATGCCCCCATCCAGCACAGGATCCGAGCCAGACGTTGTAAAGGAGGGGGTTCCAGACGCTCTTGAGAGCACTCGAAACCGTCTGACGCGGCAGATATCCAATTTGATCGAAGGCGTCGAGGATCCAGACGGGGAGGAAGAGGCCATTCGAGAGCGTGAGGAGAAGGAGATTCTAGGAGATTACAACGTACGGGCGGACGACAACCCGGGTCGCTCCATTGAGCATCTCGTGTTAGTCACCCACGGGATTGGGCAGCTACTTTCGCGCAGGTATGCCTCTCCTCTCTTTTTTCGATGTACAATACAATACCTATGGAGCTGACGGCTGCAGGATGGAAAGTATCAACTTCGTGCACGACGTCAACGTACTACGCAAGACCATGAAGTCCGTATATTCGGCTTCGGCAGACTTGCGGGCCTTGAACTCCGAGATCGACGAACCTGGACTAGGGAACTGTCGTGTCCAGGTCCTGCCTGTTTGCTGGCGCCACCTCCTTGATTTTCCAAAGCGCAAGCCAAAGAAAGGTGAACGTGACCTCGGCGAGATATTCAACGAAGAAGCAGACTGTATGTCTCCCAGAGTGGCGTATCTCTTTTTTCTTGTTTTTCTTTATTTTTCTTTTTTTTTTTCTTTTTTTTCTTTTTTGTCATTTTTTTTCTTTTTTGTCTTTTTTTTTTTTTTTCCTTTTTTCTCTTTTTTTTTTTGGGCTAACAGCGCACAGATCCCTCTCTCGAAGACATAACCGTCGAGGGAGTGGCATTTGCAAGGTCCCTTATCTCGGACCTTGCTCTGGATGTCCTCCTCTACCAAAGCGCCTATCGAGAACAGATCGCAGAGATCGTTCTGAAGGAGGCGAATCGAATCTACAGGATCTTCAAGGAGCGTAACCCTGAGTTCAACGGCAAAGTCCACATTGTGGGACACTCACTAGGTTCCGCAATCATGTTCGACATACTCTGCCGACAGAAAGAGCAGAAAAGGGTGAACGAGTCGCCGAGGAATCCCCTCCGGTTCTGGCCTGCTTCGCAGGACAGGTATGAGCCAAAGGAACCGAAAGAGCTCGCCTTCGATTTTGAAGTCGAGGACTTTTACTGTCTCGGCTCTCCTATTGGGCTGTTTCAGATGCTCAAGGGGCGAACGATCGCTGCACGGAATCACCCCAGTGCTCTCCCATCCGAAAGCCCGCTCAACCCAGAGTACATGGACGATCCCTTTCTGGATATCCCCGCTTCTCAATCCTACTCCAACCAACGCGTTTCGCCAATCACCGGACTCCCATTCACCGTTTCCTCCCCGAAGGTCGGACAGCTATTCAACATCTTCCATCCCTCCGATCCCATTGCTTAGTATGTCAAATTCGTGCTGTTTATGTCCGAACCTGGCTGTCTCAGGAGTCAATGTGCTCCTGAGACAGGCTTTTGCTCCCGAATTGCTCCCGAGACACCCCGATCCGGGAAGAAATGGCTGACATTGTTGGATACCCTAGTCGGCTGGAGCCATTGATAGCCCCAGAAATGACAACGCTGAAACCCCAGGCGCTGCCATACACAAAAAAGAGCCTCTTCGGCTCCGTCGCGCAGCAAGGCTTAACTGGCATCGGCGCCAAGGTCGGCCAAAGTGTCTCCGGCCTGTGGAGCAGCCTCAGCGCCGGCATCGCAAGCAACCTCCTCAACCGCAGCCTGGGCCTCAGCAATGAAGATGTAGCCAAGATCACGGCGTCTCAACAGCAGCAGCAGCAGCAGCAGCATGCTCTCAGCCCTGGTGCTGGAACCAATGTCTCAGCGGGCGTCATCCCCGATGCCAGTGCTCTGTCTGCGGCTGAGCGAAGCGAGAAAACGGCGGAGCGCATGCGGCAGCTAGCCAGTGTCGCAACCAATGGCCGCGGGCCAACGGTGAGTGGCAACGAAGCGACACTGATCGATGATGAGTTGGAGACGCTGTTTAGCAGGTTCCAGAAGAACCGGGTTGATATGGCAGCTAAGGAAAAGGGTAAGGACAAGGGGGCCGCTGCTGGAGACAGTATCAGCCTCAGTAAGGAGAAATTCCTGGAGGAGGAGAGGAAGGCTCAGAGGCTGAGGCGGGAGGAAATGAAGATTCGGGCGCTGAACCGGAATGGGAGGGTGGATTACTGCATTCAGGAGTAAGTTCGATCGCACCCTCAGCACTGCTGCAGCTGGCTAATTGGCAATAGGAGCGTGTTGGATTTCAATCCGATTAATACCATCGCCTCGCATATGAGCTACTGGGCGGACGAGGACGTCAGTCATTTTATGCTGTCACAAATGTTGGCGAGCAAACCGCGGACGCCCAGGAGTTGACCAGCCTGTGGCTGAGAGTAGCAACTCCATCCGCCACCTCTGAACCTTTCTATGGCGTTATTGAGGGAGTATGGCTTATACAGAGGGGGCTGCATTCGGGAGGATAGAAGGTGTCAAATACCATCTCGACACGGCGTTTCTGTGTGTACATGTGGATTCTTCGGCGACTGGCATAGATAGGTCCGATTTTTACCAGATCTCGAATTATTATCCCAGCTCAAGGCCTTCCATGCCCAAGTCGGTCTTCTAATCCAAGCCAACAAGCGGTGAGAAAGTTGTGACTCGGATAGTCCATGAGGTGGTGCTGTAACAGTCATTCTGTGTGATGTCGCGTCCGCGGATACCTCCTGAAATGCCCCACAGCCACAGCAGGGAGTATGACATGGCGTTCCGACAGCAAGATGGGATACCAAGTAGGTCGGGTGGTCATCTCGTGGATGAGTATCGTGTCAACCAGCACTGTCAGGCTCGTGCCGCCGAGAAAGGAAGGTTGATAGAGCGGAACATGGGCCCGGAGGTGTCTTGGCTGAGTTGCAGTCCGGGTACCAGAGGTGTCAAGGAGGCTCGATGAGCTCGGGATGTCCTCGACCCGTTCCCTTCCTCGTCCCCTAGCAACGCCCCAAACCTTCCTTTCCCGCCCTCAACTTGTCTAACACGTGCTCCCTCCGTTAGGTAAACAGCCCGCCCTCAACCAACCGTGTCCACGGATGACCCAATTCCAGACACACATCCCCCGCTGTCCTCCCCCTCTCGTCCCTCACAAACCTCACATCCTCTTCCACCGGCAACGACCCAGCCTCCCTCCTCGCCAACCCCATTCCCTGCGCCGCCTGCACCACGGCGGGCGGGAAATCCTCACTCCGCGCCGCGCTCCCCAGCCAAAGTAGCAACCATACCACTTCCTCCTGTTGCGCCTCTAGCGCCACATGCAGCGCGCTCCGCCCGTCGTTGAGGGGGTCCCGCCATACGAGGAGCTGCGACGCGGTCACTGGCGTGTCGTCATCCATGTTTTCCTCGAGGTCCCGGAGCAGCTCCACCATTCCCTGCAAGTCGCCCTCCGAGGCGAGCGTGTGCAAGGCGCGGGCCGGGCGAGCTTCCGGGTGAGAGGCGATGAAGGCTTCTTCGAAGAGGGTAGGGGCGATGTCTAGGTCTTCCTGCATCCCGCCTTCGTTGGTGTAAGTCGTGAGTATGGGAGTGTCTCGTAAGCTTGGCTGCGCGGATGATGAGGACGACCCAGCTGCCGCGGAGGTAGGGGATGGGAGATAGCTGTTGCAGGAGGGGCAGCTGAGCGAGGAGGCTACCTCAGCGGCTTGGTCCAGCAGGCATTGCCAGTGGAAGTGGCAGCCGCACGGGAGGACAAGGTCGTCCGGAACGGTCAAGCCTTCGTCCCCCGACTCCTCAGCATCAAGGGTTAGGGTGAGGGGGTCGTGGCAGGCTTTGCAGGCCGCTTCTGTCATTTTGAGCGCTCAAGCTTCGGTAACTCTTGATAATGATGATGTCTCGATTTCGAAATGGGCGATCCACGAGAGCTTGGTTTCTGCGGAGCAGGTCAGTCACCGGATGAGGGTGACATAGAAAGACAGCGTGCGTTACACCAACTTACCAGCAATACGTTTGAACTGGCTGGTGGCGGATTGACCGATATTCTTTGATTGGGTTCCTGAAAATTGCTTTGGAGAGGCAGCCGTTTTACTCCAGGCTGTGAAGTTATCCGCAAGACGCCAAGAGAAGAAATAGGAAAGAAAATTCGCTGCTGTTTGTTAGCGCACTACTTAAGGTATGGCGGGCTAATGCTGTGAGACTGCAAGCTGAGTAGGTGGCAGCGCAAGTTGTCTCTTAACGTTCTAGCCCCGCAACACCGCAATGGAAAAGCCTCGAGGTTGGGGTGGTGCCTGGAGCTTGATTGGGCCATTACGCAATCCCCTGTGGCTTGGTTCTCAAACCCCGGTCGGGATTACATCAGGGCCCTTGTGCAGGGAGCCCCGCGATCTCCCGCCGACCCAACCAGACGACAGCGTAGCAAGCTTCTTGAAGAACAAAGCCACGCGACTGCGGCTCCCATCTTAGGAGGACTCGATTCACTGCTCCTGCCGTGCTACAATCTTTTTCGGGGCAAAACAATCATTCTCTCTAGGCGCACCGCAGCTTTATTGTTGTCGAGCATCGTCAGACCTCCTGCACAACAGCGCTACGAATTCGCGCCATCATGAATGTCCTCAAGCTTCAGAGGTATGGCTGTCCGGATGAACCCGGCTTTTGGAAGCACCCCCGTTCAAAGTAATTGCGACTGACACTGCGAACAGGAAGTTCCCTCAATTCCAGCAAAATGACATCTTCTCCTTAGCCGACGCCTTCCGCAAGCTGGATGTTGACGACAAAGGGTACATTGACGAGGCTACTGCCATCAAGGCCACTCAAGCGAGCGAGCGTCAACCATACGATGTCGTTCGTCAGGCCTTGAAGGAGGTAGAGCTTGATTCCTCGAGGCGGGTCGAGCTGGAAGACTATGTCGGGGTATGTGCAGCTGTTCTAGAGCTTTCTGAGCTCGCGCAACGTTCTCTGAAACCCGCCAACGTCACCCCGAGGGCCCACGAACCGTGCCCTTGAAGACCCTTGACTAATATTGCTTCCCAGCTCATCGCCAAGCTCCGCGACTCTTCTGGACCGCAGCGGACTGCCGCTGCCGCTGCCTCTACCCCTGCCGCCGTCATCTCCCAACGGACGGGGCCGGGCCACGCCTCCAAACCGAGCCTCGGTGGCAGCGGCAAGATTTTCGTGCAAGGCTCGAATGCTAACATCACTCACACGATCAATGAAGATGAGCGCACCGAGTTTACCCGCCACATCAACGCCGTCCTCGCTGGCGACGCCGACATTGGCCAACGGCTACCGTTCCCGACAGACACTTTCGAGATGTTCGACGAGTGCAAGGATGGTCTTGTCCTGGCCAAGCTTATCAATGACAGCGTTCCTGATACGATCGACGAACGTGTACTGAACGTGCCCGGGAAGAAGTCGAAGACGCTCAATGCCTTCCAGATGACGGAGAACAACAACATCGTGATTGAATCCGCGAAGGGTATTGGCTGTTCCGTGGTGAACATTGGCAGCGGGGATATCATCGAGGTCCGAGAGCATCTTATTCTTGGCTTGATCTGGCAGATCATCCGCCGCGGTCTCCTGGGCAAGATCGATATCAAGCTCCATCCCGAGCTTTACCGACTACTTGAGGAGGATGAGACACTGGAGCAATTCCTCCGCCTCCCGCCAGAGCAGATCCTGCTGCGTTGGTTCAACTATCACCTCAAGGCTGCCAATTGGTCCAGGAGGGTACAGAACTTCTCCAGCGATGTGAAGGATGCCGAGAACTACACGGTACTGCTGGCACAGATCGGTTCGGAGTACGGCTGTACACGCGCTCCTCTTCAGACCCGCGATCTGCATCAGCGCGCGGAGGAAGTGCTCCAGAACGCCGACAAGATGGGATGCCGGAAGTTCTTGACTCCTTCCTCGCTCGTCGCCGGGAACCCCAAGCTCAACCTCGCTTTCGTGGCCAACCTATTCAACACGCACCCCGCCCTCGACCCCATCACCGAAGAGGAGAAGCTCGAGGTAGAGGACTTTGATGCCGAAGGAGAGCGGGAAGCCCGTGTCTTTACCCTCTGGCTTAACAGCTTGGACGTACAGCCAGCCGTCCAATCATTCTTCGACGACCTCAGGGATGGCACGGTCCTTCTTCAGGCCTATGACAAGGTGATCAAGGGTTCTGTTAACTGGCGGCACGTCAATAAGCCACCGGCCCACGGCGGCGAGATGCTACGGTTCAAAGCAGTCGAAAACACCAATTACGCCATCGAGCTTGGCAAACAGAACGGTTTCTCGCTGGTCGGCATCCAAGGCGCCGATATCACGGACGGACAACGCACCTTGACGCTGGGTTTGGTCTGGCAGCTAATGCGCAAAGACATCACGCTGACCCTCCGAGGCCTGGCACAGCGCCTCGGCAAGCGGGAGATCACGGACGCGGAAATGGTCCGGTGGGCCAACGACATGAGCCGCAAGGGCGGCCGCAACTCCAGCATCCGCTCGTTCAAGGACCCGGCGATCGGCACCGGTGTCTTCCTTCTGGACGTGCTCAACGGCATGAAGAGTAGTTATGTCGACTATGATCTAGTCACCCCCGGCCGTACCGATGAAGAGGCCTACCTAAATGCCAAGCTCGCCATCAGCATTGCCAGAAAGATGGGGGCCACCATCTGGCTGGTACCGGAGGATATCTCCCAGGTCCGCAGTCGCCTGGTGACGACCTTTATTGGTGAGCTTTACCGTGTGTCCTTTGGTTCTTGGGCCCCTCCAAGCTGACAGTTAATACAGGATCGTTGATGGCTACATACGAGAAGATGCAGTAGGTGGTGGATGAAGCGTTTCAGTCGATGGGCTGGCAGGCTGGTTCTGGCAAAAGTTAGGGAAGCAGCGGTTCAATGGTTCCTTCTTCCCGGCGATGTCCGAGTTACGCGAGCAATCCGGTTTCTTGTGTAGTAGTCGAGTTAGTGGCGTCCGAAACGAAGCCTTGAAATCCTTCTGCCTTCCTTAGGGAGCCTGAAGACCGAGCTTGCGAAAAGGTTTGGTGTAGCTAAGCTTACTTCTGCCAATACTCTTACTAAGAAGGGAGCAGGTGATTAAGCAGAGATTTTGATGGGGATCTCGGTGATTAGCAACATCCGCCTAGCCCAGCGTTTTCCATATTCTCTTCATTGTTCGATCTCCCTCTAGATCTTCGTAGTGACACCAATTCAGCTCGCCTGCCTCTTTCAAATTGTTGTTCGTGGTTCGCCCTATCCGTAAAGCGAACTCCAGAAATAGATACAGAACGAATTCCAGACCGCGAATATGACAGAGACAAGCAGCGAGCCTTCTTAAAGTCAAGCCTCGCTCCCGAAGACACGTACGCACTCACTCTCTTGCTTCGTAATGTGGAAAGCGTAATAGTTGCCCCTGTCGTACAGGGCTTCGGCCCATTGGGCTTACTGAGCACCATCACTTGATCCTCGAGCAGAGACAGCCTGTTACGACCGTGCCAATGGGAGTAACTCGTGATGGCAACGGTAGATCCGGATATGCTTTGTAGAAAAGGCGATGAAAGTCCCATGCAATTCTAAATGCTACTAGGATGGCGGTCAGCGACGTAGTGGTTGACTCAATATGTAATCAACCCAGAAAACCTCCGAATCACAATGGACAACTGAACAACTTACAAAAGCAGTGCAAATCTCGAATAGCTGTGTAGCTGGAGGGTATAAAGATGCCGTCTACCTAGGTATCTCATACTCAAGACCATCCGTAAAGATCAGCAGGAACACAGAAGGACTCCACGCATAACCGAAGGCATGATGCTTCCACACGGCGTCTATCTCCTCTCCGCGGTACTGGCCCTAGGCAGCCATGTCCTCGCAACTGACTTCTCGGACATCCCATCACGCCTGCAGGCCATCTCGGCGGATATTGTCCCGGACCTCAAGGCCATAGCCGTGGACATCTGGAACCACCCGGAACTGGGACGCAGCGAGTTCCACGCCCACGACCTCATAGTTGACTACTTCACAACGCAACGCCCCGGAGAATGGACCGTCACACCTCACGCGTACCCCGGTCTGCCCACAAGTTGGAGGTTAGAGTTCGAGTTCCGGACCCCGAGCACTCCTCCCGATCAGCCGCTCCCCACCATTGGCTTCCTGGCTGAGTACGACGCTCTCGTCCAGATCGGACATGCTTGCGGCCAGTGAGTGACAAGGGTGCAGTTACCGCTGCGGAATCAGTTGAAACTGACGTCTGTTAGCAACCACATCGCAATGTTGGGCCTTGCGGTGTCGGGCATGGTGCGGCGGGCAATCATCGAGCTAGGAATCTCGGCGCGGGTTGTAGTGGTGGGCACCCCTGACGAGGAAGGCGAGGCCGGCAAACACGATCTGCTGCTGGCGGGGGCGTTCGACGGCATTGATATCTGGTTCATGGCCCATCCCACCAGCGCCAGCGCCATCCAGCCCATGAATGCCCGCATCAACGCGGTCGGGCACTTCCGGCGCGACACGCATGCCGATGTGGTAAGGACGGCGTACGAGGCGCTTGTCGCGGTCCGGGACCGGGCTGCGGCAGGTCTGCCCGGGACAGCGTCGTCCGTCAACGCCGTCGAAGACGTGGGAATGTTCGCATCCAACGTCGTGCAATCGCAGATCTCCCTGGGCTTCAACGGCACGTCCCTGGAGACAGTCCAGCAAACCGTGTCATCCATCCTGGACAGCACCTACCCCGGCGTCACATTTGTCGCAGGCAATGACGAAACCGTTCCCGGCGGCGTCAATCTCACCGTCTTCGGGCCCGGCGGCCATGCCTCGGAAAGCACCAAGAGCCCGCTGGTGCTGACCATCGAAACGTTCCGCCAACTCTCCCCACGCGGCAACGTATCCTTCTACCTCCCCGGCAACACGACCTGCACAGCGCTGGACATCACCTGGGACCTCCGCACGCGATATACGCAGGATCTCTCCTCAGTCCTCGCGCCCATCTCCGCAGAGATCCAAGCCGGGGCCGCGGCGATCGCGACAGACACCATCTACCCCTCGCTGGAAGTCACGCCCGTACTGCCGGACATGTTCCTGGACCTGGTCCAGCAGCCCGAGTACTTCGGCCCTTCCAATAACTGGCAACTGTCCACTTTCGCCCCGGCCTCGACCGATGCCTCCTGGCTGCAGAACGCCGTGCTCGATCCGGAGACGCACGCGCTGATCGGAGCGGACAGGGTCGTGTTCCATCCGAACTACGGCATATGTGAGCCCGGGGCGAGCTGCGCGTTCAACCACGAGCCGGGCTTCCGCGAGGTGGCGGGCACCGAGTACAGTTACGCTCAAACGGAAATAGTCGCGCGGGCGCTGGCGGATATCGCGGTGCGAGTATTGGGAGACGATGCGTTGAGGGCGAATGTCACGGCAATCTTGAGGAAATGATTGCGTTGCACTATGTATTTGGGTCACACTTACTGACTGGCGAAGAGCGGAAGCGCAGGGCCGGAAGAAGTAGCCATGGTGGATAGAGAATATTCGCATTTCCCTTTGCAACGTGGTTGGTAGGTATCTTTCTTCACAGTAATCCGTAAGCATCTCCTTGACCTTGAAAGTAGGTACGCCATCAGACCTGCATGCAGATCTTCAAGACGGAATCAGGATGGACGGCTGAATGGGCACACATCCCAGCCGATAGTAGCGACCTTACAACTGCAAAGTCCCCACCTGTTTTGCTTCCACCAAGTAGGTGATCTCTTCTTCCTCACATCTCAAGCAGCGCTTAAGATTGCAATGAAAAAGATGTTCGCGTCGCCTGGAGGCAGTGTAATACCAGGGACACAGTGGGAGTCGAGCATGTGCAAGCACAGAGGCAAGACTCCCGAGGGCCAAAAATAAGTATAATCACGATTCTACTCCGTAGAGCAGTTTCAGAGATTAAACTGAAAAGAACAGATACTACACTTGATCTAAGCCAAAAGGCAAAGAGAGCTAAAGAAAAAAAAGAAGAAAAAGTTCCAAAATTTTGGCAGCCGGGCGCAGAATATATAGACTGGTACAGGTGGTCTGTGCACGCCTGCAAACTCTCCAAGACCCACAGCGGTAGGTTCCACTCTATGGATCCTGCCATGGGCGGTGACCAGCGGCAATTTGGCAAGACGACCGGGAACCCCGCCACGGCGCTCCCGACCCCTCGCTGAATCGCAGCCGAACCGGAACCCCACCAAAATTTGAGTCTACAACATCGGGTAATTGTGAGTCAACTGTTTGGGCCACCTCTATTTCTCCTTGGACAAATCAGCGGCTACAGGAATTCGGCATCCACTAACTACAGCGACAAGTCAGAACTCAGCACACAATGGCGGCCCCGGATTCAGACAAGAGATTCACTCTTATCAAGGAGAACCTGGCCGAGGTTCTCAACGAGGAGATCATCAAGAAGATCCTCGATGAGGGGAAACACCCCAAGATCTACTGGGGTAAGCTGCCAGGCTGCTGGAATCATGGGTTCATGCGCCTGCGCGTAAAATCAATGCTGACGTCTGTGGAATTAGGTACCGCGACCACAGGCCGTCCACACTGCGGCTACTTCGTCCCCGCGATCAAGATCGCCCAGTTCCTCGCCGCTGGCTGCGATGTAACGATCCTGCTCGCTGATATCCACGGCTTTCTCGACAACCTCAAGGCGCCGCTCGAACTTGTCATGCACCGCGCCGAGTTTTACCGGCACATCATCACCACCATGCTCCAGGCGGTTGGCGTGTCGACAGAGAAGCTCCGGATCGTGCTCGGAAGCTCGTACCAGAAGAGCCCGGAATATGTGATGGACGTGTACAAGATGGCGTCTCTGATATCGGAGCACGATGCGAAGAAGGCAGGCGCCGAGGTGGTCAAGCAGACGGATAATGCGCCGCTAAGTGGCCTGCTCTACCCAATCCTGCAGGTGCTGGATGAGCAGTACTTGGATGTCGACGCACAATTCGGCGGCATGGACCAGCGGAAACTGTTCACAGCGGCGAAGGAGTGGTTGCCAAAAGTCGGCTACAGGGAGCGTGCGCACCTGCTGAACCCCATGGTTCCTGGGTTGCACGGCGGCAAGATGAGCTCGAGCGATCCCGACAGCAAGATCGACCTGTTGGACCCTCCCGAGACCGTCGCCAAGAAGATCAAGAAGGCGATTGCTGCGCCGCAAGTTGTAGAGGAGAACGGACTGTTAGCTTTCATCGAGTTCGTCTTGCTGCCTGCAGCACGGCTACGCGGCGATGGACAGTTCCGTGTCGACCGTGACCGGGATGGGTTAGAGCCACTGGTCTACACGGATATCGAGAAGATTCGCGAGGATTACAAGAACGATGTGGTACGTTCCCTCCCTTCTCTCACGAGAGGACTCAGGCACTGACAGCGCGGATAGTTAACCCCGCAACTCATTAAACCTGCTGTTGCACGGGATCTCAACGCGCTCCTGGCTCCCATTCAAGAAGCGTTCAAGGCTTCTAAAGAGTGGCAAGAAATTGCCGAGAAGGCCTACCCACCACCCCCGAAGAAGGAGAAGAAAGTCAAGAACAAGGGTACCCGCTACCCCGGCAACAAGGAGCAGAGCGAATCGAAAGACCAGGAGCTACCGATTCGGCCGAACGGGGAAACTCCCAATTGATAGAAGTGATGGATGCTACTGGTGCATTGAAAAAGGCAAGAACAAAGCACAGGACTATGAAGACGCAGACACCTTCCACTCCATACAGTCTGTGCGTCTGGCAGAGGACAGCAATCTACGGACTTCCTCGTCGGTCATCGGGCTGTTGCCGACTGCCCGACCAACTTGACGTCGACTTGTTCACCGGCCGGAAATGGCCCCGCCTTAGAGCCGATCTATGAGACATCATGTGAGCGTATCGGCCGGATGGTATCGGGATCGTACCGGAGTCTCGATAGGAGAGTTAGACGTTTGGTGGACGCCGCTGGGCTGGGATCTATGTCAGCTTCATACAGTAACTGCTATAGACGCAATTACAATCTCAATTCCGGGGACAGTAAGTTGTCCATGCCGGGTGGTTTCGAGGTGACAAAGGTAGGCATGGATGATGGCCAGTGTTAACCCTAACCCCTTTCCACAGACTTGACGAATGACTCCGCACGCTCCAGTCTTTGGTTGCTTTTATCAAGTGAGCTGATCGTCAACGTCCCGAGAACCAGGAACCGGATTAGCCAAGCTTGACACATGAGGTATTTGCCGCAAAGTCGGCCTTCGGGCTCGAGACAAGCTCCGGATTCCAGGAGATCAACATACTTGTAAATCCATCATGTGCCCAGTTCTTTCTCGTCATTCCGGAATGATCGGGCCACCTGTTCCGTTGAATCCGACGGCGAACCCGAAACTCGAAGGTCAGGCTTCTTACCGTAGTGTAACGTCAAAGAGATAAATATCAGCTTACAGCCTTTCCGCTGTCAACTAGCCGAATGCTCACTGATCCAATCGCGAGCAGTTCACCTAGTTACTGCGAACCAGATTTTGAGCGCAACCGTCTTCGTGTCGTTGATGGTTTAAAATACATCCTTAACTGCCACTGTGAACTGCGGTTTCACATATACTTCCTCCCGTTTAGTCGGCATGGGCCGGGAAGCAGAGCGCAACGGTGCCGAGTCCGGGTCCGGATCCGGATCCGGATCCACCAACGGCGTGGTCACCGGTGACAGGACTCCGCTTGATCAACTCGGCCATCTATCTCCACCGGCCGACTCGCCGCCGCTGTTTCCAAATGCGCTTCGCGAGAAAGGCAACGCGGGGGTCGTCGAAACTGAGACCAACCAGGGCGACCACGATGGCCTGTCCAGAAGCCTGTTGGACGCGGCCGTCGTGAGGAGACGGAAGGCCCCGGGCTCCCATACCTCCGGAGAAACGCTCACAGCGTCGACGACTTCCTACGACTTCATTTCTCATGGAGAAGGAGGCTCACCACCGGCATCCTTTAGAGATGAGAGCGAGCTCGACACGCCCTCCGTCTCAACGTCACCCCCGTCAGAACAACAAGACTCAACATCGACCCAGGATCACCTTCCTCTGCCCGAGTCACAACCCGACGACACCACCAACTCCAACACCTCAACAGCACCACCCACCCCGGACCTTCATAACCATCCCCACCACGCCCAGCTTTCGTCGTCCCCTGCCATGATGACCCGCCAACGGCGCAAGGGGAAGTTCACCGACCTGGTCTTCACCCACAACTTCTCGACCTTCGACCGGCAGAACCCCAGCGCGGCGAACTCGCCCTTCCACGGCTTCTTCACGCTCTTCTGGATGGCCGTGTTCCTGTTCGTGGTCAAGATCGCGGCCGACAACTGGCGCGCGCACGGCAGCCCGCTGGGCACGAACGAGATCATGCGGACCATGTTCCAGCGCGAGGTGCTGGTGCTGCTCGCGGCGGACGGGGCCATGTGTGGCCTGACTGGGGTCAGTTGGCTGGTGCAGCTTGCCGTGAGGGAGGGGTTTGTCGAGTGGGATGGGGTTGGCTGGGTTTTACAGAATGTGAGTCCTCTCCCTTCCTTTCCCTCTGCCCCCCCCTCACCTCCCCATCCCCCGTCGAGATGCTTGTCCGGCTTAGATGAGTGGGAGATGGGGAGTGTGGGGTGGAGGGATGACAATCGTGCTGACAGTGGGCCATTGTCCAGGTCTGGCAGACGATGTTTATTGCGGGAGTGGTCGGGCTGACGATGCTGCGGGACTGGCCGTGGACGCACACCGTGTATTTCGTGCTGCACGGCCTGGTCATGCTCATGAAGCAGCACTCGTATGCGTTCTACAACGGCTATCTGTCCTCGATCTACAAGCAGCGAGCGCAGCTGCTTGCTAAACTCAAGAAGCTGGAACGGATCTCGCCCGTTTCGTCGCCATCACGCACAGAACCCCCCGTGTGCGAGATCAACACGTCACACCTCGCCAAAGTTCCGACGGCAAAAGGATACCAGGCACGGCGGCGGTCGATTCCCTTCGGGGAGATTCCGGATATTGACCGCATTGTTGCTGCCATCGACTCGGGCGAGCCTCTCGACGCGGAGCAGGTGCATGTTTTTGAGCGGCTCTTGAAGTGGGAGGTGGACGCTCTGTCCGACGAGCTCAAGGGCAAATCGACCAAGCCCGGAAGGGATTACCCGAATAACCTTACTTGGCGCAACCACTACGAATACGTCGTCTTGCCGACGGTGGTCTACGAGCTCGAGTACCCGCGCTCCAAGTCCATCAGCTGGTTCTATGTGGCGGAGAAGGCCGTCGCTTGCTTCGGAATCCTCTTTGTCATGATCATGATATCGCAGGCCTTTATCTACCCCGTCGTCATGGACACAGTCCGGATGAAGGAAGAGGGCGTCCCGCTGGCTGGCCGGTTCCGGCAATTCCCCTGGATGCTGCTGGACCTGATCTTCCCCTTCATGATGGAGTACCTGCTGACATGGTACCTCATTTGGGAAACTATCCTCAATTTCCTGGCCGAGTTGACCTACTTTGCGGACCGCAGCTTCTACGACGCTTGGTGGAACAGCGTGTCGTGGGACCAATTCGCGAGGGACTGGAATCGGCCGGTACACAATTTCTTGCTGAGGCATGTTTACCACAGCTCTATCTCGGCCATGAGGGTCGACAAGCATACGGCGACGCTCATCACCTTCTTCCTGTCGGCCTGTGTGCATGAATTGGTTATGTGGTGCATCTTCAAAAAGCTGAGAGGCTATCTGCTGTTTTTGCAGATGTGCCAGCTGCCGGTGAGTTGGCCTCTCTTCCCAAGCACGAACCGCAACACCATGCAGCAAAGATACTGACCTGGTATGTTGCAAGCTGGTGAGACTGAGTCGGACGAAGTGGCTCCGTAACCGCCCTCGGCTGGGCAACGTGATCTTTTGGCTGGGCATCTTCACGGGCCCAAGTATCCTTTGCAGCTTGTATCTCATTCTGTGACTGGAAGTCGTCATGGTCAAGAATTGTGCTGGAAACGCGAGTTACTTGAATCAAAGGAAGATGGCGAGGACCAATGCCGGAAAAGACGGTTGATGGATCATGGAGGAACAAACCTTTAGACTTTCTGAATCGACATGTCGACATCCAAGCGCGGTCTTTTGCATTCTGAGCGATGTGATCCGGAGACAAGTAGCTGAGCATCGTCGCCCATGCACCCAAGCCATCTCAGCCGCAGCATTCTTGGCCAGTACACAGCCAACAAAGCAAAGGACTGACAGTCTGATCCTACTAGTCTACTACGGAGTACGTAGTATCACAGTATGGGACGTGCACGGACACTCCGTCGAGCGTCGACCTCTTGGCGCCAAGAGAGTCGCTTAGTAAATGTGGGTCGCTCATGCTTTTGAAGCTCCCTGTCCGCTTTGCGCGAACATTCCAACCTCTCAACTTTCCATCAATCTTTTTTTGAACCCATCCATCGATCAACCGGTTTGCTTAGCTATTTTCATCTCGCCGACAACGGCATTGTTCGATTCATTTGAAAGAGCTTCACCTGCTGTGGGAAGCCAAAGGCTCAGAGCAGGCCAACTGCTGCATCTCACTCACTTCACCTTTCTCAGGCTGCCACGGTCAATCTGAACATCGCGCTTACCGCCCGCCAATATGTCGCGCAACGGAACCACCCTCTACGTGACCGGCTTTAGCCACGGTACTCGCGCGCGCGACCTCGCGTACGAATTCGAGCGGTACGTTTTAGACGACGGCGATCGATCGTCAGCTTCGAGTTCGGTCCTCGATTACCTTCCTCTTGCCGTCCCCATCCCCCTTCGTCGTCGCGCGTCCCTCGCCACCTTCTCTTCTCCTATCCTCGCCACCGTCGCTCCCATTGTCCCACGTCCTATGATTCGGTCGAGGCCCCGGGCCCCGGCTCTGCCATCGCCCTCGCCCCCGTCCCTTCGATCGAGCGGTCGGCGAAGATATCATCCCTTTCCTGCATCGAGCGAGCCACTCCCTAGAAGCGGCCGAAAATTTGGAGCTTGACCGCGCGCGGCCAGCAGAAAGACGACCTCCTCCTTATCAAACCTCCATGGGCTAAATGTACTAACGATGCTGATTCACCCAGCTACGGAAGATTGGTCAGGTGTGATATCCCGGCCCCTCGCTCTGCGAGCAGCAGGCTGTAAGTTCAAACCCAGTCAAGAAACGCCGGTAAAGAGACGACAACATCTGACCTGCATAATAGGTTTGCGTTTGTGGAGTACGAGGATCGCCGCGATGCGGATGATGCGTACCATGACATGCACAACAAGCGCATTGGGCGCGACGACATCCTTAAGATTGAAGTAGGCAATCCATCGAAGTCTCACCCAAGGCTGATCAATCTGTACTGATACGATTTAGTGGGCTCGCACTCCTCCGTCCGCGTCGTGGCGGTTTGACCGCAGTGACCGGGACCGTGGGCCTCGGCGTTCCTCTCCTCGCCGTAGGTCTCCTAGCCCCCGCCGCCGGGATTATTCGCCTCGCAAGGACGATCGTCGCGACCGGGACCGCGACCGAGACTATGATCGTGACCGCCGCGACACCCGTGATCGCTCCCGCAGCCCCGTGGATCGGTATGGTCCAAATCGTCCCACGCATTCACACGTACGAGATGCTAATCGCGGTCCGCAGCGATAGGGACCGTGAGATGAAGGACCGCGACCGCGACCGCGATGAGCGTGACCGCCGGGAGAATGGCGCCAACGATGACGACAGGAAGCGTACGTTTTCTCCGCTTTGGAAAGGCGTTAAAAAACTCTCAATTTCTAACGATCATCCAGCCATCGATAGCCCTGGACGGCCGGCCCATGACGACCTGGACGTCGCCGAGTAATGACGGCGTCTCCTTCACGGTTTCTGGCTGTAAGAATGCTTGCACACTTGGTCTGCTCTTTCCTCGTCCGGTGGACTACTGATGTTGGGCGCCTCTGGGCTTTCAACTTGACCAAGCTTTCATTCTCATTTCTAGCTTCACACGGCCGGGCCCAGTTCATCGGTTCCGTGTTTCACGGATGCGTTCCAATATCGATGGTACGGGAGAGGCACTGGCAGCGGCGAATCCTGGAGACCGAACGTAGATCTGACTCTGCAGTCAGCTTTTCTCTTCACCTTCTCAACGGGACTTGTGGAAAAAATAGACCAGTTTTAGTTAGCAATTACAGGTTGGTTCATCGACAGTCTAGGATTGTCCATTGGGAGTTGGGAAGTTGGAACATCGTGTACGCTTCGATTTCAACTGTATCCCGAGCCTAGAACTTGGCGCATAGAGAGAACTATCAACACCGAGGCTCAATTTGGTAATTCAATGGCAATGGCCCTATGGTTGTGCAAAAGGAACTGGAACAACGTCTTGGTATCGGCAGTCCCTCGGGAAGTCCAACCAATCTCGGGAGTTTGAGGAATGCCCACACAGCTGGGGATACATCATGATACGGTAAACCGCGATGGCTCAAACCCCACTCAGCACAAGGTGTCGGTTACCAGCGGCAGTCAGCGTGAAGGAACAGTGGGGGTTACCAATGTTAGCAACTTGGCAATGAGAAATGCACATCAACTTGCCATTGATGATGCCGAAGTGTAATGCAGTCTACTGTAATGAACGTTGCAAATAACTACATGGACGCTGCCTCATTTCATACACCTGTACTGCACACGTGATACTACCTCGCAGTATCTCACAATTCACGTGGCAAAGCGTTTCAGCAGTCTGACAAAGCTGAGTCCTGCGGCTAACATTAGCCCGCTTTACGCTGCTGATCATGGCTCGTCATCGGTACTTGCATTGTACGTACCTTACCTTACCTACCACCCTGCATACATGCCTGGATGATCTCAGCCCTACTCCAGGGGCCCAAGAACGTGACAATTGGACTGCATCTGACTCAAATGAATGCCTCGGGGCACCCAATAGCCGCTTATTATGGCTTCACTACTCAAGGAACCTGGAACGTGTCCAACCGTTGCTTTAGCTCGAAGGGAACATGTGTCACTCATTTGTACCGAGCAACTGACCGCCCTGCATTCGTTTGGCTTGGCGCGTCTTTTCTGGTTTTTTCGTCATTCCGTCCGGGGGTGGCCATAGCGATCTAGCCAATCTCCACTCCCTTGCCGCACGGCACCTTCAAAACGCCCATCTCAACTTTGCTGACGCAGTTCATCTCAAAATCGACATCGCTGCACGTTCTCCGTCGTCATCACCTTGCTATCGCCTTTACAAAGTACGCAGAGCTTTGACCCAAACGCTTGAGCACCACCCTCTGTTTACCAACAAGCACGACGCGTTACCTATGACACTCGAGCACCCGAAGGCGGCTCTTTCATCCGAAATGTCGAACCCCCATCCATAACACTAGCCTATAAACCTACGCTTTCGCTGCTTTCCCTCTCCGCCACTTCGATCTTTCTTGCATACAAACACCTCTGGTTTGGACAAGACGATTGTACTTGGTGCCTTCCTCAACAGCTGCGGTGACCGCTCACCATATCGCATCTCACGTTCTCAACGCTCTTTATCTGAGATCGCTCGCTCGCTTGTCACTCTTCCGACAACTGCAGACCCGGGGCCAACCGTCGCGCCCTTTAATCGAACTTTGTCCGGAAGCTATGCGTACTTCTGTCAACATGTCAGCTGTATGTATCACTTGTCCGCACCAGCAAGGCTTGTCCCACCATCCGTCTTCCTTTCCTTCTCACTAAACGAGATGCCACTGTGTATCTCGAATTGCTTCCAGACAATGACGCTAACTCTTAACCCAGGTCCAATCTACCAAGTCTAATGAAGGGTCCGAGCCCAAACCGGAGCTCGCCACCCCGACCACTGTTCCCTCTTCCTCCAAGAAACTTAGTCTCTTCGACCGGTTCCGTGCCGCCATATCGGAGCCTGTCGTAGCCGCTTTTTGCGCAGGTGGCGTGGCGGGCGCCGTTTCGCGCACCGTTGTGTCACCGCTCGAGCGCCTTAAGATCCTCTTCCAAGTACAAAGTGCAGGTCGCGAGGCATACCAACTCAGCGTTGGGAAGGCGCTGGCCAAGATGTGGAGAGAGGAGGGCTGGCGCGGATTTATGAGGGGCAATGGCACGAACTGTATACGGATCGTGCCGTATTCGGCGGTGCAGTTCGGCAGTTACAATTTCTACAAAAAGGTATGTCCACGTTCGGGCGCGGGGACCACGGACAGTGCGCTTGCTGACATGGTGCAGCATTTCTTTGAGCGGCACCCGGGGGACAGTCTCACCCCCATGTCGCGCTTGACATGCGGCGGACTCGCCGGTATCACGTCCGTTACCTTTACGTACCCGCTTGATATCGTACGCACACGGCTCTCAATTCAGTCAGCATCGTTTGCGGAACTCGGCGAGAAGCCCAAGAAGCTGCCCGGCATGTGGCAAACTATGGTGATGATGTACAGGACGGAAGGCGGATTCACGGCCTTGTATAGGGGAATTGTCCCGACCGTGGCTGGCGTTGCACCATATGTACGTTGGGACATGAGTGATGGCGAGAGTATTGCGCTAACCAGTTATAGGTCGGCCTTAACTTCATGACATACGAGTTCGTCAGGCAATACCTGACATTGGACGGCGAACAAAATCCCAGCGCGGTTCGAAAGCTAGCCGCTGGCGCGATCTCCGGTGCTGTTGCGCAGACATGCACATATCCCTTGTGAGTTTTCCAGCGGCAGACCATGACTCGGCAGGCAACTCGGCAGGCACTGACTTGTAAAACAGTGACGTGTTGCGACGCCGATTCCAGATTAATACCATGTCCGGCATGGGTTACCAGTACAAGTCTATTCCAGAGGCTGTCCGGCTCATCGTCGCTCAAGAAGGCATCAAGGGCCTCTACAAGGGCATCGTACCTAATCTGCTCAAGGTGGCGCCGAGTATGGCGTCAAGCTGGCTAAGTTTTGAGATCTGCCGCGATTTCTTCGTCAGCTTGAAGCCGGAAGAGACACCGCTGTTGAGGTGATGTTGGACACGTGAGTTTTGACTTGTCACCTATGGGATCCTTTATTTGGTTAACCCTCAGCAGCGAGGATGTTCAAGGATTAATCCGTCCAGCTTAACTTTTGCCGTTCCCTAGATACGCCCTTAATAGAACTTTAATTGTACATAGAGTCATGGTCGCTTGTATAACGCAGACTCGCGCCTCGATAACCTTCTGGGAAACTGAATGGAGCAATCGGCCAGCATCGCCGCATTCCAGCTTTCGGGCTACATGAAAGGTGGCAGGGAAAACGGGTAGCCGGGGTTCTTTTGACGGAAAATGCTGAGGAGGAGGCTGTATACTACAAAAAGGATGCCGCCCCACGCGAGGAGAACCACGCCCTGCGCTTTGGGGTCGCTCATCCGTGGAACTTTGATGGCCAGGGAAATGCCGGAAAGAGCAAGGACACCATCTGTGTTGGAGTTAGAGGGACACAAAAGGCGGAGTCAAAAAAAGGATAGAGGGGTGGGGTGAGAGCAACTCACACATTGCAGCCACGATCTGCGTCTCTAGACCGTATTGGTTCTGAAACCCGTTTGCAAAATAGCTAATGCCCCCGCGGCCGTCACCGGCGACGTATGGGACATTCCTGATATGGTTGAACATGTGGCCACTCGTGAAAAGCAGAATCGAGATCAAAGTGACGGCAGCCCAGACCGTGCGGCTCTGGATGACGGGCAGGACATAGGGCCAGGCCACATAAGATGCTGTAAGTCCGCCAGACAGGACGACAAATGTCGAGATCCACCGCATCCAGTTGATCGGCCGCTTGATGGGCGGGTGCGGGCGGTCGGGAAGATGCCGGGCAACCCAGGCGTGGACCTGCTCGGCGGCTTGGGCTCTGAAGCACATGCATGTGAGCCTCTGTCAAACCTAAGCTAGGTGGAATGCCGCTTTCTTACCCGCTCGTGAAGTCATATCGGATCGGATCGGATGAGACAGTAGCGTGAGGGCCGACGGTAGGCGGGAACAACATCAGAACAGGAGCTGTTTGTAGTCCCAACTATTTCACGCCAGATGTTAGCCAAGTCATCCGGGCACATCAACCCTTTTGAATGCGCAAGCTGAGTCTCCTTACGCTCATGAAGACATCCCGCCCATCAGTGAAGTCCAGCGTGCCAAACACCGTCCGCGATTCGCCCTTCTTGTCCCCATTTGTCCAGCTGCGCGCCAGCAGCTCCCACTCGGGCTGGAACTCCCGACACAGCTGGCACCCGAACCGCGGGTCCATGGCCGTCAGCAGCACCGCTACCGTGTAGTCGCGCGGCGTGCTGGTGAGCTCTCTGTATGCGGAGTCGCCGAGTTTGACGGGAGATGAGGACAGGGCCTTGGTGTGGTAGAGCTGGAAGCGCTCCTCGGCGGACTTCTTAGCGGCCAGGGCCCCGGGAGCTCCCAGGAGCGTGAGGGAGAGGAGGGCTGTGAGGAGGCGCATTGTGTCTTCCTGTTCGAGGTTTCGAATAGAAAGGATGAGGGATGAACGAAAGAGTGGAATGGCGCCAATAGCCAGCTAATTGTTCCTGCGCGGGCCACCCTCGAGGTGGTTGTCGTCGTCGGCGGTCGCAGGTGGTAAGGCTTGGCCGGCAGCAGGATGGAGCTTCTGGATCTGCTTCACACCGTGTCCTCCACGTCAGCGACAGTGAGCGTTGAGCTCCCAGCTGGCCGTTGCCCCTGCGGCTTGGCATTGCCGGACCGACAAATGCGCCTCCAGGATGCCATGGTGGGGCTCGATGGCACTAAGCCCACTTCGGAAGACTGTTTACTTCAAAGCAAGTCTGATGATGCATTCCTCCTCATCCACTTCAACTGCTCACACAATCAACTGCTTCCCATTTCGTCATCTCCAACAACTCGCTAGAGCTGCTCGTTATTAATAACATGCCAATTGCTTGAACTAGAATTTCTACTCCGCTACCTCGCCACTTCCCCCATCCTTATGCGTCCCAAAAGCGCGTCGCAATGTGTAAACATGGACTCTGAGAAGGTGCGTATTGCTCGAGTGCGAGTGGCTCGGGTGCGTATTGCTCGGACTCGACGGGTATTGCGGATGGAAACGTCTAACAACAAGTCATATGCAGCGAATCCAAATCTTGCACGATCTCGAGATGAGATACCGACGTACCATCCACGAGGGCGATCTCATCATTAAAGACGAGGAAGCCCGGCGATTGAAGGTCAGGGACTTGATTCACCGGGACGAGGTCTCGGGCTTGAAGGAGCAACTCGCGCAAAGAGACGCCCGAATCAGGGAACTTCTAGGCCATGTCGACGATGTTCGTAGCCAGCTGCAGAATGCCCAGGACAAGTCCCGCAGGCAGGATAAGCTCCTGCAGACACAGTCTCGGGAAATCGCTAACCTGAAGGTAACACCACCATACCCAATGAACCCGGGTCTGTAGCTGACGATCGTCGCCACAGGAGGAACTTGCAGCATTTAGCGCAGTATCACAGGACTCTGCAAAGATACTATCGGAAAAGCTCGCCTTATCAAGAGAGGTCGCCATTATTAAGCCGGAGCTGGAACACCTACGATCGCAACTGGAGCACCAGAAGGATGTGCTCGCCGAGAAACTGGCCCTCGAACGCCAGCTCAACACGCTAGAAGTTGAGCTTGCCAACGAGAAGCGGGCGGCCAAGAAGGTGGCGGATAGACAAGATGGCGAGAAGCAAGTTGCGGACCAGGCCATGGAGGAACTTCGCAAACAAGTTCGCAGCCTGGAAAAGGAAGTGGAGAAAGAAAAGCGTATTGCCGAGGATAAGCTGAAGATGCTGAACGAGCAAGAATCTGAGGCCGAAGAGCTGCAATCCCTTCGAGAACAGCTAGCGGCGGCTGAGAAGAGCCTTGCCGCTGAAAAGCGTAAGGCTGAGATGCTAGCCAAGAAGCAGGGTCAGACGTCTGAGACACCAGCGGCGGAGGAAGAGCTTGCACGACTCCGCGAAGAGCTTGCCGAAGCTCGTAAGGCCTTGGCGGAGGAGAAGAAGGCTCAGGAAAAGGTGCGGAAGGAGAATGAGCGGGCTCAAATCGATGCGGAGGAGCGGCGGCAAGCAATGGCCGATAAGGTGGACAAGCTACGAAGCAAATACCGCGAGGCGCAAGCGGAGCTCAAGAAGTGCCAGGCTGAGCTGGAGAAAGCGCAGGAGCGGACAGTCAAGATGCCTAGTGTCTTGACAACCACAGTTCCGCTCAAGAGCGCGGGCATGAAGGCGAACGCAAAGAAGAAGCGGTCCGTGGACGAGATGAGCATGGAAGATAAGGTCCTTTCAACTCCCGGCATCGCAGACGACCGGCCGAAGCGCCCTCTTAAGAAGAGGGGCTTTGACCTGTCCATGGTTGGTGGCAAGTCCGAGTTCTCCATCACCCCCTTCCTCAACAAGACTGTCAACCTAGACGACCCGTCTTCCAAGCCCGCGGGTGACGACGGCACGCCAAGCGCCGCAGTCCAGTCCCGCGCTGCCGAAGACGCCACCACACCTGCTCCCGCCGAGGCAAAGCCAACCTCCGAGGAGCCAGTAGCCGAGCCGTCAGCTACAGAGCCCACTGTGCCTAAACTCATAGAGAAAGAGAAGAAACCCCGCGGCAGGCCCAGGAAAATCCCCCTCACCGATTCCTCCGCGTCGAAGAAGAACCTGACCGCCCGGACCCGCAAAGCCCCGCGTGTTGAGCCCACGCTGGAGAAGGTTGCCGAGGAACCGGACGACGATAGCAGCGCCCACCAAGACCAAGAGAACCGCTCTATAAACGTCGCCTCTTCGGCGGCCAAGACCACCAGCACCAGCACCTCGACCACGACATCAACAACTACATCAGCAGCGGCAGCTACGGTGGCGGCAGAGCCCAAGAAAAAGAAGCGTAAGCTGCTCGGCGCAAATTCCACGACACTGTTCGACGCAAACGAGGACGACGAGGCCGAGAAGGTGAAAGCTGCTGCCGTCAAGCGGCCAGGTGCTGCTGCCAAGATTGGGATTGCCGGCTCTGCTGCTCCTGCCGCTACCGCTGCTGCGGCAGCCGGAGGGGTGAAGGGAGTCGGCAAGGCGGCCGGTCGCGTGGGGGCGGTTAAGAACGCGTTTGCGAAAAAGGAGTTCTCGCCCTTGAAGAGGGACAGACGGGGTGTTGCGGCTAGCTTTTTGGCGTAGGCATGATCCGGGCTCCTAGGACATCGAGAAGGTGTGATGCTGTGGGGCCATGGGATGTGGGATATCTGCTACCAGAGGCAAACGTTGGATGGAGATGGGAATAGGAGGAGGCATATTTTGGCGTTTTTGGGCTGCTTTCACATTGTTAGGTCTTGGTCAGGAGGTTCTAGGGTTTTGGCGTTAAACTGTTGGTTTAAGGCATCCATGGTTAATGGGAGACTACTTGCTCCACGTCTCTGTGTGAGTGATCCATAGGTCGGACATGAGTTGAACCGTTGATGGATGTTATCGTTTAGAAGGTGCTTCAGTCAACTGTCTGTGCCGTACCCTCGAGTCACTGCTACACAATCCTTCTTGGACGAAGCATTGGGCTGAGGAAAGTTGAGAGGCAACGCCTCCGATAGGGATCCTGGCTACAAACAGCTATGGACCTCAATCAACTCGTCGTAATGTCAGTCGCCTCACCTCTCTTGCCCTTCTCTCATGTTCGGGGGTAGTTATGTGCTTAAAGGACTCGTGATACTCCATTTGTGCATTTTATCTCCCATATTGACATGCCAAGCATTGTCCATCAGGGGGATTGCAGTTACTTATCTATCTGCAACGACCTATGCAACAATCGGTCTCAGAAGTCCCAATTCACATTCACGCCCTCACGAGATCATCTTTTCAAACCGAGTTATTGCCAGGTTCCCTTCCGAAAAAAATAGGATCTTTGGCAACCCGGGCTCTTTCCATCCCCAAAGCCTATGAACTAAAGGCGCCAATCACTCGCACATATGCAGGCGCAATGGACCCGGACGCCATTCCGCCTGGCTGTCCCTATCCCGGGGCTCCTGTCAAGTCCACGTGTGGCAGCTAACCCATCCACACCTGCAACACCACCCTTCCTCCTTACTCACAATCCGAGGCCAAGATCAAGGATACCGCCGTCAACCCCAGCACCAAGCCTCCCTACCCGGCTCTCCTCCTCCTCGGCCTCCTCCCAGTGGAAACTCCGCCAAGGCAAGGACTACTTCGCGCGCTCGGCCCGCGTGCAGGGCCTCAAGTCGCGCGCCGCCTTCAAGCTCCTCGAGCTAGACGACAAGTACCACCTCTTCTCGCGGAACCAGGGCCAGGTGGTTGTTGACCTGGGCTTTGCCCCCGGCAGCTGGTCCCAGGTTGCGCTGGACCGCACCGCGCCAAACGGGAGGGTCGTGGGGATCGACATCATCCCCGCGCATCCGCCGCGGGGTGTGAGTACAATCCAGGGGAACTTCCTAAGTCCCGGGGTGCAGGGTATGGTGAAGCAGTTTCTTCTGGAAGGGGAGAAGCGGAGGCTGGCGGCTAAGGCGGCGGCCAGGGAGGCAGAGGAGACCAAACTGATGGAGGAAAAGAACGGGAAAGGGGAGGAGGATGAGGGGGATGAAGTTGCCGATCGGCCGAGTTATATCGAGATGGAACGGATGGCGGCGCGGGAGAGCGATGCCGAGAGTACTGTCTCATCGCCATCGCCATCGCCATCACCTGACGAAGCAGGCCGCAACAGAGAAAAAGAAGAAAAGCCAAACCTCCGGTTGGTAGACGTGCGTTCCAAGACCGATCCCAACTCCCCACCCACCTGAGTGAACCAAAGTCAACCCGCCGCAACAGTGTCAAAACTTGAGACATGGAATGGCTAACACGTCCCGGATACCGCCCGTTCCCCCCGGATGCAGGTAGTCCTCAGCGACATGTCAGAACCCTGGCCCCAGACCCACGGCTTCTCGGTCAACAGTTTGAGTAACCCGTATACCAGGATGATGAACACGAGCGGCATCGCCTTCAGAGACCACGCCGGGAGCATGGTGGGTTCTCTCTTGCCCGTCCCTTTTGCAACACGGCAGCCTTATCATTTCCGGAACTGAAACGATGAGCAGGACCTCTGCCACGCCGCACTCTCCTTCGCCTCGGACACGCTCAAGCCCGGGGGCCACTTCGTGTGCAAGTTCTATCAGGGCGCCGAGGACAAGGCTTTTGAGAAACTGCTTCAGAAGATGTTTGCCAGGGTGCACCGGGAGAAACCCGAGTCGTCACGAAGCGTAAGTCGTCTGTGTCTTCAGGATCCCATCCACTAAAAGCTTATTGGGTTGCAGGAGTCGAGGGAGGCGTTCTTCGTGGCTCTGAAGAGGAAAGGAGAGGTGACGTTGGCCGATGTCGAGGGCCGCTAATGGACAGCCCCGCCGGCAAGAGGAGCCAATGGCCCATTGTATCATAGTCGTGACCGGGTACACAACACATCACAATTGTATGATAATTCAGACATACACGACATACGTCGCAGTGGGGCCCAATGGCGTTGTCATTCATAGTCGTGGCACTAGCAACGCGCCATCCAGTCGATTCCGCATGCCCGTTAAATAGAGAAAAGACTTTTGAAAGCCATATGCCGCCGTCGGCAGGCAGCAGACCATGACAAGCCCGGAAACCAGAAGCCCAAACCCATTTGCCATGCAACAACCAAGAGCCCCACGCCACGCCCCAAACTCCATAGGGTATCGGGTATCCACCGCTTTAGACCTTGAAGCCACGCGACCTTCTGCGACCACGGGCACGCTCGAACTTGCGGCCCTTGGAGCGGACATAGGGCTTCTGTTTCTGGCGTCAGTTCTGTTCTGCGTGTTTATTCTCCGTCTATGGATCAGACGAACCTTGTTCTTGTGGGGACCGAAGCCGAAGTGCTTGACCGCCTCACGGGAGTTCTTGGGGCCGCGGAGCAGGAGGGTGTTGGCACCAGTGGGCTTCTCGAGCGCCAGCTGGTCGAGGGTCATGACCTGGCCGCCGGCACCGGTGATGCGGGCACGGGCGGTGGCGGTGACGCGGAGAGCGGCGACTGTCATCTTGGGGACGGTCAGCAGACGATTGTCATCGGTGACGGTGCCGACGACGACGATCGTCTTCTTCTCGTTGCCGTTCTTGAGGTTGGACGCAATGCGCGACAGCGAGATGGGGGGGCGGTTGATGCGGCTCATGAACAGGCGGCGCAGGACCACCTTGTTGAAAGGAGCATCAGTGCGGCCTGCGGGTGGGCTTGTTAGGCAAACGGCGAGTTCCACGATTCGATCTCAGTGCTGGACAAGAGACTTACGGGCCAGGAAGCGGTAGAGCTTCACCAAGAGCTTCAGATAGACGTTGTCGCTCTTGGGCGCCTTGCGGTGCGTGGACCGCTCGTGGTGCTTCCGCAGATCGATACCTATTTTCCAACAAGGACTCCGGTCAGCCTTTAGGTCCTGGTATGCTCAAATTGGCGCGCTTCGACCAGCGATGCATCATCTCGAAGCTTGCATGGAGGTCTCGCGATGCGAGGTCCAACGGCGCAGCGACGAAGATGAATTCTCGGCCGGGAGCAGAAATGCCATGGTTCGCAGACGAGAAACATATTTCAAGATCTCGTCCACTCGCACACAAAGGCTTCGTTGGAGGCCTGGTTACGTACCCATCGTGACGGTGACTCGTGGATTGTCGACAAAATCCGAGTCGATGGGGAAGTTCGTTGGGCGATGGTTCAGAAATTCGAGGGCTGCAAATTTCCACTGGATTTTGGTGCTGGTGGGGAGGGCTTTGTGCGTGGGCGGTGAGAAGCGGCAGATGCTGGGAAGAGCTCAAAACAAGTGGGGCTTCCATTTCTGAGCTCTGCGCTGGAGTCGTCAGGATGCGGAAGACACGAGTTTCGGCTTCCAGTCTACAAGATACCGTAACGCAGTTGAAGTGGACTCGGATGAGAAAGTCGGTCTAATAATTGTCAGTTCTGGATCAGGATGACACAGGCACGCACATGTGTTTGGATGAAGAACCCCGGATATGAAAATCATCTTCTCCCAACCAACCGTTGAACCTGACTATTTACGGTTGTCAATATGAGTTTACGACAGCGCTAGTCTACTATTATTGAGCATATACTCAACTCTCTTACTAAAAGTTGAAATTGAATCCTCTCGGGATCAATCTTCTACATAGATCTGTTAAACTTGGTACCCGAGCAGATACAATCCGTACCATACTGGTGTGCTTAAGGTACTTGAAGTTACGATACTCTTTATTCTCCCCTTCTTATATATGTCTCCGTTTCCCTGTATCCCCCTTCTCTCAATAATCCTCATCTCCTCTTAGCTTTGGCTACTATGGAAGCTTTTCCTCGTGTGTTCCCGTTTCTCTTAAGGATCATGGATGAAACCAATCCAAACTGCTAGATGTCTGCGCACTGAATACGGGGGTCACGCGAGCGTTGTTTGTCGTTCCCGATAATGGTTTTCTTACAGGCCTCACTGAAAACATCCGCTGTCTTCGGAAAGGTGGAGAGACGAGTTCATGACGCTGTCCTGGAAGTGAAGGAGCAAAGCCTGTGTCTCGTCTTAAACTTCGACTTTGCCAGGTATTCACGAGCTTCTATCCTGCGAAGGTTAGCCTTGATTCAAAGCACACGCTAGCACTACTGAGGACAATCGTGCATTGCCTGATACAGACAGGTTGTTGTTAATGGTGGAGTCATCACGAATGGTACCTGGATGCTATTTGGAGTTTGGAGCTTTCTTATCATATACCCTCTGTGGGAAGCTACCCCGAATCGGGCCATTGCTACCATGGGAAATTCAACGCTCGTTTCTCACCCCATGTTGTTCATTGCCTTTGAGGTCACCATCCAGTCAAGCCAATTGCAGTTGGAACCCCTTCGTCTTGTTGTCCACAGCTGAGGACCCCGGTGAAAGCTATTGATTTGTTCACGCGCGTTGGTGAGATTACCTCGAATAACTCAGGTTATACCATTGTGGCAATGTCCCATTGGCCTTTCCTTAGACGGTCCCATCCGAATATCTTCACGCACCACATCGAATCCATAGGCCATTGGTTGACCATAGTTGATGATGTTGAACCCTAGACACGAGAACAGCTAACACAGGCTCTACCCTCAGCATCTAGAGCCTTGATCCGACTTCGAAACACAGACGAACAGAACATGAATGAGCGAAATACAATCGCGGGAGTGGCCACATTACGACATCGACTACCGATCTCCCATGCTAAGTCAGCACCAGACCACATCTGTCCCCGGAGACCCGTCAATCCTGTCCCGACGTCCTCGGAATTTAGCTCAGTTCACGTATAGGGGTTCTCATCCTATTTAGTCTTTCTCGATCGCTGCTCCGTGCCGGGACCCTCCGGAGGCTTTAGCCGAACCACGACAAAGCCAGAACCTGTCGTATTGGGCGACTGAGCAGCCGGAGCCGTACTCTGTACAGTGTATTGTACAACTGATCGGCATCGAGCACGCCACCCCGGGTAATAATCTGCGGCTTAATAGGCGCACTATACACACCTTCCAGACAATCAAATGCGGTTTCAGATGACGGCGTATTTTAGCCATCAACTGCCGCTTGGCGCCCTGCAGCAGCGGGCATGGAACGGTTGAAGAAGGGAGCTGCATGCGTGGCTGCATTATGGAGGCCCCGCATTTCAACTTGATGAGGTCCTGAATCCGCGGGTGATCGTGGCGTGAAGTCATCATGAGCCGTGCAGCAGACTGGCCGTGCATGTCTAGATGAGGAGCTTGCTGACCAGAGTGAGTATGCCGGCTTGCTGAAAAGAAATCAGTCCTTCCGGATCGACCTGCTACAACGAGACGGGAATCTAATAAGTGCTCCGTGTCCGGATATGCTCTCATCAACATCCGCTTGGCGGACCGTTACCCGTTGATCGGCATGGCAAGCTTTCCCCCATCTTGAATATTGTGGTTGCAAAGGCAAGAACCACCACAGGCCTTCTCGCCCCGACGTTGACCAAACAGGGCGTTGGAGGGCATGCAGTACCCCGGACTGCCAGGAACCAGCTTCCCCATTCCCCACACTTTCACTACGAGCCGCAGTCGACGCACCCGTGACCCTTCCACCAATCCCAAGCCGGGCTGCCGGCCATCGCCTGAGTGCAAATGAAGCTCGATATGAAAGGCGAGATGGGATCTGGCACGTTGGTCCACTCATTGTGGCCGGCATTCGCCAGTAGCCCCGCACTCCATATCCCGACGGCGTCTGCTCGGCGCGGCTGAGGCATTCTCGGAGGGTCCAAACCGAGCCTCCCGCCACCGCCGGCCCTGTCTTCCTGATTGCAAAGCGCCAGCTTCCCGAGCAACCCTTCTCCAGAAGGCAATACCGCGATGGCCTGGGATTCTTGGGTCCGGTTCCTGAGGCTCCGGGTCTTCTGTCAGGGGACCTTTTGTCAGGGGACCATTGCAGCGCCAAGTCGTTCTCGTCCCCGGTATAAAGACGAGCCACCCTCCCTCGGTTGCCGGGAAGGAAGATCGCTCGACCCAGGCATCGCATCGCGAACAGCAGCTGTCGTGAAAGGTGATCTTTGCCCAATATGAAGATTTCGCAGTCCACTGCACTGGCGGCGTTTGCCGCCGCGGCCATGGCCGCACCCTCGTCCACGACTCCCCAGAAGCCACGGCAAGCGTCGTCGGGCTGCTCGTCTGCCGTCAAGCTCGATGCCAGCACCAACGTTTTCAAGAAGTACACGCTGCACCCCAACAGCTTCTACCGCGCCGAGGTCGAGGCCGCCGTGCAGCAGCTCTCGGACCCGAGCCTCGCCGCGGCCGCCGCCAAGGTTGCCGACGTCGGTAGCTTCCTGTGGCTCGACACGATCGAGAACATCGGCAAGCTGGAGCCCGCCCTCGAGAACGTGCCCTGCGACCACATCCTGGGTCTCGTCATCTACGACCTTCCCGGCCGTGACTGCGCCGCCAAGGCTTCCAACGGCGAGCTCAAGGTCGGCGAGCTCAACCGGTACAAGACCGAGTACATTGACAGTGAGTGCCTTGCCCCCGACCCGGCATATCGGATGTCAGGGAGAGGAACGGGAGAGGGAAAACTGACATGCGATGCAGAGATCGTCTCGATCCTCAAGGCGCACCCCAACACCGCCTTCGCGCTGATTATCGAGCCCGACTCGCTGCCCAACCTGGTCACCAACTCCGACCTGAGCACCTGCCAGCAGAGCGCCTCCGGCTACCGCGAGGGCGTGGCCTACGCGCTCAAGAACCTCAACCTTCCCAACGTGGTCATGTACATCGACGCCGGCCACGGCGGGTGGCTCGGGTGGGATGCCAACCTCAAGCCCGGCGCCGAGGAGCTCGCCAAGGCGTACAAGGCGGCCGGCTCGCCCAAGCAGTTCCGCGGCTTCTCGACCAACGTGGCCGGGTGGAACGCGTGGGACCTCTCGCCCGGCGAGTTCTCCAAGGCGTCCGACGCCAAGTACAACTCGTGCCAGAACGAGAAGACGTACGTCAGCACCTTCGGCCGCTACCTCAAGGACGCCGGCATGCCGAACCACGCCATCGTCGACACGGGCCGCAACGCCGTGCAGGGCCTGCGCAAGGAGTGGGGCAACTGGTGCAACGTCAACGGCGCCGGCTTCGGCGTCCGCCCCACCGCCGACACGGGGCTCGAGCTCGCCGACGCCTTCGTGTGGGTCAAGCCCGGCGGCGAGAGCGACGGCACCAGCGACAGCTCGGCCACCCGCTACGACAGCTTCTGCGGCAAGGAGGACGCCTTCAAGCCGAGCCCCGAGGCCGGCCAGTGGAACCAGGCCTACTTTGAGATGCTGCTCAAGAACGCCAAGCCGCAGTTCTAAGTCGGGGTCTAGGGCGGGAAAACAGGTTAGCTCTTCGGCTGCTGCGCTGGAAGGGGGGATGGAAGAGATTGAACATAGCGAGGGCGGGCGGGTGCTGTGCAATGGTCACGCTCGCGCCGTACCAAGGTTCCCTTCAAGTGTAGTCGTCTGTTAGGTATATACCTTATATATACACGGTGTGGAGTGTATCTGCGTTATGTCATGCGTGACTCATTACGTCTGCAAGCCGCAGGCCGCGCCTTGTCGGTGAGGATGAACGTGATGGTGAGACCAGACAGTCTCCGGGTAGGTGCGACGTCAAACATAGCAAAAGGGTAATCCTGGTATTCCGATGCGCGCCTGGTGTCCTGACCCGCGAACCGTGCGACAAGGGCAGAAAATGAAGTATGGTACAGGGGATATCAACACATACATAGTATAGGTACATCAGCCGAGCCCTTTCTCTCTGGCGTGTCCTCCGCCCATTCCTCCAGCAACCATTGAAGGCCACACAGTCGTAGCAACATCCTCTCCGCCTCTTTCGCGGCGTTCGGGCGTGAGTGGATTGGCGACTCTCTCTCAGCCCCTGAACAGCTCGTGCGGAGAGAGACAGGTTGGGGCAGGCCATGCTTCCTACACTTCCGTCGTCGGTGGTGCTAAGTCATTAAGCGGGGATGGCTTGTCGCATTTCCAATCGACTCTGCACAGGTAGTTAAATCATTTGGCCAGCCTCCAGATGCCGAGCCAAGCAAGACCGAGTGAGATGGCCGTGATCCCCATACTCCTGCTGCGCATGCCGAACCTCGAGCCGCTAGCCAGGATCTTCGCCCTCTGTTGCTCGAGCTGAGATTGTCCGGATATGTAGCTGTAGGCGGCAAGTCCAAGGAAGGCGCCACCGCCTGCATTCAGAGACGTGATCTCAGCTTCAGTTCAGAGTGAGCTCCTCTCGGGAAAACCAAAACGTACCGACGATTTTGCAGGGCAGGCAGTCGTCTCCGCGGTCTTCTTTAAGCAAATCCTCAAGCTTCTCAGGCCGATCAAGGCCCTTGAGAGACAAGTCCTTTGCCATGGTGGGCGCTGGCAAGTTGCGAGATGCGAATAAACCCCTATCTCATCTGATCGATCCAGTTCACACTTCACAGTTCAGCTTCGATGTCTGGCAGGTCAGTCTGGGCGAGAATTTGCAGGGGTTGCAAAGGACCCGTGGACCCACTTGCCGGCCAGTTCGGTCCCCGCCAAAACCCGGGGTCAAGCAGCGCCAGGGCCTCATTGCGTCAGTGTCCTGGCACTGTAAAAGCAACCCCAAACAAAACCGCCGCGCAGAAAGACAACATCATGAACGGCGTCATTGAGGTGCTGCACATCTACGACGAGCACAAGTTAGACCTTCTCTATTGACTTTGCTATTTAGAGTGTCGGCTAACAGTTTGCAGCGTCCTGGTTCTGTCGCACACATACACATCGCGGCCGCTAGCGGCGAATCACCTGCTGCCCCTCTATCTGGCGCACCCCGTCCCACGGCCGAACCTCATCTACCTTCCCAATACAAACCCACCGACGCTCATCTTTAGTCTCGCCCATGCCAACCTCCTCTTCCTCCTGACCACCTCGTCCGAGGTCGAGCCGCTGCTCGTCCTCGAGTTTCTCCACCGCGTCGTCGACTCGTTCGAGGAGTTCCTCGGTGCGCCGCTACTAGCGCACAAGATTGAGGCCAACTACGATGTCGTCGCCCAGCTGCTGACCGAGATGTGCGATGCCGGCGCCATCAACACCACCGAGCCGAATGCGCTGCGAGACCTGGTCGAGGTGGAGGGTTTCATGGACAAGCTGCTGGGGAATCTGAACCTGCCCACGTAAATCGACCCACCGCTGGCAATCACACGATATCAGTCTCGCTGACCATCCCCAGGAAAGCCAGCAAACCCGGTTTCAGCACCGGCTTCGGCAATAGCTCGAGCGCGCCGCCCCTCATCCAGAACAGCACGCCAGCCCTCCCCTGGCGGCGAGCCAACGTGCGGCACACGTCTAACGAGCTCTACGCCGACGTCATCGAGACACTCTCCGTCACGCTCGCGCCGTCGGGCAGACCTCTCGCGGCCTTCGCCAACGGCACGATAGCCTTCACCTCCAAGGTCTCCGGTGTGCCCGATATCGTCATGACACTCACCAGCCCCTCGGGGAAGCACAACCTAAAGAACATCATCGACCTGCCTGTCTTCCACCCCTGCGTGCGGCTCGCGCGGTGGCGGGAGCAACCGGGCGTGCTGAGCTTCATTCCGCCCGACGGGCGGTTTACGCTTGCTGGGTACGAGGTCGACCTCATGCCGTTTACGGACGGTGGGGTGGCGAGCCTGGGGTCGAACCCGCTCAAGTTACCTGTGACCGTAGAGGTCAAGACGGGCCTTGGGCCTACGGGTTCGGACTTCGAGGTCAGGCTTCAGGTAAACAGAGTGTTTGGCTCGTCCGGGACCACGCAGTCAGGCAGGGGAGGCGGACCGGGTGGTGGTAGAGGGGTTGGGGGCCCGAATCCAGGAACCCCGGCATCGCCGGCGTTGCAGGATCTCAGTGTCTCGGTACCGCTGCCCGCCGAAGTGAGAAATCTCTCCGAGATTCGACCTACGAAAGGCGACGCCAACTACAATCCCGGGGAGCGGGCACTGGAGTGGACCATCTCCAACAAGGAGCTGACGCAGGGTACGGCCTCGTTCGCGCTACGGTGTACCGTAGTTGGGCAGATGACCGACGGGGAGGATGAGGACCCCGACCCAACAGGTTTTGGATTCGGCGCAGGCGGCAGCAGCGCCTATGCTTATGACGAGCCATACCAGAGCGCCTCGCCTGTTACCAAACCAACCGGCACGGTGGCGGACACAGGAGGAGGGGACAGGGATGAGCGGAGGACTGCCCAAAATAAGACCCTCATGCCCAGCTCGGCTTCGGTCAGCTTCACTATCAAGGGGTGGCTGGCCAGCGGGATCAAGGTGGAGAGCATCCAAGTCGACGCGAGGAAGAGTAGGGGGATTGGAGAGGGTGTGAAGCCGTATAAGGGGGTCAAGTACTTGACTGTCAGTAAGGGTGGGGTAGAGATTCGGTGCTGATTCTAGCTGAACGAGTCGGCATGCGGTTTAATACGGAGTACAGTATAATGAGAAGCTCTGGGACACGGCTAAACGTTCGCCTTTGGTCAGACATAAACTCGAACGAAGTATGAGTGCATGCTATTCCTGCGCAACACGAGCACTGGATACCCACTATGCGACATATCACCACCAACCGTGGCTACGGAGCATTGAATTAGCCATGATGCCATGGTCACCAACCAACGGATTCCTCGCTTGCAACTCGACCGCATGAGGTCTCGGAACTTGATCGTACTGCACACACCAGACTCTAGCCCCCCGAGTCATGATAGGTTTAGGATTTGAGCCGAACGCAACGATCAACCAACAGCTTACAATCCCTGTCATTCTAGAAATCCTGTTGGCAGGATACAGTACCCTCCCGCTCCCAGCCGTGCCCTGAAGGTTGCAAATCCTCCGTCGCACTCTGCTCTGCTGTTGGCTGACTTACGAGATCTTGGATTAAGCGACCGAGCCGCTCCCTGCTGAGGACCTCGCAGCGCACACAGTTTTGGAAACTGTCAGCCATGCCTGGGACATCTATTCCTGTATGTGCTTTCCCCCACGGGAACTATGCCGAAGGGATACCGAGGGGACGGGACGTCTCAACCCCCTGCGGGCGAGCCTCCGTCCTGTGTGTATCTCTGTGACTCTTCCGTCGAACATCTTGGTTTGAAAGAGCTATACAACGCGGCGAGCGGTATCTCTGAACCAACGGCAGCGCGGCGGAGGGGATCCCCGTGCACCTAGTTGGGTCAGGCTATCACTCATCCATCCCATCCTCTCGCGTCACTCCACTCCACCAAGCACCAAGCCGCATGACCCGGTATGAGCGGCAAGCGGTTGTGACAAGGCTCGCAGCCATTACATAGTTAGCTGGGCATCAGACACGGCGGGAAAGGACGGTCTCAAGCCGCACCCCGCCGCATCTTGGACATCGATCGATAGTCGCGACTCGGGCGACTGAATAGTAGTTCCCCGTAACCGCGCCGCTCCACGCCGCAGCGATACATGAAGGTACTGCATACCTCTTTCGAGGCTGCCTAAAGCGAAATGCAACCACTGACCGGCATCGGGCGTCGCACAGGACGGGGTTTGCACACCACATGGGGCCTCACCGCGGCATCGTGCTCTGGCCTGGCAACCGGGGCCCGGTGAGGTCGGCCGGGGCACACACGCATCTGCATGCCCCTCAAACATCCTCAACAAACACCACGATCCTCCCGCCTCATCACAATCCACAGTCTGAGGTGGCCATGATAGCCAGGCGCTCTCCACAGGAATCACACCTCCCTCCTGACACTACCTACCAGGTAGGTAATCCACGTCGACGAGAATCATGCAATTGTCGAGCCATGCCCTGCAAGCCGAGAGATCCCTTTTTTTTTTCTCGTCGGAAGGAATCGATCCTTGATGAGCAATATTCCACCTCGCTCGCAATCCCCTCATCATCCCACGAGGACCGGCCCGGGCCCCATGTTTTGGCCCGGTCAAAGACAATTGGGCCAAGTCGCGTTTAACCATGCGGTCCGACTCCTACGGACCCGGCCGTCAGAACTGGTCGCACTCGGATGGAGAAACATGCCCGGCCCGGCCCAATCCTCCCCTATGCACAACAGTAAGCGGTGAAGGAGCAAAGTAGAAAAACTCACCCCCTGGGGGACTGCTGAGGCAAATATTCCTACTTCCTGCGTAGTGTAGGTACCTTTTAGACCCAGCAACGCTGTTCGTTGAATAAAGGCCTTTTCCCCTGGCTGCTCACCGGTTGCATGTGAATAAGTGGGCAAACAAACAGCACGAAGGAATGATATTGGATAGTATGTGCTGTAAGTTCCCGATGAATTTAGCCCCCAACTCCCTCTCCGTGCCGCAAGCCAAACGGGCCCAACTATCGACCACCCGCCACACGTGCCGCATATGCGATCAGATCGCCCCCAACAGCTTAATTAAACATCAACAGTACACAAGTAAACACTAGTCGGACTTATTGGAATCCGCTCTTGAGTGAGAAGAGTAGAGAGAGGCAAAAGCAGGTTGATTCAGCACATGCACGGCACGGTTTCACCAGGAACCAGAACAGAGATTGGTATAGTTAGCGGGTGAATTGAGTGGTTCCTGGCGTGTCTCACGTTGCCTTCGCCCACAGCACCTAACCCTCAAATATCTCCCCGGCGTAAGAACAAAAAAAGTGCCATGAATAAAGAACATGAATTATGGTCCATATAAACCTAATACCAGGTCCTGACCTCGTTCGTACATGCATACAAATCAATACTTGGGTATCATAGGGTGTCCCCTTCGGATAGCGCTTCATCATAGACCTTGTACAGCAACAGTACCAACCACTCAACAAAAAAAGAGTTGTAGGGGGAAAACGAAAACTATGGAGGGAAATCCAGCCCTGAGAGACAAAAAATAGAGGCAAATGATAATACTAAATAAGATAGGATAAAGAGACATTATGGTAATTCGAGCGGAGAAAGCAAAGGGCTCAAGAAAGCAGGGTGCTGACGCCCCTGCGGTGGCCGGCCTTCTCGCCCATGTAGATGCTCCAAGTGGCGACATCCTAGTGTCCATCAGTCAGCTTTCGCTGTCATTTCGTCTCATGAAGAGTCAAAGGAAGACGGATGAGAAGATATTGGGTGAATGAACTGTACCTTTGTAACAACCGATCCGGCTCCCACCGTCGAGCCCTTCCCGATGCGAACCCCGGGGAGGATGACCACATTGGCCGCAATCCAGACATCGTCCTCGATGACGACGGGCTTGCCGTACCGCGTGCCCTGGTTCCCGTTGCGGTACCGGGGGTCGGTGCTGCAGGTGCCCGTGTAGATGCAGACATTCGGGCTGATGATGACGTTGTTCCCGATCCGCACCTCGCAGACATCGTTGATGAGGCAGTTGCGGCCGATGGAGACGTTGTTGCCAATGTGGATGTTGTAGCCGTAGTCGCAGTTGAAAGGCGCTTCGACCGTGGCGTTCTCGCCGACGCGTCCGGCGTGGGTCACAGGCGACACGACGGTGGACGACAGCTGGATGCCCTCGCGCGGGTGGAGGATGTCGCGGAAGAGACGGGCGCGCTCGGCGGGCGAGACACCGAGGTTGGGGTTGGTCGAGTTATTGAATCGCCAGCAGGCCGCGTTGCAGCGCTCCCGCTCGAGCACTAGTTCCTTGTCGAACGGGTAGTAGGGCCTGCCGTTCAGCATCTCCTCCTTCTGGCGGCGCGGCTGCCTGTCGGAAGGGAACTGCGTGTGGGACAGCGCAAGCTGGGCGGTGGCCTGGACGCCCCCGGTTGGGGTTGGAGCGGACAGTGCCGACGACGGCGCCGGAGGAGTGGAAGTTCTGTTGCCGTGTAGCGCACTGCTGAAGGGGGGTTGGGTCGAAATAGTGCTCTGCGGAGGAGGCGGTGGCGGCGGTTGCTGGTGGTCCGGGTCGGTGCGCGTGATATCGTGTAATGGCGGCACCCGCTGATACTCCTTGGGCGTTCGGTCCGAGAAGGCGGACATGGTAGCGGCGCTGACTGGGGTGGGGAAGACGTTGAGCGTCGCCGACGTTGTGTACCCTGAGAGGGCCGAGAGCTTGTTGTCCGGGCTGATCGCAGATGAGCTCGGCATTGTCGACGCTGTTAACCGGTCGTCGTCCGACTGTAAGGGGCGACCCTGAGGCGGCGTGATGCGAAGCGTGGGTTGGCCGCGGTTATATGGCAGGGAGTCCCGCTTCGGTTGCTGGCCCGGCAGAGGTTGTTGGCTGCTGCTGTACGGGGCTGGTTGTTGAGGCATTCCGTACGCTCCCGGGGGAACGTAGTTCGGATCCTTTGACTCAATGTTGACTTGCGTCGCCTTGCTCTCGGGCTTATTGGCCCAGGCACCTCTCTGCGGGGGATAGCCGGCGCAAACAAATCCGCCCTTGTAACAGTTCATACCTGCGGAGGTTGTCAGCCGCTAGGTCAGACCCAATGCGGCCGCAAATCAGGCCATGCGTGTAGACAAGTGCGCGTCGGCACCGGAAAACATAACAAAACATGATTTTGGCGGGGTTACACTCACATTCCGGTTTTCGCTCATCGCATTTCTTCTTGCGCTTCCTGCACGTCAAGCATCCCGTCTTGGTCCGGTTGCTGAAATTGCGCTTGCGCTTCTTGGGGTCCGACTGGACGACGCCGTCGCGGCGGGGTTCAGGCGTGTATTGGCCGGAATACATGGCCCGATCGTCGCCGTCTGGGCTCTGGTCTCCTTCATCGTGGCTTATGGCTCTCTGTAGCAATTCTAGCGCTGGCTCCTCCGACTGCGCTGACACCGGAATAGCCGAGTACGGCGATTCAATGCTCGAGGTGCGCTCCTCCCTGGCGTGCTGGGCACGCCATTGCTCGGGGCCATCGCGAGCCTCGTCTCCTTGCCGTCCCCGATGAGAATCCCTGGGCGGCGTGCTTAACCTGTCGTGTGGTTCGGATGGAGGACGGAGACGCCCATAGGTCTCCGCCTGGTCCGTCCGCTCTGGCCGTTCCGTCCTCTCCGTCCTCTCCGTCCTCGAAGGAGGCGACAGGGGGTGTTCCCGGCTCGGGGAGTACGAGATTGACCGCTTGCGCTTATGGGAATTCTCGGCTTCGTGAAAGGTGTCAGCCCCCGGAAATGGAAGACTCTCGCGGTTCGTGCTGCTCCGGCCCTCCTTCACCTCCCACTCTTCACGACCCCTCTGATTTGGGTACCCTTCAGCTGGTCTGGGTTCTGCGTTGACAGGCTGCCGGGTTACATGGTCCATATCTGCAGCTCCGTTGGTTTCTGCGGCAGTCTTCAGTGAGCCGCCGTTCATGGGCCTGAACGTAGCCATCTCTATTCACAAGTGACACTCCAATAACCTTCCCAAAATATCTCTGCCCCGCCCGCAAAGTGTGTGGCAGGGATACTGACAGGAAGTAAGGCTATCGAGACAGCGGGAGCTAAGCAATCCCTCACAGAGCGGGAACCGACTGAAGCCTTCCGTAGAGCCTGGATCCGGAGCGGCCGCTCTGCGGCTGCAAGGCGTTGGGCGCGGTGGGTGTGCGGCGGACAAATAAGTTGGCTGAAGGCGGTGGAGTTAGAGACTCGGAACAGGAAACCCGGGCGAAGAACCGACGTGACATGCAACGATAGCGCGCCTCCCTCAGCGCTTATTAGGGGGCGTTTCTGATGATCCAGGAGCTTTGCTCTAGCGAGAGGAAAAATGTGATCAGGCTGCAGGAGGACGAGCACCCAGGCCGGCAGCGATGCGCCAGTGAAATAAGGTGGGGACCGGCCGGCACTCGTTGCGTCCGCAACTTCCAGTGCTGGGTTTGTTCGGAGACTGGCGTCAAGTGGCTTGGGTTGTCTTGGTCCTTTTGGATTCGGCGCTGGTGAGAATGCGGCTTTTCCCGCCTCGACCCGTGGGCGCCCTTTTCGGGTGCGAAGTTGACGAGTCTGTAACCGAATGGCGGAGGCTGAGCCGCGGCCTGCGTACAATGTAGGCGGATCCAAACAACCGCAAATCCGGGGCCGGGTATGCGTTGCAAACGCAGCGCCGGGTTCGGGTAGCGGCCAGGAAACAGCTGCACCCCCCGCTGGCGCCTCAACGAAACAGCAAACCAGCACAATCACCCCTCCACCGCTGCTGCTCAAACCACCACCCTGGTGCTGCTGCCGTTGCTGTTAAAGTAGATTGCCGATTGGATCAACAGGCCAGCGATCCCTTCACGGTGTCGGTGATGATATCGCAAAACCTGAGAGTAACGGTGTGTGCCACGTCAGGCATGTACTTGAGATTCTTCGTCGGCCGGTGAGTGAGGCACGCTGATCTAAACGTAAATCGCACCTGCACGCAGTTGCCGTTCCTGTCCCTGGGCAGCCTGCTACCAACACGGCACAATGGAATGAGGCTAGAAACGTCGAGAGGTTGCGTGCGATGCGCTGGGAATCCAGAAACAACCGATTGTGACTTGTCGTCGCCCAAATGCTGAACGAACCCAAAGTCCACACAACCAGCCTTGTCTTCGAGTTTGCCGGGTGCTGGCGCTTGGTCCTCTTTAACGCGCGATTATGCTGCGCCTGTCCGGGAATGGGGCGAGAGGCTGGCTTCAAGAATGTGGTGCCGCAGACCTGCCAATGATAGCTAGCACCTCGTCCAGCAAGTGGCTGGCGACAGGGCTTCTCGGATGTTTGTCGCAAGACCGGCGAAACGGACCCTTGGGTTCTGGCGAGACCGTCCCTTGAGGCTCGTCTACCTAGTAGGATGAAGTGAGGAGTGGCCCACAGTCTGAAGGGGAAAGGAAGAGAGATGTAATCAGAGACCCGTTGAACCTAAGTGTGCACCAGCCAGACAAGCGCCGCTAGAAAAAGAAAATGGTAGGTACCGCATACCGCCGAAGTGTTGCAACGCACAGACGCCCGCCACGGGAGCGAAGACTGGATGCGGAACAGCGAGATCTGCTGGCAAGGGACCCTGGTCCGAGAGCATGTGGGCCTGCCGTGGCTGAATTCATTGATGGTTCCGCAGTGGGCAACGCGGAAGTCAAAGTGCGAAAAAGAGGAAATGTCCCCGGCCACACACGTGTAGCGTTACCGAACAATCAGCCACAGGGGTATCTCGAAGTGCGGCTACGGATAACTAGTAGGTACATATCGAGGTGGTGCTACCCGCGCTGGAATGTGAGTTGCACCCCAATCCCCCGCTATAGCGCACTCAACAGCGACGGTTTCTCGAATGCCCTGTCAGCAATGCGTGCCGAGCTGGATAGCACGCGGCATAGCCGGGGTGGTTACGGGCCACCGATCTTGTATGGTATGTGTTGTACCGGTACCGGTACATGTGTGTATACCTTCGATTCCGCCAGGGTGGCCGTCTTGGGAAGAGGCGCGGAAAGGGCAATCGCTCCCGCCCATAAAAAGCGGCCATCTCTGGTGACAGTTTGGCGAGCACGCCAAGCCTTGTTTCGCCGGCACAGTTGGACAGGGGTCGTGGCTTACACGAGCCAATCTGGGGTTGAGGCAGACTCTCTCACGCGGCTTCGGTTGTGAACACATGGAAGACGAGACTGTGGCAGTACTGTGGGCCATGCGTTTAGATTTAGAGCTACATTATGTACTGTGGATTGTATCTGTTTGGGCCGTACATAGGAAACTACATATTAGGCTTATTACCATATTATAGGGTGAGGTTCGGATTACCTACCTTACCTTACTGAGCGTTGTGTAGGGACGGCTTGACCACCATTCATGGATGGAACAGTTCCACTTGGCTGTCGACGTGACTGGCGCATTCTGATACGAACGGTCAGCTTCGAGGTTGTCTATGTAAGGTAAGGTAGTACTGTGCAGTGAGGTATATACCTAAGACGTTAGTGAGCCGGTCGCAGAAAAGTTGCTCGCTGCTCCCGTCGACCTGGAGCTGGCGTCTTCTCATGCAATCAGGCGAAGAAGCAGCCGCTAGACATGGTTCAAATGCCCCACTTTTGAGGGTAAACCCAAACAGCCGGCCTCGTCGCCAATGACTTTTGGGTGCGCGATGCATCATAGCCGTTGCCTAGGGTTAGGTAGTACTGGTAGTGGCCAAACGGCGAGAGGCCACAATGGATCTACCTGGCCTCCCACAAACGGGGAATGCTTACGGGATTCGCCATCTGCATTCTGAGTCCGATACGCACATGGGCTTTGCTCTATGCATAACTGTCATTTTCTATCAGACTTTGCGGACTCGGGCAGCCTTGAGGTTTGGATGTCTCTTGTGCCCCACTCAGCCGTTCGGTGTCTGGGACACTAACGATGACGGCCGGAGTCTTACACGACTCGGAGGTTTGGGTCTGAGAAAGCGGTCCGCATCATCTGGCCCCCAATTCCGCCATCCAGGGGGGGCTGTGGCTAGATACCTAGGTCGGTATGCAGCCTACATAGTTACGTACCTAGTTGAGTTGGCAATGCTTGAGCGATGGCATCCGAATTCTTGGTTCCGCGGCGCGTGGCGTGCATGTGCAAGGGGCGGTCCACTGGAGCAGAACGCCGACACAGGGACCAAGGGGCGCTAGTGGCGGCAACCGTGCAGCGCGATAACAGCAGACCCGGTGGAGGACGTCCCGCCACCGCACGAGTGTTTGTTTCTCAGCTTGTGACCAGCTGAACAGGCCTGGTCTGACCAGCGTGACTGACTTCCTTGAGCACTCAGCTTGATGTTCTCACCGTGGACGTCTATCTCGCTCCGTCTGTGGACTCCCTCTAGATGACCCCGCTTTGTGAGGCAAGAGGCGGACTGTGTGGGCGCTCAGGGAGAGAGGAGATGTGCTGACCTGTGATGGTGCAAGGTTCGAGGCACCGCAAGATGAATGGTCAATGGCTGCGTGACGAAGCTGTGGTGATTGGTGGTCACTAACGCTAATAACGCATGTAAGCCCGCACCTTTGATATGGATGCAGAGGACCTACCTTACCTACATCTACCCTGCCCGCCGTCTCTCCGCTAGGGAACATCCCGCCGCATCCCGCTCGCTTCGCTGCCTCGCTGCGTTTGACGCCTCTCGGGGAGCTGCAGCCTCGATGTTTGCAAACACACAAACAGCTAAGGATTCTAGGCAACGGATCGAGTCGTCCCGGCAGGTTGCCCTTCGACTCTGGGTCGCCATAGATGGTGGCCAAAACTGCAGAACCGAGGCATTGATGCTACCGGCCAGCTGCCAACTTCCCTATTTCACATCCAGATTTGGCCAAGTGCCGGCTTGTTCCTGCAGTTGACGGAGCTAGCAGGCCACCATGTCACGCTAGAGTGACGCGGGGGAGCATTGGCCTAGGTAGGTGGGTAGCTATTTCGTGTCGGTGATGACCCAGGGTTGTCTTGTTCCTCCAGCGTGCTTTCTGACCTTCTCTGATGACTTTGGTGGGTTGCGGCCATCCCCACACCCATTAAGCAGATTGCCGAGTTCTGTTGCGGATGAAACGCAGCGTCGCTAACGTCCCGGAGTCTTGTTCGGGCCAAGCCTAGTAGGATAATTTTAGAAACAAAATCTCAAACTGTCTTCTAAACGAAGCTTGAAGTTTTGCAGGGTCAATTATGAATGTGTTGGTAGACTTGCGATTGAATTATCCGTTGCCCTTGTCGGAGTCCGAGTCTGTTGCCGACGACGACTAGGCAGTTAAAGTGCAAGTGCAGTGTCTTGCAGAGACAGTACAGTTGACCGTGTGATGGACTGCGCAGGCTGCTCAAGTGCACGCTAGCCGCTCTTTCCGTTTATGGATCTCGGACCTCTTATTGGCTAATGTTTCATGCACCGATCACAGCTCCGATTGGACAGAAAATGGGCCGTTGTGGCCTATGAAATGCTTGGGAACGATATTAATGGAAACAGAACAAGCGGCAGAGTGCTGAGTTCATTCTTGGATGAACACTACCATACTAGTGTACGAGTGTGTAACAAGCCCTATGGAGGTGGGAGACGGAATAGCCCCGGCATCTCGAACAACGGAGCGGTTATCGCGAGCCTGATCGCTTTAGGCGGTCCCCGTCAGATTCCCGGACCGGACGTCGACTGATGAGACATACAGGGCCACTTGATTGGCTCAGGCAGCAAAGCCGGCGTCCGCCTCGTCAGTCTACCCAACGCTCTACTCCGTACTTACACTTCACACGCCGAAAACCAACCCCAGACACCAACAACCACGCAAAGTCAAACCTACAGAGCGTCTAAATGTCAGGTACAGATAACGATGCTCGACCTCGAGGATCCCAGGCTCACCTAGCCCGTATGGCACCGAGAAAGTGGAGAGTCCAACGAGAACAGGCGGTGTGAATCTCGTGACCGGCAAACATCGCGGCAGCTAAGAGAGCGGAGAGCAGGGCTCCAACGGTTATTGCCGCACAGACGCCGACGCCCGAGGTCGGCAAGGTGGGTTACGCCTCTTGTGTGTGTCGTTGCGGCTGAAACTGACGCCCGTCAGAGCGGGGTGGTAGACCTCCATTGTGCTACCTAACAGAAGAGCAACTCCACCGGGATTCACCAGTGAGGACAGAATAACTCAGGTACCTATTGTCTGTACAGATGGCAAACCCAGCAGATGAAGAACCAGCCTTCTCAAATCAGGCGTGCGGCCGACTCCATGCGAATTTACGTCCGGCGGCCCGGATGGGATCATGTGGGAAGTAACTTCGGCTCCTATTTGGGCACAACCCTCATTGTACTATCAGGCGGGCTTGCAGGATGATTCTACCTCCCTGCCGCCCCGCAGACTGGGTATCAGCTACCTTAGGTTGGTACGGAGTCAGAAGTGCAGCTCCTCGTGCTTACTTTTGAAGCACAAGAGCAAAATGCGCTCGCTTCGTCATGGTGAGTGTCTGGGATAGTTGCCGCTTCCGATCTTTCCGAGCCGGAGTGTCGCGGATTGAGCACTTTGGGGGGCTTGGCAATATCTGTGCAGTTGGCTTCAAAAGATTCTGGGAGGCAGCACACCTCCCATCGTGCTCTGGTTCCCTCACTCAAGCAGCGACCCAGGGCCCCGCGACCATCCGGCGTGAGTTCGTACAATACCCGGCATGCACCGTTGCCCAGTCATTACATACCCGGCTTTGTTGCCCTTCGCCGTCAGGCTCAGAGCCAAGAGCACGGCTCCTGGGCAACCGAGGTTGGGCGGTTGGGCGGGGGTTTCTCGTCATGCTGCAACTTGGTGACGGAGATTGTCGATGCCATAAAAAGAACTCAGCGAGGTCCCGGCGGCTCGGCCCCGGTGGAAGACTGGCCGTGAGTGGACATCCGTCGCCGTTCGGCGAAACGCCGCGCCGGGTCGGAGACCCCGCAAAAAATGGTCTTGTCCGGTGGCCGCAGATGCACAATTGCGTGAGTCTGAGCTTGGCGCCAAACGAGGGAAGCTCGCAGTACGTACCCAGACCCTGAACCGTTTTGACGCCGAAGCGGGCGCTTACAGACGGCAGCGGCTTCCAGAATTTCCACCACGGCGCTTCCATTGGCCAATCTCCGCCCACAAGCAACTGACATCAGCAGCCGCCATCTTAACATTGGACGACATCGCTTCCGACGGGTTCTAATTCTGGGTGGAAACATGTTTCGAAACGCCAGGAAAACAATACCGGCTGCCCGGCTAGCAGTTCTTTGGTGATATCGTTCAGCTGCCAGGGGGCTCGGCCAGTCGTCGCCCAGGCCGCCCACACGTATCCGTAAGCCACACCTTTCCGCGGCCGCGGTGCCGTCCCCAAGACGTTCTAACAGACTGCAGGGAGGCGGCTATGGTTCCGACTTTATTGAGAAAAAGGAAGGGAGGATGACATGCATCATGTATGTGCATACATACATGTCATCGGCGGCGGCTATCGGAGGCGGCAACTCCCTGCGATGGCCCTTGGGTGCCGAGGGTGATATGGGTTGGCTACCGGCATTGAGGCTCTCGGCCTCCAGCACGCCGTCATGGTTCTCCACAGGACGCGGGCCGCTCTGCAACTGAGAGGCAGTGTCAGGCACGGTACATGTGTGTACCTGCTGCCTCCATCACACCCTTACCGCCGTTGCGGCTACGATGGGCGTCTGCGGCAAGGCAGCCCTATCACGGGCATGTCGAGATCTAGATCTGCGGCCCAGACAGCCCATACCACAGACGAGGGCCGCAAGTACAGGTACATGCTGGATTAGCCGGTCGTACCTGCATATGGCTTTGATCCACCCCCAACGACCAGTCTTCTGGGGCCGATTTCGACCACACCCGAACCGCAGGATCCAACCCACACTCACTCGTGAGAGCAAAGCGTCGTTGTTGGTACACCATTGGCTGGGAGGTTTACTCAAATCTTTCTATATCCTCCCATGGCGCTTCTGTTTCAAGCACCGAAAGAAATGCGACACCCCACGCACCGCGGCAACCACGGGACCAAGGACCTGCACCAATGCTTCTAAACATGGAGCATCCTATTCTGCTCACCCATCGACAGCTCATATTTATAGCATATCTCTGGCAGTTGTGTTACAATCGAGACAGCGATAAGATTGCAACGGGGTGAGTTAGCCACGCATATCTATCCGTCGAAGAGCTCACCAGTCAGCCGCCTATCAACTGCGCAGACCTCGAGGCGGCTCCAGACCCCCCTCGGATTGGATGTCCGCCCAAGTAAGCGCTTCTTGAATTAGGGGTTCAAGACCTGGCCTGTCGGAAAACCAACCATGACGTACAGGAAATTTGAATCGACAGGATGCCACCATTTTCAGCACCTCACCCGCTTGCATCACTCTGCTTGATGCCTGGGGCATGAAGTGATAAGCGTCCTACTGTCATTCCCCGGTCACTTTCAGGGCATCTCAAGGTTGTGGCGCTTCCCTTCACTGCTCACCATGAAATCCCCTGCTCGTACGCCTCTCGAAGATTGGAGTTCCCGGCGCGAGTGGTTGCTGATATGGACGTCTGTTGCTCACAGTCTTGCTAACACCAGGGGTCCATACGTTGCCGCCATTTCTCCATGCCCAAGATACGTCGTCTCTTCAAGGACCTTAATCATAGCGTCACCGGACTATTAACAATGACCCAAAGCGAACGTTCGATGTTGGGTTTTCCCTAAGCCTGAACTTTAGCCTTGGAAAGAACAGAGCATCCCCGGTTACTGCAAGCAGATGTGAGTAAAAGAAAAGCCAAGGGTGACTGGGGTCTGGTGGCTATCTCTCTGTACGAGAGCCCCTCAGGCAAAGAGAATAGGTAGATATACTTGAGTTCAAGAATCTGGAAGCAACGTTGAACCGAACAGCCGTGCTATATAATTCACCTCGGGCACCTTACAGCTCCCAACAATAATAGAACTGGGGAAATCCATAGGCAACCCCCATCTCTCACTCTCTTCTTTGCCTTACCTATCGAGATAAGTGGTAGTGAACCTAATTGTCCTTGCCATAACTATCTCACTTCTTCGCTGCCCTTTCACCCTCCCCGGGCGCGCCTCCAAGACGGCGAGCATAATGCCATTTGCAATAGGCCATACCGCCAACGACGTATGTATTCGGAGCGTGTGAAGGATGTGCTAGTCATCCTGGTGCTGCCCTCTTCCGAGACCAAGTATGAGATTCACGAAATGAATGAGGTAGTAAAGTAAGAAAGCTCGCTTTGGTACATGTACATACGCCAGGCATTTTTCCACCGGTCAACCCTTCTCTACCGCACTACGTAAAGCTCCGAAACGTTTGTACTTCTTCCGGGGAAAAGGCACCCTAAGGATGTGTGCTAGGCAAGGATTTTAAAACTTGAAAGGCTTGTGTAGGAGTATGGCAGGCCTTCATGGCAGTATTCTCAACCCTTGGGGTACAGGAAGCCCAGAAAAAAGAGTCTCGGCAATCTGCTCTGTTCTCATCATGAAGAACGCGTATAGCTGCCTGAGTTTTCGAATGATAGCTAAATCCGGCCTTGACTTTGGTTACGAGATTTACGGAGGACGCGCACCCATGAATATGACAATACGGCAAACTTAAGCATTAGATCTTATTGTTCAAGGCCTGTGACAGTCCCTCGAAGTGGTAATGATGAAGAGCAACACTACCCGAACCTGGGATTACACGCTGGATTCAACCGCGATGCAATTAGGCAAGGCGTGGTTCATAATCGCTACACATACCGACACGCGGGGACTTCCCCGATCCCTTACACAAGGCGGTACCTAGTCAGCTTCCTACTTCTTCTGCCTCTTAGCACTCTTGTCGCTCGTCGCACTGAGCTCGCTCGCACTCCGTTTATGCCCCGTGCCTTTGTCCTTCTCGGTCCCCGGCTCATCTTTGACGCTCCCCGCAGCGGCATCCCCGCCGGCACCAGCATCTTCTCCCGATTGCCTACCTTCGCCTACCACGTCGACATCCTCGTTCGTGACCTCTTCCTTTCCCTTTTCGTTGCCCTTCTCGCCCTGCGCTTCCTCGTCCCCACCGTCCCCAGTCCCTAACACCGCCTTTGCCCTCTCCCGTTCAATTTTCTTCGCCTCCTCCAACTTGATCTCGCCTTCCAACTTGTCGCTCAACTTCCTGAGATCTACTAGAGCGGTGACGGCGCCCCAGAGCACCTCAAACTGCGCAGTGACCGCGGCGGTCGGCATGACCAGCCGGGGAGGAACGTCCAGCTCGGCGAGCGCATTCGTAATGCGAAGCTGCTGTTGACCGGACTTGTGGCTGTACAGCTTGTTGATCTTCTCGTAGCGGAAGGTCGGCCCGCTGCCGAGGCGGTCGTGGTAGGATACACCGTACACCTGCTCTTCCTGGGCAGATAGCTTGCGGCGCTCCGGTTGCGCGGCGGAACCTTTCTTTTTGTGGCCCGGGCCGGAGGAAGAAGCGGTTGTGGGCGTTGGCTCGGCGGACATGGCGGGCCCGCGGGCATCGGAGTCGCGGCGACTGGAGGCTGCAGCCGCGATACTCTCGCGCCGGTTGGGGCCCGATTCCGAGACGGCGCTGCCTGGGACAGCACCCCCTGGGCTGACGCCGTCGCCGGGACCGAGAATGCTCTTCCGCTTCTTAGACTTGTCTGTCGACATGAGGTTCTGGAGAAGTGCTTGGAGCCCTGCTGAGCTCTTGAAAGAGTTGATATCAGAGTCCGTGGCGGGGAAGTCGAGACGGTTGTAGAGTTCGCGGCGCTCTTCGTTGAAGCGCTCGGTGCGAGCTAGGATGCGCTTGATCTCCAGGAGTAGGGACTCCTCTTCCCGGGCCTCATCCTTAGAGCGGGCCATCGTGTTGAGGGCAAACTCCTTCCGCTTCCTCTCCTGCTCCGGGTTGAAGTTCTGCATCATCTCGTATAGCTCGAACTCTGGCCGCGTCATATACTGCGCCGGCTTTTGCACCGCCATCATCTTTGCCGCAACCTCGTAGTAGCGCGCTTTCAGGTCCTCCAACGTCCTTGGTTTCGGGGCTGTCACCACGGCCGTACTAGTGCCGTTCGCCTCCTCTCCCTCAGGTGGCTTTGGCACAAACTCGTACCGGTCCCAGATGATAGGCCAGCGTAGGTCGTATTCCTTCGCCAGTTCCAACAAATAGTCCGTTTCCTCCTTCGTCCACTCCGTGCTTTGTAGGTTCGACTGGTACTGGTCCTCGTTGTACTGCGGAACTGACACGCGCACATTGAACTTGGCGAATGCGGAGTCCTCGGGCTTCTCCTCCTTCATCTCTGTATCCACTCCATCCTCGCTCGGCCGGGACTCCGGTTCCTGCGGGGGTTCTCCTGGGGGCCCATGGTCCGTCTTCCGTTTCCAGTGCCTCAGAACGAGGGAACCATTATCCCCTCTTGCCGAGTTTGTAAATGCCCTCAGCTCCCATCGCGCAGCTGGTTTGCGACTGGCGTAGCGCCGTTTCTTGAAGAATGGAACCTCCGGAACGATGGCTATTGGGTTGTCGCCGCCAAGACTCTGGACTTCGCGTGCTAGTCCCTTCAGGTTTGGACGAGGCGCGCCGGTTCTTTGCTTTTTGTTTGGCCGGGGTGCTGGAGAGTGTTCGGAGGGAAGGTTGAGGACATCGCGGAGATCGTTGGAGGTCATGATGGTGGGGGGCCCCTCGGCCGTCGCGTCACGGGCAGATAAGCGTGCTCTGTTTGGGTGGGGATCGAGTCCGTCGCCAGCAAAGCCGTCGGCATCAATCAAAACGACTTCAATTAAAAATGGTATCGTAAATAATACACATGCGGAAATTCGGATCTGTGCTAGTTCTACCGATGGAGAAGCGAGAGGACGTTACTTTAGGCGATGCAGAAGTCGTTTGATCTCGCCCTTCATCGGGTTCGCTCTGGAGTCTGGACGCAGTCGGGAGGTTTTTGGCAGCAAACACCGCCAAAATTTCGCTTTGGTCGCGACGGGGGTTGGCACCTTAACGGTCAAATGCCAAGGCGTGCTGAGTGCTCAGGGAGCTTGCACGTGACCCAACCACGCTGGTAGGCCCAGATTTACTGAACGTGGCAGTTTGGAGCTTGGCCGGGGTCGCGATTGTGAGCCGACACAGTACCTATGTTCCCAGCGGGAACGTGAAAGCCGTCGCGTGCACACAAACTTCCTCCAGCACTTCGGCCGTCCTCGTTTCCTCCAGCAAGATGAGGACGCTTCTCCCGCTGCTGTCGCTGGCCGCCATGGCCCGGGCGCTCTACTTCTACATCGATGTCACATCGCCAAAATGCTTTTTCGAGGAGCTTCCCAAGGACACTCTGGTGGTGGGCCACTACACGGCCGAGGAATGGGACGACCGCTTGCAGGCCTGGGCGAGGCACGACGGCATCAAAATCTACATCACAGTCGATGTGCGTCTCTTCTCTCCTCGGGAATCGCTCTCCCTACGCCTATCTATGCTAACCCTTGGTTCCTCAGGAGGTCTTCGACAACGACCACCGCGTCGTCTCCCAACACGGCGCCTCCTCAGGCAAATTCACGTTCACCGCCGCCGACGCAGGTGACCACAAGCTCTGCTTCACCCCTTCCTCGAACAGTGGCCGGTCTAACTGGCTATCGCTCTCGAGCCCCAACGGGGGCATCCGGCTGTCGCTAGACCTTGCCATTGGCGAAACCAGTGCGCTCGAGGGCGGGGACAAGGAGAAGATTCAGGACCTGGCGACGCGCGTGCGGGATCTGAATGCAAGGCTGAATGATATCAGGAGAGAGCAGGTTTTCCAGCGGGTGAGTCTTACGTTTCGGCCTGCCAATACAAGGGGCATACAGCGTTCTAACGCGGGATGAAACCAAACACAGGAACGCGAAGCTGAATTCCGTGACCAATCCGAGAGCACCAACGCCCGTGTTGTCCGGTGGATCCTGATCCAGCTCACCGTGCTGGGCGTGACTTGCGCCTGGCAGCTGTCGCACCTGCGGTCCTTCTTCATCAAGCAGAAGCTCACATAGAGTCTCTCATAAAAACTGTGAATTCGACTATTGTTGCTGTGTCTGGTACGGGATTCCTGTCAGCTGATCTGCTCTGTGTATTGATTCCGGTTACGGAGTGCATGCTGTACTGTCTCGTCTCCTGGCTGATAGAGGTGTATGCCTCTGCTATGAGGATTGGAGCGGGAGTTTTTCGAACGTCTACGAGATCATGGTTTTACTGTAATGATACACAATTGGTTAGGCGGGCGTGTGACTGGGGATTGCGTATGGGAACGGATTGCTGAAAACCTACGGTCCGAGAAAACAGCTTGAGTGAACTGCAACTGGAAGGACGTTACCCTGGTGGCAGGCGGAATCATTTGCCTGTCCATCTGCTAATAGGTGGGCTTACCAGGGGAATGAGCTGCCACGCGGACGTGTTTACACACCACCATCCTCATCTGTTCGTAGCTCCGTAAGTGGACTTCAATCTCGCGCAGGATAACAAGGGTTGCGAAGGCAGCGTTATGGAACCTATTTCATTATTCAGAGCAGAAGAAAATACACGGTTGTGACCAGTCAGTCTCACAGCCCAGCGCCCAAGGCCAAGTACAGTCAACCCCCCCTGTTATGCTGCCGTCCTTCTCTGTCTTCGGGCGTGTTATGTTTTCAAGAGGGATGCTGATTATTAGAGAGTTTATCTGTATGGGAAGAAAACGACCAAAGAGCGCCATGATGTCTTGTTTTTTGTTCCCCTTTGCCCAGTGCCCAACAAGATTCAGCCCTGCCGACGTCGTCAGAGCTGCGAGATAAGGTCCAGGCTGAGAAAAGAGAAGAGGGGAAAACGCAATCGAAAAACGGATTATCGTGAGGTGATCGTAAAAGCTGTCTGTCCAGAGGCGCCGAGAGTGCCGGAAACCGCTATGGAAAGAAGGTATCCTCTATGTCCCCATGCAAAAACGAAAAACGCATGCGCATGTTTCAGGCAAAATCATGCAAGACTCGTCCCCGGAAAAGCCTTCTATATAGAACATGCCGTCTGCTGCCGCCTCGCGCTGGTTCGTTCGGTTAGCCACGAATCGGCCGGCGTTGTGGTCGGACGGAAGAGGCTGGCCGCTTACTCAACAGGACGCCAGAACATTGAACAAAGATCATGCATCAGACCCCAGGCCCCTAGCCACAGCAAAGCGTCTTCATGAACTTCTGGAAGCCCGTCGGTTGCGGCTGCGCGCTATTCTGCGGCTGGGCCGGGGTGTTCATCTGGGGTGATTGGGTCATTGGCCGCTGGGGCAGGTTCTGGTTGCTGTTCTGGAACTGCGCCTGGGTCGAGCCCGTGGGCGTCGGCGCGGCTGCCATGTAACCCCCAACCGCCGATCGCGGGCTGGCCAATCCGGGGCCGTTTGGCCGCCCTTGTTTCTGTGACTGGCCTATCGCCTGGCGCGGCAGCGGGGGCTGCGTGGCGTTTAAACGGGCCGCTGTCAGTCCCGGGGCTTGCGGGTCGCTTTGGTGACGAGTGGTGTTCCCCCGCGAGTTGCCGTGGATTTCCATGGCCGAGGGCCCCGGTCGCGAGTTTGGGTCGTGCAGCGGTTGGCGGTTCCAGTCCCCCTTCTTGTCCTGCTTCTTCATCCAGTCATACTCGCCATCCTCGACGCCGCCTTCTTCCTTCAGGGCCTGCGTGAAGAGATCCCGCAGATAGTCGTAGTCGGGAGTGTCCTCGAAACCAAGGTTGCGCACGTAGGTAAGGTAGTGGGCGAATTGCTCCGGGAAGCCCTCGCACAGGTCCTTGATGGGAGTTGTCTGCTTCTTCTCACCGATCTTCTCATACTTCTGCTTGTTCGTCGCAGCCTTGAGGCCCTGCCAAGGCAGACCACCCCGGAGGAAATACATGAAAACGTGGCCCAGCGCCTCGAGATCGTCTCGTCTCGATTGCTCTCTGCCAAGGTGGGTGTTGATGCTCATGTACCGAGCAGTTCCGGAGAGCGACTTGCGTTCCCGGTACGGGATGTGCTGCTTCGTCTTTGGGTCACGGTATTGCTTCGCCATGCCGAAGTCGACAACGTGGATGACATTGGCAGTTTTAGTGCCTGGTCTTCCGATCAGGAAATTGTCGGGCTTGATGTCTCGATAGATCAGGTTCTTCTCGTGGATGGTTTGGACTCGAGATAGCTACAACTGCGGTCAGATCATATAAGAGACAAAAGATCTCGAGTGAAATGCGCACCATCTGTTTTGCGACCATGACGACAGTCTTGAGACTAAACCTCCGGTTGCAGTGGTCAAAGAGGTCCTCGAGCGATGGGCCAAGCAAGTCGATAACCAGGATGTTGTGAAGACCTTCCTGACCAAAGTAGTAGACATTGGGAATACCAGCTGTGACAGAGCGCAGAGAATTAGCTATGTACTCAAGGCAGCATTATCCAGAGGCAGGTACTCACGGCAGCCAACAAGGATCTTGTATGTCCGATACTCATCCCTGAGCTGAGGGGCATCGCTCTTCCTTGGTTCCTAGATGGCAAGCCAGGTTAACATTATGCGCCCAAGCATGCGCGGCATTCTTGCATTCGGTGCACCTACAAACTTGATGGCGACCTGTTGGCTGTTCAGGAGATTCATCCCCTCAAAGATCACGCCAAAGGAGCCTTCCCCGATCTTCTTCCCCACCCTGTAGTGCACCCCCACAACGTTCGACGATGAAGAAGCCATTCTGGGCAAGTTGGATACTAATCGCGTGACTGAATGCGGCTACGCGTGCTCGGTATCTGAGATCAGTGTTAGCTGCAAGTCACGATCGATATGCCTCGTTACATGGCCAGGGACAAGGTAGATGGCGAAGTAGGACGACGAGGACGATGTACCCCCGTATCGGCTATATGGAGAGGCAAAAAAAAAAAAGGGTACGAGTATCAGGTTGGAGACCGTCTGCAGGCTGGGAAACCTGGGTTGACAAGCAAAAGGGTGCAATTGGGCGAGCACGAGCCAACTCACCAAAGCTTTGGAGAGGTCTGCAAATACCCCTGACAGGCGGTGGGCGAAGCTCTGCTGTGGCGAGGCGTTGCTTTGCTAGCAAACTGAAGGCTTCGGTCGGTCGGAGACTAGTACAATGGCGACGCCTACTCGCTGAAACAAAAATGCACCATAAATGCAGCCGGATCAGATATGGGATGGATGGAAATGGTCTCGAGGCCGTAATCGTGCTCGTGGATTCTCGGTCGCCGACCGTGTGCAATCCGAGCCCCAAAATGGGTCCCGATTGAACCGACCGATGGGCGCGTCCGCCGTTTCTAAGCTGCACTCAGTCACCCCGACACGACTTGTCGACTGCGGCCTTTTCGGAGGCGCACAGAGTCTGGTGATGGCGATGTGCCGCGTGGTGTGGTAGAATGTGAAATGGAGAAGGAGGAAACGGCGAGGAGACAGAAGGGAAAGGCAGGCAGGGCAGCGGAGCCGATGACAGGGGTTGTCAACAAAACAGCCAATCCAGCAGAAGCAAAGCGTTGCGGGCTTCCCGCCGAAAGTGAGCTGGTCCTGGCGCAGCCTCCCGTTCCAGGCCAATTCACCTCATTGCACGCCTTTGCCACAACACCGCGATTATGTGCAGATGCACATGCTAGGAGGCATTGCATGGTTGCACAGTCCTTGGGTACAGGCGGGGTTTAAACTGGTGAGACTGTCTGAACAAGAAACCACCACGAACTCCAGGCCCTAATTCCTAGGTTCTTCAGCCGTGCGTTGTACCTTAACTAGCGGGCATTATACTCATGGCTGGATTTGGACAGCCAATTTTGAGTAAACCTTGCCCGGCCGGCCCTGATTTCTCCCTCGTAAGCTGCCCTGTGCTCAATGGCGCAACCTTAGCTATTTCGCGTCGCCAGGCGCTGATGCGACATCGCAATCTCGACCAATTCGTCCCATCAATGTCCTGCTCGACCAACACGGCGGGTTTGCACTCACCGCCGAGTCTTGCCAGCGGATCTTGGCCTGCGGCGGGAGCGGCGAGACCGGCGAGACAGGCCAACGGCAACACCCAGGGTTTCCCAACAAGCTCTTCAGCTAAGGTAGCGGGGAAATCCGCCCCCAGCCTCTTCCCAGGCTGTCTCCACTACCTGCAATCCCGAATGGGGCATGGCTCCTATGAATAAGACGGAACAGAATGCTCGCGGTGAGGCTCAACTCTTCAAGCCGCCGCAGGAATAGGGAAAGGATGGGACCTTGTCTTGCCTCAAGCGGCCAGTACCAGCTGGGCAGTCTTCCATGGTATTGTACGCCATAGTAGGGCAAGATACACGTACATACATGACCCGCGAGGACTCAGCGGCTGCTCCGAGTCTGGATGCGCATCCTGTTCCAAGTGTGACACCTTTCCGACACTACTAACCAACGCAAGACTAGAGCGGTCCCAACCACATCTCTCCCCTTTATTATTAGCGATACCCCTTCATACCGCACTCGGCCCGCCGAAGCCTTAGTGCGTACACACGAGATCCCCAGCATTCACTGAGGTTGCCCCTTACTACCTTATGTAACTACTACCTATGAATGGACCTTTGTGTGTACGGAAAACTTATGACGGGGCTAAATAAAGCCGCAACCAGCCACAAGATGTCAAGGGCATTGGAAGCCTCTTAAATCGGGCGCCTTACTGCCCAACTTCTCCCGGAAAACCCCGTTTGCTGGGCGAGGCGCATGGATGATGGAACGAACCTCTCACCTACCCAGGCAGGAGGATTTGATCCCGAGGACCTATGCGCCATCATCATTGAAACTCCACGCAAACGCCCCAATACAGTGAACGTAGGCCTGCTGTCTCACTATGGCCCCTTTGTGTGGTTCCCCCGCCCTTCTCAGTCAGCTCGACGAGCCCAGCTTCGCAAATCAGCGTCAACGCCAACACAGCTGTGGCGTCTCTATCGATCCGAGATGCACAGTTCATGGTGCAGCGTGTATGGCAAGTTGGTGTATGGCGAAAGCCACCTAATGGTTAGTCTTGCCCTCACTATGGCTTTATCTTATCCAGTCTCGCCAGTGCTATTCGTCACTCTCTTCTTTCGGTCCTTGGTTAACGCAGGGCTGATCTTTTGCCTTCGGGGGTGCCTAACCACTCGCCACATGCTCGTCAACAGCTTTGGAAGTTGAATGTGGGCATCACCTCCCTCCCCTAGTAAGATAAGGCGCAGTGAATGGTCTGTGACAAAGCGATGTTGTGTAACACTCCTTTTGAGCTCTGGGGTCAATGCTTGGTTGGCTAAGGTAGGTTGTCTTCATGATGGGGCAAGCACTTGCGTCACTGTAACTTTGCCTCGTCTTTTTTTTTTCTTTTTTTTTTCCTTTTTTTTCTTTTTTTCTTTTTTTTCATTTTTTTTTTCACCACCTTCACAAGGCGACATTGAGCCAGACCTCTTGGGAAGGGCACTGCTCTACGTAGGGGAATGGAGAAGCAGAAAAGGCACGCGCAACGCAACAAAGCTTCCCCTTGTGTCCTCAGCCATCAAGGCTAATAAAAGTCAGCCCTGCACAGAGCTGCCGTGGTTCATGAAATGTCGTCAGAAAGCCTCCCAAAACGAGCTATATCAACAAGACTAATACAGTTTACCCATCCTCTGCAACAAAGGGAAGGGAAAGCAGAGCGAGAGGATAACCGTTGGCTCCTACACCTTTTTTTCTCCTCATAGAGACAGTGGCGTTAGCCCATCCCATCCAAATCCGCTCCCTCTGCCCCAAACATAAACACGAAACCCCATGAGACATGCATGTCCCCAGGCCACGCTCTCACATCGCAAACAAGCCCCCCGGCATCATCATCCCCTTCTCCGTCTCGCCCAAGACAAACTTCCCTAGCCCACCTTCAGTAGCACTCCGGTTCCCAGTGGCCTGCGGCACTTGCGCGGCCGCGGCTTTCTTGGCGGCCGTCAACCGATCATACGTCACGGCAACCGTTTTCTCGGCACACTCTTTCGTCGTCCTATACCAAGCCTCGAGCTGTGCCTTCTCGACGAAGGTGCGCAACCTGGTGTCCTCCCAGCGCATGGCGTCGAGCAGCTTGTTGCGGAAGCCGTCGTCCATGCCATCGAAGCGGCGATCCACAGTCTCTGTGAAAACGCCGAGCGCATCGGAGGGTTTGACGAAGGGATTGAATCGCGGGTCGGAGTATTCTGAAGGCTTGATTAGCTCCCGAAAGCTGAATAGGGGAGGGATGTTGCGCATACGCTCGTCAATGACGGCGAACAGGGTGTGGTACGCCGCCGTCTCGCCCACCGTTGCGAGCTGATCCAGGTCGCCTTTGTCATTGGTCTCGTTGACGCGCTTCCAGTCGTCGCGGACGAAGCACCGCCGCCAGATCAACCGTTCTGCATCAGAGCGTTCCTCGCCCTTGAGGCCGTACTTCGCGACTTTGAGTGCAAGGTAGAATTGGTCTCCGATGGTATCGTAGTGATTGGAAGGTAATGCCGCCAGGGTAAGTAGGTCAATCAGGGTGTGCGGCTGTAGCGCTTCGTGCCTGAGTAGACGTGACATGCTGTCCTCGAAGACCTGGTGAAGTGCCTTCTGCCTCTTCGGGATCAGGACGCCGTGTTCCTTCACAGCGAGTTCCACCTCTGCCGACTCATCCACCCCTTCTTGGACAGTGGGTAAAATTTGGCCATAGAGCGCGTCTTGAATTTTGATGAGCTCCAGCGCGTGGTCGATCTTTTCGATGTTGGCGCCGTTCTTTGCCTCATTTTCAGACGGGACACTGCTGCCGCCATCGCCGTTGGCAGACTGCTCGGCCTCTTCAGCCAGCAGCGCTAACTTGCCTAAGCTCAGCTCGATCTTCTTGTTCCAGACCTGCTGCTCGCGTGTAAGGCCTAGGTTCAGCAGGGTCTCGGCCGCATGATCGATGTCCTTCTCTCTCTCGACGTCGTTGATCCAGGAGATCTTGGCAAGTTCGGGCTTGGTCCGGAGGAATCTGGTTGCGTAGCCGTTTCTGTCGTAAGGGAAGTCCAGCACAGCCTGGACGCCGCTGTTCTCGAGAAGAACCTCGTACGCGCGGAATGCAAAGTTCTCCTCGTATGCATCGAACAGGTGGCCCATCTTTTCCTTCATGAGGTTGGCCAGTTCAAGCTTTTCCTGCGCCGCACTGTCGGTTGTGTTGCTCTCCACAGCGGCCTGTTGCAGTGACAGTATCCGCTGTACCATGATCTCAGCGAGCGAGTCGAAGGCCATGTACTCCTTCGCGAGTTCGACGGCCTCGTCCCACAAGTCGAAATCTTTCAACCTGAGGATCTTCGTATAGATGTCTTCTTGGTAGGTCTGCTGGTAAGTTCTGCCACGCTCCTGGGCTTGCGCATCGTCACTTAGAGCGGCCCAGGTGGAGAATTCTGTGAGAGACGTGAGGTACTGGCTGGTCAAGGAAGGTAGAAGATGCCGAACCGAGTCGACCAGACGGAGGTCAACAGAGTTCTCCTCTGGGGGTTGACCTGAGTATCTCTCAAGCCATTGGTAGGAGAACTCGACTAGTCGCTTGAGGTTGTTGGTGATGAAGTAAGTTGCTGTCCAGGGTTCGGGAATCGCATTGCCGCCGGCCAGCTTCTTGGGATTGACGCCGTATTGGCTTCCTCTGATGAGCCGGAACTGGCGTGCCTCGAACAGGGCTCCGTTGTTGACCGTGACAGCTTCCCAGACCAGTCGGTTGATGCCCGCCTCGTCCGCTAACCGCTCGGTGAAATAGTACTTGATGATTTGATAAGCCCACGCAACGAAGATATCCAACCTCCACACGTCGTTGATGAACCAGTGACGCACGGGGTCCACCTGCCCAACTGCCGGATTTAGTTCCGTCTTCTGGTGCTCATTGATGTAGACAGCTGTCTCGGAGATCAGAGTCTTCTTGTCTCCCTTGAGACGCTCCGCGAGGAACTGTTCGTGCTTTTTCCATATCCATGTAGCAACAGCCATCTTTTCCGCATCGTAAAGCAGCATCCATCGTGTGCGCATATCCAAGTCGACATGGAGCGAGTTGAGATGGGAGATCAGTCCGTCCAAGTAGGCAACTCTGCTCTTCATGTTGTTTTCCAAAGACGCCGGCAAATTAGCGATGAACGGTGTCTTCGAGCTCACGATTTCGTGGCTCAACTCGATCGCTGCGTTTCCAAGCTCTTGGTTGGAGAAGGGAAGATCTCTCCTTCCTTGGAAAACCAAGGGATTGTCCCTCTTTACTCCAAAGAACACAGCCTGTTCCAGCTTGCTCTTTGCAGTAACTTGTGGTGGTGCATCGCTCGCGAATCGGTCAACATCGGTAACCGCAATCCTAACCGTCCCCACACCTTGAAGTAGGAGCACCACTGTGGGATTTTTTGTTTTGTGGCGGTGCGGTCGTAGGTCGTCCTTTGAATTCCCGCTGCTGTTGGGCTCCTCGAAGCCGGATCCAACCACTTGCAAAGTCTCCTCGTCCCGAAAATCCACCACATCCTCAAAGGTGGGCGGTATTATGTGACTATCCTCCTGCAGTTGTGAGTCTGGGGAGTCGGGCGGTGCGACCATGGAGGCGAGAACCACAGCCCTGTCGAATACGACGAATGCAACAAGTGCAGGTCGTGGCAGATATACCCGAGGCTTCTCTGGGGCGCTGGGCCTGACGGGGCTGGTGTATGAGGTTACCGGCCGGACCATTCCAACCCGAGGCCCTTCGGGGCCTATGACGACCTCCACGAGTGAGTATCGAGATTGATGCTGTTTTGAAAATGATACCAGAAGCAACACATGTTGCAAGGAAGCCTCTTCATGAATCAGGGCCTCGCTCAACCTGCTGGCGTTGATGTACTTTTGTTCCAACCCTCGAGGGACAAAAGTAAAGTCGAGAACCTCGAATGTATCCTGCGAGAGGTTGCCGACCGCAGGGTCCGCTTCTTGAACTGCTTCAATCAAGCGTTCTCGCATGTCGAAATCGGCGACAAGCTCGTGATGACCGCCACGGTGTATCTTCCAGGAGTGCATTCGTCCCTTGGATGTCGCAGCAACCACCACACGCTCTCCGACATGTGACCCGTAGCTGGTCCGTGCAGCAGCAATATCGCCCCGGAAGGCGGCCGAAGTTAAGGCATGACGAATCGTGCTGAAGAAGCCCAGTGCATTGCCGCCCAGACCGCTGCGTAGGAACTGTATCGAAATCCCAGGCCGCCCGTGTACATCCCTCACGTTCATGCAAGCCATCCTCCCAGTGCTGAAGACCAAGACGAATCCGGCGGACTCGGCGTTGACGATCTGAGTGACATGCTCCCCGGAGTACATCCCGGAAATTGAATCCTCGACACCGGACCGTTGTTGGCGGATGAAGTCGAGGGTAGCTGCGCTCGATATGGACTCCCAGTATGCGACTTTACCGCTCATGGGCATGACAATGACAAGGCCGGGCTCGTCTGAAGAAGCCGCTGGGGTGACCAGGGACCCAAGCGGGAGAGGGTCCGAGGCATGCTTCGAGGGATACGGGAGGGTAAATATGAATGTTTCCGGGGAAAACGTCGACGAGGTGTAGGGCCATACAAAGGCGTGGGTATGTGTGAGGCTCAGAGCGTAACCGCTGGACGAGGAGACGGCTCCATGCTGCCGATCTTTTGACGAGTTCAGCAACGCAGGCCCACGAAACATCCCTCCCTTAGGGGGCACCGGTGTCTCGGCTTTACTTTGCGCGTCTGCGCGGAGTCTGTCTGGTAGCGCCGGCAACTTGCTCACGGTGAACGCATTATTTGTTGTCTGCAAACGGGGGTCAGCTGCAAGCTTAAGTCCAAGGGCGAACCGAGATACGAACCAAAACAATGCTCCCATCGCCCTTGCTATGCCTCTCGCCAACTTTTGGCTTCTTTGACCGCACGCTGAGTTCCTTGCGCGGCGCGCCAACATTTTCCAGGCCATCGCGCTTCGCTGATGTTATGTCGATTTTGTCCGGTTTGACTTCGTACGTCTCGGGCGGTGTATCGGGGTTCGCAATCGTGGTTTCAGCCAGGGGCACCCTTTGTCGCTTCGCTTTTGGCTGCTGAATGGAGGTATCGGAACTGACAGGGCGCTGCCGGCGGCGGCTGCTTCGTGTGCCTTTAGCTGGCCCACCTTCTTGTAGCGCGGAGGAAAACATTTTTGCGATCGATGGGGCGAATCGGTGGTTTTCGAATATGCTGTTGGGCGCGACTTTGCGTTGTTGTTGAGCAGCGATTCTAGAAATGGTATCTCAATAAACCATTCGCACGCCCAAGCAACGCTTTTAATGCTGATGGAAGAATCGTAAATGGGTGATACCGGTCAATGTCAGAGGCAGGATGTCGAGGCAAGCCAGGAAGGAAGCCTTCGAACTGGTTGTTCTTGTGAAGGCGGCAGAAACACCAGTGACGAAGCGTCCCATCGATTGGACTGTGTTGACTTTTGGGTAAAATTCCAAGGCTGTCACTGGCCAAAGCTTCTTCGACGTGGAGCCTCGCTGGCAGCTCTTCCCACGCTTGCTTCTGATTGAATTGTCAGCCCCACATGAAGGACAGGACACAGACGTGCAGAGCGGCACGCATGGGCCCACTAATTGCATGCAAGCGTCGGGTTCCTGGTCTGATGTTCGTGATAGGTACACCCGCCAGGAACCTAAGGAGTTCAGGTCTTGTGTGCCAGGGGTCATCATCGGTAGGACATGCCGCATTCTTATTCAATTTTATTGCGCAGAGTTGTACAAATTGTCAACTCTCTTTGACGGAGGCGTATCCTGGACGTCGGGTGAATACACATCTGGTTCAGGGGTTACGACCTAAGCTGGCCTACTTGTCTGAACAGACTTCGACTCTTTCCTCCGAAGGTCTGCCCCTCGATATTATCCTACCCGTTCAACCACAATGTCTTGAACGGGTTACGGAACATCATATTTACCTTTTACCTATCTTGTATTGCGGTAGCAGAGTTGTTTCTCGTTCTGTCCGGAGCCATGAACCGGGCGTCGACCTCGGTCTCGATCACGGACCCCTTTGTCAAATACACTTCCCTGATCGCCACAGGCGTCTACAGCCCAGATGCGGCCCAGTACCGCCTCGCTCACCACCTTCAGAAGGTGTACCTGAGACTGAAAGACTACACTCCTTCGCACCAATACCGGAGCAGGTTACAGCAGATAGCCAAGGCTGTGGGGACGCCTCAGGAGAGCGACGGGACAGAGCTCGCTTCTCCGACGCACCCTATCCGCCGCAATCCGCTGTTTGCTCCTTTCTTTCAAAAGCCGGATGGAAGAAGGGACAGTTTGGCCTTGATAAGGGTCTTGACGAGTCATCAGGCCGCCCTCCAAGTCGATGCTCCGAGAGGACTGTTTCTTTCAGGGGAAGTGGGCACAGGCAAGTCGATGCTCCTCGACCTCCTGGCCGATGGTCTGCCGACCCGCCACAAGAAGAGGTGGCATTATAACACTTTCATGCTCCATGTTTTCTCTAGGTTGGAAGAGTTCCGAAAATCTCGTCCCAGTCTCTCGGCAGAGAGCCCCGAATATTCCCTACTATGGTTGGCCGAAGAGCTGGTCAAGACATCTCCTATCCTTTTCCTCGACGAATTCCAACTCCCGGATAGGGCGGCGAGCAAGATCATGAGTAACTTCTTCGTTGTATTCTTCCAGCTCGGAGGGGTCCTGATTGCATCGTCAAATAGGATGCCTGAAGAGCTCGAGAAGGCAATAGGCGGTTCCTACTCACCACCTGCCACTGGTGGCTTGGTCGAGAGAGTGCTCCGTCTTGGCAAGAGCCGGTTTGGTGGTGAGCTGTTTGGCCAAACCAGTGATTTTGCCGCCTTCCTAGAAGTTCTCAAGGCCCGGTGTGACTTCTGGCACATGGAGAGCACCCAGGACTGGCGAAGGACGGAGAACCGCAAGGCCATGTTGACCGAGGCAGCTTCTTCCGCCGATCCAGTCGCAGGAGCGTATCCCCAAGTGGAGAACGATCGTCTTGCAGCGCGAGACGGGGCCAAAGGGGTCGAGGAGGAACACGAGCGAGGTCCTCAAATGCCGGCCATGTATTTCTTGTCGGCCAATGGCGAACACCTAATGGCCGATGCACCGCGGCGTATTGCCGATTCCTCTCAGAGCAACGCTGGTATTCGAGATAGGGGTTGGGAACCGGCTACGTTGATAGTATATGGGAGGAAGCTAGTTGTCCCTCGACAACGTGATGGTATCTCGTCTTGGAAGCTTGCAGAGCTAGTCAGCTCTTTGGGACCCGCCGACTTTGTCACCCTGGCATCAAACTACCATACTTTCATTATCGACGAGGTTCCTGTACTCACCATTTCCATGAAGAACGAGGCCCGGCGCTTCATCACCCTGCTGGACGCGCTGTACGAATCACGGTGCAAACTGGTCATTCGCGCAGAGGCTGGTCCTGACGACTTATTCTTCCCGGAGATGCGAACTCGATTGGTGGCACCCGATACGGCTCAGCAAACGGCAGCTGACCAAGACGAGGGTGCCGACGCAACGTATTCTGAGACGATTGCTGAAGTCTACCAGGACCAGGTATCGCCCTTCCGCCCCAATGTCTCCGCGTACACAGAGTCGACGAGCTCAAAATACGACCCGGACCAAGATTCCGACTTTGGGAAGGAGCAGGAGAGGAAGGTCGATTTTAACAGAGCCAGCGCTTTTACCGGGGAGGACGAGCGATTCGCGTACAAGCGAGCGACGAGTCGGCTGTGGGAGCTTTGCAGTGCGCAGTGGCATGCGCGGACGGGAGATTGGTGGCAGCCCCTACCGAAGGAAGCCAGGCATTGGGAAGGTACGGAGCCGGCTGCACCGCACTCTACCCGATTATCGAGAGCCCTCCGGAGTGAGATCACTATGGGGGAGTCGGTGGAGCTTGAGGAGCCTGCGGGCTTAGAAAGAATCAGGGTTCTCGAGTTGAAAGGAGGCGAGCAGTAGTAGGGCACGCCAGGCGCTTCACTCATCCCGACCCGGGAACTGTACCCTCAGTCCGAGCGCCCTCATTGGGAGTCTCCGCTTCCAGTGAACCTATCATGACCATGTGGGAACAGTGCAGGGCCGGGCCTGTGGTCGGGTATCTGGAGTTGACTGCCATGATGCTGAAGACCCCGATACTAAGTCTCGTTAACAAGACTGGCGTCGTCTCTTGAAGCTGCTCTCAGAAGAGTGAGTGATTCTCACTGAGGACCGTTAGGCTAGCTGTGGGGTAAAGGTTACATCGCCCCAGATTGTCACATCATCGGACTTCCGGCGCCACAGCGATGAACGTATACCTATACACCCATGAATCACGGGGTGGAATTTTCGCCGGCGTGACGCCAGAAACCGTAGTGAATTCCATTATGCGCCGTGTTGCAGGTTCATCATGCGAGAAGCGGCCTAGTTGCTGTGTTTACGCACGGCGCAATCAACCGCCCGGGCCGGCGACCAATGGTGCATTCATTCTTGCTTGGCCCAAGCAGGAGTCAGGACATTCCTGCCTAGAACAGCAAGTCACCATACCCGGAGCGACTGCCGCCGCGGAACCTGGATATCTGCCGCCATCCACCCCCCTTTTGGGGATGTACCCCGTCGTAGCCGGAGAGCAGCCATAACCACAGCCCAGGTACCTTAGGTGGCTACAGACCTACAGAACACAAACATGCCACAGTAGATCATCCCATCTTCACGCCCTGTAGTCTCTTCTCGTCGCCCCTTGCCTGGGCCTTACCCACCTTCAGAGTAATGCGCACTCCGTCCCGGAGCCTCTCCCCGGTGTCGGTGGCGCCATGGGTGAGAAAACAAGACTTCAAATGATGATGATGAGAGCGCGGCCTCGGCAGAACCGCCGCCCGAAGCTGAGGCAGATCACCCTTGTTCTCGGGTTCATTCTAGCCTTCTACTGCCTTGTATTTGTCACCAGAACGCCTTCGTCCAGGGGACCGTCTACGAAGCGGCCGCCACGCGAGATACTCAACAACCTATCGCTCGACGAGGAGCAGTGCAATGCCTACTTCCCCGGGCTCACAAAGGAGATTGACGATGCCGTGGCCCAGGGCCCATTCCAGGTGAAGCAGACGGGCGATTTGGGGCCTCTGCAGGGGAGGATTAAAGAGGGACAGGTTCGTACTCTTTCCCCGTATGAGCATGACTTTAAATCGTCACTGACCTCGACGGACAGATATACATCATTCATGGCCAGCGCAAAAGGGACCTCTCACAGGAAATGTTGAACGTAAGCCCGCTCTCCCGCTTATCCTACCACATCGCGCAGCCTCTCTTACAAGCTCCTTGCCTATCTACCCGCTCAACAGTCGCGCACGGCCTCTCTCCACCAACTGCACCGTGCCATCCTCACTTCACCCTCCCCGCTGCCGGACACGATCTTCACGCTCAACTTCCAAGACCAGCCCTTCGGCACAGCCTGGGCTTACAGCCGGCACGCCGACCCGGCCTTCCGCCCCAAGGACCCCAACGCACGCGCCTTCCTGATGCCGCATTTTTCCTTCTGGGCCTGGGACCTGCCCTTCATCGGCTCCATGTCGCGCGCCGCAGCCGCCATCGCCGACCTCGAATCGTCCTACGCCCAGCCGGGCCAGTGGCATGTCAAGATCCCCAAGGCGGTCTGGCGCGGCACGACGTGGTTCAACAGCGTGCACAGCCCGCGGCTGCGGCAGAACCTGGTCGCCGCCGCGCGGGGCCAGCCGTGGGCGGACATCGAGCCCCTCGCGTGGAACGGCGGCGCGGGCGTGTCCGGCAGCAACGCCAGCAACGCGCTGCCCATCGAGGAGTTCTGCCGGTACAAGTACGTCGTGCACACGGAGGGGATCGCCTACAGCGGGCGCTTCCAGTTTCTGCAGATGTGTGCGAGCGTCGTGCTCACCCCGCCGATCCAGTGGATGCAGCATGTCACGCACCTTGTGAGGCCGCTCTTTTCGAGTGATTTAAAGCTTGGAACCAAGGGATGGACCCCGTCGGAGAAGTTTAGAAGGGCGTGGCCCGTCGGGTATGGGCCCGACGAGGCGAATATCGTGTTTGTGGCGCCGGACTGGTCGGATTTGGGGGACGTCGTGGCCTGGTTGGAGGAACATCCTGATATAGCAGAGGGGATTGCCAGGCGACAGCGGGAGTTGTTCGTCGGAGGCGGTTATTTTAGCCCGGCTGCTGAGACGTGCTACTGGCGGGCTTTGGTGAGTGGCTGGGCGAAGATGGCGAGGACCGAGGGTCAGGGCTGGGAGGACATTGAGGGAACCACGTTCGAGGCGTTCAGTCTGACGAATGGCCCTTGATAGCACCTAGTGTCGTGAATGGCGCCTCCGGTACTGTGGCAAGACTCGAAATCGTCGGCTTCGGTCTCAGAAATAGGCCATGCATCGCGTATGAACTGGTCGTATCGAATAAACCTGAGCGCAAACGTGTCCCCCAACGCGCGAACGCGCGAACGCCAGGGCCATTTCATGATCGCCGGAAGCACCACATAGGCCCCCTAGGTAGCTTCAGAGATTCGTAATACCCGGCGTCCAATTCTCTCCAATCCGACGCATCTCCTCCGCGAATTTCTTACTCATGATCTTCTTCCCCCCATGTCCCAAAGGCGACGAGTGCTCATCCGGATCATAGAACGGATTCTGCGTCAGCCTGATATATGCCGCCTGCATAGCCTTGAAAACGGGCCGCATCTCGCCCTCCCTCAGCCCGGCGGCCGCTCCGGCAATCCTCTTGTCTCTCCCGTCAGCCAGCCCGGCAGCAACCGCGCTGTCGATGCGCCGGCCGCGCATGTCCACGATAACGACGAAGCGGATGCCCGTGTTGGTCTCGAATCCGTAAGCAGCGAGACGGTCGTCGACGGCGTGCAGCAGCCCGAAGTCGCCAGTCAGACCGACGCCGGCCGCCTGGTTCTGACGAGAGCGGAGTTCGAAGACATCGAGGGTGCTGGAGAGGATGAGGGAGAACTGCAGCGGTGTGCGGACGGGGTGGTAGGAGTTGGTCGAGGGGTCGTAAGAGGGGAAGATGGATGTGTGGAGTGGGTTGTTCTGGCATGGACGTTAGTTGTTGACTAAAGCGACAAACCTAGAGGGCAGCTTACATTTCGTCCAATTACCCCAAGGCAAGCTATCGACGGGATTGTGGTCGCCATGGCGGCGACTACAGCTGCCAGTACCGGATGGTTTGGAGAACTGACCGTTCTCTTTGATACCGAGGTGCAAGTGTAGGTAGGAAGGAGGTCTGCGAAGCTCTAACGTTATGCTTTACGGATACGCTTGCAGCTGCAGGGGTCAGAAACTGTGGGTCAATATCCCGTTTCGGAAACGGAGACATCCACATAGGACGACTCGAAGCCTAAGAGGTACAGGTACAGGGTAATGAGACTCACGCTAGGGTCATAAGGTACCTAATTTAGAGTGGTATGAGCCTCACCCTATGCGTTCTAGCAGAGACAGATGGGCTTTTCTGTTGAACCCAAAGGAGCCGAAGATCCTTAGCTTGGGTTATCCGTTTAAGCCGCCGATAACTACCTAGGTAGGTCGGTAGGTATTGCCTTTGAAGCAACAATGCTCACTCCTCGTCAACGAGACACTCGGTCTCTTCTAGGCCCCTGAGTACCTCCTCGATCTCGCTCGGATCGGTAATGGCCCAGACACCGCCGCCCTTGACGGTGTCCTTTCCTCTCATGCCCACCTCCTTTCCAACCAGGTTCCGTCCGACATATCCGGGCCCAATGCCGACCCATCTCCTGACCTTCTGTTCCTGGTCGAGGTACTTTATGCTGTCCCACCACCGCACGGTCTCCAGGCATTGTCTTGCTAGCAGATCCTTCAACTCTGCCTTGCTCTCAAAGGGCCTTGCAGTGACGTTGCTGACACACGGTATCCCAGGCCATGTAATAATATCTTGGCCTTCTCTCCCCTTCACTCGACTGGTTCCCCCGAGAATGTTTCGCATCACCGACACCGCAGGCCTCATAATCGGACTGTGGAATGGGCTGTCGCTCTTCAACCGAACCGCCCGGGGATCATGACCCAGAAACTGCCTGACATGGGCAACAAGCATCTTTATCCGCTCAATGTTGCCGCTCAATACGATCTGGTTCTTGCTGTTGATGTTGGCAATGAGCACCTGGTCGATCGGCGACCGGTCCTCGGCGCTCTCCGATTTGCTCCCCAGGACGCCGTAACCGACAAACTCACGGACCGCGTTGACCAGCGGCTGCATATACTCCGGCTCGCTCACTATGGCCACCATGCCGTACTCGCCGCCGTACTCCTCCTCGGCACGCCTCGTGGCAGCCGCCATGGCCTCGGCTCGTTTCTGGACCAGGAACAGACTGTCTTCGAACTCAATGTAGCCGCTCGATACAAGGGCCGCAAACTCGCCGAGAGAGTGGCCCAAAGTGAAATCGGCCCGCTCAGACGTCTTGAAGCCGAACTCCTTCTCGAGGATGCGCAAGATCAGGATAGAGGTCGCCATGATGGCGGGCTGCGCATTCGGCGTCAGGCTGAGCACCTTGCCAGGCCCTTGCTGTATCACATCGGACAGCTTGTAGCCCACGATATGGTCGATCTCCTGAATGATCGGGGTCGCCGTCGCTGGGAATGCTTCTATCCAGGGGGCAAGCATGCCCACTTTCTGGACCCCTTGCCCTGTCCGCATCGGGGTCCGTGTTAGTGAAATGCAAGCCCAGTAAACAACAGAGGACGTGTGCACCTACCCGGAAAGAAGATGGCCGTCTTTGGCCGCACGCTGCTCGCGGATGCATGTCGAAGTTGTAATTTTAACACTGGATGTTGTTGGAAAGCTGGGGACGCCAAGACTGTGCTGGAACGACGTCTCGTATTCGGGGCGAGCACGCGGCACGACCAGCGCAGCAGAGTCATTCTCGTGTTAAAGCTGGATTGTCCTTGGTCGCCAGCGGCCAGCCGGTACGAAGCTGGGGGGTTTAGGACGGCCGCCTCATCAGTTGCTCAAGCGACGTTGTAACAGTTGCAGCCGCGAATTGTTTCGGGGAAGACGCGGGGAGTGCAACGGACATTTTGAGAAGCCGAGGGATTGGAAGCTGTCGTTGCGGGTTGCGACAGCTCGAAACGGAGAACGGATCCCGGATTTGTGGGGTATGTCCACCGACGGAACCGAGCAACGGCGACAGCTCCGTCCCGCAGCTGCTGTGGGTCCGGGTAAGATACCGGTATTAGTGTACTATCTGTAGTACTGTACGGAAGTACTTTGACTTCTACCGACCTCATATGGGAGCTCTCAGTCGCACTCACTCTTTCTCATAAACCGACTCAACAAATCAGCACATCTCGCCTTAGGTAGTTTAACACGGGATTCGAACTATCACTCAAGTCAACTCGATTAAGTCAGCCAGCCGCAAGACATCAATATCTCACGCTTGAAAGAACTTCACATCTGAATTCTCTGCTCCCACCTCTACCCCATCTCATCTGAGAGAGCCTCAAAACATCATGCCCATCACAATCCTAACCCCCAAACCCTCCCGACCGATCAACGACCGCGAAGAAGATGTCTCCGACACCTCTTCGATATCAGACTCCGAGTCCGGCGGCGTCGATCTAGACGGCGACCTGCCCATGACAAGCCGCCCTCACAAACGCGCGCGCATCACCACCATCACCACCACCACCACGACTTCCTCCGTCTCCGCCTCTGGAGGCGACATAGTCACCCCGGGCGAACTCATAACCGACGACCCGCAATGGATGCGCGGCCACGGCACCTACGTGACTCCCGGCACGACCTCCATCGTCTCCTCGGTCGCGGGGACCATCAGCCGCACGAACAAGCTGCTCTCGGTGCGGCCGCTACGCGCGCGCTACACGCCCGAGGTCGGCGACCTCGTGGTGGGGCGCATCGTCGAGGTCCAGGCCAAGCGGTGGCGCGTCGATGTCGGGTCGACCCAGCTTGCCGCCCTGCCGCTCAGCGCCATCAACCTGCCCGGCGGCATCCTGCGGAAGCGGACCGAGACGGACGAGCTGCAGATCCGGACCTTTTTCGCCGAGGGGGACTTGCTCGTCGCCGAGGTGCAGCAGTTGTTTGGCGACGGCGGCGCGGTGCTGCACACGCGGTCGCTGAAGTACGGCAAGCTGCGGAACGGCGTCTTTGTCGCCGTTAGTGGGATGGGCGGCGGGGGAGGCGTGGTCAGGAGTCGGCGGCAGGTGTGGACGATGGATGCGGCGAATGGCGGGGGCCAGATTGACGTTGTGCTTGGGGTGAACGGCTATGTTTGGATTAGCAAGCATGTTGAGACGCCCGAGGCCGAGAATAAGGCGGCGGGTATCACGAATATGGAGGAGAGCGTCAGCACGACCATGTACTCGAGCCAGAACGATCGGATTGAGGTGGAGACTATGAGGGAGATTGCGAGGTTACGGGGAGTTGTGACGGCACTGGTAGAAAACGGGCTACGTGTGGATGAGGATATGGTTGTGAGGGGCTATCACGAGGCGGTTGAGATGGCCATGGTGTCGGCGGAGGGCGCGGACGACATCTATCTCGGCGGAGAGAGGGGGGAGCAGCTGGCTGCAGCTCTTACGGGGCAATGATGATCAGGATTCCTAAGTTAGAGAAAACAAGCGGATATCTGACAAAGGAGAGCACCGTATACTCGGTGGGAAGTCCCTGAATGTGAGCTGCCGCAGCCCGATCCGTTACTTCCGATTACTTGACATGAAGAAGAGGGCCTACGCATGCCCTTGGTATCTCTTGGATCGAAGAATAAACGAGATGATATGGTGAAACCGCACGAATAAGGTTGAAAATAATAGAACGTGGTTGAAGCGCAGCAAAACGCGTCGCCAGCATATGGCCTACGCCTACTTGAGGCCAGTTGCTGTTCGAGCCACGGTTCTAGACTATCATACATGGCTGTGACCGTTACTCATCGGCTCCTAGATAACACAAGCTCGGAATTAGATCGCTCCAAGCTATGAAAAGCAAAAGAGTATCCAGAAGCACCCCTATCTTCCAACACGGTTCGTATACAGATAGTGGGCTGCCAGAACGACCAGCCACCGCAGGAACGCACCTTTCGCGCTCTTCCCACCCAGCCCCAGGATGAACGACGCCCAGTAGCCAAAGCCCTTGACGACCTTGCCGTTGCGGTCAAAGTTGGCCTTCCGGCCCGTCAGCCGGTCCAGCAGCCGGAGCTTGGACATGTCGAAGGGCATGTAGCGCACGGCGATCAGCGGCTCGACCCACGCGGGCGTCTCGCAGACGGTCCGGAAGTGCGTGAAGCAGTCGAAGCTTGCCTTGCCGTGGTACGCGCCCCACCCGCTATCACCGACGCCGCCGAAGGGGATCGTGCTGACTGAGCCGTGGAAGTAGGCATCGTTGAGCGTGGCGCCGCCAGAGGTCATTTCGTCGAGAACTGTGAGAATGTGTCAGTGGAAGGGAAAAAAGCGGCACAGGCAGTGCTCTCGAGAGTGGGCGACTCACCCCTTTGGTTCTCTGCCTTGGAGCCAAATGAGAATAGAGACAGCGGCGTGCGGTGGACCAGGTTTGCCACATTCAGGGCCTCGTCCAGCGAGTTCACTGGGTAAATAGAGAATATGGGCCCAAACGACTCCTCTTGCATCATGGAGTCGTCGACCGAGCTGACCAGCACAGCGGTGGGCTCAATGAAGAGCTCCGACTCGTCCATCGCTCCGCCCATGACGACCTGGCCCTTGGTGTCGTCCAACATCTTCTTCAGCCGTTGGAAATGCCTCTGGTTGACGATGCGCGATAGGTCAGGGCTGGCCTTGGCTCCGTTGGGGAACATCTCCTTGTACGCCTGCTTGAGGTGCTCAATAAAGGTCGGGACAATATCCTTGTCGATGAGCACGTAGTTCTGCGACATGCAGACCTGGCCCGAGTTCACGGTCTTTCCCCACATCAACCGCCGCGCGGCCAGCGCAAGGTTGGCGTTCTTGGTGATGAACGCAGGGTTCTTGCCGCCGAGCTCGAGGACGACGGGGGTGAGCGTCTCGGCAGCCTTCTTCGCAATGATGGTGCCCACGGCCGAGCTCCCCGTGAAGAAGATCTTGTCCCATTTCTCGTTCATGAGCGCCGTCGTCTCAGGGATGCCGCCATTGACAACGGCAATGGCGCTAGTATCGAGCCGCGCCTCGATCATCTCCTTCATGACCATAGCGCACGCCGGAGTCAGCTCAGAGGGCTTGAGCACCGCAGTACAGCCAGCAGCGATGACGCCGATCAAAGGGCCCAGGAGCAACTGGACCGGGAAGTTGTAGGGGCCGATGATGAGGACGGTGCCCAGGGGCTCTTTCCGGATGCGCCATTTCATGACTGAATACTGCAGCGGTACTTCGGGGGCTCCCAACTTCTCCTCTTTGGCGAACTTCTCGAGGTGGTCGAGCATGAACAGGCAGTCCTTCTTCAGCCACTCAACCTCGTGGAGCAGCGCCTCGAAGTCGGACTTGTGCAGGTCCTGCTTGAGGGCAGCCACGAGCTGGGGCTTGTAATCCTCCAGAGCCCAGTACAGCTTGCGGAGCTGCACCTGGCGCCATTGCAGTTTCTTGGTCTTGTGCGTGCGGAAGGTGCCGCGCGCGGTGCTGGCGATGGTGGGAACGGCCTCCAGGGCGGTAGCCTGGAATTCAGGAATCGACACCTTGGCGGTCATGTTTGCGACTCTTGCTGACTTCCAGTTGCGGTCGGAATGTGCAAACAATCTAGAACTTTAGGGCGGTCGGTCGCTGACTTGCCCCAAATAATACAGCAGACAAGGAGGGAAGCTGGGGACAATGAGGACAATCACGTCGCCGCATTTGTTTTCAAATACATTTCGGGATCGACCCGATCTCCTCATAGCCAAAAGCAGGGATCAGACCGAAACCGTTCATGGGCCGAGGCAAAAATGACTCCCCACGCACCACCCCGTGTAATTCGCATCCTCAACGCAGGGCGGGGTCGCCGTTGAACAGGTTTCACGACAATGGATGGGCATGAGTACGTACCTATTCAAGTTCTGTTAAGAAGTTGCGCCTGTTCAGCCCATGCTCTAGCTTGATGCATCAGATTACGTATCCGCTTCAGTACGTCTACTTGCATCAGGCCAATGTATTGTACACAGTAGGTATCAATGCATCAGATGTGGAACTTCTCCTTCAACTTCAGCTTTATAGTGTACGGAGTAAGTCAACTCAAATCGACGGGATCCCCAAGATGGGTCGACCGTTGTGAGCTGCAGCTGCTTGGAGGGTTGGTCGGCACGTGGCCCCATGTGGAAGACGGGACCTATCGAATGCCAGTGCAGTACTTCGTAAAATGTACACGGATAGTAGTGCCGAGGCTTGTAGCAGCTCTTCATACCTCAATGCCAGCACTTGGAGCAAGTGCAAGGAATTCTCGGTGATAAGGTGAGCTACGGTCATGTCATCAAACAAGACTCCAAAGAGTTCGGAAGGAAGGATGCCATTAGTTGGGAGCCCTTAGCTGGGAGCATCGTAATGGGATCCCGAGCATAGTCGAGCTCGGAAACGGCCCGGTCCACAGCTCTCAACACCGGCCGGTCTTGGCAATGGGACCCACACTGCCTCGACTGCTCCGGCTTCTTACCGCACTGTGATAAAAGGGTAAGGGGAGGACATATGAGGGCGTCAGAACGCGGTATATCAAACAGAACGACAAACGAATGGCGAGGTAGTCCAATAGAAGACTCTCCAGATTCTCTATACGTATTGATGTACTTTACATTGCATCTCATAATACAAGAGCCGATTGCTCGCCCCAGCGAGACAATGTTGAGTATTTGCCGTGGCGGCGCTGTGCTTGGATTATAGTCCAGCCAGATGGAGCACGGCAGGAGATCGTCGTTGATAACCTCGTGGCCCAACGAGGGACACCATGCAATAAAGGAACCTGGAGGGGACCGCTTACCGACGACCACGCGGCGACCTTCCCCTCAGTACCGGGACGGTTTCTTCTACCGCCTTCATCGTAAGGAGGGCTTGCTGAATGGTCTGCACCCCATCAACAAGCGTCCCCTCCGTCCTCTTCTGCTCATCCAGAAGCAGCGCCTGTTGCCGCCGTGCTTCCAGCTCCTTCTTCCGCTGCTCTGTCAGATACCACTCCTTGGGAAATTTGACTTGCGGTTTGACCTTGTGGTGGCGGAGGTCGAGGGGAATGTCCTCAAACATATCGGTGGGGTCCTAAAGCCGGTGTCAGCATGGAACGCGAGTGCAAGTAGCCCGCTAATTCCTACCTTCGCCGTAGCAATCATCTTGTCCACCAGGTCTCCCAAGTACCGCTTGTTCTGTGCCTGGTGCTCAAACCGCTCGCAGCTTATCTTGATGATGTCTTTCTCAGGGTTGTATCTGGCCCCGGCAAGCTTCTTGAGCTTCAACTGTTGAGGCTCGGTAAGAGGCAAGTCTCTGGGGCAGAATTCTACCACGACTTTCCTGTCGGCAGGGTGGAACTCGCCCAGGTATGTCGTGTACCTGAAGCGTAGGACCTCGTCCTCGGCCGGGGGCTGGAAGGGCTTCGCAAGTTCTAGTCCGCGCGTTAACAACTCTGATTCAACAGAATAGTAGAGTAGCTCCGACAGGCTTACTTGAGAGCAGCGGCATCTCCCACACGGCGATGCGCGCGTATTCTCTGAACTCGCGGTGCTCCTCGAGCTTGGCGTGACCCAACGCCATAATGTCGTCCTCCTCAAAGTCATCCTCGCCAATTTCGCTCGTGATCAAATCCGAGTCGGCCTCTTCTGTGTTCCAGAAGCTATCCCTCTTAGGTTGCACAGGTCTCCGCAGCCTTGCACTCTCTTGGTCGACCTCCTCGGTGAGCCGGTCGAACTGTCTCTGCATGTCCGGTGGCACCTTTTTCCAGTCGTCAAGCATGCGCATCGCTAGCTGTCGCTCCTCATCGGGGACATTCTCGTCGCGAACAAGGGTCTTCAGGAATTCGCCCGGATTTCTAAACACTCGGTCGAACTCATCCTGCGCCTCTTGATTTGCGGCTTCGTCTTGTGAAGGAGCTGGTCGCCATTGCGTTGTTGACAACTGTCTTCGAAGTGTAGACTGCTGCACAGCGGCTGTCCGAAGGTTTGATAGCGGCCTGCTGGTCCGGAGACACAACCGAAGGAAATTGGCTGGGGAGGCCATGTCGGAACGTTGGGTCGGGTTCGTGATGGACACGGCTACCAATTGCGCGCAGCTCTCAGATTGCCAAAAATTTGGATCGCGACTGGGTTTGCCAAGAGTACTAGCCACACCTCAGCTGCACCGCCATCGGGTTCTGGGAGAACAAGCTGAAGCTTTGTTTTTAAGATGACATGTGCAGAGATGTTCTGATTGTGTTCTATGGTGAAGACAGAGCCTTGCGGTTTTGATCCAGTATCAAGATTAAATGAAACGCTGACTGTCGAACTAGGAGAATGGGAGAGCAGCGGCGTGTACTGTGTAAGTGAGCTCAGCCCAGAGTCAACTGTGGAACAGAAGACTTCCTTGGGGCACCGAGCACTCGGAGTGAATGAGTAGATAAGTACAGTTTATCTGACAGTGACTACCTCTAGTGCTATTGTTGTGATTCTTAGACAATGGATGAGCAATGCACTCCTATTCATCTGATCTCACTGCATTGACTGTTTGGCGTGCAGTCATTGTAGCCCCACCAAGCAGTGCAGCGGCTAGCACGATCTAAGCCACAATTCCGAAATATTTCCGAGTTTTAACCGAGCCGCTTTTGCATACTCCACGCAAGCTGGAGGATTTCCGAAATTTAGCCGACTCACCGCCCACATTATCGCACATTCACCCGGATTTTTGCCGTACGATAAGATGGATAGCGACGACGAGCAGTTGCTTCTTGGCGGCGGGCCTGGCCCCGAGCTTGTCTTTTATGACATCGAAGACGAGCGATGGGTGACTCCCACGATGGGTAACGGCATCAACCGGGAGGGCGACGGCTCTTCGAGCTCCGGGTCGGACACCGTCACCCCACCCCAAGCGCGTAAGAGCACATTCAAGCGAATTGACAGTTGCGATGGCCGTGCACAAGCTCACCAAAACACAGCGCAGCCCGTTCTGCCGGGCCGCCGTTGCTTCGTCACCGTCGGAGCAACGGCGGGCTTCACCGCGCTGCTCGAAGAGGTCAGCACCCCAGACTTCCTGCGCTGCCTCGGGGAGCACGGCTACAGGTTCCTGGACGTCCAATGCGGCCCGGACTTCGCCCTGTTCCACCAGCGCATCAGCAACCTGAGCGACGAGGAGAAGGGCGGCGTCTCCGTCCAGTACTTCGGGTACACGCCCGACATACTGGGGTACATACTTAGTTGCCGCGGCGAGGAGAACGTCCGCCCCGCGGGATGCGTCATTTCGCACGGCGGTAAGTTCAATCCCAACTTGCGGCGCCTTATCTCGCCTTCGTCGCAACTCACGCTTCGTCTCAGGCACGGGAACTGTTGGTGAGGTACTCGCCGTCGGAGCCCCACTGATTGTCGTCGCGAACCCGACGTTGATGGACAACCATCAACTTGAGCTGGCACAGGGCCTCGAGGACCAGAACCAGGCCATTCACGGTCACATCGGGTATGCCTACCACTTTATCTGCAGTTGACCCTCCAATGGCAATATTTTTTCGCAAGAGGCTAACCACCGCTAAAGGAGCCTTGCCTTCGCAATCCACCGCATGGCCGTCCGAATCTCCGAAGGCACGTTAGACGCCCTCCCGCCGTACTCTCCACCGCCGTTTCCCGTTGCCGCCGCCGATCGCATTACTCTCTTCGATTGGATGGTGCTGACCTGCTACCCAGAGGAGCTAGCTGCTCAGATGCACCTTGCCGACCTGCGCTCGGCCTCAGTAGAGTTCGCCCATGAACAGCAGCAGCAGCAGCAGCAGCAGATGGTGAATGGCAACAGCCCTACGGTGGCGACCAGCAACCAAGGAGACAACGTCTTGCCCCAGCTCGATTAGGAATTTGACGAGGGCAATTCTGTTGCCTCTGGCACCAGTGATGAAGATGACGAGGGGAACCAATCGGAGGTCGAATTCCGACTTATCGACCTTGACGAGGCCAATCTGCCTCTGCCGACTATCAATGGGAACGGCATCCACGAAGACATTCTCGACATCAACTAGGTCGAAGATTGGAATGGAAAGTATGGGCGAGGGGAGATGAGTAGAGAAGTGTCACGTGCACTCTCACGCAGCAACTAAGCTCTTAAGGCCACCGTCGACCTGTCTCGCCGTCCGTTAAGCTTTTCATCTACACTGACGATTCTCTCAGTTCCCGCAATCTGCGAGTTGGATTAGGTGACAGTTCTTGTCATCGTATCATGGACCGGAAGCTGTGCGAGTCCAGAGACTAGGTGGATTATCTGCTTTGCTTTCCTGAAATTTGATCGGTTGAGAAGGAGAGGTGCACTGTGACCCTTTCAGGTCTTCGATGGAGGAGCGAGCTGTGGTTCAGTGATTCTGGTGACACTGAAGGGAGACACGGGTTACGCACTGGGTTCAACAAGGCAATTGATATGCCTCCAGACCAAGAACCGCAAACTGAACTTCCTGATTCTAGTCCTCATTTCACTCATGACATCGTGGTCTTCTAGATCGACATCTACCGCCTATTGTAGGCCCTTAACCGTCCAAATCTTGACCGCCGCATCCCCGCCAGTACTTGCGACTCTCTGGGACCCATCGTCGATCCATGCGACGCCGTACACTCCATCCTTGTGTGCGTTGGCAGCCTTCACTCTGCTCCCAGGCTTCGCCAGACTCCACACATGCACGTTGGTGTCCAACCCGCCGCTCACAGCGTGCGTGCCAGCCTGGTTCCACGCGATGCTCAACACCCGTGCCGTGTGTGCGGACCACCGGTCTGTTGCAACCTCCCAGTTGTTAGATGCTTTGTAGATGACGATCTTGCCTGACGCATTCCCTGCTGCGAGGTGCGCGCCGTCGGGGGAGAAGGAGAGCACCGAGATCGCGGCGGTGGAGTTGCTCAGCGTGTGGGCAAGCGAGAGTTTCCCGGAGTTGTCGAGGTTGTACACTTGGACTGTGTTGTTCCCCGCGCCAACGGCGACGAATGAGTCGTGGGCGGCGACGGCGCCAGGGGTGAAGTCCGTGGGCAACTGGCTGACGAGTTGGTCGTTGGCGTAGACGGCAATGCTGTCATTCAGGGCCACGATGATGCGTCCTCTGGAGACGGCGACACCCTTGGGTTGGGAGGGGAGTTTGATGGATGTACCGAGGAAGTTGTTTGTTGATTCTTGGATGGTGCGCAAGGTGTCGTCCCATCCTACGCTGTGCGTCTGCCCGTCGGCGGAGGCAAACTGTGTCACCTGGTTGGAGTGTGCTTGGCCCTCTACTGCGGCGCCGGTCCCCGTGGAGATGTCCCAGGTGCAGACCCTTCCGTCAAAACTGCCGGTCTTTAGTGTCTTACCCGTCGGCTCGGATGACTCGCCGAGCGCCGTCACAGTCTTGTTGTGCCCCTGCACGATCCTGATGGGCTTCTCGTTGCCTTCAGTGAGATAGTTGAGGTCTCCGCTCAGGCTCAAGCTGATGATGAGCCCGTCACTCCTCCCATGTGGCCACACCACGCCAACTTGTTGGTCCCCGACGTTAACACTCCCTTCCTCCCCAATCCGCCAGGTCTGCACACACTGGCCCGACTCGATATCCCTAGCCGATAGAGTTAGCTGTACGGTTCCTGGCTTGGAAGCCCAGAAGCATGATCCCGGGACCGCCGTAAGGTGACGCGCAAGGAAGACTGAGTTGACGTACCACACCCGCACCGTCTGGTCCGCGCTTGCTGTTACGAACCGTTTCGAATCCTTCGCCCAGCTCACAGCAAAGATGCTCCCGGTATGGATCCCCTCACCCACTTGCTTGCTCGGCTCGCCCGTCTTGCCATCGTACAGTTGAATCCTCCTGTCCGCACCAACCGTGACCAGAATACTTCCATCAGGACTAAACGCAGCGCCCGTGACGAACCCCTTATGCAACCCTGTCGCCTTGTTCGCGAACTTGAACGGGGCGCCATGCAAAAAGCACATGGTGCTATCGTCTGACACCGTCGCTGCCCTCAGCGGCCTCTGTTGGCGAATCGCAACCGCATTGACAACCTTGCTGTGTCCGCTTACTTCTCCAACACTGTTCCCGCTGTCCGCAGTGAAACAGTGACCGAAGCGCTCGCGACCGTCACCGACGGCGATGACCCGCTGGCTGTCGCCGTCCCAGGCGAGGTCGGTGATGCGGCCCGATATGATCGCGTACTCGCCCTTGGTGTTCACCGCCTCGACGGCGTCCCACACGCGCACCTTGCCCGAGACATCGCCTGATGCGACCCAGAAACCAGAGGGCGAGAACTTGGCGACGGTTGTGGTGGCCGTATGGCCCGTGTATTGCTTGCTGATGGAGGGGTCGTCGATGTTGCGGACGAAGATGGACTTGCCAGACTGGGATTCTGGGTCAGCACTGGACTATTGATCAAGAATTCGCAGGACGGATACATACCGCATAAGCTATGCGCTCTCCTTTCGCATCGCAGGAGAGCTGCGTCGGCTGGCCGCGCGATGTTGCGGGGGCCGCAGCCAGGATCTTCTCGATCTCGATCGACATCGCCGGACTTGGGTAGATTTCTTGAAGGAACAGAGAGTTTAGGGTTATCCGTTACAACAAACGGTTTGTAAACTGCACGCACGAGTTCAAGTTGGTCAACTCGTTAACGTTTGGTGGTCGCTGAGGGGATGGAAGCCTGAACCCCTGCAACTGGTGTAGAGGGGCATCAAGGGTCAGGGGTTGTGTGGTTGCGGGGCAGCGATGCAATGCAAGCGACGGTCCAAACAAAACCCAAACAGGGGCTGAAGCGGTTTGATTCAAGGGTCGAGGAACGGGTTAGGGTTTACTCAGGGCCCGGTAGTACCTAAGGTACGCCCCTGGGCACTGAATGGTTCACACTGCATGTTCCAGCGGCATCGTCCTCATCAGTTTGATCCATGATTGTGGATTGGCTATCTCATTAATCTAATTGCGAGAGGACGGGCTCAGGGCTCTAAGCTCCGCAGTCCCAGAAACGCTCGGATCGGAATACAATGCGAGGTCATCGGCACTCACTGTCTATATGACAGAGGAAGTAGGGTACCTATAGAGTACATGCGACTACACCCTAGGTATTGTGGTCAGACACGAGGCATCAGTATTGCGGATTAGATCGTCTGAGACGGATGATGTCTGGGCGTAGTGCCTAGTAACCCCCATCATGGTATCTAGCCTGAGGTCTTCCTATTTCACGTTGTCCCGTCATACCGTAACCGTGAGCAGGTAGGTAGTCTGTGACTACCGCTGTCGTACTTCCACATAATATTCACATTCTGATTAGTTCGTAATAGATCCATCGAACCTGGCCTAGCTCGCTAAACCGAGCCTCGATCTATGATATCAACCTAGCCTAGAACAATGTACCCGCAACCATCAAGACCCGGCGAGGTATGTCTACCGCTCTTATTGTTACTATCTTGCGTATGCCGGGGTTCGACGCCTTCGCCGTCAATTTTGCCGTCTCTATTCGGCGTGATAATGACCCGGTCGAATTCTTCCACGTCTTGTTGATAATTATGGGGTTCTGGGGCAACCCTCGTTCACGGCCTCGATATTCTGTTTTCTTCTGGCTGGCCCCTTTGGATGGTGGCGCCGGTGCTCCATCCACCTCCAATACCTGTACAGTAAATAACAACAACAAAGACAACTGCCAAGATTCACCGTATCCATAACCTCTCCTTCGCGGAAGGTACTCGACAACCACCTGTTGACGGGCACAGAACTTTTGAGGACGGGTATTACCGCGGTTGGACACAGCTCGTCACAATCGGCGCTCCTCCCATTGCCGTCTCATTGAGGCGGCACTGATCTCGCTGCGCGTCTCCTGCCCACTGATACGATACCCTTGAAACTCAAGAATTGAGTCGTAGAAGCCAATCTTCCCACGAATCTCTCCATTGCCCAGAAACTTGATTTGACTCCCATCGTCCGTCTCGTCGTGTTCCCCGCCCTGAGAATCTTCACCACGCCAGTCGAAAGGGATGGGCTGGTGTGAGGATGACCAAGGCCGGTGGTCCAGGCGAAGGATACCCGATAAAGGGGCCAATCTCGAACGAACCCCAAAGCCCGTCGCCGTCAAGGGTGAAGATGATGCCCGAATCTTCTCCGCGGTCCGCGAACTCGGATGGCCAGGTGCAGCGCAGCCGATAGTGCCCATTCAGCAGGCCCAGTGGGGGCAGCGGTCCGTCGTCCAGGACATCTTCGTCGTCCGGGCCGCCATAACCGTAGCCATCGCTCGAATGCATGGGAGACCCCGGATAGGGCGGAGGCGGCTCATCATAGGAGTCCCACTGAGAAGGGGTCGTGCTGAACTGGGGAGATGGGCCACTGGTAGTTACTGGACGGGCCTGGCCGGCTCTGTTGAAGGGGCGACTCCGCCGAGCTGTCTGGATCGGGCGAGCAGCTGGCTTGTCGTTTGGTGAACCTGCTGGAGGACGGGAGGAGTCTGATTTAGCAACCCTCGTCGACGAGGTACCACGTCGAGCGATCTGCTTTGCACGCGGAGCTGTCGGCGTGGACTGTCCCGCAGTTGTTATTGCCTTAGATGAAGGAGCTGACTTCTTGGTTGAGGTCGGATTCGAAGCCGTCGAAGCAGCGGCCGCCTTCGTAGGCTTGGCCTTCTTCGCCGCAGACGCTGGGGGCTCTGCAGGCGTGACCTGAACGTTGCCTTGCGGTCCAATGGAAACTGTCAGGTTGATGTTGACATTGGTTCCAGAGCCAACCCCGGATTGAGAATCATCGGCTTTGCGCTTGTTGGATCTCTTCGCCGAGTTGGTTGCCGTTGGCGCTGACAACTTCTTGAGCGCTTGTTTGGCTTCTCGTTCTCGCTTTGTCCACTCCTTCTTCAACTCGGACTCGACCTTGAGGATATGAGCGGGCACGGTGAGGTTGCCTTTGCTGACGGCATCGAACAGCCTCATCTTGGCGGTTCCCTTGGTCTTGGAAGGCGGCAGGCCGTAGGGAATAAGTTGAGCTTCGTACCAATGAGCCGGGCGATCTTTGGCGCCATCTGAACCGTCGAATACAGCCTTCAACTCCGGGAGTGTTGCGCGACGGTGACGATTGTTGCCGCTGGCCTCGGTATAGAATCCCCCCGAATAGGACCAGCCATCACGCGTGACGGGCGCGATAAGCGACATATTGCTCTGCCGATGTTGAAGTTGCGAGAATCGGTTGCTGCTGGATGGGAGTTGCTAAGTGATCGTGTGATTCGTGTCAAGGTGAGAGTGGTAATGCCCAGCTGCGCGCGGGTTAGGTTCAACGCCGCGGTCTGCGAAGGCAGTCGGTTTGGTTTTCATCGCCTGATCAATAAGGGATTGCTTCGCGGTGGCTAGGTACCTAGGCACCTAGGTACTTTAAGTTTCAAGTAAGGTACGTGAAGCCTACCACACTTCAAGAGAGGCTAGCCGCAACAGGAGAGGGGCAAATGATCACAATCCCTCAAAGGCTCAAACAGAGGCAAAACACATGAGATATTAACCTCGAAAATGAATACCTTATTCACAGATCTGGCTATGTAGCAAGGTGTCTAGGCAGGCGATATCTGATCGGATGTATTCGGTGTATGTTACCAAGCATCACTCGAAGAATCGCAGTGCGGTTTAATGTGCTGAAGTAACATGCCATGGGTGAGCCTAGAATACGGGATATGCTAGTTACCTTAGATACACAGTACGCTCTCTACTAGGTAAGGTACCTACTAGTAGTCTCTATCAGCCGGGCTGAGCACCGACTGATGTACAAAATTGGCTTGAGAGCTTCGACGTATACATGGTTGGTTGGCGGTCTGTTGTTATTCGGTCGCAGTTCTGATGGTGTTGAGCTTTCGATCGGATTGATATATGAACTTACCGGGCTTACCCGCCAAATGCATGTCCAGCCAAGCATCGTACCTCCGTAACCGACCGAACTGCCATTCCGAGGCAGATAAGATAAGGTATAGTACAGGCAATGCACTTCCACACTGTACTGTACTAGCGTCATACCCGAGCACCCGCGCCTTCGTGGTTCAGTTGTCAAAGCTCAGGCGTCGAGTTCTTCCAACGGACCTCGCCCCTCGAGATATTGGTCCGCAAACAGGAGACAGCTCTTTCAGGGAGGCGCAAGATAAAAAGTGATCAGTTTTTCACTTATTCTTTCGCTGATTTGGTAAGTTGCGAATCTCCGTTTGCTTCTTAAAAGAGACGCGCCGTCGCGGTTTAGCTCTTGGACACGTCCAGACTCTAGACTTACAAAGCCCCACCTGATCTGTCACTAACAACCGACCGCACACAAACAGTACCGGACCTCCGTTCATCAACGTCGACGCGAAGCGAAGATGAGCTCCCCGAAGGACGAAGAGAAGCCGCACGACGAGACGCGTGACCACGCCGATGGCGATAACGATGAGGTTCGACATTCCCGACGGCTTCGATGCGTGGCATTGCAAAAGAGCAAAAGAGGAGGCTAACGGTCGATCAGGAAGAGATTTCGGCCATGAAGCGGCGGGTCGCCGAGATGGAGGCCGAGGCAGCGAAGCTTAGAGAAATGCAGGCATCACTTGACCAGTCTCACCAGAGCCTGGCCGAGGACAAAGAGGATGTCGACAACCGAAGCATATTCGTCGGGAACGTCGATTACTCTACATCTCCGGAAGAGTTGCAGGCGCACTTCCAGAGCTGCGGTTCCATCAACCGCGTGACTATCCTTTTAGACAAGTTTACGGGACAGCCAAAGGGGTATGCCGCAAATACCGATCTCCAGGACAGAACGAGTGCTGACAGAGGTCTCGGCAGATACGCATATGTGGAGTTCAGCGAGCCCAGCCTTGTCGCGCAAGCGTTGGTGTTGAACGATAGCGTTTTCAAAGGCCGGAACATCAAGGTGGAGCCGAAACGGACGAATATCCCAGGAATGTCGCGCGGTCGTGGTCGCGGAGGCTTCCGCGGCGGCGGTCGAGGCTATGGTGGAAGGGGCGGGTATATGAGGGGAGGGGGATACCGTGGAGGCTACCGGGGCCGGGCTCGTGGGTTCGCTCCTTATTGAACCCAGGAGTTGTTGCAGAGCAGGTCGGGCTGCGGGTTGAACATAATGCGGCACCAAGACAACCTTCCGGGGTGTACGATACGAGCCAGGGAGGAGCTGCTTTCTTTAAGGGAACCCTTTTGCATCTTTCACTCCGACAGGGCGCAACGGGATTGGGGACAAAGAATGGGCGGACAGCCTAATACGATTCTGGAGTCTGTCTTCGACATTTGCTCGTTTGTTTAGATAAGCCAAGCGCAGGAGATACGATATATGGGACTCTAGGACCATAGGGTGGTTTTCTTTCTCTGCAGATGAGAGACCCGTCGCTGGGTAAGATGCAGTGATCGCAGCCGGGGGCAATGAGAAGATCGTATTTTGATGATGACTCACTGCGATAAGGTATGGCGAATGTTCGATTGAATGACGTTGGGAGCATTTGATGCAAGTTCAAGTGCAGATTCTCGGCCCAACATTATCCCACCGTGCTGCTAACGACATCCTGTCACTGACGGGCTATGGACTCGCCACCTTTCCATGGTAACTTCTCGGACTAGGCTATCTAGACTCTAGCCGACTCCCGCCTGTTGGATGTTCAATGGAGCTTCGCACCTGATGCAATGATATGGTGGCCAGAAGCCCGTAGAATGCACTACACCACTCGCGTAAATCTGGATGCTCGCTATCCGCTGATCAGTAACTAGACGTACCTAAACCTTAGGTTGTTCTGGTGGAAAAAGTACTGTATCACGTGTATGTAATTACCATGCGGTAGTAGGTGGGGCGTGCTACGGATCCGTACCTTACCCCCACTGAGCAGGGATTTACATACAAACCTGGCAGTGCCTGCAACTTGAACGCTAATAAACGCCCACTGAAAAAAGGTCAATGAAGCGCTGACCAGACGAACGGGAGCCCACCAGCGTGGCACGGCGGATAAGGAACCTGGAAGCTAAGGCCCCCAGGGCAGGGCCTGTTGTTGCATGGACTCAGTCTTGACACAAACCTCAAAACTGTACTGAGAACCTCCGCTGCCAGCGCTTGTCGAACCCCTCAATTTCACCATTTCACCGCCCTGTGAGCCCTTAGCCGGGTGTTGTGTTCCGCGGCAAGGCATTTCACCGGTGCTGATCATTTTCGAGTCGTCTTCTATCGAGCCGAGCCAGCGATTCGCTAATCACGAACGACGTTGCCAAAGCGGGGTGCCGACCCAAGCACAGCCTCACAACTTGGATCCCCTCGAAGGTCAGCCCTCGCCGTTCGCACCTGCTCGCCGGATCGTGCCGCCGCGACTTCATCAACGCTCCTTTTCGACGTGCTCTGGGTGTTCTGCGGTCACCAAACCGACGACTCGTCCATCATCCGAACTCGCCAAACAGCACATTGACCGAGCCCCGTCGATTGCGTTTCTCCTTCGGCGCCAGCACATCCTATCAGTCCGATTCAGGAAGCCGCCATTACCTCGACCAACCGCCGGTCTGGTCGGCGAACCGACGGCGCTGTACGATAGATCTGACTTGCGCCGCCGACAACCATCAGCATGAGCAGCAGCCGCATGGATGCAGGGCTCCCAGCGTATGTTGCAACCTTCGTTTATCTGTGGCGACCTGGTTTCAGTTTGGAGGAGGAAGTAAAGCTAACCTGTGTTTGTAACAGCCAGCCAAACCTTCGCGTCACGAGTAATGCCCCTTTCTTGCGATTCGGTCTTCGACCGCGGCTTCGTGCTAACCCGCCCGTTTAGTCATCGCTGCCGACGGACTATACAAACGAGATGTCTTCAGTATGTATCTAATCTCGGTGCTTATCTAGGAAGCACCCCATGCTGACCACCCTTTACAGGGTTCCCAGATCCTTTTGCAGTCGCCACCATCAACGGTGAGCAGACCAAGACGACAACAGTTTCCAAGAAGACCCTCAACCCGTACTGGAATGAGAGTTTCGACTTGTACGTGATACCCTTGCCACTGGCCCTGGTCGCCTGTTGACAGTGTGATTTACAACACAACAGCAAGGTCAACGAGGACAGCATCCTCGCCGTGCAGGTTTTCGATCAAAAGAAGTTCAAAAAGAAGGACCAGGGGTTTCTTGGTGTCATCAATATCCGAATAGGAGATGTCATCGAGTTGGTCCCTGAAGCTGACGGTACGGAACTCCGCCTTGGCGACGCCGCTACCCATGACTCTATAACCTCAGCTAACGTGGATGCTACGCCTTTGTAGATAAAATGCTTACACGAGACCTCAAGAAATCCGCCGACAACCTTGTGGTACACGGCAAACTGATCATCAACCTCTCAACGAACCTGACAGCTCCGACCCGCATGCCACAACCATCTACTGCGTCATCCAGCAGGCCCTCCTTACTCAGTCCTCAAGCCTCTACTATCTCTAACGGCGACCGAGCTTCTGACAGACCGGCCTCGGCCATGTCCGGCCCCAATGGCACGCCCGCGGTGGGGGCGCAAATGTCCATGCCCCACCGCCCGTCGAGTTTAGTCTCGACCCAGTCAGCCACTGCACCTACCGCGAACGGGTCGGCGCACCCGCGGCAGCAGACCACGACACTAAGCCCTTTCGAAGATGCTCAGGGCCGATTGCCAGCCGGTTGGGAACGCCGCGAAGACAATCTCGGGAGAACGTACTATGTCGACCATAACACGAGGACGACGAGCTGGAACAGGCCGACAGGCACGGGGGCGGCCGAGACCCGCAACGCTGAGGCAAACACACAGGCCGAACGGCAGAGGCACCAGAATCGCACGCTTCCTGAAGACCGCACCGGCTCGAACTCGCCGACTCTACAGGCGCAACAAGCGGCAACCCAGGCCGCCGCCGCTCAGACGATGCTGCACACAGGATCCACATCTGCCGGGACGGGCGAGCTTCCTCCTGGCTGGGAACAGAGGTGGACTCCGGAAGGCAGGCCGTACTTTGTCGATCATAACACTCGGACGACAACATGGGTAGATCCGCGGCGGCAGCAGTACATTCGAATGTACGGTCCGCAAGCCGGCGCGAACGGCGCAATCCAACAGCAGCCGGTTTCTCAGCTTGGGCCCCTGCCTAGTGGTTGGGAGATGCGGCTAACCAACACGGCGCGTGTCTACTTTGTGGACCACAACACCAAGACGACGACCTGGGACGACCCACGACTCCCCTCTTCGCTCGACCAAAATGTCCCGCAATATAAGCGTGATTTCCGGAGGAAGCTCATCTACTTCCGGTCCCAGCCAGCCATGCGCATCCTCTCCGGGCAGTGTCACATCAAGGTCCGGAGATCGCACATCTTCGAGGATTCATTTGCGGAGATCTCGCGATTGTCAGCTACGGATCTGAAGAAGCGGCTGATGATCAAGTTCGACGGCGAGGACGGCTTGGACTACGGCGGTTTGTCCCGAGAGTTCTTCTTCCTATTGTCTCACGAAATGTTCAACCCCTTCTACTGTCTGTTTGAGTACTCGGCGCACGACAATTATACCCTGCAAATCAACCCGCACTCGGGTATCAACCCGGAGCACCTTAATTACTTCAAGTTCATTGGGCGCGTCGTCGGCCTGGCCATCTTCCACCGGCGGTTCCTGGACGCCTTCTTCGTCGGGGCGCTGTACAAGATGATGCTTGGCAAGTCGGTAGTGCTACAGGACATGGAAGGAGTGGATGCCGACTTCTACCGGTCACTGCAGTGGATGCTGGACAACGACATCTCTGGCGGGATCCTCGAGCAGACGTTCTCGACGGAGGACGAGCGCTTCGGCGTCATCACGGTCGAGGACCTCAAGCCGAACGGGCGGAACATCGAGGTGACGAACGAGAACAAGAAGGAATACGTGGACTTGATGGTCAAGTGGCGCATAGAGAAGCGCATTGCCGAGCAGTTCGCGGCCTTCAAGGCGGGCTTCGAGGAGCTGATCCCGCAGGACCTCATCAACGTGTTCGACGAGCGCGAGCTGGAGCTGCTGATCGGCGGTATCGCCGAGATCGACGTGGACGACTGGAAGAAGCATACCGACTACCGCGGATACACCGAGTCGGACCCGGTGATCCAGTTCTTCTGGCAGACAGTGCGATCGTGGGACGGCGAGCAGAAGTCGCGGTTGCTGCAGTTCACCACGGGCACGTCGCGTATACCGGTCAACGGGTTCAAGGATTTGCAGGGCAGCGACGGGCCAAGACGGTTCACGATTGAGAAGGCGGGCGAGATCACGAACTTGCCCAAAGCACATACTTGGTGGGTTGCCCTTGTGTAATGTTGATGATGATATGAGAGAGGCTCATCTGCTAACATGGTATCCTCAGTTTCAACCGCTTGGACCTGCCTCCATACACGTCGCTGGAGATGCTGCAGCAGAAGCTCACGATTGCTGTGGAGGAGACGATGGGTTTCGGACAGGAGTAAAATATGTTGGGCGGTCGGATACGGGTTCTGGTAGCCTTTTTTCTTCTTTTTCTCGTTTTTGCATTTTACAACGGTGTTGCGTTGGCTGTGGTCCTTTTTAAACCTAGCAGTACTCTCTACTTTTACTTCGTGTTCCTACGACTCGGGTCCTCTAAGCGCCTCCTGTATATAGATTCATGGATGTACTCTGTTCACCTCCCGCTTTGATTCGATATGTGGTACAGCATAGAGGTGCGTCTTTGTAGCTCACCCGCTCCGAGGAACGTTTATGAGTGAAAGGGGAGGGAGTCTTGTTTTGTATTCAGTCAATACAAGAAGTCACGACAGCCAGTGGTAACGGTAGAAAGCTCACAGCAATGCCCAGTATAGAAGACCATCTAGTTGCCTAGTCCAAGTGAATATGCTGTATATCCATGATTAGGTTACCTTACACAGTACCTACCTTAGGTAGGTAGGTAGGTAGGTTGGCTACCTAGGTGATATGAGATGCCCCTCAACATTGATTAGATACGAGCCGACCGGGATGGAGGGACGATAACCGGCACCGGCACCGGCACCGGTGTGGATTCTTCACGACCGCCTTTTTACCTCCTTGTGTCTACCCTTCGCAACTTCAATTACTACCGAGTTAGGTTGAACCAGCGAACTGACTTTGAAGCGAATCGTACTTTCGTAAGATCACCCGCTTTGCTGGAGCACACCGCTCACTAACTTCTGCACAAGACGCTTTTGAGGTTACTCCTGCCAAGAAATTTATTTCTCAACTCGCGAGGGGAGCCCAGGATGGCCTCACCTTCCTCGTCCTCCGCTGCCCTGAGGTGGGGCCTTGGCCTGTTCCTCCTCGTAGGCGGTATCGCCGCCGTGCTCGGCCTGCAGCCTCATCTGGGGCTGCGCCAGGGTGTATTCAGCTCCTCGTCATCCTCCTCCTTCTCCCCCTCCTCTTCCAACCCCCGCCAGGCGGACGACGACGACCGGACATACTGCTACCAAGCCGTCCGCACAGCTGCCGCCCTCGGCCTCAACCCGGAGAAGGAGGAGGACATGGTCAACTGCTTCTCGGTCTCCCCCGCCAAGGGCACATTCACCCGCGTCTTTCGCTCCAACAACAGTGAGGATTATGAGATCCGGCGGGGCTATGTCCTCCCGGGCCTGTGGGACGGCCACGGCCACCTGCTGCCGTACGGCGAGTTCCTGCACTCGGCCGACCTGTTTGGCGCCGCCTCGCCGGACGAGGTCAGGCGCCGGCTGAGGGAGTATCTCGGCCGCAATCCGGGCGTCGGGACGAGGGACGCGTGGGCGCGAGGGATCGGCTGGGATCAGATGGCGCTGGGGGAGATGCCTACTGCTGCAGGTACTCCCTTCCCCTGGGGGAGTGTGTGGTTGGGTTGGGGGAGTTGGGTGAAACGGTCCTTTTTTTCCCCCTTGGCTAACTTGAGTGGTAAATAAAGGATATGCTGGAGCAGGATGAGATGCTGAAGGGGAAGTATTTCATGCTGGACCGCGTCGATGTGCACTGTGCCTGGGTGTCGCAAGCGGTGCTCGACTTGCTGCCCCGCGACCTGCCGGATGAGGTTCCCGGTGGGGAGATCGTGCGGACACCGGGGATGGGCGTCTTCTGCGACAATGCGATGGATCTGGTTACGCCGCTGTGGCCGAAACCCGGCGTCGAGAGGAAGAAGACGTATATTGCCTCGGCGATGAAGGAGCTGCACAAGGTCGGGCTCGTGGGCATGCATGATGCGGGCGTACTGCCGGGGGATATCGCCATGTATGACCAGATGAGCCGGACGGATGACTGGACGCTCAGGGTCTACGCCATGGTCGAGTGCCCGGAGCGGAACAGCTTCTGCCCAGAGGAGGCGGCCAAGGTGGAGCATCCGGATGGCATGCTCTCGGTCAGGAGCGTGAAGCTGTTTGCCGGTAAGTCTCCAGGCTACCAACACTGGAACCGGACGATATCTTTTAACCGCCTCTCTTAACATGCACAGACGGCGCCCTGGGAAGCTGGGGCAGCGCCATGATCGAACCCTACTCGGACCGCCCGGACACGAGGGGCTCGCTTCTCGTCAACGCCTCGACCCTGACCTCCCTCGCCAGATCCTGGTCTGCCGCCGGCTTCCAAGTCAACATCCACGCCATCGGCGACCTAGCCAACCGACTGGCCATTGACGCTCTCGAGGCATCCCTCCACGACCTCTGCCCCGACCAGGAGCAGAAGAACCTCTCCGCCTGCCAGTCCCGCCACCGCTTCCGCATCGAACACTCCCAAATCATCCACCCGGCCGACCAGAAACGCATGCACGACATCGGCATCATCCCCTCGATCCAGCCCACCCACGCCACCTCGGACATGGCCTACGCCGCGCTCCGCCTCGGCGACGAGAGGATCCGCACCGAGGCGTACCGCATGCGCTCTCTGCTCGACATCGGCCCCGTGCTGGGCAGCGACTTCCCCGTGGAACCGCCGAACCCGTTCGAGGGCGTGTACGCGGCCGTCATGAGGAAGAATCCGCGGACGGGCCGGGGGCCGCCGGGGTATGAAGACGGGTGGCATGTCGAAGAGGCTCTGAGTGTGGAACAGGCCCTGGACGGGTTTACGCGGGGGGCTGCGTGGGGCGCCTTTCTGGAGGGGAAGGCGGGCGTCATCCAGGAGGGGGCGTTTGGTGATTGGGTTGTGTTGGATGAGGATATTGCGCAGGTTGGGGCGGAGGAGTTGAGGCATCTGAACGTCCGCGAGACATGGGTTGGCGGAAAGAGGGTTTATCAGAGGATTGGTGGGGATGAGGGCGGGAGCAGAGAGAAGGAGGATCTGTAGATGGCGTACCTTAGGGAGACACTCTGCGTTACGGGTGAGATTCGGTGAGTTTATTGACGCCCGTGCCTAGAGGTGCCAGCGGAGTTGCAACGCTTCGCCGACCTGTCCCAGTTACCCCTGAACGGCGGACTGCAGCCTCTGGATCCTCTTGATAGCAGGATGAGTATTCAGTATTAGTGTTCAGCTACCGTGATGCATCTAAGTCGGGGCGGGAATGGAATGGACGGGAGTTAACTAAGTTACCGTACCTAGGCACCTATGCCTCCTGGCTGGGAAACCTCTGCTGTGAGGGTGCCGTTGGAGGTGCCCAGTATCGGGGCGCTGACGATGAACGGATGTCGCGCGTGGGGGAACCAGGTAGACAGTTTCCTGCGCCATCTTGGTTGGGTCCCCCCTTGTTAAATTATTCGAAAGATTGGTGAGCGGAAATGTGTTGTAAGATCGTTGGGTGTCTCGATGCGAGAGATCCCCCCTGAATGATAATTGGAGAGGCCGGGTTAAGGTACTTTCTAACTAAGTTCTCTCAGATGCAGTCTCATTTAGCACCTTTCACTGTGATTCGGAGAATCGCTAGTCCGTCATCGTTATTATCGCATCGCTTTGTGTAGGCAGGCTTCTCGGGGATACGGAAGCGTGGTTGGCCCATGCATCCAACCAAGCCTCGAGCTTACACTCAATGTGCGCTTATTTGATGCAAGTTACTTATATTTGTCCCTCATTGCTACCTCGCGTTTCCCGCCCCATCAGCCAGTCTACCCCGATGTCCCCTGACGATCTACATCCAGAAAGCCGCCTTGCACATCCATATATCATGCAGTCGTGAGGCATCGTTCGTTGCGGCATATGAGTCCGGGCAAGGCTCCGCTATACGCTGTTCCACACCCCGATCCATGCGAGAGACAAAGATGGAAATCTTGAACAAGGAAAGAAATAAACCAAAACCGAAAATGCTGACGACCACCAAACTGATTCCGGAGACATAGTGGTCAACACCTCCTTGCGACACCTACTCTGCGACTATGGAACCATCATATCGCGGTGTTACCCATAACCATCACCAACAACACCCCATTCAGGACGCAAGACCCGGCAAAAGCCACCCAGACGGCTAGCCTGTACAACAGGCTTACCTTATCCCTTCTTGATCCGGTCATACACAACCCGGCGCACGCCGCCCCCAGACTGGCCACGATCCCCAGTGTGGCGCCCGCGTCCACCTCCAACCTCATCTTGTGCCGGCCCGTCGTAATCAGCAGGGTTGCAATGGCCATCAACAGAAACGATGCCGCGAAACAACCCAACGTCCCCCACAGCAGCACCCGCTCCCTATACCGCGCCACCCGCTGGTCGGGAATGCTGGGGAGCACATAAGCCGCACGATATGCGCTGTAGCCGGAGGGGAACTGCTGGTCGTCCGAGCAAGAGGTATAGTCGCGGTTCGAGACCGACGTCCGCCGGCTGTGCCGGTTGGAAGGGTAGGCGGTTGAGCGGAGGTCGTCCTCGCCATCCGTTTCGGTGCCGATGCCGATCCTGCCGCCCGGAGGTGTTGCGAAGTAACTTCCTTCGCCAACAGAACGGTTTGAGCCGTAGTCGTAGTGGCTGCCGGTAGAATGAGTGTGGAGGAGGGCGCTGCGCTCGGTGTCTTCGCCGGATTTCATTGTGCGCGGGGATATCCAGGCGCTCAGCTTGGTGAAGGGCGTCGCGAAGAATGCTGCGAGACCCTTTATCACCGCCAAGCTGCTGTCCTCGTTGGGGTCGATGTAAATCGCATACTCGCCATCGCCGTTCCTGTCGACATCACCTGCCTCGCTGCCATAGTCGTACTCGTTCCAGTAGCCGACATTGGGTGGGGGCTCTGGCGCGACAATGGTTTCGCTTGGCGAGAGATCTGCAGTGGGTGGGCGGGACGGTTGGGCCTCAGTGCTGGGCATGGTGATTCGACCATCCGGGTTCGTCGGCAGTGCTGCACGTAGTGTCCCAAGCAGATCCATGTACTGGGTGTGCAGCTGTGAGAAGTCGCGTTTCGTGAAGCTCTTGGGGTGAGAGAGTACGTTATCCCTGAAACGGGAGCCCAACGTCGACGAGCCGGTCCACTTTCTGTACTTCTTAAGTATCTTGCGGAAAGCGACGATTTGCGCATTGACGAAGCGCTGAAGAGCCTTGATGTCGTCACCGCATTGTAGCAACGTCTGCTCGTACTTGGCAAACCGCGACTGCCGCTTCAACGGTATGCGATCCCGCCCGGAAGTCGCGCAGCGTAGGATCAGTCTGTGAATCTGGCCGGATAGATGCTCTAAAACAGAGAGCTATTAGTCTTTCGAGCAGTGAGACGGGCCAGCTGCTGTCGGGCACATACGTATCCGCCGTGCGATCTCGTCGGCTTTGCTGGTGACGAACAGATCCACGCGATCATGTTGCCGGCACAGCTCCGCATAGAAATCATCCTCAAATTTACGCAGCGCGGTGTTGGGGCGCCCTGGAATCGCTATCGCGGTGGCCTGGTCCTTGGTCGTGTGCGCTTTGATGTGGTGTTTCAGCGAGTTGTAATCAATGTTGTCTGGCATGCAGGAGGTCAGCGACAGCCAATGGTTATCCAGCTCGACACTGTTCAACGTACGAAGACTCCATTGTGGTACAGACTCCCTCTCAAATTGTTCTCCGTATTTCATATCTCTGCTCCGCCTGTCGTGTTTCTGCAACCACGATCCTGCACCCGAATGCTATTTTGTATACAGTGACGACAATGGCAAATCGGTGACGCAAAGGATCGCCGGCAGGCAACGGCTTGACCTTAGCACCAGAAGGTCTGTAGGACGGGTTGGTAGTTGTGGTCGCGAGAAACGGTGCTGATGGACAATATTCTTCGGTGAAAGGAAGACGATTCAGTTTTGTGACGTGGGAGCAGTTTTGAAATCGGCAATGGGCAGGAGGCGAACAGAGCAGTTGGTGTGATAGTTGTACTGGAATATAAAGTCCTCCACAACCAACAGTGAGCCGAGTTTGGAGTCGCTTGCGTCTGGGACGGTGGACCCCTGCAATCGAAACGGGAAACAGCTACGCAGGGGCCGGGGCTAGGCCCGGCCTCCAGCCCCGCCAGACAAACTTGTCTCCGATCCACTCAGAAACCCAACCTACCGATCAGAAACAGATATGGACAGGCTAGTGTAGTACAGTAATACCTAACCGTTACATACGAACATGATATCCTGTACACCAAGGCAAGTCACGGTGTTCGTAGAACAGCTCACGGGCGGCACGTTCGGGCAAATTGCGGAGGATGCTACAACTGGGACTGGACAGCGGCCAGTATCTAAGTTATGGCCTAGACAAACCTGGGCTAGGAGACCGGAATCCGTTCTGAGTCCAACATTTCACTCCTCTCCTACATGTAAACCCAACCCGATGGGTGAACAAGAGCAATGAGTTTTGGCGTCATTGACCTACTGCTACCTACTCGTTATCTTACCTACCTTCCGTGGGTTTCATGGGGATAGGACACAACCACATGATAGTATCGCCACTTCACCGACACCTCGCATGTGCCCTCTCAGAAGTGATCCCGAGCATCACGGGTGACGCTGCCGGAAGCCGTTGCATATTGCATGCGACATCCTACATTCCGAACTGCAACGGCTGTTCGTTACCGATAGAAGCCACTCGCTGGACGGAACGAACGCTGTTATCATGAGATGTCAGCTTGGTGGAGGAACCTTTGCCGAGGCCGCTTCCACAGCATCGCCCGCAGTATGTATGGTCGTCATCGAGACTGGCTGTCAAGGTTATTACTACCTATACAGCTTGACGCTCCGCAGCCCACGTGGGTGAAGCAATGGCTCCTAGTGGCTGCTTGGTTCCTCTCCACCAGCGTAGCTACATATGCAGAAGAAGAAGCATGCCAATGCATGCCGGAAGAATTGCCATTGTCCGATGCCGGTCCGAAGGCCAGTATTTAACGCTATTGGACTGCATGGATAACCGCGGTGTGGATGCGGCTCCGGTATCCGAGAGCATGACCCCTGCAACTGCTCACCTTCCGCCGGTAAAGACACAACGGTCCCAGAGGGTGTAGGTACCCAGGTACAATACCTTATGTGTTTAACATGTACACTATGTAGTGTACGGAGCATACATATCTGTTGGGTGCGGGCAATGGCTCTTGTAGACAGGCGTACTGGGCCTAAGCGAAACTTTAGTCCCAAGTTGAAGCTTCGATAAGAATCTTACCGTCCTGCACTAGTAGACGATGTACAGAGTACCGTAGCATCTGCTGTGGTTGTGGTTGGTTGCTCATCAGACTGTTCGTATCCAATAAAGATGTGGTTCCGTCTGCCGCCGTCTGGAACACACACAATGTAACCTTGACGACTCGAACCGATAGGGCCGATGCTAAGCTGGAACCTTGGCCCGACTCTCCTCCTGCAAAGGCATGCGGCAGCAAGCTGCTCTGGACCCTGAAAGGTAAGTGCTCACGTGCGGCCAAGCCGACTGTTGGAGGTTTGGAGTTGAGCTGAGCTGCGAGCAACAAGAAATCGTAGCAGATGACTTACAAAGGCCAGGTGACTTCCTGTCCAATGTAGAGTGCCAGTGAAATAGGCAGTGAACGTCCATGTAATTGCAGCTCATCGAGCGGTTATATGTAGGTTTGTCTTCAACTGACCTACCTGAGACCAGCACAAGCTTTCGAGGAACTGAAGGTGATGCGGGTCGCTCCGCGGAAGTTTTCAGATTTTCACCGGACAAGTGTGTGGTGGAGAAATGTCTGCGTTGTGTCTGTCACATTCTCCTCTGGTTGGCACACGGCTGTGACGCTGGCTGTTGCACGCAAAGACTGTGCAGCATGTCAAGAAGGGAAAGCTTTCGTGTGATCATTTTCCCAAGCATACCACACATAAATGGTTAATAAGCACAACACCCAGAACGGTAAGAAAAGCCAGCTGGACTGTGGGTAGCACGTCGTGATGGAGCAGCCACAATGTAACTGTCCTGGTCTCGATTTTTGTTGCCCCTCTCTACAGTACACGTCGAGCAACTACGGTACCTACTAGTAGGTACCTATGGTACCTATTCCTGCACGCTGTGTCCACTACAGTTGTTGCCTCGAACCTCGTCGTCCAGTGGGCCTTGGATTTCGTTGGCAGAAGGTTGCATCCAGTCTCAACGGCTGGCCGGACCACCAAATCCGGTGGCAATACTCCGTATTTCAGTTGAAGATGATTCGATAGACTCCGGCACCTGCTACGATCTGTGAGGCAGTGGCTCGGAGTAGATGAGCGACCAGTGCTGAAAGAGGAAAAATAATGTATCTTCGGGACTACATATGCCGCCGGGGGCAGATGACCTTCGGCTGAGCTTATGATCTCAAGATGGGTTCCGATCCAGTTGGTTACGAATTCGTCATACACGCCGTTGTTCCGTCGATGGCTCTCATTCAGGGTTGAAGGTGGTTGTCTTGCTGCTGCCACCAAGTGTGCTTTGTGTTCCTGTCCCACCCTAAAAATCATAATAAAACCAGTACTTTTAGTTCGGTACGGCATACGCTTAACTACTAGCAGAGGTTCGGACCGGTGACTCATCTCTAGTAATTTGCAGACTTGTAAATGTGAATAACATCGCTTGTCAGTTGAAAAGAACCTGGGCTGCTTGAAGAAGCAGAAGCCTTGCCCCACTAGTTAGCGTTAAAGTTCTCACCGCCTTCAATGAGACTTGTATGATTGGCTGAAAGGCCACGTTGCGGGGTCACCGGGTGCCGGGGATGAATTCGACCGTCCAAAAATTTTGGAGATAGGACCACCGAAATTTCCTCCGTGCAACGTGAGGTCAACGTCTGAGAGCCTGGCAAACGCGCCGCGGCGGCTACGAACATGGCGGGGACGTCCAGCACTACATCCTCTCTCACATCAACGTCACATACCTTGTCCCACGCCCCAGCCATGGCGCCAGCAGCTGTGCAAGCCGAGAGTGGCTCGGCCGTCACAGTCTTCCTCGACTCAACTTTCCCTTCAAATCGACACGTCTTTCTCCATCCATCGCCTTTGCTTCCCGCCGGCTCACTCCAGCTGACAAAAGAGGCGCTCGATTCACTGGCTGGACAGGTCGCCGACCAACAACAGCAGAGGATACGAGATGGGGGCAAAAAGCGCAAGCGGGAGGGTACCCAGGACAAGACCGCTGTCTTGAAAATCAGGAAGCTTCACATCGATGGTTTCGAGACAGGTCAGGTTTGGCAGCAAGCCAAGAAGATCATCACAAGCACGCTCCAGGAGTCCACTCACATGCTCAGGGAGCTTGAAGAGAACAACGAGATCGTGCACGTGGCGGAAGAGGATTCTAAGGATGCTAAGGCTATTATTGAGTTTGGCGAGGATGGATTTGAGCTGGGCTCTGACGAGGACGAGTCTGCCAGTAGCGGCGATACGGAAGAATCGGACGATGAAAGCGCTGGGCTCGAAGATGAGGAAATGCTCGATCTTGAGGCGGAAGAGGAGGAGGAGGAGGACGGAGAAGGGGAGGAAGTTGAAGTTGAAGATGAAGAAGAAGAGGAAGCAGGAGGAGAGGACGGAGAGGACGAAGGGGCTGGAGACGACAATGAAGCTGATGAGGAGCTTATCGAAGATCCCCACGGCCTCAACGACGGCTTCTTCTCGATAGATGAGTTCAACAAACAAACGCAATGGTTCGAAGATCAGGATGCCCGTGCAGACCCGAATACGGATCGCTTGAGCGATGAGGAATCAATCGACTGGCATGCTGATCCGTTCTCGGTCAAGAAGCCTCGCAAAAATGGGGAAGACGGAGAAGACGGAGAAGACGGAGAAGACGAGGACGAAGATGATGGGTCAGAACTCGATATCGATGAGGCGGAAGATGAAGATGAGACAGGCCCGGCCCCGAGGAAGGAAGATCTTCTCAAAGATCTGGATGAAGCTAGCGACGACGAAGAGGGTGGGGACCTACAGGACGATCTAAACGACATGGGCTTCGATCTTACAGCGAACGACATCTTCTACGATGATTTCTTTGCTCCGCCGAAGAAAAAGTGGAAGCCCGGTAGCTTCAAGAAGCGGAAATCCTTACCCAAGCCGTCTCGGCCGGATGACGCCGATATCGAGAGGGCTGAGAATGACGTTCGTCGTGACCTCTTTGATGATCTGTCCGAACGGTCCGATTCAGAGGATGCCCTGTCAGACGTTTCGGCTGGCGACCCGAAGTCGCGTCGTTCGGCCCATGAGCGGCGCCAAGCCAAGCTGGCGGAGGAGATCCGCAAGCTTGAGTCTGAACTGGTTGCCAAACGAGCCTGGACCCTTGCCGGTGAGGCTACCGCCGTCGACCGGCCGGTCAACTCCTTGCTCGAAGAGGACTTGGACTTTGAGCATGTCGGCAAGCCGGTTCCAGTCATCACCGAGGAAGTTTCTGAGTCTATCGAGGAGCTGATCAAACGGCGCATCCTGGCCCAAGAATTTGATGAGGTGCTCCGTCGGCGTCCAGACACCTTCGGCAGTCCGAGCGGCGCTCGCCGTGGCCTTGTCGATGTGGAGGACACCAAGGGCAAACAGAGTCTGGCAGAAATTTACGAGGAGGAACATGTCAAGAAGGCCAACCCAGACGCCTATGTCAGCCAGGCTGACGAGAAGCTCCGCCGTGACGAGGAGGAGATCAAGAATATGTGGAAGGAGATCAGCGCCAAGCTGGACGCGCTCAGCAGCTGGCATTACAAGCCCAAGCCTGCGGCACCGACTCTTACCGTTGTTTCTGACGTTGCTACAGTTGCTATGGAGGACGCACAGCCTACGACTGCCCAAGGCGTGGCGGGCGGTCAGAGCATGATTGCACCGCAGGAGGTGTACGCCCCTGGCAAGGACACAGCCGAGAAGGGCGAGGTAGTGGCTAAGAGCGGGTTGCCTGTAGCCAAGCAAGAGATGAGCCGTGAGGAGAAACTACGGAGACGCAGACGCGAGAAGGAGCGCGTCCGCAAGGCCGGCGGTGCTGACGCGAACAAGCCTGCCAGCAAGAAGGCTCAGGCTCAGCGCGAGGCAATGAATGACTTAAAGAAGGGCGGTGTCAGGGTCATTAACCGCAAGGGCGAGGTTGTGGGCTTAGATGGGAAGAAGGTGGTAGAGCAGAAGGGGCCGCAAAGTAGTGGTGCCTTTAAGCTGTAACGTACCGAAGCGGGTGTGATTCTTTAGCATGTACAATGTCGCTTGACAGTGAGAAGACACAACTCCCCGCTTGGGGCGGTCTCCGAGCGAAGGAGTTGGATCAAGGCCCAATTCGTGAACTGGAACAGTCCGCCGCTAGATTTCGGTGACTCCTAATTCCTCTCACAGGAACCTGTATCACGTCTCGACGTCTGCCCGGCTTATTAAAGCGGGAGTCTGGGGCTATGCAACACCTCAGCGAGAACTTGAAGCCGACTGGAGTCTTCGCTACGGATAGTAGGTTCGTTTTGTGACGTCGTGGCCCGGAAAAGCCAAGCGGCGCTGGAGATGTGGGGCGTAGGCCCTGTCGACCAATAGCGGCAGGCGTAATTGCTCCCCGTCAATTGGGTCCGTGCGTCCAGAGGCGAAATGCAATCGGGACCTCAACTCAAAGACCGCTCTCAAGTTGCCCGCCGTGGGGTTACGGCCTTCTGCTCGCAACATCCGCCAGCTTTACGAGCCTCTCCACTCCTTTTCAGCCTCTGCGGCACCTACAAGCCATACTATGCTTTCCTCCGCGAGGACAGGCGCCTCGCTGGCGCTGCGAGGTGAGTTTGCCTGCCACCCTTCATTTTGGTGTCTGAAGCAGCGAAACATGTTTCTCGCGATGTCGAATGCTTACATTCCGCCCGATTGCACAGCAAGGCCAACGAGCCAACTCGTACCCTTCCGTGCCGCGGCCGCGATTTCGTCCTCCTCCCGTAAAGATGCTGCGAGCGCCGTCCAGCCGCATGCCGGATACGGTCTCGCCCGGCGCGAGCGCAGGGAAGTCCCGCTCCCCAGCCAGGAGGGCACCAAGGGCGTAGTGCAATATGCGCTGTACGTTTCTTTCGCCCCTCGCGTTGCCATCGGACCTGCCTCGACTGTTTCTGCTAACAGCTATGTCTCGCTCCCAGCACAACCCTCGACCAGATAACTAACTGGGCGCGCCAGTCGTCCCTCTGGCCCATGACCTTCGGGCTGGCCTGCTGCGCCGTCGAGATGATGCACCTTTCGACCCCGCGCTACGACCAAGACAGGCTGGGAATCATTTTCCGTGCCTCGCCGCGGCAGTCCGACGTCATGATTGTGGCCGGGACGCTCACCAACAAGATGGCTCCGGCGTTGCGCCAAGTGTACGACCAGATGCCCGACCCGCGCTGGGTTATCAGCATGGGTTCGTGCGCGAACGGCGGCGGCTACTACCACTACAGCTACAGCGTGGTTCGGGGTTGTGATCGGATCGTGCCCGTGGATGTTTACGTGCCCGGCTGCCCCCCGACGAGTGAGGCGCTGATGTACGGGATTTTCCAGCTGCAGAGGAAGATGCGGACTACTAAGATCACAAGGATGTGGTACCGGAAGTAGAATGGAGATGGTGGGTTAGTGGGAGGGTTATTCTGGGGTTGTGGGACGGGATACATCTGGGAGGACGCCCGAGACTACAAAGCAGGTGGGGCGGTTGGCGAAGATTGCTTGCCGGATGCTTTGCCTTTCGTCTTCCTCATCATCCCAGGTGTACCGACTCTGTATATACGTCTGGAATCATCTGAGCAGCAATCCGTCTCGAACTGTACAGTATGCAGAGATTTGACTTGTACCGGGTCGGCGGTTGAGTTATTTGTTTCCCAACGCTGTCCAGGTTTATTCTGACCAGCTCTGCGAATCAATTTGGGGATAAATTGGTAGTAGATGCTTTAGAGCCTATCCATTCGCCGCCTCGTGCTCCGGAACGCCGTTAAACATAACAACCGTGCCAATGCCTATTGACTCCTTCCAACCTGTAAACGAAACGTAGCTGACCAACAGCTCGGGAGTCCCCTTCACCCCATCCTCTTGTCCGTCTCAGCCGAGGTCGCCTGCTCACCCAGATCAGGGTTGAGATAGTTGGCGTCCTCAGCCGCCTCGTACTCGGCAATAAGGTCGGCCACCACCTCCTTCGCTTCGTCAAACTCGCTGAGGTTGTCAGCAAACGGCGCCGTCTTCTTGTAGCCCTCCAAGAAAGCGTTTCGCTTCCGCATGCCTTCATACTGTCTGAATATCCTTTTGAAAAGCTGCACAAACTAGTCAGGAACATATACGCGCATTGCGAGGAGATCAATACATACCGTGGCAATGCTGGTGTGGTTCGCCAACATCAGCCCACTCACGCGATGGGCCATGGGGATGTACGGGCTTCTCTTGGTCAATGCCACCTGTATGCTTGCCGGACCCCATGGGATAAATGTAGCTAGACGACGCTCCCGGATGCGTAGTAGACTCTTGTGCACGTCCGTCGGGTCGACCTCGCCCTGGATGACGTTGAGAATGGAGATGTAGCAGCTCTTCTTTCCCGGGACGGTGGACACCATGCGGTTCTTGGGCTGCAACAAACGCCGCATGACGTCCAACACGGTGGTTTTGCGGACAGTCTTGGCCTGCTCGACTTGATCGCCAGTGAATGGCGTGTAGGCGGTCATCAAGAAGTGGCATCGGGGGGTAGGGATAAGGGAAGCGAGGATGCTGACGAGGTCGTTGTGCATGTAACCGGGGTATCTGAGGGTGGTGGTGCTGGCTGACATGACCGTTGACACCAATTGGTTCGTCTGCTGAAAGGACGGCTCCTGAAGATGGAGTCTGTCGGCCGCGATGTGTGCGAGAGCTCCATTGTCGAGCACCACCACGGAGTCGGCATTTTGGGTTAGGCGCCTCATGGTCAGCACGCTGTTATAGGGATGGACGACAACGTCACCCGAGTTAGTCGTATCCGGAAAGACCGAGTAAGTTTGTATGATCTTCTTGGGGAAGCGGTCGTTGAGCCTCTCGAGGAGGAACGATCCCAGGCCGGACCCCGTGCCTCCAGCGATGGAGTGCAGCATCATGAAGCCCTACTACGCGGTTAGCCGATGTGCAACAGTGGTGTGAGTCTGTCACGGCTCACCTCAAGCGAGTCACTACCATCCGCCTCCCGGTCGATCATCTCCATAATCTCTTCATGCACCAGCTCTCCGGTCTGATATCCATCACCCCAGTTGTTACCGGCTCCCACGCCGCTCTTGCCAACGTAGAAATTCTCAGGATTGTAAATGTTCCGATACGGACCCGTTTGTATCCCGTGGATAACCTGACCACATCTTAGCAGGCTGTATAGCGGTTCAATTCCCCGAGGTAACGCATACCCGTGGTTCAAGGTCGATCAGGATGGCCCGAGGGATGTAGCGCGTGTCGTCGCTTTGGTAGTAGAAGACATCTTTGCGGTCACCGCCCTCGGTCGCAAAGTCTTCGAGATTTCCGTCTTGGCTGATGCCATGCTCCTGGCAAAGCTGCTGCCAGAACTGACTTCCGACTTCATGTCGCTCAGTTAGCCTTGTCTCCGTTTGTGAGGGTGCAAGTGTTGACTCGGCGCCCAGTTGTCTCGCGGGGGGGACACTGACTGCTGTTGCCACACTGGCCAGCTTGGATTGTAATTATCTCTCTGTAGAAACTTAGTACTTAAGCAATGGGCGTTGAATGTCAGGTCTGTCTATACCTGGGCATTGTGAGGGCATTTAAGCGATTAGTGATGCTCGTCGGTCGAATCGCGGGTGCAGACGCGTCGCGACCGGATTTTGGACCCCGCCAACCCAACCTGAACGGGAGCTTGGATTCGGAGACAGCCCCACAGGCTAGACTTGAAACAAGGACCGACCCTTAGCGACAGGGCCCTGCATGTGGGGCGGGAATATGCAGCGAAGTTGGGTGGAACCATTGCTGCGGTCCTGGACCGTGGTTTTGGCCAGACGAACCCCTGTTCCAATTACCAGGTCGACGGACCACCCGCAGATTGCGCCTCTGCTGGAGAATCACGAGTTCGCTTTGACTTGTCCTCGCTGCACCACAGCAAGCCGAGCGACATCTCTCAGATAATAATCAGGATTAACCGGTACCGCCGGATATCTCGGATCGCATTCCACGAGAGCAGACCAGTCGCCCGGACAACACCTTCCGCGAAACAACTCGCATTCTTCGCTCTTGACCCGCCTTGCGATCTCTTTTGCGGAGAGCTATCACCCTTGATATCAGCGCATCATCTCGAATTCCGGCGCTGTTGAAGCTCCCAAGTAAACCACGGCTCTTGGTGCAAACCTCCGACACTACCTCTTAGATCTCTAAGCAAGTTCTATACTGAGGACGGGTGCGGCATGCCTCGTTAGTGACGATAGTGACAACTTCAGCAATGGCGGAAACGACCCGCCCAGAGCCTGCCAGCAGGGCACCGAGAGGGACTACCTTGGCCTCGGGCACCTTCTCCGAGTTACCGACGATACCTCAAGCCAAGGTATTTGGACCGGCAACGCCTTTAGGTTCCGACAAATTCGACTTCGCGCCCAAGTCGAGCAGCCCCCGCGGACAGAGCACGGCCGGGAACGAAGCTGCCGATTATTTGAATGCTGCAGACTCTAATGACAGAATATCCCCCCTTACCACCCCGGGCGGCGAGCACAAGCCGCCAGCCTTAAGACTCGATGGGCATCAGGAACCAGCAGTTGCGGTTGAGTCTGCCGATCCGCCCTCGCCCGTCCTCGGCCGGAAAAGTGTACAGTTCACGCCCGATGATGGTGTCCAAGATCCAGTACCAACCCACTCAAGGGCCGGATCTTGGGACACGAGGGAGGCGCTGGGGAAGCTTCGCGGTTCAAGTTTGATAACGAAGCTGAAAGACCTCACCGGGCCCACTGGATCTCCGACTCCAAGAATGGCCAGCACGCCTGCGGACCTGCCGTCAACGTCAAGCTCGCCTACAGCGCTTCGCCAGGCAAATCGAGCCGCGCGTGCGGTGAATGAGGGGAGCGATGACGATGCAGATGCGGAAGAGACCGCTGATGAGACCGCTGCGGGCAGTGGGAAAGGGAAACAGAAGAGGAGGAGGCGCATGCGGAGGCTCAGGATGGAGTCGTCATACTCAGTGCCCAACACTCCTAAGATCAGTGAATTGGGGCCGGAAACGCCCGATGCACAAAGCCGCCTTGCGTTTCTGAGACGTCCTCCTCTACCCGGCGTTGACGATCACGGCTATTCCGAAGGCGAAGGCCGCGACCGTCTGAGCAGAGAACGTGGACTGGGCTTCAGGAGGGGGGCAAACTGGACAGCTCGGCCGGGCGACGAGGGAGAGGAGGCGGACCGCCCTTCCGGTCTCCGCATGGGCCATCACTTCAGGCGTCTGTCCGCCCTTGGAGGTGGTGGCGGGGGCGGGGTGTCGGACGGGGAGGCCATGAGCCCAAGGAGGCCCTTCTTTGGCACGGACAGAGCCTCGACCTTTGGCGTTCAGAAATGGCGGCAGGTCAAGGGCGCGCTGAAACTCTTGCGCCAAAAAAAGGACGAGCAGTTCGACTTCTCCAAATCCGCAGAGCTCATGGCGGAGCTCTTCGGCGGAGCTCCGGCCGTCCTGATGTTCGCAAGCATGATTCAGCGGGACGAACATGGGAATAAGAGGATACCCGTTCTGCTCGAGCAGCTAAGGCTGCGGATTATCGACAGCGCTCCCGATGCGGACAAGGATAGCGAGAGACATTGGATCTTCACGATGCAGCTCGAGTACGGCAGTGGTCCGAGTCAGATGAAATGGACCATCAAACGGACCATCAAGGATATCCTGAACTTGCATTGGAAGTACAAGCTGGCTCTGGGCAACGAGGGCTTTCCGTCTTCCAAGAGCGCCGAACATGGCGCCAAGCGGCCTAAGCAGCCTCGCTTCCCCTTGTCCGCCTTCCCATATCTCCGTGGCGTCCGAGGCTTGGACGACAACGACGAGGAGGATCTCGGCAATGAAATGCGTCCTGACGGGCGCATCGCCGAGGAAACCGCTGGCGAAGGCACCGCTGGCGAAGCAACGGTCCAAGAAGCGACCGACGCTGAAGACCGGCCTGCCATGCGCAAAAAGAAGTCCCGCATGGCCTACCTTGGTGGCCTCCGAAAGCCCTCGACGCTAGGTTCGAACGCCGATCTCAGCCAGGTTGCCGCGGACGCTGTTGCCCAGAAAAGGAGATATGTTGAGCGGCAGCAGAGGATGTTGGAAAAGTATCTCCAGGACATGATCCGCTGGCTGATGTTCCGGGCCGACAGCAACCGCTTGTGCCGCTTCCTCGAGCTGTCGGCTCTTGGCGTCCGGCTGGCTGCTGAGGGCAGCTACCACGGGAAGGAATGTTACCTTCACATTCAGTCGTCCAAGGGCCTCGACTTTCGCCGGGTGCTCACACCGGGCAAGGTAATTGCCAGGCATACCCGCAAGTGGTTCCTAGTCCGGCAGAGTTACATTGTCTGCGTTGAGTCTCCCGAGAACATGAACATCTACGATGTCTACCTCGTCGATTCGAAATTCCAGATCAAGACCAAGCACAAAGACAAGCACCGTGCCTCCAAAAGCCGGGACCATGACGAGGATATCGAAAACCTCGACCCGTCTGCTCGTCGGCACAGCGACAAGCACCACACCATCAAGATCCTCACGTCGGAGCGCAAGGTGAAGCTTTTCTCGCCCAACCAACACCTCATAGCACAGTTTGAGGAGTCCATCCTGGAGATGTTGAAGAACACGCCCTGGCACCTCGAGAATCGGTTTGGCAGCTTTGCCCCCGTCCGGACCGGTGTGCACGCACAGTGGCTGGTGGACGGCCGGGACTACATGTGGAACGTGTCTCGTGCAATCAGCATGGCAAAGGACGTCATCTACATCCACGACTGGTGGTTGAGTCCCGAGCTGTACATGAGGCGGCCGGCTTGCATCAGCCAGAAGTGGCGGCTCGACCGGCTCCTTCAGCGGAAGGCCGCCGAGGGCGTCAAGGTCTTCGTCATCGTCTACCGCAACGTCGAGGCGGCCATTCCCATCGATTCCGAATACACCAAGTTCTCGCTTCTCAACCTTCACCCCAACATCTTTATCCAGCGGTCGCCGCACCAGTTCAAGAAGAACCAGTTCTTCTTCGCGCACCATGAAAAGCTCTGCATTGTGGATCATGACATTGCTTTCATCGGCGGCATCGACTTGTGTTTCGGCCGGTGGGACACGCCGAAGCACCCGGTGGTGGACGACAAGCCCACCGGCTTCGAGCCCCAGGACGACCCCAGGGACGCTGAGCATTGCCAGCTGTTCCCTGGAAAGGACTATTCCAATCCCAGAGTGCTGGACTTCTTCAGGCTCAACGAACCATACGAGGAGATGTACGACAGGTCCATGACGCCACGCATGCCCTGGCACGATATCGCCATGCAGGTCGTGGGCCAGCCGGCGCGAGACCTCACTCGCCACTTTGTTCAGAGGTGGAATTACGTTCGGCGTGGACGCAAGCCGACCCGACCAACGCCGTTCCTGCTGCCTCCGCCGGACTGTAAGCAGGAGGAGCTGGAGGCCATGGGCTTGAGCGGCACCTGCGAAGTACAGATCCTGCGCTCTGCCACGACCTGGTCGCTGGGCATTGAGGACACTGAGCACAGTATCCAGTCGGCATACATCAAGATGATCGAGAACTCGGACCACTTTGTGTATATGGAGAACCAATTCTTCATCACCAGCACCGAGACGCTAAACACCAAGGTGATGAATGGCATTGGTGACGCTCTGGTCCGGCGCATCATGCGGGCCCACGAGAACGACGAGGACTGGCGCGCTGTTATCGTCATCCCGCTGATGCCCGGTTTCCAGAACGAGGTGGACGAGCCGGATGGCTCCAGTGTGCGGCTTATCCTACAGTTCCAGTACCGCAGCATCTGCCGCGGGGAGCATTCGATCTTTGGGCGCCTGCGGGCCGCCGGCATTGAGCCGGAGAACTACATCCAGTTCTTCAGTCTGCGGCAATGGGGCAAGCTCAGCAATGGCGTGCTGACCACGGAGCAATTGTACATACACGCCAAATGCATTATTGTTGATGACCGTATCGCTCTGATCGGATCGGCGAACATCAACGAGCGCTCCATGCTGGGCAGTCGCGACTCCGAGACGGCCGCTATTGTCCGCGACACAGACCTGATCTGGTCGACCATGGCCGGGCGCCCGTACCAGGTCGGCCGGTTCGCCCATACACTGCGCCTCCGTCTGATGAGAGAGCACTTGGGCCTGGATGTGGACGAGATTATCGAAGAGGAGCGGCAGGCCGACGTCGACCGCGAAGAGCAGTTCAAGGCGGAGATGGATGGTATCTACGACGACGATCTGGACCCGTCACCCCCGGCCGAGGGCTCAAGCCGCCCGAGGTCCTCCTTCGTCGAACCGCCCAAGACTCCAACGCTACCTTCTGGGTCCCAGAGCGTCAACCACGAGCTCGACGGGGAAGAGCCTCGCCGTCGGAGGCGTACTCTCTCCAGGAGCTCCAAGGACAAAGGCGGCCCCGCCGAACCATCAACCGAGAAGAGTGAAGGGGCAGCGGATCGTTCTGACGCTGATCACTGCAAGGTGGGCCAGGAGCATAAGATCGACCATGGGAGGGACACTGTCATTGTTCATGATCGTGAATTCCTGGTCCACGACGTCTCGGCGGAGGGGAAGGGCACAATTGACCACCCGAAGGACCCGCACACTCTGCGTCGTTCGTCTAGCAACGTGACTCCCGAGGGCTCTGGCGGCTATGACGGCATCCCGCCAATGCCGCCGTTCGACAGGCGCACGACGGAGCAGCTCGGACTGCCACGTCCCAACCAGTTGCCAACGCTGCCCATCATTGACGACACTGATATTGGCGGTCCGCGGGTCCGCCGTGATTCAGCGGGAAGGCCGACGCATAGCACCTCCGCCTCGTTGCCCCTCGATATCAAGCTGGCTGACATCGACAAGGATTGCATGCGTGACCCTCTCAACCCGTCCTTCTACGATGACGTCTGGTGCCGTGCTGCGGAGAACAACACGAAGATCTACCGGCGCGTCTTCCGATGCATGCCGGATTCAGAGGTGACCAATTGGGCCGAGTACAAGGAGTTCGAGAGCTATAACCGGCGCTTCAAGGCGAGCATGGACGGAAAGCCGTCCAGCGAGGATGGCGAAAAGCCTGGGCCGGCTGCCCAAGCCGCCGCGGGCGCGGGCATCGGTGCACCGGGTCCAGCAGCTTCTACCACGGCTGCCGCGCCTGAGAAGCTGGAGTCTGCGGCCAAAGCTGCGGCTGGAAAGATTGTTGCTGCTGGAGATTGCGCTGCGGACGAGAAACGGGCGCTGGCTGATGAGCTGGGCAGGGGTGAGGTCCCGCAGCCCGATACAACTCGCAACCCGGAGAAGCACGAGTACGCAATCAACTCAAGCCGCGACACGCTCCACACAACGGATACTAACGGGCGCCTCGGCCTGAGACCGGACGGTAACAAAGAACGGCGTCCCACTTTTTCCAGCCAGGAGAAGCCTCCACCAACCAGTGTCAGCACACACTCCGGGAATGACCCGTCCGCAGCAACCAGCAACCATGACGGGCAGGCCACCGGCGTCAAGCCTGCGGGCTCGCAGAAGCGGCGGCGGCGAGCCACCACTAGGGGCAGCCGGCCCCGCTTCAGCGTCGCGGAGGAGTTGCTTTCCAAGGCCGAGGCCGAGGAGCTGCTGAACCTGACCCAGGGGCCGCTAGTGCAGTTCCCGTATGATTGGCTGGTGGTGGAAGAAGCGAACGGGAACTGGTTGTTCCAGGTTGATCAGGTGGCGCCCTTGGCTATCTAGTGAGTTCTTCCAGCCATCTTTCCTTTTTGAAGAGGCTATCGAAGCTAACCTGTGGCAGCAACTGAGCATGCCTCTGGCATATTATTTCTACCAGCGCCGGGGGTTGGTACTAATCGTCGGATGACGTCAGAGAAAGAGAGAGAGAGCTCGGGGTGGTTACATTTTGCGTGCTTGTTTGGAGTAGTTGCCGGGCGTTTTATGGTGCATATCGTTTTCGGGGGTTATTACTCCATGCTCCACCAGTCCAGCATTTGCCGGCGCAGCGGTTTCCTCTGTCCACTTCTGCCTTTTTTTTTCTATCTTGGTACTATACATACCGGCCTTGGCTTGGGCGGCGTATCGTACAGTGCAAGTCGTATTCCTTTATCATCAACGCATTTCTTTACCCTTCCCGTTCTACCTTCAGCATATTTACATATATATACACTTTTAGTCCGCAATAAAACTGTTCATCCCACTTCGCCACCGGCAAATCCGTCCTGGTGCCTACCGTGCTCTTTAGACCCTTTCACTGACCCAGATCGCTCCCCTACACCCCGCCCTGATGACTCCGGTCAACAGCCAATGCGGCTCGGCCTTCTTTGCGTCATGTTCCACGGCATGATCCAGATGCTCTAACTCCTCGTCCCGTATCCTCCTCAGCGTGGAGATCAGCTCGCGAAACTCGTCCCCGACGTCGTACCCTTCGGCCTCCCACTCGCCCACCATCTCCAGCAGCCGGCGGATCTGCGCGTTGTAGTGCCCGCCGATCTCGGTCTCGACCGCCTCGGTGCACGCCATGGCCGCCTCGCGGCCCAGCACCCCCGTCGTCCATCCCAGCCCCGTCGCGAGCACCGACCACAGCGGGTACAGCGCCGTCGGCCGCACCCGGTGCTTGGCGATCAGCTCGTTGAAGGTCCGGAAGTGGCCCACCTCCTGGTCGTACATGTGCTGCATCAGCGGCCGCAAGTGCGGCTCCCGCCCGACCACCACGGGCGTCTGCGCGCGGTAGATGAGTGTTGCGGCTAGCTCGCCCGCCTGGTTGACCCGCAGGGCGGACGAGAGGAAGGATTGTTGCTCGGGAGTGAGCGGCTTTTTCGGTTTTGGTGGTTGCGGTTTGTTGGGGGGTTGGGGATTGCCGGAGGAGGAGGGGGAAGAGGAGGAGGATGTTGGAAAGCCGTCAGCCGCTTGCGATGCGGACGTTGTCGATGAGATCAAGCGTGCTGGGGCTGGAGTAGTGGTGTGTGGCGCGAGGCGGCGGGGCCGGCAGAGCCGCAGCGGCGTCCAGCCAGGGCGTGGAGGCACCATTTATGTTCGTTCGGGTATGTCGTACCTTGGTGTTGATTGTTGCGCACCGTTACTGGTATTATCTGGTGTTCCAGGAACCTCGACGGCCAATGTTCTCGATGTCGTTGTGGGCTGATAATCTGATGCCCCACAGTTAACCACGCGGGACTTAGCGCGTTCAGCTGCATGCCAAGCTTTTAAGACCTATTTAATCGTACAGTACGCACAGATATTTCAAGCAGCCTTGGCTATTCGCAGTTGTACTGTGTATTACACAGGGCTGTCTCATGCTGTGATCATTCAGGCAGGCAGATCAGGGAGATCGAATCAAGAGCTTGAGACACAGTTCTAGATGGCTGAATTTTGCAATTTTTTTTCTGCCACACCTTTATCATTGACCCCAATTGTCTGCAGAGGGCTTGTATTGGTACCTCCGGTAGTTGCTTCGGCTGTGGCTGAACGTGGCCCAGAGTCCAAAATACGTTAGACCTGTGTGTGACTGATAAGCAGCACTGTATTACCGCATGAATCTCGCTGTTCAGGTTGGATTCGATCGAGGCTCTTGTTGAGCTGGACCCAGTGCTCCCTTCCCTCTCTATTTCTCCCCCTTCGACCACCACCTTCTTGCTATCACCTCTGTTGTCCCATGTCCGTCATCCTTGCGGCACTGGAATAGCTCTGTCATACGCTACCGAACACCTTTCCGCAGAAAAGGAGGCCACCGAAACTGTTGTTACATCCCCTTGTACTAACCGGGTCCGCGATCGCGTTGTCGCCATCCGATACGGCCTCGCCAGCCCCGTTGCCGGAGCATCGCCGTGCCGCTGAACATTGTCATTACTACGAACATACACTATCTTGTCGCGAAGATACGTCTCAAGATCTGCCGCGATGTCGGATATCGATGACGAGCTACTTGCGCTCGCCGGAGGCGATGCGTCTTCCGCCGAGGAGGAGGAGCCGATGGATACGAGTCGCGACGGTTCCCGCTCCCCTTCACCGGCGCCTGCGTCATCCAAAGAAAAGAGCACGCCCGCTAGGGGTGTGGCTGTGAAGAAGACACCCGCTAAAAAGGCAAGGAGACAAACAAGCAAAAGCGATGACGAGTCGGGTGAGGAAGGAGAGGCGTGAGTGTGCCCCGCTCTCCTTGTTATTGTTCACTGTGCTCGAATACCGTTGTGGGGGGCGATGTATTGTGTAGCGATTTGCGGAAAGGGAGAGGCGCAACAACTGGAAAGACAGAGCTCTCGGCGTGTGCCAGCTTTGCAGCTTTCGCACTCACCCTCGACCGCTCGCTTTTTCTTTTGCTTTCTCATTCAAAAGGCATATTTTGCCTCAGTGCGAAACAACCGAACCTGAAAGTCGTCTGCCACTTTCTGCCGTCGTCGTTTCAGCATGAACAACAGCATCTACCACCCCTTGGAAACCATGGTTGTGCCACCTATGCTAACCAAGATGTCGCCGCTTAGCTCGCCTCCAGCCTCGCCGAGCTCGCAAATGTCGGCTCCGATGGAGGAGTCGGATTCCGACTCTGATGCCCCTCAGAACCGAGCCCATGGCGGCGATGACGAGCTGAATCAATACCCCGTCGAGGGCCTTTTCAAGAGCAAAGAAGAGAAGGCGCGCATTTTGAGCATGCGCGAAATCGAGCGGGAACAGATTCTTGCCGAACGTAGGGAAGAGAACGAGCGCATCCGTCAAAACCGCATGCTACGCCAGCTTAAGGTCAACCAGGAGAAAGACAGTAAGAAGCGCAAGGCTAGCGCCGCGGACCTCGAAGATGCTTCGCGGAAGCCATCCCGCGCCCGCACCAAGGCCGGCGAGAGCAGTGAAAAGATGGACACTCTGCGGCGAGCCCGCGAGGAACGCAGTAGCCGAAAGGAACAGAGGGAACGCGAGAACGACCGCCGCAGGCAGCGGTCCCCATCATACCGTCGCAGCCGAAGCCAGAGCCGCAGCGCAGACGACCACGAGAGCGATGAAGACCGGCGCAGGGACTTTAGACAGAAGACCAGGACACCCGAGCCACGAGACGCACCCCCTGCCGAGCTGCGCGATGTTGAGCGCGTCCGCCTTGGTCGGAGTCGCTTCGCCGAGGTCTGCTTTTACCCCGGCTTCGAGAAAGCCATCAGTGGCTGCTTCGTGCGCATCAACATCGGGCCCGATCCCTCCACGAAGCAGGACGTCTACCGCATGGCCCTCATCAAAAGTGAGTCTCACCAGCGGGGCAAAGTCGGTAAGCACGGATGTAGCTGACAATACCTAGGCTTTGCCCAGGGCACGCCATATGCAATTCCTGACGGACGCGGGCATCAGATGGTCGTAGACCTTTACGTTTTTGCCGCTCACGGCACGGCTGAGCGGAAATGGCCCTTCATCAGCTGTTCTGACCGGCCCTTCACCGAGGCATTTCTCACCCAGTCCAGTCGCCACAGGATCCTGTCGTGCTAACCTGTCCTCAGGCCGAGTGGAACCGATACAAGCAAGTCTGTCTGTCTGAAGGGCTGCCCGTGCCCACCAAGGCCGAGCTAGTCCAAAAAATAGATGACATCAACGGGCTCATTCACCGTACTTGGACTGACATAGAGCTGTCCGAAAAGCTCAGACGCCAAAACGCCCTTCACGTCAAGTACAGCGGCGTCCAGCGCGAGTATCTCACCAAGCAACTGGAGATGGCCCTCAGTCGCGGCGAAGAGGAAGCCGCCGCCCGCCTGCAAGAGAAACTCGATGCGCTCGAGGTTCCGCGACTGGCCTTCCGCACATCCATAAACGCGACGAAGAAGAAGCAGGACAGCCGCGGCCCGAGCCAGCAGGAGAAACTCGCCCTCCTCAATGCCGAAAACCGCCGGCGCAACGCCGAGTCCGTGCGCAAAGCCCAACTCCTTGAGCGAGCACGGAAAAACGAGGACAAGATCAACACCAACAAGAGCGGGGAGGCAGCGGGCAGTGGCGCGAGTACGCCCGCCATCGCCACTGAGAATGGCAGTGGGAACGACACGCCCAAGCAAAAGGCGTTGCTGCCGCACATCGCCAAGCTCCAAGAGCAGCAACGCACTCAGGCCAAGCCGGGTCTGCCCGTCATTCACAAACCGCTGATGGACGACGACATTATTGGGGCGCTTGACTTGGAGATTGATATCGAGATTGACTAGTCGTCGACTGCAATAGCCTTTGCAGTATTCTCACCCCTGACGCCGGAGGATCTTGCCCTCCGAGTAGGCATTGCACAAACTACGTACATACATGGAACCTCTGCCAGAAGCTCTCTGCAAAACGGCAGTTAGCTGGTCGCACCGGCAACCTGCTTCTCGGGGGTTTGGGGCTCACCACAGCATGGCCGGTACCTGAGCCGGAGGTGCCACTTGTTAATTCCCCTTTCCCTCTGCCCTTTGCGCCAGTTTCGTTCCTCGGTATCGGGTCTGGTGCCCTCGGAGTCTCTTTTATCAAGGGTTGGCAGGCTAGTCTCTGGCCATGAGCGTGGATTCAAGAGAATGCTGGGGTGAAGTGGGTAGATGACAGACAGCGTCCAGATGAAAAAGGGCAGATGCTAGATAGTTAGATTCATTGCATTCAAATACCACATTTTCCTTGCCCTGTCGCGCCATCTGTTTGTGTCACGTTGCCGGTCTGACAAATGTATGTGTATTTATGTATGAAATCCACGTGTTCCGCCCTGCGTTAAACCACTTCAAGGTGAGGAGGACCATGATTACTTGCCAAATTCAATATGGTCAAGTTCTACTGAGCGAAGTGAAACCACACTTCGGCCTCGCCCGTCAGGATGTTCATGATCTACTCACTACAAAACCAGCAGAAGATGAGATAATACAACAGTTGTATGTACTAAACAACGCTTCTCATGATTGACCAATCCGAAATTGAACAAGGCTCACTGCCCCTGCCCTGCCGCGCCGCGCCCGAACCGGAACCAAGTCTCATAATATTCCATCGTCCGAGAGACCATAACTAAAAATCATTCATGAATACAAGTGACTTGTCTTATGCCCTTGCCCACCCAAAACCGAATTGCCAGTCCCATCCCCTGCGTATCAGCACCCCGACATCCCGGCGAGGAGTAGAGGTAGCAGGCTGTAGCGCAAGTGACGTGTAAGACCTTCCATCTCTTGCTGGAGGAAGGGTACGCGATTGCTTGAGTCCGGGAGTAAACGGGTTCGAATTTGGCCGAAGTCGGAAGTCGGAGTCGAGCAAGTCATCAGATTTCGCATTGTGCGGTCATGAGAACTCAAGATCAAATTAAAAGTGTGTATATGTCGTTGTAATGCATCGTTCATCAAAAGCTGTAATACGCTTGGGCCGCAGCTTCAAAAGCGGCATTCGGTTGGCCAGGTCATTGGCCCTTCGGCGAGCAGCTCGAGGCCAGGAAGCAGGCGGACCTTAGATCTTCTTCCTCCGCCCACCCTTGGTATTGGTTGGCACAGGAGACGGGATCACAAACGTGACATGCCTGCTTTCATCCTTCTTGAGTTTGACCGTTTTGCTCGCTGATCCACCGCGTTGATGAACAGGCCGTGGCGTGTCTTCTCGGGCATCGCCGTCGTCATCGATGTTGATCTCAGCAACATCAGAAACGGACTCGCTTTCCACGGCATCACTAGCATCTGAAGCTGAACCATCATCTGAGTCGTCATACTCGCCGTCATCACTGACGAGCGACGGCGCGTTGTTGCTAGCAATAGTATTGGGACTGAGATCCACATCCATGTCGACGTCATACATGGGCGTCTCGGGTACCTCAGTCGAGTCCATCTCAAGGTCGGCGAAGGTCGCGCGGCGACTCTTAGTGCTAGCTGCGCGATGCGCTGCTGGCGGCTGCGAAGGCGACACGGCAACCCGAGAAGGCATTCTCATCGCGGCTGGAGTGCGCGAAGCCGAAGCCAACATTTCCGCCCTGCTCGTGTCGTCCGTTGTACTCGGCTCGTCAACATCGGAGTCCTCAGCAAAGATACCGTCCAAATCCAGCTTGACTTTGGCATCGTCCACTTGCTCCTTGAGATTCCCGCTCAGCTTCTTTTTCTCCATCAGCCTGGACAGGTAAGGAGCGTCCGCGGAAGGCACAAAACTATCCGAGGCTTTTGAGGCTGGTCGCTGAGCTGAAGGCAAGGTACCAGGTATGCTGCTCACCCCAGGCAGCTTACCCTGCTTGTAGAGCTCAATGGAAGCTTGGATGCGGGACAAAAGTGCTTTACACGCTTGATTGTCCGACATCGACTCGGCCCGAGCCAAAGGATGAACCAAGCTGGACGGAGCACCGGCGGAGAGCTTCTTGTCACCGCCGATGATGGCGCCGCTTTCGTCGACTTCGATAGGGCGCCCACAGCGAACGGCAGCTTCCTCATGGCTCTTGAAGTCCCTCTTATGGGCGATACGGCAATGGTTGATAAACCCCTGCGTGCTCGAAAAATCCCATCTGTGACAATCGATGCAAATAAGTTTGACGGTGACACCGTCGGATCGCTTGAGAACGCAGCCCGATTGTTTATCTTTCGGCTGAGGGTATCCACTAGATAGCGCCTGTAACCTTTGGCCTGCCATTCCGCGGACAGGGCGATGTTTACCAAAGGAACCCACGTCAGAGACGCTGCTCCTCGTCATCCTACCTTCCGCGGTGCTCCTCACTCGGCCCGCATCTGCCAAGCCATGGGTTTCGGGTTGAACGCCGTCAAACACAGGATCAGGGATCAGCCACTTAGCATAATGGCGCGCGTACGGCCCCTCCACAACCCCGAAAGGAGGCGCCCATTTTGGCACTGGTTCGTCGACCGCCGATCCCAACGCAGGACCCTTGCCGCTGCTGATGTCCAGCATCTGGCTCGGCGTTGGACACTGAACGGGGTATGGGATCAGATGGCATCGTCTGAGCTGCTCCAGCGCAACCTGGCATTTGGCCAGCTCTTGGTTGGCGAGCCGGAGTTCGTCATGCTTCAAGAGAATCTCAAGCCCTAACTGGAGGTGGATGGTCTCCCTTACAGCCTCGAAGTCAGGAGCCATGCTTCGCCTGCGCAGCACGCTCGCCTCCTCACCGTCTGCAAATGCAGAGACGGGAGAGGGCAGGTCACCATTCTCCTCCGTTCTGGACCGCTTAGCCGGCGGGCGTGCAGTGTCGACAAAACTCGGGCGTCGCTTTTGGGGGGAGACGGGCGTCGGGAGCTCTGAACGGTCGTGCCCGACACGGTCGGCGCAGTCTGGTGATAGCTTATCAACTGCATCTAACGTCTTATCGCTTCCCCTAGCGTCAGACGTCCAGGGCCCGAACATCGGCATGACCAGAACCGTAGATGGGTTTGAGGGTGCCCCGCGAGCGCCAGGAAAGGAGGCGTCGGGGAAGGACAAGTGTGGGCGCTGGATGTGTTGACGTTCCGGCTTGTCGCGAGGCAGCAACAGCGTGACGCGGAAAGGGGCGGTCGGGGATTGGTTTGATCGGGCAAAGGCTGACGTAACCGCCAAGCCTGCAGGAGGTCTGCGGGCGCGCAGACACTCGGACTTCGGATAGCTCGGCTTAGTCAGGATGAGGACCAACCTCGAGCTAGTCGGTCTCCTTTAGTAGGTAATTAGGCGAGAGGCGACAGTTGGTGCTTGCGCCAACGATCGCGACAGCGATGCAGATGCCCGGCGTCAAACGAGAGAACCCAACTGAAAACAGCGCGAGAACTAGTTAAAGCCTCGACAACAGAGCGCAAAAGTCGGTGAGAACGGAGAGCTCGAGAAATAAAGGTAAAGGAGCGCGCGAACGTCGGAAAAAGCAAACTAGTCAGTCGCGCAGGGTGCTTTTAGGCGACGATTGTTGAGTTGCTCGAGAGGAAGGAGTGCTGTCCCACGGAGTTGTAAGGGGGAGTTCGCTTGCCTCGAGAGGGAGACCTTTGGAACGCGGGTTGTTGGGAGGCAACACCATGGATGCAATCAATGCAGGGATGACTCCAGTGCAATCAAGCGTTTGGGCCACGGCCAAGAGCGATCCAAGGAAGGAACAACCAGGTTGCCTATTGGCTGAGGAGCCAGATGGAGTGGGGCCCCTTTCTCACCCGTGTCCGAGCCGTGATGCTCGCCCCCCAGGCATCACCTACGAGATCACCCTACAGTGGATGCTGACACTGAACGTAGTTCATGATGAATGATTCGCGACGCAAACATAACCACTGAAAGCTCCGACTTTGCTGAGGACTTAACCAACACTAACATTAGTATACATGTATTGTACATACATGTCGTTCTGTGACTGCGCGTACTCTGTGACCATCGGGTTGATCACCGTCATAAGCCTCTTCGACAGTGCATCCAACGTCGGATCTCTTTATCGACCTGACGTGGTGGTGATGGTGTGGCCGCGTGGTGGGCAGTGCGTTCACGGGAGGTTTGATGCGCCTCGGGGGTGCAGAAATCAGGCAATCGTGTTTCGCGGCGAGACGCTAACAAACCATACGAAGAATAGGAGGCACCTTTGGCACCACACAGTACGGAGTACTTCGGTAGATGCCAGAACGGAGATGTAACTTCGTATTGTATGTATTGTACAACACCATAACCTGGATACTAAGGTATACGATAGATATGGTATGTCAAGTACGGAGTACGCTGCCTATTACTAGTACCATTGAATCTTTCACAGTGCACCGTTTTGGTTACGGTAGGAATGCACTCCGGATCAGTACACTACATTTACGTACTAACAGCACTGGGCCACAGAGACTGGGGGATGAGGTAATCCAGCCGCAGAAGAAGCAAGGCTTCCCATTTCACATCGCAAAACCAGTAAGCTCGCCCTAGAAAGCTGAGCTACCTTACCTTACTGGAGACGAAGAAAGGCGATTGAAATGTTGGGCGAACACGGCATCCAGCGAGCCCATCTGCGTAACAATACGCACCTTGATGAAACCAGCTCGCCGAGTCGTTGCATCTTTACTTATCGATAAGTATCTTCTGAGCCCCACACGGTCAAATGAGCCGAATTCAACCTGCAATTCGAGCTTCTCGCGACTTTGAGTGATTGCCGTCAACATCCTAGGGAGGTCGTCAAATAGTGCAACCTAGCTCTCTAGGCGACCATGGCAACGAAGGATGCATTGCAGCCATCATCTCCAAATACCCACACAAGCAAACGGAAGTTACCCAGCGACAGCCATGACCTAGTCCCCAAGAAGCGCAGAGCAGCAGGCCTTCAAACTCGGGTCGAGACTGAGAGAGGGCCGCCAACATCAACGTCAACAACCAGAAGTTACAGCCAAGTGTACAATCCGGTTCTCTCAAAACTGGGCCGCAAGTTCGACGTCAAGGTCATGTCAGTCATGCCTTCCACCAACATCAGCAAGCACGTCGATCGTGCGCTAGAACACCTAGGACGCTTCAATGCGTGGGATCAAACAGTGCTACCGGGTGTCGTCTTATTGTGTGCCAAATCAGCCGCTTCCAGCAAACTCATTACGATTGCGGAACTCACCAGACGGCGGGTTGGGGAGAGCAATCAAAAGTGGTTTCAGTACAGCTTACTGAGCGAGACGGTAATAGAGGAGGCAGTGCAGCCAGCGGAGGAACCGTCAGTGGTCGAGGACACGTTCATGGTGGTTGACCGGGAGGGCATGGAAGGGACGGTCGACGACTATTTCGAGACGATACAGCCAACAATCCACGAGCGAGCGGTGCAACCAGCAAAAGTCAGACACAAAGCGCACATCACCGTCCTGCTCTCCAGGGTACCACTAGACGAGCTAAACGCCGAGAAGAACGTTTCGCTTCAGACGAACGAGCAGCACGTTGAACACCTCCGAAAGAAAAGGATGGGCCTTGTTGCTTGAGGCTCTCGCCTCGAACAGAACATACTACGGCCTGGATGTTTGTTGAGGGTTTGTTGAGACTTTGGCGGGAGCGACGCTGAGCTAGATGGGAGGGGCCTACGTTCAGCGGGGGGTTCCCGGACTGTTGAGGTCTTGCGTGCCTCTGGATGTGATACCCAGCGCTTTTTCTTTTCAGGCAGAATGTCTGCTAGACGGCTATTATGACACGAGGCCCCGGTGCCACCGTCTTGAGGGCCAGTCTTTACCATCACATTCTAGTCAGCGGTTGAAGATGCTGTCTTAGTGCTGCGTTAAAGGGGGTGAGAGGGGGGAAACTCAAGCCCATACATGCGGCATCAATGCCAATGACAACGACTCCGAAGACAACCTATATGACCCCAATCTCCACGAACGCCCATGAACCCAGTGTAAATGCAAGGAGCTTCCATCCGTACACGATAGACTCATATAATTCTAGCTTCCCCTCGCCCCAGCATCCACCGCAACGGAAATGACCACGTCCAAGTCAGCCAGTCGCTATTGGGAACGGCGTTAGGCATGCCAGTTTGTTTAGTCCTCTGACATTTCTCCTTCTCTTCACCTCAAGGCTGGTGGTCCTGAGACGAGTAGGTGATCCGAAGTACAAAGTTGACCACCACCGCAAGGAGCAAGATAATGGCCAGGAATGTGGGACCAAAGCGGTCATCAAAGCCCGCCTGGCCTCTCATCCGTATCGATCGTGCCCTCCAGTGGTACGTTACGAGGGCATATATCATGGTGGACATCGCAACGCCTGTGAAGAAAAATGACGAGATGAAGGCGGGGCGGTCCCCGAAGTTAAGCATGCCGATAGCGAGGGCTCCGAGGATGACGGTGAAGTTGAGCCATGACAGGAAGGTCCGCTCGTTTGCGAAGAAGACTTTGGGTTCGACCCGCGTCGGAAGCGCGATGCGCTTGCCTACATGGGAGAGGTCAATTAAACGGCTTGCTGGCGGTGAGTGGGATAACAAACCTGGCGCCGTTTGCAGTAGGGGTTGACTCGACATTGTGCGAGGCCTCGGGGGGGAGTGCCGAGAATATGGTAGACAGGAGGTGTTTTGAGCTTGACTTGGGGTTGTTGATTCCTTCACTATCCCAGCTCCAGTGTTTTTCCTCGGGATGGCGTATCCGCCACAGCTCCAGTTTGGTGGCGCAGAAGTTTGTTGATGGTTCAAGTGATCAATTGGGATGTCACGGTCTGTTGGCCCCAGCTCCTCCATACAGCTAAGGTGTGCACGTGGGCCAGTTCCACCATCTTACTGGCAAATGCCAGTTGAACCTGAAAGTTACGTCACAGTGGGCTCTACTATAACGTTAAGCCTCTACCTGAGGGTAGTCGGTCACATGTCAGCTGAGGCGTTTGAGGCTGGTGCTTTTGTGGCGCATATCAGCGATCAAGTTGGGTATCGATAGCGACCCGTCTCGCATGGTAGTAAACAACACTCGAACGCGATACCAGCAACCACAGGCCGAGCGCTTTTACCACCAAATACTACACGTCTTGATTATTACCGATACAAACTCAGACAGAAATATACCGGAATTTTTGTTCCCTACGGATAGAACGACCCGAGTAAGAGTCGTGCTGCAGAATCCGTCACGATTGCCGCTCAACAAGCACAACAAACCGCCCCTGGATTAGAGCACAATGGCGGCGCAGAATTCGGTATGGATGCCATCCCACCGGCGACTAGGCCAAGCTTTGCTAACGTCGACCATAGCCAATTCCCACCAAGCGCCTTGAGCAGATCGCCACCGATGTGTGTTCATGCCGTTGAGTTTGATGAATCAGACATGTCAGCCAGTACAGTCCGAAGCTGATGGGACTGATCTCGAAACATAGGTGTGCAACAGCGTTCTGGAAAATGTCGAGTACTACGAGCATCCCAAGACGGCACAATGGAATGAGACAATCATTGTAGGTTGGAGCGGTTCGATTACTCTTCCGCAGTGCCGGGCTGATCGAAATGCGCCGTCTCCTAGAACAAAATGCTCAAAGCGGTCATGTCGGAGGCCACGCCCGAGGGCGCCGCTGCGCCAGCCTACAAGTTCGCCATCAACAGCGTCATTGTCCAACACGTTGTACAACAGCGCAGCTGAACAAGCCGGCATCGCCATCAACGGAAAAGGATGGGGCGGCCAAGAAGGGACAAGCTGGCCGGCGCGGTATGCACAGCGCAACGGGCGGGTACTGGAACGAGAAGACGGATGGCATGTGGAGCTACAAATGGGACGGCGAAGCAAAGGGGCTGGACGTCGTCATCATGCTCATCTGGATCGCCGTGTAGGATGCATATGTTACAGATCCCATGGATATCTGTCATGTCGTACATAAATCTAATGACCTTTGCCATGGCCGTGAGATCAACCACAAGAGATCCCCTGAACGAATAGATAGCTTGTTGCAGAGCTGACACCGCCGTTTCACATAAGTAACCGATGGAGGCCATTGGAGGTTATTACAGAACACATGGCACAATCCATACCAAAACGACAGCGTAAACAGCTCTGCTGGGTGCGGATTCGGCTTCATTCATGTATTCCTGACGTTATCTACGCTTCCGGGAGTTTCCTTTCGCGAGTCGCGAGTACTCGGAAGAAGCGGCCTTGCTTGCCCGACCCTGATGTGGCTCGAGTGTGGCCACTGGGCGGCTGTGGCCCGTGACCACGGAGGTGGTACAGACGATCACGAGTGTAAAACTTGCATCTGACGATCTTTTGCCACTGACAGAACCCGCATTGCAGACGTGCTGTTTTTGCGACATGTTTCAACCGCCCGGAGATCGAGCGACTCCTCTATACTCTGATAGACCTCAGTCATTAGGCTTTCTCTTTCTTGCACCCATATCCGACATGTTTCGAGCCAGTATCTGTACATCCAGCACTCATTCATAGTTGAAGTGGAATCTAGACATACTGGCACACCTCACATCTGCCGGCCGTTTCCCTGAACGGTTCCCGTATGAATGTACTGTACCAGGTTTTTAGGAACGATGGGAGTGGCGACACCCTGGGGCCGCGTGACGTCTCCGTCTCCTGATAATCGAAGCAGAGGCACTAGTGCGGAAGTATACTATACCGACACCCTTCTTGGCGCACTTAACATGGCACAGCCGGCAACCTTCCATCAACCAGTATGGACCAATACATTAGAGTCTCAAGAATTCATACAGGAATGAACCAGAATGCCAGCAGGTTAGATACGTTGTCAGATGGGAACTTGAATTCCCCTAGAAATTCCCATCCTACCTTAAGCTGGAGCTGTCGCTCTGTATACAACACCTCTTTGGCCATGAGCGGCGTGTCTTTATCTATATAGTACGCATACAGTGCCGCCTTGGAAGGTGGATATATGCAAGTTCTTATGCGACGAAAGGTCCAGACGAGCCCGTGGTAGGTACAATACCTGATAGGTGTATCCATCCTGGTCGCAACTTGAGCCAGATAGATGTGATTGATACGGTGACACCACATGGGGTCTAACACTCCGACATATTCTCTTAATTTACTCTCGCTTCCTCCTCTACGTATATCTCACAGGCCTACTGCCTTGTCAATGACTGAGATACAGGAAGTAGGTAAGTAGCTTAGGCTAACTGTGGAGGGCAGACAGCGTTGCGAAAACATCTGATTCGTGCACAATGCACAGGCGTGCTTGTGATATTTGAGCGGGTGAGCGACCCATTGGTGCGGCAGCGATGCAGAGGAATGCGTCCCGGAACCTGGTGATTCGAGAGTAGGTACCTAGAAACTCGACATCATTGGATGTCAAAGGGATTTAAGCCACTGCCTGGCATTCGACAGTAAGTACTCTGTGTATCGGTATGGACGCACACAGGTTCATACCTAACTCCGTTCTTTGGCACGCCAACTCCACCTAGACAGCCGGAAATCCGGCTTAAAAAACAGACTATGACGGAAAATCAGGGGTGATGATCGCCTTCCCCGGGTTACGCTTTTCGCACTTTTCTGCCCTCACGCTTCACAATTCGCCCGACACTTACACTGGTTGTGTACATGTACATGGGGCTTTTTCGTCTTGCGTTTCTGGTTTGCCAGAATTAACTGCTTCTTGAGTCCTGACAGCGTTACACCCAGAATCTGCTAGCAAGCTTGGCGCTTCCCGTCCACTTCCTGGCACACCAGGCCAGAACATTCGGCTTCCCCGGTCCTCCAACTTGGCCACCCACGGCAGATCTAGTCGTGCTAGTGTATGCGACTGACCACAAAGGCATACAACCTCGTCTCCCCGGACCCCGCGAGTCCCGATATCTATTCGCCCCTTCCCGCTCATGAGCTTGCTAGTGAGGGGCTTTCGACATCCAATCCGAGCAACCACCGGCATCGGTACCTGATACGATTCAGGATCCAGGCTTGATATCATACAGTATATAAACGGGCCCAACCGGACCTGGCCACCCTCCCGCTTTCACCGCACTAGTCCTCATCCGCCATCGCTTATACATCGATATCCCAGGCGACGTCTTCGAGATCCAACTCAGGTCTCAGAGGTCCATCCTTGAGAGAACCACCCTCTGCTAGAGATCGTCCGTATTGAGCATCGTTGCTCTCCATCACAACGTCCGCTATGATCGAGGTCCTCTACAGTGGGCAGACCTCCTTGGAGGAGCCCAGAACCCCGTTCACCAAGGAGGATCACATCAGGAGGGAGCTCGGTTTCTTAAGAGGGACCAAACGTGCTCCGCGCCGGTCACAGACCCACCACGAATACATCCTCCCTCAGCCGGCGGCTTTCAGCCTCTACCCAACCCGGCAGCAGCTCCAACTTACCACCGAGGACAGGTCCCAGAGGCCACCATTGACCTCGGGAGAGTCAGGCAAGCATGAGGACGACAGATCGAGGGCACCGGTGCGCAGGCCCCCTCTCGGCCCTCCGCGAAGATCATACTCGACGACGGATCAGAAGCCGATTCCTCGTCGCCACCGGCCCTCGGCCAGGCTAACGCTGATGGACCTGCCCGCGGAACTCCACTTTGTCATCTTCGACTTCCTCGACCCTATCGACAGCACTTGCTTCGGCCTGACCAGCAAGCACTTCTACGCTATCCACCGCCGCCTGCACGGCACCGTGCCACTCACGGCTCGCCGGACCGGACCGAACGACCTCGAATGGGCGTGGCATTTGGCGCATAATATCGTTCGCAAGAACCCCACGGCTGTCAGCAGCAAGGATGCCGAGGCGGCGCCACTGAACGGGCTTGGGGAGAAGGAGAAGAATGCGCTGTCCAATCTGCGTGTTAGAGGTCAGGGTTATTGCCGCATGTGCGGCGTCACGCGGTGTCAGCTGCACAAGCACATCCAGGAATGGATGTGCGAGGGATTGGAGTACTGCTACGTCAAGGAGAAGTATGGGCCCATCGCGCCCGCGGGAGCCAAGTCTTATTGCTACATGAGCCGGCCAGGGGACAGGTACAGGTGTGGGAGGCACTCCATGAGCAAGGACAAGGTTCAGTTGCGGTAAAACCGGTTTCGACCTGTGATGGCATCGCAAAAGGAATGTCTCCTCGTGTTGGAGCAGCATTGCTCTCTGCGTCATGTCTTTGGGTCCAGGCGGATGGGGCATGCAAGGTTTCAAATGTGCGCCGATGTTCGAGTTGCCCTTGAGATTCAGCACCATTGCAAATTCCTAGCCTGCGTAATCATAGGCTCTCGGCTTCAAGACTAAGCCCTGCGGCAATGCAGCTCCGAGTTCCATTGGTGATTTGCAGTATACGTCCAACCTACAGCACACCGGGCATGAGGTGGCCCCGAGCATGACCGCGTTCGAGTCAGGAATGTGTCGTGAAAGGTATTGTACAAACCCGGCCGCCAATGAAGAGATTCAACATACGGTTAGGTAGCCGAGGATGAATCTGTACATACATACAAGTGGCTCCACGTACCAAAGGGTCCTTGCGCATCACCGTCGAGTTGTTGAGGTTCAAGTTGATTACAGAAGGACCTGCTGTGTGTACCATGACACGATAACTGCAGGAGTTCAGATAACTTGAACTTGACCGTTTTTGCTCTTACGCCATTTCGGGCGAGCTTGGCTGCGCACGGGCCGCAATGACGTTACCACTGCAGGACTTAGCAGGAGCCGTTGAAACGCCCCTGCTCGAGCAGACGTGAAATTATGTTGGCAAAATTGCAGTCTGTGCCCCTTTCTCTCTTAATCGGAACGCTTGACCAGCAACAGCTCTCGTTCCACTGCCATATACCGAAGAATTGATCACAACAGCCAACGACCTTCGTGTTAGCCACGTGTGGATGTGCCGCTTCGCCAAGTTCGCCAACTCGTCGTGTCGAAGTTTCTAGCTGCTCCTTGTGGGCCAACGATACCCGCTCCAAACCAAGACCTCCACGTCTCGGCCCGCGCGTCTCAAGCGGATCAAGCGGATTCACCCAGCCTTCCCCTCGATTCGCGTTGTCCATCTCGCCCATCAGCACGCAGTTGAGCCTCAGCCTAGGTTTATGTCGATTGGAAACGGGCGCAGCTGTAATGCTTGACAACGAGCTCATCAGAAATAGCAACAGAGGAAGCACCATAGGTCGGTACTTGCCGGCACATCGATCGCGATCCCCGCCCTGAAACTCGGTATCCAAGACCGTCGCCGGCATACCTATCCGGCCCGGGGTCCACACTCCGAGTTCTTTCTCTGTGCCCATTCGGCTGTTCTTCTGCAAGACGACCCCTCCCTCGTTCCCTCCCGTGCGTGCTTGCCCACCATGTCGTCCTCAAGTTCGCTCTCCCAGAACGCCGGGAAACGCAAGCGCAACAACACAGCCACCGCAATCGAAATGGACCAAACCCAGATTGTTCAGGCCGAGTCGCGAGACGCCTCAGGCGAAGAAGGGGACACTACGGCCCCGGAAAGCGGCCGAGCTGCTGCCGTCCATAAGAAGACCGACTCGACCGCGAGCGCGCACCCACCGAGCAAGCGCCAGCGCGCGAACTCTGATCAGTCAGCGGTTGGGGCAGCAAGCGGCACAGCAGCAGCCCAGGTCCTCGACCCCGGCGAACCGAGTGATACCACCGAGGCCAGCGTCGACATCGCCGAGAGGGTGACGCGCAAGGGGAGCCGGAAGTCAGCGCTGAGCAAAGGCGAGAGCAGCGCCAATGGCGGAGCACTGGTCACCAACAAGACCTCGGCAGCGATGCCGCCACCTCCGATCGGCAAACTCACTCACCCTGTTGGATACAAGACGAACCCGCCCCCTGCGGGCAGGCCTGTGAGGGTGTATGCGGACGGCGTCTTCGATTTGTTTCACCTAGGGTATGTTCAAGAGACAGCGGGGGTTGCTTGCTAACTCTGTATTGTACAGGCGGTCTTTGGTCGAGGATCCAAGCTAACGGCCAGTTTCAGACACATGCGCCAGCTCGAACAAGCGAAGAAGGCTTTCCCCGATGTGTATCTGATTGTGGGTGTGACCGGCGACGAGGAGACGCACAAGCGCAAGGGCCTCACCGTGCTATCAGGCAAAGAACGAGCCGAGACGGTGCGGCACTGCAAATGGGTGGACGAGGTCGTCGAGAACTGCCCTTGGATTGTGACGCCCGAGTTTCTGGAAAGACACCAGATCGACTATGTCGCCCACGACGATATTCCCTACGGCGCTGATGAGGGCGACGACATTTATGCGCCCATCAAGGCCGCGGGCAAGTTTTTGGTGACGCAACGAACAGAAGGTGTAAGCACCACTGGCATCATCACAAAGTAAGCCCCTTGTCTATTCTCAAAAGCATAGCCCCATAACCACTCTTTTGGCTCACACCCGGCAGGATTGTCCGCGATTACGAGAAGTACATCGCGCGCCAGCTCAAGCGCGGCACCTCCCGCCAGGAACTCAACATCAGCTGGCTCAAGAAGAACGAGCTCGAGCTCAAGCGCCACGTCCAGGATTTGCGTGACAACATCCGGAGCAACTGGGCCACCACGGGGCAAGAGCTCAGCCGTGAGCTCCGCCAGTTCTGGCCCTCCAGTCGGCCACAGAGTCCCGCGCGGGGGCCGGCGGGATTCTTCGGCAGCACAAACAACAACGGAGATGTGACTCCCAGCAGTCCGCTTGGTCCCAACCCGGCGGCGGCTGGGGCAACGGGCTTCCCTTTCCCTAGGAGTCCGACATCGACGGCCACGGCCGGGGAAAGGGCGACGAACAGCGCGAATGATTTCATCACCGGTTATACGCTAGGGTTGATTGGCGGTGTACGGTCCTGGGTTTGTCTTCCCTGTGACTCCCGACGCATGGGGAGAGAATGTGCTGACATGAATCTCTAGATGACCAAGAGCCGTCGGGCTCCCAACGAAGACCAAAGCCGGCCTGTGAGTGATGAGTCCTCGGAAGAGGCCGAGGAGAAGACTAGCGGTGATCGGAGACGATTGAGCCGAACGATGGCGACCAGTCAACGAGGTTAGGGCTGGAAGATAGGGGTGTTGTCGTGCTACCCTACCGCGTGCCGGGATTGATCTTTTCAGGTGAGGTTGTTGTCCAGCTTCAGGCTTTCATTTTATTTTGTCGCTTCTTGATGCTATGGGAGGCTACTTGAGGAACTGTGATTGGCACCGGGTTTCAGGCTCTGAAAAAGAAAAAGGATAAGTCGCGGTATAGGCGTGGGTGTCGAAGTTAGTCCGGTTTAGAAGCGTCAACTGCGGGTCCAGAGCAACATAGTAATTCATTCCACGATTTTAAGTTTCGGTTTCGAGGAGCGAGGAAGGTGAGTTTTGAAATGGTAGGCATTGAGAGGCATGTCAGGGTTCTCTAACGTTATCTCACGGTCATGCCTACAACGTCCTTCACAGGGGCAGGGGCATATCGGAATATGAGAGAGTGATATTGTTTTATGCAAACCTCCTTTGCCCTGGAAATACAATAGCAGAGCATCAAGTGCCATGGCCTTCTCAGGAGCTCAAGCAACCAAACATGATCATTGGCAGTACGACTACCTCCGAGAAGAATAAGTAAGGTAACCGGGTATGTATGTTGGTCCCGTGATGTCTGGCCTGAACTTTCCTCGGGGACTTGCTTGTGATTCCATCTTCGATGTGTTGGGTTACGAGCAGCTCTTGATGGCGATTTGGGTTCCTCATGTTCATCTGCTCCCCCCTGGCTTGTGTCGATGTTAGCGGGACTGGCTTGTAGCCGGGGCAAGTCCAGCTCTGGTTGCCCTGATCCACAAGTGCGATCTCGGCTATTGAAGGAGGACTTGCGATAGGCCTCTAGGTAGTCCTGCTTGCTTCAGCTTCGCGGTTCCGGGTATCAGGTCAGGAACTCAGATGCGTTTGTCGGCGAGACTAGCCTTCGCCTACAGAGTACTAATCCAAAGCCAGCCACAGATATCGTAGTCACGCAAGCCGCCCAGGAAGCAGTGCACAGAACAGCCCCCTCGTACCCAAGGTTACTTCGAGAGCATCCTATTTATCCGTAGGTACCGTACCTGGTTGAGTCGCATCTAGACTGCCGAACCGGGCCTTCTCCTTGACCCATTTGCTCTACATAGCTAACGAGGGTACCATGCCGTGCAATAGGTCTGGACTGCTGGCTACCTAGCTGAGCAAGCGATTTCGATAGTCAAGATTCGTAGTATGTGTGCTATAACCGCAGGTTCATGACGACGGGGACATTCAACTCTGCTGTGCTGCAGTGACTATCTACTTAGTGAGGCAGGAGGATGGATTTCAATGAGCTACTTGGCGCAGTTTACACTGTTGCAACCGAAATCCGGGATGCCAGGACATCTCAAGGAGAGAAAGGAGCAGGTCTTGCTGCCGTCGGCCCCCTCCCCCTTCATGTATGTATGTACATAGGAGGGCGGCTGGGCTCCAGATCTATAACATCCGGGGAAAGTGTGGCGTTCTCAACGGTGCAAAACCGAAGACTCATGGAGTCCCTTGCAGGTAAGTCGCTACAATGCATATTGCATGTGGAATGAAGGAGTCAAAACTATAAGAGATCTTGTTGTTTGTCCAAAGTCCTTCTTTGGCACAGACGCATTGAGAGCAGCAGGCTCGCTCGGGGCTCGGTCATCTCCGTAGCTGGCCAGTATTGACGTAACCCGCTGTCGAGGCAAAAGACGACCACGACATAACACGAGATTTGTGATATCGAAGCCTCCCCTGAGAATATCCAGCCAATGATGCCGTGACCGCCTCTCTATTTTTCCTTTTCTGAGGGACGAATCACACCTATCTTCTGAAGCTGAGGCTGAGGGGAGCCGTTGTTGAGCGGGAGGGGCCGAGTGTCGACGGGCATGAAACGGTTTCAGAATCTCAGAGCTGAAGGTCAGATAGATGCAGGCCCGAGGCGCGCCTGCAGGGCGGACAGGTTGCTGCCAGACAACTGCAGCTCTTACTACCTACCATAGTTATCCCATTGGCTGTTGGACAGGGCTAGGCAACATCCGTATTACAATAAAGCTAGGTGTGGCTGAGCGGGGTGACCTGTAAATACATACATGTACGCAGTTACTTGAATCTCTACACCAACAAGCACGCTAAAATTTACCCCATTATCGGCCCGTCTTTTTCAGGCCAAGTTCGCCAAAGTCAGGTACGGCACGGTGGGACAGAAGGGCTTCGTAAATTGGATGATCGCAGTCAGACGACTTTGGTCTACCTTATGGACCTAGGAACGGATACTTGATAGTGGCACACAACGGCTACTCCCGCAACCGCCACGCCGCGGATGTCTGGGAACGATAAGCGCGGCCGCCGCGCTTAGATGCTACCGGCACATTCCTGACAGACCTAGGTAGGCACAGTATATGCATAGCCTAGTGTAAAGCTGATACATGGGCAACTGGGGCTCTCCATGAGGAGGCCATCGTTAAGTCGTCTCTGAGCGTGAATAGAGACTTGGACTGTCTTGGTCCATCTGGATAACTGGAGTAAATAGCAAGTTAGGTAGCGTCCGCCCACAGTATACGTGACAGGAGACCTTGCTCGGCTTGTGTTGTTTGCTTCTTGTATGTTTGAATTGAAACCAGTCCATTGAGCTAGGGTGAGCTCTCAAGGGTAATGGCATAGCGGTTCCAGAAGGTTGACTGACGGTACCGCATGACAGGCGGCGAATCTTCTTGGGGTCGAACTGGAAGTCTGGAACAGAATTTGGATGGCAAGCACGGTATGGAGTACGGAGTGACTAATAAGGTCCATATCCGCAATCAATGACCCACCCATCGCGAGATCAGCTGACGCTAATCTGAATGTGGCTTAGTATACCGTAATTCCCGCCGTGGGGCCGTCCAGGAACTCGAATTGAACCCACCTGCGAACACTTGAACCTCAATGTCTGTCAATGCTCTCCATGCCGGCGAGCCATGTCTATCTATTTGGTAGGTACTATGTACCTGTAAGAAAGCGACCCCAGTTCTCCAACTTGCACAATCAAATGCGCAATTTAGATGCCTCGACGCGCTGCAAGCTGTACGACTTCATTTGGTAACATCAAAGGACAGCGTCGTTCCATCGCATAGGGCTTATCTTTCCCCTGCCTGCTCGGTACAGTGTAATAAGCTCCTGTCCATCCCTCCCAGCTTTTGGAGGCTGCTTCTGCTTGCCGCGCTGGTAACACGGGCAACTCAGGCGACCGATACACTGACCAAGAATTAAGCGCCGTCTCAGAAACATGAGACAAGCGCGCAATGGGACTCAGCATCTGCACGGTGCTACCAACCTAAACAATACACGACCCATTTTCTCTCTCCTACATGGTACCTTGGCCCGCCGCACACTGCGCCACAGAGCCGTACTGGTGGTGTCGACACCCCTCTTCGGGCCGTTCGCGCAATATCAGACGAATCGGCATTCTTGAGCTAAGCGCCTGTCTACTGTGTTCCCTGCAACGCACACCGGTTTTCCCACGTGATGTGTGAAACATGGCGGGGAAACCACACCAACATAGCGTTTGTTGGCCTGACCCCCGACGCGGTCAAACCGGACACCACTGAGTTGGCAGCGCTGGCAACATCTTGGCCGCGGTACATACGCATCGCCAACAGGACGCCATGCAGGCTGTGAAGTGAGCCAGCCAGTTGTTGTTGTTGTTGTTGTTGTTGTTGTTGTTTGCACCGCGACCTCGACCTGCCTATTTCGCTCACTGGTGCAGGCCCTGGCGCTTAACATTGATTGTCCTTGATACTTGAACTTTGAAGATGTCCGAGCCGCCAATGCTTCCGAGTCACCCGATGTCCGTGTCGCACTGGGCTGAAGAACAAACTTTCTTCCCCTGGGCCGCTCATGCAGGTCACAGGGCCGTCTCACGCGAGGTGCAGGGGATCACAGTTTCGGGGCCCCCAACGCGATCAACAGATCTCGGCATGCCGAGTCCGGGTCCGGGTCCGGGTCCGGGGGACCATCTCACCCGCCAGATTGTCCCCACCTTTGCCATGTCAAGATTTCAAAACCTTAATCCGTCGAATTCATCAACGGAGGTCTCTCTGGATGATTCAGCCTGCGAACCATTGCAACGTTTGAGATATCTCCTTCATCCCAGAAAGCTTTTTCCAGTATCATCGAACCTACAAAAATAGGATCTCACTGGCATGTGGCGCAGTGCTCGGCTGCCCAATGAAAGAGGGGCCACGTCTAAGCCCCTGCACATCGACCATTCCGCTTGTTCCGCTGCCGCCGCTAACGGCCGATGGCCCATGCGCAGGGCGGGGCCGAACACAAATCGCTTCTTGTTGATCGATAGGTCGAGCCCTGTCCCTGGACGCGCCTTTCCCCCACACTGCTACTGCACCTCAGAACTGTACAATACATACACGTGTACGTACTGTATTGTGTCGACGCTCTCGCTCTCTGTATCGCCATGCCGAATTTCCAGTTCGGGAATCACTGACAGAGTCAGTTGGGCGGTTAGTGTGCATACCTACCCACGATCACTTTAGCTTCGTCGTAACCCACCATCTCGAGGTTGCCCGAACGACACTCCAGCCTCCAGGAAGGTGCAGCACGCCGGCACCGGTTCTCGATCCGTACCGCTGAGATACACAGTAGATGCACGCATAGGCGGGTAGGGGAGGCAGACAATGCAGCGAGTGTAAGCATGCCCATACAGCTTTTTATTGTGACACTGGCAGAAAGAGGACAGCCGAGCTCCGCGGTCATACAACGTGCCTGGCCTAGTCTAGAGATCTAACTACCGGTGCCGCGCTACTCAGCCCTAACGCAATACGCGCTACGTGCACAGGTTCAGACACAGGTCGCTACGCGATGTCATCATCTGAGGACTGCGAGCTAGTGCGAGCTCGTTCTAACATTGTCAATGATAGAACGGATGGTAGTCGGTTCGCTCAGCGGCAGTTGGTATATCCGCGCCTATTCAACGTGGTTGGCACTGTTGCCGTCCTGTCCCGCCCAGGGCTTTGTGGCTGAGACTCGCGGCTAGCTAACCTAGTGTCGCGCAGCAAAAGGGACCGGGGGCAAGACCGGGTGCCATGTCGCAGACCCGCACATTCAAGGGCAGGTTGCACGAGACAAGACAAGAGATGCACCTCGTCAGTGTATGCTCCCATTTTCGGTTTCATCGCTTGTTCCCATCTCGGAGTACATGCTCATCGGGTCGCCGAGACTCGCCTCGAGCGATAGTAGTGTACCGCATCCTGCATCTTTTCTGCATGGGTCATATTTGACATGCGGTGCCCAGGTGGTCAGCGAGCGCATTCATCAGCATAACCCCTGTCCATCCAACCTTGTCCCCCTTTTTAGCTTAACCTTGTTCCCTGGTGGGCTGACCAGGGGTTTAGGGGCACACAGACTCAGCAGCCCTCCATTAAGCTACCCCAGTAGTACTGTACAGTACATACCTACCAGGGGTATGCGCTACTAAGCCTCCCTGCAACGCTCTGCAAAGGCTTGCCAAGCGTGTACAGATTGATCTGCCATACGGATTCCATGATCCCATTCCGTCCTCCTTGCGGCCTTGTGGGCCGTCTGAACATACATACATACAGACCGTGGTAGCAGCGCCGCAGACGTGCCGCGCTGTAGTACCCCAGTCTGAATGTTTTCGGCTCCCGACGTTCACGGAGATGGAAGCCCATCGTCGCTTCGGGTCCGGCACTGTGGCCGTCTCTTCCCCTCCCACCTTTACTCCCCGGCTAGCTGAGGCTTTGTTTGCTTGTCTTCGCCCCCCTCGCGCCTGTGTTGCTCCCCCATCTTGTTTCTGGACCTTAGTCCCCCGCGTTGCGTCGCGCTGCTGCATCCGCGCGTGTACTGCGTGTATGTACTGCGTGTACTCCCGTACCTGACCCAAGCTTCTGTCACCTCTGCCGGTTGTTCCCATCTCGGCTACTACGTACCTTTCCACCTCGTTTCAGAAGTCCAGCAGGGCTGTGTATATTCCCAACTTGGCATCCCGCTTCCATTTTGAGGGACCACCCGCCGCCCGTCATGGCTAGCCTCAGCTTTATAATGGATGTCACCGACGACCACCAGCCGGTCGCTGGCCGTCAGCCCCTTGATAAAAGGGACAAGGGCGCGAGCAAACCAGCCAGTGCCGGTCCGCTCCGTGACGCTCCATCCATCCCGCAAGCAGGCCCAAGACATGCTAGTAGTCGCGACCTGCACTCTGCCGAGAAGGATATCGACCAGACCGCCCCCGCCGGCCAGACCAAAACGCGCAGTGCACCCTCACGGCGCGCCAGGCCCGCTGCAGCAATATCAGGGCCACAAAAGACAAAAGCCGAGACAGCAGCCGCTCCCACAGTCTCATCGCCATCACCATCCTCACCATCATCCTCATCCTCATCCTCGTCCTCGTCCTCGTCCTCGTCATCACCGCCCCTGCCAGCATCTACGGCGCGGCAATCGAAGAGGCGCCGCAAGACAAGCGACGAGTCGATGGACCGGACACGTTATGGCCCCGCCGGCCCATCGCCATCCCCGGGCGGGGGCTTACAAAGACCAATGCCTCTTCATCCGTCGGCTGCCGCTCAGTTCGTTCCGAGGATCACGCCTAAGACGAGGCGGGTTAGCAAGGCAAAGAAAGGCTTGCGGGTTCATGTCTGCAACATCTGCAGCACGCCCAAGGTAGGCAGGCTATGAGGAATACTCCGTCTTCCTTCTGTCCGTGTACTGACCGGAAGCATGGCAGACCTTCACGCGGGCAGAGCATCTACGGTGAGCTTCACACCCGCCCAAACACCACTCCAGCACACACGGGGTCTCTAACGTTCCCAGGCGTCACCAGTTAGGCCACGGAGAACCGCAGTTCCAGTGTTCCGGTTGTGGGAAAGCCTTCCACCGGGCTGACCTGCTGGCACGACATCAGCAAAAGCAGTACGTCCGTCCCATTCCAACCCCGTCTGTTGCGCAGGGTGCTCTCTCATGCAAAGTGAATATATTAATATTTCGATGACCGTTACAGTGAGCACGACGGTGACGGGGTTTCAAGGTCCGGTTCCATCCAGCAGAGCCCTCGCCCTTCTCCGCGAGCCCCTTCTTTCCAGTCTCAGCCTTCACCTCGGACCCCGGCCGTGGCCGTGGCCGTCTCTCCTTCGTCGGCCCATATCCCGCCCACACCCAATGCCGCCACGGGGCATCAGCCCGGCTACAGGCCACCCAGTAGCTCTTCACGGGACTACAACAACGCCTACACGCTCTCCCCGACGATTTCCGTTGTCAGCCCGGCGCAGCCGTCGTCGCTGACGGGTTGTTATCAAAGTCACGGGGGAAACAATCAACCGAGGACCGGGCCGGGGCCCATCTACGTGGTCACCCAGGGGCTCCAGCCGCCAGGCGTACAGCCGACAGAGCTGCCAGACTTGCATGACGCGTCACCATGGCCATCCTCGGCATCGGATAGCGCGTATTCGACATCGGCATCAGAGATCTCTCGGAATCCGCGACCTTGGACGGGCGGCCACCGGTCGCCGACGGCTGGCTGGACTACTCCGCAGCGACCCTCGCCGTATGCCAGCACGGCATCGCGCGGCCTGCAGAATTCCGGAGCCAGAGTCCGGGGTACTCCGGCCCCCCTGTTCGTCGACTCGTATGCGAACTCGCAGCCTTCGGAGCATCAATTCGGGGACATGCTCAACGTGCCAACGTCGATAAGCTTTTCTGCTTCTCCCACGGCAGGCGGCCACCATCCCCCGCTGAGCGCATCGACGGACAGCACTGTCCGTTCGCACCACCACCGCCGCCGCCAACACAGCAGCTCTATCTCATCTGTCCGTGGCCGGAGCTCCCCGCTTGCTGCGCCTCCTCACCCGAACGAGACACTCGTGGTGCCTGCGCCTGCCGCCCCGGGCAGCCTGAACCCACTGCTCGGTCTTGAACGGCGAAAGGCAGTCGTGATGGAGGGCTTAATGGGACCGCAGGCCGCAATGGGGGGCCTGGATGTGCTGGACGGCCTTGCCATCGGGTACGGCGCCGGCGGGAGCAACGCAGCCAGCCCTGCGGCCGATAACGTCAGCCACAGTAGCGGCATTGTCGCTGAACTCGACCTGGCCATGGGAGGCGGCTGTGCCTTGGGGACAGCCTCATCAATAACCATCCCCTTGCCGGGACCGGTCCGAGCCGCCGTTCCGCGGTACCTGGAGATCTACTGGGCACAGATCGATCCGGTCCTGCCGCTCGTCCACCGGCGGCTGTTCGAGGCGGCTCCGGAAGACGTGCTGAGGTGTGCCATGGCCGCTGTGGCGACGCAGCATCTGAACAGCAAGGACGACCGCAACAGGGGAAACCAGCTGCATGAATTTGCATGGCAGGAGGTGAAGCGGGTGAGTGACGGAGACCCACGCCAGTGAACTCAACTACACACTTTGAATATTATATCCATAAACGGTGTGCTGACGACAAGCCACTACTACTTGTGAGTGGCAACAGATGGCGCGGTGGAGCCTCCAGACCATGCAAGCCATCCTCTTGTGCGAATATTTTGCGCGCTTCCGGGGCCGCAAGGCTGTGACGCGACCGTCGAAGCCGTTCGAGTCTCTGTACATGAGGGTGAGTGCTCTGCGGTCCTTTCCTGTCGCGCCGTCCTCTACTCTTGGCGGGGCCGGCGGACTGTGGCTCGTCGACACCACCGCCTGGTCCCCCGCTTCTTCCCCTGCGTCCTCGCCTACTATTTCTTCCCCTTGTGACTCCATCACACCAACCACCAGCACAATGTCTCCTTTTGCGCTGCGCCACTTGAGCCCGCTGCAGACCACCCCCTGGGGCAGTTTCCCTTCTTCCGGGGTTCGATCATCGGCTTCTTCTTCACCTTTCGGGAATTCGTCTCTCCCCTCGCCGGATCCTTTCGCGGTCCCTGACCTGCCCGCTTCTCTGGGCACTAATTTTAATCTTTACTTCTCTACTCCTAATTCTCGCTCGGCCCGGGCGGGACCGTCATGGTCCGCTCTCTTTGCTCCCGATCCTCCCAAGCCGGCGTCGGCACCGGCGCCTCCTCTTTCTCTTACGGGCCCTCCCGCCCAGACTCCGGGGCAGACCTACTCACACTGTGTTCCGAATCCACAGGCCCTGTACCAGAACCCGGTCCCCTGGGACGACGCCGTGGTCGCAGCCGGTGAGCGGAACCGCTCCATCCAGGAGCGGTGGCACCACTGGATCGACGCCGAATCGCGCCGTCGCCTCTTCGCCGCCTGTCTCTTCGCCGACAGCCATGCTGCCATCTACCACCAGCAGCGGCGCGCCGAAGACAGCGAAGCCGAAGTGTACGCCGCGCTCCAGCCAATCCCCCTTTTTGGCCGCGGCGCCGCCTTGTGGCAAGCTTCCTCGGCAGAGGAATGGGCATCTACTCTCTCGGCCGACCCGGGCGCGCTTGACCACCCCGAGCATGTCCCCCCCGTCGAACATCTCAGCGCCGAGGACATAGAGCGGCGCCCTCCCATCGACCGCATGGTGATCCTCGGCGTCCTTGCCCTACGCCTTCCGCGCCGCCAGCGACTACCGCCAGCGGCTGCCCTGTCTGCGAACAACTCCCCGGCGCCGGAGATGGACCCTCATCCCACCCAGCATCTGGGCGGCCAGTTCGGCCCCGAGCAGCGACCCTCCTTCCGCCGCAATCACCAGACCGGATCCCAGTGCGAGAGCCTCTACGACTTTGAAGCCGAGGAGCGCATCAGCGCCCTCTTCCCCAACTGTCCCGTGGCCAACACCTACCTCGCCCTGCACCACACGCCGCTGCGCGACCTGCTCGCCGTCAGCGGCGACTCGTGGGTCTTCTCGCAGAAGGTCCTGCCCGCAACGTCCTTCCACGAGCACCAGAAGCGCGTCAAGGCCTGGGTGACCTCCTCCGTCGCCAGCGGCAGCAGCCTCGCCGGCCTGAGCGTGGCCCGCGCCACCGTCTACGCCGCTCGCGCCATCCTCGCCTTCCTCCACCGCCACGACCCCATCGTCAACCTGGCCGCCCCCTGGGCTACCGACATGTCCGATTACTGGGCAATGTATGTCTGCGCGCTGATCTGCTGGGCTTTCGGACACCAGCACAACCACAGCACCAGGCAGCGGAGCGGTAGCAGCTGTGCCGGCAGTCGGGGTAGCGCAACCACCACCACCACCACCACCAACACTGGTACCGCGGCGACCACTAGCAGCAGCATGGGGAGCAGTCCTGTGCCCACCCATGCTGCTTTGTCCTCGTCCCGACCCGCGAGTGTCATGTCGGTATCGGAGGCGGCGGCGGCTGACGACGAGGCGGTGATCTGGCTCAGTATGGTGGCCGCCGAAGGGATCAGGCTTGAGGAAGTGATGCGGATGCGTGAGCGGCGTGAGGCGATCGGCGTTGTCGGTCTGGTGAGGCGCAGGCTGGAGAGCGACTGTCTGGGCGCCAGGAGCAGGCTGTATGTGGATGCGGTCGGGGTGCTGAGGAAGCTTGAGGAAGGGGTCGACTGGAAGTGGTTCTGAGATGCAGCCCGCGAGTCCTCCTCGCTGCTTCCGACCCCCTTCCTTCCCACCACACCACAACGTCCTTCCTGTCTGCGCTTTTCGTTTCTCCTCCTCCTATACTCACCGCTCGCCATTCCCTTACACCACTCTCAACCCTCATACTCTTCGCTTCAACACCCTCATCGACAGCCCTTCCCAGTCCACTCGTTTCCGACAGTCTCAACCGGCCGCTGGATCTAATGGGTAGTAAAACGAGCACACACTCAATCGATGGCGTATACACGGAAGGCCATTTTCACTTTCTCCTCTTTTCTTGTTCCTCTTCTACTGTCGGCGAACGGTCACTTACGCGATATGATGATGATGCCTGGGCACGGTAACACAAAGGAGCTGGTCGGTTTTAGTCCATTCGTTTCTTTTTTGACTTTTTTTCGTCTTTTCTTTCTCTTTGAAGCGAAGGGCGCGCATTCTTACACTTCTTTGCTTCTTTATTATATACTTATATCATGGTGGGACGACTGTGACGGGCTTGTCTCTTTTAACTCTTCTCTTAAGTTTTCTTCTTTCTAGGCAGCCTTACTGTCAGCTTTATACTGTACTTTTATGTCCTTCTTCTACACGGCTTTTGCGTCTTGTTATGTACTGTACTTTGTTTACTTTCGGAGCAACGAACGGAAGGGGTTTAGGAGCAGATAATCTAATGATAGATGAGAACATAATGATAGAAACGAAGAGGCCGAGTAAAGCAGGAAGAGAGAGGGCAATGGTATTGAAGTTTCTGTGATACACCATTCGTATCCGGCTCCGTTCGCGCATATTGGTGGTGAGCACATCCAATCCGTCACATGCATAGCGGTGGCTTTCTTCCTTTTGGCCACGTCACAGAATGTTAATCGGCGGTTTAGGGAACATCCTACCTTTATCCTCTTTTCTCTATATATCTGATGTATGGTATCTTGATGCAGCATGTGTTAAAACATGCACCCACACACCCACGAGTTGATCAAAATGCTGCCTTGCACGCCCAGCCCCAAAGACATAACGCCAAAAGACCCCCCCCCCCCCCCCCCCCCCAAGGAAGAATGTGAGCTTGTAGGGTTTTTATTTTACCCACAAGCTTTAGAATAAGCCATCGATCTCACCCGTCTCGCCGTCGACATCGACGTTCAGGTAACCCGGGGCAGTAGGCAGGCCGGGAATAGTCTGGATATCAGCAGCCAGAGCGTAGAGATAGCCAGCGCCAGCAGCCATGCGGACATCGCGTATGGGCACTGTGAAACCCGTTGGGGCACCCTTGAGGTCCGGGTCATGACTGAGCGAGTACTGCGTCTTAGCAATGCAGATGGGCAGGTTGCCGAAGCCCTGGCGCGTGTACGTGTCCACCTTGTTCTGGGCGAGCTCGCTGAACTCGACAGCAGCAGCGCCGTACATCTCGCGGGCGATCTTCTCGATGCGCTCCTGCACAGTGCCCTCGAGGCTGTAGAGAAGCTTGAAATCCTTGGGCTTCTCAGCCGCGGCAATGACGGCGTTGGCAAGGTCAACGGCGCCCTTGCCACCTTCAGCCCAATGGTTGGCCAAGACTGCGTCCTCGGCACCGGCTTTGATGGCTTCCTCACGCACAACATCGATCTCGGCCTGGGTGTCGGTCGAGAACTTGTTGATGGCGACCACAACCGGGACGCCGTATGACCTGGCGTTGGCAACATGCTTCGCCAGGTTGACACATCCCTTCCGCAGCACCTCAACGTTCTCCTCCCTGTACACGGGGTCAAGCGGAGCACCTGGAGAGATGGCAGGACCACCGCCGTGGACCTTGAGAGCGCGAATGGTGGCCACGACGACCACCACGTCGGGCACAAGCCCCGATGTACGGCACTTGATGTTGAAGAAGCGCTCGCCGCCCATGGTGAAGTCGAATCCGGCTTCAGTCACCACGAAGCCAGCCTTGGAAGCATAGTCCTCATCTGGCTCCGTGCCGGCAAGCTTCAACGCCATCTTGTCGGCCAGGATGGAGCTGTTGCCGATGCTGATGTTGGCGAAAGGGCCCGCGTGCACGAAGACGGGCGTGCCCTCCAGACTCTGCATTAGGTTAGGTTTGATGGCGTCCCGCATGAGAGCAGTGAGCGCGCCGCCGGCGCCAAGGTCATCGCAGGTAATGGGCTCGCCGCTCCTCGAGCTGGCAACGACCATCCTGCCGAGACGCTCCCGCATATCGGCCAAGCTGGTGCTCAACGCCAGAATCGCCATGCACTCGCTAGCCACAGAGATATCAAAGCCAGTCTGGCGGCTGTGGCCCTTCTCTGTGGGCGCGTTTCCAACCACGATGCCGCGCAGATGCCTGTCATTGACATCTAGGACGCGCCGCCAAGTGATGGTATCCGGGTCGATGTCAAGACGAGCAAAGCGACCAATCTCGTCTTCGGTCAGCGAGTCGGGATCCGTCTTGTCGATTCCCAGCTTCTTCAACCGGCGCAGCATGACGGGCGCGAACGTTCTCTTGCCGTTCTTGACCGGCACCAGACGCCTGTACAGGGCGGCATCCTTCTGCGTGCTCTCGTGGAACATGCGGGTGTCAATGGCGGCAGCCAGGAGGTTGTTTGCGGCCGTGATGGCATGGATATCACCAGTCAGATGCATGTTGAACTCGTCCATGGGAATCACCTGGCTGTAACCGCCGCCAGCTGCACCACCCTTGATGCCAAAGGTCGGGCCCTGGCTAGGCTGCCGCACGTTTGCGAAGGCGACGCGACCGACATGCGCCCCGAGAGCCTGGGCAAGACCCATGGTAGTCGTGGACTTGCCCTCCCCCAAAGGAGTAGGCGTGATTCCCGTGACTACGACATATCGGCCATCCCGCCGGTGGCCGAGGCGCTTCAGGAGGCTGAGGTCGACCTTGGCCTTGTACGCGCCATATGGCTCCAACTCTGACGGGGAGATGCCAATCTCCTTGGCGATCTGGGTGACAGGTTTGGGTGCCTGTGCTCGGGAAATGGCGATATCGGAGGGAACAGGGTCCGAGAGCTTGAGATGCAGGGGAACAATGCGCCTCTGCTTTTCCGCCTCAAAGGATTGCGTTGCTGCGTCGACAACGTTCTGAAGGAGCATAGCGACGGTCATAGGCCCCACCCCGCCAGGGACGGGAGTGATGTGCGAGGCGACCTGGGATGCCGACTCGAAGTCGACATCGCCCACCAGACGCTGGCCCGACTTCTTGGTGGCATCGGGGATATAGTTCGTCCCGACGTCAATGACAACGACACCCGGCTTGAGCTGCTCGCCCCTGACGAAGCCCGGCTTTCCGATGGCCACGACCAGCACGTCGGCGTCCTTGAGGTACTTGTCCAGGTCCTTTGTCTTGGAGTGGCAGATTGTGACGGTGGCATCAGCATTCTTGAGAAGATAGCTGACAGGGCTGCCGACGATGTCACTTCTCCCAAGGACCACGGCGTTCTTGCCTGCCAGCTCGACGCCAGCCTCCTCAAGAAGTATCATGACACCCTTGGGGGTGCAGGGGACAAAGAAGGGACGCCCTCCACGCTTGGCCAACTCGCCGATGTTGTAGGTGCCAAAGCCGTCGACATCCTTCTCACTCGCCACTGCCGACGTGACGTTGTACTCGGAGACATGCTTGGGGAGCGGCAGCTGCACCAGGATGCCGTGCACAGACGGGTCGTTGTTGAGGGCGACGACGCGGGCAACCAGCTCGGCTTCGGTGGCTGCATCGTCGAACTTGATCAGTTCGCAGGCAATACCGCACTAGAGGTTCCCAAGTCAGACGAGATGCCGCGCGATTCGCATTGGCCCTATGTACGGTGGCTTACCTCCTCCGCGGCCTTCAACTTCATGCGCACATAGGTAGCTGCACGCCATCTAGCATCAGCATCAAGGGTTCGTCGCCCTGGCACGGTTCCATGGCGGGGTAACGGCACATACAGGAGTCGGATCGATCACCCACTGCGGCGTTGGTGGCCAGTTAGTCAACGGATACTGAAAATTGATTATGGACCCCAGTTCCTGTCCTATCCTCGCAGCGGGAATGCAACGCACCTTGGATGATTTTGAGGCACGGCTGGAAGCGCGGATTGATGCCCTTCTTCTCTGCGATCTCGGCCTGCAACCGCTCCCGCACCTTCCGGGCAATCGCCGTTCCGTCAATCTTTGTCGCGGCCATGGCTGCAGAGCTGGAGTAGGCCCCGAGAATGGTCGCGGGCGGAAGGTGGTGGTGAGCACGCAAAAGAGCGCTGGTGTGACTCCTCCTGAACCTGCTGCTGTTATCAGGGTTCGGACTGAAGATTGATCGAGCCTCGCGAGTGGTGGGGCGCCGCGGGGCAGCGGAGCTCCCGCCAGCCGAAGAGGGCCGCCGCAAGTCGGGCCCGCTGATCTTGTTGTTGACTTCCCCTGACTCACAAGCTGCTGGCCATGTGCCTGCTGCAACGTCTGCAGTTGTCCGTTGGCCTCTTGTCGCGATAGCGGTCGAGAGATTCTGATGACCTGCCAGGCCAGCCCTCCTCCAATGGAACCAGCTTGTTCGCCTGGCGCTCTGCGTAGGCCCCGCACTCGGAATCCTCCGTACAAGGCGCGTGAGAGTCATTGCTTATGTGACTCTGCAACACTGCTGTTGGGGATGATTCCTTCCTCGGACTGGGCGTTACACACCCGATCCAACGCACGCCAATTGGTCTGAAGGGATCGAGGGTTGGACAAAGGGTCAGATCCGGATCCTTTCCTGAATAACTTCAAGGAGCCTGCTGCGGTGGGGACCGGTTCGCTGAGTCACTGCTCCCTTCCCATCCATCAGGGATCGAAGATCGCGCGAAAGCTACACGGGGCACAACAAGCTTGGTATATGGTGGAGACATAACAATAGATTAGGCGAGTGATCATACTGGCCGAGTGTTCTCCGACAACTTCATCCGTGTTCGTCATCGATCAGGGGTATTAGACAGGTGTTTTTCGAAGCGCAAAGGCCGAGAAGAGTTGTGTGGATCGGGACCAGAAATATCACCCAAGCTGTTGACAGCTTGACACTGGCCCGTCGCGGCGCTGTTCTGCCGTGCTAAGAACGGAAAGGTGTCCGCTTACGCCGTAACGAGCGATGCAACGGCCTGAGCCGGCCGATCATTCAAAAACTCATTTGTAGGCATTAGACAAGTTCTTGAGGTTTCAATGGGTTGCGTTGCTTGCCATTACGATGTGAATGTGTAGATGGTCATAATGATTGAAGAGGTATTGTACATAAGGTAGGTGTACAATACAATACATACGTACTGAATACAGTACGGCGGAATTTAGTACATCAGAGCACGTGCTGTCTTGGCGAGCCACATTCGACGTCGACCTAAACGAGAAGGCGGTCAGGCAGCCATGTCACAGAAATTCGAAACCACCACTGACCACATGGAATGACTCCATAGCTGGTGGGGCACAGCACTCACCCCGCGATGGCTGCAGTTTACTGTACTACTAGTAGTATTGTTAGATTCATCAGATCTCGTTAACTGCTTTCCACATTCCAGGCCTGCGGCTGCCAAGAATCCGTGCCGAGTTGTCTTGTACGACGACGTTTTGCTAGTCAAGTTTCATGTAATATCCGTAATGTCGACGCAAACTCTCCAGCAAGGCCCCACGTTTTCCCAAGAGAGCAGTGCGGTTGTTACCCGCGCCGGTGTGGCGATGCTCTGTTGCCATATATGATTGGCTAAAGCTACAAATGTGGGCTCCATGTAAATCGCTTTGCGCCGCGCACAACCTCTGCGAAAAATCAGCCTGGCGGAGCAGCATTCTTTGAAGAGAAGCCGCCCCGCAGTAGCCTTCAAAGACGATCCCGCGTTGATATCTGCATCTCCCCTGCAACAAAAGCCGGAAACTATCCAAACAAGACGATACGAAACGCAGTAGGAGGTCTCGACTGACCACATCCGCCAAAAATGAGGCCTATCCTGTTGGCGGGCCACGAACGTGCCTTGACCCAGATCAAGTTGGTTGCACCGGATACCCCAGGAGAGTGAGCTTTGGGGCTGACCTCCTCACCCTCTACAGATATAACCGCGAAGGCGACCTTATTTTCTCCGTCTCTAAGGATCAGATAATCTGTGTATGGTTCTCCCACAACGGCGAACGGCTCGGTACATATCGCGGCCACCAAGGTGCCATCTGGACCATTGATGTCGACCCCACAAGCACCATCCTCGCCTCAGGGTCTGCCGATAACACAATCCGTCTCTGGGATGTCAAGACGGGGAAGTGTCTCAAGACGTGGGACTTCCCTACGGCTGTGAAGCGGGTCGAGTTCAACGAGGATGGTACCAAGCTGCTGGGCGTGACGGAGAAGCGCATGGGACACATGGGCACGATCGTTGTCTTGGATATCAAGGTCGACGTCGAGGCTGAGCAGAGCGACGAGAAGGCTTTAACGATTGTGTGCGAGGAGAGCAAGGCGACGGTAGCTGGGTGGAGCTACCTCAGCAAGTACATCATCGCCGGCCACGAGGACGGCTCAGTGTCCCAATATGACGGCAAGACGGGCGACCTGATCTTCAACATCCCGATCCACGAATTGAACCAACAAATCACCGACCTCCAGTGGTCTCAGGACCGGACCTACTTCATCACAGCGTCAAAAGACAAGACCGCCAAGGTAAGCATTACACTAGCTAATAGACCAGCAAAGCATTGCTGACGCTCCTGCAGCTTGTCACCGCCAAAGACCTCGAAGTCCTCAAGACCTACGTCGCCGACACTCCGCTCAACAGCGCGGCGATCACCGTCAAGAAGGACTTCGTCATCCTCGGTGGTGGCCAGGCTGCCATGGATGTCACCACGACGTCGGCGAGGCAGGGCAAATTCGAGGCCCGCTTCTACCACAAGATCTTCGAGGACGAGATCGGGCGTGTGCGCGGCCACTTCGGCCCGCTCAACACGGTGGCGGCTGACCCGACGGGCAAGGGATACGCGAGCGGTGGTGAGGATGGTTACGTGCGCGTGCACCACTTCGACAAGGGCTACTTTGACTTTATGTACGAGGTGGAGAGGGAGAGGCAAAACAAGCTAGCGGCGGGCAATGCTTGATGCGCTTCATACGGTGGAATGAAGTTCTGGCGATGATGGTTCGGCATTTACAATGGCGTTCAGGGACACAAATCTGGGGCGAGGGATCACGGTGGAAGGGATGAAAGGGGGGAATTCCCTTTGGAAGTAAAAGAAAGGGTTCTTTTCGGGTTGTCAGTTCGTGTACCTCGGCGGCCCGTGTTCCTCAGCCGCGATATGGTTACCGCTACGTTGGCTTATTTCAGCCGGTCGCCTGGTTGTGTGTCCATGTGATGCTCAAACTCGGCGGCGGGTATGCGAAACAGCGGCTGACGGAGCAGCGAAAAGAATGCAGTGAATCTGACGCATATCTAGACGCTAAACGACGATTTTTCTTGTTCTTCCTTACCGGGACCTCGTGTATCAAGTCTTATTAGCCATGGCTTTCGCTGTTCCGGGGCGTTTCTTCAGATTGCGTACAGCAGCAAGCAAACTCCCAAACGCCTTCACTTCCACTCTAGTACACGCCGGTAACATCTCCATCCTCCCCGACCGTGTCAGAGACCTACGCCCAGTTGACGTGGACAAGTAGAAAAAAATAAAGAAATGATCTGTTGCCCACCCAACCTACCAGCTCATCATCAATTCTTGCAGTCTATATCCCAGACATGGCCCTCTGCAACCCTTTCTTGTTGCTCACGTCTATTTCTTCTTGCCTTTCGATTTGGCCTTTGAGCCAGCGGCATTCGACGTTGTAGACGTGACACTTGACGCCCGTGAAGGGGAAGTCGAATTGGCCTTGCTGCCCGTTGCCGACTTGACGTTGTCAAGAGCCTTATTCTGTGTTGTTTGTAAGCCCGTGGGATTATACAGTCTGGAAGACGGTTATTGCTCACCTTCACGCCATTCGCCTTGGTCTTCTTCTTAGCTGGAGCTAAGCCGAGGATGCTGTCCTCGTCATTTTCTTCGTCATCAGGTTCCCGCTTGAGTTTTCCGTTCGCGCCGTTGACCTTGGTAGTGCTGACATCTTCAAACTCCTTGACAACCGTAGTGAGGAGAGTGTTACAACGGCGGCTCAGCTCGGTCGGGGTCCGACTCAGGAAAAACCAATCGAAACGGAACAGCGGGCTCTCGCGGATCTCATCACGGATCTTTTCGTAGATGCCCTCCGAATCCACGCCGTACTTGTCCAACAGCACGAGCAGGAACCGGTCCTCCTCCTCCGTGTATACCTTCTTGTTGGTGGTCGAGACAGAGTAGTTGATCTTGAGCTGTTGCAGTGGGACACGGTACTGGCTCATCTTCTTGCGCAACATCTTGCGCTGTTGCTCAATCTTACGCATCCGCTCTTCCCCATCCTCGATGATCTTGATGTACTTGTTGTAATCCGCAATTTCGGTGTACCGTTGCCAGAACACCTTAGCATACGCCTTGACTTCTGCGGGCGTCTTGCTGTCAACCTCCATGGCGATCCCCTCGTAGTCATGCCGCCCATACTTCCCAGATCCGTTGATGAATTGCTGGAAATCGCGCCGGTTCCAGTCCCCAAACCCTTGTTGCGCCAGCCTCTGCTTTTCCTCCTGCTCTTCTTCGGTGAGCGGGGTAGCGTTGTCGATCTCCTGCTGGTCAAGGGCTCTCTCGGCTTCGCGTTCTGACAAGTTGTCGTCGTCGCCTTCCGGGAGGGGAACCTTGTACCCGATCTCTTTGCGGTAGTATGCCGTCTCTCTATCCTGGAGGTCGCGGAGCCTGGGCGGATAGAACTGGTAATCGTGAACCGGGACTTGTTTAGGAGCACGTGGCGCTTTCGGCTTAGCCTCGGCAGTCCGGCCTCCGGTATGTAGGGCCTGCTTATAGTACTTGTCGATCGAGTAGATCTGCTCCTTGCGTTCGCGCTTGGCAGGGTTGATCCAGTTGACGCCAATATCCTTCTTGCGAGCCGCAAAATCCTCGCCATTCCATTCATAGGCCGACTCGGACGTAAACTTCTGGAGGTCATCGATACCGAGTTTCTCGTACCTGGCATTGAGTTCCTTGGTGCGTGACTCGCCAGCCTGAAGGATCGCATCGATATCATCGTCGTTCAGGTCGCCACCCTTTTCTGCCAATGTTCCAAATGCACCCTTAGTCTGGAACACCTTCTCCGCACCGTGCTGGATCATGGACAGGAGTTCGTCCTTGTTGGCAGCGGCTTTGGCGGCGACTTGGGCGCGGCCTTGTTGGATGACGAGCTGATCGAGGCGCAGCTTTTGTGCCGCTCGCTCCAGAACCTTCTCCTCAATCGCATTGTCCGTGACAAAACGGTACACGACTACCTGTTTTGTTTGCCCGATACGGTGAGCCCGGTCCATGGCCTGCAAATCAGCTTGCGGATTCCAATCGCTGTCATAGAGTATGACGATGTCAGCTGTTGTCAGGTTGATGCCGAGACCACCGGCTCTTGTTGTCAGTAAGAAGATGAACTTCTCCGAGTCCGGTTTGTTGTAATCGTCAATAGCGGCGATACGGTCCTCGTGGGCCGTGCTGCCGTCAATGCGACAGTACTTATAGCCCCTAAACACGCAATAGTCCTCCAAAATATCCAGCAAACGGCTCATCTGGGAGAAGATAAGCACGCGACTGCCCTGTCTCTGCAACCTCTTCAGTAGCTTATCGAGGACAAGCATCTTGCCCGAATTGTACACAAGGTGTTCGTCCGTAGTATACGGCGGGCCAGGCTCGGCGCCCTCGAAAAGATAGGGGTGGTTACAGCACTTGCGAAGCTGCATGACGATGTTGAGCAGCCGTGTTTTGGACTCGCGTTTTCCACCCGCACCGTTGACAGCGTCAATATCCTTCTCGAGAATCTTTTGGTACCACTTCACCTGCATCTCCGACATGCCAATGTAGACATTGACCTCCTTCTTGGGAAGCAAGCTTTTCTCCACATCACTCTTGACGCGACGAAGCAGGAAGGGTCGGAGCACGCGATGTAACTGCTGAACGACTGTATCCTGGTCCCTGCCCTGGCCTGAGAACCACTGATCGAAAGCCTCAGAGTCTCCGAATACATCGGGAAGTAAGAAGTTGAGGAGCGCCCAGAGTTCGTGTAGGTTGTTTTGTAGAGGCGTTCCGGTAATCAGGAGGCGGTTCCTCGAGTTGAACATGCGGATGACCTGAGCCAAAGACGACTCTTCGTTCTTGATACGGTGCGCCTCGTCGATAATGATGTACTCCCAAGCAAACTTCCTCAGATGGGCCTTTTCGCGAAGGATCATTTCGTAGCTGGTGATGCAGACATCGAAATTCTCGTCAATCAACCGATCATTGATGAGCTGATTTCGCTCCTCTTTGGCGCCCTGTAGAACGAGCACGTTGACCTCGGGAGTCCACTTGGCAAATTCTCGCTTCCAGTTATCCAAGGTCGACTTGGGCACTGTGATGAGATGAGGGCCCGTGATGCCCATGATGTGGCGCAAGTAACCCAAGAAGGATATCGTCTGCAAGGTCTTGCCCAGCCCCATTTCATCGGCAAGAATGCCCGAGATGCCGTTCTCATGGAGGGAGATCAACCAGTTCAGGCCGGCAATCTGGTAGTCTCTCATGGTGCCGTGGATGAAGGCAGGTGACTCGCGGAAGACTGTTTCGGCGGACCCTCCTTGCTTCTCGTCCTTGAGTAGTTCAGCGTCTTCTTCGGCTTCGGTCCGGCGACGCCTCTCGCTAGTCGCGCCGCCTTGGCGACCACCCGCTTTCTTCTGCCTCGTTGCCTCTTCATTCTGGCGATCGATTTCGGCCATGATCTCGCGGATTTTGGGATCCGGGTTCGTTTCGATGAAGTGGCGAAAGAGGTCGGTCAGGCCTAGAAGATAACGGAATCGGCGCAGTGTGTCATCCTCCTATGCAACTGTAAGCTGTGTATTTTCACCTTTAACACGGCTGACGTCTCCCACCTTCGATTCCCCAAGCCTGTCGTGTTTCTTGCCAAATATACTCCTACGCAGCTGGTTCGCTTCTGAACGCTTCTTACGGCCATCGACGATGGGTTCGCCGACAACGCTGCTGGCCGTAGTGTTCGGATTCGTGTCCGAGTCGGTATAGTCGGGGGTCTCGTCGACATCCTAAGCAATGGTTATCAACTGATCCCGTTACCACTATCAAGGGACAAGCACTTCACGGGTGATCTTACCATATCGTCGCCCGGCTGCGAGGTATGAGTTGGTTCAGGCGCATCGACCATTGACGCGTCGGTATCATTGCCACTTTGCCTCGAACGGGGAGCCATGGTTGGCTGCGACGACCTCGTGGAGAGGGTCAAGATGGGGTACGCGACTGAGACGCGCTCGCGCGTATAAGTGATTTGAGTGACAAGCAGCGGCCTTCCGGTTGTTGCGGGTGGGGTTACTGTGATAGATGCCAGCCTCGTGGCTATGGTTCGTGATAGAACGGAGGCAGGCTCGGTCAATGTGGTTTAGAGATTGGGTGGGTGCAAGGCAATGAATTTCGGGACTGGAGGTAAGTTGAGGAACCCTCAGACCTCGTTGCCGATTAGCCAATCATAGGCAGGATAAGGGGAAGGGGATTTAACGGCGGACGGTTCAGCGCCTAGGCTGCACGGAGTAAGGCTGTAATAACGTCACGGTATTTACCGAAAACCTGGGTCTGAAGCTTGCCCTTGTGGCGCACCAACAACTTTCTTTTCAAAGTTAAAAATACCATTTTGAGGCTGAGTTTGTACTAGAGGAGCAACATCGCTTCGTCAGTAAGTGCTTCAACCAAGACACTATATAAGCTTATATACCTACGTGTAGGTACTTGTGTACCGGGTTTATTAGGCGTCAATCTCGCCGGACGTTCCAAAACTTAAACGAAGTGGGCACACAATAGCTAATAAGGTACCTACTAGTACTAGTATCTGACTATGCTACTCAACAGGAACATCGTTAAGAACGATAACCCAAAGACAACTCTAGAACCGCGCTACCTTCCCACGTGCTTCCCCTTCTCGCCATTAGTACGCAAATTGAGCCCCATTGCTCTTTTACCTTCGGCAACTCATACTTCATCGCTTTTATTGCTCCCACCACATATTTCTTACGTCTCAGACAGCTATTGTGCAACTGTCGACTTCTATCAGGTCCATTATAATGCTCAACATATAGTCCACAGTAGGGGCGAATTGCTGACGGTGTTCCTGATTAGATGAGCCTAAGACCAGAGCAACATGTGCCAGAACTCTGGTATCAAGGGTACTACTGTGTTGTACAATACATAGCGTATGGATCCGTGCTGTGAAGAGTGTACCATGGTAAAGTAAGGTATGGAGTACTCAGTACGATACCGGTGAACTCACGATCACGTGCCATTCTCATCCAAATTCCAATCTCCATGGGATGGAGTAGTACCCACCTACAGTTTGCTTGGCATCCAAACCGAAGCACAGGCCAATCGGCCTTCTTGCTACAACTCCAACGCGGCGTGGAAAGGCCCGGGCAGCCTTGACAACACAGCGTTGGGAACAGACGACCCGGCCCAACAAAGGCAGACACCCAGCCGTCATTTCAACAGAAAGCGGCACGATTTTTCTGCTTGGGCCAGAAAAGCACAACTTAGCCAACTCCTACATAACGTTGATCCAAAGTGCGGACCACCCTACGCCGACCCAGCCGATGCTCCGCTGTGGCCCACTTGCCCACTTGTCTCCTCTTGGCTCTTGAACGGCCTGGTGAAAACCCCTCAGTCTATCAGCGAGTGTATGTCACCTCATCTGCTCCGCGGGATTCGACAACAAGCAGAAACCGGATACCTGCAGTTGTAGTATTGCAGGCCTTGCGAGACGCACCTCCACCGAACATCGTTAAAGGCCCTCCCTGCCAAACTCGCTCTCTCACAATGAGCGTCGAGGCTACCGAATTGCTCGAGGCCTTCAAGGCCGCGGCGCTGTCGGTCACGAAGCTTTATAAAACCTCTGCTTCCGCACAGGCCAAGGCGCGTGCAGACGGGTATCAGGACTGCCTCGAGGACCTCCTCTCCTTCCTGGACAAGGAGGGTATCGGCGCGCAAGATGGCGAGGCACAGAGGATCAGGAAATGGGTGACGGAGCGGACCGAGGGGCGCGATAGCACATCGCCCCCGCTGGAGAGCGACGATGAAGCAGAGAAGTCGGACCCGCCCGCATTATCATCACCGCAGCTGCAGCGTTCCGTCCCGGCGACGATGCGACCGAGCGATAAAACCGAGATTCAAATGAAGGATACCTCATTGCCTCCTGTCTCGACGACAGCCTCTGCACAATCAAGCTCCGCAGTAGAGGAAGTCGACATTGTTGTCCCTTCGCTAGACACCTTCACTTTCCAAGCATCGCATCCTTATCCGCATGACGAAGCTTTACGCCTTGCCAACCTTGACCTCTCCGACTCACAAGCAATGAGCCCTTCAAACACTCGATCAACGGCGCGGAATGGGAGAACCAGGAACGGACGGACAGGACCAAGGACGGCCCTCGGGAGAGGGGCGGGACAGAAGCGGAAACTCAACCTGGCTGAAATCTTCGATCTGGGCAATTTGGACTACGGGAACGGCAAAGACGTGTTTGGATTTGGGGGAAAGCGAACCCGGTTCACATGATGGGGGACAACTCGACGCATACTTCGCACAGACACCTTGGTCATGCGACGGTGAAATGGTTATTTGCTGATTGGGGGAGGGGTCAGGAGCTTTCTACTCGCGTCACATTGCATCCGGTAGAGCGCATGGACACGGACTCGGACACGGACACAGACACGGATTTAGTGGTCATGGACATCTTGTGGGGGCTTTGGAAGGAGGCAGGATTAACTAGAAGGAGCATATCGGGGCGTTTAGCGTTTATTGATACCACACGCAATCCGACATGATGATTCCCCTATCAAGACATGACGAGTTGGGCTCATTTTTAATTGTTGCTTTTTTATATACTGCTTCAACATCGAAGAGTCTTAAGGTCTGCGTCTCAGCCGTCCACATGGGTTGTTTTAGTTCAGTTCAGGTCTCTTTACACTCTTGCTGCTAAGCACATTGCATTATAGCGATAGTGAGCCGAGTCTTGACTCCTGGGCGAGTCACTTAGACAGAATTGCTCAGGAGCTCGCGGGCTGAAATGACCCACTGCTCTCCTCGCGGAGAGCCGGATTCCGAACCAGGCACGGTAAGACAGGAGGAAGGAACCTTTGGGTAGACGGTTGAACTCAGCGAGGTCTAAGCAATAGCGCAGTCGAACTCAGACTGGCGATTCTACTATGCTCTCCCATTGACGCTAGGAATACCAGGAGTCTGGGCAACTGGCTTATTACAAGCCACTTGACAGGAGATAACATGGTCAAGCTAGTATATGAGATAACCAAGTCTCCTCCCTCATTGTCACGCCCTCCGGTCACCTTCAGTGAGTGACTTTGCGCACCATCATCACCCAAGGTTCAGGTCCACAGTAGGTACAGGTGGGAGGGCACAGGTTCCTAAAGGGTCGTGATCCTGAACAATAAAAGAGCCACCAAAACATAGCGTTCCATCCCCCGCAAACCCCCGGTCCACCTATTGGACCAGACGTTCGATACTGAGAAGGATTTGAGACCTGGCAGTCACCGACGATCCTTACACAGTGGAGAGTAGTAAAGCTTAATTATGGTCGCAGTGGGGGATGAGCCGATCCGTGGGGAGAACGCTGGAGGCTCGCCGCTGGTTGGCTCCGCGTTGTTTCTCCCAGGTTGTGTTGTTGTTCGCTGAGGGTTTTGCTGTACATAAGAGTCCCGGGAGGCTGAATGGTGGCAGAAACTGCGAATGGCAGTCAAAGTTATTGTATGTACGCCGGATATGTATACCACCAGTCCTAGTCACGTAATCACTCTATATTTTTAGGAATGTAACCACTCCGTACACTATGGATTTGGTGTTGCAGAGCCAGGTTGTCCAACGTCCGAGGCACAGTGCTTTCCCGAGCAAATTGGCGAATCAGAGTCAAATTAAAGTGGCGTTTTTATGGGGCAGCATAAGCACGTTGTCTGCTGAGCCACTGTGTGCTTTCCTAACCGCACAGTTAACTTAACATTCTCCCGTCCATCTGTGTGGAATAGTTCTAGTGTTTGTTGACATGAATGGCGGGATCCATGAAGCCATCGTCGCCCGCTGAGGCCCGGGACAACAGTCGACAATGTCAACCCCGTGTTATCAATTTGATTGAAATCCAAGCAATCCCTTCACCACGGGACACGCTGTCTCCCGCGTGTGACCAGCAACGGCATATGTAGTTATGTTCGAGCTACTGCAGATAGCCGCACGCGGGAGGTTGCATTATGCCAAGGCCAGCCCGCGATCTGGAAGGATCTGTCGTTTCCGGGGGCCCCAAGCAGGCATGCCGACGCCATGGGGCGTGTTGGCGACTAGCGCGCCGCTCATTTCCCAGGTTCTCCGGCGCCTTTAACTCCTGTCTTCTCGCACACATTCCTCTCCAACACAGTCGTTCGTTGCTGTGGCAGATTGCCGTGTAAGGACACCCTCATTCCATCTCACATCCTGTGTTGACTCTCAGGGGCCCGGTAAATTAACATTCTGCCCCAAGTAAACGAGAGGTCGTGTCGCTCGCTCCCCGTCGGCCGGTGTTTACCCACATTCGCTTGGCCCTTTACTATCAACATCTTCAAAGATGAAGGCCTTCCTCGTTCCTCTTGCCATCCTGGCCTCCTCGGCCGTGGCTCAGACAACTGCTTGCGCCGCCGACTACATCGTTGAGTCTTGTCTGAGCACGGAGAAAGCAAAGCTTGAAAGCTGCGGGCATGAGGACTACACATGCCGGTGTGCTGGGTGGAACGCTATCCTCACGTACGCTCTATCCCGTGGCAACTGATTATCAGGGCACCAGTCACTGACAGCGTCCCGTCCAAACACAGCTGCTACAACAACTGCCCCAACGACCCCCGGCTGCGTGAGTTCCGCCTTCCTCGCATCCCGCTTCCCCCCTGACGCCCGCATTACTAACCCCCCTTCTCAGACGATGACGCCGGCCAGCGGGAGATCTTCTGCGGCTACGCGAGCCAGTTCGCTACCACAAGCACCAAGGCCACTGCTAAGCCATCCACGGCGGCAGCTGCGCAGACCACTGGCGCGGACCAGGGCGCCAGTTCGAGCTCTTCCGGCAGCAGCAGCACTGCTACCACGACCGCCGCAGGTAGTACCAGCACCAACAGCGCGGCCGACCTCGCCCTTAACGCGGGTGGCATTCTCGCTGCGGTTGCCGGTGTCGTTGCCGCTGTGCTCTGAGCGGAGGAACATCCAGCGGACAGCGAGTTTTGGATATTCAGATTAGACTCTTGGAAAAGTGATGAAAGGTCAGCAGCTGCGGGGACTGGGGTGACTGGTGCTGGGCTTATCCAAAAAACCTTGTCCGGCGATTCTGGAACGCCAAACTGAATTGGAGAGCGCGAAGGAACATTGGATACCGGGCCAGCATCTACCTGAGATTTGGCTAATATTTAATGAAGGAGTCAAAGCTAATGGATAATTGGATGGGTGTCTGTCTCTCTCCCCTCCCTCCTTGAGCAACGGGTTCGATGCAGATTGGCCTGTATTGTAAGTTTCTTCAGCAGAGCTGAAGCGTCCCCTGACTGCCTAGGTCCACACACGGGAGGAATGGTCTCGAGCAAAACAACCAGCAATCGATTGGTAAATACTAGTACAGCTTTTCCCCCGCGTCAATTGCTTGACAGCTACCATCTGCAACATCACTACTTGGTACTTTCAACAATCAACAACCTAGGTAATCACGCAGATTCATCATCCCCTCCCAGCGGGGTATACCACGTCTTCTCCCCCGCACCCCCCGTCTGCCTCGGCCCGGCATCCCTCCCCTGGCTGGCCATGCCCGACCTGAAATTTCTCTGGGCAACCCTCGAGGGGTCATCGATACTGCCCGGTTCCGGCAGCGGCCCTCCCTCCGTGCCGCTGCCCTCGAAGCCACCCTCGGTCAGATTCTTGCCGTGCGGTCCGGCCGGATCCCGGTAGCGCTGGTTGGACACGTAGGTCGGGGCCGCGCCGCCGTAGGCTTGCTGGTTCTCGAGGTTGAGGTCGGTCGGTTGCTTGCCAGCCGCGCTGGACACGTCTCCGGCCGTGCCGCGGGAGCTTTGCTGGTTCTCGAGGTTGAGCGAGGTGGTCTTGTTCGCGGCCGTCCCCCCCATCGTTCCCGACGAGTGGGGTTGAGATTGTCCGGATCGCTTCTGGCCCTGCTCCTGGCCAGGATTGGAGGCGAACGCGCCGCCCTTGCTGGCGGACTCTGCTGCCAGGGAGCCCTCGGCCACCTTTCCCGGACCTTCTTGATATACGGGTCTGTCGCCCGTGGTAATCTAAAGGGGCGAACGGATGTCAGTAAAACGATCTACTGGCTTTCGACGAGTAGACTGGACGTCGTAAAGGGCGCGCTCTGCGTACCTTGGTGCCGGCACTAGGAGCCTTGTTGGACATGGTTGCGGTGGGATTCAGTAACAGACTCTTGCTCGGATTACAATGTAATGTTATTGTAGGTAGGAGCTGGTTTTCACTGCACAAAGGGAGTTAGTCCAGCATTCATGAAAAAGGGGTCTATGGACTACAAATAATGCTTCACCCAGAGTCGGAGACCGCATGACATCATTGTCGTGATGTCATGGGGATATGCATCCTTGAGAACTTAACCCACAGATCTGCGGCCACTCCATCGCATTGGAGCAGATACTATGCGACAAGCAGTATGACGAGGCGATCTATGACTTCATGTCTTCAGTTCATTGCGGACTGCTGTTGAGGACTCGTTTCCGATGTGCTTGTGTGTGGTGAGATGTCAAAACCCACGGAACGAGTACAGAACATCTGCATGACTCTCAACAGAGTCACTTCCAGATATAGTAATGGCATAAATGTGTACTGTGCTACCCAAGACGTAGAGGGAGTATATGCTGTAAACAATGCAAATGATGTGGTCAACCAGTTTCTCAGTATTGTGGCCGCGCAATCTGAGGCATAGAGACGAGGCTGTCAAGTAAGGTAATCGAGTAGCCTCTTCAGTGCACAGCTTTCAAGTCGGCCTTCCATCTGCCTCCTTTAGATGGAACTTCTAGCTCCTTAATGCAGATAATGCAAACCTACCATTCCGGGCCACAACCAGCTAAAGACCCCGCCGGCCACCGGTAGTCATCAATGTGATCTTCTGCTTCTTCTTCTTCTTTTTACCACCTCCGCCTGAGGAGCCAGCCGTGGCCGCAGAGCTGCTGACACCATCGTTCTCAACACCCAACGCCTCAAGTTGCACAGCGAGATCTGCAGCGCCGAGCGTCTCCAGGACATCAGTGTCCTTCAACCAACCGTCATCCACCTTTGGCCGAGTAGGAAGGGCGTCGTCCGGTGGGGCACCGACCACAGGCGTTCCCCAGACGGTCCTGCGACCAGACGGGCTGGTGCTGATATCCGACAAGGCAGAAAAGCCCCGTGCTGGATTGGGCGGCGACGTGAATTCCGCACCGAGCGGTATGAAGTCGTTCATATCGACGGGCGGGTCGTCAAGACCAGCGTTGCCAAACCGCACAGTCACCTCCTCATCGATGGCACCGAAACTCCTTGCGTCGCGGATGGCAGCTGCCTCAAGCCGTTCTGCTTGCTGTCGCTCACGCTCTTCCTGAATTGCCTTCTCCCTATTCCGCTTCCGGCGGCGCTCGATCTCCTCGGAGAAGGTAGCTAGAATCTCGGGCGGGACAATGTCTGTCCAGTCGCACTCCAAAAAGCTGATCAGGCAGCCTCGCGGTAAGTGCCCGAGGTATTTTGCCCGCTTTCGCAGGGGCTCGTCGACCACATGACCAGTTGAGATGTGCTCGACCCTGGGAAGCAACGTGGAGGGGAAGGCGGAGAACGAGCCGTATTTGGTCTTAAGAATGCGGATATCAAGCGGCGAAAGATAGAGGTGCGGTGGTGAGGTATAAAAGTAGAAGTCCTGCTCGACCTGCTTTGCCGAGCTCGATCCGGGCAGCGTGGTTGGAATATCCATTTCCGTCTCGCTCGACTCGACGACCTTCTCCTTGGCGGTCCTAATCGCCCTGATAGCCTTCTGCGTCCACTCATTGTCCTCGTGATATAGTAGCTCATCCTCCTTCTCTTGTTTGGTAAGATCCTCAATCTCCCGGTCAAACTGCTCTGCCATGTAGTCGCTGGTACCCCTCATGATCCTAGCGTAGTCCAAAACATTGGCCGCAAAATGCCAGGGAACGTCTTCGCTAGATTGGAGCGCCTCGGTCGCGCTCTCCTTGGGCAACGCCAACGTGCTCTTCGCGTTTCGCACCATGAGGCGGAGAATCACATCGTCGCCGACACGAGGAAGGGGGCACTCTTGACCTGCATAGAACCTCACCGGACGCACGTCCGAGAGATACACAGAGTCCTCGCAGATGGGGCACTTCCGCCACCGATTTTGCTTCTTCTCTTGTTGCTCACCCGCGCTCGTGTTCATGAAGCGCATCAGGCAGGGCAGGCAGAAAATGTGACCGCACTTGGCCATACGTGGCGCGACGGGCTCCGAGAGACAGATGGGGCAGGACGCCTGTTGGGATTCTGTCGAGGCGATAACTTGGAAGACATCGTCCCAGTTGATATGCTCGTCGGCGTCAGCGGCTTGCGCCATGTAATTGCCTTTGGGGTTGACGACAAAGCGATAGTTCGCATGGATATAGCGGGCCTTGTCGGCGGCGTGGTAGCCGGAGCCCACGCCCCAGGAGGGGTTGCGTCGGTATGACCGGGAATACGACGCATAGTATCTCTCGTCGGGGCGCGGCGGCAAGGCGTAGTTCAGCAAGTGCGTAATTGACGTCTGGCCGCGCCGGCTAGAGGCATTCCGCAAGGCTCGAATCTCTGCCATTGCGTCCTCGTCGTCGATATGGTTTTGAGCTCCCGCTCGCCTCTGGTTCCGGTGCTGTCTCCTCGAACTCTGACCCTTCCTGGGGGCTGCCTGCGGGTGTACCGGGCCCTGAATCTGACGGCGGTTGATGTCGAAGCTGGTGTTAGACGCCGGGGTTGCCGGTGGGTGGTTCGCCGTTGCGGGAGCCGACGGAGCCTTGCTCGGCGCAGACGACGCCGGGTTCATAATGGAAATCTGGTCGAGAACGCCGCACCGCTTCAATGTTGCTGGAGACCGTGGCCTGCACGGATAGGCTGTGGTCGATGCTTAGGAAGGAACCGTTAGCTCCAGTTCCATGCCGAGATGACTGGATGTCACTCCGAGGGTGGGCCCATACCTCAACCTGCCGACCTCTGAAGGTACCCTGTCGTGCCAGCGTCAATGCTACAATGTGTCGAGCCTTGATCTCGAACTAAGCTCCCTTGTTGTTTCGCGAAAATGGCTGTCTTGATGCAGGTTGGCTCCTGTTCATCATAGAATGCGGACGGTACTGGAGGGGCCCAATTGGGACCCCGCGGGGGATGGACGGATGAAGGAGGGAAGACTCACCATCCGCGGGGGCAATGCCGATGATTTGGGGCCGAGCGTTATGGTGCGGTATGTCCATGACTCGATAACCGTCATGGGCACTGTCAGCTGGTGTCAAGTGGCAAGCGAGGATCACCGAAGCAGCCGGCCACAACCGAGCTCGCCACAACCACTAGCATCCATTATTCATCAACCTGAAATCGGTGCGAGTACCTCGGGATGTCTCCAGTCTGCAAGGGATGAGGGAACATTGATGGGGAACTGCAGACACTGTTTCTCATATCAAGTTAGAATTCCCTGAGTAAACACACCGGCGATTTACCCTCGCATAGACTAGAACTATATGCCTGCACTTCTGTTCTTGATGATTAGGGGGCAATGCAAACGCCCTCACCACGTTAAAAAGACGAAGTGCTTCTAGCGACGGTGTCCGAAAGAACTGAGCCAACTGAAATCAAGAGCCAACAGAACATTGGACAGCAGGTAAGACCACCATACAGCAAACAAGCTATGATAACGGGAATGGATATCGCAAGCACCCAAACCTCCGACAATCAAGTTCCGCCCCCTTCTGAAAGATCCAGCCGAGCTCGACAATGACCGGATAAATATAGACAGAGCCTCCCAGTAGCGGCGTGACAAATCACGATGACGGAATTAGCATCATCATTTCATCAAACACCATCCGTGAGCTTCCTCATGCCGAAGAAAAAAAGAAAAATTAGGAAACCAGCCAGAGCAAGTTACTGATACACCACGATTAATCAACGAGCGACAGGAATAAATGAGGTAAAACGCAGATGAGGATGTTGTCGACTTAAGCGAACTTGTGCTTCAGCTTGCTGAAGAAGCCGCTGATTCTGTGCTTCTTCTTCTTCTCAGACTGGCCGTCAGCGGCGGACTTGTCCGCACTCATAGATGCGGCGGTGGAAGCTGCCGCACCGTTGGTCGTTGGCTGGGCCTCCACGGTCTTGGCTGCCTCTGCCGGCGCAGCTTGCTCAGTCGTCTCTGCGGGCTTGGCCTCATCAACAGTCTTGACCGCCACGGGGGGTTGAGGCGGCTCGACAGCCAGAGCCATTCCCTCCTCAACAGGGGCTGGTTTTGTCTCAGCCTTAGGGGCTTCGGCAGGTGCGGGCGCCTGCTTCAGTCCCTCAGCAGGCTTGTCCTCGGCGGCCTTGATCTCCCCGACAGCCCCGGTGGGTAATTCGCCAAGTGCTTTCTCGGCGGATAGAGGCTTGGTCTCGCCGGCGGCCTTGATCTCCCCGACAGCCTCGGTGGGTAATTCATCGAGTGCCTTCCCGGTGGATAAATCGCCACGTGCTTCCGTCGGCTTCACCTTCTCCAGAAGCTCAGCCTCGTATCCCTTCTTTTCCTCGACAGCGGCCGCGTTGACAGCGGCCTCCGGGCTCACGCCCGCTTCCTTGATGGATTCCTTGACTTCGGCCGGAACTTCTGAGGACACGCTGTCGATTGCGGCGGCCTGATTCTCGTTGGTGTCCCCTCGGGCCGTTCCCGGTAGGGCTCCCTTGAGTGTCTGGGGGAGGTTGGTTGTGGCATCAGAGGCAGCGGTAGTGACCTTGTTGGCAGCATCAGAGACAGCGGTCGTAGCCTGACCTGCAGTCTCGGAGGTAACGGTTGCGACCTTACTCGCAGCATCAGAGGCAGCGACTGCGACCTTATTGGTAGTACCAGACACAGCGGCCGTAGCCTGACCTGCAGTCTCGGAGGTAGCGGTCGCAGCCTGACCTGCGGTCTCGGAAACAGCGGTTGTGGTCTTGGTCGCCGCATCGGAGGTAGCGACTGTGGCCTTGCTGGCGGCATCGGAGGCAACAGGGTAAGCCTTGGCCGCAAGATCAGCTGCAGCATCGCTCGCCTTCACCGCAAGCCCGGCAGCGACGCTACCAGCAGTGATCGCAGCGCCCAGTGCTACCTCGCCGGCCGCGGAAGCCGCGGCTAGCACCTTCTCAGCACCCGTCTTGTCCGTCTCAGACTTCTCAGTCCCCTTGCCGGCAGTGCCCTCAGATGTTGACGGCGCCTCGGGAACCTTTCCAAGGAGCTCCTCCTCAACGGCAGCCTTCTCCTTCACCTCCTCACTGATGGCGCTTGCCTCAGGTTCAACGTTCGCCTCCTCTTGGCTCTTCTTGACGATCTCGGGCACCCTGGGGCCCTCCTCCAGGGGAACTTGACCAGCCATGGAGGCGGTGCTCGCCCCAGGAGCGGCGGTGTTGATAGTGACATCATTGGCGCCGGTGATGGGCAAAGACGACTCAGGGATCATGTTGCCGGTAACGGCCGGAAGCGTAGTCTCCGTGTCGATGCCCGGAATACGATCGCTCTTCTCATACGACTCCTTATCAAGCGTGACATGCTTGTCGAGAGCGCTGGCTGACACATCCTTCGGAACCGCCTGGCCCGCCTCGAGCTTGATGGGATTGATGGCTCCCTCAGCTGCGGGAAGCGGGCTGATCTTCACCTCTTTCTCAAGCTCGGGGGTCTCAGGATAGCCGCCGGGAAGAGAATCACCGTTCTTCACCAGTGGTACGGCAGCAGCCAACTGAGCTGTGCTCGAGTCGGGGCCGGCGGAGTTGAGGATAGCTGGGGCATCCGAGGCAGTTGCTTCTCGTTCCTCCTGCTTCTCCTGCTTGGGCTCCGTCTTCTCCTTCGTTGTGCCCTCAAGGGGGACAGCGCCCGCCAATTGAGCCGTGGTGGACTCCGGGATGACGTTGTTGATGGCCGCAGCCTGAGAAGCTTCTTCTAGCTTATCCATTTGTTCGGGAAGCAAAACGTTGTTATCGTTCCCTTCGTGATCCTTCTCTTGAGGTGCAGTGTGATCAGTCGTCCACGTGCCGTCGACAACGAACTGTCAACGAGGAAATGTTAGCAAGCCGAAGATTGTTTTGAGTGAGGTCATGCTCTGGAAAGCTAGCAGCGGGGGATCCAATTCGACTTTAAAGGCCCGGGCGCCAAAAGAGGGGCGATTTCAAGCTGGATGATTGAGGTGCCAGAACCCAGCTCTCTGTTCAGTCCTGAGTGGTCAATGGTCATGGGCCAGAAAATAAACTTGGTTTCGCGCTTATGGGTCCCACTCAATTGCCACTAATGTTAGTGTAGCTCTCTCGCTTGTGATCCTACAGATTGTCCATCGTCGTGCTTGCGCCAGAATTGCTGGTCGACGAGGAGGATGCAACAGCCCGCCGGAAGTGTGACAACATTGAGACAAACCAGCCAGATTACAGACGTGGTTACGCATTGTGTGTTGTGAGGACAGCACCAACGCGTCAGCTCAGCAAGTCATTCGCCCGAAGAATTGCTTGCGCGTTCTTGAGGTTTTGCCAGGCACCTGGAGGGTCGTCGACACCGGGAGCTGTCGTGGCAGGGTTTGGAGGAGGAAGGTAGTTCATCCTCACCGAGCTCACCGAGCTCACCGCAGCCCATGGACACCCGGTCCGGTCGCAATCCGGGAAATGAAGTCGGCGCTGATACTCAATTGTAGACGGCACCGCATGGGCCTTGTCGGAAAGATGGCGTCCCGTCGCTGCGAATCCAAGCGCCTAGGGGAACCTCACGCGATAGCAAAAATGGGACAATTTACACACCTTATAGTAGATCTTGTCAGAGCTTTCCGGAAGTGTCACCGTTTTCTGGAAGATCTGGCCGACCCTCTCCAGTTGCTGACTCTTCGTCCAATTGTCGAAAGTGCCAGTCACGTAGACTTCTTCGGCATCATGCGGCCTGCAAATGTTAACAAGGCAGCAGTTAGCAGATCGTCGCAAACATGGACCCGACACAACCCGGAATGCCCGTCCTTTGCGCGCGCAACAGGTCAAGCATAGCGCAGCGGGGCTAGGGTCAGGGCTTGCTATTACGGGGACATGAGCTCTCGCGTGACCGGAGTAAATACTGACCACTTGAAGGTGAAACTGCGCATTGCTGGCGGAATTGGTTGTATTCTTTTGGTTGCTATGTGTTTTCGAATCGGACTGTTGCCTGTGGTGCAGAGTTCAGGCCGTCGCAATCGAAGCTCGCGACGGGGACGGAGCGCAAGGTTGCAGTGGGAGCTGCAGCGGAATGTCGCAAATCGGATTGCTTTGCGATCCGCTGACGTCAGTCGAATGACCTGGGAGAGGAGCTGAGTACGGAAGCGAGAGAACTGCACGGAACCTCGACGAGTCACTAAGAAGCAGGCCAGTTCTGCGTATCCGTAAACTTCAAGCAGAGCTTTTGGATTGAGCTGAGCAAAGCATGAGAGAGCGGGAAAAGAACAGTCAAAAATCGAGACAAAAACCCGAGAGGCTGGCGTCGTCGCTGTACTGAAGGCGGTTAGTGCCGCGATTTCGCATGCCAAGCACAGCATGCAGCTTGCTGCTTGGGAGACCTTCACAATTCCTCCGGCCAACCACGTCCGCATTGGTGGTCCTTATCTCAACCTCAAGCTGATGAAATGCTTGGCACCAGGAAACAATTCTCTTCATTAAGCAGCTCTTCTGCCCCGTTGGAACTCAAGATATTGTCGCAAACGGAAAACGTCAACACCGGTCCAGTGTACTGTGTACACGAGGAGCACGAATCTTAATGCATATATGTAAGGCCATACACTCCAGTTGTCCAAGTTCGGGAACATCATTATGGTGAAGGTTCGGAAATTTTCTTTCTGAGAAAGAAATTGGCCGGAACGAGTGCGATGGAGAAGTGAGAGAAGAAAAAGAGCAAAATGTAATAAATGAGTCGACCCAACAACCAGGTATATAGCCCAGTTCGGTTAGCCACTGTCAGGTTAACACAGCCTCGAGCCAACTCGGAAGTTTCGATCTAAATATATAGAATAACCTAAAAAGTTATATTTATTTATATTATAATTAATTATTTTACTATGCCTAGCAAGTTACTAGCTCTTGACGCACTTCAGGGAATGGTAGGAAGTGGACACTGCGGAAATCTTTGCCTCGAAGCTCCTCAGGGATATGTGGCAGGAGCTTAAGGTAGATGGTTTCCGTAAGGAAGGGCGTAAAGGGCGCGAGGCCGCGGCACAGCGTGAAAAGGACCTCGAACAGGGTGTTCAGGGCATGGAGAGTATCGTCAAGCCCATTTTCACCCTTGAGACATTTCCGGTTGAATCGGATGTACCAGTTCGTCGTGTTATCGATTAGCTGATGTGGATGGTATGTGACCGTGGTGGGCAGCGGAGAGACAAGGGCTGGGCAGGGGGGTCGCCCGGGGCACGAAGGGCGATGAGCGCCGCTCGTAGGGCGTAATGCTAAATGCAACATACAGTATGTTTACCTAAGGTACCTCTGGAATCAAGGGTCCTCTACTAGTAGGTATGGTATTCCATGCCTTTGTAGAGGAGTTCACATTGCCCTGCAAGGAACATTGACAAACAAAGAGCAATGAGACCAAGATTGCAGATGAACGCCAGTGCCGCTAGTGCTTACGGTAGTGCTCACACAACCACCACGCAGCCAACGATAACAGGTAGTACAGCAAAGCCGCAACATACCATACCTAAGCTGCCATCTCTACATAACCGGAGTAAAACTGGAGCCGCCATACTGGATTCTACCACCCAAACTGCTCACAATGCAACTCAACAGCCGGCCCATCACTGAGAATCAGTTTGGCTGTCGCATCTCGAACAACACGCATCAGACCATCCGGGCCGCATGCCGCAACAAGTACGCGCTGGTTCCTTGGGGTGGTGCTCACCGCATCGCGGATGAGAGAAGCCGCATCTGGCCGGCCTACCGTGACGACGTAGTCAAAGAAGGTGTGAGACAAGGTGGCGGCGGTGGTGGTGGTAGCGTCTTTCTCGGACACGCCACTATGCTCTACACGGGTCTCCATGGCAAGCTCCATCTCCTTTTCGAGGTCGCCGTGCGCAAGGGGCGGCCAGCACAGAGCAGATTCTGGAATCCGTGGGGCGGTGTTCTCTAGATCCAGCCCAACAGGTGACAAGGACGGTGTCTCGGTGTCCTCGGAGGAGGACGAATCGCAACGAGTGGAGTGATCGTGGCTGCTACTTTCACTGCGAAGATCCGAAGTCGATGAGGGAGCCCGCGTGACGTAGAGAGAAACTTTGACCTTCGGTGAGTGTGCGTGGGCCCTGAGGAGCTGAAGGTGCTCCTTGAACCAGGTAAGATTCTCTGCAGCGAATGTGTCAGTACCTGTGTCCAGCCATGCGCCTGGGGCGTCACAACTCACCGTGCTCTCTGACCGACCAAACAAAGACAACATCCTTGGGGCGGTTCTCGTCCATCCTCTCGAGAATGTTTATCGCGAGGCCAAAGGTGAAGGTGGCGCCTCCGCCGCCAGCAATGAGCACGATCTTGTCGAACTCCATGGGGTCCGGGAAAGTGCCATATGGCCCGTCAATGGAGGCCCTTACTGACACGCCCGGGTGGGCCATCGCGTACTTGTGCAGGTCGCTCGTGAAGCCGTTGCAGGCTTTGACTGTGAACTCCAGAGGGGAGCTCCTGTGGATTGTAAACGGGTGTGTCTCGATTTTACGGATTGCCGGGATCCAGATGAAGCAGTGTTTCCCCGGCTCGGCCCTTGCCGGTAACTTTTTGAAGACAACCTTGGTGCCTCCATTGGCCAGAGGATGTAGTGTTGCCTCGTTGTTGACGCTGTAGTATAAAACCCTGGAGGCCCGGAAGAGGCGGTCGAGAAACCACATGGAGGCGGTGAGGAGCGTCACTATGAGCGTCTTCTTTCCGATCTCGGGTTGATGGAAGCCAACTGCGACGACGCCCACGATCCAGCAACACACGTGCGTGATGTAGAAAAGCTCGTACCAGAAACGCCGGAGAAACGTGGCTGAGAAGACAACACCGAGAAAGGCGAAGCCGGCAACGATAGCGGCGATGTCCCCCCTCTCGGCAAAGATTGCCAACAGACGTCCTGTAGAGTTGAAGTAGTAGGTGTACAGAGAGGCGTGGGTCACCATCTCAACAAACATGGTGTAGCCGGCAATCTGATGAAGACAGTTGAGCCGCTCATATGAATGCGCCGTCAAGAAGGCCAGCGGCGTGTTCTTCAAGGCCAAGAAGATAACCACGGCCAAGTTCGCCAGTGCCATCCTGAGTAACTTGTTGATGAGTGTCTGAGGGATATTATGTCAAATTCGGGGCGGGGTAAGGCGGAGAACATACCAGCCAAACCTGAATGCCAGGCTTCCCAGAGAAGTGGTGTCCACGTTGGTGAATATGACGGACACATTGATGGCGACGTAGGCTGTGACGATGAAAGCATGCCCTGCGGATCGGAACCCAGGGACCCTGCGGACCAGCAGATTCCTCCCATGTCTAGCATGGTCAGCATATATATGATCTTGCCGTCGGCTACCGGAGAGGAGTGCTATACCTCGAGCTCGCAACGAATGGACGGCCCAGCCATCCGGCAGGTCTCTTCGACTGTTCCACTCTCACACATAGCCGACGAGTCCAGTGGAAAATCACGAAAACGGCGATCACGCCGCAGATGCCGGCTGCGTAGTACCTCATCATCCGCTCAGTCACTAGCTGTCTCTGGGCGAAGAAGGCCGCCCTGGCGGGATCACTAGATCCATGGCCCCCTGTGCTGACGGCGCCCCCTCCATGCCCTCCTCTACTCGACGGGTGGCGGGACAGCCCGTCCATCTCGCAGACAGTTGGTCCAAAGGAGTTAAAGAGCGGACGGCCCACGGCGGTGTCGTGGTTCTAGGTTGCGGATCCAGAGGCCGAAATCCGAGACGGGGTCCAGCAGAAGATCCCAGACGGTGTAAGCAGGAGGAAGCCGCTTTATACGGAGCCGAGATCTCTGGCCGGAGTAGGAGCAGGGTACAGGATAGATTCTGGGGGGGAACAGCCGTTGAAAACAAGGCGGTGGTCTAGATCGACCAAGAGCTGGCGGCGCCTTCCTCCGCAACCTGGTATATGACTGACCTTCCCATAGCGCCATCGTCCCCGGCAGCACCCTCCCGTCCCTGCCAGGTCTCAGACGCAAGATGCCACGAACTCGAGTGGGGCTCCGGATACCGTGACTGGATAGATGGTAGGGCTTAGCAGAGCAACTATGGTACTCCGAATGAACTGTTGATTGCCCTGGCGTCACATGGAGAGAGCTTGGTGTCAGATTCCTTGAGCGGCCACGGCACTTGAAACTCCACCGTAACCATGACGGTGATGGGATGGAAAAGTCCCGGCTGGCCAAGGCAGACTCCCGCAGCTCGAGGATCCCGGCCAGCTCTGGCGACTACACCGAACTGACAGGTAACAGAGAGATACATGTCGCCGTGCCGGGGCCCACACGAACGGTTCTGCAGGCGGAAAACGCGGGGCCCCGCGCCTGGCATGCATGTCCGGAGGACGTGTGTAAGTGACGACCACATCCGGTCGGTTGACGAGTGGTTGACTTCCAATCTGGGAGTTGGTCAGCTTTACCAAAGCAACGAGTCTATTCCTAACAGGATAGGCACGGCCGCCAGCCCGTAGCCAATGTGGGCCGTGGTGGAAGATGGATGTCGTTGCCATTTGGCAGGACGTAGCATTCGCAATCTGGCTAAAGATGGGCTAAAACCGGAGCCGAAGAGCCAGCATTGCCTGACCGTTGGAACTCCTGCAAACGGCGCCCCAAGAATCCGCCGCTGTGGCCGCTGAACTTTACCCCACAAACGCACGCAATATATGTAGATATTGAGAACGATGCATCACCCAGCTCTATGACAAGGGTTCTGTCTGCAGCCATGCTGCAATTCGCCGTGCATCCGAAGACGGTACGGCCTCTGGCCACGTGAGAAACACGGGCGAGGATGAGATGCGTAGGCAAAGCACAAGCGAAGCGCACCAGATCAGTATCAGACGGGAAGCCTCGACATGGCGCGGGCTGCGGTCGAAGGGTACGCAAAGTACCTAAGTATGTCCCGAAGGGAAGAAGGAAACAATGCGGGACAGCGTGTTCCACATAAACCACGAACGGCCACAGATACCAGCATTCAACCAGCATACGAGACAATGGCGGTTGATACACAGCGAAGATCATAAAGCGGCATAATGAGATGGCGCGGCAGATCCAAGTTGGGTTGGCCAGGCGTTGAGGAACTAGCAAGCGTTAGATAGTAAGCCGTGATATGCAAGGTAGGTACTAACTGCAGTAACATACAACACATAAGGAACCTTATGTGCATACACATATAGGTGAGCGGGTACCTGCCAGGGTGTAACAGGTTTCTCGTCCGTCAAGTGAGCCGTCATGGTTCAAAGAGACGTGGCCCATGGTAATCAGATCCGGTCGGCAGACGTCATGACAGATACGGAGATGCGAGGGCTTTCACCACGGCAGGCAAGCCAGCATCTGCAGAGCTACCTCAAGTACGTGGTACCCGCATCCATCATGCCACATGGGTTGGCCGCGGCAAGCAGTAAGGTACATACGTTACCGTTGGACAGTTGTTGGATCCGAAAATCCCATGTTTGCTGAGCAGGCCTGGGCCCTGCTGCTGTACCTTTCTTGCTGTGAGGCAAGCAGAGAAATGTACTTCCGTAGGTAACGAAGACCAAGGCTTGCAAAATGCCACGCCGAAAGCAACGGAAAGGGGCCTGAGTTGGCAGTGGGCTGTGCTGCAGTGTGATCAGGATGCATCGATGCGATGATGTGCCTGCCGTTGGACTAAGCCTTAAGGTCCGTTCCTGGATATCGGCATGGCGCCATTCCAGAATAGGAAAGTTCGCAACTGTGGATCCGTGGAACCGAGCCCCCTTCCTCTTCCGGACAATCTCAACATCGAAGGATCGAAGGACCTCACAAACCACCCAGATAGTTGCCCAGAGCACACAATTGGTGTAAGGGAGCCTACTAATCTGCTGCAGCGGCGGGCTTGGAACTCCATTGGGCATCTTCTCTGCGGAATTTCTCTCTGGCATTGGAGATCAACATTGATAAACATAGTGCTTCGCCCGGCATTTGGCAGTGTCGGGAGTCGGGAGTCGGGAGTTGAACATGCAATAGGTCAAAGCACTTCTCCCTGTGCGCATTATTTTCTGTCGTTAAAACCAGGCATCGACGCAGATGGATGGTTAAGCAGACAACTGGAAGAGACCCGGAATTGCGTGACTTTTGAGTCGGAAAACGAGGACAGCTTCCTGCTTTGGCAGGACAGAATCGACGAGATAAAAGAGATGCATCGGCATCGTTGTGCTCAGGATTGGGCTCAAGAGGGGTTGGCGTTGCAGCTTGAGACCCGCTACAGTCGGCTCTGCATGAGCTCATGGCTTTGTGACGAGATCTTGGATATGGAGATACTGGACGCTTGAAAACCGGTACCTCAGTGGCCAAGCGTCGCTGCATTACAGCTAGAGGCATGCAGTAGCAGACAGAAAACAATCACATGCGCGGGGGCAGAAAAACCGCCGGCAACACGCCGGTGAACCGTTGCAGCGATGCACACGAAGTGCTGACTCACAGACATGGGTTGTCTGACACAGATGACGAAGATGCCACAAGAGGGACGTCTCTTATCACAAGAACCAAAGCAGTGAATACCCAGGTACACCGAGTCTAATTCTATCTGGATCTCCTAACAAGGAAGGAGGCGCTGCTCAACAACCAGAAGTTAGGTATGTACAATACATACAATCCAATACATGCATACATTTTCAAGTCTATTATTACCTATCCAATCTAATCCTCTCCTCTCTTCCTCCGATCTGCCCAAGTAAGACAGGAGCGCAGCTCACCGTCGTGGCAGCAAAACCGACAGGGCGACATGATAAAAGTGGCCCATGGCCAAGCAAAATGCCAAAACCTGGAACCACGAGCCAAAGATGAGCACGCTGGCTAGCCCGTTGTACCCGCCGTTGATGAACGGGCCGTAGCCGTCTGTCAGGCGCGCGCTATGCAGCACTGCCGTCGTGACTACCCAGTGAAGGACGAACGCCGCGAGTACGAAGAGCCAGACATTAATAAAGCCGCCGGCTTGCCGGGGCTGCTGTTCTGGCTGGTGCGGGCGTTCGTCTTGCTGCTGGTTGTTGTCTCGGGCGGGCTCGTTGTGTGCCGCCGCTGTCTCGGGGTCGGACTCCTCGATGGGGGTTTGGATGCGGGCCTCGAGCACCCTGAGATCGGCTTTCACGGCCTGCAGCTCGCTCGCGAGCGACGCGATTCTGGCCTCGTGGTCCCTCTTTTGCCGTTTGAGCTGCTCAATGTCGGCCTTGGCCCCATCCAGTCGCATCAGGTTGGAAACATTGGTGTCTTCGAGCGCCTCCTGACGGGACCCAAGACCGTCAATCTCGCTGTCCAGCTCGGCGATGCGGATGCGGAGAGCGTCACACACGGCGTCAGTTGTGTCCAGGACTGCGGCTGCCTCGTTGGCAGGCGCGGGTAGGATCACCGATCGCTTGCTCTGCTCGTTGGGGGCATGGCGCTGGCCCATGGCCGCGTACTGCAGCCGGATAGTCTCTCGCTCTTCCTCCGTGAGGGGCCGCCCGAAAAGTAGCTCACAACGTCGGATCTGGTCCCGGGCGTTGATATCCGCCGCAGACTCTCCGGTGGGCTTGGAGAAGTCTTCGTCATAAAAAGGAGCGAAACGGAGTTCGTCGTCATCGAGGGGGGTGACCCAGAGAGGAGGCAGCTGAACTTGAGCGGCCTCCGCGGGACTGGAAGCTCCTTGTTCGTCGTCCACTTGTGGCGGCGGGGACCGGCCCCTTGTGTGTTCATCGGGCACATCTGCCGACGCTGGGCTATCACACGGTCTCTCTTTAGTGGCGGTCAGTATGGAGGCATCTGAAACTGTGGCATACGGTGGCTGCGCTCCGTCCGTTTGTCCGTCTTTGTCCTCATTCTTACGACGCCCGTCGTTCATTGGACTGTTGGCACAGAGGGCAGCTGGGCCACGAGGGGAGATTGTCTCAGGTGGCTGAGGGGCTTTCTCTCGCGCACGGGCAGTGATCGAACCCTCACTCAGCTCTGCGTTCCGCTGCCCGTCCAACATGGCCTTGAAGTAATCCTTAACTCTTTTCTTCAACTCAGCTCGCGGGCCTTGCGAATGCCTCTTCGGCTCATCGGGAGGCGCATCATCGGGCTCGCCGTCCTCGTTGGTTTCCTGCTGGCTTGGCAGGTCCTCTGCTTCAAGCTGCACCGAATCAGGGCTGTCTCCTTGCTTGTCGTTTCTTTTCTCTCTTCTCTTCTCTCTCCTCTTCTGTTTCTTCAGCTCCTTCTTCTTCTCTCTCCTCTTGTCTTTGCTACTCTTGTTCTCCGGAGCGTCGGCAGAGACATCGCCGTTGGGATTGGGATCCTCTCCGTGACCATTATTAGAACCGGCTCCGTTATCCACTGTCTCAGCAGGGCCTCCTTCTTGCGGAGATGGTTCATTAACAATAAGGGGGAAGCTGATGGGCCCAACAGATGGAGGGGCTAAGTCTGTGTTCATAGACTCATCATCCCCGTTTCTGCTGTCCCTGGGGATAGCCATGTCCGTGGGGTCTGTCGATTGCATTAGGGCTCCTAATATCCGCCTGCGGAAAACGCTATTCGGGTTGTATGTGTTTAATGATTCTTCGACCTTTGGCGAACATGAGATAATAGTCGTGAGACTCGATACTTCCGAGTCATCTTCGAGGTAAATCATCCCCATCGTGTTCGACTATATACAGGGGCAGGACAAAGAACTTTAGTTGAGGACTTGAGGCTGATCTGAAAGATTCTTTGTAGGGGGCCATTTACAACGTGATAATCAGATTGTAGTGGCCAAGTCCCTAAATAGTTCGTGTTCTAATTTAAGCCAATGGCTAGAGAAGACAAAGGAACACAGGTCCAGCTTTGTCCAGGAGGAATCGCTCAGGGTGTGTAGGTCTTGGAGTTGGCCTCATTGGACGTCGACAGACAGTGCATACCTGACCTACCTCCATACACCTAGATACACGACGTTGGGCATGCGATGTCGCGAATAATCAGATCCACCACCGCATACTTAAGATTCAAGATCCATTACTGAAGTCGCGATGCCGACATTATTATCTCCTGGTATGGGGGGCAAATCCATCAATCAGAAAGAACACAACATGTTTGTGCAACATCGAGCAACCTACTGTTGCGCCGCCTGCCAATGAACCCCTGAGGGAAGATGAAGGAGTGCCCTTCCTAGTCCCTACTCCCTTATGTATGTACCCTCTCAGCGGTAGAAGCCCGTCAATCAAGGAACGCCCCAAACACCCACCCTATCCTCAGCCCCTCGCCGCAACTCCGCGTGCGACTTCCAGGAGAATCACCACAAGGCATCGCTGTCCACCAGCTGATTCCCTTCCGGTCCGGAACCGCCCCACATCTTCCTCTTCCGCCCATGCTCGACAGGCGCTGTAGCCCACATCGTCGAATCCAGACCAGGACTGTCTTGCGCAGCGAGGAAGGGCACAGCATGCGTCGGTGACGCGTCGTGCGGAACTCGCTGATGCACAGGATAATTCCTCGGGGACATGAGCGGCGGGACCGGTGGCGGCGGTACACCCTGGGGTGAAGGATGCGCCGGGAGGCCCGGCGTCATTCCCGCCGCCCTGGAAGCCGACCCCGGGCTGAAGCGGGGCGATGTAGAAGAAGGAGACGGATACGGCAGCGAGATGATGCGCTTGTTGATCGGGTAACTCCGGTTCCGGCGATGCCGGCGGCGTCGCAGGGGGAGGTCGTCGGGCCGGTCGGAGGAGGAGGAGGAGGCGATGGGAGATGTCGCTGCCCAGGCGGCGACGCCGAACGCTCTTCCCGCGGGACAGACGGTAAAGATAAGGAGGGCGACGAGGACGAGGGCGTCGTCGAGCAGAAAGGCGGCGACCTGCGAACGGGCAAAGGCGCTGGTCAAACCGCTGGCAAAGATGGCGATCCGCACAGCTGTTCGGACCATGAGAAGCCACGCAGCCACTTGGACGCCTAGGCAGATCTCAGCATGCAAAACAGTTGCTAGGGGTGGATACTATATGGATATGCGAACTTACAGATCATGAAGTTCTTGAACCGCCTGGATGTATAGACGAGCGAGAATCTCTCGTCGAGGATGTATCGGCGATGGGCGAGCCTGTATCGGAAGTAGCGATATGTTCCCAGGAAAGTAAGGAGGCTGATGGCTTGGATGGCAAGACCCGCCAGCAGGATGCCCACACCCTGAGCAACCTAGGTACTTAGTCCCGGTCAGTTGGATGACCGCAATGCCAGTTGTTGTTGTCAGGGGTATGGGTACGGACCTCGGTGGCGGTGTTGGCTGTGGAGGCGAAACCGATGCCAACTGACTGGAACGCCAGCATGAAGATGTCGAGCACGAAGAAGAAGAAGCTCAGATAGACGGGGTCTGACACGAGCTGGAACTCTTCGCCGTAGAGGACCATCACATGGGGAAGAACGAGGTTGGCGGCAGATCCGACCAGAACGGCGCCCCAGTGCGTGCCCATGAGGTAGACGGCCGAACTCGCATGACTGGCCGGATCCGCCGTCAAGAAGATCCTCCCGACATGGCCACCCACCTCGACAAGGAGGGCGGCAACGAGGAGAGCCGAGTGGAGATGGGTTTTGTAGCGGAGCCCGGCGTATGAGACAGGCAGGAGCAGGGCGACGACGGCCGCAAGCACAACGGCGTTACCTGCCGGCGCTGCTCCGTATGGCAGAGAGCCTGCCGGGACGGCGCAGGCCTCGCCCGAGCAGTCTCCGACTACCAGCATGATGCCGGGCCAGATGGAGATGCGCTCGCTCTCGCCCTTAAGGATGGTGGCGCGTTGGGTCCGGCATCAGTCGGCGGACGTGGGGCTGGCAACCGGCACGTGCAAGGAGAGAAAAGCAAACGAAGAGCATCGGTTTTATAGTTCATCCATATCCCGCAGCGAGCGATCATGATAGCAGCGTGGTAGATAACATCATGTGCGCTCGACAAACGGCGGGCCCGACGGCCTGGCACTGAGGTTGCCATGGCGCTTAACATGCAGCACTGGGGGTTGGGCGGGAGAACGGTGAGGACCATCGGGCACTGCGCACCGCTCCTTGCAAGGCCTAACTCGGCCCGGGTCCCTCAGGGGTCAGTGGCACACGGTTCACCTGTAGAAGCAACTGCTGGTGCCATCAACTACAAAGACGATTGAACCACATAGAACTCGGGATCCTGTCTCACAGCAAAGCATCGTCAAGTCCTTCCAGGCACTGCGGGTCAGGTAGCCTAGGCCTATCCGGACACGTGCCATGCTTCAGGTGGCCGAAGCATCGAGCTTGCAAGTTGTAACACGCCCAGTGGCGATATAACTCGGCGACCCTGGAACGACAGAGTTTTGCTGGTCTCTTTCGGCAGGCAGCTTTGTCGTTGGCGGCCGATGGGGCTCCGGGTCACCCGCCGTATCTGGAGGCATGGTGTTTTGACAACTCTGTTCACAGATCAGGAGAGGGCTGCGTCGCGCCACGGCTGCGCTCGATTGGCTACTGCCATGCAAGTGATAAGTGTTGTTGGTTGTTGGTTGTTGGTTGTTTGGCGTGCAACCTCACCAAGAACCATCTTGTCCATCACACGCCAATCGGGAGTGGACTTGACGGCAAAGGATGAATAAGGTCCTGCGACGGCACAAACATCCTTGCCCGCGGAGTGCAGTCTGCACAGTGTGAGACTCGTACCGTGGAGATCTGCCAGTCAAAGGGGGAAGCGCTCCGTATGAGTTGAGATGCGGACGGCAAGTGCCTTGAGAGATCTTCCAGGGGGGTTTTACTTTGGTAGATGTGAGCTTTTGCTTGTGGGAGGTTGGGAAGAGCCTGTTTGATGGGATGGCTGAAGTTCAGTTGAAGTTGGCACCGGGCAGATAAGCATTGCGATTTGTACCGTATCCCGTACTGTGCACGATAGATCATCGGCTGCTTGATCGAAAGCACAATCGTCACGGTCCCCGGGGTCCCTGATTGCCCGGTTTATTATGCGGGTCACGTCGGTAGTACATACGTAATTGGTCATTTTGACGGGGCATGAATCTAGGAAAAAAGGGAAACCGAAAAGCAGATACATATTAGTTCCTGAGACACTGAACACGTTCGTTTGCGGTAATTTGCTTCTGGTAGCCATCAACAGGAGGCAACAGCTAGATGAGAAGAGGGCTGGCGGAGGCTTGGCGTTCTGCGTCACGGCCTCGTTTCGTCACCTCGACAGATCGCGTCCATGTACGAGATGCGACGCTTCGTCGGTCTGCATGTCTGCGGCACTTCGGCGCGTATGCACCTCTCTGCCGCGATATCGCACCAACAGACGCGCGGATCAAGGGCCTGGGCAGAGAGATCGACGGCGAATACGCCGTGCTGAGAGACAACTACGGTATGCGACATGCGACCCCAGAATGCGAAAAGCTGTGGAAGTTATCTACCTTATGCTGTTGGTGCGAGGTTGACACGTTGCGCCTTTAGAGACGCCCAAGCACCCCATCGTGCTTGCCCACGGTTTGCTGGGATTTGCCGAGCTGAAGCTGGCTGGTTCCTTTCTGCCTAGTATTCACTACTGGCGCGGCATCAGGGAAGCCCTGAGCGCCAACCATGCCGAGGTCATCACCGCGTCCGTGCCCCCAAGCAGCTCCGTTGAGAAGCGGGCGGCCAAGTTGGCAGAGGATATCGAGGCCCAGGCCAAGGGCAAGAGCGTCAACATCATCGCCCACAGCATGGGCGGCCTGGACGCGCGATACATGATATCGCAGCTGCATCCCGCCGGCGTCGACGTGAAGTCTCTCACCACCGTCGCCACTCCACACCACGGCAGTCCCTTCGCCGACTACCTGATCAACGGCATCGGGCCAGATTACCTGCCTCGCCTGTATGATGTCTGGCAGCGGATGACGGGCTGGGAGGCCAGCGCCTTTGAGCAGCTGACAACGCGGTACATGGCTGAGGAGTTCAACCCCAAAACACCCGATGTCCCAGCCGTGCGATACTTCTCCTATGGCGCCATGGTCAGGCACAAGCCGCCGCTGCTCAGCCCGTTCCGACACTCCCATCACGTTATCGAGAAGCGAGAGGGCCCCAACGACGGCCTCGTCAGCGTTGACAGCAGCAAATGGGGGGATTACAAGGGGACCCTGTTGGGCGTCAACCATCTGGATCTGATCAACTGGAGCAACAGGCTCCGCTTCACGGTCCAGAAGTTGATGGGCCATCCGCCATCGTGAGTCTTGTTGTGTGCAGCAGTTCCCCCTTACATGCCGTTCCTTCCTAACACGGGCCTGCCGTCTAGTTTCAATGCAGTTGCCTTCTATCTTGACATTGGCGACATGCTCGCCAAGGAAGGGGTGTAGATGGAACCGGAAGCAGTGATCTCCGACGCTGCCTGATGGGTGATTTTGCTCGATGGCGCCGAAGGGAGCCGTCAATATGACTCTGGCCATCATGGTGAACCCCCCTGAGCCCCTCAAGCCTGGAAGCCGAGTTTACCGTCAACCCATCTTGTTCTTAGGCGCGAATATGCTCCCTTCCTGGCGATTCTTGCTCACTCGGATACCTGCTCTAAAGAGTGCCGAGTTCAAAAGTTCAGCCCGGCTAGCGGAGTGTCGCGTAGGACACGTACCACTGTTACCTTCGCCACACATGGGGCACCCCGTCGAGGGACTTCACCATCTTACGTCAGTGGCTGGATTGCCCAACCAAACCGGTAGGCTGCTCCTTTGGGACGTATGTGAGGGAATTCGGGCCATCGACGGGGGTGTGGCGCGCCAACTTTTGCCGTGGTCCCTTTCATAGATGACCAGGTTTAGCCGACGCCCTGGGAAAGAACGAGGACCCTCGCACAGGTCGTCTATATCCATCGCCCCTTCACCGCTCCTGAACACATGTTGGGCAGCCTTTCCGTGTTTGGGCCGTTTCGGGACACAAACACGTGGTGGCTCTGGGGACTGGGCGCAGAAATCATCAGCCCGTTTCACGGCGTACGGGCTGGTGTTCCACCATGGTGCCTCTAGCTGACAGGTCGAAGAACGGAATCGCGTATAGCTAGGGTTGGATAGTTAGATATGCTCCGAACTCGCAATGGATCCCGCGGGGCATAACGGCGGAACAGCGCAGCATACCCTCACGTGAGGAGAAAATACGGACGCTCGGGAAGGCCGTCGACATGGAGGGGACCTTGACTGCAGCGGTGCAAGAATTGCGGAGTTCGTTGTGGCTCATGGTTCTGTTGGTTCACTACTAGTAGTCGTTCATAAACCTGGCCGTTGAAGGCATTGAGAACCAAGGATCAAGCAGACAGACACGTACAAACAGGTGTTGTGCAAGCGATACGGTTGCATCATGTGTGTAGGTAGGTGCATTGGAGAAGAAGTGCCTGCATAAAACATACCAGGTAGGCACCTAGCCTGCCGGTCCTATAGCAGAGCCGTTGCAGTGCATGTTAACAACAACGATATATGTCAGCCTACACGACCGGCCTTCTACGAATCCAGATGGTCCACCAGCCACCGGCCCTCAACGGGTTTCGACCAAGCTCCTTCCTATTTAAGCGTCAGTCAAGGACTCAAGGTGCTCTCCATGATACTATAATCCGCGTCGGGCACAGAGTTCGCCATGTATAGGATACAACGTCAATCTGCGAACGGTATTGCCTGCCATTGTTCGACGGCGTGTAGTTAGGTACCAGGTTAGAGAGTTGGCAGTGAGCGAACCCCGGAGTGAGTGCAAGTGATGCCCACGCGGCCGTGTCGAGAAGCTTGGCATCGAGTTTGACTCAGGAAGGAACCTGGAAGCCAGCTCTCAAGACCAGGACATGCGACATTTAATGGCAGGCGCTGCTGAAGTTAACGTAACACCATTCCGGCCCAGTGACCTTCTTTTCAGGTTGCATCTGACGAAGAGACTTGGAGTAGTGGAGGATTCGGTGGTGCCTGTGCACGGGGGTCTCGCCGAGCCGGGGATGAGAGATCATCGGGCGCCTTTCCTTCCCAGGAATAGCGGCGGCTTCCCCGCAGAGCTTGAACTTGAGCCCCTGTAGACCCACGACTTCACATCGTCTTTACAATCCAAGTCGTCGATGCATCCTTCACAAAGCGGCCATGATGGAAGGGTACAGAAAGGTGAGGTGCGATAGTAAGCAGGCCGAATGCAGCTGCTGAGGCAAGACAAATACGCGTATCTATACTCATTTTGCCGACGGCTTATATTACACAGAAGCTCTTATAAGATTTCGGATTTCAGCTCCCCGCGGACTGGAACCCAACTCACAGACCCGCTTGAGCACGGTCACGTCAACGTCACACTCTCTGAATGGATCTATCGCCTTACCTAAGGTACCATAGATGTGTGGGTAGGGGCTCCGAAGGACTGCCGTTGACTTGCTGCTGCTTTGCCCCGCATGAAATCCATCTTTCGGACGCTCGGTTCAACCAAGGTTACCTGGTAGCCGGGACCTTGAGCTTTCTACAGTTATTAGAGCCCTCCCGAGTTTACTGAAATTTAAGTCTGTTGCCAATTTTGGCCCCCGAACTTGTGGTAGGTCGCCCCTTTACGGCGGAAATGCATTCAGCTGCCCCTGGCCCGGAACTCCTTGCACTCCACCGACTTGAGTGTGCGCCCACACTGGGCATGTCACAACATAGAACCTCTCATATGGGATGGCTGGGCATGTGACACAAAGCTGCGGTCTCCTGTATGTACTACATCACGCAGACCCGGCCTGATGCTCATGACTTACCTACCCAGGTCCCACATCTGCCGGAACAAGCGGCGGCCCCTGACAGCTGAGATCAAGCACACGGCGTCTTTCTCCTTGGAATGCACGTGTCTAAGACTTGTTACGACGATTAGAGCATAGTCCAGGTTACTCACTACCACCTTCTTCTTCCAGAAACCATTCGGCTCCCGGGATGGCGGATGACGCTGCGAACGATACCTGCGGACTCAGAGTGTTCGTCTCTCCTGCTGTATCACATGCTGGTGAGTTTCGTCTCATTATCCTGTACCTGCCCTCGTACAGCTTTCAATACCGCTGTTCGTCTACAAAAGCCTTCGAAACCCGACCTCCCTTCCCATCTCGGGCACCTGGATCTCAACCAGCTTGGGCCCTTACCAATAACCCGAGCTTTTCCAAGACCTTCGCCCGGTGTTTGCTTGCTTGCTTGCTTGCAAACCGGGGTTAACCGGGGTTTATTTACGAAGTGGGAGTATCCGGAGCCGGAAACCCTCGTCTTCCCGGCCTCACTTCTCCATTGCTTTTCCTTCGCCCAACACCCTCCCTGCCACGCTGCAGTCTTTTTTGACTTTGGAGCCATGCAATTCCTGACAGCCGTGGCCGCCCTGGTCACCATGGCGGCCAACACTGTTGCTGCCGCCTCGACCTTCAAGCCTGCCAGACCCCCTGCGGTACCCCTTGCCGTGAGATCGCCGTATTTGAATGCCTGGCTTCAAGGGGGGTCCTCTGGCGCAATCCTCCCGGGCTCCTGGCCGCGGCACTGGACGTAAGGAACCCTTCCTTGTCGTTGACGTTCTCTAAATAAGTTTCTGACGGCTGATTCTGCATGTGCATAGGGGAAATATCCTGGGCTGGCAGGGCTTGGTGGCGGTTGATGGGGTCACCTACAACTGGCTGGGCGCGGCGCCGGGCCCGGCACCGGTGAACCAGGTGTCACTCGAGTACACCTCGACGAAGAGCATCTTCACCTTCGACGTTTCCGGAAAGGTTACCATGACAGTAACCTTCCTATCGCCTGTCTATCCCGACGACTTGGCGAGGCAATCTCTGCAGTTCTCGTATATTTCCGTGAAGGCGAGATCCTCCGACGGGGCGTCACACAGTGTCCAGGTTTATATGGATGTGTCTGGAGGTAGAATACAATTCCTCCGCCCCCTCCCTTGTGGTCCATGTCACTCTGCTAACAAGACCAACAGAATGGGCTAGCGGGGACGTTTCCCAGATCGTCGAGTGGAATTCCAGCCAAGCAGGCGATATCGTCTACCACAAGTTCTCGCGGCAAACGCAAGAGCAATTCAAGGAGAACTCAGAGATCGCCAGCTGGGGTGACTGGTATCTGGCCACCCGTTCGGACAGCGGTGTAAGTTTTCGACTCTTCGCTCGCTCGCTCCTAGGAAGACACTGTGCCATTATGGGGCAGAAGCTAACACAACTGTGGCAGTTGACCTGGCAGATTGGCGCCGACACGGCGGTGCGAGGCCAATTTAAAAACAGCAGGATTCTTGCCAACTCAAAGGAGGCGAACTTCAGAGCCGTGAATGATCAATGGTGAGCTCTGGGGACCCATGACCCGCATAGGTGCTTCAAGATGACCGAGCTGACTATTTGGAAGGCCAGTATTCGCATTCTCCCACGACCTCGGAAATGTGAGCCAAAACGATGTGGAGAGGGTGTTCACCCTCGGCCTCATCCAGGATCAAGTCATCAACTTTGCCGGCCTGAGCGGCCAGTTGGGGCCGGTGCCGGGCCTGTGGAGATCCTACTACCAAGACGACACTTCGGCCGTTACGTCTTTCTACAACGACTATCCACACGCACTCGAAACATCCTCAGCCCTCGATGAGAGGATCCAGACGGACTCGGAGAATGCTGCAGGAAAGGACTACGCCGTCGTTACCACACTCGCCGTTCGCCAGACCTTCGGCGCGCTTCAGTACGCCGGTACGCCGTCGAAGCCGTACATCTTCCTCAAGGAGATCAGCTCGAACAGTGACATACAGACCGTCGATGTCATCTTCCCCGCGTACCCGATTTTCATGTATCTCAATGCAACCCTCGGCAAATATCTGCTTGATCCGCTGTATGAGAACCAGGAAAGCGGAGCGTATCCGAACGCTTACGCTGAACACGACCTCGGAACCTTCCCCGTAGCCAGGGGCTACCCGGAGGGGAATGACGAGCCTATGCCCCTGGAGGAGTGCGGAAACATGATCATCATGACGCTGGCCTATGCGCAGCGCGCTAGAGACACGGCATACCTGTCTGCCCACTATCCTAAGCTAGCCGGGTGGGCGCAGTTTTTGGTGGAGGAGTCGCTGATCCCGGCGAGCCAGCTCAGTACCGATGACTTTGCGGGAACCTTGGCGTAAGTTTTCTTTCTCGGCAAAGCTGTGGTGACGACTCCGGTGTTGACAATGCAATCTCCCCTATGCAGCAACCAGACAAACTTGGCCATCAAAGGAATCATCGCTCTCAAAGCCATGTCCCATATCGCACAGCTTACCCACAATAATGATACCTTCTGCGAAGTCGCGGATAGATATCTGGAGGGCTGGAAAGAGTTGGGCATCAACTCGCAAGCGAACCCGCCTCACACGACGCTGAGCTATGGGGACAACGACAGCCATGGTGAGCATCCCCTTGCCCTTTAACGCCCCCGGTGACGACGCCTGTGACGGAACGCTAACCCCTTTTTCAGGCCTCCTCTACAACATCTACGCCGACAAACTCCTCAATCTCAACTTCGTGGACCAGTCCATCTTCGACATGCAGAGCAACTTCTACCCGACCGTGGCCAGCGAGTATGGCGTGCCCCTCGACACGCGGCACACCTGGACCAAGTCGGACTGGGAGATGTTTGCGGCGGCCGTCGCCAGCGAGTCGACGCGGGACATGTTCATCTCCAAGCTGGCCAACTGGGTCGGCACGACGTCGACGGACCGGGCCATGACCGACCTGTACGACGCCGTCACGGGCGCATATCCAGCTAATGGGCCGACGTTCGTGGCGAGGCCCGTCATGGGAGGGATGTTTGCCTTGCTGGCTCTGCGCCACTGATTTCGGACGGATGAACCGGTTATTGCGCTGCTTTGCAGTACCCGTAGTAGGCTGAACATCGCCTGCGCCACGTGGATGAGGATGCGGTTTGCACTGCTTTGATAAACTTTGGACGGGGAGGCTGGCTGCACGCCGAGTCTGGAGCGTCTATCTAATAATAAGTCTCCTGAGTTGCTCTTACTAGCCAGATACTTTAATCGACGTAATAAAAAAACTTGACTGGGCAGACCCCATGTCGCTGTGACTGTGAGTACATCGTTGGAGTGCTTTGGTCGGTTTGGATACCACCTAATTGACATTCACCTGCCAATTACCTGACACTGGCAGTGTTCCGGACGTTCCACAAAGCTGCTGTTGAATATATGCGGTCAAAGACGGTACTTGACTTCAAGCTTAATAACCTAGGTACCTAGGTGCGTGACCTACGGTAGCCAGGGGATACCTACCAGGTAGTGAATACCTCAGCTGAGGGTAATCATATCCGAGGCAAGCAAGTCCTCGAGTGGTATGATGTGGTTCGATGGCATTGGGACAAGCTGAACTTCCATTCGTTAGACTGTCCGTTGGGTGTCATTTCACAGTCGGCACTTGACCCGACTGCTGCATGGCAGTTGCATGCTGAGCAGAGATCATGAAGCGATCCGAGCATAAAATCTGCGCCAGTACTAGAGTACCGTACTAACATCGTACGAGATCCCATTAACATTTACGACTTGATGGTACTTGTAAGTAAAATACATTGTACAGGTGCGTACGGCCTCTGGCCAACAAGCCTCTTCAGCTTGTGCCTCCTCGCAAATGTGCCTAGTGACTCGACAGCACATCCAAATGATACTAAGCAGACTTAAAAAGTAAATGGAAACTTAGAGGCACTCCACAGAAGCGTAGAGATATCTTTCTGGTCAAATCTCAATGTCGCAGTGAACTTCGCTACGTGTGCCGAGTGTAACGTACTGAATTACAGAATCCTCTGAGCGGGCCACCCAAGTGCACGGACAGTCGCAGTGACGAAACCCCACCTCCACCCACTTAGACGACGGTCATCAACCTTCATTTGCACCTTGAGGACTCGCTGTTCACGACATTCAAGAAACGGGAAAGCGGCAACATCAACAATTACGGTGATTTTAAACACGGCGGTAATTTCTGAGCGGCCTTTGCTCGCAGTCCGCAAAAGATACCTACCGATTCGGAGTCGCATTGACCGACAGACAGTCACTCAAGTCAGGCGCGATCATGAACCCGCACCAGGCAAAGAAAATCGACGTCAAGGTGAGTCGCCAGCACAACGAAAAGGCTCGGAAAGCATGCATACAATGCTACTCGCTCTGATCTCCACCCTCGCATCCGCTGAATCCCGTTGCTGATATGACCCGACCACGCAGTCCCTCTCCCCGGAGGAGCAGCGGCTCTTCCGTCTCTACGGTAAACTGCCTAGCCGCAGCGACCACTTTGCCAAGCACCTCAAGGAGCGCAAATATTTTGACAGCGGCGACTACGCCATGAGCAAGGCTGGAAAGGGCGACAGCGTCGACACGGGCGCAGTAGGCAGCCAGCATCCCGTGCCCGAGAACATCCCCCATCTGTCGAGCCCCGTCGGCGGACCCAACGGTATCGGCAGCGTGCTGCACCCGCACCATCACCACCAACACCACCCCGGCCTGCAAGCCGGATCCCCTGTCAAGGAGAGCAGCTTCCTGCACCGCGAGACTAGCGCTGAGGACAGCGAGGGCACTCCCGGCTCCGAGGAGCAGCAGCAGCAACAGCAGCAGCAGTCACCTGAAGCAACAGCCTCAGCGACCGCCGGCGAGCAGCAAGAGATACCTGTCCGGCGGTGAGCTTCCGCCGTCCGACTGGCAGGCTAAGGAGACCCTCTCTTGATTTCGGTCCCGCTGCTACTACAGGCCACAATGACATAGGCTGAGTCACTTGACCATGTGTCTCGTGTACCGTCAGAAATTGTGACACTTCAGAACTCATGAGACAACGGGAAAACGATTGTGGCGTTGATGCTTTGGCTCTCGCCGATGATGATGATGGCAAAGGAGGATAACGAGGGCCGATCGGACCGGGCCGGGATTTGGCTTTGCTATTTTTGTACTGATGCCGCCGTGACGCGGATTCTGTTTGGCTTCCATTACACACTGGCCGGTACTCATCACCTTTTAACCATTGGCACCTCTCTGCCTGCTCCCTGTAGTTTACGACGGACTTGGGGAATCAGCGTGCTTGAGATTGCGTCGTGAAGAACGACGAGATGGAGGGGCGCGGGGACATGGCAGCGATAGTCTCAGACTGGAGTTTCTTGCCATCCGAACAAGTGTAGGTAGGGCTTCCCTTGCACGTATAAGGAAGTAAACTGTTCTCTCGCGGCAGCGATTGCCGGCAAGTCCTCCATGGAACGGCTGGATCATGCTCTCTTCAGCTTCTGTTTTGATCGAGCTGTCTCGCAGCCAAGGCCGGCTTCCATCCTTGTGCCGAGGACCACCATATCCCCTTCTCGGCGCCGGAAGTAAGGTAGTGCGGAGCGCTCTCGCTGCCCGACGATACCCGACCAAGAACCGACCCGCTTGGGCAGCGACAAACCAAATAACCATGCCTTGTGCTGGACTTTTACATCTCGAGCGCTTTCTTCGCCATGGCTAGCGCACCCTCAAAGCTCTTGTTGCCGCCGATGAAGCCGGAAGCATGCACAAAAACGGAGCCGCTCACACCGGAAATCCCATCCAACTCCTCATCACGGAATCCCCTCCATGACTCAGGCAGCGGTTTCCTGCTCTCGAACGAGTCCTTGGCAACCGGCACACACTGGATCCTCCACTTGGCGTCGGGGACCGGTTTCTCCGGGTAGAGCACGTAGAGAACCTGGCCGCCCTCGGGCTTCTGCTCCTCCAGGCTGTAGAGGTGGTCCTTCCAAGGCGCCGACTGCCGTTTTAGCACCAGAATGCGGCCCTTGCTGTCGTACTCAACCCGCCCCGCAAACGCCTCGGCAACAACCTCCCGTGCGGGCAGCCACGCCCGCGTGAAGTAGTCCAGATCGCGGTCAAACTCCTCACCAATGCGCTGGCTGGCCAGCTCGAATCGCCTGTCCTCGGCCTCCTGAGCCGCCACCGGATCCTCGGGCATCGGGTCGTTCCAATTGGGGTTGAGCCGGCCGACCATAGCCCCGAGCGTGAACCCGCCGTCGGAAAACTTCTTCTGCAGCCCCGCCGCCGCGAGCGCCGCTGAGTCGTAGACATTGATGCCGTTGTCATGCGCATCCAGCGCCTCGATGAAGCTCTCGTAGATCTTGCGCCACACCATGTCGACCTGCTCGCTCTCCTGGGGCTGCGCCAAGCGGCGCGCAATGATCTCGCGCCCGAAGTGCATGTACACCAGCCCAGCGCTGCTCAGCTTGGTCGGGCGGCCGGGGAAGAAGGTGCCGAAGGACCGCTGGTGATGATCGTAGCGGTTGCGGGCAGGATCGTACTCGCCGCCGACGTCGACAACGGTGTGGCACTCGTCCAGCAGCTTCGGGTCGCGCGTGCGCACGAGCTTTGCGCCCGAGTACGTTGGGATGTGGGTTCGCAGCATGTAGACTGCCAGCGCCTCGTCCGCGTGGAAGTGGCCATTGTGGGTGCCAATGGCAACCACGCCGTTCTCTGTCTTGAGGCGCTTTGCTGCGTTTTCGGCCATTCTGAGGGCGAGCGAGCGGAGCATGCAACAATAATGGGTTTGGGGTGGCTCAGTTTGGTGAGAGTCTCCAAGTCGGAAGCCGTATCGTAATTTGTGTTTCGCCTCTCCGGAATGAAGCAACAAGTGCGGAATTCACAGACTGCGGAAACTTTCAATTGCGAGCTGTCATTACAGTGTAATATCGATCCCTGACCACTGTAACCCAGCCAAGCAATCCTTGGCATTTCAGTTAATACGCCAGCGGTATGCGTAAGCGAGAAGAATATCTAGGGGAAGGCATGGAAAAACATCTCTACTCCTATGACAGGAGTGTGCAAAGCAACCACAAGAATCTAGCAAACATATATGTACTGTACAATTAGAACAAAGCAATGGAGAGGTATTCGTTTGAAATACGGATACGCCATTCTTCGTGGCTATCGTTACGGGCACAACGGCGGTAAATTCGATCGGTTCCGTATTCATACGATGTATCCGTCGTAATATACTTACAGCCGCCGTAAAGGTTACGGTAATAACCGTTCGGAAACCTAGGCAACTCCCTTGCGGAACAGGGGATCGAGTTCAAACGCGCCATCCAGCACGATGGAGGGATGTCGGGTAATCAACGCCTCAGCCTTCCAACCCCAACACATCATGAACCAGCACGGACCTGCCAACACTCCAGATCCAAACGCCGCTGCAAATTGATTCTAATCCCCATCCTCAATTCCCCACAACATTCGAACCAAAAGCCCATCGAAGGTTCATACTCTAGACACGAAACAGCTACATGGAAGGCGCTCCGCGCAGCCGACTCGACATGAAAGTTAAAGCTGAAGACGATTCTGGCGATGTAAGAATCCCAGACGACAAGCCCACGTACCGGTCGTGGAAGAAGAAGTATCGCAAGATGCGTATCATTTTCGACCAAAAGATGCACGAAGGCGAGGAACTTCATAGATTGGAGCAAAAAGCGTTGGCCACAGCCCGGAGGCTCGCGGTACAAAAAGAGCACGTTTGTCATTCTTTTGCTCCGCACATGATGGCGTTGCTGACACTTCTTGCAGCCGGTTACTCGATCTTCTTCTGGACGTGAACAACTCGCCCCAGATCCCGCCCGAAAAGCAAATTGACCTTAGCCTGGACGTGCCCTCCGAGGATGACGCCCTCATTCTCGACATCGACCGGCCGTCTACTACACGGCAAGGTGGTCCGGCACCGGCCACTTCCTATAAGAGACTCCTAGAGGAAGTGCCACATTTCACATTCTCTTCCGCACCCGAGCGTTTCCCAGAACTCCTCGCAGATCTCGAAGCCGGCCGAGACTCTCCCGCCGATCCGGGCCAGGGCCAATCGCACCCTCCTTCTTTCCTCACTGCCGATGACATCGACAACTACATCTGGGAACTAGACACACATCTTGGACATGAAGATGCCGCCAATGGCAGTGGGAGAAAAGACTCGGGGCTGCTGCCCACTCTCGCCCCGCTTGCCCACGCCGACCGCGCGAACCCGAAGGACGCTCAGCGCGACTTCGCCATACGGAACCCGACCTCGGTATACAACTGGCTGCGCAAGCACGCTCCCAAGACCTTTTTGCAAGACGCCGAGCACGACAAGGATGCCGGCAAGGAGAATGGGGACGACGGCCACGGTCCCGGTTCCGCACGTCGCGGCAAGGGCGAGCGTGCCCCGCGCGGCACAGGCTCTACACGTGCCAAGAGGGCGAGCGCAGCACATACCCGCGCAGCGGCCGCGGCGGAGAGCTTTGAGGATCTGGACGATGAGTTCGGCTACGGCGGAGTTGCCGCGACGCCTAGCACTGTGGGTGGTGGCGGCGGCGGGAAGGGGAAGAGGAAGAGAGTCGTGGATGATGACCCGGGCTACAGGCCCAAAGGCGGCTCTAGTCGGCCAAACAAGAAGAAGCGGAAGAGCGAGGGTGTGGAGAAGACGCCGACGTCCAATGGCCCGCGGAAGAGCGGACCTACCCTCTGGTCTGCGCCTAATGATGATTGATTGCTCGAAGGTGTCATCTCGTCCCTAGCGAGCGGACTGCTCGGAAACCGGGTAAGATCACGTTCAGAAGATGGACCACGGCCATGCTTTACGGGCAATTCAATGACCCGACTTTTACGCAATTTTTGAAGCCGACACAACGGCTGGCGGTACTTGTTTTTGTTTCAAAATCGCTCAGTATGAGGACGGTGGCGGCGGCGTTATTCGGCCCGGATCGTTATGGAGTTATTGGTCTTCAGCATCGTATATTAATGAACCTTTCGCGGCAGTACAGCGTAGGGCCCGCTGGTCGTCGCATAAGGCTTGGTGTACCGGGTATGAAGGTTATATGTGACGAGAACAGCCAACCTGGGATTGTATCATTGACTGCCCCGAAAAGTGTCTATATACAGGAATTCGTCTGTCACACGGCCGGCAACGCCCTATGTATGTACATGGTACGCTAGCAGTGCGTTATGCAAATGACCCCACGGCAGGAGAGACGCATCCAGAATGACCCTCGACATGCAATGCGGGATCTAAACGATTCAAACCACTGACTGCTCTTCCAAGGTGTAACCAAACGCGAGCCTAGCGCCTGAGAGGGCTGGCTGACAGTTTGCGGGTGTCAACGCGGAAGATGATCATCTCCATTCCGATGCAGCACTGAAGCTTGAAGTGGCCCGAGTTTCTCAGGCCAGCATTCGCCTGCGTCATCAGCCTTCTTAGAGCTTCTCCTTCAAGCTCTGCTTCAGCCTCCTCTCGACGGCGCTGAGGTACTCGCTTGTGGTGACATAGTCCTCACGAGCGGTCTTGCCACACGCAAGAGCCAAGTCCTTGGTCATGATGCCGTCAATGTCCACCGTGTCAATGCAAGCCCGTTCGAGGCTCTCGGCGAAGGCAACAACCTCCGGGGTCCCGTCCATCTTGCCACGCTGGATCAAGCCACGAGTCCAGGCGAAGATGGAAGCAATGGGGTTGGTGGAGGTCTCACGGCCCTTCTGGTGTTCGCGGTAGTGGCGGGTCACGGTGCCGTGGGCGGCTTCAGACTCGAAGGTCTTGCCATCCGGGGTGATGAGGACCGAGGTCATCAAGCCCAGGGAGCCGAAGCCCTGGGCGACAATATCCGACTGGACGTCGCCGTCGTAGTCTGCCGGCCAGGTCAGTACTTATCCATGTCGAACAGGCCAAAAGAAATGCCAGCGCAAAGCGAGAAACCCACTCTTCAGCGCCATAATGTAACCGCCGCTGCTCTTGATCATCTGAGCGACCATGTCGTCGATCAGACGGTGCTCGTACCAAATGCCGTTGGCCTCGAACTCGGCCTTGTACTGGGTATCGTACAGCTCCTGGAAAATGTCCTTGAAGCGGCCGTCGTACTTCTTAAGGATCGTGTTCTTCGTACTCATGTACAGGGGCAGCTTCTTGTCCAGGGCAAGCTTGAAGCTGGCATGGGCAAAGCCGGTGATGCTCTCATCGGTATTGTACTGGGTCTGCGAAACACCACCGCCGTTCTTGAACTGGAACACCTCGATCTCTTGCGGCACGCCGCCTGTGGGGGTGTAGACCATGCTGAGCTTGCCCGGGCCCGGGACAACCAAGTCCTTCGCCCGGTACTGGTCGCCGAAGGCGTGGCGGCCGATGATAATCGGCTTCTTCCACCCCGGCACGAGGCGAGGGATGCGCGGAATCACGATGGGCTCACGGAAGACAGTGCCCCCGAGCGCATTGCGGATGGTGCCATTCGGCGAGAGCCACACTGCCAAGCGCAGGCGCGAATTCGCAGGTTAGCCTAGCCATATGGAACTTACTCTTCGGCCAAAAAGAAATGACCGAAGGGGGCACAGCTAGAACCGGGCGGCGCAAGAGGGGAGGGAGGGGCCGGGGGGGGGGGGGGGGGGGCGGGCACATACTCTGCTTGAGGTTGAACTCCTTGACACGGGCCTCATCGGGGGTGATGGTCGCGCACTTCACGCCGACCGAGTACTTCTTGATGGCCTCGGCGGCATCCAGGGTGACTTGGTCGTTCGTCTCGTCGCGGTACTCGAGGCCAAGGTCGTAGTACTTGAGGTCGATATCCAGGTAAGGAAAGATGAACTTCTCCTTGATGTCCTTCCAGATCACGCGGGTCATCTCGTCGCCATCGAGCTCGACGACAGGGTTCTTGACCTTGATCTTGGCAGGTGCGTCGGTGGCCATGGTGCGCCGGCTGGGCTGGTAGTGGACGAAGAGAGTGGAGGCTCGTGGCAAGGACGACGCAGGTGTCGCACGGAAGCTGCAAGAAACCGGAGTGACGGCGGCACGAGCCCAGGCTGGCGCACGAAGGAGAGGAGCACGGAAGGCGGCGGTTGCGACTGACGACATAGTGGGAAAGAAGGGAGGAGGAAAGGCGGACCACGGCAGTATATGAAAGATGACGGATGGTGAGACGCGCCGGGTCGGGCCGGCCGTGGGCAGCAGTCGGGCTATCGGAGCTGCAGTTGGCAAGTGGGACGCCTGAAGCCCGGTGAATGAGAACCGAGGGAAGGAGCAGCGACGGCAGCTCGAAGCGACTGTTGATTGGGCGTGTTGTGTGGGCCGCGGCAAACTATCCGGCAGAGAGGAACTTATTATTGAGATCCGCAACGAGAGATCGAGACTACAGCACACTGTAGGAGAACCCGAAGCCAGCCGTTGCCAACGCTGTACGGAATCTGATCGTGACACAAAATCCGGCTTTGCTTAGCGGGGTATTTGGGGGAAAGCTAGAAGAAGAGGGAAATGTCAGTGGAGGGATGGTGATTAACCGGCCGATATATATATACGTACAATACAAGTTGAGCCACTTATTATCCGAAGTGTCCAGATGCGGGTTCCCCAGATAGAATCTGAAATGTGTGGTGCAAATTCAATCCGGTCATTGACGTCCCGCACGGTGCTATGTGTCTGAGCGTGTGTAGTACTCTTTTAAGAGTTGGCGTCACCCCGTCAGTCATCAACGCAAAGGCAAACTCTTCCCGAAATCGGGGCATGAGGAGATCGAGCAACGGACCGAAGTACTGTACCTTACCCCACTGAGTAACCTCAAAGCGGAGACTGGGAGCTGTGCAGGTCCAAGGATTGCGGGGTACCGTTGCCGAGCCGGCGGCGATAAGCAACGGATACGGAGTACCGCCGGATATAAGAACCTGGGAGGCACTTAGGTTCCATCCGTATTGCACACTGTGTAAGACGAACGACCAGAACCGCCTTTTTTTGCAGAGGTAAACGCTGGCCGGGCACTCACTCAGTATGTACATACTTACATGCATCACTGGTCCAAAATTGCTCGCAAAGCAGCTCACAAATTCTCCTGGTCCCTTATCTAGGAGGTATAGATATGTCCATGCGTACTGAAGTTGACCTGGAGGCGGCATGAGACCTGGAGTCCTGGAGACCTGGGCTGCCATCTCCTATCCACAAATTCCCTTCTATGACGCCCATTAGAGATAATATATCAAAGCTCCCGTGTAAACCTTACAGCAGCACCGCGTCCCATCCCACTCTCAGTCCCATCTATCCCTGAACGCCACCATATGCTGGAGGGGAACGTACAACGTTAATACACGGCCTCGGGCCGAAGCTGGCTTGAGACGCCAACCCAGGAGATGGGGAAGGGTGGCCACTTCAGCGAGTCGCCAACAAACCCCATCGAAACGTGGATCAAAAGCCCTTACCGCATCCAAGCAGGGAAGCTGGACGCCAAGGGCTTTGTGGGAAAAGAAAAAGCCAAAAAAAAAAGAATTGGAAAACCGAACAAAACTCCAGACCTCCCCGTACCGAGTAGTCCCAATAGTCAGTCATCAGTCAAAAAACGGAGAGTGTTTCTGCAAGCCACAGGAAGAAACGCCTCCCAAACACCCCAATATACCGGAAAGGAAAACCTAAAGCACGCCTTCCCCAAGACACCAAGATACCGAATTTCCTTCCACTTGGAGCTCGGCGTATTTCTCGTATAGCTAGGGAATGGAATTCGACGAAGTCGCCGTCACACAAGAAAGCGACAAGCTGGGTTTCCAGAAAATAAGGAGAGTCGACTGGGTGCCCCAAAGCAAGGAACACATACATGAGCTAGGGAAGGACGAAAGAACCCCTTTTTTTGATCGAGCAAACCATAATGACGGGCAGCGAGTTGACAGAAGGAAAGCATTCTTCTTTCGCAAGAGGCTGCAGCATTCAGACCTTGCCATCCAGTCTGTATCTCTGGCGTTCGCTCTCGCAAGGACTTCCACAGCCGGGACAGACAAAGCCGTGCTTGGCCTGGCGGACTCGTCCGAGGCACCGACCGCAGCGCCACCAGCCTTCGTTCACCGCGTGGGGGGCGCGGGAATCCCACCACTTCTTGTCGCCCTTGTTGCCCCTGCGCAGCAGGTCTTCTTGGTGATAGGTCCTGAGGTGGTCCCGGAAGTGGTCCTGGCGAAAGAAAGGGGTCTTGTGACGACTGCACCTCTTGTAGTCGCAGAAGTACTTCGTCTTCTTGTCCTCCTCCTCATGCCGGACTTTATAGTGTCTCTCGAGGTCAGCCGGCCGGCTGGCTCCCGCCCGACAACCCGGATGGCGACATCGGTACCTCTCCTTTTGTGCTGACGGCCTAACGGAACTCTGTCAGCCCATGGCGGCCTTTCTGGCACATCCCCGACCAGCTTTTGTCAGACTTACCGTGCGACTGACGTTGTGGGATGGAAACTGGACGTTTCCGCTGTGCTCATGCTTGTGTTTGTGCTTGTGCTTGTGCTTGGCCCGTAGCACTCGGCTTCCAAGTCCGCCCTCAGCTCTGCAAGAACCGACACAATGGCAAGGTAGCAGATGTCGAGTGCTTCTTCTCCTTGGACCTGAACTTGCAACTGGTACGCCGCTTCCTCCAGGACTAGGTTCGCGTCGGTGTAGCAGCCGTCCGCGTCGTTCAACTGACGGTGGAGCAGCTCGTAGACGACCCTCTGCACCGCAGCCCGGGGCGATGCCTCGAGACCCTGCTTCTCGAGCCGCTGGCGAGCTTCCTCGACTGCCTGGAATGTGACGACTCCCAGCTCGTACGGACCGAGCGCTCGTTCATTGGCGATCAGAGAACGCGCGATCTCGGTGGCCTGTCTTGCGGCGTCTTCGATGCTGCCCATCCTCCCGTCGAAGTGCTGCAGGGGACTGCAGAACTGCAGTTCCTGAGGGAGTTGTTGGCCCGCATGGTGGTATTGGGCACCGAGCGCGGAAAGGAGGTGGGCCGTGTCGTGGGCTTCAGGATATGAGGTTGGGTATGCACTTTGTGTGTGCTCCAAAAGGACGCCGTCTGTAATGGGCGACGGACCGGCCGACGAGTAGCCAGTCGAGTAACACCCCGAAGAGTACGAGGTGGCTGTATAACTGCTGTCGGCCGTGCGACTCGTCGATTGAGATGTGCTTCTCTCCATGTTGGACGGACCAGCCCAGAGGTCGTCTTGGGACGAGGAGACCTCGACGGCCGCCCCTGAGTGATGTGAATACCAGGACATGACGGGTGTCCCCGATGAACCCTGCTGTTTTCTAGTTCTGCTGAGGGATGTAGATGGCAAGTTCTGTTGGGGCCTCCTTTGGTTAGCCTCTAGGCCACACTGTGAACGCAGCCGGGAAGAGCTAGATGTCCAGCGGGGGCAATAGCGAGAATGCCGCCGAATAGTATGCAGGTAGGTACTAGTAAATAAGTGGTTCTGACAAGGCAGAGATAAGAATACCCGAGAGAGATTGCCCGGGGTGAGAAGGGGGGGAATGCACCAACGAACAACAGTCTCAGACGGACGACTCCAAGTCATACCATATATCTGGCTCACCTCGGAGAGCATATCGGAGCCCTGTCGGATGCTAGGCAGTGAGGCGGTATAGCACATTTGCACACCGTCAAGGTAAGGCGGACGAAGGTCCGGCAAGGAGGGTGCCATGCGCACGTGGCCAGGTTGGATAGTATATGCCGCATGCAGCAGACGACGCCCGTTGGAGATGAGCATTTCAAGACGACGGACCAAAGCCTGATGCTGCAAATCCTTACTCCAAGCTGTACCTCAGCGAAGACCGAGTGGACGTCTTGACCGGAGCCTCTCCGACTCGCAACCGCCACGCTTTCACTTGATACGCAGCTTGGGTCGTAGCTAATGGGGCGCAGGACGCGGACTTGGCTGCTACAGCCACCACCGATGGCCACGAAAGGCAAAAGCGCGAAAGGAAACAAGAGGCTGTTTGCACGTACCGGGAGGTGGGGGGCTCAGGAGCGTCCGCTTAGGTTAAGATAGCTTACCTTAGGTGGGTGAAAGAAAGGAACCTGGAGGAGAACGGCCTTGTTACGTCCTCGGTGGGCAAAGGATACGGAAGCCATCTCACACATACCAGGCACCTCCACTGTTAGGTAGGTACACTCATGAGAGGCGACTGCAGGGACCGAGACCAAGTGCACGGACTCTGAGACGCAGCAATGAAAGGCTCCGATCTCTAGTTCAGCCCGGCAATCGATAGTCATGATTCATGGTCCTCGGCTTGCCCTTTTGGAAGTCCCTCGGCAGGCAGGGCACCCACGATATCAGATACTAGTACCTGTTAATCAGACGTCAGCACTCATAGCAGCCCTAATTACCATACCTAAGGTAAGGTACTGTAGGTAGGTAGGTAGATAACATGAAGGGCTCCACAGAGAAGGGTGAAAGGACCCTGGCAGATAACCTACCTTACCTATACATTCTCATGCCATCATGGTCAACCAGCACATCAGCTCCCAGGCAGTGTATCACAAGGCTCGTCAATGATTGAAGGAAGGCCAACCGCGTTAGCTGGGATGCCCTGTAAGCAGGTTGCAAAGTCCTAGGTAGTAAGGACCTCGAAGTCGCATTGGCAGACAGATCGGGTCGACTCACTGTTTCGGAAGAATCGGGTATTGGCACCCTTCTGGTCGACTTCCAAGTTCTCTACGGAACCTAGAGTCAGTGCAGTGGCCAAAGGGGTGACAACACCGAGGGGAGGACACCTTGGATCTGCAGCCTCGTAGCTGTGTTTGGTATCTGACAACTTTGATAGAAGACCCCGCAAACGGAACGGTTACACGAGCTTAAAACTCGCCGTCAAAACTCTCGCCAGCCTTCTCTCCGCTGCCCTGCGGCTGAGCAGGACGGGACGATGCATCTTCCCCAGAGACTGGTGAGCTGCCCATCCGCGGGTGGGGGCTACAGAAGCACCAATCGCTTACATCAAGCTACGGTTGGCTGACCTGTCTAACAATTCTCGGTGTGCAAACAAAGTTAGGCATGTGTGTACCGTACTTACTATCGCACTTGTTCAACTTCCAGCATCCGTCGCTGTAATTCTCCCAACCGCCGGATGCTGTTCCGGTCCCGGATGCTTACTAGTAGTAGCCTTGAAATCAAGGGCGTTAAGGTAGAGTATGAAGTAAATCGGATGTGCTGAAGGTCGTTGCTGCGCCTCGCTGCGCCTCAACGAGCGAGACGGCGTCCGGGGACCTCCCACAGAAATGTGAATGTGAGTCTCATCGCCTTCCACACCGCAGGACGGAAGAGGAAAGCGGGGCTGCTGAGTGGGTCGATCGGAGGGCGGCTCCCGCCGAACCCCAGTTGCAACCGATGGTCCCCCCGGTTTCCAGATCCGGCACCGGGGTGAAGTTGCAAGCTATCACTACCACACTGGGCCAGGATGTCGTCCCCAAGGCAGATTCGCGGGCTGACAGTGAGGTGCTGAGTGAGTCATTTGTTTGGAAGCGCAGATGGGACATGCTGCGTCTGTCTCAACTCTCAACTGCAGTTTCCTGAGTATCCCCCGAGCCCGCACCTCACTTGAAGCGAACCAAAAGGACCAAGACCCGGAGCACGAACAAAACGAGGCAAAGAGGCAACTTGTACAACTCAAAACGTGTCTCGACCATGGGGACGCTGGAAAATGCGAACCATCAGCGGCTCTCACTAGCTGCCCCGGCTAGCGCGACAACCTCCCGAGCTCAGGTCACTTCTCGGCAAATCCCCCGTCATGGCAAACGTGGGAGCTGAAAGGGACCTACAACTATGGTGACGAGCTCCATACCTCACAAGGTTTTGGAGGGCTAATTGCGAGAAGGCGGCTGCGACAAGCAATGCGGGGTTTGACTTCTCGATCATCAGAATGAGAGTGGACAGCGCGGCCGCATATTTTATGAACCACCTCAGTCGACTCCCGCCCCAGAGGACAGGAGGGTTACCCATACAGAACACCCAAGCATACTTCATGCCTACCTTACCTAATGAGCTGCCTTCTTCCCTACTCCACCTTACGTTTCCCATTTAAGGGCGTAAGGTATTTCCGCTGCCGAGGTATCCGTGGACTTAGACCTCGTCTTCGAGGAACTTGTACGCAAACTTGAAGTCCGCTTTTCTCCGGTTCATCCTGCTTCAGGTTAGCCATCTTGGTCCGGCTATACCCTGATACCGACACGATCCGAACTCACCATGTGCTTTCATAGTCGAAGAACCGATATGTCCCCTGCTCGAATTCTTCCGTTATGTTCTTGGGTTCCTCGTGCCTTTGGAACCAGGTCTGGTATTGCTTATGGAACCTCCAGCTCTGGTCCTTCAATGCCTTCGCGGCAAGGTACTGTTGGTACGTGCCCTGCTTGTAGTAGAACACATAGAAGAGCGTATCCGGGTCGATGCGTGTATAGAGTCGAGGGTCGTCGAAGATAGTCAGCGGTTCTTGCGGGAACCTCGTATGTGAATGGAACTTCACGTCTGGCTGGTAATTCCGCGGCGGCTCGGCATCCAAAATCCCGGGCTTGCTTGCCTCCGATGATGCCTGCATCCTCTGCGTCGCGGAATTATTCAGTAGTGCGGGCCGCTTTCTGGTGACCTCGTAGGATTCCACCAGATCCTGCAGAGATGCAGGAAGGTGGTATATAGACTCCTCTTCTTCCACTGCCTCTTCTACAGACCTGATGTCATGTGCCGTCCCATTTGTACGTGCCGCTGTACCATCTAACATTAGTACCTCGACTGTAGTGTTCTTGTCAATGGATGGAACAAACCTCTTGTGCTTTCGGCGGCATCCGATGCAGTCGGATGCGCCACGGATTTGCCCTTTGATGTCGTCCTGCTCGCCTGAGGAGCCACTGTTGGCCCGGTTGCCGGTGCAGCAGTTGTGCTGGACGTCTTCTCTTGCGACACCGGCTGTATAGATGCAACACTTGGAGAGTTTGCTGCGCTCGTCTTCGCTTGCGCCGATGCTAACGAAGCACCACCAACTATTGGGGTTGTCGATGGCGGCGGTGGTAATGGAGCAATGCCAACGCTGTTCTTGTCACTGGCTGCCGCTGCCGCTGCCGCGCTGGCATACTTCAAGCCCTCACCCGCGAGCCTCGTTGGCACGGCTGCCGGTTTCATGTTGGCGTTGCCTGAAGCGCCACTGCTGAGGGTCGGGAGTGGGGTGGTGTGCACCGTCGCGAGTGTAGGAAGGGGCGATTTGAGCTGCGCTGACGGCCGCCGGGCGGCCGACCCTGCCACTGTATCAACCGCGCTGCGCTGCTTCCCGGAAAGAACCGCCGCCGGCTTGGACTCGGGCTCGGCAGTGGCATCGTCCTGTATCGACTGGGTATCCTGCGAGGATCCCTTGTCATTGTCGATGTTCATGCCGTATTGATCTTCCTCATCTTGTAGGTTCAGCTCATCGTACATGCCCTCGTCCTCCATAAAATCGTCGTTCATGCCGTCGGTCACGTAGTACTTGATGTTCTCCTCCAGCTCGTTGACCTGGTCGGCCTCGACACCCCCGTTCTCGAGTGACCGCCGGATCAGTTCTAGTTTACCCTGATGCCACTTGTGTCGTTCGATGATGCGCTCAATCTCGGCGATGCGGTCTGCCTTGGCGGCATGGCCCTTCCCCTTCTTCATGGTCGCCTGTATTGATTCGCCCTCGGCCTCGAGGGTCTCGATTTGCTGCTCCAGCTCGTCGACCATGCTACTTAGGAACTCGCTCGCCTCCATCTTGGCCTGCTCTTTGGGGTCCAATTTAGCGGCCGCCGAAAGTCCTTCCTTCGAATACGCCTTGGTTTTCATGGCTTTCTCGACAGCCTTGAACTTTTCCATTTGCTAAGAAGACGGGTAAGTCTGCTGGCCAGCCCAAGACGCCGCCACTTGGAATACAAACCGTCTCGATTAGCCGCCTCTGCTCCAGGAGAGGAGCTTTGTCCTTGATGTCATTGCTGGCGGCCCATGTCTTGATCTGGTCGCGCAGTCTTTGTAGTTTCTTGATCTCACGCTTGAGCTGATCTTCTAGCTTTTCCTTCTGCGCCTGGTTCGTCGACTGTTCGATCTTCTCATAGATGGCTTCAAACTCGGCAACGCCTTCCGCCACCTTCTTGAAGCACTTGTCGACTTCTTGTTGGAGTTTTCGCGCCGCCATCTCGTCTGCGATGGCCCGCTAGCCAGGGCTGATATGAACTCCTAGTGCTGGCGATTCGCCCGGTAGGACTCGCTTGTCGTGGAAGCCGACAGTGGGTAGCTGGTTTCGCAATTGCGCACTGTGGGCAAGGACGGAAGCGGCGTCGTTAGCCCTCGTTCGTCGAAATCGGAAATCTAGGTGCACCACGTCACCAGGCAGGAGATGCACCTGCTGCTAAATGAGGGCGAATTCGGTCGCTCGAAACAGGCGGGCGACTGTTCGGTGGCCTCGTTTTGCGGTCTGAGACGGCAATAGTCGATTGAGATGTCAGCTGCTGAAACAAGCTGGGCAAGCGTGTGCGAGGCGCAACTCAAAGAAGTTGTCGGTACAATACATCTCGGGGCGCGGTTGGCCGTTGCCGCGTGACGCTGGTACAGTGGTATTTTGCTAATGTCACTGTGAAGTGCCGCCTATTGCTCTTACCCCCGCCTGAGCCCACAAAACTGAGCTCTGAATCTTCAAGAAGGCTTTGAGTTGACAGGACGGGAAGGCAACCATCTATGAAGGCTTTAATGTACGTATATACCTTGTCTAAGCCTGTGTGTAAGTGTGTATGCTACAATCCTGTTCGGATACCTTTAGTATCTTCCCAATCATCTACTCTAGTGTTCTAAGTGCTCAGGAGATGTGAGGCACTGTGGTGTATAGTACTAGTACATACCATACATAGTACCTAGTAGTACATTACATACACGTACTTAGCTTAGCGTACATCAAGCATCACGCCAAGCGGGACCTTGCTGCATTGCTCCCTTGACATCTGCGCAGCACAACAAGATCCAAGTTTCAATCAAGATGAAAGGTGAGTTCTGAACTCTGAATGCCGAGGACATCAGGTTGAGAGTCTGTACTGATTCCACAACCAGCTATACTCCAGCGGGTTCTCTCAGCCTCGGTTACGGTGGAAGGGGAGCTTGTCTCTTCCATCGGTAGAGGCGTGCTTGTTTTCGCGGCCGTGGGGCCCGGGGACACCGAGAAGGAGGCTGAGTTATTAGCAGCCAAGGTGTTGAAGTTCAAGCTATGGGACAATGCAAATGGTGGTCGGGTGAGATTTCCATTGTTGAAGATCATTGCCCAGTGGCGCGAGCCAGCTCTAATAGGACGGGATCAGTGGAAGATGAACGTCCAGGATATCGACGGCGAAGTTCTATGTGGTGAGAAGGGTTGAACCGGTACAGCAAACCCCTAATACAGGCTCTAACAGTCGCTCACAGTTTCTCAGTTTACACTTCTCGCCTCGACCAACAAAGGCAGCAAACCCGACTTCCACAACGCAATGGGCGGAGAAGACGCCAGAAGGCTGTATCAGTATTTCTACCGCAAAGTGCAGGACGGCTACAAGGTAGACAAAGTCAAGGACGGAGTATTTCAAGCAATGATGCAGGTGGCATTGGTCAACGATGGACCGGTTAGGCCTCGCCCCATCGCATTGTGTGTTTCGGTTATGCTGACAATGCAAAGGTGACCCTCGAGCTGTCAGCGCACCCAAAGCAGGATCACAATCTGAAGAAGCCGAAAATAGGCGAATAGCAAACTCGACCTTCCGGAAGATAAGAAACGCCAATGGTGTAGTGCATCTGGTCTCAGCAAGGACGTGACACGCCAGTACCTTAGCAATGACAATGCTCCTGAATTCGTCCGGAGCCTATAGTGCATGTTTTGGGTTAGGTCCTTTGGTAAGGTACCTACCAGGTACTAGGTTATCGTATTGTATTGTATATACATACATAGTGTAGATACGGTACCTACCTGGGTAAGTTACTGTAGGTTCCATCTGCCTGCTGGGCACTGGGTTCAGTTTGTGTGCCAGTGCGCCGGAGTCTTTCATCCTACACCGCCCTCCATAATAGGTACAGCTTGGCGCGGCTAATGGCAGCTTCACACCTTGCGCTTGCGATGCCCCTCAGCGGATTGGCTGCCCCACCACATCGAAGCTTCACGAACCTCCCTGTCTCTCACATGCGAGCTTAGCAGTTCTGAATCGTTGCCAGTAAATAAACCACAATTTACTGCTGCATTTGCACATATCCTTCAGTGTCTGTTCTGGGTGTAGATAAAGGAGGAAGCACTTTGCCGTTGGCCTAGAAGCCAGGTACCGACAAAACGCAGAACCAACCAAGCAAACAACCTGGAAACATCCAAAGCGCAACTTGCAACTGAAAGCTCCCAAGTAAGTACCAGACCAGTAATCCTGCTGCGTCCTGTCACCGCTCCCATTCCTAGGAATAGTGAGTGCTCTCACATTAGACTTCTATTTCTTTCAGCCTTTCTCAGCCCTCCGCGCATTGAAGAGTCCCCGGGCCTGTGCTAGTTCCAGGCACTAACACGCATCTTAAGTTCTCCTTTCCCGATCAGTCCTCCATTGCAAGATACTACACCCACCATTCGAACATTCAACATGACCACCGACGAGGACAAGAAGTCCCGCAGCCGCGTATTCTTCGATATCACGATTGGTGGAAAACCGGCTGGGCGGATCATTTTCGAGCTATACAATGATGTAGTGCCCAAGACAGCCGAAAACTTCCGCGCTCTGTGCACTGGCGAGAAAGGCGTGGGCAAGGGGGGCAAGCCCCTGCACTATAAGGGCTCGATTTTCCACCGGGTCATCAAGGAGTTCATGATTCAAGGTGGTGATTTCACTGCTGGAAATGGCACTGGTGGTGAATCTATTTACGGCGCCAAATTCGAGGACGAGAACTTCGAATTGAAGCACGACCGCCCTTTCCTGCTGTCGATGGCCAATGCTGGCCCAGGTAAGTCGAGATGCAGTCCTTGCTCGTTCCAATGAGTTAGCTGGCTTGCTGACCCAGCCTTGCGCCGTGTCGCAGGAACCAATGGCTCTCAGTTCTTCATCACGACGGTCCCAACCCCTCATCTCGACGGCAAGCATGTCGTATTCGGAGAAGTCCTCAGTGGCAAGTCTGTCGTCCGCCAGGTTGAGAATCTTAGAACCGTGAGCGATAAGCCCACCAAGGATGCCGTGATTGCGGACTGCGGCGAGCTGTCGCCGTCCGAGGTCGTTGCCGCCGATACCAAAGCCCCTGACGCTTATGGCGACGAGTACGAAGACTTCCCCGAGGACCAAGTGACGGGGGACGAGGTCCTGTCTGCTTCCCAGATCCTGAAGATTGCGACGGACTGCAAGGACTTCGGTAACAAGGCTTTCAAGGCAGGCGACCTCAGCGTAGCCCTCGACAAGTACCAGAAGGGACTGCGATACCTGAACGAGGACCCGGATCTGGACAAGGAACCGGCAGATACCAAGACACAGATGGATGCTCTGCGAATCAGCTTGAACAGCAATGCCGCGTTGATGAACCTCAAGCTCGGCGCGTGGGATGAGACTGTCCGCGCTGCGGACAATGCCCTTGCCGTCTCGGGCATCTCGGACAAGGACAAAGCCAAGGCTCTCTATCGGCGCGGCTACGCGCAGGTACGCTTGAAGGATGAGGATGCCGCTCTGGAGAGTCTGGAGCAAGCGAAGAAGCTGGCGCCGGAAGATGCGGCCATCAACGCGGAGCTTGTAACGGTCAAGAAAGCAGCCGCGGCGAGACTTGCCAAGGAAAAGGCTGCCTACAAGAAGTTTTTTAGCTGATGTCATGATACTACACGCCGTAGGTACCTACCTAGGTAGGCAGGCATTCATCGGTGGCCGCACACCTTGTCTTTTCAGGCAAGGGCAAGACCAGCAGAGTAAAAAAGGAAACCCGATTCGGGCATACTGACCCGTAATTGAGTCTTGCTTGTATTGCTAGTTGATCTGCCCTCCCATCCAACGACTGTGACTTTGTGATTTTCCGTGTATCATGTGAACAACACATCTATATACAAAAGAACATCGCTTCCATTGGCTCAACCAAGCCAGTAGACTGCGTGCGCCACATATCTAAGAGGGCCCTTAACTTTTAATAATGACATGCCGGCGCCTTCAGTGACAGATATACATGCTGTTAAAACCAAATAGCATTCTCCTTTTTCGTTTTTGCCTGCTGTTGTCCTTTCAAGACCGCGCGACCGTTTCAGGCTGCCTTGACTCTGCCACCCCTGAGCCCCTATCCCGGTCCCTATCCCTGATTCTCTCCCAGTGTCGGTTGCTGCTACCAGTACTAGGATCCTTTGGGGTTTGCTGATCAGCATCTCTGTCACGTTCACGTTCTCCCCGACTGACGACAGCGGAGAACGGCGCCATGGTAGACCCCAGGGCTAGAGCAGCATCGGGCGAGACGGCCCTCGACTTGCGGATGAAGCCGCTGAGGAGCTTTCGCGGATGGATGCCGTTGCGCAGGCTGCGTACTGTGGCCCCGCCGCCCTGGCTGATCGAGGCCTCGGCGTTCCGCGCTAGCTGGCGCAGGGAGCTGGAGCTAAACTCGCGGCCGAAGCTGCCGTGCCGGGTCTCGCGGCTGATGCTGATGGTGCCAAATGGCGGGGACACGGACGAATCCACGTCACTTCCCGACGATCCCGGCGGGCCGTCCTCGCCCTCGGTCCACACTGCCGTGCTCCCGCCGTTGGTGGTGGCGGATGTGCGCAGCACGTCGCCCAGGCTGATGCGATCCATCACGTCGGACAGGCCGAGGTTGTCGTCGGCTAGTTGGCTCGCCATCTCGGCAGACCGAATTGCCTCGATCCGCACGTGACAGTCCGTGGCGCGCTGGTGCAGGTCGATGCACAGGGTGTGGAATCTGAGCAGGTCACCTGCGTAGACCTGAGACTCGCTGGCGGAGGCTGGGTGCGCGTCGGCCCAGAGCTTGACGAGGGCGGCGAAGTTGCGGCCTTGGTCGACGAGGTAAGGGAGAGAGGGAAAGCCTTCGCGGGCCAGCGGAGACAACCGGCCGAGGATCGTGACGGGCGTGGAGTAGGATGCCGGCAGCAGGGGCTTTGTGCGGTCGGCGGGGATGGCGCAGACGGCATCGAGGAAGTCCTTGAACGCCTGGCGTTGTGCGGTGAGGAAGCGGTTCATGGGCTCCATCCACGTCTCCTTCTTGCCGATGTTCGACAGGTTGGCGAGCGCCTGCAGCGACTTGGCGATCAGGGTCAGCGTGCGCTGCGCCTGCGGCCGGGGGTGGTCGCGGAGGAGGCCGAAAAGCTTCGGGTTGAGGATGGCCGGGCAGAAGAAGCGGAGAAAGAGGAAGCCGGACACAGACGTGTAGGACACGGTGCGCAGAAAGTCGCCGTAGCGGTCTTCGGCGACGGCGCGGATATACTTGAGGATCAGCCTCAACTCGGGAGGCAGACGGGTGGCGGAGGCGACGATGCAGTTCCAGATTTCGGTCGTAAGTTGGATAAGCCGGCTCCAGTGCTCCTCGACGTTCTCACCGTGCTGCACCTTGCTGGGGTCGACTTCGCAGCTCGCGTTGCTCTCGTTGATCTCGGAGACTTTGTCGGCAAGCGTCTCTCTCAGATACTCCCTGCCCAGGCGGCGCATGTGGAATTCCAGGGCTTGTGTCAGCAGCGAGTTGCCCCTGAACAGCAGATTGGCCTCGCCCTGCAGCGACCTGCCCAAGTCGCGCACTACCTGCTCGCGATCGACGGCGGTCTCGATGGAATCACCGGACTTGAGACGGCCGCTGAATCTCGGCTTCCTCAGCGGCGTTTGACTCCCGATCCCGTCGATTTCCTCCTCCACCATGCTCATGAACCATTCGCTGGCGTTTCCGGAGACCTGGAAGATATTGACGAATAGCGCAGCGAGCCGGCGCAGGCTGCCCGGCAGAGCCTCCGCAATCTGGGCTGTAAGCCCCGAGCTGAAGCGGTGCAGAAGCTCGGAGAGCGGCTGGTAGTGTCGCTGGAGAAGGACGACGAATTCTTCGTGATGCACTCTCACGAGCATGGATCCAATCGACTGGTGTCGGTCATCGCAGATCTGGAGCCACTGTTCGTGGTCTTTGCCGCCCTCCATCTGATGCAGCGGTATGTCGACGGAGCCGCACACTACTTCCGTCACGCTGCCCGTCTTCGCAAAACCCAGCGTGGATTGGATCTGGTGAGCGAACCTCTCCGCGTTGCCGTCGACTCTCTTTAGCAGTATGGACAGGTATGGCTGGGAAGAAGGGAGGTCGGTAAATTCGCAGTCTTCGCGCCAGAACGGATTCTTGGTATCCATCCTCGTCGTTGTCCTGGCGCGAACCTCGCCGTCGAGCATGACTTCAGCTAGATAGTTACCAGTGACGGGGTCCGGGTCGGGGTCTTTCCTGTGTCGCTCTCCGTAGGCCGCTTCTCCGACCCAGGTACGGCCTCGCAGTTTGGCCTCGGTGATTCTAACAGATATCGTCTTTTCCAACCTGAATGTTTCGCCGGCCGGTTCCCGCTGGAGATCTGTCACCTCAAACACTCGGCCCCCGTTCGCGGGATCCAAGCTGTACACATCGGGTATGGTGAACGCGCGCAGCAGCACAAACCAGACCTCGAACAGGACCCTGCTTTCGAGGGAGATGTACACGGGCCTGAATATCGAGAGCTGGGTCGACGTCGTCGCGTAGCTCGGGAAAATGGCCAGACAGTAGTCCTCATCCAGCACGGATCTGTCGAGTTGCTGGATGGCCGACCTTGCGAGCTGGGAGAGCTCGATCACCGAGAGGACAGTCACGTCATTTTCCGTCATGATCTTGAGCTCGCCATTGTCGTGCAGGATGCAGGACACTCGTCTCCAGCACGTCTGGGACGACCGCAGATCGCGCGTCGAAGGCCGCCGGACGATTGCACGCGGGGAAGACGCTGCACCCTTGTCCCACAACATGATCTTGCCCACTTTGATGATGGCAGCGCTCCTGAGGCCCGGCGACGAGACGCGGCGTTTCATCTCCACTCTCGTTGGCGCAGAGCCGGGGACGACGTTGCTGGGGCGCACACTCTGGGGCTTCGTGCCGGGCGGCCGCAACTGCTGCCAACAGAGCAACGCGGCCAGCCAGAGGTCGAACTCTTCCGCCACCAGCGGCCGCAGGAAAAGCGCCATGCCGAGCTGTGGGCTGGTTATTTCGAGACACGGAGCAGCATCTCTGCCCAGCGATTCCACTGGCGCCACTCGACAGCCCCGGAGGTCGGGGATCAAGACGCTATGGAACGGGCCGCTGTCGCCAGGGTCGAACAAAAGACTCCCTTTCTCCTCCTCGATATAGCACATACCGCCGAGCCAGGGCTCGTTGACGTCCTTCCGGTACTCCACCTCGCCGCGCATCCGCCCGCACAGGTTATTCATGAGGAGCAGCACCTTGTTGGCATCGGTGGTGGGCACCGGCAACGGGAGGGAGTCGACCGAGGGCGGGAGGGATGAGAGAGGGGAGCTCGGCCGCGACGACGGCCGCTTGGTCAAGCGGCTCCTGGACCCGGACGATTTCTTGTCTTTGGGCGTCGCGATGCTGGCGGCTGGCTGAGGATCCGTCTGCTTGTACGGCTCAAACGAATGCAGAGACGGCAATCTCAGGTCATCGCTAGCCGGATAGGACGCGGCTGATGAAAAGGAGCCCATCCTATTGCGCACCTCCACGGTAGGGGCCAGCTGCTGCCGGAACGCGCCATCCATGGTATGCGTTCTCGGCCTAAAGGAGGTCGCGCGCACGGGGGGACTGGTTGACGCGTTGTCAAAAGCCTTTGGAAACCCGTCGTTGAACACAACGCCCTGACGCCGGGCTGGCAAGCCGGCTGTGGCAGAGGCAATGGACCTGGGAGATGACTGCGGCGACACAAAGTCGAGTGGAGCCTGCGACACGCTGCTCCCGGTCTCGTCCACGCAACTGTGCGCGGCCTCGGTCAGGTCGGGCGTCACTGCCCTAACGGTCTGCCGGAAAGCGGTTGGGAGGTTGCTAGCCGAAAGCCTCTCCGCGCCGTGCCGCGATGTCACCTCGGAGACTGAACGAAGCATGGCGACGTGCGCCGGCCGCTCGGACGGCGGACCGGGTGGGAAGGATTTCCCGTCCATGGCAGCCGGTAGACGATCCGTCAACTTCCGGTCGCTAGGCATACACTGAGGCTATGCAGGCGACGGCGGGTGGAAGCAATGCTTGGCCCGTAGAAGGGATCGAGACCACAGAGCGGCACGCATAAGCGCCGCTGGGCCCGCCACCTCCCTTTCCTTCCCCGGATTGTCTGTATGGAGAATGCCAGCCCTTTGTATGTTTCTGTCTTCTTCGGCCAGCCGATCACGGTCCCTCTCTGTTGTCCGGACTTATGTGCCACCACCACAGCGCCACCATAGCAAGCACGATTTCTGGGCGAGACTTAGACGCCTAACAGAAGGGCTGCACCCCGCGATTCCAAAGCAACTCTAACCAAAAAAGAAGCAGCGAATGCGACAACAAGCGGTCTGATCATGCGACGGCGGTACGGGTCTCTGCAACTGGCCAATCGTTCAGGATCGCGAGGGGTTTGAAGGTTGTCAATTAACGTTACTGCCGGCTGTCGCAGGCGGTGATGCGACGCGGAAGGCTGTTGTGGCTGGATCTCTGCATCATACAGCGTCGGTGCAACCCGGGTCAGCGAAATAATAATAGGGGATCTACTCGAGACGACTCGGAGCGGCGATGTGGGATCCAGGAGACCGGACAGATGGAAGGTGCGACCACACACATTCCCAGTCCGTGAGGACAGCGACAACCAGATTGGCCCCGGGTTTCGACTGCAACGACGCTCCGCAGTAACGGCCACGTCCTGCAGGATGCATGGCAAGGAACCACTAAAGTTAGGTATGATTAATTATTAATTAGCGAGGTGTTGAGTCTTGTACATCGCTAAACCCGGCTTGGCGCAGTCTGTGGGGCCGTGGGCAGCGCCCCAAGCATGCGGACCGAGAGCGCTGGGTTCCGCACGGAAGTGGCGCGGTGGCCGATCTCTGGGCTCTCCAGGACCAGCGATCCTGGAGAGTGTCTCGTTGAGGCGAGAAGGCATCGAACCAGGCAAGATTGGCAAGAGTCAGCCCAGTTAACGTATTACTAGGTCATCACCTAAGCTACATATGGAGCCAAGCCTACATCTTGTGTAACAAACGATGGAGCTTATTGTCTTACATAAACCCTTACAGAGTGAGCAGAGGTATTATCTTGTTTCCAAAGCCGGCGAGCAATGCACGCTAAAACGATGACGGTATGCGGGGTAGGTTGTGGAACTTGCTTCACACAGCATAGAAATTGAGACATACCTCACTTTTGGGTGCTGTGGATAATGAAGCGACGGTGTCGCCTGGCAGAGCGACGGTATGTAACCGTATCCGGCATCCTACCACACGTAGCAGTCACACACGTAATATAGGTACCTGTACCTGCATGGGAGAAGTACTATATTGGGATTGCAGTTGAGGCTGATAGTTAGCGAACGGCGCGTCGAGCGGCATGAATCGAGGTAGAATAGGCTTGTTGGCGGCGGCGGGGAACGGAAGTTGCCAGCCAAATTTGGTGTGGCTTTGCCTACAGGTATGTGAGGTGGCACCTATCCAGAAGCGGTTAGATACCGTCACTTTATGCATAGCGCTTTTGGGACAAGTAAGCTTCGGACCGCGGGGAGTATTGTAGCCACATTCGGCCTAGCGCCGCGCTAGAGCCCAATACCTTACTATTCCCAACTTGATTTTTGTCAGCCATTTGCGCCCCGGCATTCAATCGTCAATTGAAGTATCCGAATGGCAATAGAATATACGGTAATTGAGTGTCATGTTGAAGTGCGATGTGTGGGTGCGATGCGCAGCATACATCATTTCCGGGGGCGCTAACTGGATTTGATTCAAATACTGTCCCCGGGTTCTGAAGTTTACTGTCCCAACTCCCAAAAGCATGTCTCTAGAAATTACAGCAACAAGCAACCTTGGAACAGCTGATCCCCCATTTCTGGTCTACACTGGCCATGTACGAACATGAAATCTAAAAGGGCAGGAGATGCCGACGCCTGAGTCTACTAACGTCCCGGTACCTTCTATATACGAAAAGTGCACCTTGCGCGAGTCCATCATCCTTCAACAACGGTGAGGAACTTACTCCGTGCCGATAAATACTTCCCCTGTCCGAACTCCCCTCCGGGATTCCGCCTCACTCTTCCTCCATCTCCTGCTTTCAAGCGTCTTTCTATCAAAACCCCTCGCCGGTCATGATAGTGCGCCCACCGCCATACCAGAGAGTGCCGCAACGGGCGTCAAGGCCCCTTTCCTGGCCAACGACCCACTCTCCGATGAACTGGCCATCCTGGACATCCCACACCTCCTTCTCAAGCCACGCATTGATGTCTTCAATGGTGCGGATCCAATGCTCTCGCATTTCCGGCGTTTCGTGGTCCTTCTGGGTGAGGTAGCGGCCCAGGGTGATGTGTGCGCTGGGAACCACGTATCGCGACCCAATGGCTACGTTTTCCGACGCCATGTTGAAGACGTCCCGCCGAAGGTGGTGATACGTGTAGTTGTCGGCCTCAGTACCGTCCGCATGGGGCGCCGCAGGAGCCGGCGATAGAACCTCCTCGCCCGCGGCCGGCAGAAAGGACATGGCGATGGCAGACAAGTCGTAGGAAAGCATCGGCTTCACAAGCCGAGAGCGCCGGGCAAACGTCAGCCCCGTCAGAGCAGGAATCGCGGGACGTATGCGTGACACAAGGCTCGCAATCTCCTCGGCTGTCTTCGAGTGAGCGACCTCGAGAGTTGTCAAGTGCATGCGGTGCGCAGGCATGAGCCAGAGGTCTGGTAGTCCGCATGGGTTAGCCGACTATCTCCGTCTCTGGCGCTCGGTGTCAGCTGGGGACAGGGCAGGCAGCATAACGCTCACTTGGTGCCGATTTCTGCAGAAGAGTTTGCACATGGCAGGCCAACTTCACAATGTGATCCGGCGGTCTTGCCCAGAAGACGAGACAGTGCCGTGGATCCTGGAAGCCAGGCTCAATCTCCGGATTCTCCAGCCGCAGCAAAATGGGGTCGATACTCAGCTCCCTGAACTCCGAGGCCAGGAACTTCTCTCGCTGCTGCGCATTCCTTGTCGTGCGATGCCTCGCGTACAACGACTGGATTTTGGCCTGCATGAAAAGTGTCTTCATTAGCATCGAAGCCACCCCAAGTACCTATCAGCGGCGATAGTGTCCATGGACTCCATGGACATGCATTGCCCGGCGTGTACAACAGCGTCTTTCTGCCGCTGCTGCTAGCCACGCTGCTCTTGGTGGTCCCAAACAGTGACAGTAACGACGACAACCAGCAAGTCTTTCGACTTCGACGAGTTGTGCATGCCGACGGCGGTTTCCAATAGTAAACCTTCAGCGCGGAATCATTCATGTGACCCTGTCCTCGGCGGCCCGTCGACTGGTCCCTGCCCTGCGGCCTAAACATCGCGCTTCCCGCCCAAACGGACTCGGCTTTCCACCAGACCCGCCGTCTTCCATTCTGCCACAACTTCGTTCTTCTTGCACACTTTCCGGGTCCGAGTCCAAGCCACCACAGGGTAGGGCGAAGAAAGGGCGGCTTACCGGAGAGCCGTCGCATGCGTTGATGAGCGCATCAAAAGGGTTATCGCCCGGTTTGATCTCAACACCAGAAAGGTCCTCGAACTTGTTCCCGGCGTCCGGAAGAAGGGTAGTCGGCGCCATCTTGTGCTCTTCCAGGCGGCCACCACTGTCTTGCGTTTCAGGTACTGCCAAGCCCACGTGCCCGAGATTTGGCTGCCGAAAGCTCGCCGTTAACCAAAAACGTAGGCGGATCAGCGGTGAGTGTTCTGTCCCTCTCTCTCGCGGAGCCTGGCAAGTTAAAAGAGCAAAACACGAGGGTATTTATAACTTTCCTGCGCTCTCGTATTTCGACAAAAGGCGGCTGAAGCTTTCAGCCCCAGCATTGACATGCTCCAACCACAGGGCGTACATGTAATGCATGTACCGTACTGTAATCCGTACTCAGTAACGTTACTTGCAGTCAACAGAATAGCGTGCTTGGCGCCCAATTCCAACGTCAACTCACCCAGTCAACCTCGATATCAACTCATGCCAGGACCTACAGGACACAACACTGCGATTCCTCTGGCCGGGGACAAGGCAAGGGGCCTGAGGGATATATGAGGACTCAGCCAGCGGCCTTATGGACGACGACCCTGTCCCTTTGAAGCTCCTTCTCCATGGCCTTCCAACGGGGAGATGAGTTGCCAGAGCGACAACTCCCAGCCGGAGTTCCAGCAACAGCATTTGTGGTCCTGTCGCACAAATAAGTGGATGGCTTTTTGGTCATTGACGGTGTTGACCCCTCGTCAAAGACCGGGGCAACCTGCTTGCCTATCCGTGGTCAGTTGTGTTCCTCAAAAGGGGTACATCAACAAGAATGGCTTTCTCCTCAAACCTTGTCAGACACGCTCGATACGTACCGACCCTGAATCCCGGTGATCCAGCATGAATCCGCTCGCACGGCTTGAAGCGGCCTGGTTCAGGGCTGAACTGTCTTAGTGCCTTGCCTGCTTTGCGTCTTCGGGGGCTGCCTCCGCACCATCGGAGTGACCGGACACGGGCACCGGACACGGGCACCATCGCAGCCCGCTTCTTTTCACCATGATGTCGGGCAGAGCTGCGGCAACAACGTCCGCTTTGCATACAGCCTATGGCTGTCTAGGTCCCTCTGGGGTCGGAACCACTGAGTCTGAAGCTTGTTTCCTGGAAGCTTGCTGTCGCGCCCCTCGTTCCAAGAAGGGTCCGCACTAGGGGGACCCGCTTGGGTGCACCGCACGCACTCCGTTCCCCCGTCATTCTGCCAGTGTCTTTCGCTCCGGGACGTGTTCTGCCCGTGACTTTCGCTTCCGGCGCCTTTTTCATTGCACTTCCCACGTTCCTGTGGCCTCTTTCCCCAAAAACTCTTCCACCAACCGACCAGGAAAGAAACTCGCCGCAGGAAACGCATGCAAACACAAGTTGTGTCGCCTTTTTGCCGCATTCCGCAACCTCAGTTCTCTCTCCCATCACCCTTAGCCTTAATCTTACTCACCTTCTCTTCAGTTGCTTCGAGTGAGAGCAGAGCACCTCTTTCGCAAGACCGAGGCGGTCAACGCCCTGTAAAGACTATCGGGGAAGAAAGGCCTTCTGCTGGACCGATAGGAAGGCCGTAGCTGATATGACTCAAGTCATGGCGGACCAGAAACAGCGGGCGCCTCGTGCTCGTTCTCGCAAGCGCCTTTCGAGCGAGGCCAGCGATCTCGCCAGCCAAAATGCTAATGGCGGACGGCGGGCGCTTCGCAAGAGACAGAAAGTCGCCCCCAAGGACCAGGAGTCTGGTACCTCAAGTGCCCAAGAGGCCGCGGTCGACGGATCTCGTACCGTCGACGACTCGTCCGGTGAGAGTGAGACGGATGAGACCGGTGAGACCGGTGAGAAACTCAAAGTCAAGATTGACCGGAGCTTAAAGCCCATCTCGGACCCACGCGAGATGATGCAGGATATGGTCTCGCGGCTTCAACCAGAAGCCTTCAGGAAGTCGCCCATCAAGTTGAGGGTGGCCACCATCTGCTCGGGGACGGATGCCCCGATATTCGCCCTGAACCTGCTCCAGGACGGCCTGCGAGCGCTTGGTTATGGTCCCGGCTTAGTGTATGAGCAGCTTTTCAGCTGCGAAATTGAGCCATTCAAACAGGGCTTCATTCGTCGCAACCTCCCGTCTGGCACGCCCATCTTCCGGGACGTGGTGGAGATGGCGAGGGCCGGCCCGAACGGCCTAGCGTGAGTTTCCCCGCGGCACTTGATCGCGACACAGCGGCAGCATTGGATGACTAGTAACTAACTTGTTTTCAGCATGACCGCTGGCGGCTCCAAAGAGCGGGTTCCGGACAGAGAGGAGAAGCAGCTGGACATTCTGTTTGCCGGCTGCTCATGCGTCGACTACTCCAATATGAACACAAACAAGCCAGACGGCAGTGTGCCGTCTCTCGACCGGCACCTTAAGCCGCAGTCGGCAACGGTCGGTAACGCCCCAAAGAGAGCTCGCGGGAAGGGAGAAGCAGGACACAGAGAAGGTCCAAAAGATTCTTCGGCATCGCCTGTCGCGCTCGATTGGGCGTTTATCCGGGACCTGGATCCAGCGCTGGATGAGCTTCTGGACTCGAAAGCCGGAGAGTCGGCGAGAACATTCTTTGCCGCCGTCAAGCTCATAAACGACTTGCGGCCAAGATTCGTTGTGCTCGAGAATGTCTGCGGCGCGCCGTGGGATATGTACACCAAGCACATCTTCCCAAAAATCGGCTATGTGGCCAAGGCGGAGAGGGTGGACAGCAAGGACTTCTACGTCCCCCAGACACGGCAGCGGGGCTATCTGGTTGCCATCGACGCGCAGTATTTTGGCATCGGCTTAGCCACCAAGATTGCCGCGGAGTGGCTTCTCATGCTGCTCAAGTGCAAGCGTCTGCCTTCGGTTGCCGTCACCGACTTTCTCCATCCCTCCGATGACCCGTCGCTGGTTCTCGCCAGGGCGGACATGGAGGGCAAGACAACGGAAAGCTCCGACTGGGCCATGTGCTCCCTTCGGCACACCGATGCGCGCCACGCCCATGGGCTGCGCCGAGACGAGAACCCGTTCAGCAACAAAGTGATGCGCAATGGCCGCCTGATCTATGCTTGCTACCCGTCTCACTCCTGGGTGCGGTTCTGGCAGATCCAGGTTCCCCGGATCATCGATGTCATGGACATTGCGTTCGCCGTCAACAATGGCAAAGGCTGCGACCTCGGCTTCAAGACCGCCATGATTGATGTGAGCCAGAACGTGGACCGCAACAACTACGTCCGGCGCACCCCGGCCTGGAAGTTCGGCATCGTCGGCTGCATTACACCCTCCGGGGTGCCCATCATCACAGACCACATGCGCCCCGTCACGGGGTCCGAGGCCCTGGCACTTCAGGGACTTCCCGTGGACGAGCTGGTTATTTCGACCGAGTCGCAGGCCCAGCTCCGGGACTTGGCCGGGAACGCCATGACCCTTACCGTGGTTGGCGCTGTCACTCTGTGTCTTCTCTTCGCCGCCACCAAGTTAGCCCCCGATCATCTCGACGGGATGCCCTCGTCACAGCCCAAGGCTGGCCTGTATCTACAACAAGCCCCTGAAGAAGATGACAAGTCGCTGGGCGCTGGCCGGAGCAGCATCGCCACCATCCACGTCGGGCTGCTCCTGCCCCTGGCCGAGCAGATGCGGCGCGTGTGTCACTGCGCCAGGACGGCGAGCGAGGTCTTTGTCTGCAGTGCCTGCGGCGCAACGGCCTGCGCGGCCTGTCGCGGAAACCCGGTGCACGACTTCGGCACAACGCCGGTTGCGGGACCAGAGCTCTCCATCGAGCGCGGCAAGGTTCAGCTCAAGCGCCTGCTGCCCAATGCTGTCGCGCTGTACCTACCGCCTTCCATTATTGTCCCGGACGCGAAGGGCCGATACGGCCCGGCGGTCCATGACGCCCTGGCAGGACGACATGTGTACTACTTTGACACCATCCGAGTCACGGACGTGGTGACGGTGTGTTATAAGGCCGCCAAAACCATTGCGCGTCTCGTTCTGTCGCCCGATGGTAATGGTACCTGCTGTTGGTACCTCTACTTCGCGCCCTGGCATCCAGAGCGCACGCAGCTGTCGGCCCGTTTTGATGTGAACCAGCCCATCGCGCGCGGGCTGATTCCGCAGGGCGCTGCCGTCCCGCAGTGGTCCTTCTGGGTCCCCAAGGAGATCAAGCTCAAGCTGCAGCTGACCGCCGATGCCGCCGCCGGTGCACTGGTTGCCAGCGATCTGTCGTTTGCCGACGATCCCGGTTCCGACCCGTCTCTGCTGGCCTGGAAGAGGACTGTCGAGCAGAAAGTGTGCGGTGTTTACGTCCACCACCCCAAGTGCGGTACGCCGGGATGCGCCCTTCGCATCCGACAAGGCTCCGATCCCGCCGCCGCCAGGGTCTTCATGATGTGGGAGTCTGAAGCACTCCGCGCACCGCGCAAGGATCACTTTGTGTGGACCGACACGGCAAGGAGGACCGAGACGGTCAAAATGGAGCCTCATGAGTATCGCGAGGTTTTTCTCCGCGCCACCCCAGCTCTCACTTGGGCCGACGTTGGTGCATGTACGACGCGCCCTGGTCCGATAGACGTCTTCTGGTCCGGCTACTGGTCGTCGTCCGCTTCTCCGGGGCCTTCCGACGCTCCAAACCTAAAGCCAGTCGGGGACATGGTCCGCATTCACTGGGCCCCCACCGAAACCATCCAAGACTCGGCCTGTCATGCGCGAGGACAAGACCCTGTCACGAGCATGCCGGTCCTGGCTACCATCACGGCGACGTTCCGGGGCTTCCCAATGCCGTCAACCAGGGTTGCCAAGGTCGATGCCCGCGCGACGAATAACGACTATTTCGTCTTTCCAGCCAACACCTACGATGGGTTTCTGCGGCTGTTTGCGTTTCTCTCCGCAGAACTTCAGGTTTCCAGAGTGCCAGCCGATCTTGCAGATTTCCCGCACCTCCGCGGTGAATGGGTTCCGGTTGGCCATTGCAGCATGTGCTCCGTGATGCCGCCTGAGATCGCTGTTTACGCGCAGGAAAATCGCAAGAAGGGCCTTTTCCTCATCGAAGACCCGGCCCAGGCTGGCCTGTTCGAGCGCCAGTATCAGGAACTTCCACGAGCCGTCGCGGTTGCGGCACGGCTCCTGCAAGGCGGCGATGATGGCGGCGGTGACGGAGAATCGACCATGGACATCAGACTCTTGATGCAGCCCAAGACGCTCGTCTCCCGAGCGCTGGAATACCTGATCCAGGCGCACCCCACGGCAAGCCGCGGTCGGTTCGCGCTGACGTCTCAGGCAAACACGGCCTTCAGAGTGACGCTCGAGTTTGCAGCAACCCCCTCCATCACCGGCCTTGCGCCCTTCGCCGACTCTCTCCGGCCATGCGGCCATACACTCAACCCTGGTATCGACCTCACCAAGAAGAAGTACGTGCCGCCCAGCGATGGCCCTCCTCGGTTCTGCCGGGACCTGGGCAGGGGCAGGGGCAGGGTGAGGGTGGAACACGAGCTACGGCCGAGCCAGAAGGAGGCGGTCATCTGGATGATGCAGCGCGAGCTCGTGCCAATCGATTTCGTTAAGTCCGAAATCGAGGAAGAAGTCGTTGCACCGCTCAACCTGCGAGTCGTGGGCAAGGCCGAATGGGCCAACAGCTTTCCGTACAGCGCCCGGGGAGGTGTGGTCGCGCACGATATCGGCTACGGGAAGACCGTGGTGACGCTTGCCCTGCTTGATTACATGCGAGAGTACGACCTGAACGAGTCCGTCGCGGAGCGCATGGAGAAAGTCGACGGCGCCTGGGCCGCCGAACTATCCGGGTACTTCAAGCATTCCGGGGACGCCGCCGATGCCCTGCTCCAAAACGCCACAGCCTCCGGCCCCTTCTTCCGGCACTTGTCGGCCACGCTTGTGATCGTTCCCAAGCACATCACCGACCAGTGGGCACTGGAGGCTGAGAAGTTTCTTGGCCTGAAACATCCAAAAGTGCTCATTATCAAGACGTCCAGGTCGTTCTACGACCCGCTGAAGCTGAAGGAGCTGGAGGAAGCCGAGATCATCATCCTCAGCAGCGCCGTGTTTACGAGCGGCTTCATGGACCGTCTGCAGAAAGTTGCTGGCAGAGGCCCTGATTATCCCAGGGGCCTTCCCGAGAGGGCCCTCGAGATCTGGTACCAACAAGCGCTCCGCAACCAGAGGATCCTTACTGCTTGCTACCTAGCCGGTCCTGCCCCCGGTGTTACGCACGACGAACACATGTCCACGATCCGGAACGACGTTTTTGGCCGACTGGTCGAGAGACAGCAAGCTGAAATCAACGAGCTCGTGGGTAAACAAGTTAAAGGAACCAGCCGCAAAGATGCCAAGAAGGGCGCGACGAAGAACGGCAAGCGCGCCGCGGCCAAGACAGCCCCGGAGCAGCAGAACGAGGGCGACAATACCGAACAGGAGACGACGGCCTCAAAGCTCGAGGATCATGAGTGGGACATATCCTGGCTCCACAACTGCAGCTTCGCCCGTGTCATATGGGACGAATGTTCGTATGATGACGATAACCACATCCGCCTTTTCGTTGCGAATGCCGCGGCCAACGCTAAGTGGCTGATCTCCGGGACGCCCAAGCTCTTTGCGCTCGAACAAGTCTGCAAAATGGCCGCCGTGTTCGGCATCCACGTCGCCCGTCCGGAGCAGCGGATGATGCCGGGCTTACCCGCCGTGACCGAGGGCCCCAAACTCCATCCCATGACCAAGAGCGAGGAGTTTCACATGTTCTCGTCCCGGATCAGGTCGGCCGTAGTTGCCGCGGAGAGGCACAGCCGCGGCCAGGCCTTTGTGTCGTCCTTCTTCCGTGCCAACCACCTGGCAGAGGAAGTCGAAATCGAGGTTGAAGAGCTTGTCGTGCCGGTCGCCATGACTGCCTCTACCGCCATGCGTTATCATCTGCTCAACCAGGAAGTGTTCGACGCTGGCTACGACTACTCGGCGCTCCCGGCCCACGCCCGTGATGCCGTCAAGCTGAAGGGCGGCGACTTGGTGCACCGAGACACGCAGGCTCAGGCCAAGATGCTCCTGGGCCTGGTAGCGTGCGGTCTTGGCAGGGAAACGGCCTCACTCAACGCCTGCCGCCAGCAGCTCTCGAAGCGGCTTCACAATCTCGGGGACCACATGAAGCTGCTGTGGGACAAGGTCATGTGGCTCCGGCGCTGGGTGCAAGTTGCGTTCCACCAAGGGGACGCCCAAGCCACCAACCAACGGGACCAAGACGCTTTGGCCCCTCTCGCCCGTGTTGATGCCATGTGCGACGCGCTGACAAAGGCCTTGTCCGGCGACCGAGGCTTCGAGGACTTCGAGGACTTCGACGGCATCGACATGTTCCAGCATGAGGTAGCTGTTGTGGCCGGTCAGCGGCAGCCCAAGCAGCTGGCTCAGGCTGCTTCTTCTGGGCCCGATTTCCTTAGGGCAGCGTGGGCGCCGCAGTTCACCGGGGACTGGCGAGAGAAGTACAGCGTCAACAAGGCGCTGTATACGTGGATCGACTTCTTCCACGTCGACGAGGGCGCCTGGATGCAGTTTGTCGATACACTAACTGAGGCGCAGCTCCGGCTCCTCGCCGAGGATATCTGCTGGCTTCGATACAAGCTCGACCCCGATGCCGAACCGCTCAAGCGCCAGCTTCCAGACCCGTCGTCCTTCTTGAAGTCTGCGCTCACTTCCCGGGACATTCCCACGACGATCGACGGGAATAGTGCACTCGACAGCAGCCGCGTTCTCGATGTGTTGTCGAAGGAGAGGCTTCAGAAATTCGTCTCTGAGTGCATGCAATCCCGAGAGAAAGGGGCGCCGAGGACGTGGGACATGGAACGGAAGAGATTTACCGAGAGGGACGACGTGCCCAAGTCGAAGCAAGCGCTCCGACAGCGATTTGCGGAGCTCAACCTGCACTTCCGCGAAGGCGTTTCCATCGGCGAGCTCCAAAAGCTGCTGTGGCAGCACGAGAACGGGTATGCCGGAATCGATAAATACCGCGACGGCCGTGCCGCTCCCGACCAACACCTCCAGTTAGCGATCGCCCAAGACCTGGAAGCGCTGCAGGACGAGCTGAAGCGCACCATGGTGCATCTGAACAAGACGACCGACGACTTTAGGACGACGTGGAGGGAGAGCAACTTCGTTACCGCGTACTCGTCGCTCGCTTGCGCCGATGACAAGGACTCCGTCGTGTCCGGGAAGCGCTGTGGCGGCTGCCATCAACCACTCGAGTCCGCATCCTCGTCGTTCCTGGTCGTGGGCTGTGGCCACTTCCTGTGCCATGGATGCCAGTCGGCGGCCGAATTCTACTGCCCGGCCAAGGGCTGCCCGGCCTTCGTGCACCAACGCCCGATCCTCCCGTGCTCCCAGGTGCCGGGGGCCTCGGACGACGAGGGGCACACAAAGGCCGCCGAGGTGGCCGACTTCATCAAGAACCGAATCCCGTCGGACGAGTACGTGCTTGTCTTTGGCCAGTACGGCCCCTTCATCGACGCGCTGGAAAAGGCCATCAAGGATGCCGGAGTCGAATGCCTCAATCTCGCCAGCCTGAGCGACGAGATGGTGTCCCAGGGGCTAGAGGACTTCAAGGCCGCACGGGCCGGCCGAGTCTTGCTGCTCGACATGGACAGCGAAACCAGCGCGGGCAGCAACCTGACCATTGCGTCGCGCATCGTCTTCGCGAGCCCGTACATGCACCACGACGAGGACCACCAGGTCAGGACGGTGCTGCAGGCCAGAGGCCGGTGCATCCGCACTGGGCAGACGAACAAGGTGCACGTGTACCATTTTATGGTCTCGGGTACCATCGAGGAGGAGAACCTCCGGAAGTTTGGCCGGGTTAACCCGGCTGTGAAGAAGTTCTTTGGTGAGACAGAGGAAGAGGAGGATGATGAAGTGGCCGGTACGACGGACTACTACTGATGTGTGGAGGACTTTGTTGGGTATTTGCCGTATAGTATGGTTCACTCATAGGAGTACACGGGGGAAACAAAAACGGCGGCCAGATGGCAGTGAGGAGCGCTCAGAAAGAAGCCTTCGATGACGTCCTCCTTGCTGGAGGCAAAAAAAAAAAAAAAAAAAGGAAAAAAGGAAAAAGGGAAAAAAAGGAAAAAAAACACAAAAAGGAGTATGGGAGGATGAGAGGAAGCGCTTCGATTGAAGGGGGAAAAAAGGTACGGTTGTCGGATTAAAAATGTGAGAGTATTAGGTCATGTCGACAGGTATTGCGAGAGACGGTGCATGCCCGGGACAGCCCGCTTCACTAATAGGGGCCATCGAAATAGTATTACCATGAAGCACACAATGGATCTCGGATCACACTCTGCTCTTCGTGATCACCATCTCCTCTCCCGATGGTAATAACATTCCGTTCCCTGGGAGAATGGTGCCTTGTTTCCCAGTCTACAACAGAACAACCTAATTAAGCCGTCGAACTGCCTACCTAGGTACGGTATTGTATGTATAGCAAACTAACTCCAGAGGCACTCCGACGCTAAACTCTCATCTCATACAAGGTACCTAGTAGCCAACCATTCTTTCACAGTTGGAGATCACAGTTTCGCCATCTCCGTCCTCCTGCTCCCCGCCACCACCAACGAGCCCGGTTTCAACTTCAACTTGACCCAAACAGCACCGCCATCATGTCCCGTGCTGCTGCTGCTGCTGCTGTCCAAAGCCAACACCACCTCCTGACAATCCTCCACTCCAACCCCGTTGGCAAACTGCGCCACGACGAAATCCACCGCCGTCCCGGCCTCGCCCAGCGCCACCATCGGCGCATGCCACGTCCCGGCCCCGTAGGTGACCGCCTGGCGGGCCGTCGCCACGAAGGCGCGGAGACGTCGCACGTCGGGCAACCCGCCGCCGGGCAGGGGACGCGGGTAGCTGGCGGCGGCGGCAGAGGGCGGGAGACGGGTCGGGACTGGGAGCGCCGCCGCCGCCTCATCGCCGCCCGCGATGGTGGTGGGGTCACTACTGGGGAGAGTCGGGGCTACGATGACAAGGTAGTGCGCTGCCGGGTTGGCGGGTAGCGGGATGAAGGTCTGGGTTGTGAACGGGTGGCGTTCGAGGATGGAGACCTTGATGGTCACGTCTGATGATGGTGGTGGTGGTGATGGTGGTGGCTGTCCCGCACCGGGGGCCGAGGTCGGAGCAGCTGGGTCCGGCATCATCATCATCACGCGGGCGCGGGCTGCGCACACAAACACGCTCATGATTGCTGATCCCGGACGGCCGCTTGGGGCCTGGTCGTAGAGGTTGACCGGGCGGGATACATGCTGGTATTTGATGGCGGACCCTTGGTTGGCGGGTACGGCGTCGAAGGGAAGCGAGGGCGTGTTTGAGTTTCCGCCGACCGAGGATGGGTGGACATGGGGTCGCGGGTTCTCGATTACATCGCCGAATGGCGCAAATGCTTCGCGCGTGAGGGGCGCTGCCTCGATTACGAGAGGCGGACCCGGAACTCTGAGTACGTGAGGTGGCTGCATTGTTGGGAGGTTCAGCGGTCAACAACCACTAACGCTTCGGCTCTTAATCGGGGCCGGGGGAGGTTGTTAAGCCAAGACGGCGGATGGATCGAAGACGTTTCGGCTATCCAGGAGGTTGTTGATGTTAGGTACAGTCCCAATACGGCAACCGGCTCTTGTTGAGCGAACCTTTAGGAAGGCGGGCAATATATAGGCGCACATGAAAATGGCGGCCGATGGACAACAGCCCCACTTTCCCTTTCTGGACGCCTGTTGGCGAACGGCCGCCCCGGTCCAAGCCGGCAGTGGCCGGGTTCCGGAGACGGGCCGGACGTCCGGCCGGTATACTGCGGACTAGGTACGAATCTATGGTGTTCTGACCGAGAATATTGTAGTAATAGCATGAGCAGTTAGTAGTGGCGCTTTAGCTTAGATCGGAATAACCAACATAAGAAATTGCGCACTCCGTATCACTACTAGTAAAAAGGGGAGGCTAATGTATGCCGACGATAAAGGTTCAAATACAAAAAGAGGCTTTCGACCTGGCATGCGCCACGGTTAGCAGCAGCACAGCTGTAGGTCATATGAACCTCGCTGCTCTTGATCTTCACAATATTGAGTTCGGCCATTTGAAATGCCCAGCGTTGACCGAGTGGAGTGCGTGCTCCGTAACTGCGGAGCAAAAGACAAGGAAAAAACATACAACACCGAGGATTCCCCAGTCGTCACCGACCTGAGTACTGATTCGGCCCTTGGTAGCTTATCTAGGGCAGAGCGGACGGGATGCCGAGTTCTCTACCAGGTATGGTCGTATGTGATAGCGGTGAGGGAGTACTGCGGCCTATGTTGAACGATGGCGGCACGGAAGCGGCCGTCATGCAAACGAATATACGTCAGTGCAAACCAACACCTCCTGCTGCTCTTCCTCAGCAAGCCAAAACATGTATTCTTCGTCTAAATCTATCCGTAGTATGTTACGATACAAGCTGTACTGGGCTTAGCCCTTCCGCCCCCCTGCCATCAACACGACACCATAGTGCCCACAATCAAGTATGGAAGCGGCGCCCTCGGCAGCTACAAGTAGTCGATGCCTCGACTCGACTAGCATGAACATGATTATTGGTTGGTATTTCATGTCAGATGCCCTGCATTCCGCCGTAGGCTGTGGCCCAGCCGGCTCAGTGGTGAGATGCCCTATCGTGATCCGCATCCTCCTCATCGTCCTCATCACCCTCGAGCCGTATCTCGTGGCCATCGCCCTCGCGAACAAACAAGCTCGCAAGGACGTTGCAGGCCGCAACCCCGCTCAGCCCCCAGAACACAGCGCCGACGACGCCCCTCGCCAAGCCCAGCCCATACAGAACGCCGCACAGCACGGGCCCGATCGTCCTCGCGAAACTGCTCACGCTCTGCCCGATTCCATGGACCGTCCCAAGGACGCTCGGGTGCGGCGTACAGTTGTTCACGAGGATCGTCTGAGCGGGGAGCGCAAAGGTGCGGCCAACGACCTGGAGCGAGATCACGCAGACAATGGCCGTCCATACCGCGAGGCCGTCCTTGGGGTGCGGCGGGGCGCTGCTGGACGGCACGAGGCTCAGGTAGGGCACCAAGAAGTAGGTGAGAGGGAAGCACAGCAGGAAAAGACGCCAGCTGCGGACCGTGCCCAGCCGGGCCGAGAGCCAGGGGTAGACGCCGAGCTGGAGGCCGATCCCGATCACGCCGAGAATGGCCATGGCCATGCCCACTTCGCGGGGATGCAGGCCGAGGCCTCCGGTGAAGATGAACGGCAAGCGCTGGGGAAGCGCATTGCGTAGTGACTCGGCGGCGCCTTGGCCCGGGTCATAGACGGGCGTCGAGAGGAAGACGAACCACAGAGAGTTGAAGGTGCCCACGTGGAACGCGAGGAGAAAGCTGGCCGTGAGCGTGGAGATGACGTTGGGCGTGAAGATGCGTCGGAAGGGGAGTCGCTGCGTATACCGGCGTCGGGAATGTTTCCGTCTCGAAGCGGCACTGGCCCCTGAAGAATGGCGCGAGTGGCTACTCCTTGCAGGGAAGTGCGGCTCATCGAGAGCAAAGGTTCGATCATCGGTCGGCAGCGGCATGTAAGCAGCCCCTGAACGGTGGCCCGAAAGCCACCGACGCAACTTTCGCCCCAACTCCAACCCTCTATCCCGCTTGCCGAAGCGCGAGTCGAGTGTCTGGGATCCCATGTCAGCAAACGTGATCGGAAGGCGGGTCCGACGACACACTCTTCAGAGGCATAACCCACCTCCTCCAGACATAGCCATACGCCAAGCATCGCGCAGAGCAGGAAGAAGGCAGATACAAGGTTCGGGGCGGCATAGGGGAAGCGCTGGAAGAAGTCGACGTGGCCAAAAAGGTCGGGGTAGCTCCTCGCGGGATCCGAAAGCACGCCGCCGAGGATAGGGCCGATGATGACGCCAATGTTGAAGGTCATGGGCAGCAACAGGAACGCCCTGGACTGGTACCTGCGAAACTCCATTTCGTTGAGCACTGCTCCAGCGAGGGGAAAGGGGAACAACTCCGTCTTAAAGGGATAAATATCGAGACGCACTTCTTCTCACGCACCGTCTCGCTGATCCTGTAGGAACCGTGTCAACAGGGAAAGCCACGCACGCGCGGGTCGGCAAAAGGGGGTTGTTAGTTCTCACATGGTCCTCAGCACGCCCACATTCCCGTTCGTGATGCCTCCAATGGACCTGAACACGAGGGCCTGCCAGAACGAGGTCGAGAAGGCGAAGCCAACGGACGACAAGACTGCTGAGGTAGTTAGCTCGGCGTGCGGAGCGCGCGTTCGCTGCTTCAAGGGTCTCTCTCACGTGTACCAGCCAAGCCTATCATCAACACGGCTTTGCGGCCGAACCGGTTGGAGTCGGCAAGTCGCCCCCATATCATGGCAGTGAGGAATTGCGCGGCCGTGAAGCTCGCACTGGGGGGGGGGGGGGGGGGAACTGCGTTAGGAGCCAGAGTAGAGTGTAAGACGAGAAGGCCGAGAAGCGGAAAAAAAGTAAAAACGTACTGCAAGACGCCGGCCTGGCCTGATATGACCGAGTCTGGCGCACTGGGGTCGAACCATTTGAGCTGGTAGAACATGTAGGACTGGATGGACGTCTGGACCAGAGGTTCGCTGAGCCTTGCTAGGGTAATGACGAGGAGCTGGTCCTTGCGGGGCAGTTCTCTCCACGACGGCGTGGAAGTGTCCGTCTCGCGCTTGCCCGCGTCCTCCGGCCCTCCTCCCGTGTCTCGACATGCGCCGTGCCCAGATCTTGGCGGCCGCCCGTCATGGCGGGCAGCCGGGCCATCCTCGCCGGGGCATGCGGATCCGGAGTCCCGGCTTGGCGCATCGTGTGGGGAAGCCAGCCGGACGAGGCCGGCATCCGGGTTGCCCGCTAACGGTCCGGCTTCAGGACCCACATCAGAAGTTCGCATCGCCGAGGAAGCTACGTGCCCGTGGCATAAAAGTCCCTTTCATGTGAGTAGGATAGGTAGTGTACTGTTACACACGATGTGACAACCGGGAACCTGGAAAGTCCTTTGTGACCTTACAGCGATTGCCCCCAGCGACTGTGTAGAGAGAGGAGCACGAGCATTTGTTTCAGACCACTTAGTGTACTGGCAGTGACCCTGTATAGCTGGTGACGTGAGTGTTGCCCCGCAGTTTTGATGTTTCGAACAGCCAATAGAATCAAGTGTTCTCTCTAGGTGTCGTCTCTGGTGGGGTGAGGTGTGGGCAGCTAGAAGCGGCTAGAGCTCGATGGCTTCGATCACAACGGTGATCAGCAACCAGCATGAAACAGCGGAATCTGCCGAGACACAACCGTTGCATTCGTTCTCCGACAGCTACCACCAATGTTGCATAGCAGAGCCTGTAAGTTTAAGCTTAATGATTGCCGTAATTTGGGAGAAGGTATCTACAGTCCCTGCTTACATAGAAGTAGTACTTTACTTATTCACTAGCCTGCCTATTTATCTCGGCACCGAGGGGGTGCGATATCGACGACGGTGGGGACCATTTTGAGAGGAACATGCCCTGCTGCGGCTGCGGACAACGTCAAGTGGAGCCCTGGTCAACGTCGGGCTCATCGCACCGTTGAAATATATCGACACGGTACGCCGCTGTCCTAGATCCAGAGCCGGCTTCAGCCGATATTCCTCCGAAGCCCCCCCAAGAAACAAACCAAGTGGACCATACACTATGTGTAGCCCAGGTCTGGGTCAGATGGCTACTCTTAGCCACTCCCTATCCTATGTCTTTGCAGGCAGCTAGTACAGGCAAGATCCCGATTCCTTTCTGGAGGGTCCCGGCTGTCGAGGACTATCCAGTGAGGTATCAAGCTGCATCTCGAGAGGAGAGCCACTCAGTCACCACGAGAGACCAACAAGTCCTGGCCGACAACCCACCTTCTCTTGTCACGTTGAGCTTCTGATGACGCCTGTGGTGCATGTGCATTTATTGTACATACAGCAACAGGCCGGTATTGCCCCATCTTCGCCGAGGATATTCAAAGACCGGTGGTTTTCATCGAACGCCAAAACCGAATAATCAAGCCAACCAGTCCGCAACCTTCTTGCTCAACTTTCTCAGTCTCCCTAAAATCGACCTATCTCACAAGTAGGTGTACACAGTCAATTTAGCTAACGTGAGTTGCGGCCAACGTCTGGGTCCTGGCCTCAGATCCCTTGCGTCAGACGATGCCCACTATCTCCGGAACCCGGAGTGGAGGGCTGAGTTGAGGGGATGCTTCACCAAGTTGATTGGCTTCTGGTGTGGCTTCGACAACATGCCGAGCTTCACAGTTTCCATCGCGACAGGTCCGTTACAACTTACGTTGAGCTTCTAGTGTGATGTACTAGTACTTCACTTGGCATTTTTTGAGCCGTCCACGGGCGTGGTCCTCAGAGCCCTAGGTAGTTATCGCTAGTATACAATGGGTAGTTTCTCCATCCTGGCAAAATAAACTAAACTCACATAGGTCTTCTAGTTCACTACTACACTATGTCACTCCTGATAACTGTGCTTCCAATGCTTCTTTCCTTCTTTATCTTACATTATCGATTTCCTACTTGATTTCCGGAGGCGAGGGCTACGCGTCAGAATGGTGTCCAAACTATATACGTTTGGATGCACTGTATAGTGCTGTATTGTTTGTGAGTTCGGCTTGATATGTGGGGGAGGAGGCAGTATCATTGTACGGATCTAGTACGTCATGGGATGGTGAGGCAGAGAGACATACAGGTACGTCGGGGAGTGCAATCACCAGAAAACAACGCGTCCGGATGTCCGGGGCCAGGGACCAGCGATCCAAAGGTGTGGGGTGATAGAGATTTGAGGTTCCGCGGGGAATCGACAGATTGTCTCCTACCTTATGAATGCAGTTGATGGTTGATGATTCATGACTACGTGCCGCGTTCCTGAGGACCCTAGGCTGCAATCACTGAATCAGTCAACCCCGCCCTTTCACTTCTGGAAAAAGCTCGATCATGACGTCTGCCTACTTAGTAACCGTTGGTTTTGTCCGATCATCAAATAAAAAGGGCATGCCTGTTCCCGCGTTGGCGCATAGCTCAGCTAATACTAAGCTCAAGCATCACAACACACCACTCTGTCGATTGTCATATCTTTCTTTGCAACGCTCTATCTATGATGGTAGTAGTTACAACTCTTATCAGCCAATCTAGACCAATTCAACGCTCACTCTTGTTCCAACGATAACTCGAGTACCGTCCCGGTTCGGCCCTCGAGGCAACATGGTGAGCCATTCAATCGCTAGCAGCGACGGGCGGTCAGCTCTGGCTTAGACGTCATCTGCACCTCCATAACCTTGTGGTGTCAGCAAACTGCTGATCGTGTCCCCTCACGGTCGGTTCCGCTGGACATACGCCGGAAGCATCGCGGCAATGTGCTTTCACCTTCCGGCCCTGTTTCCTTCCTCAGATTCGCCTGCCCTCCCGTCTCTTGCCTGCATCGTCGGGTAGATCTGCGATGAAGTTGGCTGGACGGCATGGCGGTGCGATGGCGTCCGCAAATAATACGGGTCCCCTGAATACACGCACCACGGTGGTGCGTGTAGATAAGCCGGCGAGGAGTGAGTATCCTTGGGACTCGGGTATCGGCTGGCAGCAGAAGCTACTGAGGGAGCAAGCATCCCGTCAGCAAAAAGGGGTAGCAGTAGAGAGTGCCAAGGCCCAAAGCTGCCGACATACCTGAGTCAGCCTCCCGAGGCTCGAGTTTGATGGAATGCAGGGCCGGCGCCGACGTGTTGCTGGCGATGATGGCGGGCTCCATCACAGGCACGCTGGTGGGCATATAACCAAACTCCTTGCCCGGGCCACACGGGCCGGGGCTCGATTCCACCGATTGTATCACAGGATTCACAGCCGGAGACGGAAGCGGCACCACATGGCTCTGCCAGTGGTCATATCGGTGGGTACTCGGCAGAGGCGATGATCCGAAGTTAGAATGCGGCACGTTGCTGCTATAGTTGTTGCTGTGCCCTGCTGCTGGCGACGGCCCATCCACAGAGTGTACGCACGAGAGTCCGCTCTGGCTCGTAGGGATAGGCCCTGTGCCGTGGCCGAAATCTACCTCCTCGAATGTTGATGCTGAGTAAAAGTCCAGATCAGATGTCAGGCAAACCCGGGGGTTCTCGGCCGGTGAACTTTGAAGTGAGCGGGAGGCCCGCGGAAAACATACCTGGTGGATGAGAATGTCTTTCGTTGTACATGAAAGCAGGGCAGCGTGACAGTTCGAGCAACTGGGCTCGCAGGTCTCTGATCTCTTCATGCAGGCTCAATGCCGTCTCTACCGATCTCATCGACCTGAGCATCTCGACCTCTCTCCTGAGGCTATCGATCGTTTCCTTGTTGCGGCGCCGTATGGCCTGCTGCGCGAGCCGATCGTTCTCTCGCTTCTTCCTGCGCTGCTCTTCCGAGAGATTGATGACCCTGCGGGCTCCTGCTCGCAAATGCACTTGGCGTCAGATCGGGATCAAAGGCAAGCGCTGGCAAGGGGGCCCAGACGCCCACTTGCATGGATGACTCACCTTTCACTTTCCCCTTTGGTGGTTTATTCGGGGTCTCTCGCGGCGGGGGCTGAAATGACATAGTTTGGAAGCCTTGTGCACCTTGTGCGCCTTTTTGGCAGCAATCTGCCGACCTACAAGCCTCGTACAACCGACAAATCGGGATAGCAGACGGCCGCGAGTAGGATGTGTTGAATGCGAGTCGAGGCCTAGGCCTGTTGCTTGAAAATACTGCTGATGACGACACCGTCCAGCGGCTGGAAACCTTTTAAGGATGTATGTACTTCTAAATATGTATTATTGACCGAATGGAACTTGAAGAATAAATTATAACGATGCAACTCGAGCTCAGTTCAGGTTGTGTGTCTGAGGTATCTTTGACCAAAAAGCCCCGGGAGGGGCTTAGAGCGACTTATACAGCCTCGACTTTGCCCCCCGAATAGAAGATCGGGCGTATGCCAGAGCAGGCCGCCCCAGACGTGGTGTCCATACCCACCCACTCCTCCCTGTGGCGATGGCCAGACTCGGCAGAAGGGGATCGCTGCTCCAATAAGGTGGGCACAGCCTGGGGCCGGGAGAGATCCAGTAGGTACTAGTACCTACTATGTGTACACGGAGTGCCGCGTACTGGTACTGTGCAAAACTCGTGAGCCCTTCCCGGTCCTTCGGCCAGAAACCGGAGGATGAATACAACTTGGGTGTGTGTGTCGGGTTTCTCCGCTAATCCCCATCCGCACTCCTCGCGGACTCCGCAGCCTCAAGGGCCTGCTTGCTGGCTTCCCACTTGATCCCGCTCGTCGCGGCTTGCTCTGATGAGATCCTCACCCTGGTGCCAACACAAGCGACCACATGAAACATCTGGATCCGACCCGAAGCATGATAGTCTGGAGAGCCCGGTTATCAGCCATGGGTGTCGGGACAAGAAACAGCCTCCTAAAGCCAAAAGGTAAATATCTGTTGGTCCAGGGTTTGCTACGATCTTTCCCGCGGGGCTCCACGGCTATCATGTCGCCCCCTCCGTGGACGATGGAGCAGCTGGGAAACAGGAACGGAGTTGAGTGAGCGTTGATAACTAACGGGGGAAAAGTTGGTTGATTCTTTCTACTAGTACATACTAGTCTGAGTGCAGGGAGCGCTGGCCGGAGCCATAGAAATAGGGCCTAGACCCACTAGCTAAGAATGACGACAAGTTATAACGGCCAGAGTTACGTTCTCCATTTAACAGCGTTGAAACGGTCTGCCCAAGGACACATCCGGACAGGCCAGGCCGTTTTGAGCCGATGTGCGCGGGGGCTGCTTGTGATAGGAACCCCAGCCCGGCCTGCCTGCTAGTGTACGTACGAAACATTGACAGAGCTCATAGGTGGAGGTTCTCCGTGCTGAGTCATGACCCAACCTTAACCACCTCACCTTACCTAGTAGTACATGCATGAGCCTTGTGGGCGCCGGCAGCCTGAGCTCTCTGCCACAATGATTCATTCGGACAGCCTTGCCCTTACAGACACCTCCTGTCGTCACGCTTTCGAGCAACAGCTTTCTATCCTTCACGCCCTTGCTTTCCATGCTGTTCTCCCCTGTCGACTTGGTCATATACGCTGTCTGTCGGCATCGTCAGAAGCGGGTGGGTACTAGTATTTGATATGAACTGATCGGCTGACATGCAGGGCGCTCGCTCCAATGTCACGAGTACGGCTACTCTGTATTGCTGACATTCATCTGGCACCACCGACCTTACTCTTCCTACCAAACCCGCTTGGTCAGCTGTGGTTTACTACACCAGCACCTACTCCAGACTGCTGGGCGCGTAGCACTGTGAAAGGGATGGTGGGACTCAAGCCGGAGCCGGCTTCGCGTTCTAATGTTGAGGACCACCATCAGGGCTCCCGGGAGAATACTCCTTAGCTACAGTGGCTGCCAACTGGAACTATTAAGTTCACGGCTTGATAGATGCAGAAGCGAGAAAAGCCCCAGTTCCCCAGCGGGTGTCTTAGCGCGCGAACTACTAATGCAAGGGGGTCCGAGAAATGTAAAGCCGAGCCTCCGGACTATCGCTGCAATCCACCTTGAGTCCAGTGTCATTGTCCCGGCCTTCCAGTCTAAAAAGTGGCAAGCACAAGAACCACGAAAATCGCGCCGCACAGTAGACAGACCTGGCGGCCGGGGAGATAGGCTTACAGGTAAGCAAAACTTGCTGGGCCACGAGGACCACACGCTTTGTGGCTGTGTCTGGCGAAAAGGCTCTGTTTTTTCTTTGCTTCACGCCCGCGTGTCTCGTGACGTCAACCATCAAGCGGGAAACGCGCGTTGCACATCAGCGGCCGACATGGTACTGGCATCAGCGCCTGTCTTAACCACATCGCAGGCGAAGATCATTCCAAACTGCTGGTCTCGGCTGCGCTGACCAACTCCTCCGTACCCCCAACCTCCGTGGGGCCACTGCTCCCTTCTGGCGGCAAAGCCCAGGCGGGCAAAGGGCTCGTGTAGCTCCAGGCCCCCTCCGCATCCTCATACCGGAGGCTGTGGAGCCACAGGGAAAGCTCTTGCTCCCCTGGATCCGTGTAGAGAGGCGTGTTGCAGAGGGCGCAAACCTCGCCAGACATCTTCTCGGCTTTTTTCTTGTAGTATGTGTCCACCATCTCGTCGTGATATGCAACAGCATCGGCAACTTGGTCTTTGCCCATTCGCGAGAGGCGAGTGATGATGTCCTCGTCACTATTCTGGGTGGCCTCAGCATCGTTGCAGCCCAGGTCGATACCCCAGACCTTTTGGTTGGCATATATCGGGTCGTTCTGAATGGGGTGTCCGAGAAACTGCAAGTGGACTCGGATCTGGTGCGTTCTCCCTGTCACGGGCAAGCACCGAACGATGGAGTACCCCTCGTCTGCCTTCCGATGGCCGGTCGGTTGGGCAGCGGCTGCTCCAGGCTCTTCTTGGGCTGCCGTTGACCCAGCCTCACCCGCTGGTCTATCTGAAGGCGGACTTGTGTCCAAGCTGGAGGCTCGCGGATAGTATGCCAGCCGCTTAAAGACGGTCCTGGCGAATTTGCCGTTGGCTCGCACCCTGTTCAGTCCGAGCTTTGGGGAGATCTGCAGAATGGGCTGGTCGCACACGATCTCACCGTCGGGGAACTTGCCGATAACGCGAGCAACGTACTCCTTACGGACACTGCGCTGGAATATTTGGACGCCTAGCCGCTCCGCTGCCTTGGCATGTTTCGCGATGAACATGATGCCACTCGTGAGTCTGTCGAGCCTGTTGCAGGGCCGAGGGGAGAAGCTCGGACCCCTCTCCGCCTTCATGATCTCGACAACCGAGTTGTAGTTGTAGCGCCCAGCAGGGTGAACGGGGACGCCCGAAGGTTTATTGATCACGACCATGTCCTCGTCTTCATAGATGACCCCGATAGGCTCAGCGCTGACCGGGGGCTCGTGGCGATGAGTCGTGTGAGACACGAGGTCGCCATTCTTTAGAATGTAATGCGGGCCCACCGTTTTGCCATTGACGGCCACTTGGCCAGACTCCATAGCTGCGCGATAGTACTCGAGCGGCCTGTCGCGGAACTCGCTCTCGAAGATGTCCACCAGCTGCCGGCCACGCCATCGTTCTTTGCACCACGTGTTATACGTGTAGAAGTAAGGGCGAACACGCCGCAAACCGTCTTTAAAATAGTATGGCCGCGGCGAGGGTGGTGAAGGCGCTGGGAGAGGGAGTGTAGCCTCAGGCTCAGGTTCGGAATTGGATGGCTTGGTTGGTGCGCAATCCCCGACCTGCCCCCGGGCCACGCCGGTGGCGAGATTGCTGAGCGAAACTGTCATCTCCCTGCTCCCAGCCGCAAGCGCAAGCAGTGTCCTGGATGGGCCCAGTATCATTCAGTGTAGCGCGGCGTCGACTGCTCAACCAACGCAGACATGAGAGTGAAGGTTGTGGTTGTCTGCGGTAAGGGTGGGGATCCACAACGGTGGTTTCGAGGATAAGGCCGGGCGGTGAGAGCGCCCAAAATCCATTTAAGCATGAAGAGTTGAAGACGAATTGGGCAAGTGGGGGCACCGCTTCCTCGGCTTCTTGTCGTCTTCCCTGGCAAGGGTCCGGTCGGTCTGCCGCGGCATTCCATTGACATTCCCGCACTCCGCACTCCCGCACCCAGACATAGAACGATTGAAGTAAACATCGCAGGCTCTATCGAGATTGCACTCTAATGCGCTCGTCTGACCAGAAAACAACACTCGAATCTCCTCGTCTGGCCCCCCGCACCATGGCAAACCTGGCCGAGTTGAAGAGACGGACAAGGGCGGATTATCCTTACATTCTCGAGTACCGAACACGATGGTGAGCCTTCGCCCACTCCATGCCAGTGGCCAGTGTCGCAGTGGCTTTGCCCGATGGAGCTGAACAGCCATGCCAGGAGTGACAACGACATGTACGATCACATGAACAACTCCATCTACAATTTTCTCTATGACTCGGTCATCAACACCTATCTGATCGAGCACTGCGGACTCCACCCCCCGTCCTCTCGACAGTACGGCATGGTTGTCCACTCTCACAATGACTACTTCGCGTCCATCTCATTTCCCGCGTGTGCGGAATTAGCCTTGCGAGTCAACCGGATCGGGAAGTCTAGTGTCACCTACGAGATTGCCCTCTTCGAGAAAGGCCAGGACGCTGTCAAGTCTGTAGGGGAGTTTGTGCAGGTGTTTGTGGATCGGGAGACTGCGAGGCCAAATGCAAACGGAATGGACCCTGAACTACAGCGTGGACTAGAACGTATACTTGTCAAGAGCCGTGCAAGCAAGCTGTAGATATAAAGTATAGACAACAAGACAGATTTTACGCTAACTATTATCGTCTATTGCTTTTGGAGCCCAGCGCTTCGGACTGTACTGCTGTAGGCTTCGGTACATAGGCCCAACCATATTCGGCATGCTGCTTGGGTCACTATCCAGAGCACACTGTACGAGTACACAGTATGCCAGCTTAGTTGCTGTCCAAAACCGGGAACTTTGACTTACACAGGAGTAGACGCCCATGACGTCGTACGCCCACCATCGATTGGGAACAGCCACACTTCTTTGCTATAAGTCGGGTGCCGTTGAAAATGTTGCATCATAATCGAACTAAGCTGATTTTCGATGATAAAGGATATCATAGTACGCGCAAACTCGCCCAAGCCAAGTCATACTCGTGTGATTGAAGAACCACTCTTCCAACCTCCATCGCGCAACTCGTAGGGAGATCTGCATACTCGTCGTACCCATCACACCGTTCTGAAATCCAATCATACCCCAAATTACGCAAAGATGGAGTGGGCCAAAGAACAATACAACAAGCAATACGAAGCCTGGGTTCCGTGGCTCGAGGACCTCTACCTCCGCTACTTCACGCGGGACAACAAGGCGAGCTACACGATGCGTGGCACGTCTCTCCTCCTCGTGTCATTTTCCCCTTCATCTCCTTGCTTCATGTCCTTGCTCGTCTTCATGATTTAGTCCTTGATCTCTAACACCGACGATAGATAACCTCAACAAAACGAAAGTAACCCCTATCGAGCCCGTCAACAACCTCCAAGACGGCGTCAACGACTTTGTCGCCGGCCAGGTAGGCCAGGACGGCCTAGCCAGGCTGGTCGGCGACCTCGCATCGCGTGAGGGGATCAATAGGTTCGAGAGGAAGGGGAAGGACGAGAGAGGTGACTATGTGCCCAGCGAGGTGACAGAACCGGCCGGCGGGGTCGGGGAGATGGCGGCCGGAGCCGGAATTGCCGTTGTGGGAGGGGCCGTCGCCGGTGGCCAGCAGGCTGCTGGCGCGGTGAAGGGCGGAGTAGAGAGGGCTGGGGCCTGGCTTGGGTTCGGCAAGGGGAAGGGGAAGGAGTGAGCGGCGAGTATGACTATGGTCTCAACGTACTGACCGAGTGTTGCGACGTCAGCATTGGTTTTGGACGGCCGGCGAGTTTCTGAAAGGGGTTGGGCCTGAGCTGGCCAGTATTTCGGAGTGCGAGGTTCATTAGGAAGGGTGACCATCATACAATGACCATTTTGTGCGCAAGGAAGTTTGTTTCTAACCCCCTTTAGCAATCTGGAGGTCGCTTTTCTGACCTGTATCTTTAGTCTGCGGGTTCCATGATCCATTTCGGAGAGGCAACAGGTCAGGGACTTGGAGGGTGTAATAAAGGTAAACCACGTAAGGCATCCGGCCAAGCGATGCAAAATTCTGAATGGGGTTGGTTTGTTGGAGTGCTCGGAGCCTTTCTTCGTCTGATCATACACAAAGAAGCCGCCGTGTCTTGCAATGCCCATGATGAGGGTCAGATCGTAGTGCCTCAGCATATGGTCTCAACGGTCGTCTTCCGGGTAGACTGAAAGGACTGCTGAATAGCCTTCTGGGCATCAACAGAACGGCCGACTAGGCATAGTTAGTGAACCAGGAGGCTTGTTGACTGTATACATTTTACCCAGGCTCTCCAGGCAGAACTGAAGAAAATGTTCAATTATCATCCTGTAGGCTGTAAGAGACCTCGGCTTTATAAGTGATTAGCCTCTCGGTTGAGTCGGCTGCAACCGAGCCGGGGGGTTCCACCTTCCAGATAACTGGAAACCCTCACCCCACTTGGCCCCTGTCAGCCTGCAGTAGCTCCTGCGCACTGACACGGAGGCATCTGACGACTCTCGTGCCACACCAATCGGCCATCCTGAACTCCGGTATTCAACCTTCTTTGTGTCTCCTTGTTGAAGTCACTCCTTTGTAATATTTGCTCAGGGATAGGCTCATAGCCTCCCGGTGTGTTCGTGCGGCTGAGCTTTCCAGCTGAGTCATTTCAACTTCGAAATCTCGCTCGTTTGGGACCTTGACAGGAATCGAGGCAATGGCGCGACGACAGCATCTCACGCTAACCTTGGTGGCGGTTATGGTATTCGTGGGCCTAATATACGTAATGTCAGGCAGCTCGAATACTCAGCGATACCCGACAAGGATACCGAGCGGCTTTGAGAGCAAGCCGGAACATCGAAGCCACGAGGGTAGCGGCAGCGTCAGAGACAGTGACAGTGACAGTGTGAGCGTCAGCAACCCAGCCTCCAGCATCTCAGACACCATCCTCAATGGCGGCTCCATTGCGCCCAAGCTTGAGAATGCAACAATAAAGTATTTGCTCTTCTCGCACCTCCTTACCCCTCTTCTTCCGCTAACCCGCCCCTTCCTCCAGAGCCGAATTAGGCCGGGCCTCCTGGAAGCTCTTCCACACCATGATGGCACGCTTCCCGGAGAAACCGACGCCCGACGATAGCCTCGCCTTGAAGACGTACATTCAGCTGTTTGCGCGCCTCTATCCGTGCGGCGACTGCGCCTCTCACTTCCAGAAGCTGCTCAAGAAATACCCACCCCAGACAAGCAGCCGGAATGCGGCCGCAGGGTGGGCCTGCTTCGTACATAACGAGGTTAACAAGCGGCTGAAGAAAGAGCAGTTTGATTGCAACAAGATCGGGGACTTCTATGACTGTGGCTGCGGGGAGGAGGACGGGAAGAAGAAGATAGATGAGTTGAAGGAAAGAAATGGCGTAACTCTGGAGAAGGAGGAGGGCTTGACAAGGGGAGGGTGAACAGCTTTTGGGAGGAGGGTTGTTGTTTATTTATCCTATATTGGCTCAAGTCTCTACTGGTATATACGGCAGTGCTTCCCACGGCTGCCGGCGGCTTGGGAACTTCAGGCACTGTTCCTCACAACGAGAAAAGTGCAGCTGGACGGACAAGGAACTGCCCGGGAAGGCTTGGACAGGTTGGAGCAGGTTCCAATCGGCATGGAGGTTTTCAGCGGCAGAACTTGAGGCACGAACCCGTCCACCACCTTGACGTCCCCTCGAGGCACTACCAAAAGAAGGAGAGCTTCTCTCGGCTACGCACATAAATCGGAGAGGCCATGGGCCGTTGTTTAGCTTACGTCTAAGATCGAACAGCTGATACTGTTTCGTGTAATATAGAGTCCCTTGCACTAGATAAGTGGACGAGAATTAGAACTCTAATTCATTGTCTTCCACAATTCCACTGCGTATAGCGTCGATAAGATAATAGCTGCGATAAGATAAGGTAAGTGACGCTCTGGTGCTCACGTGATGCGCCTCAGCCCAGCGAGGCGCCGCGTATGAGAGCTGCCTTGAGCTGGCGTGCATTACAGCTCCAAGCTCGCCAACGTCGAACGACATACCGACCATTGCTTTTTTCTCGAACAGTGACCATTTCCCTGGGCATACGATCTACGACGCTTCTTCTTACGCAAAAGACTTCTACGCAAAAAGATACCGAAATAATCAAAAATGGAATTCGGCAACTCAGGTTCATTGAGTGAAGGTGAGTGGCACGCAGCCCAGCACCGCCTGCTCCACCTGCATCCCGACCTGTTCATTGACCATTGCGCACCGCAGATGGCATCCATCTCGATATGGACCGGTTGAAGAAGGGGGAGGTGAAGTAAGTAGCACCTGGAAACCGACCTATTCCGTTCCTCGTCAACCGCTGACCGCGCTCTCTTCTAGCTTGGGTACCTCGATGTAAGCTCGAACCGCTCCCAGACAACTCACCCATCCCGCGCATATGCAGCTGCCCTAACCACCGAGCGAAACAGCATGGCAGTGACATTCAAAGACGGCGTCATCCTCGGAGCCGACTCGCGCACAACAACGGGCGCCTACATCGCGAACCGCGTAACCGACAAGCTGACCCAGGTACACGACACCATCTGGTGCTGCCGGTCCGGGTCGGCCGCCGACACACAAGCAGTCGCCGACATTGTCAAGTACCAGTTGGAGCTATTTGCTATGATGAATGGCAAGGCGCCAACGACGCAGACGGCGGCGGCGATTTTCCAGGAAATCTGCTATGCCAACAAGGACCGATTGACGTGAGTTTTGTCTGGACGAGATCCTGCAAGGAGAGAATGGGAATCCTCGATGCCGGCAGGACTGAGCTAACTGGGTGTTCGACCTTCTGTACAGGGCGGGCCTTATCATCGCGGGCTGGGACGAGCGGCACGGCGGGCAGGTCTACAGCATCCCACTGGGCGGGTCACTTCACAAGCAGTCGTACGCCATCGGCGGGTCCGGGTCGACGTACATCTACGGCTTCTGCGACGCCAACTGGCGCGAGGGCATGGAGGAAGCCGACGCGGTGAACTTTGTCAAGGAGGCGCTCAAGGAGGCTATCAAATGGGACGGCAGCTCGGGTGGTGTCATCCGTATGGTCGTGCTGACAGCCAAGGGTGCTGATAGGCATCTCTACTTGCCGGATACAGACTACAAGGTCCGGCATATGTGAGGTCGTCTCGCCTGGGTTAAAGGGTAGATAGGAAATTATTCCGGGCGACGAGTCCAGGTTATCGAACAGCCGGACCTTGTACGAACACAAAGATACCATCCCTTTCTTCGGGCCACGAATATAGGGATGGATAGACTACGCACGGGACTCCCGAATGCACATGTGCTGCAGCCTAGCCCGGAATGAACGGTTGCGGCGCATAAGGAGAGTCCAGGAAGCGGTGAAGAAGGCCTGGAACCAACGGGATGCTCGACATTCCTGCAGGTCGCGGGCGGATGCGCGGCCAGGAACAAGAATCATTCGAGAGATGTCTTGTGGCTTGCATGCTGGCCCTGGTGCCCGACGGGGCCTTGCCGCAGGATGTACCTAGTGGCGTCAAGTAGGCGAGATTTCCGGAAGTTCTTCCCAATCGTGTAACCCACGCTTCTTTTGCCTCGTGGTTCGGCATAACGGTGTTGGTCATGCTTTTCGATTCAAGCTCCGGCCCTCAAGGTCTGCATTCAAAACGCTAGGGCTGAGCGTGAAGAGAAGGGAGATCTACCCCATCATAGAGTCTGATGAGGCGGACGTTGGTGAGTCCCACCTCGGGCACCGCCAGGCCGGAAACCCGGGGACGATGGGTCGACCGACCCCGCCGTGCACTGTCCTGGGCCCAAGGGGTAAGGGCGGAACGTGGTTCTTTGTTGATTGCGCGATTGCGATCTCGATGAGCCCAGGCACTCGGATTGGATTTGCGGTCCCTTACGGGGGGTTGAATGTCGGTGAGGAGAAGACCCCCGCTCAGAATCTGCTCACCCCTCCTCGTGGGCGCCTTGCGGCATCAGATTGGCTGCGCTTGGTCCCTTGGGCGTTCATCTCAAGCGTCTAGTGCTTCAAGCTCGATTCTTTGATCGCAGCGCCCGGTAGGTCAAGGATAAGAACCCGAGGGGTGTGACGCAAAGTCCCTCTCAGATGAGGCTGGCCGGGTGGGCAAGTCTGATGGTACGGAGTGATCGGCCTCGTAAACAAGCCTTGCGTGACGTTACGAATCTTAGCGATGCAGACGCGGGGATAGGCAGCTCAACAGCAAGCAAGCGATCATCTCCGAGTTCCGAGCAGTTTGAGATACCAGATGTCTCCAAATCTCTGCAGTCTACATACACTACACGGTAGTAGATGGTATCGATATCGGAGGAGTACTCCGTAGTGGACCCGTGGCAAAACTGTCTTTACATACATATTGTAGGACCCCTGCCCGTTGAAGCGCAACTGGGTTTGATGTTCGCGGTTGCCCCACCAATTATGGGAAGAACATTACTTTCTTCTTATCAGTCCACCGCGGGACAAGAAACCAAAAAGCAGGGAAGCCTCTTTCCGGACCAGGAGACCGCGCTTCTTGCCCTCGTGTTGTCATCTACATTTATAACTGCTAGAGCTGCATCAGCGTGTGAATGGAACGCCTGAGGTTGGGCCGGTCTCTCAGCGGTTCCCACGGCTGAGCCCGATCCGAGACTTCCAACCCCCGTTCGGGTTGTCCATGTATCCACACACGTGGCGGGACTCAGATCAGCGACTAGGGGTAGGTATCCGCGTCGCTGCAAGCCCCAAATTAACTCGTGAGACGTTTACTTCTGTCCGCAGTTATTATATCTTGCGACCTAAGCTGGGTCAAGCGAAGTTCTGACTATTCTTCTCCATTTTACTTCTGTTTCTGTCTTTTGGTCGGAACCGGCCCGGGCTGGATCGTGGAGTTCCTCTGATCGTTGACTGACAACCTGGAGCACGACCATCTCGACCGTACTCAGGCACCTTATCTGTCAAAACGTCAACCGTCCCTCCACTGCTCCAGCCCTCCGGCCGCTTCTTGGCGTTGGTTCATGCGATCATCTCGCCATTGATTCCGTCAGCCTTTGCCACCACGGTAGTCGACCGCCAACAAGCCACCTCGTCGTGAAAAGCTTCTTCGCCGCGACCTTCCGCCTCCGTTTGGCGCCGTCTTCAGTATTGTTGCTCCTTGAGCGCAAATCGTAGTAGACGCTGCTCATCTCGGATTACCTCTTAAGAGTTCGAACAGTAGTAGGTAAATATTATTGTTTTTTTTTCCCTTCCCCCTTACCGTTTCCAACAATCGACCGGTGTCTTCCCTGGTCTCTGCGTCGAACCGCTTGCCTCTGCCTCCCATCCAAGTCGCTCGGTTTGAGGCAAGCACTATCTGTTGGCCCAAGGTTCAATGGCGTCATTCTCCGAGACAAGTCCAAATCAGAGTGCACGCCGCGGCACAACCATGCCAGGCGCATTCCATTCGTCGCCCCTGCAGTCTGCACGGAAACAAGCCTGTTTCGGCTGGCTTTGCAGGTTGCTTTCGGCATGGGATCATGGGAATTACCAACGCCAGCAGCATTCCGCTGCCGGTCGTGCGTGTTGCATGTCGTGCTGCCCAGCCAACACGGCCGTAACTTTTTCACATCATGTCCCTTCCCGGCGCCTCATTCCAACCCCCAACACAGGGGTCGCTGTTTGCTAATTCCCTATCGACTGGGCTATTTCTCTACCCCTTAGAGCACTGTCGTGTATTCTGTTGTCTGCAGAGTTGTCCTGTCATGTGCGCCGGAGCAGTCCCGGCTCTTTATCGAGGGGTCAAAATTTCGTCACCCAGAAGAGATCGGTGCTAATTCGCCGCTATCTGCGGCACAGCCTTCATCAGGATCCGGTATCATTGAGGACCCGCTCCCGCCCGATAAACATCATCCCCCCGCCGGCAACCAACAAGCACCCGACTTGGACAGCGAGGACAGCATGGCCGCTCTCATAGGCGATGTCTTCACCGAATCATCCTCGCGGTTTCATGGTATGATCGGAGGGCATTCCCACGACATTCACTATCAGAGCCGCTCAGTCAGTCGGTCCCGCGATCGCGATGCTCAGTCCCACCACACCCCACGCCCGACGGCGAGCCCAAGGAGAGCCTCTACATCAGTAGCTTCCGTACAGAGCCAGGCTCGAAGTAGACGGGATTCGAATGAACCAGTACAGGAGACGAACACAAAAGAGACACACGCAAGACGCTTCTCCGCAACGCCTAAGACCGCTCGACTGCCTTCGCCTCCACCTACATCAGATGCGTCCTCCGAGACCCCTTCTAGCGGCGGCGCGCAGACACAACACGATGTACCCATAGACGGCGCGCAGAATCCCACGCCTGCGTCATTCTCCGCCTCCGGCTCAAGCGCCTCATCGGCGACCACCGTAATACCACCGCAACCGAGATCCGTACCTTCTCCAAGGTATGATAGCAGTGGTCCGCACTCGACTGCGCCTCACGTTCAAACTGCTGGCTCTTCATCTGTTCCGCCGCATCTCGATGATCCACCCGAATCGCCGATACAGACCCAGACAACAATCCGAGTTCGCGATCTCGCGCACATTCAGAGCTTGGCCAGAGCCGACCTGCTCCCCGGGACTGGCCCCAGGGCCCAGAAAGACCCGCCACTCCAACAGATGAAGTACGAGATCAGCGGGATGCCTATTGGAGACATCATCGAGATGGTGGCGGCGCTTTTGACAAAGATCACTACCACCAACGACCTCCAGCATGACGCTCTCAACCGCAACGCGCACCACCTAAGGCAGGCACAGGCACAGGCGAGAGGCGAGGAAGGGAGCGGGGAGAGCAGCATGAGCCCGCTGAGCAGCAGTGTTCTGGCCTTCCACGGCAAGAATGTGCCGGCTATCACCATTTTGAGCTACCTCAGTCGCATCCACAAGTACTGTCCGACCACATACGAAGTCTTCCTCAGTCTACTAGTTTACTTCGACCGGATGACGGAACGGGTCAATGACATGGTAATGAAGAGCGAAGAGGCGCGGCGACTGCAGCTGGAGGCACAACGCCTCCAAGCACAGCCGGCCACTGGGAGCCTGGATGCCGATAAGGACACAGTCATGCGCGATGATGATGATTCGAGTGACGCGACCGAGACTGACTCGGAGTTGGCAGACTCCACTGACAGCGACGACGAGATCGCGGGGCAGGCGGGGCGGAAATCGACGCGCGGCGCATCGGCCACCAACAATAGCGTGCATGCTGCTGCTGTGCAGGCCACGTACTTTGTCGTGGACAGCTTTAATATCCATCGTCTAATTATTGCGGGTGTGACTTGTGCTAGCAAGTTCTTCTCCGATGTCTTCTATACCAACTCGCGATACGCTAAGGTATGCGTTTTTTATCCGGAGCCTTACCGCCATTTCGGCGCGCTGACATAGTTCACTTCAGGTCGGCGGCCTTCCCCTCCCCGAATTGAACCACCTCGAGCTACAGTTCCTCCTCCTAAACGACTTCCGGCTTGCCGTGCCCGTCGAGGATTTAGAGGCGTACGCTACGATGCTGGTAGAGTTCTATGCTCGGGAGGTCGTTGCGCAGCGGCCCCGTCCCATGGGGGGCCGGAATGAGTTGTCGCCATTGGGGTAGGATCCGGCGAGGATGAAGGTGCCCAATTTATACACTTGCGCTACGCCTCAAGACGGACGGGGGCGTTTCTAGAGCGATGAGCGATGGTTTTCGAACGACGCCGGCTGCAAAGAAAGTATGCCTATGTGTACCGCGCTACCCCAGGATTACGGACTAGGGGATTGTATCCCGGTGGTTTTTCGATTAGAGAAGATAATACCACGGCGGGTGTTGTGCCCGTGGTGGTGAGGATGTTTCAGCCGAAGTCAGAGAACATCCTACAAATGTAGAGTGATCCAAGCGGTGCTATTATTGGATCCCAGCGGTTAGTCGTGGTGGTTAAGAGTGTATGGAGCGGATGGGTTGATAGATGGCATTGATGTATGACTGCATCGTTTACTTCTTCGGTTCTCCGGTGCCTCATTTTCGTTTACCCCTTCATGTCCTGTTGCTGCTGAAGAGTGACATCCCCTTGATATCTCCGCCATTGATTACGCATCCGATGACATAATGATATCGCAGTCTGAGTGAATCTACCTTCATTCCCGGCTGCCTCGACACACATACAGTATTGTTTCTATGTTAGGTGTTTCCCTCATCGCAGTCCAGGACCATCCAGTTCCTTGAGCGTTCTATCAAGATAGGAAACGCCTCGGGTTTGGTTCCTTCATCCGATAGTGCGTCACATGTCTAGGAGTGAGGAGTTCTATTCATTTTTAGCCTCCTTGTCAATCATGCCGACTATTGTCGGCGGAACCATGATGTTCATAAACAGGCAGAAGGTAGGTAGGAGTTAGCTGAGGCCGGGCCATGACCTGAGTAATAAGGAGGAAGGGCGAAGTAACTGGCTGTAAATACGGTTACTTGAGTCTTTCACATATCAGGACTGGCAAGATCCAAAAATGCCATATGGCATATAGGATTATTCATATTTCTACACGGGCCTGCAAAGAGCTTATCGCGGCACGGTACATCAGGTAGGCAGTCTTACGGCAAGCCAGAGTGTTTACTACTACTGATTGGGTCTGCCGCTAGTAGGACTTGTTCACTCACCACCGTCCGCGCATATGTTCGATTTATTCTTGGGAGCCTTGAGGTCCGCATGGCCACCGGACCAAGGGGGAAGGAGGTATAGATGGATGTTACTTGCTAAGAATCAACGGGGAAGGGATATCGGCTTGACGATAATTCGGGTAACGTGCATTATAAGCGAGCCGAACATATAAGCGAGTCGAACACTTCTTGGCACAACGCGTCTTCCCTCCACCTAAACATTAGTTTTTCTACAACCCAACATGTCTTCTACTTCAAAGGAAGCCAGGGTAATTTTAGCCCTCAAAGCTCTTCAAAACGACAGGGAACTAAGCATCCGAGCCGTAGCAAGCTCTATAACGTGCTAGTTACGACCCTCTACGACCGGCGCGCTGGCCGACCTGCACGACGCGACACTACGCCCAACTCGCGCCGGCTCACCGATTCCGAAGAGAAGGCTCTTGTTCAATATATAATTGAGCTATCTGAGCGAGCTTTTCCGCCGAGACTACGTGGTGTGGAAGATATGGCTAACCAACTGCTATGCGTACGCGACGCGCCCCCTGTTGGCAAGCTCTGGGCGTATAACTTTGTCAAACGCCAGCCAGAGCTCCGGACGTATTATACGCGTAGATACGACTACCAGAGGGCCAAGTGCGAGGATCCGAAGGTTATTGGCGAATGGTTTGCCCTTGTATGGAACGTTAAGGCCAAGTACGGCATTATAGATGACGATATCTACAACTTCGATAAGACTGGGTTTATAATGGGCATTATCTTCCCGGGTATGGTAGTTATAACCTCGGATGGCCGTGGTAAGGCGAAGCTGGCCCAGCCTGGCAACCGCGAATGGGCGACAGTGATCCAAGGCGTCAATGCCCTTGGCTGGGCTATCCCTCCGTTTATTATCTTAGCCGCGCAGTACTACCTCGCCAACTGGTATACCGAGTGCAACCTCCCGGCCGACTGGCGCAGCGCAACTACCGAGAATGGCTGGACTACCAATGTAATAGGCCTTGATTGGATCAAGCACTTCGACTACTATATAACGCCTCAGACAAAGGGCAAATACCGGTTGTTGATCCTCGATAGCCACGAAAGCCACCACTCAACCAAGTTCGAGCTCTACTGCCAGCAGAACAATATTATTATACTCTGTATGCCTCTATATTCCTCCCACCTCCTCCAGCCACTTGATGTTAGCTGCTTTGGGCCGTTGAAGCAGGCGTACGGTCGCCAGATCGAGGACTTGATGCGCGCACATATCAACCATATAAGCAAGCTCGAGTTCCTTTATGCCTTTTACGCGGCCTTCTTTGCCTCTACCACCAAGAGGAATATCCAGGGCGGTTTTACAGGGGCTGGCCTTATACCGTACGATCCAGAGAGGGTGCTTTCAAAGCTAGATATCAAGGTTCGTATACTAACACCCCCAACCTCACGGCCAGGCACTGTATAATCTTGGGTCTTCTAGACAACAAACAACCCTCGAGAAGCCGAGTCACAGTCAACGCTTATCAAGACTCGCATTGCCAACCATCAAAATAGCTCCCCGACGTCAATGTTGGCTGCTGTAGACCAGCTTACCAAGGGTACGATGGCTATAATGCACCAGGTAGCCCTCCTTCAGGCAGTGGTGTCTTCGCTCCACAAGGCTAACGAGGCGCTAAGCAAGCGCCGGAGAGCCAAAAAAACGAGTGTGCGGCTTGGAGGATCACTTACTGTGCAGGAGGCACAGGAGGTGGTAGGCCAGGGGGCTGTAGGTGGGGAGGAAATGCAAGAAATACAGCTGGATGGTAGTGGTGCTGGGGGGGGTCGTACGAAGGTTCGGTGCTGTGGTATATGCGGCAAGCCTGGACATAATGCCCGCACTTGCCAGGAGGGTGCAGAAGGGTCTGATTCATCTGTTTCTGATGTAATTGTAGTTGGTTTTTAGTGTTGTTGCATTGCAATTGAGGGTAGTTGTTATAGAGTAGTGGAGAGTGTTCGGCTCGCTTATATGTTCGGCTCGCTTATATGTTCGGCTCGCTTATATGTTCGGCTCGCTTATATGTTCGGCTCGCTTATATGTTCGGCTCGCTTATAATGTACGTTACCTATTTCTGCTGACTATACATCCTATCACTCACCTGCAAATGCTCAGACAGAAACTGGGCTTCGAGTCGCCCCGCGATGTGGAGGCTGGGGTCAGCCGCAGGAGACGATGTGGCGAAGGTTTGAGGAGAGGCATGATGGCTGTGTGTACCGAGATCGAGGATCCCCGGTAGGTCACTACCTAGATAGCAGCCGGTGTCGGGGAGGCAGAGTCTGAGAAGAGTGCGAGCGCTCGAGCCATCAACATACCACCTCTGCAGCACACGGGTGGCTGGCAATGTGGTATTACAGCGCAGATGCGGCGTTACACTACTTTGATAGTATCTAAGAGCTGTACTGTACATAGTAGCTCAACGGTGAAAGCCAGAAGGCGACCCCGGCACCGCGGGATGATCTATTCAGACTTAGAACCATCTGAGAACGTACCTTGGTACAAACACATTATATGTCCCGTTCTCAAAACGCAGAGTTCTACTCAAGCCTCGGACTGTTAGATTCATTTGTTATGGTGGGCTCAGCTAACGTAGCTGGAGTCACCCATGGATCAGGTGAAGGCTCTGATTCGGTGAAGCAATTCTAGCCCACTTCGAAAGCTTGAGAAGCGACGGGACTTAAGGTTGGGGCCCGGTCCCGTTTGAAGACGAGATACGTACCTGGATAGTATACTTGTATGTGCATTGGATGTTAGTAGTCTGAAAGATTCAAAGTCTAATAAGTGGGCCAAACATCGAATGTGACTTGGATGCGGTCTTTTCGAGGGCCGCGGTCTAGAACAGCAACCTTGGAAACTCTATTTTCGTCTTGTTTTCGGCGACACCGAGCTCCATCTCCTTTATTATTAGTGTAGGCCTTTGCCCATTCCTCTTCCATAATGACAAGCTAACCCACAGGGAACCAATCCGTAGTCCTCTCTCTGGCTCTTCTTACACTATCGACAGGGAATATGGCATCAGCACCCAGCCTTCCAGGTCGTATGGAGGCTCATTTGACTGATGCTCAGACTCAGAGGCACATCTGTCGGGCACTTCGCTAGGTTCTCGCCTTGCAGATCTAACCGGCGGTTGCTCTGATCAGGCTAGCCTCGGTTCAACCGTCAATGGACGTCCACCACCTATCGAATACAGTTCTTGACTTGCAGTCTTCATCGCAGGGGTGCCCCCGAGGCGGTGAACGGCTCTTGCGTTACATACAAAGCGACGGGAGGGGGCACTGGGTGTCGCACGACATGCGGATGATTAGCCAAGACTGCCGAAGGATCGACACATGACATGTTCCCTGTAACAGTTGGAATCCTTTGCGGGAAGGATCCTTCACCCTATGGGCCCATTTCCCTCCCTTGGAACTTGCTGCGGAGAGGTCCAGCAGGAAACCGGACATTGGAAGAAAAGCCGAATTGAAAAGATGGTGAGGAAAACGGCCAGAATCATAAAGAAATAGCGCTGCCTTCATCATTTAGCTCAGCCTACTGGTGGGTTTCAATTTTTTCAGGTCCAGTCATTCTCATCGTACCCACATCAGTAACCTGGAGACCCCAGAAAGTTGGGGAGATGCATGGGGTTGAAGGAGGGGAAATTGGGGTTGAACGAGCGGGGTAAAGGTACGGTGTGGATTCGACCTGGCACGGTGACCAGCACAGGGATGGCTGCATGCCGCGGCTTCTTTCCAAGTCGGTCACCGACAGCCAATTCCAAGATTGATGATTGAAACCTTCAACTTCAAAGTTTTCCTGATGCCCGGGTGCCTCCCAGATACAGGTCTCTTCCGCCATGCTTCTGTCTCTCCTCTGCATCTCTTCTCGTCACGCGATTTTGCGACTTGGCGCGGATCCATCATATGTACATATCCTTTCACTTTGCGTCTATGCAAGTCCCGCCTTTGGTAGGTATGTGGCTTTTCAGGCCTTTTTTTGTAGCACACTACACTACACTAGCGCCGGCGGGCATGCTTTGCGGCACTTGCACACTCTAAATCTCATCGGGCCGATAGTTATCCCCACACATTCCCATACCCCAGCTTCGAGGATGCGCCAAACGGTTGACCGCGGCGGCTCTGAACGTCAGCCAAGGAAGTGCCAAGCTTTCAGAACCCTAACTGCCAAGTGACGCGGCAACGACTTGCCGAGCCGGGTGTGGCGCGAGGGTCTTTGGACGGCGACGCCAGGCGATGAGAGTGAAGTGCTCGTCGTCAAAGTGAGAGATTGAAAATCCCGATACAGGGTCCGGGCGAGAAACGCACGATCGACGGGACTGGCACATGGCACCGGGATGTTGTATTGAGATGAGGTTTGACAACAGATCTTTGGCGCTGCACATCAGAAACATCGTCCCACAACAACGTAACGATGAAAACCACAGGCTGGGATCCTCTGTGTGGCAACATACGGGGTGACCCTCCTGCCTTCTGACCGATGGCGCCAGCTTAGGTAGTCCGTACTGCACAGCTCTTTGGAGGATGCTACCTCGCTGCAAAGCAAACCTTGGTTCAAGCCCGGATTGCAGGACCCCGAATTGGTCCTTCCCCGCGCTCCACCCTGGCAATGTGTCGATCGCTTCCACCGTGCGCCTGGTTGCGCCGTTTGCGGGGGGCCCTGGGTGGTGGAGCATCCCGCAGTAGCCAAGGGGCAAGGGGTAAGCACACGACGCGTGTGGTACAGATTATGTGTACGCATGGACGGATCGGGCAGGCACCAGATGAATTGGCTTGTGTAGGTATAATTGGACTGGTCCCCGGTGTCCCACCGTTTTGTGTGTGCTCCCGCTTGCCTCTCGGAGTCAGAACCGGTTTCCCCAGCTACTGTTCACATACAGAACAGAAACCACAACAGCCAACACCGCACTGTACTGGTTCCAGGACACACAGCAAAAGCACTTCCTGTGTTCCCGACCATGGCGGACTCCGGGAGCACGGACAGCATCCAAGCTGGAAATGATCAATAGTACGGACTCCTTGTCCCATGCTGGTATAGGCATTTCGCTAACATGTGGCGGCAACTCAACAGCGGCGATTCGAAGGGTGTTGTCGGGCACCATCTCGAGAAGGGCATTTCAAACACCGACCATGTCGATCTCGCCAGGAACTTAGAAGCCAAGTAAGCTGAGGGAGGCAGCCACGCGCAATTGGTGATAGCTGACCGGTTTGACCTATCTAGAATAAAAAACCCGCTAGCAGGCCTCTCCCGCGATGAGCTACTGAGCCGCGTTGAGGTGTTCGCCAAGGAGAAAGGCTTGACGGAGCACATCCCCCTCCTGCGCAAGGGCGCCCTCGTGGCACAGGATCCCGATGCCTACGAGGAGATCTCAGGTCCCGAGGCGTTGACTGACGAAGAGAAGGCGGCCCTGCGAAAGGAAATCGAGCACAAATGGCGCCTGCCCACGAGGCTGTTCCTGACAATCGCCACCTGCTCGATCGGCGCGGCGGTCCAGGGGTGGGATCAGACAGGAACGAACGGCGCCAACATCTTCTTCCCCAAGATCTATGGCATCGGAAGCTCCAGCACGCACGATACGCTCATCCTTGGTCTGGTCAACGCTGGCCCCTACATTGGCAGCGCCTTCATCGGTTGCTGGCTGTCCGACCCTATCAACAACTGGTTTGGCCGCCGCGGTGTCATCTTCTTCTCTGCCCACTTCTGTATCTGGCCTGTCATCGGTTCCGCCTTCTGCCACACTTGGCCACAGCAGTTGGCCTGCCGTCTCCTGATGGGTATTGGGATGGGCGTCAAGGCCTCGACCGTGCCTATCTACGCTGCCGAGAACTCGCCAGCAGCTATCCGAGGTGCCCTCGTCATGTCTTGGCGTAAGTCTCCATCCACGGCCTGCTGTTGAAGATGCAATACTGACAGTAACATAACCTGCAGAGATGTGGACAGCCTTTGGCATTCTCCTGGGCACCGCCGTCAACCTTGCGGTGTGGAACACAGGCGATATCAACTGGCGGCTGATGTTGGGTGAGTTCCGAGCCGAAGACCCCTACTACCCTCGCCGCGTTGTTTTATTCAGTCTGTCTGTAACAAGCCGCTAACCCCTCGCCTCTGCATAGGCGCACCGTTCATCCCTGCCGTTCCTCTCTTGTGTCTCATCTACCTCTGCCCTGAGTCACCTCGCTGGTACATGAAGAAGAACAAGTACCTGAAAGCCTGGGACTCGATGATGAAGCTGCGCAACCACCCGATCCAGGCGGCCCGGGATATCTTCTACATCCACTCTCAGCTCGAACTCGAGTTTCAGCTCCTCCGCAACAGCAGCTATGCCCAGCGCTTCGTCGAGCTATTTACAATTCCGCGTGTGCGCCGCGCTACGCTCGCCGCCTTCACCGTCATGATCGCGCAGCAGATGTGCGGTATCAACATTATCGCGTTCTATAGCACTACGATTTTCAAGGAGAGTGGGTCCGACGACCACCAGGCCCTCCTCATTTCGCTCGGCTACGGCCTGGTCAACTGGCTCTTCGCCTTCCCGGCCTTCTGGACCATCGACACCTTCGGCCGTCGGTCTCTTCTCCTGTTCACCTTCCCCCAGATGACCTGGACGCTGCTCGCCGCCGGCCTGTGCACGCTTATGGACCAGAGCACGGCGCGCACCGTTTTGGTCGCGTTCTTCGTCTATCTCTTTGCCGCCTTCTACTCGCCCGGCGAAGGGCCCGTTCCTTTTACCTACAGTGCCGAGGTGTTCCCGCTGTCACACAGAGAAGTCGGCATGGGCTTCGCGGTGGCGACCTGCCTGTTCTGGGCATCGGTGCTGGGCATGACGTTCCCGCTGCTGATCTCGTCTACGGGCACGGTCGGCGCTTTCGGCTGCTACGCGGGCTTCAACTTCGTGGCCATGATCATGATCTTCTTCTGGGTGCCCGAAACCAAGCAACGCACGCTCGAGGAGCTCGACTACATCTTTGCCGTGCCCACCTCCAAGTTCATGAAGTACCAGCTCACCGAGGCCCTACCGTGGTTCCTCAAGCGGTGGCTGTTGTGGCAGCGGAAGGCCGAGCTCAGGCCGCTGTACGTCTTCGATCAGGAGACGAGGAGGAAGGAGGCGACCAAGTCTGAGAAGAATTGAAAATGGATCTTGATGGAAGGTGAAAATCGGGTGGCTTCTAGCTAATAGAGGGTCGCTTTGCTCGGTTACCGTTCATCGCCTTCAATACTAGGGCGGATTAGGCCATTGGGTTGTTTCTTGGCTATACAGGGCTCTGGGCACGATTTTGGAACTCTATGACATGATACCTTGATACCTGACCGGTAATATATACCTTGCATGACTCATTATCCTCAGCGGTGTATTATGTCCGTTCCCCCGACACTAGGCTGGAATGCGGAGGCGGGAAATGCGTTGGAAACTTGGAATGTTTTTCCCCATTCCCCGGGTCTTTGTCCTACTGTGTATAATACGTGGAAACAACCCGGTGTTAAGCGGGCTTCCCGTGCCTTAGGCTGCACTCTTAAGTTTAAGAGCCGCATGTGGAAGGTAGAAAAGGAAAATATGGCAAAAAAGGGAAGGGGGAAGAAATGGGGAAACAGAAAGAAAAAAGAGAAATGAAAGGAGAATAAGAAAAGAAACGAAGAAAGAAACGAGGAAAAGAAAAGAAGTAAAAAAGCGCCGCCATTCTCACCTTCCTTTGCATGGCTCGATGTTCACGTCGCGGCTTATAATTTGTACTCGGGATATAAGTGAGTCAAAGAACGGATGAGTACGGGCGGGTTACATGCGATAAAAAGAGAGCTGCCGTGTCGAGATTGTCCCCAAGCCGTACAATATAGCTACGTGCTCTATAGTGGCCTAATAATCAATGAATTCGTGTATCCTACGCGGTATGGATCCCGACAAGACCCCAACACTGGCCCAATGAGTATTCGCCTCTCAACGTTGCGCGGCGGAGGAGTGGTTGCGGGATACTGCGAGGCTGCCAAATGATGCTTTTGCTTATTCAATGCCCGTGGCAAGAGATGCCGCCGTTCCTTATGTGTCCCGAGAGGATGACGGCTCGTTAGGGCAATGAAAGTACTTTACAAGATTTTGTCCTCCAATGAGAGGGAAAAGTTCTCGTCAACGATGATCGGACATCCTGTATCAGGTATCTATACTGGCCCTCACGGCGTCCCATTGCCCTGTGGAGGCGAGAAGTGCTAGGGTGCCCCGGGTTGTACGAACATGAATGCCGTCAGACCACTGCTTGCTTGCTTGCTTGCTTGCTTGCTTGTTCCTCGAGCGTGTCCCGTGTGCCAGACGTGACGTGACGGTGCACAGTATGTCGCCGCTAAGACCTACTATGCGCGGCCCATATGCCGTGGGCTTTTAATTCCTAGTCGTCCCAAGTAAACGGATCATTTTGGTCAACCCGCTGCACTGTTCAAGTCTACTGTTGCTGTCACACGATTCCCAGTTCGACGTATTTCTTGCTAGGCAGTAGAACGGACAGGCAGGTAAGGGCGAGTAGAAACATTACGGCACCACTAAGACCCCCAGGGGCCCCAGTCGGCTCTCACCATTTAACATGCTCAACATCGACAGTTCAACCGCCCAGAAGCCGCAGGGGAGCTCGGGCGTGAGGCCGTCTTATTCATCGCCCCGGATGACGACAGAGAACTCGGTGAGTGCGTATCCAAACATAGGTAAAGTACGGGTAAGGTGGCTCGGGTGGGTAACTTGGCTTGGACAACACGCTCTAGCAGTCGCCTCGTGCGCTCGGGCTTCAGTCTGATGATGTATGCTCGGCCAAGGTGACGACACGATGCCTGGCCAGACCACCGCGCTGTTCGCCACCTGCGCAAGCAGCATCTCTACTAAATAGGTTAACCGGGGTTCCAGTCCTATCCGCATCCCACAACCTCCTGCTTCTCTCACCTTACGAGAACACCATCACTCTCCTTATCCTGGCATCCTGCTGCCACCTTCATTAATCATTTCATGTTTGCCATCGTTACATAGCCTTCGTTAGCAGCTCCAGCACCCATGGAGTCGTCTGGTTGTGAATCAGACGCGCTGTTGCTCGAATCTTCTCGGATTCTGCCGCCCACCAATCCTGTATCCGCACGGGAAGGTCGCGCGTACATTTCGACGCTGCGGCATTGGTGGATTGCCCTGGTGCAAGAGCTCGAGGCTCAGGGCCGCCCGGTGAGCCAGTTGACGGAGGCGCGCGGCCAGCAGTTCCTCGCCCTCTGCCGGAGGACCCTAACTTACCAGCGGGAACCAGACGAGGACTGGCGTGGCAACCTCTGTTTCCTACAGCGTGAACTCGAAGTCCTCCGGTTCCGCCTCGCCAGGGAGGCCGAGTTCCATCCCGTCATCCGACGCCTCGAAGCAATGTGGGAGGCGTCGGCGCGGCAACTGTGCGACCGCGGCCGGCGGCTACTCGGGCTGCGGGTGCGTGAGCGGGACTGGGACAATGTTGGCTCGTGGCGCACGAGCGAGCCCTTGCCCCCATGCCCCGACAACATCGACGAGGGCACCTGGGAGCTCGTTTTAACCGCGCCGTGGTCCGAGATCAGCCGGCGCCTCCGGATGGAGTGTTGGTCTCTGACTCGGCTCCTATGGCTCGCGGCGAGGTTCGCGCCACTTCCGTTCCAGCGCATCCGGGAGCACATCGACGGCTAGGTGCAGCGCATGCAGCCTGACTGGCACATTTTCGGCGATGCGCTGAGTCGAGCCGAGTTTGGGAAACAGGTGGAGGCCGACATAAACGAAGTGGGCAGGATCCCAGTCCACGTTCGGAGCAGTTTGCGAATGTTGCAAAGGCTAGGGTTGGCTTTTTACGACTGAAAAAACTCCGTTCTTTTAACGGCATCAAGGCGGCTTGGCGGTCCGAGGCCGAGGAAGAAAGGAACAGGGAGCTGGAGCGGCTGCGTCGGTTCTGGCTGCTGCTTGCCGCTGCTGTCGTGCTGATGGTGTTCACGTTTACCGTAAAGGTGTCTCGCCTCTGTTCTCTTAAATTTTGATTGATTATTGGTAATACATACACTAACAGCTTTTGTCATTTCTTCTACTATCTAATGGTATCTGTTGACTACCTAGGTAGGTAGTTAGTGATCGCGTTTGCCTGCAGTCTTATGTAACTTGAATTAAATGACTAATACCAGGTACCTACCTACCTGTATCTACCCTTCTATAATATTACAGATGGTAGTCCTTTGGACTTGACACCACTACTCCTCGCCTGACCCAGACAGGTAGGAAAGTATGGCTAAGATTCGCGGTCAAGCCTAAACGATGGGTTGCCGGAAGGAGATTCGCAAGTTCCTTCGCGGTATTCTAGAGTTGGATTGCAGGCCAGCCACTTATAAGTTCGAGTCCTATAGACCTATACTGCCGTGGACCACTGAGTCGACTCACCACTCCAACATACGAGCCGCCCACGGCGACAACATTACGCAGTGTTCCTGCCATGTTTACCCAGGTTGGGACGAAGGAGTATGACTGGGGGTCTCAGAAGTGATCTCGGAACCATCTGCTTCGCATGTGTAGTAGGTGCATTCGATTTTATCAGATCACATTTATCAGATCCGTGCGGAACATGAAACCCCCGTCCGGGACGGGATTTAATCATTACGGTGTACTCGCCTTCTCGGATCTCGGAGCTACGGGTGGATCTCCGAGTTTGGCGTGGCACTCCGGGCCCGGGTCAGCTCACCGGGAGTCAGGATAAAGGTTGAGCCTGTGGCATGGGCCTAATGAAAGGGTTGCTAAATAACCCAAGGGACGCGCGGCCAATCTTTAACTCTCGGCGCTCATCCGGGGGTTCGAGCTGGCACGAGAAGCTACGGCCCATGGGAGATGGATAATGGATTGTATTCGAACTCGAAATTCAGATCTATATAGATTCAGCAGCATATCACCCTTGAACTTCGCTAAGTCTACGCCCGCAGATACTCACACATAGCCCTACCCCATCTCACACCTCCTTTATATACCCACATACCCGGGGCGTTTCCAGCCTTCAATCCATCGATTGCCTCGGCAAGATGTGGCCCGAGCCCTTCCGCTTTGATGTCCTCGAGCGAATACAGATACGTCTTGAAGCTGAACAGAATTGCTTGTGTGTCGGGCAGCCGCGTCAACGTCTGCAGTTCAACCCTGAACCTCGACTCCTCAACATCGGCCGTCTTCGCTTCCTCGACCTCATCACCAACATGAACATGGTTCCCGCTCGGCGCATACAGATTCGGATGTGTTTGTATCGACCACTGAAAATCCCGTCACAACGAGGTTAGCGCCGTCCGTCAGCTCATTGCTCTTCGCCCATGGTAGGAAGAGGAAGGAAAAAGAGAAAAAAAAGGAAAGGAAAAGAAAAACACGCACATTCATCCTCTTCACCGCCCTCCCCGCCTCCAAGCGCGCGAAGTACCTCTCCATGCTCGCCCCGATCTTCTCGTACGCCGGCACGGGGACATGGATCTCGGCCAGCCTCTTGCCCAGCTTTCCGGCCGGCGCAAACCCGGACGGATGGCAGCAGACGAACGCGACGGCCCTGTGCTCCCCGCCGTTCCCGTTCCTGTTCCTGTTCCCGTTCCCGTTTCCATCCCCGGCGGGATCGCGCAGGAGCAGAAACATGTCGTCTTCCACCGTCTCGCCCAGAATACGCAGCATCTCGAGCGGGTCGGAGGGCGCAGGGTGCAGGGGGGAGTCGATGCCTGTGACTTTGTTGCGGAAGTAGTAATTTGTTTCTGTTGCCGTCGTCTGGGAATCGGGGTTCCGGATCAGCTCAAACATGGTCGGATAGCGGGTGGGCAGGTAGGTGCCGAGGAGGTATGAGTAGAGTTCTCGGATGGGTGCGTGGCCCGCGGGGATGGCGCCGTGGACGGCAGAGGCGTGCTCTGCTAGGAGCCGGCGGCGTGCCGTGACGCGGGAGAGGTAGTTGCTGTCCATGAGGACGAGCTCGGAGGGGGTGCTGCTTTGGATCGCTGGGCGAATTTCAATACATCTCTTCGGATCAGCTCATGCTCTGCTTTGAGGAAACAATGGGAGTGAAACGCACCCATCGTGATGTTGTATGTCGGTTTGAAAGGTCTCAGCTTCAGTGGTGCCGTCGCGTTCCAGTCAAAATCCGAGAGAGGCTCGATTGTCCATGCTGACTGGGATGACCTGTTGGTTTCATGATTGTCATCCGGCTTTCCGGCCCCATCCTTTGACTTTGAGGAGGTTCCTGGACGAAGTTGAACCTTGTCGCGGAGTCGAGGCCACAATTCTAGACGTGAACGGGCATAGGTCGCCAAAAGAACTGATACCATCAGTACAACTGCATATAATAAGAATGCCATGTCAAGAATAAGGAGCAATGGAAGTCAATTCGTTCGCATTTCCACTGTCTTCGTCTACTTCTCGAGGCGAGCAAGTCATAAACCCCATGGTTAGTATATACTAGACGGCCCTTATCGCGACCTCCCAACTGGGTTTGGTCAGTTGGTCTCAATCAGCGCATCCCCAACTTCCCCAACTACCACCTTACGTACGCAACCAATCGCACAGCTCACCGCAGCTCTCTAGCCTGTCCCCGGCGCTCCAATGGCGCGTAGCCAGCTGGATGACTGTTCGGCAACCGATTGGGAGCCGCTTACCTGCGGTTCACGCCAACTCCTCCTAGATTGTGTTAGTAAGAACCTCAGTCACCAAACTCCACCTCTTCATCCCCACAAAGTTACAGCATTGTGAAACATACCGCTACAGTGACTACACCCCGACATTTGCCCACCACCACCCAACCACCACCACCACTATGACAAGAAAACAAACGGCAACAAACCTGATCTGGCCAGATGATGACGACGCCCAGGATGACCTAACCCACCTGGACCCGATCCCGTCCTACGAAGAATCCCTCGTCGCCCCGCGGCCCCCGGGTGACGGCAGTAGTCCGGCCCTGCACATCCTGGGCGCCACCTGGGGCGGCGTCACGGTGACCCCTGACATCCAGGCGCTGGCCGGCAATAACAGCGACACGCTCACGCTGGACATGCGCAATATCTTCCGCCACCTGACGCCGGACCCGGCGCCGGGCAAGACCAAAGTGCTCACGGTGATGTACCGCTTCAACAACAGCAACAACAACAGCGCAAAGGGCGGCAGCGATGAGGAGGACGAGGGCCTGCGCCTGCTGCTCGCACCCGAGGGCGAGTCGCCGTCGCGGGTGACGCTGACGCGGCACGCGACGGCCGAGCAGCTGCGCCGCTCGGTGGGGCGGAACTCGATGCACGTGAAGCTGGCGGCGGCAGCGGGAGCGGGGGCGGGGCCCGGTGCGCGGCCGTTGGGGTCGCAGCGCGGGCAGGTCGAGATCCTGGCCGTGCTGTACGGGCCGAGGCGGATCGACGACCCGGCCGTACTGCGGGAGCTGGCCCTGTTCTTTGAGGGCCGCCGCGGCCAGATCCGCATGACGAACCGCTTCTTTGGCGGCGATCCGTGGCCGTACAAGCAGAAATCGTGGTCCGTCTACTTCCGCTTTCTGGGCTCCCCGCGCGTGCAGGTCGTGACCGGGTGGGAGGACGGCGCGTTGGAGGTGCCTTGGACCAGGGACTGCTGAATACAGTACCTACCTAGGTAGTCAGCTTCCTTGGAAGGCTGGGTCAGGTCTTGTAAAGGCGGAAGGTGAGCTATGTGCTGGTTTCCCGCGTACGGTTCGTGATTTCACTTTAACATGGCCCGGTCAGTTTGGCCGTGTAGAAAGCACAATGGCGGGGATAAGTTGTTGTGATGCTGTCCTAAGTACGCGTGTTGGCTTCCAAATGTCATTTATCTCACAGATCCAAGAGGGCACGGTCGGCCATTGATGTGCGAGTTCCAGGGTATGAACGACGACCCCGAGCGGCCAGTGGCGGTCCAACGGCCTTACTCTCGGGTCCTCCCATTTATCGACGGAGGGGCCCAGCCGGTGAGCCTTTGGAGTGCTGGTGTCTCTCAGGTCGCTGCCGGTAATACTGCATATCTCAATACTTCATGGGTTTCCTGCTGTTTGGATAGCTCATGTTCAGACACATCTGCATCCGTTTTCCATTCTGCCCGGCCGTTGCTGTCCTCGCTAGAGGCACCTACCTCTTAAGATATCAGTGACATCCGAAGGTGCCACTCGCGCATGTAAATTACCAGATACAGCCCGCCCATCTCGCCCTTCCATCCCTTCCTCCAAGGATCCAGATCATCGCATCTTGTTCATTGGTGCCATCTCATCAATACTCATCGAACAATGCCGCCGACATTGCGTTTTGACCCCGAGTTAGGAGTCGTTGGCGTTTGCCGCGAGGCTTTCCAAGGCGAGTGTGGAGGTCGAGCTGCATTTGTATCCGGGCATGCCGTATGCGTGGGACTAGACGGCACCTAAAACTTCAATGGCGAAGAGGGCGGTCAACAACAGGGTGAGGGCGCTGCATGATGTGTGATAAATGACGGCGTAGCACTGCAGCAGAGGGTTTTCGTGTGAAGCGTTGCCACTCACTGAGTTACCAAGGCTATCATCTCCCCTTTCAGGGCAGGGTAGAAGTACGTCAGTTCCTAGAGGCCCCATCTCAGTGTGCGCTGTCACCTAGGAGAGATGTCCCAAACGCTCTGACGGCCTCTTTGAGGGTAGATGCTACATTCCCCTGCGCCCAGAAATGGTTGGCGCTGGACACCTCGTGAGCACGGAACTTGGAGCCTGGTCTACCCTCCAGACGAGATGCCCATTCCCGGAGCTTCCGGACAGGAACGAATCCATCACGATCTCCATAAATCGCAAGCGTGGGGCTGCGGACCAGCTTGTCCTCTGCCTCAACTGCGGTCGCACGCGCCAGCAAAGATGGTTCCGCGCCGGACAGCTCGGCGGTCTCTTCGCGGGTCATCGCAGAAATTCGGGTCAACAACTTTCCGGTGATGCCTGATAATGCCGAGGGAAGAGACATGGTGGCCAGGTTCGTAATTATGCCCTGCAGAGGTGACACGAGTAGGTACGCTGGGCGGTATGTGATCAGGCCAGGAACGGGCGGTAAACGCTCAGCGGCGTGCTTAGACCCCTCGGCGATCCCTTCTGGATCCCAGGAGTTCTGGCTCTGATCACTGAGAGTCCGCCTAGGTCTCTTCCCAGCCCTCGCCATAAGTTCAGCAACGCCGTGTCGTACCGCTTCTTCGAATTCGGCCGAGAGAGGGCGGCGCGATTCGTGACTACTCCGGCTTTCCTCGTCTCCTCCGACGCGCATGCCGGCGTGTTTCCGAGGAGACCTGGTGGTTAGACGGTCGATTGCGGCATGTCTTGCACTCGCCAGGATCCGGTTTTGCATTTCAGCCATGTGCTGGGCGCGTAGTCGGATTTCGGCGGCGGGCCTATCGCGAACTGGGCCCCTGAACACGGCCATTATCGTGTCGAGAGACGGCAGTTGGGATGTGATCATGGCCCCGTACGAATAGCCCCCCAGCAACAGGACAGGCCTAGCAGCAGACCTTGCCGGCGACAACGGCGATCCATCAGGCGTAGGGGGGCATAAGCGAATGATTGATGTGTCCTCTTCATCAGCGTCTGCCTGTTCCTCACCGTGGCCCTTACTGTCGGGCTGGCTAGGACTAGCTTGGGAAAGGGGTTCGAGGAAGTGCACGTAGTAGTACATGAAACCAACAACCGACTGGTAGTCGGCGCGCTCGGCCTTGGCCGTCCATGTGGTTCTGCCGGCAGAGCCATGGGCGCCTCTAGATAGATAGCCGACATGGCACATCAGCGGGCTACTAGCAACAAAGCACGCAAGTTCGAGGGACTGGGATTCTGGGGCGCAAACGGGATAGTCCGAACCTGAAATTGAAGGTGCCCACAAGGAAGCCGAGCCGCAACAGTGTGCCGGCTACAATGTCGACAATGGGGTCGTCATAGCAGCCACCCAGGGGCGCGTATGGGTGTGCAACAACGGCAGCGTGCTTCTGCCAAGGTGGCGCACTAGGAGACGGAGCGAGAGAGTGCGGGTGGTACACGCGACAATCGATCGGCAGCCCATCGTGGAGACTCGGCACAGTGAAGGTTAGGCTGGGCTTCGGAAGCATTGCAAACCGCACACATTCCAGGTCCGCTGCCATCTCAGTGGCGATCCCGCAAGGAGATAGGTAATCCGGCGGTTGCAGCCCACGGGCCAGCGAAGAATCGCCTCCCCACGAGATGTTATGGCGGACGCTGGGCGCAGTGAATTACGCGTCCCACTGTGCCCTGAGTGTTGCGGTCTTGCGGAAGCTTCCGCGCCTAGCCGGCAGCCTGAATTCATCAGTCCAGTGGAGCATTCCTCTGCTGTGGGGCTACCTAGCGCGTGCCTGCGACGCAATCCTAGCAACCCGCCTCACGATCGAGCCCACGTAGACCCGAGGTCGCAGTTTCGGTCCTATTCTTTCTAATCTTCGAGTTTCCATTGGACGTTTTAGCAGTATGTAGTAGTTTCCCAAAGTCATCATGTGTGATGGTCTTCCTTTCAGTCGGCTTTCGTCCCATGTTCGCCGTTTATCTGCAAGCTACCTACCAGGTACTAGTTGAGCTTCTGCCCGCCGACGACGCGCGTTCCGAACTCGATGTTACAACCACTCTGTGCCCGGTCATAGGTTAGAAGCTCACTGCAGTCGGGCAGGCGTACCTTGGTTACTGTGCCTTGGTTACTGCTTAATGATGAGTATTGAGTTCTGCAGGGTGGTCTGTATCGAGGTCCAGTGCTTCTGTGGCCTTCCGATATCGTGCTCCGGGAGACTGCCGGGGATGACCTTCACCGTTCACCCCGCCTCCAGCATCCTGCGACATGTGAAAACTGGGGTTCTGGAGATAGTGCTCCGCACGGTCACCCACCTTTCAGACTGAAGGACTCCTTCAGGGCATTTCCAGCGCCTTCAAGTCGCAAGACTGACTCGTGCAACTGGCAAGCTGCCCCTGGGCCAGACCGCTTTTTTTACGGGGTTTAGTTTGCCGGGTTCGGCTGAGACGTGGAGTGGAGGTTGAAGATTGGACTACATACTAGTATGCTGCTTACCGCTCCTTCGGCCGTTCGAAGCCGAAGTTTCAGATGATAATGCAGCGCCTCGATAATAAAATCTTATATACTTACAGCAGTACACTCTGTGCATTGTGAGCTTTCTGGAACGGTGTCACTTGAAACATCATAAGCTGTGGTTAATGTGGCTTCTGCCAACAGGGATTGTGTCATTGGCACGCCCATGTGGGCATCTGCAACAGGGTTGGGATTGGCCGGTTGGGGGAATCCCATGATGCTCAAACCAGACCGCCAATCGCACGCTGTGTGACGTGCCTTCCCCACGATTTCTTTGTGCCTCCCCCAGATCAACGGATCCTGTGTGGGGTGCCCCACGCTACCAATTTCCAGTTTCGTTGGCGGCACATGGCCTCCTCTGTCATCAGGTGTCGTCCAGGGTGTCCTTTCCGTTTCCTTCTTTGCTCTTGAATCTAGGGCCTAATATTACCTCAACTTGGCCAACATCCTGTCCGATGTAATTCCCTTCCTCCTCTACCATTCATTCTTAATCTTCAAGCTTGAAGTCGGGCAAATCTTAGGTATTGCGATCAGACTTGTGTTGCGGGCCACGGATGGTTATCCTCCACCCACTCGACACGCTTATCCTCGATCCCCAACAGACCTCGCCGCCCAGCAATATGTCATAAGAAAGGAGTTACAGCACCCCTAATCGTGATTATTTCCGGCTCAACTCCTACGTCCTAAGACCCTCGACACCCACCTATTGCCCCATCCTAAGCAGCTCTCTGTAGCATCCAGCAGCCCCTTATATCCCTCACTTCCCACTTCTTCCCGGTGCCCGCCATGTCCGACTTCCTCGTCCATGGCCCTCGTCATGGACCCCGAGTTACCCTAGTTAAGAACACCGGCTCAAGTCCGACACAACCGTCTTCACTCGAACCTCTTAGGGCTAGGAGCAGAAGAACGTCTAAGAGCCATGTTGCTTCCCCGCTGTCCGTGCTTGTCCGGGGTGCCGGCAGTCTCGCTCTGGCGTGGCGAGATGGTCTCGCCGGTTCCGAGCACGCAGGCAAAGGGAAAGGAGCGGAGCGGAGGCAGATACTAGCCGCCCGCATGCAGAATGTAAGTGCTTTCAGCCCCTCTCCCTGCCGCCGGTTACTGATACCGGCACCGCAGGCCACCACCTTAAAAGAGTGGGAGACAGCCGCCGCTGAGCTCGACAAGCTCGAGGGCAACAATGAGTGGAAACGCGATGATACAAGCGGCGAATACGACTACCGCGCAGAGCAAATTCGGGCCAAGCTGGAAGAACTGGACACGGCCCGAATCAACTGCGACATCAGCACCATGATGTATCTGATCAGGACTGGATTGTCGCGTGATGTGGGCGGCATGGGGAACTTGGATCTCTATCGCCACTCCTACGTCGGGACCAAAAGGTTGATTGAGCGGTACGTCGATTCCGCCATCGAGACCATCCAGTCGGTGGTCGAGAAGAGCACCTATCAGACCGAGATGGATCTTAAAGACCTGCTCGAAGGCATGATTTGCGCTCGGCAAAGCTTTGGGCGGAGCGCATTGCTCTTGAGCGGAGGCGGTACGTTTGGTATGGCGCATATTGGCGTGCTCAAGACCTTATACGAACAAAAGCTCCTGCCTCGCATTGTCTCGGGCGCATCTGCCGGATCTATCGTCTGCTCCGTCCTGTGCACGCGTAAGGATGACGAGATCCCCGGCTTGATCAAAGGATTCCCGTTTGGCGACTTGGGCGTATTTGAGGGCGAGAACGAGGGTATATCAAGCCATCTTCGTCACCTCTTGACTAAGGGGAGCTGGTCCGACATTTCGAACCTGACGAGGGTGATGCAGGGCTGGCTCGGAGACGTGACCTTTTTGGAGGCTTACAATCGGACACGGCGGATATGCAACATCTGCGTGTCGTCCTCGTCCATCTACGAGGTTCCGCGGTTGCTCAACTACGTAACTGCGCCTAACGTCTTGATATGGTCCGCCGTTGCTGCCTCGTGCTCCGTTCCCCTAGTTTTCCAGGGTCACCCGTTGCTCATGAAGAATCCGGCGACCGGGAAGCACGAGCCTTGGATCCCGACGCCGCAACAGTTCATCGATGGATCCGTTGACAACGACCTGCCCATGACTCGTCTCGCCGAGATGTTCAACGTCAACCACTTCATCGTCTCGCAGGTCAACCCGCATGTCGTTCCCTTTCTCGCTAAGGACGACCAACCCTCTCCGGGGAAGATACACCAGGAGCCATCTGTGACCCGTCGAGGGTGGATTGGGGAACTGACAGCGATGGCTAAGGAAGAAAGTCTGCACAGGATGCAATTTTTGGCCGAAATGGGATTTTTGCCGAACCTGCTCACCAAGCTCCTGTCCGTTCTAAGCCAAGCGTACTCTGGTGACATCACGATCCTCCCCGAGATTGCGCTGCACGACCTCCCACTCATCCTGAAGAACCCAACGCCCGAGTTCATGCTACGCAACTGTTTGATGGGCGAGAGGGCGACGTGGCCAAAACTGAGTCGCATCCGAGACAGGCTGGCTATTGAACTCGCCCTCGACAAGGCGGTGCACAGTCTGCGCGCGCGCGTCGTGTTCAGCAAGAGTCAGGTCAATCTCCGTCGGGCTATGGGTGTATGGCAGCCAGTAGCCTATAATCTGAGCAGCGGCAGAGGCACCGGCACCGATGGTGGAGAACAGAACCCGCCCTGCATTCGTGTCGTCCAACCGCCGAGTTCAGGGGAAGTGACGCCAACAGAAGACCGGACGTTTGGTCGGCGGAGGGGTTCCGGAGCTAGCATACAGCTCGTCGTCGCCAGGCATAAGAAGCCGTTCCAGGATGCGGACGAGCAGTCAGACGAGGATGAGCGGTTGGAACTGAAGGTTAGGTCCCGGAAGGTTAATCGCCCAGGTGGTGGACCATCCAAGCCACGCCTTAAGAGGAACGCTAAGAGCCACAGCCATATACGGGTTTTGAAGCCAGGCGAGGTCCAGCCCCTTCCAAGGGTTGCTCTGTCCCCCTCGGACTTTTGGAAGCAAGATTTGCAGAGCGGAGATGTCTCGACCGGCACAGACAGCACGCAGCCGGAGGAAGGCTCCGTGGTCGTTCATGCGGACACTCCAAGCACGGGATTGGAGCTTCCATCACCTCCAGAGGCCGAGGGAGGAAGCCAAGCTTCGGATGGCGGTCTACGGGGCGACACCGGCCCCTACGAGGAGAGCGGCAGCCACGGCTCCGTTCCACTTAAGAAGGAGTCGCTGTCTAAGTTGCGGTAATGCGGGGTCGTGATAGCCTGGCATGTATGACCGCTACGCCTGGAGCGGAGAGGACGCGACATTGTAGAAAGCGGCGCGGGTGGGAAGAGAGAGCGTGGTAGACAGCGGTGTTGGTGGCTTGATATCCTTCGTGAGCTTATCCTTATAAATCACAGCTTGACAGACAAAGGAGTGGAAACGGCGACCCCGGCGCGGTGTTGTACAAGAACTGGAACCTTGCCTGCGGCAAACACGTTACCTTAGTGAGTACTAGTAACCTATGAGTAGTAAGACACCACATAGTAGTTCAGCGGTATATCTAAGCGTCCTCAGCTGCCAATTGCCAGTTCCATCGAGAGCGCACTTACCAATATGCCATAGCACGAGTGCAAGTCAAGAATTTGGTAGCATGGAAGTTATCGACGCTCCACAGCTTAGATGTCGTATAGTTTGTATGAGCTTAGATGCCTACCTAAGAATTGAGGTAGCCTTCAATCGATCGAACCCAATGTACTCACTGTGGCCTCCCAGAATGCACTAACTTTCAATACAAACTGGTCCAAAGCTGAATGGTTCATAAACAGGCTGGTAGGATGATTGCCGAGCCCCGGAGAAGCGCCAGGGCCGGTAGTATTTACCCAGGCACAAGGTAAGCCGCAGCGAGGACTGCATCTATAATCCCGCCCTAAACCAGCTCGGCTGATTCGGGAAGAGAGACACACATACGCGCCGTGCTACCCCGCTGTTGTATTCGTGTCTCCCAGAGTCAGTCTGATTTCGTCCTACACAATCTCCCTGACCTGTAGCCAGCTCCGGGTTTCCAGATAGAAAACCGATCCGGGGTACACCTATGTAACGAATCACTTTTACCATAGGTACACTCTATCCCCAGGTCAGCCAACTAGGTATTCAGCAACATGACAGACAAGCCGTCATCTCCTCCGGCTCCAGCTCAGTTCACCCCGCGCTTCCGCACCGATGTCTACCTCTTCATCCACCCTTCCAAGTTCAGGGGCTCTCTCCAGGACAAGGTAGCCATCATCACAGGTACTGTACTCTCTGTACATACATTTTCTCTTATAGTATCTTTTCACGCCCAAATGTGTCGTTGGATTGCTTTCTGGATCGAAGCTGACTCCAAACGCGGTCGGTTACTATATAACCACAGGCGCCGCGGGTGCCATAGGCCGGGGACTGGCCGAGTCGTTTGCGGTAGCCGGTGCCAAGCTGGTCTTGACGTACCACAACACGCCGCCGCCGCCGGAGCTGGAGGAGAGATGTCTCCGATTTGGGGCTGGCGCGGTCGAGTTTGTCAGGTGCAATGTTGCCGAGTTGGAAGGGTGCAAAGCGCTTGTGAAACAGGTACGCTGTTGAAATTACCTAACTCGCGAGTTCTGCAGAGGTAGAGTTTCCTTGGCTGGGTATCGGTAGTTGTGGCTGTGAAACAGTGTAGATGCATGGACGGATGCTCTTGGGAAGAAAGGAGACTGATGGGAAACCTCGTGTTCAGGCACTTGACCTCCACGGCAGGGTGGACATCTTGGTGAATAACGCAGGAGCCAACGGCTTAGGACCGGTAAGTATAAGGCGCCTCGGCCCCCTTCACCCACCCCCGTAGCTGAAATATCACACTGCTCTCATTTATAATGCATAGAGTGGCTCATTCATATCTTGCAGATCTACGCCCAAGATCCGCTCGACTTCATCCACGACATCGCCGTCAACTTCCACGGGCCCTACTACCTCATGCGGCTGCTGGTGCCCAAATTCCGCGAGCAGCGCAGCGGGTGCGTGCTCAACATTGCCTCGCGCGCGGGCACCGTCGCCATCCCGTACAGCACCAGCTACTGCGCGAGCAAGGCGGCGCTGATCAACCTGACGGCCTGCACGCAGAAGGAGATGGACATGGAAGGGCTGGAGGACGTGCACTTGTATTCCCTCCATCCGGGCGGCATCAAGAGCACCATGACGCTGAAGAGTAATAAATGTTTTCTTCCCCCCCCCCCTTTTTCATCCCAACCCGCACAAAGCCCCCTTTGAGTCGTAGAGACAAAAGACGAATGAAGCGCTGAATACAAGGATAGAATACGCTCAGGAGTCAATTGCCAACCTGCCGCCCCAGGCGCAGCGCTTCTTCGCCAACACGCTAGACGTCTACAACGACTCGCCATACCTCAACGGCATGGTGTGCGTGGCTCTGGCCACGGGCCTCGCCAAGCGTGTGCTGAGGGGCAAGTACTTTGATGTCGGGCAGGATCTGGAGGACGTGCTGGCGCAGGAGGAGGCGCTCAGGGCGGACCCGGATTTGTACTCGCTGCATACCAGCTTCTTGGGTGAATTGACTAACGCGGGAGTGCCCCCTGGCGGGTATCACGCCGAGGAGGTCAAGTTTGAGTTCCCGGGTTTCTAAGCGATCATCGGTGGGATTATGGATCATTGGGATGATGGGATCTAAGTATGGTTTTGGTATGATCATGGAAATATATGTTGCGACTCAATCTGAATCCCTCTCTCTGGGAGATATGAGGAAATTCAGATATGCAACTAACGCAGTCCTTCTCCGGGAAAAAAAAGAAGTGCCGTCTTTTGCCGGCTCAACCGCTCGGATGGCGCGGCGCTTTCGCTGATGATCTGATGATCTGATAAGATGAGCCTGCAGCAGGGTTGCAAATTTGTGGATACCAGGAGCGGGGGTTCCTGTTCTTGGAGCCTTGGCCCCTCGCGATTTCCCCCTCCGGTTGGTTCCTGAATGCGTCAAATACTGGATGAAACGGAACGTGTGGAGGCTTTGCAGGCCACAAGAGGAACCGGTTGGAGAACCTTGGCGCCCAAACGATTCCGATGCCGGGCGTCACACTCATCAGCAAGCGACGATGACATCGAAGCGAGCCGCGGGTGACAGTGGACCCGGCAGCTGCCCAGACTCCAGAGGCCGAGGGAATGGAGGTGGAGGGCAACGGCCAAAATTCCATCGGCTGAGAAAGGGCGGTGGAGCGCTTGATCCATCCATGGTTTGTTTGATCCATGGCACTTACTATGCAGAATGGGGGCACTACTGCGGAATAAAATACAACAAAGGGAGGGAGGAGTGAGGCCGGGAGGGCACTGGACACCATCCGACCCCCCAAACCATTCCGCACCTTAATCACTACTGCACCTGTCACATGCCCATCTCGAGCCTCGCGCGTCCCCTCACAGTTTCCCATTTTGTGCTGAAAGCTTTCGGTTCCCCATCCCACCAGGCTCTTCCACCAGGACCGTCAACATTACTACACCTATCTGTACATCGCCCTCATCTCATCCTTACCCCTGCCCCGTTTTCGTTTTTGAGGCGGACCCTCTTTCCACGTCATCTGACTCGAGCACCAACAACCACAATGGGCTCCATCCCAACAGAACCAGTCAGGGTGCTCGTGGCGGGCGGTTCATACGGCGGGCTCTCGGCCGCGCTCAATCTCCAAGACCTGTGCCGCGGTCTCCCTCCACGGTGCGGGCCGAAGCCGGCGGCGGGAGAGCAGCAGGTAGAGAGACCACAGTTTGAGGTGGAGATCACGGTAGTGGACGAGAGAGACGGCTTCTACCACCTCATCGGCTCGCCCCTGGCGCTGGCGTCCGAGGCATATGCCGAGAAGTGCTGGGTCAAGTACGACGACATCCCCGCGCTACGGCGGGCCGAAAACAACATCCGGGTGCTCCACGGGACCGTGCAGTCGGTTGACCCGCAGCGGAAGGTGGCGACATACGCTGCGCACGGCGCGGCCACGCCGCCGTTGGAACTGCAGTACGACTACTTTGTTGCGGCGTCGGGCCTGCGGAGGGTGTGGCCCGTGGTGCCCCAGTCGCTGCGCAGGAAGCAGTATCTGTTTGAGGCGGGCGACCATATCCGTGCTGCTACGGCGGCGAGGCACGGGGTTGTGATTGTTGGCGGAGGTGAGTTCAGTTTTAAGCTCTTTTGAACAAAAGAAGAGAGGAAACAAGAAGAAGAAAACAAAGAAAAGAAAAGAAAAAGAAAAGGGTAATGATTACAGCTGCTGACGCTCTTCGCACACGACATACAGGCGCCGTGGGCATTGAAATGGCGGCCGAGCTCAAGCTGGTGCAGCCACACATCAAAGTCACGCTAGTCCACTCGCGCGACAAGCTGCTCTCGTCCGAGCCGCTCCCGGAGGAGGTCAAGGACGTCAGCCTGGAACTGGTGCGCGAAGCCGGCGTCGACGTGCTCATGTCGCACCGCCTCGACCGGACCGAGGAGACCGAGGACGAGCACGGCAACAAGTGTCTCCGGCTGCACTTCACCAACGGCCACACCATGCTCGCCGACCAGGTGTCGCTCGCCGTGTCGAGGCCCACCCCTTCGACCAGCTTCTTGCCAAGCAGCGTGCTAGACGAGGAGGGCTACGTCAAGATCCAGGCCAAGTGAGTACCTAAATCTTCTTAATCTTCATTCTTCTTCTTCTTCTTCCTCCGCTGCCTCTCCAAGTCTCACCCGAGAGTCCTGACACACGCCGACCCTTGTTGTGCATAGCCTGAACTTCCCCGCCACCACGCCCAACGCAGCAGACCACTTCGCCATCGGCGACCTGGTCAAGTGGAGCGGCATCAAGCGCTGCGGCGCGGCCATGCACATGGGCTACTATGCGGCGAACAACATCCACCAGCGCATGCAGAACAAGACGGCCGACGACGGCAGCAGCAGCAGCAGCTTCCTGGAGCTCGCCGAGATCCCGCCCATGATCGGGCTCGCCGTGGGGAAGAAGGCCGTGTCATACTGGCCCGAGGGCGGCGTGACCGCCGGGGAGGAGGTGACGAAGCTGTTTTTCGGGGATGATCTTGGGTTTTCGAGTGAGTTTTTTTTTTTTTTTTTTTTTTTTTTTTTTTTTTTTTTGCCCGCTCTTTTCTTTTCTTTTTTGCCCCCTCTCTCTTCCACAGATGGTGGAGATGTGGAGTGCTGACTTGTTTTGGGAGATAGTTTGCTGGAACCATTTGGGTCTTGGGGGGGACAAGGTCGTTTCTTCATGATGGCATTGCAGCGCGAGTAACCAGCATGATATAAGGGGTTGATCTACCTATGCATATTCTTATAAAACAAGGCAATTCAGGGGTACCACTAGTATTTACAGTACTCACTCACTCACTCACAATCTCTCTCCATAAGACAAGGTCCGAGTACTTGCTTCAAACTTCAGGCCTTCTTTCGATGGAACACAGAGATCATGGCATGAACACCAGACATGGCCTCATTTCAACTACTTACTACCTTGACTGCCAGCCATTACCCCTTTTCTTTTCTTTTATCTACCTACAACTTGGGCACCAACCCCACTCCGGTCCCGCCCATGACCTTCTCGTTGTCGTCCAGCGGGCACAGCTGGAAGAAGCGCTCGCGCGAGCAGCTGACCAGGGCCGACCGCTTGTGGGGCAGGTCGATGAACTTGTCGAGCCCGAAGCCGTGGATCAGGTCGTACATGAGCACCGAGCTGTTGGTGTACTTGGGCTCGCCGACCACGCTCTGCGTGCGCGGCTCGTCCAGGAACAGGTAGTGCATCAGGCTCGACCACCAGGCGCTGACGCGGTGCGGGCCGCGGAAGCGCACGTCGCCCACGAGGCTGTGCCGCCCGCGGTCGTAGTCGCCCGCCGGGTAGTGCGCGCCGATGCGGTCCTCCTTGGCCCAGTAGACCTCGAAATAGGCAAAGAAAGTGCCGTCGAAGCGGGCCAGCACGGCCATCTGGTGCGGGTCCTCGTGCGCGCGGCGCAGGTAGGCGCGGTGCTGCTCCAGCGAGCCCGTCTCGTTCCAGCCCTGCGACACGCGCGGGTCGTTCTGCCACGCGTGGAAGAGCGCCACGTGCTCGGCGTCGGCGTGGTCGAGCGCCACCATGCTGAAGGTCTCGCGCAGGTGCGGGATCCACCGGCTGTAGATGACGCTGCCCGGCCGCGGCTTGGCCCGCCGCCGCGGGTGCCAGCACAGCGCCGTCGCCGGCTCGTGCGTCATCACGTAGCTCGCCGGCGGCAGCGGGTAGCCCGAGAGGTCTGGGTCCTGCTCCTCCGGCGCCCAGGCCGGGCGCGGGCCGAAGGGCGAGCCCGCGCCTTGCCAGAAGGCGCCGCGGAGGACGACCAGCTCGTCGTCGGCATTGGCCGTCGCGGTGGTGGGTTCGCCGCCGCGTGGTGGGTGGTCGATGGCGAGCCCGACGGCTTTGAGTTGCTGTGTCACCCGCGGTGCACCCGCCCCCTGCGCGCGGAGGCGGAAGGCCTCTTCGCCCGGGCGCACCGTGAAGACGGCGTAGGTGATCAGCCAGAGCTGGCCGACGCTTGGCGGCTCCGCGCTCGTCCAGCTAACCGTCACGGCCGGGTTGCGTCTTGCTCGTGCCCACGGGGTGTTGTTGGAGTCCTGGGGCCGGTCGCTCGACTTGAGGTCCTGGGGTTCGGAGAAAGACACAGCGGCATTGTGAAGCGGGAAGGGAAGCGGCTTGGAGCTGCCACCGGCCTCGTCGGGGTTGCGAGGGGTGAGCTGGTACGAGGAGGAATTGGCGTCTGTTTCTTCGGCCTTCTTCCCAACGAAGTACGTCGTCTGGTACGGATGCGGGAGCTTCAGGATTGTCTCGGAAGCTGCTGCGTAGTCGGCGAACTGCCGTAGTGTCGTCTTACTCGGAGGCGCCATGCTCGATGAGGCCTTGTCAAAGTTGTCAAGTACAACGAGACGCCGCAGGAAGGAGGGATCTATCTCATGTGTTGCCAAAGCTGCTTACGGCAGCGAGCAAATGGGTCTCAGCAATTCACATGTGTGACGAGGATAAACAAAGAAAGAAAACAAAGCTTCCCATCTGGCGGCAGGCGCACATCTCTCGGCTCTCCCACCTCCCCGACGTCCCCGCCGACTGCAACACACACACCCTGTCGGCATACCGAGTATATCTTAGCTCGTAGATCCATGCTACAGACGCGGCAAACCTGTTCGCTGGCCCACGTCGTCTTTGCGTAGGCCGTCCCACTTCGCAAATGTTTCCAAGTCATGGCGCCGAGAGGAAACCACCAATAAAAGCGGGCTCCAGGGGTGCTCGGATCTGATAACTTTACTCGGACGCTAAGAGAGCGGATCAGATAATTTTTCGGTGGCCCCCGGTCTCTTGGCGCAACCGACTTCGGAGGTCCACAAGGCCCGGACTTCGCAGGGCACGCTTTCGTGCCTTGCCGGCAGTCGTCAGATGTGCCATATATGTTGCGAGGCTTTTTCTCGCAAGTTAGGTGGAATAACTATCCTATACATGAGTGCATGGTCAGGTTTGCATTTGACCAGCAAAGCAGCGCTGCCCGGGCTGTGTCTAGTTTCCTGTCGAGGACGATCGATCAAGCGGCATTTGCTTGCTATGATCGACCACAGGGCGTGGGGACTGTGGACTTGGCATGAATAATCAATCTTATCAGATCCGAGAAAACGACCGTTCGCTTGTAGCCCTTTGGGCACTGCTACATAGCACTGCGGCATTTTACTGGGGCTGGGATGGGAGTCTAAGACGGCGCCCCCGTCTCCGTGACGAGCGTGGCCCATCACACCACCCTCCCCTCGCTCGTACCATCCGGAAGTTATCAGATGGTGTCATCACGGACGGAGGCAGCAGGGGTGGGAGCGACGCCCAAACCCCCCCGCCTGCCCACCTCACCCAGTGCATCTTTGCTCCTCGGCATGAGCCTGGAAGAAAACTCTGCTGATCTGTCTGCGGACCCAATCTCATCAGCCGAGGACCAATGCCGCCACACACCAGCTTGGTAATGGTTCCATTGCCGATCCGGTGCCCTCTGCGGTGATTCAAGGGCCGAGGAGCGATGGAGATGACGTTGCCGGAGAGCGCTCCGATGCATCTTATCGGATTAGATCGAGCCGGCCCTTGCTTGAGAGTTGGGAGTCGTCTGTGCTGATGCTTCTGGTAGTAAACTGTGACCTGGGTGGTCATGCTCTTCAGCTCGGCTCCGACTCTGTGGTTCCCATTTCCCCTCTAGTGCGTTGGCATACCAGCAAGCCCGAGTCCTTCCCGAGCGCTAGTAGAAAGCTACTCTCTACCTATTCTCTCGTGTAACAAGTCAAGAGACAACACGCCAGCTCGCGCGAGCTTAGGTATCTAGACGACCCGCAGTTTCTTTCGGACGAGAGCCGTAAGGAAGGACCATGTCCGTCCAAGTCCCGGTACACCGGCGGGTTGAGGACAGCTTCGTTCTCCCTCAGGGACAGAAACCGTCACTGCTCTTTGGCCCGACAGACCCGCCCCTGGTAGACTTGACACTGGGAGAGCTGCTCAACCTGCAGTGTCTGCACCATGGGACGCGAGAAGGTCTGGTGTTCCCCTGGACCGGCGCCCGATGGACATACAACGAGCTCAACCACCACAGCCGGCTGCTGGCCGCGGCTCTGCTGGAGATGGGCATCGGCGTCGGCGACCGAGTCGGCATCATGGCGGGCAATTGCGAACAGTACGCCGCCGTATTCTTCGCCGCAACGAGGATCGGCGCCATCCTGGTCATCCTCAACAACACGTACACCCCGACGGAGGCGCAGTACGGCCTCGATTTTTCCGGTATGCTTGACCAGATTTTGGGTCGCTTCCTCCCGGGCAATGTGCTACCGTGAATGCTAACACTGACCGACACGCACAAATCCAGAATGCAAAGTCTTCTTCACGACCAAGCGGATAGGCCGGCTTGACCAAGGCCCGTTGCTCAGCCAACTGGCAGCAAGAGCCCGCGGGCCGAAGGTCGTCATTCTCAGAGGCGAGTCGGACGGGTACACCACGTACAGCGATCTGCTGTCCCAGGGGGCACGGGTCAATCCAGACAGGCTCCATCAAGCCGAGACCAAGGTGCTCCCTCACCTGGTGTGCAACCTGCAGTTCACCAGCGGCACGACAGGCCTGCCCAAGGCCGCCATGCTCACCCATCAGTAAGTTCATTTTATCACACACACTCACACACACACACACATACACACACACACACGTACACACACACACACACACACACACACACACACACACACACACACACACACACACACACAGAGAGAGAGAGAGAGAGAGAGAGAGAGAGCGAGAGAGAGGATATGGCATATAGCCACTCACACACACTGACGCGTTTCCTTCGTTGCTTTTGTTTTTCCCGTCCAGCAACATCGTCAACAACTCCCGCTTCATCGGCGACCGCATGCGTCTCACCCCGGCCGACATCCTCTGCTGCCCGCCGCCGCTCTTCCACTGCTTCGGCCTCGTGCTCGGCCTGATGGCCGTGATCACGCACGGCGCCAAGATCGTCTACCCGGCCGAAGTGTTCGACGCGCGCGCCACGCTGCGCGCCCTCGTCTCGGAACGCTGCACCGCGCTGCACGGCGTGCCCGCCATGTTCGACACGCTGCTCGCACTGCCCGAAGCCAAGGCGGCGCTTCCGAGATCGGATTTGGGGCTGTCGCTGCGGACGGGCATCGTCGCCGGCGCGCCCGTGCCGCGCCACCTGATGGAGCAGCTCGTCGCGCGCCTGGGCATGGCCGAGTTCACGTCCAGCTACGGGCTGACCGAGGCCAGCCCGACCTGCTTCAACGCCTTCACCGACGACCCGCTCGACGTGCGGCTGACGACGGTCGGCACGCTGATGCCGCACGCGCTGGCCAAGATTGTCGACCGCGACGGCAACATCGTGCCCGTCGGCACGCGCGGCGAGCTGTGTATCGGCGGGTACCAGCTGCAGGCCGGGTACTGGAACAACTCGGAGAAGACGAGCGAGGTGATGGTCCGCGACGAGAGCGGCGTGCTGTGGCTGCATACCGGGGACGAGGCCGTGTTTGACGAGCGCGGCTACTGCTCCATTACGGGGAGGTTCAAGGACATCATCATCCGCGGCGGCGAGAACATCTATCCGCTGGAGATTGAGGAGCGGCTGGTGGCGCATCCGGCTGTTTCCATGGCTGTCGTGGTCGGGCTGAAGGATGCGCACTACGGCGAAGTCGTCGGCGCGTTCCTGGCGTTGGATGAAGCTTACCAGCAGCAGCAGCAGCGGCCCGGTGTGGAGGAGATCAGGGAGTGGGTCACGCGGACGCTGGGCAAGCACAAGGCGCCGGCCCATGTGTTTTGGCTGGGTCAAGACGGTGTGCCGGCCACGGTGCCGCTGACGGGCAGCGGCAAGGTGCGCAAGTTTGAGATGGCCCAGCTGGGGAACAAATTGTTGGCAGCGAAGGCAAAGCTTTGAATTTTCATAGTTCCTTTGGCCTGGTGGGAGGGGTAAAACAAAACAAAACAAGCAAACTGTAATCTGTAAAGAGAAGGATAACAGATAAACACAGGTAGTAGCAGTTTGCAAAGAGTGGCGAGGAACTAGATATTCAAGCACTTACCTCACTAACAACACTCACTGTTCTCGGCTGATTTCGGCTGATGCTGGCTGAGTTCTCGCTGGTCGCTTCGCCACCTCGTTCGTTTACATTCCGATTCCGTCCCTCGTTTCTTCTCTGTCGTCTCTCTACTTCTGCTTTCCATCGGCCATCCTCGCGAACCACAACCCCGAAAAGCGAAGACGTCGGCGCGAAAAGTTGCACCCGTTCCCCCGCGGCGATATATCCGCCCCGTCGCTCTCGTCGGGGCGGCTCCCGGTCGCTCGATGTAGGCGAGCTTCTGGGCGAAGTTTAAGCTGTCGTACCTTTTGCCTACGGAGAACCGGGCCTCAAAGGCTTCGACCAGAACCCCGAGCACCTCGACAACCTCCCCGGACACCAAAACCACGAGAGCACTCTCCCCGCGCTCCCCCACACCATCGCTCATCGTGTTTCCGATCATGCGCGAGGTACCGTCGTACCGCTCACTCCTCCTACGATGTCAGCGATGCCGGGGCAGTTCGAGTTTTTGCTCCTGCATCGCAGTAGTCCAGGTGCGGAATAATAATATATGTTCGCGTAGGTCAACGCTGAAACCTCGGGTTACGAAAGAGTACAAAGTACCTCTCATACGGTTTACAGTACCATGTGTGATATTGTTAGATTAGATGTTTACTTTTGGTTTTGAGGGCCATGGCCTGTATTGTAGTGCTTTACATTGGAATTTCAGCTAAAATTGTGAAAATTCAGAGTTTCCATCAGGCGATGTTCAGTCTTGATTGACATTTCATGCACCTTATCGAGCCAAACCGCTGTGTTGCACGGTACCTTATATAGGGGATCCCTAGGCGTTTGCAATATTCGCATGCAACGATGTCGTTTTTGCCGTGTGACACCTTGAAAAACCAGAGCACTACCGTCCTGTTTACACCGCGCGATCTGAGAATACTGCTGGGGATGACGTCTTTTTCAATTCCAAATTACAAGGCATGATGACTCCATAAACCCTCAAGGGTAGATAGATGATGAGTTCAAGTTGGTATAGGTAGTGTCTTGATAGAGACAATATGGGGTTGAATACGGTACCCTTCTATAACCCTCTCACCCAGCGCACTGCAATCCTGAAGTAGGACTTTCTCCCAAAAATAATCATATGACGGCCGACTGGTGTAGTGGTTATCACGTCTCGTTCACAAAGCTGAACTTAGCTGGAAGAATTCCACCGAGAAGGTGCCAGGTTCGATCCCTGGGTCGGTCATTGCTTTTGCTCATGTCATCGTCGTGTGACCTCTGAGTTCATATTTTGCTTGATGCGATTGAGAAGCTACCTAGTGAGTTCCTAAGATCCGAAGGGGACATTCCAAGCAAAGGCTATCCATCTATCTGCAGCGATTTCGTAATATATTTATTATCATCCACGTGTCTCTCAAGTCTCATCAAATCCACACCTCATCGTCCTCCAACTTCACCTCAGAAAATTACAATTACACCCACTCACTCCAGTTCACACCCTCCCGATACCCCAGCCCGTCCTTTTCATCAAACTGCGGGCCCTCGGCGTCCACGAGATAGCCCAACTCGCACCGGTCGAAGCTGACCTTCTTCTGCTGCCGCTCCTCATAAAAGGAATCAAAGCGGCTGCTGAGCGCGTCCCGCAGGCTCCGCACGTTGCCCGCGGGGTGCAGCGCCTGCCACGGCCGCACGCAGGTGCTGCCCTTGCATGACTTGAGGACGAGGAGCAGCGCGTCGAGACGAGCGATGACATTGGCGAAGGGCACGCCGAGGAGCGTGGCAGGCGGTGTGGCCGAGTCGTCGAGGAGGTTGTTGAGCTGGTACGGGTCCGTCTGTTCAACCAAGGGTCCAAAGTTGGTAAGTAAAACGCCTATGCTTTCGTTCTCTAAAAGTAATGGTTGCGAAAAGAGAGAGAGAGAGAGACTCACCGTAAGATCGTGGAACTCATGCTCATTATTGCACCAGACGGCATAGTAGAAGTTGTACTGCCGTCCGATGATCCGCAGCGCCTTGTACGTGTTATTCGCCACCCACCTCTGCTCATTCGCGCGGAACGGCTGTCCCTCGGACAAGGCCATGCCCCAATACTCGACCGTGACATGCTCGTGTCTCATCCCGCTTGCGGCCTTGTCCAGCTCGCCTTCCGTCAGGGGAACGGCCTCCCCATCCAGATCCAGATCCAGATCCACCCCGGCGATGCGCAGCAGGGTAGGCGCCAGATCGACATGGCTGGTCACCACATCCGCGACCCTCTTCCCGCTCGGCACGCCCGGCCCGCGCACAATCAGCGGGACGTTGATGTCCTCCTCGAAGCCGCACGCCTTGCCGGGCGGCAGGCGGTGCTGGCCGATGTGGAAGCCGTTGTCGCTCGTGTAGAAGATAAAGGTGTTGTGCAGCAGGCCGTGGTCGGCGAGCCGCTCCACCACGCTCGCCACCAGCTCGTCGACCGACTGCAGCGCGCGCAGGCGCTGCCGGTAGAAGTGGTCGTTGGACGCGACGTCTTGCTCCGTCTGGGGCTGGAGATTGCGCACCCAGCTGGCGCCCGTGGCGAAGGAAGGGTTGAAGTTCGGCGTGCGGGGGACCGAGACGTTTGGGAAGAGGTCTGCGTGCCGCGGGGCCGGGATCGGGGGCCCGAAGGCGGCTCCGATCTTGTCTGGATCGGCAGTGGTGGTTTCCGAGCCTGTCGACGTTGCGTACGTTGCGTTGACGTTGCTGTGCGGGGCGATGGGCGCGATGCCGAGGAAGAAAGGCCGCGAGTGGGCATTCTGGGCGGCATCGTCCAGGAAGCCGAGGGCCTTCTGCGCGAGCACGTCTCCCAGGTACTGGCCCTCGTAGCTGACGGGCGGGTCTAGGTTGCGCTGGAAGCTGGCGTTCAGGTACATGTACGTGTACGGGTCCACCAGGAAGTCGGACCCGTTCCAGCCCGCCGGGAAGGGCGCGTTGTAGTTGTCGACGCTGTGCGCATTGAACAGCTTGCCCGTGTAATACGTGTCGTAGCCGGCCCGCTGCAGCCAGAGTGGGAGGTATGCCTCGTTCAATCCCTGGCTGATGAACTTGGGGTATCCGCCTACAAACTGTGGTTAGCCCATTTATTATCTATTATCCTGCTTTCCCTTCCGCACAGCCTGGGCAATCTACTACCTACCGTAAGGCGGGTTCACGTCTGTGACATTGGTGTTGTGTGCCAGCTTGCCAGTCCAAAGAGATACTCGGGACGGGCAACAGACGGCCGTGGTGCAGTAATGACGCTCGTATAGGGTGCCATTGTCGGTCAAATATTTCTTGATCAAGGGCAGGTAGTCCAGCGACTGCAGGTGCAAGTCCTGGTCGTCAGTCAACACAAACACGACGTTTGGCTTCGTCCCATCAGCCCCCGAGTTCCCTGAGCCTCGCTGGCCCAGGCCGATTCCGACCGGCTTCTGGTCACCATCACTGTGGGAAAGCGCCGCAGGGAGCTGCAGGCCTACTGCAAGAGCAGCCAAAGGGAAACGCATGGTAGCCCGGAACTATGTAGGCGAAGATGCTGTAGAAAACAGAAATCAGACAGCCTTGGAACTGTCTAGAGATCTAGAGACAAAAGGGACAACAACACCCACGCCGTCATGCCAACCCTACGGTAGGGGTTTAAGCCCTGATAAGGTGTTTTCCGTCAAGATAGCATATCACTACCCTTTTAGACCTTATGCTGTGGTCATGGTGACTGTGGGGGTTTCCGGTGATGATTGGAACTCCCGCTTGCTTGGTGTCAATGGGCCGATGGCGTTATTGACCCTGGCGATGAGTGGACGAATAAGGCGTCAGGGGCTTGCGACATTGACTTGGAAATGTCGTGATCCCAGCACTCCGCACCAACGGTCGTCAAGAGTCTGCAAGGTCAGTTTTCTGAAGAACACGGCGCTGAGATTGGCCCGAGAACCCGATGAATGAAACTATTGTTTCTCAAAAATCTCCAGCCGAGCTGTCCAAGGTACGAGGCCATCTCTGTGCCACCCACCCTTTCATTTTCGCGAGACCTGTCCTCAGTGTGTCGGAGAGAGATGGTTCAGCTCCTGGAGGCCACAGACGCTCAGTCTGCTGAACAGGCGCCGCTGCTGAACAATGCTGGAATTTTAGACGGACGAGGACAGAGATATGTCTCGATCGCCCAGCTGTCTCCCAATAGTAGTAGAGAGCTGGCCGACAGCAACCGAAATGGAACCACAGCGATCAAGAGTACGACAGGACCGGCAAGTGACGAAGAAAGCCAGAACCGCGAGGAAGTTGAGGAGGGGATTGGGAGGCGTCATGTGGTCCGCATCATCTCCGTGCTCCTGATCGGTTTGTCTCTCTCTCTCTCTCTCTCTCTCTCCGCGTTACACATGTTTTACACACATCACCGTTGTTCCGTTGCAGACCTAATAATAAAATTAATACTAAGTACTGGCACAGGCATCTTCGTCGCCAACGCCGATGGATCCATTCTTCTGGCAACATACCCCGTCCTCGGTTCTGAATTCAATGACCTGGAGAACTCGAGCTGGCTCATCACCAGCTTTGCCCTGGCCGGGGCTGCCACTCAGACGCTGGTAATATAATCCGCCTGCCTTGAGACCCTCGAGGTATTGTAGTTGGAACGAAACTGACACTGACATGTGCCGCTGTGAAAGTATGGGAAGCTGAGCGACATCTACGGCCGGAAGACACTCGTCATCGCCGCCTATGTCATTTTTGTTGCGGGCTGGTGAGTGTCCTTCCACAGATAGCCTCTGCCTTGGTTGAATACGATGAAGCTAACAAAGCGGCCCGGTAGTGCGATAGTGTACGTGTCTCGGCCCCTACTTTGGTAACGCCAATCACAGGCACACAAGACTGACCATATACTAGCGGCGTTGGCCAGACCATGTGGCAGGTCGTTCTCGGCCGGGTCATCTCAGGGGCAGGAGCCTCGGGGATGGCGGGGTTAGTCTCGATTCTGATCACAGGTAAAGCTGCAGGAATTCATACCAGTTCTGAAAACCTCAAGTGTCAAGACTAAATGCGTTCTAGACTTGCTTCCCATCCGAGACGTGGCCCAGTGGCGTGCCTATGTCAACCTGATCGCCACTCTGGGCCGAAGTGTCGGAGGCCCGCTCGGTGGCTGGCTCGTTGATGTCATCGGATGGCGGTGGTAAGCTTTCAAAAGGGCCCGCGGGGAATAGTCCTTCGTCAAGGTGCTGATACTCCAACATCGCAGGTCCTTCTTTGGTCAAGTTCCGCCCATTGTGATTGCCATCTTGCTCGTGATTGTCTGTCTGCCCAGTGCTTCTCCCTTAACGGATTCAAAGCCCACACAGCAGACCGACAACGGCTTGGCTAGTCAGGAGAGCAGCTTGGCTAGTCAGGAGAGCAAGTTCAGCCGTATCGACTTCAAGGGTTCCGTTCTCTTCACCCTCACCATTCTAGCGCTGCTCTTGCCGGTCGAGCTCGGCGGTGTCAAGCTTCCCTGGTCTCATCCTGCCATCGCTGCCCTCTTTATCGCCAGTGTCGCCCTTCTAGTCGTCTTTGTGGCCGTGGAAAAACGGCAGGAGGAGCCCATCCTGCCGCTTGAGATCTTCCATCGGCGGGATGCAGTCTTCTCCTTCTTGATACTGGGTCTCCAGCTCGCAGCCCAGCTCGGGGTACGTCTCCTCAGGTTCGAAAAGGTACTAATCGGGGTAATGCTGATATGCTATATGTAGCTCATGTTCTCGGTGCCTCTTTATTTCCAGATCACGGCGCGAGCATCCAGCACCGCTGCTGGAGCCCACTTAGTGCCCGCCGTGGTTGGTAATGCGCTGGGCGGGTTGATCTCCGGCCTGCTCATCAAACGGTACGCATGAGAAGGATGATCTTGACCATGGTTTAGGGTTCAAGGAACTGACAAGTCCAGATCCGGCCGCTACAAGGCCCTGATCATCCTCGCCGTCACCCTCTCCGCCTCGGGCTACCTCCTCCTCATGCTCCGCTGGCACGGCGACACCAACATCTGGGAGTCGCTCTACATTTTCCCCAGGTATGGCCCCCCGTCCTTCGCCCTTTTTGCAGCTTCCCCATTCCCCTTCCATTAACAGCAAAAACCCTCCCAGCGGCTTCGGCATGGGAGTCGCCCAATCAGCAGTCTTCATCTCGCTCCAAGCCGTCATCGCCGAGCCCTCGCACCTGGCGCCCGCCATCTCCTTCATGTATCTGACCGGCACGATCGGCCTCACGATCGGCGTCCCGTTGGCCAACGCTGTCACGCAGACTGTGCTGCGCCGGCGGCTGGGGAAGCGGTTGCTCGCGCTGGGCCTGAGGGGTCAGGAGGTTCGCAAGGTACGTACCGTTTCTTTGCGGAACAAAAATCAACCCGAGCATTCGTTTGTGATGGGAATTGTATGAGACTATGAGTATCATCATATCATATCATGTGCGGCGGGGAAAGAGTGCCTTGACCTTCTTTCACTTCAGGAACTTTGAAGTTGGGGCTAACAGTGGGCGGCAGATCATCGCAAACGCCGTATCGGACGTCTACTTTGTCGATCGAGTGACAGGCCGTGTTCGAGACGCTGTGGTCGAGTCGTATGTTGACGGGTTGTGGTGGAGCCATGGTAAGTTCATGAGTGGTCCACTTCCACAGAATACACACAGCAGAAGATGTGTCAACGCACATATACTCTCTCTCTCTCTCTTTCTCTCCCCGATCGCTCGAATGCTGACAGTTCCCTTCACCCTTGAGGGGTATCGTTTCTACTCTCTGCCACTGCACTTGTTTTAGCCCTGTTCATCAAGCAGAAGCCGCTTCCTGATAGACCTCGGGCATGACGGGGAACTCCATGCAAGGTAAAAAAGGCTTGCTCGAACAGGACCATGACCATGACCATGGGGGCCGCTTATTAGGGGGCGGGGTACAACGGGGGCTGAGAACGCAAACAAACGGTTGTGAAGGTCAGTGTAAATACAGGCGGTACACTTGGAGCATTTCGTTCTTCTGACGATGAATAGAAAGAATGTGGATTTCAAGTTCATTAAAGCATTAGCGCCTTGAGATTAGTTAGGGCCGTCACCACGCCATGCCTGGCAGATTCTGTTCGTCAAGCTGGAATGCTTGTTTGGATAAGGCACCCCAGTCTGGGGCCTGATCCAGATCACTACTACTAGTAGTAGTCACATGCTTCATGTTCAACACCAACTCCCATGGACATGCTTCGTAGGGAGCCCCAGGTGTCATTACCCCAGGCTGGAGGGGGCTGATGATCTTATTGTTGGGTCCGGTGTCAATCATCAATCTATATAAGAGATAGATTGTACACATTACGTACATAGATATTCTACGTAGCATAGTGGCTTAAATGGCAATGCAATCTAGTTCCTACTAGTGTAGTAATAAATAATAGAGCACCGACGGACTTCGCTACGGGTTCGCAGGCTCGTTGTCTTAGCATGAACCTCTTTGTATCAAAGTGGCTCCAATCTAGATATAGGCAACCATCTAGTCATGATTTTGGTTCCGCGACTGTTTTTCAAGCTTAGAACGGCCCCAGTGACGAAGGCAATGTATTCGGAATAGATCCAGAGGTATCCCTGATAAACTCACTGGACCCCGATTGCTTGTTGCAACCGACGTGTGGTCAGTAGCCTCACATTTCACCATTCCTGACCAAGAAGGATAATACACAATACTACTGCATTACATGACTTCCCAGGTTCCAAGCATCTGCCTTTGGTGCGGATAATACATACAACATCACTTCGACAAACAACGCCCGGATCACGTGTCCAACAATACGTCTTCGGCCACTAACATGGCCAATGCATCGCTCGTGCTCATTGCTAATAATCAACTATGTTCAATGATCCTAGTACAGCATCCAAAAAGGACACGTGCCCCATATACAGATGACAATAGAGAGACCCAACATCTCATTTGCCCCTCACGCAGAAACTCTGATTATGAACCCGCAATCCCCAGCCCAACCCTCCCCTGCCCATACACACCACTGCCAACCCCCTGCTGCTGCGACACGGGCATACCAGCATTCGTCCCCGTGCGCTCCCTCATCCTCCGTCCCTCCATTAGGCCGCGCAGGCCCCTCTTCTGCAAGCCAATGACGCTGCTGAGGTCACCGGTCCAGATCTCGCGTGTGCCACCGCGCTCGCTATCGCCCACCTCCGAGGCGCTCCACTCGCTCCCGCTGACGCTGGTCGTGGCGCTGAGCTCGTCGCTCGTCGGCGGCGCGCTCTGCACCGCCGTGCTAATCTTGAGGTTCCCCACGACGCGGCTCGCCGTCGTGCTGGCGCTGGCTTCGCTACCGGCGACGCTGCTGCCCTTAGCCGGCGTATCGGCCGTAACGCCAAGCCCGTCAAGGCCTGCAGACACGGGGAAGAAATTAGGGTTCAGGGTGCCGTCTATGCCCCGACCGCCGCCGGCGGCCATGGCGGTGGCGTTGAACACTGCCGCAGCGTTTCGGCTGTCGAGGAGGCCGTGGAGGCGCTCCACTACGGCTTCAAGGAGGCCGTCGATGCGGTAGGGCCGAGCAATCTGGAGGAGACTGCATAGAATCTGTGGCGTGCAGAGGGGTGACGACGGCGTCGGGAGGCTGGACGTGTAGAGGAAGTGAAGCAGCGCCTGGACGGTAAGGTATGTGTGTGGGAGGTACAGGCATCTAGGCCGGCTGTTCGGTGGCAAGGTGCGGGGTGTCGGCGCTGTGTTGATGGCGGCCGGATCCATCGACGTACCGCCTGATGACATGCTGGGGCTTCCTTTGCCCGTTGAGCTGCCGAGCGAATACAAGGTGGTGCCGCTGATATTGCTAGGGGTGATGGTGAGGGTCGAGTGTCGAACCGAGGACCCGGCTGCAGACATCGAGTTTGATCTAAGGGTCACTGCATCGCTGCCATCTTGCGTGGCAGTGCCTTCCCTCAGCAGCTGCACAAAGTAGGGGCCCCATCTTCTTGCTACAATTCTCGAGTTGATCGGTATCCGTTCACCGCCGATGCAAAGGATATCCATGTCGGCCAGTTCCCTCAAGGCAAGCGCCTTCTCGCCCAACTCTTCGGCGGCTCGGCTGTGATATCGGCCACCGGCAGTGAAGCCGGCCTTACGGGCCAGACTCAGACCGGGTCCGGTATAGGGACTGCTGGCGCTGACAAACCCGCTCATCGGGGCCGTTTTCCGGGGGTTGTCGTAGAAGCCAAACGCCTCGAGTTCGACCATGCAGACGTTGCTGAAATTGATCCTCCGGTGGTTGTAGTCATCGACGAGGCTCCGCTTCCTGTTGCCCAGCACGACGAACGTGTTCCGTCTGTTCCACAACACCCCGCGGTTCCAACTCCCCTGGCTGAACACGGCACCACCGGCGTCGATGCGGCTCCAAGTCAGCGTGCGCAAATCCAATGCCCAGAGAGCATATTCCTGCTTGGACGACGTAAGGTAAGTGCCGCTCACGACGAAATGTGTATCGATGACTCCTCCGTTGGGGAAACGCAGCCCTGGTGGGCTGTATGTACCGCTCATCGTCCGCTCGGTCAGATTACCGTCGGGTGCCCTGATCTGCAACTCGAGTTTGACGTCGAGAAAGTTGTAGTTGCTGTATATGAGCATACTAGACCCGGGCTCTCTCGCCTCCGCACTGATCCCTGGAACGTCCTGTCGTGCGCCGCTCGGGAACGTCTTGCCGAGCTTCGCGGTGACATAGGGAGGGAGCGGCGCTACGACACTACGGTACGCGCCGCAGCTCTTGCCCAACGGTTGAGTTGAGACCCACTTCAGACTGCGCAGGTTGAAGACGCTGATCTGCTCGATGTAATGGTTCGCCGCGTCTTGACCTCCGACAACGATCATTTCGGCACCACCAGTGCCGTCAATGTTGATGCCGATCCGGCCCTCGTTGGGGTTGCCAGTCGAAGGATTATGCTGCAGGGCAGAGAGCGGTGCTCTGTGCGAGGCAAAGGTTGCCGAAGACGGAAGGATACATGCGCAATGCGCGTAGCGACCCTGAGGAGCATCCTGAGTAGGGATAAAGGTCCACTTCTTGGTCTGGATGTCGTAGATGTATATATCGGACATTACGGTGACCTCGGGCTGCTGGTCTTGAGGAATGTTCTTTTGGCTGTTTGTCGGCGACATGCCACCGTAGCAGACCATCTTCGTATCGCCAAGAGCACACATCGAGTGGAAGTACCGTGGCGGGGGAATATCACCTGTCGTCTCCAGCTTGGTCCAGTGACGACGTATTAGATCCAGCTCGTACAGGTCCGCAGTCAAGGGCGCCGGTCTGCTCCTGGACAATATCCTGCCTCCAAACACGTAGAGTTTGTCGCCCACGATCGTGGTCGTTGCGCCGACCAGGGGATGTGGTTCCCGTCCCGTCGTCCTGTGCACGTTGCACATCAATCCGGACAGGTGAGCCGACGGAGTCACCGTCCCGACAGGTGTCCCACCTGTTTGCGTCCTCGGCTGGCCGATATTGGGCGACGGCCCAGCTGACAGCGGACCGGTACTCTTAGAAGTCAGGTTATCACCCCGCTCATCCTGTCCATCCTGCCGGGAAGAGCTTGCCAAGCTACTTTGGCTACTACTCATGCCCATTTCTTGATTGTGACTGACTTGCCCTCGAGCATACAGCCCACCGCCCATCTCAGCCGGTGACGTCGAGTCCATAGCGTTGACAATGTGCCTGTCCACGTCTCTTGCTTCGGTATCGATAATCGTGGCCAGATTACCCAATTGCGGTGAAGCTGCCAAAGGGGTTAAGGGGCTCGCTGGAGAAAGCTGTGGCGGGGGTGGTTCGGGCAGGGGCTTCGAGAGACTATTCTGCAAGCTTAGGTTTCGTACATGTTGCGCCGGCGGCGGACGTGTGCTTTCGGGCGTAAGGGGTGCTGAGTTTGCTGGCCGCTCGAGCGTAGGCACGTGCGTCTCTGAGGGTCGGCGGAGAGCAGCGAGTTGAGAGGGCCTGCTGGGCGCGATTTTCTTGATACCGCGGAAAGCTGAGGATAGAAATTCTGAGGATGTCTTGGAGAACGATCGTTCCTCGGTTTCCGAGTCGGACGGCCGGCTGAAGAAGTCGTCGTTCCCAACCTGCTGCTGGCCCGAGAGACCGAACGTTAGTCCTGAGTTCGACATTGTCACGCCGAAGAGAGTCCGGCGACGCAACGAGGCAGCTAGGCAACTAAGGATCTCCTCCGGAGGTTGAGAGTAGGGCCAAGCGGACGGAAGCCCGGCGCCGCCGTTCCTTGTGCCAGCGCCGATCGAGAAGGCAGAAGAGAACGGAAGACAATGAGGTGCAGCGTGGATGGGACAAGAAGCCGGGCCACAACAGACAATCCACAGCAAGTTAAGGGACGATGTCGGCAGCGGAGGAGGCACAGTCGGTGTGCAAGCCACCCCAACAAGTCGTCAACCCAGGATCGCGAGTCCTGATCCCGGCGTCCACGACGGGGCCAGGGGATCGGGACCGGGACTTCCCTTGGTACCCGTGGCTTCCGGAAAGTCGCCCCAGTTCACCAGCCAGACTTCGTCGAATAGGGCAGAGGGGGTGATGGGGTAGGGTGATAGCAAGGAAACGAAAGCCCGTAAGCGAGACCAGGGGCTGAAGATTCTGTGCCTCGTACAAAATGGCACGGCGACCAGGGGGAGCGTCCGAAGGGTGCCGCTGCCACGCACGCGCGCACCGGCAAGGAAACTCGGGCAAGGAGCAGTGAAGACAACAGATACCGTACCTACTAGGCGGACGAGGAGATCGACAGATTGCGTCGGGCTCGCGAGGTGTAGACGGTGAGGAGGACTGGACGCTTAGGGGTCCGTCCACCGCTGGCTGGTCAAATGCGCCGCACAGACAGGTTTGGGAAGAACAAGGCGGGACAAGGGGCGGGGGAGAGTCGCGTCGGACGAGAACTAGCGGGTACCGCTGATAGACAATTGTAAACGGGTGGGTTCCGGGCCCGGGTAACCGGTAGCCGCGAGCGGTCACGGCTCGCTCGGGCAATCGTCTGTTTTGCGTTGGAAGACAGTCTTGAAAGGCGGCGCGAAGCACACCACGAGGCCAAAACGCCGACTCGACAATCGCACGAGGCGTTGAGAGCTCCACTCATAGAATGTGGGGTGGAAGTTCTGGTCAGCGCCGCTCTTTGGTTCTTCTTTCAAGGTGGGTGGAGCCGGTTGACACGGATCAATAGCGGCTGGGACAGCTCGTTTCAACCAAACAAATGGGGTCACATACGGAGAAGACCCTGACACGACGATTCAGCAACGCATTGCCTATCGGCACTTTGCTCTCGTGTCTACGAGGACCTGAAATAGAATGGAGCATGTCAAACTGCTCCCAAGCAATATTTCACCAGTGTACGAATGACGGAAAGGTACTGCTCGCCTGTTTCGCTGTTCCTTGAAGGCCTCGTGCGGCTGCTTTCCGTTCGGAGGGAAACACCCGCTAGGCCACGTGGGGAGCAAGGGTTGTCGGGGTCGGGTTGAAGAGGAAAGAACACTGAACATTGGATTGATTTCTTGGCGCCATTCAGCCGCTCATTAGTACAATAATAAGGAGCGCTAGCCCGAAGTTCAACGCCCGTTCCGCATTCCTCACTCCAAAGCCTCCCAAGCACCTCAAGTAGTTACTGTGTCCCTTGTCACAAAGCAGTTTAGGGTACCAGCATCCACGAGAGGACGCTGGGACCGTGATGCAGCTTACTCTAGCTGTCGATCCCAAGCGCTCAGCTGAGACTCCGGTCCTTCCTTCGCTTCTCGCTCACGCTACCTATTTAGGCCTCTTTAGGCAGCGGGGTGAAGCGAAGGTACGGCTTGACGGCCCGCAAGTTGGGGAACAGCTTGGTGGCCTCCTCGCCCTTGATGCTGGGGTGGACGATGACGTCGTCACCGGGCACCCAGTTAATGGGGGTGGTGACCTTGTGCTTGTCGCCGGTTTGGAGCGAGTCGATGACGCGGAGGATTTCCGAGCTGTTGCGGCCGGTCGAGGCCGGGTAGGACAGGATGGTGCGGATGGTCTTCTTGGGGTCGATGAAGAAGACGGATCGGATGGTGAAGGCAATGCCCTTCTCATCCACGTTGGTAGTGTCCTGGTAGTCGATCCTGTAGCACCGAGTCAGGACCTGCCTCTCCGGCCCACCCACGCTGGTGTCTGCATACTTACATGTCGTAGAGGTAGGCGACCTTGCGCTCCTTGTCGGCAATGATGGGGAAGTTGACGAGGGAGCCAGTCACCTCGTTGATATCCTTAATCCAACCCTCGTGGCTGCCCAAGGTGTTGGCCGAAAGGCCAATGAGCTTGACACCCCGCTTGGCAAACTCGGGCTCGAGACGAGCCATCTCGCCGAGCTCAGTGGTGCAGACGGGGGTGTAGTCCTCCGGGTGGGAGAACAGGATAACCCAGTTGTCGCCGATGAACTCATGGAAGTCGATGGGGCCCTTGGTGGTGTCGGCCTGGAAGTTGGGGGCAATGGAGCCCAGGCGGAGGCTGCGAAGCGCAGGTCAGTCAGTAACGCACACCCTCTTAATGGTCTAGTGTACAACCGTTCACCGGAGAGCACATACGGGGCGGGACGCTCAGAAGCCATTGTGTTGGTGTTTGGTTAGGTATCTTGGGGTATCACAGAGGAATGACGTGCAGGAACTGGGCAAGAGCCTCGTAGCAAATTTTGGTGTCAAGAAGCAGAAAACTCGTTTCAGTTGGACCACAGAGGAGATATGGCTGAGCTATGGATGGGGCAGTGGGCAGGTAGGTATTTAAGAGGTCCAGCTCCCTAGGGAGCCGTCCCGAGGCATGCTAGGATCTGCCAACCTTTTTGGCCAGCTGAATTAGTAACCTGGAAAGCCTTCTTCCCCTTTCAGGGAGCGGTACTACAACCACAGCTACCAGGCCGCCGATTCAACCATTCTCCTGCTCCAGAACCTCCCTTCGTTGTGCTTCTGTTGCCTCCGAACGCGGGGCGATTGACCCCTCCATGAGCTTGACGTGGGGGATGAGGTGCCCCTCAGTAACCCAATTTGGATTGGCGTCACATTGCGCGATCAATCAAGTTCGCCATTGGCCCAGGACGTTGAAGCACATCATTCAGGTCGACCTCGCATGGCGTCCATTAGCCTTGGCCCGACAAAGCCACCCATCAATGAGAGCAGTACACTAGCCCGCTTCTTCATCCAAGAAAGAAGAAAAGAGCATTCTTCTGCAGTGATCAAATAATAAGGATGAAATGCCGCTAGCCAAGCCCGGCCGCGCGAACCGGGGCCCGCACATCTAGCAACTAGCAACCAGATTTCTGCATAGCAGTAAGATACCTGGCGCCATCAATGAGGCTGACCGGCCACTTAGAGTGTCTTCATATGTCCGAGGCGCTTCTGAGCCGGGTGATACATGAGCATATTATTATCCGACTGGTATTCAAGTAGGAAGGACGGGGTATAGAAGAAAAAACTGAGTCGAAATCCGCGCAGCACTAGAAAGCCCCAACATACACAGCGCATCCTTTACAGCTTAACTTTGCCAACCTGCAGCGCCTTCCAATCCTCGGACTCGAACTTGACGTAGGAATCGCCCTTCAACCAAAAGACGCCATCTGCGCCCGTCTTGCCAGGCTCGACCCCTTCGCTGCGCAGGATCGTCTTCTGTTGCTTATTCGTGCCCGTGGTCTGGATGGCCCCGGGTCTGACCACGCGGAGGAAGAGTGGCAGGGCATACTTGGGAAGCCCGGCCCGGACGTGCTGCGCCAGAGACTTCAGGGCCTCGCCACTCGGCGTACCGCTCTCGCCAGCGACCGCCGACGGCTTGAAGACAACCGCGGCGCAACCAGCGCGCCCCTCGTGGTGCGGTAGTTCTACGCCGTAGACATTGGCCTCCTGGACAGCGGGATGCAACCCAACGATTTGCGCAACCTCAGCGGTCGAGACGTTCTCACTTTTCCAGCGGAACGTGTCCCCAATGCGGTCCGTGAAGTACACCCGATTCTCGTTATCCCAGCGTACCACATCACCAGTACGGAACCAAACGTCGCCCTTAGCGAACACATCCCTCATCATCTTCTTTGAAGTTGCCTCCTTGTCGCCATAGTAGCCTTGGAAGCGCGAGTCAACATCATTCGGCGGCAGCCTGAACAGCAACTCTCCCGGCTCTCCACGAGCTACCCGGCGGCAAAACCCAGTCTTGGGGTCTCGGTATGGGAGTTCTGTTTCGTGATCGACTTCAACAAGCGCGAGGCTCCTGCCAAGGAGGAGGTTGTAGAGAGCGCCGCTGCGGCCGACAGCACCCATGCTGTAATCATTCCGGCTCAGATTCCAGGTTGCAAAACTTCCTTCTGTCGCGCCATAGAACTCCGCAATCGTTTCAATGCCGAAGCGCTCCTTAAAACGGTTCCACACGTCTGGGCGTAGACCGTTTCCGAACGCAACGCGCACGTTGTGCTTCCGGTCGAGGTTCTCGCCAGTGACTGAGTCGATATGTGGCGGTGCCGACAGCAGATAGCGACATGTCTCGCCGACGTATTGAATAATGTTGGCGCCGTGTTTCCGAACATCATCCCAGAAAGAGCTAGTAGAGAACTTGCGGCTCATGGCAAATGTAGCGCCGGCTGAAAGAGCATGAGCAAAACCAAGCAGCATCGCCGTAGTATGATAGAGAGGCATCGCCTGGAGGTTCCCAAGTCAGTTTAGCAAAGTCCATTCATCTTGGATTTTCAGGCCACTGGAGCATTTGGCCAGTTGTCATGCAGCGTCCGAGCCCTGGAGGCCTGCCGGGGACTCACCGTGTAGAACACATCGCTTTTGGTAGTCCCAACCCAGCGTGAGGTGAACCCCCCAACCACCGCTATCTTTGCCCACGACACTATCGCAGCCTTAGGCAATCCTGTGGTGCCGCTGGTGTAGATGAGAACACCCATGTTGTGAGATTCATCGTTCCGGACGTCATCTGGCGGCCGGATGGGTTCGTGCGATAACATTTGTCTCTCGAGCTCCTCCGTCACAGTCTCGAAACTGACTTGGCTCAGCTCCGAGCGGACATCGTCCCCAACATTCTTGGCTATCACGGGATCGATAAGCACAAGTCGCGTCGTCGCTTTCTTAACGCAATGCGCCAGAGGTTTGCCGGTCAGGTTGTAGTTGATCAAGGCCGGGACTGCGCCAAGGGCCCAGAGCGCCATGAGTAAGAAGATGAAGGTGTCGGTATTCTGAAAGTTCAGCGCCACCATCTCCCCCTTCCGAATTCCCCGCTGTTCCTTCAGCCAGTTCGCGTAGCGGAGCACCGTGTCGTAGGCCTGGGCGTAAGTGTAGGTCCGATCCTCGAAGCGCAAGAAGACACGGTTCGCAGAGGACTTGGACCTCGCCAAATCCTCAAGGCGGTAGAAGAAGTTGAGGCGTCCGCGGTTTGTCCACCAGGCTACGTTGGCTAATGCCGGCACGATGCATCTTAGCAGGTTCAGGTCATAGGAAAGCAAGTATCTGGCATTGACATAAGCCGCTGCGGCTGTTAAAGCCGGAACCGCGACGGGAAGAGGCACTGCCAGAGACGGTTGATGTTAGTCCAAAATTCCACCGACCGTTGCCATAATCGCCCCTAGTTGCGACTGTCAGTCGGAAGCTTACACGCAGCCATCGTAATGTAGGTTTGACAAGCCTCGAGCTGAGTTGAATGTCATGGAGTCCGAAGGCAAGAAGCAGCCGTCGCGCCGACACTGTAGATATCGTCCTCAGGGAGAGCAACCGCGGCTGTGAGGATGAAGACGAGCAGAATGACAACACCGGGGCTTCTGACGTCAAATTTGCTGCCAGCAAATCTGGCTCTTATCTGGCATGTGTTCAGGGCAACCCTGTGGAAAACACCATACAACAATGGTTCTAAATAAGAAGGGGGGGATCGGCAAGATCCCGAAGCTGAACAGTGACAGAGTGCGGAGGCCGCAGTTTCGAAGGGAAAGGGCGGAACAGTTACAGCCTTCAAGTTCCCTCAGAGAGCCGGCGGACAAACCCCAAGCATCACTCTCCGTGCGGGACTGTAGTTTTTCTGACCGCGAATCCTGTCTGCTGTGATGCTGCACCCGCAATCTGCTGGGCCGCCAGGTGCAGCTGATGCAACCCGTTCATTGTGCCTCGGCTCGGTACGGACAACCATGCAACTGGAACGTCTGACGACCGGGTAGAATGCGGTGATAAAGCGAAAGATGGGGGTTTTCCCGGGTGGGTCATTTATTAGGTAGTGTATCGCTTGACATTTTTGCCGGCCGGAGTCCTTGCAGACTGCAGTCGGGTGCGTCCACCGTGCAGCGTCCCCAATTAGGTACCTCAAGTAGAGAGCTTGAGAAGGGCTATTAATCAAGGTGATCGACTCGGAAAGGAACTTTCCGCTCTTGCTTCGAGAAAACCGCTGCACCCCCAAGTAGCCGTTCGATCTCGTGACGCTGCGAGAAACGGAGTCAGCACAGGCATGTATTTTCCGGTTGAATGCGGCACGCTGGGGTTGAGGTGAACAAACCCGGCACCCCGGCCCTTGGCTTCTTATCGGGTCACTCCGTTATCTCCACGTGCGACTCCTAGGTATCGGTACTCTCGTAGATTGGCCAACCTATTACTGGAGCGTGTGAGTGCACGGTAGACTCGACTGAATGGGCAGCAAGCCCGTGTCGCCATGTCAACTCAACAACCACCTGATGATGGCACAACAGACCCTCCAAGTCTGGAGGCCGTCACAGGGCAGGTGACAGCCAACACCAGAGTATCGGTTCGAAAGCAACCCCCACCGGAGAAGCCGTCCGATGTCCGGCGTCGCAGCTACATCATCCTCTCCTTCTGGCTGATAGTGCTGTGTCTCGGCCTGCCAATATGGTGGAAGACGACCACGATCTACCGGGCCGATCTTCCTCTCCAGGAGATGCTGGAGTGGGCCGACGGCAAGGTATGCGCTTCCTCAAACCTCCATTTCTTCGAAGTCGGAAGTCGGAAGTCGAGCATGCTGACACTCTGGTTCGACAGGCATGCCGACCCGTGTTCCCCTTGCACATCTCCATCCAGGCCAATGCGCTCCAGGAACAAGAGGCGCAGACCCTGCTACGGCTCACCCAGCATGCCCTCGATGACCTAAATGACTTTTCCGGCCATCATTTGCGGCTTCAGCTAGCTCCACCAGCAGCGAACGAGAACCGCGACCGCGACACGGTGCTGACGATCCGTCTGGTTCCCGGTGAGGCGACGACGGCGACTCTCGACCCGCACGAGCCGATTCTCGACATCACATATCCGCCCAATTCCATCCCCTCGCCCACGTCATCCTCGTCGGCCCTTGCCACGTACGTCGCCAACCAGTTGCGCTCAACGTTCGCTGAGGAGCAAGCTACCATTTCCTACCTGCTCTCTGCCAACTTGATTTCCGCGGAACATCGGCCGCAGGGTCTCTCGCCGGAAGCCGCTGAGACGCTTTCGAAGCGCACGACGAGATCTCTGAAATATGCGCCGACTTACCACCTCACCTTCTCGCTGTTTACGAGCGGGCCGCTCCCGAGCAGCTGGGATATCGAAGGCGCCATAGGCGAGTACATGAAGCCAGTGCTCGACCTCCTGTCGCCGATCCACAACTTCACCATCGATACCCAGGTCCAGCTGTATGCCACGCCCGGGGTCCAGAACCAGGTCCTCAACAAGGAGGATCTGTCTTCTTTCATCAACGCCGCCGAGTGGCCGCTGTCACCCTCGATCGGAGGAGCGCCCACGGTCAATTTCATTGTGTTCGTCGGAAACCAAACGATCGCCACATCCTCACAGAACTCCGCAGAGAGCCCTGACTCTGCATCTCACTCATGGCTGATCCCACAGTGGGGCACCGTCTACTTGCTCTCGCTCCCGCCCGACACGCGGCACCTCTCCTCCGAGGCGCTGAAGCAGCCGCTCTTGACCTTCACATCGCACCTCTTGTCCCTGACAGGTACCCCGCGGTCCGGGTCCCTACCGCTCCGTCTATCAACGCTCGCCCGTATCCGCTCAGCCGACCTTCTCCTGCGGGCCTCGTCAACGCTTGGCTCTCTCGCGCGCCTGGCGCTCGCGCTGCCGTCCATCTCGATCCCGAGCAACGTGGCCGACGGCGTGTCCAAGACAATGCGGCACCTGCGCATGGCCTGCAAGACGCTCGGCAGACCCGAGGGGCTGGCGCACGCCCGCATCGCCGAAGCCGAGGCGGAGCGCGCCTTCTTCGAGAAGAGCATGGTTGGCCAGTTGTATTTCCCGGATGAGCACAAGATCGCCGTCTACCTGCCACTGCTAGGGCCGGTAGCGGTGCCGCTGATCATGGGGTTGATCAATGAGCTCAAGGCATGGAGGAAGCGCAGGCTGGAGGCGGCCGCGGTGGGGCCAGAGAAGAAGAGGGAGTAGTAGGTATCTAGTGAGGGGCTCAATAGCAGGCGTTCGGGTGCAGATAGCTCACGTTTTGGTTATAGCGAATTTAAAAGTAACAAATTCATTCAGACGTGTGGTGCTGTGCTGCTGTGCTGCTGTTGATTTAAGCCATGAACTGAACCGTTCTCTCCACCGAGACTGGTGCTGTTACGGATTGGATAGTTTGCTGTCAAGCTGTGCAGAACCATCAATAAATCTCGTCGCGGGTTTAGCTCAGTTGGGAGAGCGTCAGACTGAAGTCAAACTTCAGGAACTCAATCTGAAGGTCGTGTGTTCGATCCACACAAACCGCAAGCAGCATAACTTTTGCTCTGTAGTTCCACTACATTCAGTGTTCTTTGGCAGCATTTTTTTCGCCTTTATTTCCTTCTGCATTCCTTCCTCTCTGGATCCGTTCGTCTTTCATGGTCTCTCTTTCCCGACTCCCTTAACCGTGCCACACTCAAAACCCCCACCCCAGCCAGCTCATGATGAAGGGGAGCGCCCAGTGCTTCCTTGCCTTGGTCTTGATCCATCTGGTACAGGGCTTTCACAACATAGGTTATCACTGTTCAAGACGGCGTAACGAATGCCTTCCGCCAACAGCGTCCGTTCTTTCAGAAGCATTGCTACATGTTGTTCCCTAAAGACTCATCGCCCTTGGTCAGATCCCTGATAGAATTTCGAGGCCTACTTCATAGACCCATGCAATGCCATTTCGCAGGCAGTCCCAGCCGCGGCAAACAAAGCCCCGTTGTCATTCTGTATGCTTCACTGTGCGCCGTACCCAATGGAGGTTGGCCGGGGCTGAACAGAGATGATGCAAGCTGTAATATCCAGCAAGGGCCACGTTTGACACACAGCACAAGGCGGATACGTCGATTTAGCCCAAGTCCTTTGTTGCAATCGAAGTGTGGTCCAAAATATGGTACAGGAACCACATGAAGAGGTGTGACCCTGGGCATCCATGTCGATGAGGTCCGGAACTGGTTGAAGTTAGTGTCGTTCCACAGATGAATATAATCAGACAGCATAATCCGTTGAGCAGAGACAGTCAGAAGTAGATAAGCACGCGTTCTCAGCATCCGCAATCATGCGTTTGAGTGAGCTGGGTAATAACGTAAAAGGGTCATCATGAAGAAGAGAGAACACGACAAAGCAATGCGGACATACCGACCAGCCCCCTCATGCGGCAGTGCAAGCGTCGCGTTACGGACAATCTCGCCAAGCTTGACCAGCGTGGCAGCTGGGGTTTGCAAAAGCGTAAGGTTAGGCTCCCAGTCGGCGCCGGTCTCGACCACTGCCATGGGAAGGTCCTGAGCTTTCAGCAAGGCCCCTGGGCCATCTGGGTCGTGTCTCGTGTTCCCAAGTTTCTGTTACTTCGCGTTGAGCTTGCGGCGTCTCAGGAATTGATGAGGCGTCGGGGCGGGTTTGATGTATCGCTCAACTCTCAGAAACAGACTGCACCATGTCTGAGCGCACAGGCTTGCTCATGATGACATAGTCCGGGGTGAAGATCTTCCCATGCCGGAGTTTCCTTGGGCCGGGGGAGATGTCATCCTTTTCGAAACCTAGCCTTTTGTAGAAGGCAAGCCCGCGCTGATTCGACAAGAAGCATGTCAGCATGACTTTAGTCACCGGCGGCAGGTTTGCGCCAACGGTCGAATGGATTGCCATGAGCAAGGCACCCAGCCCGGTCCTGCAACACCAGTCAGTTGATAATGTGGCGGGCCATGGCCATGGTGCGGCTCGAGTGTCAATACCCCCGGAGTTCCGATTGGAGATGGATTTCGTAGCAGTAGATGACCGGCTGGCCCTCTTCGTAGGTCGGCATCAGTGAAGTGAAACCACGGACGAGCCCGGTGTCCTTCTCCTTGACAAGAACATAACGCAAGTCAGGAGACCTCATCTCCTTGAGCTTTTTCTCGGGATGCCATCTCCAGGATGAATTTTCGTAGTCTTTCCGGCTTGTCTCCTCGATCAAACGGAAGCAAACCGCGAAGTCGTCTTCTGAGACCCTACTGGCTTGTACCAAGCTGATGCTGTACTCGGTGCCTGTGCGTGGATGCGTCCAGGCGGACACCCAAGGGGATTTCTCAGAGCTGCTGTACCTGTTATTAGCGAGTTGGTGTGCAAAGCTGATCCCTCTCATCCTCCCCCTTTTCCGTTTCTCACAGTTGTGTTGGTTTATTCTAGCATGCGGAGTCTTCTATTCCGTAGTATGATGCTCCCCCTCTCTCATGGTAGTTCGAACTTCAAACGACGGAAAACCAACCTCGGTTGTAGGTAATCATTGATGAACTCCTCATCAGTCTTGCGGCTCGCAAGCTCGAGGGGACTTGTTGGGGCGCGTCGCCGTTTCGGCCTCATCTTCGACCAAATCCCCGGGTCAGTAGAGTTTGACGACGTGTCGCGTAACCGCGTTCGTCCGGACATGGGTCGCGTTGTGAATGCAGTCTCTTTCATCAGGTGACTTTACGTCCAGGGTCCCATGGGATGTTCAGTGTCTCAATCCCGACAGCAACTGCCGGATGTTCTCAGGGATTAATACGAAGGATGAATGCCCTTGTCATAACAGTCGATCATCTGGTGTTTTGCATCTTGAGGGGATCAAAAATGCCAAGAAGCAATGTCCCGTTGGGTTCGGTATGTATCTTTACATTACCTGTATCCGTATGTAATGGTACGTGCTTGTAGTCGTGTGGGGCTCGTCGTTGCCGGCCGGAGATTGCAATGTCGGTTTCGGTGTCAAGGAGGCCTGCCCGATTCGCGACCACCCCAATGGGCCCTGCAGAAACGGTTCAATCTGCTTTCCCTGGTCATTGTATAACGTTACTGTCCTCGTTGACCTGTAATTGATGCGCGCTCTGGCGGTCCCCGTGTGGCGGAGTGTTCGCACGTATGCGACAGGCAGGCAAGCTCGACCTGGCACAACACTGAGCTTGGAACATGTAAGTCTAAGTCCTCCCGTCTGCCGGGCAGGGCAATACTCAACGCCGCGTTACCCTTGTTGACTCGCGATACCCAGTTCATTCAGCGGGCACGGGCTCTCGCCCTCTACCGGTCGATCCTTCGAAGTACACGCCAAATCGCTGACGCCAGGACTCGCGCCGAGACACGGAGGTTTGCGCGGGACGAGTTCGAGAGGCATCGCGGGGTCACAGATATTGTCAGTTCCGCCGCCCTTCCAGGTTACCTGAACGGCATCGGTGCTAACGCCTTGAAAAGGACCACACCCGATACCTCCTGTCGACAGGCAAGACCGAATGGGAGAGCATGGAGAGGTATATTAACGGTCTGTAAAAGAAGGGCAAAATCAACTGTCCCGACCTAACCACGTTTGTACACTGTCGTCTGCGGTGCCATCCGCGCTCGTGCCTAGCTCGTAGCCCCGATTTCTTGCATGCAGCTTCTGGTTTGGCGAAGCGTTATGATGCGACATGGCTGAACAACTGGAGTTCTCCGACAAGGTTTCCAACTCCAATCCCGGCCCAGTCTATACCCCTAATGTGCTTATGTTACAGGAGCCACGCCGGTCTGGTATCAGATGTTGATGTTCCGTCCCAAGGCCGCTGCCGTTCACCCTTGACGCTGCTTATGTCTCGGGTTCGCCGGGCATATGACGTAGAGATAGCCGTTGTGCCGCTTGTTCGCTTTCCGCCGGACAACCTACAGCGAAGCCTCGGATCAGCCCATCGGCTCCGAATCTTCAAGACAGCCAAAATAGCAAGGTTGCGTCTTCATCGTACTTTGCAATGCTCGCACCGCTTCTTAATAGCGCTGCGCACCTTCATTCCCCTGGTCTGCTGCTTTTGGAATACCGCTACACCGGTCTGGACCGACGGGGAAATAGCACCCTTAAGTGCCGCCGTTGTCCTGGTAGGAGAGATGATAGTCTGCGAGAAGTACCGAGTCTGCACCCTGGGTAGGATTGTTGGCTGGGCCGAAAGGGAGAGAGCGCGCATCGACGAGGTAAGCGACTTGGTGGCCGACCGCACGGTCTGCGACAAAATCGAAGAGCCGACCATGGTTGCGGGCATTGGCTGGGAGAGCAGACTGGAATCGACCGGAGGGTGCTCTACGGGACGGGAACTGAAGATTGGCACCGTTGGAGGTCGAGGATCCGAAGGCATTGGGTTCTTGGCATGGTCACGTGCATCACAGGCTGGGTTGAGAACTGAACATGAAGTCCGGTTGATCATCGAAAGGATGACCCTAACCCTCACCTCCCCAGCTGGCAAGAGCGTCATCGATGATCGATCGCACAGCGTCGTTGACGCCCGGCAGGCAGCGCTTTAACGAAATGGACTGAGCACTCGGACTGAATCCGGGGCAGTCCGGATGGAGAGCGACAAAAAATTGGGAAGCCCAACCCGGAATATATAAGAAGCTCGCAACCAGCAAGATAACCCATCATGACGCCCCGACCACTGATCACGCTCGAAGAGCATTCCTTCTCCTCGGCTGTCCCCGACACCCTCCGAGAAAGCTACTCAGAGCAGCTCAAACATGTAGACAACGTGCTGGCCAAGTCAACCGACCTCGGCGAGCTCCGCCGGCATGACATGGACGCCGGCTCCGTCACGCTGCAAGTCATCAGTCACGCTCCCGGACTTGGCGAGCACGACGCCACAGCCTGCCGCGCAGCAAACGACCAGCTCGCTGCTGCCATCAAAGCCGAGCAGACCCGGTCCAGTAGGCAAGGACAAGCTCAAGGAACAGGTCGCTTCACCGGGTTCGCCGTGGCGCCCATGCACGACCCTGACGAAGCAGCTGCCAAACTTCGCCGGGCCGTCAGGGAGCTGGGCTTCGTGGGTGCGCTGGTGGACAACCACTGCGGCGGAACCTTCTACGACGGAGCCCGGTATGATGTCTGGTGGGCGGCTGCCGAGGAGCTTGATGTGCCCGTGTATCTGTATCCGACCTGGCCCAGTGGCGACATGCTGCCACGCTACGAGAGCAACTCTAGCCGTGCCGCCGCCGAGAGCATGGCATCGAGCGGCATGGGGTGGCATACCGAGACTGGGCTGCACGTCCTGCGGCTGTTCGCGTCCGGCTTGTTCGATAGGCATCGTGGCTCAAGATCATCATCGGACACATGGGGGAGACGATTCCGTTTATGCTGCAGAGGATCTAGGCGCTAAGTAGGCGGTGAGCCGAGTTCCAACGCGATTTTCGAACTGTCTATGATGAGAACATCTGGATCACCACGAGCGGCGGGTGGAGTCTTGATCCTCTGCGCTGCATTCTGGCCAACACCAGGCTTGATCATATCCTGTACAGCGTCGACTATCCATTCCAGACCAATGAGGCTGGACTAGCATGGATTCGGGAGCTGGAAAAGAGTGGTCTCGTTGACGAAGAGCAACTGAATGCCATTGCATACGGAAACGCCGAGAAGCTGCTTGGTGCTAGGGTTCCAACAATGGAGAAATAAACTATAGTAGGGGTAAGGGGGAAAGAGGTCACTGCTTATTGAGTATCAGCCCCTGTCGAGAGAGAAGGAGAAGAGAGCACAGTTAAAACGTTAATAATGAAGCGGGTGGGAAAAACCGAAAGGACGAAGACGGAAAAAAGAAACTCCTCCGGGAAGGCTCGAACTTCCAACCTCCTGATTAACAGTCAGACGCGCTAACCAATTGCGCCACAGAGGATTGAACATGCATTTATTTGCTATAGGATTGGTCTTAAGGACGTGTCGTAAGAGAACAGTTTTGTGACACTCGCAAGTTCTGGTCCTCACAACTGAGATCTGCTCTATCACAGGCCAGTACGAGCCCAACATCATGATGCACACTTAACCTAGTCATGTCACACTGCGTCAAGTAAGGTCCATTCGAGCCAATACTGAAGATTCATTTCATCTCTCTGACAAACCAGGTAGTAGTAGCTGTGCAAACTCGCTGTTTAGTATAAGCAGCGACCAAGTCCATCGTTTCTCATCTATCATGTCCTCGTTGCGTCCGCTGCTCATGCCTTCGCCGCAGCTCGATCCTCCTTGATCAGATCCGCCGCCCTCTCCGCCACAGCATACACCACACTCTGGATGTTTCCAACCGGCTCCAGCGGGAAGACACTGGCATCCACGACCCGCAGCCTCTTGGTGCCATAGACCCTCAACCGCTCATCCACCACACCGCCCTGGTCCCTGGGCCGCATCGCGCAGCTGCCCGAGACGTGGAAGACCGAGATCTGCCTCTGCCGTACGATCTCCTTCGCGGCATCGAGGTTATCCGCCTTGAGCTCCGGCAGGCGCTTGCCGCCCTGCTTCAGAATCCCACCGAAGGGAGTGGAGGGGTCGACGATCCGCTCCACAAACTGCACGGCACGAGCGAGAAGCTCGAAGTCGAGCGGGTTGTCGTTATACTTCGGATCCCACTGGGGCGCCGCCTTGACATCCGCGCTGGTGATGTGCACGTTGCCGCGAGAGAACGGCTGGTTGATGATGGTCATGATCGTGATGTAGTTCTCGGGGAGAGCGGGCGTGATGTAATGCGCCATGCTGGTTGGCCGCTCGGGGATGAGGACCTGGCTTGGGAAGAGGAGGTACTCGAAGGCCGCCTCCTTGGGTGACTCGATAAGGTTGCGGACGACTTGGGCTTCTGGGGTGATGAGCTTCGACTCGTGCTGCGCGAACAGCTGCTTCTTGGCCTCATCCGAGACGATGCCCGAGCCGTCGACGAGAGGTGCGTAAGCTACACTGATCAGGCTCTGGCCCATTGGCCCGTCGCCGCCCGTCGTCTGGTACATGCCGACCAGGGCCTGCACGACATTGGAATCCCGCAGCACGTCGCCCGAAGGCACGCCGTCGGCGACTTCAAAGCTCTGGACCACGATGGGGTGGTCCTGCATGTGTTCGCCCACGTTTGGGTTCTCTACGGTCACGGGGATGCCGTGCTTCTCTAGCACCTCCCGGCTGCCCACACCCGAGAGCTCGAGGATCTGGGGCGTCTGCAGCGCGCCGGCCGCGAGGATGACCTCGACGTTGGCCGAAACCTGTCGCTTCTGGCCGTCCTTGGAGATGATCTCGACGCCGGTGGCCACAGCATCCTCTCCGCCTGTCCTATCAAACAGGATCTTGTTCACAAGGGTCTCGGTCAGGACCACGAGATTCGGCCGTTTGGCAACTTCAGGGGTGTAGTACCCGCTAGCGGCGTAGCTCCTGGTGTGCGTGACCGGGTCGATGCTCGCCTGGCTCTGGAAGGCACCCAGCGCGCTGCCGTCGCGCGGGTCGCCCGACACTTCGAGCCCGAGGTCGGCAAAGGTTTGTAGCCACGTCTTATTTGTCACACTATAACCCTCGCTGAACGAGACGTGAATGGGCCCCTCGCCCTTGACTAGGGTCTCGTTGAGGTAAGTCAACCCAAGCAAGTCCCGAGCAGACTGGGGCGGCGTGTGAACGGTAGCAAACTTGCGCAAATACGGAGCCAAGGCGTCGTAGTTCCAGCTGGGATTGCCCAGAGCCGCCCAGGAATCGATGTTGCCCTTGGACGGGTAGAGCAACATCATGAAGTTGAGTGCCGAGCTGCCACCAAGCATCTTACCTCGGGCCTGGTTGATGACCCGGTTGTTCAAGGTCGCCTATGCTACGTGTGAGCCACCAGCGTGCAGCCAGTGATGGTTCCCAGAGGGAAACTGACCTGTGGCGTCGATTGGAAGTTCCAGTCGTATTCCTCCTTGCCATACAAGCCCGCGACCAGGCCGGGGGTCAGGACGAAGGGGTCGGCGGTGCGGTCGCCGCCCGCTTCGACGACGAGCACACGAACATTGCTGTCCTCCGAGAGGCGGTTGGCGACGACCAAGCCCGCCGTGCCGCCGCCGACGACAATGTAGTCGAACGGCTCGTCAAGGGCATTAGCAGGAGCCATGCTGCCGGCGGTCGAAACGGAACACAAGAGCAGTACAACAGGGTCAGGTAACAACTGCCGATCAACAACCGTACGAACTGGCTGGTCGGTTTGGGGGTGTGTGGCTTGAGAGGAAAAGGCAACAGTCCAACCAGGGCTCGTTTCACACGGTAAGAGGAAATTTGTGTTATTCTTGCGAGACAGCAGGGCCTTCCATATTTATTTTGCACCTTCCCTGCATGTTGATATCTGCTGGCAATGAGAGATGCCCCCCTCAGGGCCTCAACCCCTTTCCGTTGGCGGTGAGATACTCCGAGAAGGGTTAGGTTAGACGTGCGGCGTCTGCTTGTGGTGCCATCACTCCACCCAACAGCACTGTCCATACCGTGACCGAGCAATAATAAGAACTCCAGCTCCAGGGACCGGGTGCATTGTGGCGATCAAGCGCGAACCACATCCACTTGGCGACCGGCACTTGTAGGCGTTTGTGTATGTCTTCGCCAAGATAAGCTCGATTTAAGAATAAGAGCATCAGCAGAACTGTGTCAAAGCCCCTTAAATTACAGATCTTCAAGTTGATTGGGCTTTGTTGTAGTGCTGCGTTCCAGGGGAAAGGGAAGAAAGATAAAAAGTCGGGGAGTAGAGAGTGCCGGGAACACCGACGTTCGAGCTGGCAAGAAGCGCGGGGTGTGGTGGGGCAATCTCAGGCACGAGATCCAGAACACAAGCGGCCCGAGTCAACGATTGTCTGGCCAATAATCAATGGTCCGGTTAGTGCGTGCCTTTTGGTGAGACCGTGAGACAACAAGTGACAAAGGCAGGTGCTACCAGAGGTAGAGACTGGTCCGGAAGCATTTTCATACCCACACAGCGAGTCACAACTTCCGAGGAAACAAACATGTCAGGCAGTTGCAAGTTTGCTGCTATCGACCAAATTACACTTTTATCGAAACAAAGGACCCACACCCTGGATGTGGGCCAGGGGTCACCGCCATGTCGGTGCCATGTTCAAGCTTGGTGATTTCCCCCGGCTCGAGTGTCACGGGCTAACGGTTCATCAACCCTTGCTAGTCCCGACCCGCGCAGAAATCCTACCCCACAATGCCAGGCCCACAAACGGCTGCATAATGGGACTCGCTCCGCTCGGCCGTACAGCTTGGCCGACCATTGGGAAGAAACCGTTGCAAATGCAGTCATCCGAAAATGAAAATCTCACCTGCTCACTCTGCTGTGTATGTAGTGCGGTGTGCAGTGTGCAGTGTGCAGTGTGCAGAGTGCAGAGTGCAGTGTGCAGTGTGCAGATATGGATCTCTACAATGCGCAAAATACTTTTCGGATGCCCTCCTCACAGTCTTGCCGATAGACGCCAGGAACAAGAAAGCACAAAGCTAGAGTACCTTACCTGGGTAGGTACCCAGTCGAGCCAGCCAGGTACCAACTGTGTGCAGTGTAGCACTCGGACTGGGGGGGTTGTTATCGTTTCCAAAGATTGCTTCTGGTGGTCCGAAGACAAGTTTGCCCCCAAGTTTGTCTCGACTTGCTTGCTTTTTCCTCTGACCTTGGTGGTTAATGGTGCCAATTGCACCCGCCGTCAAGCTCGATTTTCTCACCTCTAGCCTGACTTATACATACGCCACACCCATTGTTTGCACATTAGCGGTATGCTAGTGTGTTCTATTCCCGAGGGTCGCCCGGAGCCCGAGCAAGCTCACAACCGCCTCAACAGTGCGGTGGAACCTACTGGAGCGCAGGTTTGGAGGGCCTTACGTATTCGCAGGTGCCCTCTGGGCCGGGCTGATCCCGGTATCAGGGGGGCACTGGGTTTCCGGCACTCGTCCCCCTTGGTTAAACGGCTTTTCTGCAAGCGATCTTGTGATGATCTCCGGTTTTGCTTTCTTGTTCTGTCGTTTCCAGCCTGGCGGGTCTTCTTCTCTCTTATTACCCGGGGTCGTCACTGCTATACTCCGGAGGACGAAGGGCATTTCCCACATATTTGCGTATACCAATACCATGGCAGCACAGCGGCACAGCTTCCTTTGCCCAACCAGCCCCTGAACCTCATCAGCGCAACATCACAGCCGGGTCGCAAGCAGGGCTCACGCCCAGCATCACCGCTGTGGCATAACTCTGCCGATGAACATGTTGCAACTTGCAACGCCCTACCTGCCCACATCCCGTGCCCTTGTCGCCGCTCTTATAATTGCCGTCTCCGTATTCCACTGCCGCCACCGCGTATAGGTACGACCCTATCCGTACATAGTCTCGACTCCCTGCCGACTCGCCAGATCCTTCGTCTCCGTGCTGCCCATCTTCCCTTTCCGGCCGTATGAGCAACAGCGGCTGGACCCGATTGGCACGGCCCCCAAGCAGCAACACAGGCGTGGCATCATGTTCGACTACGTCGAGTTTCCGGTACTGCCCGTCGTACGGACGCACCTCATCATCAACAGCGTCCTGGCCGGCTTGACCGTGCTGGTTGTGGCTCTGCGGCTCGTGGCTCGGTTCATGTCCGGCGCCGGACTCTGGTGGGATGACTACCTCATTCTGTTCGCTCTGCCTCAGGGGCTCGGCATGCTGATTATCCAAGGGCTGTGTGAGTGTGGTTGTCCTCGTCCGGCTGCCAGAGCAACAGCTAACGTCTGGGTCAAGGGTCGCCAATGGGCATCGGCTTTCCCGTGACCGAGACAATGCCTAACCTGTTCACCATCCTCAAGTTCCTCGTCGCCTATGAGCTCATCTACTCGACGGCGATCAGCACCATCAAGTTCAGTGTATTGGTGTTCTACCTGCGCGTCTTTGTGAACGACAGGATGCGCCTGTACACCAAGCTCGCGCTGGGCTTCGTGGGAACCTGGAGCGTCGGCAACCTCCTCCAGGTCTTCCTGATCTGCCGCCCCTTCCGGAGAACCTACGATCCGACAGTTGACGGCACCTGCGGCAATCAGATAGCCTCCTTCATTGCCATTGGCGCTTTCAACATCATCAGCGACGTTATGATCCTGACTCTTCCTCTTCCAACCGTCTGGTCGCTCAAGATGGCGACTCCGGCCAAACTCGGTCTGACGGGCGTCTTCCTGATCGGTCTTCTGTAAGTACCGGCGCAGAAGGCACTCGCCCTTACGGTTTCGAAACTAATCCCCTCCACAGTGTCAGCGTCATCGCGATCATCCGGATCGTCACACTGACGCAGCTCGACCTGACAAACCTCACGGGGACCATGGTCTGGGCCGACTTCTGGTCCGCCACGGAGCCGAACCTGGGCATCTTGTGTGTCAGCTTGCCCATGCTGGGTACGCTCTGGTCACGGTGTGTCGCATCTACTCGCCGAGGCGCCTCCAAGCTGGGCTATCACTCATCCGAAAATGGTACCCACGGCAGTGCCTTCAGCAAGCTCAGGAACCCAAGCAACGTCGACACTCAGATCCCGCTCGAGGGCATCTACGCCGCCAACCAGGAGGTTCACTACCAGTCGGCTGTCGCCGCCGCTACGACGCCGGAGCTGGACCGGGGCCATACGCATGGCGACAGGGACAGGGACAGCGGCTCGGAGGTGGCGCTGACGGATCAAGAACAACACTACAAGCAAGATGCGAATGGCATCAGGGTGCAAACGAAGTGGACTATCTCGCACAACTGAGCAGGTACCCTCGGTGCGCGAGCATGCGGAGCCAGACATCGGCGTTTTTTCCCTTGCGTTTTCTACTTCTGCGTTTAATACAGGCCATGGTATGGGAGGTCAATTCAACTCGGAGAAGAGGCTTCAATGGCAGCAAAGCTGCTCGGGGGATATACCATAACTGCACTTGAGACGAGGCCGGATTCCCACAAAAAGGCTCACGATATACACGGGGATACCCTTAGATTTTCTACTACAGTGTGCTCGGTTGGCGATGGGTCATCAATCCAATCCAGCGGCTATGTCTGCATCCTTCCATTCTACGCGATCGCACCTAACCTTGGCCGCCGGCGGTTGAGCAGGCCTTGACCCGATTGTGCTACCTACCTTACCTACACTACTGTGTATGTATCTTGCCCCCGCCCACGCCCCTGGAACCTCGATTCCGGCAAATCGTGCATGTACACTACGGAACATTGCGATTCGCTTGTGCCACACCCCAAAAAATGGCGCACAATGCATGCGAGACCGAGAAGGATTGCAAGGCGAATTAAGCGAGACATCCCCGGGTGTAACGTTAGCTCAGCTTAGCGCCGACTAGGATAGGGGGCCGTGCTCCGTGGCAGCGTGGTTCGAGCGTGGCTCGATGCGGCTATGCTTTCCATTATTAATGTTACCTAAGTTAGGTACTTGTACCTGTGAATATAGTAATTGGCATTTGGGCAGGTCCAACCGAAGCTGGTACAGCAGGAGAAGAGTACCTCCGGACACTTATAAACTGACAAAGTCTGGACTTGTCTGGGAGACATATTTGAAAACGCAAATCTGTTATACATATATATAACGTACATGATAAGCGAGTGACCCAGACAAGCGAATGACCCACTTCCTACACGACGCGACATCTTTGCACTCAACAAAATTTCCTCTACCATCCAAAATGCCCTCTACTTCAAAAGAAGGCCAGATAATCTTGGCTCTCCAAGCTCTTCAAAACGACAAGAATCTAAGCGAACGAGCCGCAGCTAAGATCTATGGGGTTGACCGTAGGACCCTGGGGCGCCGACGCGCCGGCAAGCCTGCACGATACGATCTTCCAGCCAACTCGCGCAAGCTCACAGATCTAGAAGAGAAGGCGATAGTTCAATATGTCAATGAGCTATCTGCACGTGCATTCCCGCCCAGGTTGTGTGGTGTGGAAGATATGGCCAACCAACTACTGCGCGAACGCGACGCGCCCCCTGTTGGCAAACGCTGGGCTTATAACTTCGTCAAACGCCGGCCAGAGCTCCGTACGCGATATACACGTAGATACGACTACCAGAGGGCTAGATGCGAAGATCCAGACGTTATTCGCGAGTGGTTTAGGCTTGTGCAGAACACTAAGGCCAAGTATGGTATTGTGGATGACGATGTCTATAACTTTGACGAGACCGGGTTTATGATGGGCATTATCTTTACGGGTATGGTTGTTACGACCTCAGATGGCCGGAGCAAGGCTAAGCTGGCCTAGCCTGGCAATCGCGAGTGGGCAATAGTGATCCAGGGAGTCAATGCTCTCGGCTGGGCTATCCCTCCGTTCATCATCTTGGCCGTGCAATACCACCTCGTCAACTGGTACACCGAGTGCAACCTCCCGGCCGACTGGCGTATCGCAACCACCGAGAACGGCTGGACTACCAACGTAGTAGGCCTTGATTGGATCAAGCACTTCGACTACCATACAGCGCCTCGGACAAAGGGCAAATACCGGTTGTTGATCCTCGATGGCCACGAAAGCCACCACTCGACCGAGTTCGAGCTCTACTGCCAGCAGAACAACATTATCACGCTCTGCATGCCTCTACATTCCTCCTACCTCCTCCAGCCACTTGATGTTGGCTGCTTTGGGCCGTTGAAGCAGGCGTACGGTCGCCAGATCGAGGACTTCGTGCGCGCGTATATCAACCATATAAGCAAGCTCGAGTTTCTTTATGCCTTTCGCACGGCCTTCTTTGCCTCTATCACCAAGAGGAATATACAGGGCGGTTTTGCAGGGGCTGGCCTTGTGCCATACGATCCAGAGAGGGTGCTTTCGAAGCTAGATATTAAGCTTCGTACACCAACACCCCCAACCTCACGGCCGGGCACTGCACAATCTTGGGTCTTCCAGACACCATACAACCCTCGAGAAGCCGAGTCACAGTCAACGCTTATCAAGACTCGCATTGCCAACCATCAAAATAGCTCCCTGACTTCAATGTTGGCTGCTGTGGACCAGCTTACCAAGGGTACGATGGCTATAATGCACCAGGTGGCCCTCCTTCAGGCAGAGGTGTCTTCGCTCCGCAAGGCTAACGAGGCGCTAAGCAAGCGCCGGAGAGCCAAAAAAAACACGTGTGCGGCTTGGAGGATCACTTACTGTGCAGGAGGCACAGGAGGTGGTAAGCCAGGGGGCTATAGGTGGGGAGGCAATGCAAGAAACACAGCTGGATGGTAGTGGTGCTGGTGGGGGTCGTACGAAGGTTCGGTGCTGTGGTGTATGCGGCAAGCCTGGTCATAATGCCCGCACTTGCCAGGAGGTTGCAGAAGTATCTGATTCACCCGTTTCTGATGTAATTGTAGTTGGTTGATAGTTTTGTTGTTTTGTAATTGAGGATAATGTTTGTAGGGTAGTGGAGAGTGGGTCATTCGCTTGTCTGGGTCACTCGCTTATCATGTACGTTATAGTTTTATATATAACTATATATATATTTACATATATTTTCGCAAGAGTCACTGAAACCGAGGATAGATCTCTCAAGGAAGTTCATATGATACCTATCACGTAGCACTTCCTTCAGCGACATCTGATGATCTACTTCACAAGCCGTTGAGTCAGATACGCCAGCTTCCCTGCAACTTTATCAACTTCATCCAGTCCTCATAGGCTCATCTTCATTCTGTGGCCCCGTGTCCATCGTTCCCGAACCCGAAGACACTGAATCCGCCAGGCACATTCTGTCGAGGCCGCGGGGCATCAGGCGGAAAGGATTCGAGTCCAACCCGCCTCAGTCAGACAGCGACTGGTAGAAAGACACCGCAGACCTCGCCTTTTCAGATCCCGGGACCACAAAGCCCTGATATTGAAATTCGACGGTGCCGGTAATGTTAGTGCTGGCAGTGCGGCCCAACGCGCCGATCGCCTGGCTGGTTTGGGCAGGGCAATGGGGCCGTTGCCGCGGACGGAGGTGGACTTAAGCGGCGCTTTGAGGAGGGCGTTCATTGTGTCTGGCAGCAACATTGCTGTCGTTGGGTATTGGGAAGAAGTCACGACGTCGGTCTTAGGCAGGACTTGAGGAGTTTCAGTTTGCTGCTCTTACGGGTTTTGTGTGCACATCGAAGACAACTTTTGAGCCCACCTAACTCTCGTCGAGTCCAGTAAGGTACTAGTAGGAACCTTCCCGCGAAAGTGCAAGCCTTGTGTTGTTGGATTTGTGTTAATGAGTCAGGAATCCCTTATTATAAACTTGTCGATCATCTGAACGAAAGGGAACAGCAATTACACGAGTTGGCACTGCTAAAAGCACCGCGAGAAACAATGATTAGGTGTCTGCTGTCCTCCGGATGTTATAGAGCTAATAGACAGCTTACATGGTATCTACCAGGTTTTGAGCGATGCGAGCAGAGCAGCACCGGTTAGTTCATTACGAGATATCACATGTGTAGCCTCTAAGGCCTGTTCGTTATTCATATCTTCGTTGTCGCCGTTGCCTGCGCCTTCTGCTGCCTGATGGCGGTACTGCTGATCTTGGAGGTAAAGTTCTCCGTCTTGGTGGCCTCGTCCGAGATCTCCTCAGAATCAAGCACATCAACCTCGAAAACGTCGAGTGTCCGCCATCCGCGTTCGGCCCGCTTCTCGTTGACTGCCTCGCCCCCTGACCTTGTCTCGCCAGAGACAACCAGCGCCCCGATTGCTTCGACAGTTATGGTTGGCCCGAAGGCGTCTTGGATCCGTACGCACTCAACTCGGACCGTACCGTCGCGGAAGGTTGCTCTGAAATCGCCAGCTTTCTCCTCAATCTGCGGCTGGGCGCCGTCCTTCCAACCTCGGTTTGAGAGCTCAAGAAGTTGCGCCAAGAAGGTTATGACATTTCTTGCCCGTTCCTCCCACGGCTGGACGTACTCGGCAAACATTTTGTTCCGCAACATCTCGTCGCCGGTGATCCCGATGATGTATTGGCATGGCGGAGCAGGATCACCTCTCCGAGGAACTTGGAGCAAGAGAGCACCGGCTGTGAGTAGAAGCTTGTGTCCTGGGTGTAGATAATCAAATGTTCCGCCTAGGCAGACTACCGGGTAGGTGGAAGTCTGCGCCGGCGTTGCCGAGGGGTCGCCCTTGACATTCATGGTTAAGCCACCCTCCACCGGGATGAGCTGATCTTGCCGGAGCGTTTGTTTTCCCTCGGCAAACTTGAGATACATCTGGTACACCTGGAGTCCGAGCTCGCTCCTAACTTGAAAGACGCAGTTCCAGGGAAAGTAGGCAGAAGCAAATGTGGCCAAATCCACGACGACGGTGTTGTTGGGCTCAATGGCCGGGCGGAAGTCGTCTGTATAACGCTTGTTGCGTTCATGGTCGATGAGAATGACTGTTGTGTCAACAGAGCCGGGCCCGCCACTCATCTCGGTGCCGATCGACAGCTGAGCGCACACGACCGAGATGATGCCGTAGAGGCCTGCCACCAGAGCCTGGGCTTCAGGCCATGAGAGTGTTTTGGAACGGAGATATTGGCCATGTAAAACCGGGCAAGCCACCGCAACGACGAGTTTGGCCGCACCCGTCGGACGCTTCACCCGCTCAAGGGCAGCCGTCAGCGATGGCTGGTAGGCGGCACTGAGTGAAGCGCGGGTCAGAGGATCAGGAGGGAAGGGGAGCAAGAGAAGAGATGGCAAGTCATTCTGCTTCATGTTGCCGTGGAATGTTGATGAAAATCAAAGAATCCTTGAGCGCGTCTACCCGATAAGGAGGGAGATGTTGGGTCGGGTCGGGACCGTCGGGGAATTGGGGATGAATATATGAAATGATGCCCAGTGCTCTTCGACGATCAATGCAGAGACTTGATTCGCAGATGAAATGGAGCGCACGCATAACCTAGATCCGTTATTCTGCGCGCTTCAGATCGTGATGAGCCATGTTCCGTGAAGAGTTAGAGATCTACTAACCATGTGAACCATGTGATGCGTCCGTCAAGTCGTCGGGTTGGGGTTGGGTACAACGGAGAAGGTGGGGCGAGAATACCTACCTTTCTACTCTAGAGAGACGATCGCGGGAGTTGGAAATCGTAGCACGATACCCTAATAATCAGTTGGGGTAGCCCGCCGGATATAGTGTTCTCATCCAACAAACCTTCCCGCCTAGCGGCAATGGGCTAAAAGTAATCAGGTGTATATTCCTTAGTCCCTTCTTGCAGTGGCGCGGTGCTGTGTTCAAGGACTGCTATCTATGATACATCGTTATTAACTGTGTCTATGCTCGACCAGTGATCGAATTCGGTTTGCCAACTGAGTGCGGACCGTGACCGGCTGTCAGGTGCGAATTGTCTAACCGTTGGGCAGTGCACTCCTATAAAATGCGAACACAACTTGGAAGGCAGCCAATCCTGCGCCATCGTTTCATCCCCGCAGCCACAAGCACCTTCGCCCAGCTCTTGCCGCTGTCATTGCTGCCCAGACAGACTCCCCCACACCACTTCACGCAAAAGCCGACTTGCTGCTCCTGGGCTTTTTGCGCCCATCAGCCTGCCAACCTGCGGCTGGAACCGGCGATTGCTTCTTCGCACCGCCGCGCCGGTTATTCAAGACGGGCAACGGGCGCCGTCGACGCGCATCCGCCCCGGAACCGCACGACCTCCTTCCCCCATCCCCTGTCGCAGTCCTACCCAAATCCAGATCCCGGATGCCCTTCCACTTCGCCTCTCCCGCCAGACGCGCAGATCAACCCCGATGAATCAACCACAACAACAATACCAGCCGCCGCGGCGGACAGGGATGTTCTCCTCGCAGCATGACGAGCTGCACATGCCGGCGAGCATGACCCACCACAGCCAACAGATGTCGCCCCGCGACTACTCGAGCGTCGGCGCCCCGCACATCAAGCTCGAGCAGGTGTCTCCCAATGTGCCATCTTTGCCCAGCTACCAGTCTGGCGGGAACGTGCCCAATGTGCTGCAACCGGGCGGAATGAGTGCCCGACCGCCCGCAGTTTCGTCCAACACAGCGCCAACGCTGCCAGGGATGCAACAGCAGCAGCCCGAATACCATTCGAATCAACATCAGGGATCAAGCAAGCCGAATTCGCTTAGTATATCCCACAACTACTCGCGTTCGAGCCCATCCACTCCCTACGAGGGTGGCGGATCGAGTTATGTACCGTATACGCCGACGACGCCTGGCGGCACGGGCAACTCGTCTCCCTTCACGTCTCCCACGGACATGAAGTACAATCCGTCGAGCACGCAACGGAACATATCCAATACACCCCTGGGGCTCGCCGATATCCGGCCGCGTGCCGACTCGAGTCTTTCGGATGGGTTGCCCGGGACGCCTGGCTACGAGGTGGCAGACATTCGGCCACGAACCAGTAACTACATGGCCCCTTGGGCACTGTATGCCTTTGACTGGTGCAAATGGGCGCCTCAGGGCAACAGTGCCGGCAAGCTTGCGATCGGCAGCTACTTGGAAGATGGGCACAACTATGTGAGTACCCCGGTGCTGCCTCCGGCTTAGGGTGAGCATACTGACAGAGGAATGCTCCCTAGATACAAATCCTCGATGCCCAGCTCTCCACGACACCGTCAGAGGTCTACGTGCCTGGCGGGTCCAAGTGGTCTATGGACTTTACAAGGATCGCAGAAGCTACCCATGCGTATCCGGTGACACGCTTGCTGTGGGAGCCACCGTCGTCACAAAAGCAGTCCACAGACCTGCTCGCCACCTCTGGCGACCATCTCCGGCTCTGGTCGCTTCCGTCTGATACCCATCCGGCCACCCCCGGGTCGTCGTCCATAACATCAAGAAACGGCCAAAACATACCCATAACGAAACTCACACCACTAGCGCTCTTGTCCAATTCCAAGACGCCAGACCACACCGCGCCACTGACCTCCCTGGATTGGAACACGGTCAACCCGAGTTTGATCATAACTTCCAGTATAGACACGACGTGTACCATTTGGGATATTCCGTCCCTGACCGCGAAGACCCAGCTGATTGCCCATGACAAGGAGGTGTACGACGTGCGGTTCTGCGCACAAAGCGTCGATGTGTTTGTGAGCTGCGGGCAGGACGGCAGCGTCCGTATGTTTGACCTCCGCAGCTTGGAACACAGCACCATCATATACGAGCCTACGGGTAAAGAAGAGCGAGGTATTTCCGTCCCCGACAACACAGCCTTACCGTGAATGCGTTCTCTAACCATATAAATCAGACTCCAACGGCGGCCGCATGAGCCCGACCCTCGCTCAGCAAACTCTAACCCATCCGCCGCCCCTTCTCCGACTGGCAACCTCGCCGCATGACCACCACCTCCTCGCCACGTTCGCCCAGGATTCGAACGTAATCAGGATCCTTGACGTCCGCCAGCCCGGCCAGGCCCTCTTGGAACTGCGTGGCCACGGCGGCGCCGTTAACTGCGTCGAGTGGTCGCCCCTGCGGCGAGGCACGCTCGCGTCGGGCGCCGACGACTGCCAGGTCCTGATTTGGGATCTGATCAACAATAACCAGGCGCCCAATGGTGCGCCGGCGGGTGACAACGCCAGAAGTCCGGTGGCGAGCTGGCAGTGCGAGTACGAGGTGGGGAACCTAGGGTGGGTCCCACATCTGGCGAGTACTGACTACGGCGAGTGGTTGGGTGTGAGCGCCGGACGCGGGGTTTGGGGAGTTAGGCTGTGATTGGAGGAGAGTGCATATGAGTGACGACCGTGACGAGATACAGGGACGAAGGTCCGGAATGGACAGTGATGGATGAGATGTGCTACATGCGTCGCGGCAACGATGGCAGGAGCGGCAGGAGAAAGGGGCAGGCGAGCAGGCATGACACCTACGTACCGTAGATAAGCCCGGTGTCTGGGAGATGTTATACATCTGTGGGGAGCTTGTTACATTTGCAGTTGGCTGTGGTTGCTCGGTTATATTTTCTGACATGCATTACTCCAACTGTGTTCATGGGGCGGTAACGCAGGAAGAAGTTGGATGCTTATACCCGTGTAGGTAAATACCTTGAAAATGGGAAAGGGTGTAATATCCGGCCCAATATTCCCTCCTACCTACCTAAGCCGGCAGTTGATGCAGCAGTATGGCCCGTAGGCTTCCGCGAAGACCGAGACAGCCCTTAGACTAGGGCAGGAGATGTCCTCCACCCATGCATTCAAAGTCTGTGTGGTATCGCACACAGGTCTTCAAGGCCGCGATGGTCCACAGCAGCCATACGTTGACATCCCTCGGGAAAGTATAATCCACCCAATGGGAGAGCATGCCGTTGTTATGCTTGGCCGCATCATTTCTCGTTGTGATTTGTATCTAGACATCACGTCCCATACATCCACAACTTAGAGCTTCTGCATGGCAGCGACATCGGTAGACTGGACGTATTCTTCAAACTCCTGGATCTCCTCGCTGAGTTCGTCGATCGAGATCTTCTCGTCCTCAACAACCAAGTTGATCTGCAGCTTCTTGATACCGAAGCCGACAGGGACGAGCTTGGAAGCACCCCAGACCAGACCGTCCTTCTCGATGCCGCGGACAGCGGCCTCCAGCCCAACCATGTCGGTTTCGTCGTCTGCGTAGGGGGAAAGACCATGTTAGCTCCCGCATTGCTCCGAGATAACGGAGAAAAGAAGATTGATAAAACCAAGAAAAAAGAAAAACACGGAAGTACATACCCCAAGGCTTGATATCGAGCGTGACGACCGACTTGGCAATGGTCTTGGGCTTGGCCTCCTTCTTCTTGCGGTAGGCGGCCAGGCGCTCCTCGCGGACGCGGACAGCCTCGGCATCCTCCTCCTCGTCGCTGCCGAAGAGATCGACATCCTCATCGTCCTCCTCCTCGGCCTTCTCGGGCGCTTTGGCCGGGTTGATGGTCACCTCGGCGACATCGGGCCCGTAGACAGTGTAGGGCTTGCTGGCATCGCCGGGCAGGGTGGCAAACTCGTCCTCGTACGAGGCGATGTGCTTGTACCAGCGAGCCGCGTTGGGGTACTTGGCGGCGTCCGGGGCGGAGCTCAGGGCCTTGAAGACGACGACATCAGCCTGCGAGGCCGAGTAGCTATGTGAAGGGTAGCAAGCGTCAGCTCAGATGGGCCGATTCAAACGATTCCTGGAAACAATGCAAACGACAGCCTGCCGGGAGGTGTGGTTCAGAGGTGCACATAGTGCTGGGTGTGTAATCATTTGCGGGTCTTGAGGCCGCTCAGCAACACGGACCATGGGGATCATCATGGAAAGGCAACGGAAAAGGTGTCGCAAGACTGTTGAGGAAGTGCATACCCAGTGATGTAGGAGCGGGTGAGGAGCCAGTTGTTGAGCACTGTCCAACCGTTAGCAGACATTGCGACGAATGCATCTTCCGGGGAGACCTACCGGCAAGGCCGGCATCGGTGAGGAGATCGGTGAAGCCCATTTTGAGATATTTGGTCCTGAGGTCTGAAGAAGTGTGAGGTTGAACTTGTTTGGCAGTGAATAGCTGGCTCGGGGATGGCGGGGTAAGAAAAGATTTTGGTGTTTAATACTGAGCGATTGCCCCGCATCAGTTCGTGCCTAAGGCAATGCCAGTGGCTTTTTCAAGGGGTCGCCCGATGCCCCACATGTTTCACGCCCATAGCCTTCCCTCGACCTTAGCTTACCTAGTATTTACATAAGGTATGTTGAGGAAAGGCCATATCCCCTCCAGGACCGATGCTGCAAGAAGTCTTATCGGTCGGACCGAGTGAATCGCATCCGCATCTCTCACTGCAGTACTTGCCTCTTGCCAGACCAACAGACCAACAGAGAACCTATTCCTCACAGGTAACTTAGTAATGGCTCCTTGCCAGTAAACTGCCCACGTGCGAACCTGTCAACTCAGATCACCTGTGACATAACTGAGCAAATCTGGGACCAGACATGGAAGTTCAGTGGCTTCCTCCTTCCCCCCTAACCCTCCGCCCCCGATGTGAGTTTGGATGAACAACAACTTGAAGTCACTCCAACTCATCACCCTGGCCCTGATCCCCAGCGCTCAAGTCGGGGATCCAGCCGTTCGGGCGCTCAGTTCCACGAACGATCCGATCATAGCCAAGCTTCTCAACTTTCTGAACCGACTGGCGGGTGACCTGGAGCTTCTTGTACCACTGGAACCGGCCTTCAGGTCCAACAGGCAGCATCTCAAAGAAGGTTCCAAGTTCGTGCATGTCTTGGACGATAGTGCGAGACTCATCATCCTCGCTCCCGGCCCCCTGACCGCTGGCCATGCTACCGCTGAGCGCGGTGGACGTGGTGGCGAAGCGCATCATCTCACCCGTGAGATCAAAGACGCCATAGAGGTAGTCATCGTCGGTGAGGGAAATGATGGGTACTTCCTCTGTAGTGGGTGCCTCTGCTGCCTCCGCGACGCTTTCCGCCGTGTCACCGGCATCACCCATGACCTCGTCCTCCTGGGGGACTGCTCCTTTCCGGCTCAGGTCCTCGACGATCGGACAGAGTTCTGCGTGGCTGATGAGGGTCTGGGTCTTCAGGTAGTGCCCAAAGGTGAGAGCCTCGACGAGCTCCTCGAGACACATTAGATTTCGCGAATAGCGGTAGCGGTTGATGCCCTGTATCTCGGGTGCGAGAGTAGCAAGCAGCTTCGAGATCTCGGCCAGTCGAGAGTCGACCTCCGCCTGGATGTTGGCCGGGAGCTGACTCTCAATTTTTCGTACGCTGACCCAATGGTGAGCCATGAGCGCTTGTGTCATGAGAACAGGGGGTTCATACCGTTGCAATGAGAAGATGCTGAGGACCGTTAGCCTCAGCCCTAGAGCAGCGCTCCCAGATTGCCATGTATTCTCACATCTTCTTACTCAGGGCCGTAATATCCCGCGACGCCTTGACGATGCGTTCTCTGCGATCGTGATGCTCGTCAAGCTCGTTGCGCAGCTGTTCAAATATGGGCGTGTACGCATTTCTCACAACCTGTTTTGGGGCTGGTTTCGGGCCATCTCGCCGCTTTGCATTTCCATTCCAATCGCGCTTGGATCCAGACATGTTGCAATGGCCACGCGTGGTGGTTGGATACTTTGTGTGCTGCTTGCTTATTTGGTTGTCTCTTTCGACGTCAGTGGATGGGATTGACAGACAGGGGGGTGCAGTGGACACTGGACACCCCGGTGTGCAAGAGCCGACCCCAGAAAATGTTAGGGGGCTTCCGCGCCCTGATGAGCAGGGGTCCAACTTCATCTCAGCAACTGACAAGCTCAAAGAAGGGGAAGTTGCTCGACACGCGTTAGATCGGAGGAGTATAGGCCCTTTCGTGAATTTACCCAGTAGAGGAGAAAGCTTAGACGCTGGACACTGCATGGTACAACTGGAGAAACAGATGAAGTCGTGAATCAAAGAGCGAGGTTGGATTGCTCCACTGGGTACCTTAGTGACGGACATCCGAGGACGAAGGGGGTTTATTTCAGCCGACTTTGGAGTGGCGCCGGTCTCTCGGAGAGTCATGGGCAGCCATTCGGAGCCATCCGGGAGGGCGCCATCCTCAGCAACATCCCTCTTCTCTTCCTTCTTCAGCCGGCCTATCCCGCTCTACCTCTCGGCAGCGCTTCTCCGTCTGGTCTTACTCCTCTACGGTCTCTGGCAGGACGCAAACTCACCTGTCAAATACACCGACATCGACTACCTCGTCTTTACTGATGCCGCACGCTTCGTGTCCCACGGTCAGGGTCCCTATGAGCGGGAAACATATCGCTACACGCCGATACTGGCCTGGCTGTTGCTGCCAACAGCACACAAGACAGGTCATGCGCTGTTGGATGCCGCCTTGTTTAGCTCGGGCAAAGTTCTGTTCGCAGCTGCCGACTTGGTGGCCGGACGACTGATAGAGCGCATTCTGGTCAAGTCGATGGATGCTGCAGCGGCGAGGGAGTTTGCGGCTATCTGGTTGCTGAATCCAATGGTGGCCACCATCAGCACGAGGGGTAGTTCAGAGGGCCTTCTGGGAGTGTTGGTTATGGCGCTTCTGTCGGCGGTGATGGCCAGGCGGATCACGCTCGCGGGCTTGTTGCTGGGCTTCGCCGTCCACTTCAAGATCTATCCTTTTATCTACGCGCCAGCAATCGTGTGGTGGATGGACAGGGAGAATATGGGCAACGGACGGCCCGAGGCGAAGAAACCCTCAGCAGCCGTGCCATTGCTGAGCAAGCTAACGTCCTTCATCACCCCGGCCAGGCTACAGCTCGCTGCCATCAGCCTAGCCACCTTCCTCGCCCTAAACATGGCCATGTTCACCATGTAAGTCCTCCCCGAGTTCGACCCTCTCCCAACGAAATAACAAACGTCCTAAACAACGAACCCCCCCATTGCTCTAGCTACGGCCCGCCCTTCCTCCAGCATACCTACCTGCATCACGTAACCCGCATCGACCATCGCCACAACTTCAGCCCCTACAACACACAGCTCTACCTCGCCTCGGCCTTCCCTGCCACCCTTTTCTCGTCCTTATCGCGAATCGAGTCGGTGGCCTTCTTGCCGCAACTCGCCCTCTCGTGCGTGCTCATCCCTCTCGTCCTCGCCAAGAAGGACCTGCCCGCCGCCATGCTCGCCCAGACGTTTGCGTTCGTGACCTTCAATAAGGTCTGCACCAGCCAGGTATGGTGATGCTTAATACCTCTTTACCCATATTTTCCTCTTTCTGGGGAAAGCGAGAGTTTAGAAACTAACTGATTCCGCGGGGGACCACTAGTACTTCCTCTGGTACATGGTCTTACTCCCACTGTATCTTCCGCGCTCCTCCTTCCTCGGGAATAAGATCCTGGGGACCACTGCCCTCGCTCTCTGGGTTGCGGCTCAGGGGTTGTGGTTGCAGCAGGGGTATCAGCTGGAGTTTTTGGGGACGAGCACCTTTCTGCCGGGTCTCTGGCTTGCATCGCTGGGGTTCTTCTTGGTGAACTGCTGGATTTTGGGCATCATCATTGGCGATGTGGGACGACGCCAGTTCGCTATATGACGGTCACGCAATGCACTCGGCGAATATCTGGTGTGATACAAGGCGAAGAAAGTGTCTGTGTGAGGCGTAGGTAGCGTCATTTTGTAGAGGAGAAATAAGTGTCTCTCGTGAGTTCAGTCTTGTGTCAATGCACGGCATCCGCTTGGCCGGTAACTAGTTCATCGGTATCTTGCAACTGCATCTCAAATTCGAGCGTATTAAGGTATCATGCAAAAAAGTATCCGTTCCCTTGGCAGCCACCATCATCCCAAACCCGCTCCGGCACGCCGTAGGCATTTTAGAATGCATGCCTCCTATCACTCAACTCCATGGGTGACCGTCCCGGCCAGATCCCAAATGTCACAATATCCGCCACAATCGAATACCTGCCCTGCGTTCCAAAAGCCACAAGCAGATGCACAAGATATATGGTTACCTTTTACGGGTATCGGGCCCCAGACGCCCCCGGTTGATTACTTCCCGCCCCTAAACGACGAAGCCGGACGAGGGCAAAAGTGTAAGAACTTTCCCCTCGATGCTTGGCTCAAACAATCGAAAATCACATGTGTCTTTTGTGTGGAACAGCATCAGGCACCTGCCCTCACGGAATCGACATCCCGGCGCTCAACAGCGCATAGTTGGACAGCTTCAGCGACATGGCTTTCGACTTGGGAAATTCGGGGCTGAAGTTGATGCGTCCGTTTTTGTTATATCCCATCTCACCAAACGACTCGGATAGCTCTTCGAAAAGGGCCTCAGGTCGGGAGCGGTTGAGCTCGGCGACGATAGCGTCACTCCAAACACCCGAGCACCGACTGTCACGTAAGAGGAAGTATGGGTTGAGCGGTGGGAATGGCGAGTCTGCATAACCGAGTGTGTAAGTAAACGCCATTCGGGAAAATAAGTAGCGGACGTGAGACAGGGAGGACAGCTTACCCAGGTCCACATAGCGAATCCTCAAGTACTCAACCGACTTCAGTCTCCCCAGGGCTCGAATACCGGCAATGACCAGTTCCTCGAATGCGTTGATGAAGTTCATGTCCGTTATGCCGGACCCGGACTCGTTCCAATGCTCCACATTCCGACAGCAGTTCTTCACCGTCAGGTCGATGGACTTGAGGCGTGTCTGTCTGGGGTCCTTGCGCTTGGCCGTGAGGTCGAGGAAGAACTGCTTGCAGACTCTGCCCGTATATGAGATGTGCTCCAGTGACGGGGATGCAGCGCTGGAGGCCAAACGTGAACAGAAGTGCAGCCTGTTGGACACCTTGAGGAAATACGGCGGGAACGACAGTTCCCGACGGTAATCTCCCTCGATGCAGAGGTCGAGACTGGTTAGGCGCATGGGTTTCACGAGAATATCTGCCATGGTGAGGTAGCTCTTGGACTTGGGCTTGCTGTAGGAACCGTGCCACTCCTGCAGGTTGGGCAGCGCCGACATGATCGTCTCAAAGTCCTCTTCCCCTCTTATAAGGTTCCACTGTCCCTTGCAGATAAGCGTGCGTATCGAGCGAATCTTTGGCATCGTCCTGTGCATCTGCTGGCCGGAATCTCGAATCCAGTGTCTGACTTTGGGCGCCTTCTTCCGTTCACCACCCTCTAGCGTCAGGACATAGACCTCTGGGAGACATTCGGCCACGAAATCAAACGCCTCCTCCAAGGAGCAGTTATCCATCGGCAGTACATAGGATGCTGTCGTCAGACCATCGGGCGTGACCGTCGGAAGCGTGTTCGCATTCGACAGCGCCAGGGGCCAGTACTTCGGTTGGAAGACCGGGAACCATATTTCGATGTGCTTGACATAGGATCGCAGATGGGGACGAGCTGAGAAATATGTATGCGCGGCGCTTAACGAATCAACCGAGGCCTTCAACTTGATGTGCCGGTACAGTCGCTCCTGGATCAATATCCTCCATGCCCCGCTCACCAGAGACAGCTCGGACAGCTCTTTCCTCCGAGGGTGCCGTAGGGCGGTCCCCCAGCGCATCACCGAACTCTTTGATGTGGCTGAGACTCGGAAGCCGAAGAGGTGGTCGAGGATGCATTCGTGTATTTCGGCGGGAAGATCATTAAGGCCCAGCCGCGCGCCGACGCTGGTACCAGGCGATTGTAACGTCGATAGATCGGTAGGAACCGGGGTACTCGGGTCTAGAAAGCGGCTAGTTTGACAGCTCAGGCAGCGCAACTCGGTGTTACGCAGTTCCAGTTGGGGAAACGGGGTGCTGCTCGGCCGTGTGGGCGGGATGAAGTCCTGCATTCGCACCTGGTCTAGCGGCGGACTAGGCACCCCAGGCGATACCGGGTTTGACGCCGTCAGCATAATCGACGTGAGCTCGGCAGTCGCATTCCCGTCGTCATCTTCGTGTATCGATTGGGTCCGCTCGAGCCTTGGGACCCGGGTGTCGATTGTGAGAGAGTCGGCATCGTCACCATCTTGGTTGAGGGATGATGGGCCGCAGATTACATCCATTTCTGTTCCCGAGAGAATGTCTACCTATCGCTTTGAATGGTTTCGTAATTCTTGTAGTACCATGGCAGATCAGCGTGGCTTGTCGAGCCAGCGGCAGGAAGAGGATATGGCACAATCGCGGGGGGATTGAGGAAAGCGATCAGGGAAGGTCAAGCGGCTCGGGCGGCGCGGTCGCGGGTTGGTCAGGGATCTCGCGTTAGCTGGGCTACCTTGGTTGTACGTCGAAAAGACGCCGCATATGTGCCTTCCACGATGTTGCTTGGCGGGCGGTTGCAGGTCAAGGTTTTCTTAGACTCTGTTCTTATTTGTATTGTGATCGGAACCACTACCCGAAAGGGTCGCGTGGGTGCGCGGGGTTTGGTTCTGCGATCAGATAACAATGGTGACAGCCCGGGGCAGGTAATTGAAACACGAGGCCACTGTGGTCTTGGCCGGTGCATTGGCGAGTGAAAGGCAGGAGGAGGCACCGTTAATGATATGAAAGGGTACCTATTAGACGAGATAATAAAGGGAATTAGTCCCCGGTTGAAATGAGATAGGAACCAACACTTCTCGCTGAGACGCCACCTTGTCGAAGAATCCAGTGACCGTCGGGACAATGGCCTGGAACCGGCACGCCATCCGGGTCCCGTCATTGATCGGGATCAAGCGGGGCCGCGATCAGCGCATTGCTCGGAAGTAGTAATTCCGGAGCCGGTGCAGTGGTCCCAGAACCGGAAGTGGACCGGGAATTTCCGCAAAGAACATGACTTCGACCCCCCTTCTTTCTATAACTACCCTTTCGATCTCTTCTTGAATGCACTGCCAAGAAGGAAGAGGACGAGAATAATGTCTTTTTAAAGAGATGCTGGCTGATGATTTTTCTCAATGATCTGGGACACGGCTGTTTCGCTCAAGCAAGTCTAGTGCGATTCCGGCCCGGATGTCTCACACCACAGCGTGCTTGAAATCCGATGCGCTGTCTACATTGTAAGTCCTCAGAGTCTCAGATTGCCAGCCGTAGATCCTAGGTATGTCTATGTCAACTATAGACTATAGACCAAGTTCTTACACCCAATCTCTAGAGGATTTGCGTACTCTAATCGCAACCCAAAGGCGCCAATATCCCACCAACTCCCAACAATGCACTAAACCCCATTGTTCTCACGGTATCATTCCCTCTTTCTTCCCAATGTGAACCGCGAATATAGACAAAAACCCCTACAATATTCAATACAAAACACAACCTCTTCGTTGAACCCTCATTGTCACCTCACACCAGGGGTAGTGGGGAGTTCAACCGGTGTCATAGGGGGGTAGCGAAGACGAGGGCTCGCGGTATCGTAAGCAGCAGGCCCTCGGGCAAACAGCTCAGAGCGTCCGCTCCATACCGCATCCAGTTCCGGCTTCAAGTTGAGAGGCGCGCTGATAACCGACGAAGATGGGTCGGAGCGTGACGATGGCCTGGGCTTCGCGTTTCGGCTCCGGCGCAGAATCCAGACGACGGCGATGCTAAACCCACACAGGAGTGCCAATCCACCAATCGCGGCGCCTATGATAGCGCCCATGTTATTGCTGCTATCGTTCTTCGTGGTGCCATCTCCGGTATTGGGGTCGGTCGGCGTTGTCGATACTGAACCGTCAGAGCGAGATTCCGTGGCGCTTGGGACATTGGTTCGCGACTCAGGGCTGGTAGACTGTATCCGACCGGAAGCTGTTGGCGAGGAGCCTGTCGGACGCGATGTTTCTGCCGATGTCGATGACTCCAGATCCAATGCTACAGCAGTTGTGAAGCCGAAGTACACCTCTGTAACGGCTCCTTCCCCACAAGCAAGCCAGGTAACCTGTTGCGCAAAGGGTTGCGGACTCAGAATTGCTGTCGAGCAAGCAGGAAACTTGGCATCCCGGCTGGGTAGGTGAGAAGCGTTAGGATGCGGTCAGGCATTTTCCGCTGATGACTACTCACCAGGTAATCGTACCCAAGGGGGCGCCAGTGAATGTACCATCAGAGAACGGAGCAGTTGACCCACAGCCTGAAGTACAATCATGGCTATCGAAGCATCTCCCAACTAGACTGCACTGTTCTACCGCGATATTGGTGGTAGCACAAAACCCCCAGACATGGTTCGCACCGTCAATCCGGAAGTCACCCCCGAAGTCGGCAGTCCGTGACGCGAATGGATCACCACTGGCGTATATAGTGGACAGTCTGGTCGATATAACCTGTATCCCCATGTCTCGTTTGTGGATAGCCTCTTCCGTGGCATCGTGGTGAGGTTGCTGCCAGCCGAGAAGAGCCACTGCACCCGTCCGTCCGAGGCAACTCAGGAAAAGGAATCGAACAGAAACGGATGTAAACATCGAAGACACTCCCAGACGGAAGAAGCCCGAGCGAGGATCGGTAGGGTATCTACCTCAGGGGCATGAGAACAGGAGGATGGAAGGAGTATCGGTAGGACAAACACGGACAAAGGAGAAACCCGCACGAGGCTCTATTATAGCACGGTTGCCAACAAACCCGCCATGCTCGTTCCCGCCCAGCTGGTTTCATCGTCCCTCGAGTCACTGTTTACTGCAAACCCCTCGAACTAGGTTGGCAACACTCCGCCAATTAAATCGCAGTCGAGCGATTTGCGCGCTTGGTGGCCGCGCTTTCGCGGTCTGCGGCAACTGAGATGTCCGGAATTCGTGTCGCCCGAGCGTAGCACCGGCGCTTAACTTCCGCATCGTTAAACGCCCAGCATTCCGGGTTGCGGACCCCAAGATACCAGTCACTACCTATCTTAGTACCTCTGAGTATGCTATTGTATTCCGCACGTTGAGGTCTCTTGTTCATTTGGTCTCAATTCGAGTGGATTTACATCTTGGGCCCATTGATGAATGTCCCTCCAAATGGGAGGGGATAGATGCCAAAAAGATATTCGCATGTCGCTACCTAGGTATTGAATGTGTCGCCCGAGAAGTCTGGTTAAACATGAGAAAGTGCGAGCGTTACTTGCCATGAGCAACAGTGTTATTATATATGCGAGGTAGGGTAGTACCAAGGAAGTAGCAACATCCAGATATTTGGCCGGGTCCGTAACACTCGTCTCTACCCCGTTCCGCACCTCCGGCTCTGTGGGGATCACGGCCCGTTGACTGCCCGATGGTCCCGACTCCGGCCAGATCCTGACTACGGCCCGGCTTGGCATCGTTCTACCCGTTGTGACCTGTGGGTTTCGGCCAAACCCAGTGGGCAACGCCATAGGTATGTACCTATGGTAACTCCGAACGGGACAAAAGCTTTTCACGCTTGCGTCCTCGAAAAGGGACTTGCGAAGTAATATCCTAAACTATGCCTGGCCAAAAGAGGTGGGTGTGAGATGAGCATCACATTCTGATGTTCTTCTTGACACTTACACGGGCAGCCTTGACAGCCCGTTCCTTGAAGTTTCGGATAATCTGAGCCTCTCGCCTGGGTATGTTCAGTATAGTCATCGGGTTAAACCTACAGTTACAGTACTTATTGTAAAGGCTTATGGAACCGTGTATCTCCATGGATCTCAACGGTGTAACCAAACTAATGGTGCGAGCAACCCTTGAACTGCTAGTACTGTGTATAGGTAGGTTTGTTCTCTTTGTGTAGGTACCTCGGGTGACACTACACTCTCGTTGGATTGGCATAATTGGGCCGATCGATGTGCCTCTTGAATCGATCTGAAGCACGGCGCTCGCTTGGCATTGCTTGTCTTCAATCACCTTCAATTGCTCTGAACCGCACCGATTGCGTTGATGAGAAAGGACGGACCTTGAACACGGTATCCCCACAACAGATCAGGCCATCACCGCTGCGTCCTGACAATACCTACACAGTATGTACGGATAATGCCCAGGCGTTGCCAAATCTCCGACACGGTGGTAGCATTCGGGGACATCACATTCACAACTAAGAGACGTCTCGGCACCCGGTGGGGCGCTACGGAATGCCTGGCGTTTCAGATGCTCAAAACTCGCTGTGCAGCGGGCATGTTCACTTTGATGAATTGAAACCAGCCCCTAGCGAGCCGGACCCCATTTTTGGTGGACCTCTTGTCGGGACGAGACGACAAAAAGCCCCTGGAACAGGCGCGTCTCAGGCGCGTCTACCTAACTGTTTTCCTAGGAAGATCAAAAACATCCCGAGAGTCTATCCCGGCTGACATTTCAAGATTTTATACATAGGATGAAGCAGTACGGCACATAGGACCCAAGTCATTCAGTACAAGTCGGTGTTCCTTCATCTGTGATCCTCATGCAACTTGCAACTCCGAAGCCTGGGTCGGTGCCACCCCACACAGGACTCGCTTATTAACCGGGTGGGGCCTTGTTGCATTCTGGTGATGATGGGAACTGCTACTGCTGAGCTGAGATTTCACTCATCTGGCGGTAGCTGACGTTCTCCCATGGTGCAATTACCTACCAAGCAATTGAAGCAAACCAACTTCCCATCCTCTCAGAACTTCGTTTTGCCGAATAAAGTCTCTGAATGAATCCATGGCATCTGAGCCGCTTCTATTGTCCACGTCAGCAAACGCTATTCACCATAGTACCTACGCGCCCTAACGTTAGTACTTTATCAGTGGGCTTGCACCGCAATCCCATCATGGTGGTTTGCCAAGCTTTGTGGTCGCATGGAGCCGGTCCTGAGCCTCATGGCCATCGCATGGCCCGACATTGTGGCAACCACGCCGACGGTCATTGGGCTAGACCCTGATTGCAGGAGCATTGTATCATTGTCAATGACAATTTGTATCCTCAAGCTGCATCACCTCACCCGCCCGCTGGCGCGGCAGTTGAGAAGCGATGCCCATATTATGGCTCCTGTGGCTCGGTGACTGGGTAGGTGCTGTGCAATCCGCATTACCTACATCCAAGACACGCAAGTGGACAGCCGCCATTGTATGACCGGTTCATCAAAGGCGATCCCTCATGCGCCGGGTTTGCTCGCGGTGAGTTTTCTACCTTCGGCCAGGCGGACTCCCAGGGCCCGGTGGCAAGCGGCCCGGTGCTTGGAGACCTCTAGAGTATCGCAAGAAGCAGCACAATAGCAGCCTAGCTCAGCCTAGCACATCGGATTCAAGCTGGCCTGCAAAAGTTGGCCAATGCGGAGGCGAGGCCGTTCTCTATCCAGGCTTGCCCCTCTGGAGTTAAAGTTTTGTTGACAATGTTGACAGGCTCGGTTAGGACGGCCAAGCACCACGAACGAAAAGTTCTTCCTCTCACGTCACTCCCACAATACAAGCGACGCGAGTTTTGTGTATCTCGAACGTCTCCAGCGTTTGAGGTCGATGCGGAGGTTTCTCGCATGCAACTTGTCGAAACCTGGAGACAGTCTCCGACTGGCGGAGCTGTGCTCTTGGCTGATCTGCCGTTTGACTTGGCATCCACAACAGTCCAGGGGAAAGGCCCCGTCTCTCTGTGACCCCCTGGACGTTGCACACACCAGTAAGACCACAACAGTGAGCGACCATGTTGCTTGGGATCTTCGTTCCTCAAAAGGGGGTTCCTCCGCGGGCCGAAAACTTCATGCGTCCTCTCTCAGTTAAATAGCAGCCGGCCTGCCGCACTGTTGAAGCATTGTTTCCGTTATTAACCTGCTGTCATTGTTGATTCTGTTCCTTCATTCCATTCACTCATTCTCTCGGGTCAAGGCTCTTTCCCGCCATCGCCTTCGAGCCCTATATCTTGACTTGTGTGCTGCGCATCTTATAGATACCACTTCCTCTCTGGGAACTGTGTCTACATACCCGTGCTTCACTTCTCTGCCTCAGCCTTGGCAACTCCAAAGGCCTTGCCCCTGGTGGACATCGTTTTTCTCTTTTCCGTTCCAATCACTTCTCAGCCCATATCAGTAATTCCAAACAACACTCGTCACCGAAGCAATGGCCGGCCGACTGCTCACCGCCCTCACCTTTGCCCTGTCCGCCTTGGGCGTGGCGGGCCTCCCTCAGCCATCCAGCAACTATATCGGAGTGCCAATCTCCAACCCGGACGCGAAGAACACCATCCCGAACAGGTACATTGTTGTCTACAACGACAGTTTCAGCCATGACGAAGTCACAGCCCACCAGACCACCGTCATCAAGACGATAGCCAAGCGCAACATCGGCAAGCGCAGTCTCAGTGGGAGGTCCCTGTCGACCCATGTCAGCACCTTCATGATCAACAACTGGCATGCTATGGCTCTCGACGCCGACGATCTGATGATCAATGACATCTACGCGGCCAAGGAGGTTAGCTACATCGAGCAGGACGCCTATGTCAGCCTCAACCAGAGGCAAAGGCAGACCGGGGCACCAAACGGCCTGGCTCGCATCAGCCATGCCCAAGGCACCTCCGGGGGTTATGTCTTCGACAGCAGCGCTGGCGAGGGCATTACGGTCTATGTGGTCGACACGGGCATCCGGGTCACGCACAGCGACTTCGAGGGCCGTGCGACTTTTGCCGCCAACTTTGTCAACGATGTTGTATGTTGGGCCCCTGAGACAAGATCCCTCTGCGTATCGAAGGCACGAGTCGCTCACTTCCTCTAGGATACCGACGAGAACGGCCACGGAAGCCACGTTGCTGGCACCATCGCCGGTAGGACTTTCGGTGTTGCCAAGAAGGCCGATCTAGTCGCCGTCAAGGTTTTGGATAAGGACGGGGCTGGTACGAACTCGGGTGTCATCGCAGGGATGGAGTTCGGTAAGAAAACCCCTAGCTGCCCGCCCTCGTAAGGAATGAGGGTCATGCTAATATGCCTGGACAGTCGCCAATAACGCCACTGCCACCGGCCGTGCCGGCAAAGCCGTGATGAACATGTCTGTTGGCGGCTCCTTCTCCCAGGCTGTCAACAGGGCCATAAACAATGTTGAAGCTGCCGGCGTTGTCCCCGTCGTGGCAGCTGGCAACGAGAATCAGAACGCGGCCAACACTTCTCCTGCATCTGCCGAAAGGGCCATCACGGTCGGCGCAATTGATCAGCGCACTGATGAGAAGGCTTTCTTTTCCAATTTCGGCCGGATTGTCGATGTCTTTGCTCCTGGCGTCGATGTGCTGAGCGTCGGTATCAGGAGTGACGACGATTCCGTCCGGAAGGACGGCACTAGTATGGCCTCGCCCCACGTCGCTGGTGTTGCGGCCTACCTGATGGCGCTTGAGGGGATCACGGGAGTGCAGGATGTGGCCAATCGCATCAAGGAGCTTGCGCAGGCGTCTGGTGCGACGGTGAAGAACAACGTTCCTGGAACGACCAACTTGATTGTCAACAACGGCAACCTTTAAAGAGCAATGGGCCACTCCCGATGTCCCAGGGGCTAGGGCATTTCGTTTCTGACAGCAGGTTCTGTATATACGCCACCATAACATTTTAGATGATGCATGAGGAGCAGATCCCATGTCCTGGTCTGTACATATACACGGATGGTTTTCATGAGATGCTATGGGACACCTGTGGTTGATAAATCGGTTTGGACATTTGATGAGGCACCCAAGCAACCCTACTCTGGGCCTCTCCAACATGGTCACCCTTCGAATAGAAAGACATCGCAACAGATCCGTTGAACTGCGCAGTTCGTTGAGAGCGCCATGCCGCCAATGCCGACCATGTCAAGGGGTGGTGACACTTGGTCCGAGTTCTGGGTCTTGCAGGGTGTTTCAGCAAGGACGGGTTTCAAGCTGGCAACGTCACCTCTGAGCGTGGACCCGGGCGATGTAAAGAATATGGATATACTCCGTACGGGCACAGTGAATTCAATCGGTTGCTGTCGGAGATCTTTCACCTCAAACAAATACAGTGATAGAAGCCTAAACAAAGCCCGAAGAAGTCCGTCATTGACCAAGAACGCGCTGAGTCCGGCGTCGATCCTCAGCTTCGTGTCTCGAGCACGCCCTGAACGCCAAGCCGAAACACCATGCACGAGTGCCAAGCAGCAACGACTGGCTCGGCGTGGCCCAGGAAGTTCGTGGGTGACCTTATTAACCGCTCGTCCACATCCAAGCTGCCTACTTCTCTCCAAGACGCACAAGATATGTCCGCAGTCCGCCCTCAACAAGCCATTCCGTCAAGAGGGAAAGGCCCAGCCGTGGGCGTGCCCGGATACCGGGCTACTTGCAATGGGGGGTTTTCATATCAGCACATCTTCGGCACAACCACAGCCATCGAGCCCATCTTCCCCCGGGAGGAGGACGACAGGCGACTGAATTGCAATTTGACATCCGTGCTTTCTCATGACGGAACCCGCGGCAAAGACAAGGCAGGTGCCATGGCACTGAATGTAAGAGGACTAGAAATTAATGCGTGTCTATCAAGTCAGTACTAGATATGTCCGGCCCTCTCTGCCTCGAATCATGCCTGCCAGATCCGCGCCTCGTCAGTCGCTCGTAATCGTGTACATACATGACCACTTTACCAAGGGGTATGTCATTAGTAAGGTATATAGAACAGGTGAATCAAAGGCTCTCCGTGTGAGCCTGTCTGTCTGGCAACTAGGCAGACATCTCACAACTCCTCGTGGCCACCCAGCACGGGTGTTGGGCTCCTAACGCTGCCGCCCAGAGCTTGGTCAAGGTTGTTGAAAACTTTGTCCATGCGGGCGCCCATGAACCATGCAATTCCGACCTGTGATTGAGGTTAGCCGAGGAAAAAATGTGAAAGTAGCGCGTCTCCACCACGGGCACGGAGAATGTGATATCCCGATATTCTAGGGTCTTTGGGGAGTGGGGGACTCACCATCAGAAGCCCAATGAGAACCAACGTTGACAGTGCGGAGAGCACGAGGAAGACAGCATCCATTGTGTCCATTCCGGGTTCATTTGTTGCCTTCTGCCCTGCTGCGAGCTTCTTGGGATCCTGCGTGGGGAAGATGGATTCGATGAATTTTTCAATCTGTTACTCTCGTCAGACCTTCGCTGTCGCTGAGCGTAGAGTAGCATAATACGACATACCTTCCCACACTGCGCGCTGATAGCCAGGAAGTTTGGATCCCTTGGGTCATTCTTCTTGTGTATCCTCCTGGCGTATCTCCGGAACACGTCACACACGAGGCGCAGGTTCTGCGTTGATTCCATCATCAGCTGGCAGGCGTCGCCCTTGGTAATCTTGACATTCCTCTCGAAAATGGCCGGGTTGCGGAAGACCAGTTCCAGGGTTGCAATAGCCATGCTCTGAGGGATCGCGACGAAGTTGAACACGCTCTGGTCCCGGATGCCAGCCATGTAGAAGAGACATTCGTCGGCGTGCTTGAGCGCATTGAGCACCATTTCCGAGCTGCACTGGAGCGCCTTCTCGCGATGTTCGGGCGCAAAAAGATCATCCCAATTGTCGACGTACTTGCTCCAGATCTCCTTGGGCCAGAAGCGCCTCTTGTCAAGCCAGTCCTCATGCACGTCGCGGATGATGTTTGTCTTCTGGAGAAACTGGCCCATGCTTTCTGTCAAGTCCGTGCGCACTAGCAGCTGTGGGTTGGCGAGCTCGCTGGTGACGAAGAGTCGGGTCAGGCCTTCACCCACAAGGCCGGCCACGTAATGGCAGTACAACTCGTACTCCGGGACTGTGTTGACTCCGTTGATGTTGTGCTCGGCATTCAGGGCATAATCGGCCATGCCATTACCCATCTTGATGGTTATATCCTTGATGATCTCGTAGTAGGGCTTCTTCACCTTCTTCAGTTCCGCGACGACATTGTCAAAGTGCACGAGGAGCTCGCGATCCTTTTCGTTGGGCCCGTTCTTGTCAAATGTCCACCCATCCTGCTCCATAAACTCGTGGAAATTTCTCAGCAGTGGCTCTTTCTCCTTGATGTCGATTGTCATGTCGTCCTCGATGGTGTCGAGGCCGCGTAGTACCAGGTAGAACGTGCAAACTGGCATGAGGAGTTCGGGGTTCAGTTCTTGAATGACAGCAGCAAATGACCGCGAGGTCAGCTCGAGATAGTGGAAGCATGCTTTCTCCGTGGGCGTCTCCTTGGAAGGGTCGCGCCTATGGACGGGCTCGTGCCATACTTTCCTACAAGGGAAATCAGTAAGCAGTCGCCGAGAAGGCCGGGAATAGTAAAGCGCACCACTGAACAATGGATCTGAGCTCGTTCGGATGGAAAAGGTAGTAGATGGCTTTTTTGACAGCCCCCATTTTCGGTCTTTCGGCCGGTGTGAATGCTCAGAACGTTGAGACACCGGTAAGGAGTGGCTGCTGTCGGTGAGACACGCGGCCGCGATTCGGACGGGCGGAAAGATGCTCCGGAATGCTGTGAGGTCGAGACGCTCACTTCGACGCAAGATCTCTCACTAGTTGATCTCTTTGAACTCCCAGCAGATGGCACGCGCTCGTAGAGGAATCGACGAACAAAGTGCGGAGAAGGGCTCGAAGGGCAGACGGATACTAGTAGTGTAGAGTAAGCGCGTCGAGGCTCCACAAGAAATTGTCTTTCTCCATACCCTGAGGCGGACAAGAAGAGCTGGCTGTGCCTGACGCCAACAGCGGATACCGGTGGATAGCTCCACTTTTCCGCCGCCAGATCCAGGGCCCGCAGTCCATTGGCCAATCGCACGAGGTGCCGACGGAGCGTCTCTTCACCGAACGCCTCCGTCCCCGGGCCCTGCGCTGCTCCCGTCTCTTCTATGATGGTGCCAGTGTTCGCTGTTCACACTTCACTGCCATCCAGATTTAAGAGTCCCGTCGCTTGGAGCTAACAGCATTGCAACTGGTGCTAGTCACGAGTATCTCTGATTGTCGCCTGAAATGGAACAGCCACCTGTATCAACAAGGTGTGTTCGCCGAAATTGATTCGGCCTGCCTCGGACCCTAACTTGTCTCCAACAACCTTTCTCCCTTCTCACCAACTGTCAGACTCCACGGATTAATTTTTGCAGTTGTGCCATAACGCTGGAGAAAAAGCCGGTTCTATCAAGTCTTTTCTGAGCATAGCTTGATGATCAAGCTGAACTCACTGGCAGTTTACGCCACTTGTAAGCTACCTAATATGGCCATTATTGTTGTTGCATTAATGTAGACATCATTGGATGACCAAGAAAGTCGCAGTCGGAGGCAGTTTCTACACCACAACTCCTGATCTGGAAGCACGGAGCTAGGTGATGCCGCTCGCTGCATCTGCATGACGGCAAGTAGGTATCCGGCTTTCGAGTCAGCGCAACCTATTGGTGTAGCAGCAGCATGCAGCCGTTCGGCAGCTTGCGGCTGGTCGACGTCGTCGTTATTACCACGGTAGCCACTTGGCAGCCGAGTTACCTTGAATATGTATAATCTGGCTCCTTGAGTATAAGTTCTCGACCAGCCGGTGTTGCTCTCGCTATGCCTCAGCCTCCTGCTGTCAACATCTCGCCACTCTTCCTTCTAGGAACGCAGCGGAGATACGCCTGCACCCCAAAATCGAACAAGGTAAGTGCAGGTATAAAGATCCGTCTCACCAGCTATTCGAATTAACCAGGCGACTTGGTCCAAGCTGGTGGATGTGATAATGGGAGCAAGCGGCACAAAGGAGGTTCGACAGCATCGCTTCTTGATCTGGGGCGGCGATGGCTGAATCGCTGGGCACCTCAAGACCCTGTTAGAGAAGCAGGGTAAAGATGTGTACATAGCGATGGTCCGGATGGAAGATCGCGAAGCTGTCCTCAGAGAGCTTATCCGGGTCCAGCCAACGCACGTCGTGGATGCTGCGGGCTGCACGCGACGGCCCAACGTCGACTGGTGCGAAGACCACAAGGAGGCAACCATCAGACCCAATGCCATCGGCACGCTGAATCTAGCCGATTGCTGCTTCCTGCGGCACATTCACTGCACTGTGTTCGCCACCGGATGTATCTACCAGTACGATGAGACGCACCCGTTGGGAGGACAGGGCTTCCTCGAGACCGACCCAGCCAACTTTGCCGGCAGCTTCTACAGCATGACCAAGGCCCACGTTGAAGAGGTAATGTGCTCAGATCCTCGCTCCCCTGCAGTCACGCTGACCTTGGTCTCTCCTGGCAACGGCCAGATCATCAAGCATTACAATAACTGCTTGATCCTCCGATTGCGCATGCCGGTCTCGGACGACCTCCACCCGCGCAGCTTTGTGACCAAAATCACCAAGTATAAGCACGTGGTGGATATATCGAACAGTCACACGATCCTGGCGGATCTGCTGCCAGCCGCAATCCTGTTGGCCGAGCACGGCGAGGTGGGCGTTTATAACTTCACCAATCCGGGCGCTATCTCCCATAACGAGGTGCTGACCCTGTTCCGCGACATTGTGCGACCGGTCTTTACCTGGAAGAACTTTAGCATCGACGAGCAAGCGAAGGTAATCAAAGCCGGCCGCAGCAGCTGTAAGCTGGATATCACCAAGTTGGTTGCTAAACTGAAAGAGTATGGCTATGATATTCCGGAAATTCACAAGGCATACCGGTGTTTTGGAAGGATGAGAGCCACTGGTATCCAGTAGGTAATTAAGTACTAGTAGTACATTAAAAATGTATGTACTCGGACAATACAATACGCAGTACCTGTCGATGTAGTGTATCTTACAGGAGATAACGTGGATACCTTACATACATACATACATGTTATCCGTACATACCTTACGTAACAGGGCTCGCACTCTCACCCCGCCTCACCTGAGGTGGGCTGCAGCGCGGAGATTCCCGCTGCCGGATACGTCAGATTTACAGTTAGTTTGGGCTTTGCCTGGCTTTTACATCCCCTCCGGGTCAGTTGGCCTTCCAGTTGCGCAAGAATCACCTGAACCTGAGCGACCACGATTCTAGAGTCACTAACACGCTACACCAGAAGCTAAAAGTCTGAGAGGACACATCTCCCAGTATTCGTCGCCGGTCTTTAAATCCCATAAATATTACCTGGCCGGGACAGCCTCGCAATTCACGTGTAAGACAATTAATTAAGCCCTCGACGGGCTCGAGGAGGCAGGAGGCATATCCTCGAGCAACCAAAACAAAAGCAATCTGACCGACGTCCAGATCCCGGACTCGCGTCACTTGAAGCTTCTCACCGTTGCCATGGTGGTCGACACCGCATATTACGACATTCTCGGCGTCAAACCGACGGCCACCGAACTCGAGATCAAAAAGGCCTACCGGAAGCTCGCCATCGTCCACCATCCTGGTAAGCAACCATCCGTCACCTCCCTCCTTTCAGCTTGCACCAGTGCTGACCGGCTGCCTCCAAAGACAAGAACCCAAACGACCCGACGGCCCATACGAAGTTTCAAGAGATTGGTGAGGCCTACCAGGTCCTGTCCAACGAAGACCTGCGTAAGGCATACGACAAGTATGGAAAGGAATCGGCCCGCCCCACCGAGGGCTTCGTCGACCCTGCTGAGTTTTTCACAAGCATTTTTGGCGGCGAGGCGTTCATGGACTGGATCGGGGAGATCAGTCTGATGAAGGACCTGACCGCCACCATGGATATCACCATGGCCGGCGCCGAGGATGAGGAAGGGGCGGAAGAAGCGGCCACGGCAACGGAGCCCTCTAAAGATGGCGAGTTTCCGGGCACAGAAGACGCGATCAAGGAGAGCTTGAAGACCGCCGAAGGTGCGGGCCCCGCCGGGTCTCCGAGCGAAAAGAGTGAAAAGAAAGCGGTGCCGACGGTCGTAGTCGAGGATGAGAAGAGCACCGGGAAAGCGGACGCACCACCGCGCTATCCCCCGAAAGTGCCTTCGCCAGGGCCCGGTTCTGGAGCTTCAACGCCGCGGAGCGGCCGCGCGACCCAGATTCCCATCCGGCCGGCTCTCATGGACAGACCATCGGACGAAGCCGCACAGGCGTACGGAGATACTGCACTGCATGAAGGGAAGCGCAAGGACAAGAAATCCAAGTCGGGCCTGACAAAGGAGCAGAGGGAGCAGCTAGCAGCCTACGAAAAGGAGCGGGCACGAATCCGGCAGGAGCGCGTCGATATGCTCGCGCGGAAACTGCTAGATCGTGTTTGTGTCTGGACGGAAACGGACAAGAGCAAAGACGTCACGGTAGCCTTTCAAGAGAAGACGCGGCTCGAAGTCGAGGATCTCAAGATGGAATCCTTCGGCATCGACATACTGCACGCCATCGGCGCCGTCTACGTCAGCAAAGGCACCACACTCCTACGCAGCCAAAAGTTCTTTGGCATGGGTGGCTTCCTTAGCCGTATGAAGGATAAGGGCACGCTCGTCAAGGATACATGGAATACCATCAGCAGCGCCATCGACGCCCAGCAGACAATGGAGGAGATGGCTCGGCTGGAGCAGCAGGGCGGTGAGGAGTGGACAGAAGAAAAGAAGTCCGAGTACGAGCGGCGAGTGACGGGCAAGATCCTGACCGCCGCCTGGCGGGGCAGCAAGTTTGAGATCCAGAGCGTGCTCCGCGACGTCTGCGACGCCGTACTGAACGACAAGAAGGTGCCGCTGGCCAAGAGGCTGGAGCGGGCACAGGCGCTTATTCTGATTGGCGAGATCTGCTCCAACGTAAGTTCTCGCCTGCTTCGAGTCATTCGGCCTATACTATCCGAACGTGAACTTAACTGACTGGGGTGACATTACAGGCCAAGCGTAGCCCGGAGGAAGAGGGTGACTACATGGCGTTTGAGCAACTAGTCGCCGAGGCCGCCATGAAGAAAGAAAAAGAGTCCAAGAAGAAGGGTAAAGAAAAGAAGGACAAGGTGGACAAGGGGGAGAAGTATGGGGACAAAGCCTGGGTCGACGCAGCCTCGGCAGCGGCTAATGACGCACCTAACGTGCCCAAGTCATGACAGAGTGTGCATCGTTTCGGTATAGCGGTTTCGTGAATGGCAACAGGTTTGCAGTATGTCTGTCTTCGGGAGCCCGGTTGGTCTGGTTTCGATGCGAGAAGAGTTCGACGAGTAGTGATGCACCCAGCGTCCGCAACCTCCTCTCATGTTCCGCTTGTTGTATATAAGTCGCCTGATAAGATATAGAGCCTCTAATTCTTTAGACAACATCGGACGGGCTGGGGGACTAGCAGTGCTGACTATTAACCCCATCGCATCTAATACTCTCGGCGCACATCATCTCCTGTACCAGCAACAGGGGGTTTCAAGACATTGGTACGTATTATCAAAATCCAGATACGAAGATGTAATACAATCCAACACCGACGTACGGCTTCCCTTGGGCAGCTACGGTGCCTGCGCTCCTTTCTCTTATGGCTGGGTATCTAGTACTGCATGTAGTCCGACAAAAGAAACTGCTAGAAGGGCAGGCTTCGGCTGGGCCCTACCAAGAAAGTCGATGCGGCGCAGGGTAGCCTTACACAGGGCCAGAAATATGTGATATGGAAGAAAGAAATAGGGCAGTGCGAGATTGCTTTCGCCTGCAAACTGACGTCCGGGCCCGCAAGACTTCCCTGTATCCCACGCAATGCAACCAAGCCAAACCCAAGATCCCGATGCCCAATGCTAGCCAAAACTCCCTACTATGAAATAGAACAACAACGATAGACATCTTGTGAGAGGTGAGAGGGCTGTCCCCGCATGTGCAGAGGCATGCGAGCCTAGCTATTTCGAGTTTTCGATGTTTCTTTTCAGCCGCCATCCGCCGGCAGTTCGATACCGCTGTCCCTATCTTGCGGATCTTTGCTCCATGTGGTCATCGTCTCAGGCTCGGCGAGGGACCCTCGGCCCAGAGCGTCTATCGCGTATATGGTCTCATCTCCCAAGGTGTTATCCTCAGCTGCGTCATCGCCGCGCGCTCGTCTCTCTATCTCCTCGGGGGCGAGTACTCTTCCTCCCAACTCGACATCGCTGACCCGGACCTGATAAGCAAGCGCCCGTCTGCCCTCCTTGATCAACTCCTCGGTCCATCCCAGACACCGTTTCAGGCTTTGGTTGATCTTTTGGCTGTCGATGAGCAGTTGCTGATGTTTCGAGATATCCAGCTGAAGTCGCCGCTCGTCTCTTCGACGTTTCTCGTGGCGCAGTGCGCTCGCATCAGGGTTCGGCTCCCCCGAAGCCTCTGAGCTCGACATGTCATCCTCATCATCAAGCTCCTCTGCCTCTTCTAACTCGGCGCCCTCAGCCGCAACCTCGCTCTGTTCCTCGCTCAGGTCGTTCAGGCCCAACCCCGCTCCCGCCAATCCCTCACCGTCTGCCGTAGAGTCTGACGGGATCCGGCTGCCGGCAGAGCCCAGGCTTAGTTGTCCGGACCGGGACAGACGCTGGTAACGTCGCAGCTCAGCTGTTTGTTTCCTCAGCTGCCGCTCCAGCGTACGGTTGATCGCTTCGAGGCTAGCATTCGTGATCTGCAAATCTTGGACTTTGCGTTCTCGTCGCGCACTAGCAACCAGGTCCTCTACCTGGCCATCCTGTGATAAATTGGTCGGGCTGTTGAGGGACTCGGCTTTAGCTTCTTCAGATTCCGCCAAGTCCTCAACAGCCTGAAGCAAGGAGCTGAATCCCCCCGAGGCCGTGTTACTCGGGAACGTCGAACTGTGACGAGGGCTGGACGGAGATGTGCTGCCAGGCGAAGTAACAGAACTGTGGGCCGGGGTCACTTTTACGGTGACAGGCAGTTCGATGATGGTTGCGCTCTTGGTGCGAGAGTGAGACTTTGTGGGCCGACAAGGAGGCTCAGTATTCGCTTTCACCTGACTCGCTTGATTGCCGCTCTGGATATGTGACGCCGAAACGGGCGATCGTGGTGACAAGATCGTAGAATTGCGGGGACTCTTAGTCGCCATCTGTTGGGGGGACCTTCCAGGTGATGGAGCTCTCGCATTGCTGCCTTGCCTGCCCCTCGGCGCTCTGGACGACATGGAGACAACCGATCCTGGACCTGGTCGTGCTGACGAGCCAATCTTCGCTGGCGGTTGTAGTTCAGGGGCTCCGTTTGCATAGACAAACTTGGTTGTCAAGGTGTCCTGTGAAGGAGAGGGAGATGCCAAGGTCGGGGAAAAGGGCCTGGGAGGGCCGCTCTGCCGTTCAGGTACGGCATTTCCGTTTGCGTAGAAGAAAGTTGCCGATTTCGGCTGCTGCGGTGCAGATGTCCGTACACTCGCAGCCTGCGGCGGCTGCTTTTGAGCCTCGGACGCATAGAAGAATTTTGAGTCCCTGTCTGGTTTCGCTCCATGGCTAGCCTCGGAAGCGGTCCTAAAAGCTACCACTGGCCGCCTGGGTAACTGCTCCGTCCCCGATCCTGGAACTCCCAATCCCGGCCGTGTCTCCAAAGGATCATGACGATCCGGATTTGGCGTGCCGCTTGGAGTGCTGTTAGCACTATCGACGCGGCTCTGTCTCGAACCTGACCGCGGTGTGATGTTGCTGCTCAGGAAAGCCGACACAGGCGACATCAGCTCGTCTTTGTCGTGAGAACTCGTGGCATTGGCGGCCAGGGTCGATTCGGGTGCGGTGCGTCGTGCGAGGGGTGTTGAAAGTGTCGAATTTGGGTGTTGTGATGCCGGTGACCGGCCCGCGATTTTGGGGGTCAGGGGCGGAGGTTTGTTTACAGCCCGTGCCAAAGCCGGCTGCCGATGGCTCACGGCAGATGGCCGGTCATACGGCGGCATCCTGGTCGCCGCCAACGGGAGTGATCTTGGTCCGGGTCCTGGTTTCACAGCCCGCAACGCCGGCGTGGCATTTTGGTCTCGCAGCTGCAATGGATAGCGAGACGGGGGCGGTGTGGTCGCTGCTGCAGCACAAGTGGTTTCTGTGGTGGTGATCCGTGCCGTTCTCTTGCCCGCGGCAGTCGTGCTCGTCGTTAAAATGCCCGCAGGCGGCCTTTTCTGAATGGTCTCCGTTGTGAGCAGAAAATTACCTGTCGCGCCAGTAGATGAGTAGGAGGCAGGACGTTGGAATGCACCGGCTTTGAGAGTCGTCGATGAAGGCGGTGGCATTGCGTCCAGAACTAGGTGTAGTGGGGAGTCCCACAAGTGATGAGAGTGGGAAATGTCCACGGGCAAGTTAGCTAAACCCTGTGAGTCCCGTTTTGGGCCGCTCTAACTGGTCAAATTACAACAGTGGGGATTGGCCACTCCCGTGAGATCGAACTGGAGATTGCTGGCTGAACAACGGAAGGAAACGGAGGACAAGGCATGTAAGGTAGGTACTAGTAGGTCCCTTTTACATAGTACTAGTAGACCGAGGTTTTGATGTCAAAGTTCGGGAAGAATGCAAGGCACTGGTTGCATGCCCGGGGAGCAAGGGCTAAAACACTGGTAACAGCAGACCTGAATTGTCAACTGATGAGTGTTTACTCATGCGCTAGAAACCCAGTGTGGCCAGACAACAAAATCGTTCTCCCCAGGGGCCCCTGCCAGCTCCTTGCTTCCCGAACCCCGCAGCACCAGCTTCGACACGGGAACCCAACCGACAATCGCAATCTTGCGAAAGCACTTGAATGCTCGGCGCTCGCTTTGAACGTGTCTAACAAATGTTAGGAGTCGACCGAGAATTCGGAACACCCATGCGTCGTGTTGAGTGTCTCGAGTTTGGAGACGTAGCCGCGCGAAAAAAGAACATATTACCTACATACCCTAAAGACTTTCAATTGATTGAACTGGACAGTACTACACTAGTACTGTACTTCCGTTACGCTGGCCCAGTACCACAGTTACTGTGGAGCCAATCACACCTCTTCCCGTTGCATCCCGCTGCTCCACTCCAAATTCTGGGTCCTGGCACATGCTCACGAAACATACGATATCTGCAAGCAACACCCCGCGCTTGCGCCCGACATGGCGTTACTGGGCCTCTCATTTATTCTTGCGTCTTTGGTTTGGCTCTGCATGCGGAGGCCGGCCTGGTTCCCATCCATCTTCGGGGGTCCACCGCGGTCTGCGATCCAGCCGCCGCCTCAGGAGTCCCCAGAAACCGGGAAACCGCGAGATGGCCCCTTAGATGCGGATAGCATCACGACAGCCGGATCCAATCAGGAGTCCGAGCCGAACGGGCCACAGGCTGCGGTTCAGACTCCCGTAAATGGTCTGCACGTGAACCAGCACCAAGCAGGCTTTGACGCAGGCCACGGCTCCCTAAACACGGATTCAAGCCGGGATGAGGAGACAACGCCCAAAGCCTCGGCAACCACACCCGATATTCCCGTGCCCTCATTCGCACTCTTCCCGTCAGAACCGTCCTCCGATGCTCCGACTCCCAGCGGTTTGGCGCCGGTGCCGGCGCCAAGCGCACACACGCTGATGCCCCCTCCCCCGCGCCCGCCGACCCTCCGCCCTCCTCAGACAAGTAGCACTTGCTCCAGCGTGCCGTCGTTATCGCCCACTCCCCGCCGGACCGGCAACCTCCCTATCTCTCAACGGGGACAGCCTGGCTGCTCGACCCTCGCGCCGCCGCCCACGCACTCCTCGAAACCCGCCAAACCCTCCCGCGCCGTCATGCTCTCACCGGGCCATTCCCCACTAGACTGGGCGCGCCTCTCGGGCCACCCGACCGCCGACCTCCGCGGCCTACCGCCAGCTACTCCCTACCTGCGCGTCACGCCTAGCATGCTGAAGAAGCAGACGGGACGGAAGGGCAAGGACGCGTGGACGGTGTTGGGGGGTAGGGTGTACAACATATCGCCGTATCTCCCCTTCCACCCGGGCGGAGAGCCAGAGCTGTTGAGGGGTGCTGGGAGGGACGGGACGCGGTTGTTTGGGGAGATCCATCCGTGGGTGAACTACGAGGGGATGCTGGCTGCCTGCTTGGTCGGTATATATGTACCCGAGGAAGAAGGGGGTGAGGGTGCTCGGGGTGGTGGCGGTGCAGTCGGAGGCGATTTGGAGGCTATGGATTGATATCCGGAGCTTGGTGGGCCACCAAGTGAGCTCATGCTCTGCCTGTGCTAGGAGGACCGCTGACCTCTGTCCATGGGCCACGGGGATGAGCCACTTACATCTAACCTGTATCTCTGGCTATCGTACATGCAAATCACGGGAATAGAGCATAGAAGATGCCTGTAGAAATAAATAATACCTGATAGACAGTAAATATGCAAGGTCATTTATTCATTATCTACAAAGTGACCGAGCATCTGCTGGCCAAGGGCGAATCGAGCTTAGCACTACCTCCGCCTCCCAAAGCGGAACTTAAGCTCATCATCACTATCACTATCGTCGTCACTCGGCGGCACAAAACCCTTCCGCGGCCGTTTTGCTGCACGTTCCTTGACTGGGTCAGCCGCTGCGGATCGCTTGTTGGATGACGCTGCCTGGCTCTGCGACTGCGTCTGTATCTGTGACCGGCGCTGGGAATTCGCCTTCTCGGCCGCCTTGGCTGCCCGACTTCTAGACGGTTCGCTGTCGAGCACGGAGCTACCTTCCGGTATCGTGCCAAGCTCGCTTTGCTCTTCTTCGTCGCTGCTGTCAATGGCCAAGACATTTCTTCGCAACGGGGCCTTCGGCTTCTCCTTCTTTTTGCCTTTGCCCTTGACAGCACTGTCAGGTACGCCCTCGGACTGCTGCTGAGTCTGAGCTTGGGATTCGCACTGGCTGTCCTTCTTGCGGCGGCCGCCACCTTCCTCCTCGAGCCAGTAGTCGTCTCCGATACCGTACTCCTTTGGCTTGACCTCCTCCAGGCCGATAATGATGCGGGGCGCCGGACGCCCCGTGGGCTCGCCCCGTTTGCGGAACCGCTTGAAGTTCTTCCGGCCGTTCCACCGCGGATCCCAGCGGCCGTCCGCGATTTCTTGGTCGCGGCTACGACTGTTCCCGTTAGACTCAGGGAAATGCACCTCGCACTCTTCGATGATATGCAACGCCCTGATAGCTGCATAGTCAATCTCATCGTCGGGCAGTTCCTCCAGTTCCTTACGCTTGGCTGCCGCCTGAGCCTCGGCTTCCTCCCGTTGCCGGCGCGCGAGCTCCAGGATATCATCCTCCTCCTTGACCTTCTTGCCCCTGCCCTTTGAACCCTGTCCCTTCTTTGGCTTTTCCTGCGGGGAATCCGAGACCATCTCTTCATCTTCGATCGGTTGATCGGCCGGCTCCGGCTCAGGAGGTGGAGGAACGGGTTCTTGTCCGGACTCGATACGTCGGCGTTTGACTGCTGCTGCTGTCGGCGCAATTTCTTCCATGAGCGCCGAAGTATCATGTTCTGGTAGTGGTGAAAGAGCATGTTTGCGCGGGTTCCTGCGAACAGGACGCGCCTCCTGGGTCTCATCCTCTGGGGGAAGGCTTGGTTCCCGATATTGCGACACGAATAAGCTATCCTGAGATACAGCAGCCAACCGGGAGGCCTCAGGAGGTTCTTCTACCGGCGGAGGCTCCTCGACAGGCTCTTCATCATCAAAATCGAAGCCTTTGAACCGACTTCGGCCGGCTCTCCGATCTCGTCTCGTGCGTGGCGCTGTGGAAGAGTTTTGTCCTGCGACCTGTTCCTCTTGTCCTTGAGGTGCAAGCTGATCAACATCCATCCGGTCTCCCGAATCACCGGCCGGTTGGCCCCTCGGTACCGCCGACTCGGGTTGGCTGGCCTCCTGGAGCGGACGGCGCAGCATGGAGGCATCGCAGGCAAGGATGGCATCGAGAAATTCCCGCTGATCAATCGGCCGATGGTCGAGCCGCTGAGCGAACGAAGTCAGGAACTCGGCGTACCACTCGTAGTCCTCAGTCTTTGGAGTGTACCGCACGACAACCACGCCTCTGCCTTCGCTGCCGTCTTTAAAAGAACCCAGCCCCTTTTCTCCCGCAACACCTTTGACATATCGGATGAAGTCATCAATGTCCGTTTCCCGGGGCATCACATCCCTGAGCAGAGCCTTGCCCTTTCCAGCAGCGATGACCGGGAGCAGGTTCTCATATTGCTTCCTTTCGTAAAACACGAAGGTATATCCATCAAAGACGTCATGTCGCCGATCATCCGGTGAGTACGCTTCTGGAGGCTGGTCGACGGTTTCCTCGCCGCGTGGTGGCAGATGATCGATGGCGTTCGGCCAGGCGGCTTCGAAGTTCTCCTCCAAAGCACTACTCGTGCCCACTTCTGCGTCCTCTGGGATAATGGCCGCGTCCACGATAGCATTGATGAAGCTGTCGGTAACGATGTATTTGCCGTTGATCAACGCCTGTAAGCCTTTGGAAGTATTGCGCTTCTTGGAGACGACGTGGGTGGTGTCTCTCTCGTATTCGGCCGAATATTTGATGTCGAGCTGCTCTAGACTGTCCCGAAGTCTTGTCCACGGATCGGTGCGTAGCTCTTTTGCTGTGAAAGAGAAGCTCAGGACAACGGGATGCCAACGTATGCTGCCAGGCCCCATCAGGTATCATCGGTCAGTGACAGTTGTAACACGAACACCGCACCAGAGCGCCATACCGGAGGATCTTGGCGCACATGCCCAGCTTCACTTCATTTTCATCTTCCGACAGTGTCTTCTTCAGCCCGCGTATTTGGACGCCGTTGAGAAGTGTTCCCTTCTTCGAATCAAGGTCTTCAATCGTGACTATGGATCGCGAGTGGAGGTTGCGCTGCAAGCAAGGCGGGTCAGCGGCCTCTGATCAATGCCATCCAGATGTAGACAGGTAAGGCGATGGGCCCATCATACGCCGCCCCCTTCAGGCACACTGTCGACTTTGATCGTGATGTGCTTCCTGGAGATTGTCTTGTCCGACACGGCAAGCTGGCCGGCTGATAGCCGAGGTCTAGGTTAGCTTGCTTCTAAGATCCGCAGCGGTAGCAGCCAGGGTAAAGCCTACGCTCCGCAGAGGTGCGGCCGAAGAGATACAATTTCCCAGGCCGCAGCCATAGCTTCCGGCCTGTTGCGTGTCAGTTTCGACATTCGTGTACCCCGAAAAGTGGGCAGGCCGCGAACCCTCAAATAGATCGCTCTCAAGCAGCCACATGGCCAATCAAATGTCGACTGAACGATATAATGTGTGGCATCAGAAAGTATCGAGGAAGCCTCGAAACGCTGGTTGTAGACAGGCCCTTGCTATTGCAGAAGCCACGAAGTGGATCGAACGAGCTGAATGAATTGAGAGGGAGCATGCAGGAACACGTCATTTACGCGAACACACGTGATCAAGTCGTGCTAATCACAGTTAACTACGGTAGGTACCTTATGTTCCCTCAGGTTGCAAATGTGTATTTTGCTCTGTATCATTCCTTTCATTTTTTCTTGCTTTTTTCTCGCTTCCATGTCTTCTTGCTATTAATTCTGTTAGACTCTTGTTTTTTGAACTCTTGTTTGCAGTGTGTGGCGTTGTCGAACCAAGGGGGTATTGTTGGGCGGTACAAGTACTAATAGTACCTAGCATAACCCAGCGCCGGCTCCCACGTCGTCTTTCCAAGGCCACACTTGCTTGAACTAGCCCTTGTTATTGCGTTGTCAAAAGGGCAGTGAAAGCAGGTGGGCACGGCCGCACGGGGGAATCTCGGCCAGAACGCCTCTGGTGCTGCCTTGTGGTCCTAGCGATACTTCGGATCCGGCAGGGACAAACTGCTGCCGAGTACCTTAGGCTTAGAGAACATCTGCAGCAGCAACTCATGTGCATTGATGTGACAGACAACCTAAGAGTTTGTCCCTCGCATCAAGGCTCTTCTTGCCGCCATCAGCCCTACTAGCTTCCAACCGCGTGTGCTACCCCATCGTGCCTAACCGGCTGAACGCTTCCGATGCAGCCCCTGGCCAGTTCCCTCCGGGTCAAAACGCACTTTCCTTGTGAGCTCTTTCTCAGTGAGATGTTGCATGACGAATCGACCATCGAGCCAGCGTGGTGCACACTTTCTGAAAACCGGAAAGGAAACCTACTGTGCCCGAGCCGTGGGCCGAATATGAGAAGTCTTGGAAGTCATGGCTCACGAGGAAAGGGTGGCGAGGGTAAGCTCTGTGAGGAGCGTCGTGGCCCCTGTTAAGATGGGACAGACATTCAGACGGAAGACAGCAACACGACACTTACACTACCACACATGGTCAAGCCATGCCCACGGCGTGCAAGTACCGAAAAAAAGCAGCGAAAGAAAACATACAACACTCGGCATTCGCTGGTCGTCACCGACCCAACTACTACTCAAGCCCTTGGTAGCTTAACTATGGGAGAGCGGACGGGATCCCGTGTTCTCTACCAGGTATGGTCGTATGTGATGGTCGGCATGAGGGAGTCGTGCTTATATGACTAGTCCTTTCCCGAACTCGCTTTGATCAGGTTGATGACGCTGCTACCGTCCAGGTCTCAATCTCGGGTCCAAAAAGGACAGCTCAGCCAGATGCTCCTTCCAAGCCACCAGAGGATCCTCGGTCTCGGCCAGGACCGCCGCGCCCACCTTCTTCTTGACCCCGTAGAGGTACGGCTTCTCATCTGCATAGCAATCCGTTTCTTGCTCATCAGGCAGGGTGCCGTCCAGGATGTATGCCTTGGCTATCCTCTCGGTACAAGCTGAGGTGTCTCTTGACGAATGGCCGTAGCCATGGTGGACAATCAGTCGCGCATTGGTGCCCATTTCCTGCAACAGCCGCCTGCCGTTCCGGAGGGGAGTCGCAGGGTCATAGGTCTCGGCAATGAGCAACACAGGGTTCTTGAGAGTATGGTTCAGGTCCCCGCGGTATACGCCGACGGGTTGAGGCCTGTCCAACCATGTCAGCTATAGGCTTCTTGTCGAAGCGTCTCGGAAGCCACCGGAGTCCCGGGCGGCCCCAAAGCGTAAGAGTAGTGAGAATATTACATACCAGTACCGCGTGAAGTGCCGGCAGGGTAGAACAGTGTAGAACCGGGAGTTCCCGGCAATCCAGTTTTTGGTGGTCATGTTCCCCCACAGGGACAGCCACCAATCCAGATCGTCGCGGCCCGGCGCATCATAGGCATCAGCGCAGATGACCAGGATTCCCAGTTCGTTGTCGGAAGGCCGGATGGGATCCGTCGAACAGGGAGCCTCGGGGTCGTAGTACCAGGCTGACGTTTCGAGGGTCGATGCCGCCAGGGTGGCATTGCCATCCTCAAGCTCGGAAAGTGTCCGGGCAAGGGCGGGCCAACTTCTAGCGTTATACATCGCGCCGTAGATGTTGTCGACAACGGCGGAGTACATCACCATTGTTCCACCGCTCGACGGGAGGTATGCGGGGACCGGACGGCTGGCGAGAGACGCCATCAAAGCGGCCATGCGGGCCTTCAGGTCCGGTAGCGTGACGGACTTGCCGTCCTTAGGCTTTGCGAGGGCGCAGTACTCGGGGCCAGCATTCACACATTCGCCCAAGAACCCGTCATTCCAGGCGTCGGTCGCATTATCCAACGCAGTCCAGCCAAACCCGCCACGGAGCCGATGGTCGCGGACATACTCGGTTCCATCGAGGATCACACGGCCCACGCTGTTCGGAAACATGGCAGCATATGTCTGTCCGATGCCGGTGCCGTAGCTGACAAGGTATCCAGTCAGCTCATCTTCCCCGAGCGCTATGCGGATCTCTTCCAAATCCCGGGCAACCATCCCCGTGCCGACAAAACGGCCAAGATCGCCGTGCCGCTCCCAGCAGGCACGCATGACCGCGGTGTTCATGGCGTCGACAACCTCGAGCTGGGTCCTCGGAGATCCAGCAACCGCGTGGTGAAGCGACGTGATGATGTTCCAATGATCACGACTAGCATCGTGGGGGAAGCATGCCACAGCGGGGAGCGAGGCATTGACACCCCGCGGGTCCCAGCCAAGGACGTCAAACTTGCTGTCACTGAACCGCTCGGTGATGTTCTGCGCAGATCGCCAGGCGTATGAAGTCCCGCTCCCGCCTGGTCCGCCCGGTTCGATCACTATCGTCCTTTCGCTCTTCCTGCCAGCAGACTTGTTCGCTGCGCCGTCGTCCGCTCGCGCCAGGCCTGAGACCTGGAACTTGGTGACCGCGAGGCGGGCAATGCGGCTGTCGGACTTGTTGGTGTAGTCTAGCGGAACGTCCAGGTAGCCGCATAGGAATATCCCGCGCCCGGAATAAGGGTCATCGTCGTCGATGCGAGTGTCATTCTCGCCCTCTCGACGGTTGCCCCAGCTCCAATTCTCAGGACTAGGGTCGAACCGAGCGGCCCATGTTCGCTCAGGGGTATCATCATCAAGCGGTGGCGGCAAAGTCGCCGAGGTACAAGGTAGGAAGCGAAACGGGTCGTTGGGGAGCGGGAATCTGCCGTACGAAGAACTCTTGCCGAGTTGCCCGGGGTAGTTGACAAAGTGGACGACTGAGCCGGAAGCTGCGCCAGAATCACGCCTGAATTGGAGCAAGGCAGCGAGCAAAACCAGGCCCGTAAGAAGCACTATCGTGAGAATCCATCCACGCCGCTCTCCACGTGGTGAGGGCCGCAACTGCTTCGCCGAATGTGGCGCCTTATCCATTGTTGTTGTTGGGGAGGAGGAGGAAGAGGAGGAAAAAGTGAGCTCCTCGAGGAGGACAGATTCGTAAGCTTGGTCTCGGCGCATTGCGGCACAGTGTGCGGAACGCGGCCGATCCGGAACCCTGGTCATTTTTGTTGCTCCTGCCTCTTGTGTAACAAGTTCAATATCTACCTACCTCGAAGGCTTCAGCCAACCGCTGAGAAGGTAGCCGAGCATGCAATGTGCATGCCTCAGAGAACTTGAATTCAACATCGTGAGAAGCCCACTGAACTACCGTACTTAAGTTACTAACTAGACGGGCAAAATGCCCACAGTTGCGCTCCTCACGGCCACTGCGACCTGAGCGGCCGGGTCATGTCCAGGACTCTACACTACATATTTTCTGGGGCATATTGCTTGTGTCGGGCCGGCATCTTCCAAACAAAGCTGCGCCGGCTAGCATGGCAGTATGTCACCTTAGGTACCCCGCATCCTACTGTCAAACGTGGGAAGATATATACAGTAGACATTACCTCCGTATCTATACTATCCGTACCTATATACAGGGTAATTGCCTAGGTTGGGTTAGGTGTCCCCAGTTTCAATAGAATGCTCTCTTAGTTTCATGCCGAGCGACGTTAGGCAGTTTAGCCATTCCCTGCCCCGCGTCTTGATATTGGACATCACGTTGGCAGAATGGGAGGTTATCAAGAAAGTGAGAAAGTTACTAGGTAGCCTATAAGTAAAACTTCGGCTACACCGGACAACACCGAGGTGGTATCACAAAAGGGGTATTGGCTTGCATGTGTGTCTGTGGAAGTCGTTCCAGAAACAACACTATCTGCTTGCTGCTACCATTAATTACCTACCATTGGCATAGCGACTCGGAGCTTGTCAGATATCAGTGATTGATCGAGATGAGATGGAGGAGCTTTGCTTGGCAGGATCCCTAGTGTAGGGCTGGGTTCTGGCGCTTAGTTGCATCCCGCGCGGCCCCACAGCAAGCATATGACGTCAGAGCCCATCGGGGCACAGTTTTCGCACCAAACCTTGAATACTTACCACGTGCCTACCTCTAACCCTTTGCTTGCCCTGGCACATCACATTGTGGGCTGGGGAAAGTTTATTACTTGTCCAACCCTGAGGTGTCGCTAGTTAGCTGTCGCAGCCCCGTCGATCGTGGCTCATTGCTGGCAACACGTCATCTTGGCTTGGCCGCTCTCTACTGGGCAGACACTGCCCCGGGGACTGACGACGACAAGGAAATAAAACTTCGTGAACTGCTCTAGAACATCATCTTGCTTGCCTCCCCCCTTCCTCATTCCAGTACAATACTATCAACTCTACATCTTTCTTACTCGACGCATCAGTGACAAGCTTTCCACACAAGAGAGGCACTTCACCACAAATATGGAGCGCTTTATCCCCATCGTCCACGCCGTGACGGCGGTCTTTACTGTCATCGAACTGGGCTTGACCGCTTATCGTGAGTGCGCTCCATCAATACGAGTTCCAGGATAACAGACCTAACCCCTTGTCAGTCGTCAGCCCTTGGTGGAACACACCGAGCGTTATGTCCTTTATGCTCTTCAACTCGGTCTGGTCCCTGCTGGTTCTGGCGTATCTGGCCCTGACACCCCTATACTTCGCCCGTTTCTTTCACTCTCTGGCGGCCCTGATTCTCGAATGGATCACCATGATCTTCTGGTTCGCCGGCTCCATCGCCCTGGCGGCATTCTGGGGCTCTCCGAGATGTGACGGCAACACCTACTGCGGCTCTACCGAAGCGGCGATTGCATTCGGATTCTTCCTGTGGGCGTTGTTTGCCTTCCTTGTTTTCGTTGACACCGTGGCGACATTGCGGGCCCGCGGACACAACACTTCGACTGCCTATCCGAAGCCTTAAGGCGGCAGATGGTGGTAGTTTTTCAGGTATCTGTGGTCGAGCGAAGCATGCAGGGTTCATCAGGACGTACAAGATTGCGTGCGCAAGGATTCAGGATAGGGTGACAGGGCAGGTCGGGAGACAGAGGCAGGTGTCTGGGCAGGTGTAGGGGGGCGGAACGCAGCACAACTTACATAATGATTCTCTATAAGATACCCTGGCGTAATAACGATGGTTTTCTCAAGCCTTTTACAATGGTCCGTGTTTCAACCATTGGCTGGCATGCTTTCATGCTGTGCATCCTTAGAGAGCGGCAAGTGGCGCATCGGATATCAAAACGCCGGTGAAGAGTCATACGGCGCAGCTTCCTCAAGATAAGATGTAAGATAGAATAAAAGAAAACATAAAACCAGAAGGATATGAGATGAGACAAGGGGCACAACGTTTTTCAACGACCTCTAGTTTCAGTCCCAGCCATATCCCCTGGATTGACGTCCAACAATCGAGACAGATCAAAGGTTAAGCTCCTACTGCTTAGTGGACTCGGCATCGCATATTTGCCGTGGGCAAAGTGCACGGTTCTCTTGCCCGCGCCGGTAAGCGACTCGCCCTTGAAGTACGAGGCGACGGGAGGCACAAGTGCTAACTAGCGGCCCGCAGGCAAGGTCAAGTCGCAGACCCCCAAGGTATGGTATTTCGCATCAAACTCCAACCCTTAGCCGAAATCTACCCGGTTCATGGCGGCTAACAACGCGCCCTCGTCCCAGGTTGAGGGGCAGGAGAAGCCCAAAACGCCCAAGGGCCGCGCCCATAAGCGTGAGCTGTACAGCCGGCGGTTCGTCAATGTCGCCGTCACTGGTGGCAAACGAAAGATAGGCAAGGATGCCGTTTGCTCGTAGTTCCAGTCGTCCAGGGACAGTCAGCTTACAGGGTTGCCCAATAGATGAACGCAAACCCGACAGCTTGATAATAATACAAGAGAACCCGAGAGATTGCGTGGATGGCCAGATGTTGAAGCCTGAAGAACAGGGGGAACGACCCGAGGAGACTTGGACTCGGCCGGTTGACACGCTGTACGAGATAGGAGGCCGTGGTGAGCATCCTCGGTGGCTCGAGCAGTTTCTCTTCTGCCTAAGGTAGTCTTCTAGCGACTAAACTTCGAAGTCCAGACGCCGTCGGTTAACAGTGTTGGAGTCCAAAGGTTGTGATATGTAAACTGAATCCCTTTTGCAGATGCTGCTGCGCGGGCCGTTGTCGTTCCCCCTTGCTAGTCTAACTCCATGTTGCTGTGTTCTGTAGCCGTGAGCTACATGGTTACTGATTATACGGATATATTGCAATTAGAAAGTTTTAGCATCAGGTACAGCAGAATTCCCATGCGCAGCATTTTACCATTTTAATTACCTGGCACGTAGTTAGGTGTCTTTACCTCGGTGAGCCGCCGACTCGCGCCGAGCCAGCCTTGTGGAACCCCCAGTGCTGCACTTAGCGCTAACGGAAGCCTGAATTCTGAGGCACCACGAAAACTTTAGGGTTGGTGCTTGGCACACCAGAAATTCCAAGCAAAAAGCTCCCCCACCCGAAAATCGTCGACCCGACCCAAGACCTCGACCGAGTCCCACGACGACAAAACTCCCGTTCAACAACCACCGACAAATTCAAGATGGCTGATCGGGGAACTGGTGCCCGCGGCGGCGGCTTCGCTTCTCGCGGCGATCGTGGTGGTGAGCGTGGCCGTGGCCGTGGCGGTCGCGGGCGTGGACGCCGGGGCGGCAAGAGCGAAGAGAAGGAGTGGCAACCCGTGACCAAGCTCGGCCGTCTTGTCAAGGCCGGCAAGATCAAGAGCATGGAGGAGATCTACCTCCACTCTCTCCCGATCAAGGAGTACCAGATTGTGGACTTCTTCCTGCCCAAGCTCAAGGATGAGGTCATGAAGGTGCGCATGGCGGAACTCGGAGCGACCGATTCGGATTTGCATGGTGTCTAATGTCAATTTCCTCCCCAAAACAGATCAAGCCCGTCCAGAAGCAGACCCGTGCCGGTCAGCGTACCCGGTTCAAGGCCATTGTCATCATTGGCGACTCTGAGGGCCACGTCGGGCTCGGCATCAAGACCTCGAAGGAAGTCGCGACCGCCATTCGCGCCGCCATCATCATCGCCAAGCTCAGCGTTATTCCGGTGAGACGTGGTTACTGGGGTGCCAACCTCGGTCTCCCCCACTCGCTGCCCACCAAGGAGAGCGGCAAGTGCGGTTCCGTCACCGTCCGCGTAAGTATTCGAGGAAGAAACGAGACAGCGTCTTGGCTCGCTACAGGTGGGCTAATTCAGTTCATAGCTTATTCCTGCTCCCCGCGGTACTTCTCTCGTTGCTTCTCCCGCCGTGAAGCGCCTGCTCCAGCTCGCCGGTATCGAAGATGCCTACACATCCTCTTCCGGTTCCACCAAGACCCTCGAGAACACCCTCAAGGCCACGTTTGCGGCCGTTTCGAACACCTACGGCTTCCTTACTCCCAACTTGTGGAAGGAGACGAAGCTCATCAGGAGCCCTCTGGAAGAGTTCGCCGATACCCTCCGGGACGGCAAGCGGTATGCTCACTAAGGTGCTGGATGGGGGTGGAGCTCACTCAGCAGGGAATTCGTGCTTTGGGGCGTCTGTGGATTTGGACTTTGCATGGGCTCCGGCAATGGCATAGGTTTGAGGCTGTTAAAATTTAGCTCGGCCTGAATCGATTTTACGATCCGATCAACGACACTTTGGTGGTGCCTATTGGTCCATGGGACTGAGCAGATCGGGAAAAAATGATATACCATGAATACCCAAATCAGCTTCACTTTGGGACACGATGAATCAAGGGAGCAGGTACTGCACTGACCCAACCCATGTGGCCGGTTGACCTCGCAGGATGAGGTATGAATATTGCAACTGCCCTGTTTTCCAGGATAAGCCAGGTACGAGCTTGTGCTTGTCGCAGTCCTATAAAAGACGCGTGAGTTAACGTCAGATGTCTTTTATGCTCCAGTAAGACATGTATGTTATGTGCTATCTGCCGGCTATCTTTTTGGTGGCCGGTTTCCGGCACGGGTCAATTCGACATCCCTCAAACGCAGCGTGTGGTCAAAATCCCCAGCAGAATCCAGTGGCCCGGTCCATTGTCAGCATGGTTATTATCCCAGCCAAACAGGTGCCAACAGCGTTCTCGCTCTGCAACGGGGCACTTCTGCACATCAACGAAAAGACAGTATGCCACGCATTCCTATGGTGTGGGTTGACAAGGCTCAATGAACAGTGCAGTTGTGGAGGGCGAGAACTGGGAAGCGCACTAAGGTCATGGAGATGCATCATGCAGGGCAGCCGGCGACAGCTTATCGTCCAACGCATGAGGACATCGCAGCACAGACAGTCATGTCAATCGCCGTCTATCATTCACCTAAGGGGCCCGCTGTATGGACAACACCATCATCACCCATGAAACAGCCATCCGAGCCTGGTTCGGCAAGCAGCGGGATTGACTCCTCCTGTAGCCTGATGAGGGTTGCGTGTATGTACGGATGCTGCTCTCCGTGGCTGGGCAGCATCACGTCGTCACAGGACACGGGGCGTCAATCTTCTGTAGGCTATTCTTTACAAGTGTTGCGCAAATGCTGAGGCGCAAGGCAGTTCTCTCGCTCCAAGCACCGCGCCCCTTCCGTGCATGCATCTCAGCCCGAGACCAGGTCGCGCCTCTCAGCAACCCGACACAGCCACCCGACACAGCCACCAGACCACAACAATAACCCACAGGATACGCAGGCGCAAGTCAACTCTGCGCCGTCCAGTTCCGAGATGATCGAGCTCCGGGGCAAAGCAGCATCTATCTCTGTGCTGGGTCTGCAGCTTGAGTTATGGATCCGGTCTCCCTTGCTTTGGGCATTGCTGGCCTCTTGCCGTTGATTGCAAAGGCAATCAATTGCGCGAAGGAATACAGTGACGCAGTTGTTACAGCGAAGGAATCCATAGCGGCGCTCATCAACGAGCTTGAGGGTTTGCAGTCCAGTGTCAGCAGCCTACAGCAGTTTCTCAAACACGACAACATCACTAGAGGCAATGTCCGGTTCCAGCAGACTTCCGTTCTGCTGGCGTGCTGCCAAGCCTGCGACGCCAAACTGCGCTCCCTCTGCAGGAAACTGGGCCAGGAGGACAGCGGGAGAAGAAGCAGATTTCTGTGGCCGTTCAGCAAGCGGGATCATGAGAAGACGGTCCAGGAACTCCGCAACTTCACCACCTGGATGCACTTTGCCGTCTCCGTGGACGGATGCAAGCTTCTGTCGCAGACTGCCGATGATGTGCTGAGGTTGCTGGGACAGCAACTAGACCAGTTCAAGGCCATCCGATCGCTCGAGACGACAACACTACAAATACACAGCACATTGACGGGACAGACGGTCTTGCTTGAGAACTCGCTAGCACGGGAACAACGAAGGGACATCCTGGACTGGATATCAAAGATTGACTATTATCAGAAGCATCAAACGCTCCAAGCATCCAGAGCGATGAATACCGGGTGCTGGATACTCCACTCCCCTGAATACATCAGATGGCGAGACGGCTCGGACGAGACCAGTGTGCTTTGGTGCGAGGGCATCCAGGGCTCTGGTAAAACCAACCTAGTGTATGCTTTACCAAATTCCCAGAACCCCCCCTAGTGTGGGTGAAATGCATCGTGATGAGCTGACAGCCACAGCTCCACCATCATCGACAACCTCTCCAGTCTCGCAGCAGGCGCCCTTCGGCCGGTAGCGTACTACTACTTCGACCACCAGGACCAATCTTCGCACTCCCCGTCAACAGTATTGGCATGCATGCTCCGACAGCTCCTTGAGCAGCTCCCAGCAATCCCCGGTGCCATCTCGAGTGTGCACCAGAGCTGCCGTTCGCAAGGCAGTCTTCCGCAGTTCGAGTGCGAGAGGCTGATCGCCGAGCTTATCAGAGACGTTGGACGGGCCTATCTAGTCGTCGATGCTCTTGATGAGTGTGACGCGCAACATAGAGCGACATTGCTTGGGGCTCTGGGCGAACTGAGCAGTTTACCAGGGTTTCGGCTACTGATCACCAGCCGTCCGCACACCAGTGGCAATGCTGCTACGTTTACGAACCGCCTCAATGTCAACATAGTTGCGCGAGAGGAAGACATTAGGCTCTATCTCCACCAAGAGCTAGCTCGGAAGGGCATATATGAGATAGCGGACGAGGCGTTTGCCAATGGCCTGATAGAAAGGCTCGCTCGGGGGGCAAACGGGATGTTAGGAGCCCCTTCTTTCCCTTGATTTCCCGACCCATCAGTACCGAGCGACATGCTAATGCTGTGCGGCAGGTTCTTACTCCCTGTGTTGCAACTCCGGACAGTCCTGAAGGAGCCAACTCTGGGTGAGATGGAGGACAGTCTGAATAATCTATCCCACGACATAAACGAAGTATTCGAAGGGACTATCAGAAGAATCCAGGGGTTACCAGCAAGCCGAAGCCGCATAGGCACTGAAAGCCTGATGTATCTGGTGCACGCTGCAAAACCCATCACCGTTCAAGCGCTCAGCGATCTTTTGGCGATGCACCCGCGCCGCACCCGTGTGCATGCCAGGTACCGACCAACGGAGAGCATGATCCTCGAGTGCTGTCAGGGGCTCGTCACCGTTGACCCGAAGACGGGGTACGTCCACACCTCGCACTACTCGGTCAACGAGTATCTCCTGCAAAATGAACACCGCCTGCTCTTCCGCACGAAGGCAGCTTTTGCCATCAAGTGTCTCGGCTACATCATGCTGGAAGACTTCAGCACAGGCCCCTGGGCAACCGAATCGGAGATAACCTCACACATCGAGCGGTACCCCTTTTTGGGTTACGCTGCCGAGTGCTGGGGCGGACACGTTAAGGCAGCCGAGGATGATGACGAAGTGCAGGCCACGCTCGCCAACTTCTTCGCTTCGAAACGCTCCATGGCGACAGCCAACCAGGTGAGGCAGTTCGTACAAGGCCGCCGGGAGGTTTATTGGAGTGCGGAAGAGTCGCTCAGCCTAACGGCGCTCCATCATGCCTCTCGTCATGGGCTGCTCCAGACGGCGGTACGGCTCCTTGGCGATGGGATTTCCAGCAATGCTCTCTCAAAACAGGGGTCCACTGCGGCCATCCACGCGGCAGCGAATGGCCACGTCGAGTTGCTGAGGCTCCTTATGCAGAAAGGAGCAGATCCATACCAGCGCAACTGGTACGGAGACGCGCTACACTGCGCTGTCGAAAACGACTCTGAGGGCACCGTACGGGAGTTGGTCGTGCGCTGGGCTATGAATCCAGGAGACCCGACGTACCTGGCAAGTGCGGTGATCAGTGATGCCGCAAGAGCGTTCGCGGCTCTCGTTGACCTTGGCGCCGACATCGACGCCGAAATGGAATGGTGGAACTGTGACCCAAATAAGTGCAAGGGTGACGACCATCAGACCCATGTTTTCTTCTTCGCCTGTGCCAGCGGCTCCTACAAGATAGTTGACTTGATGATCCGGCGCGGCTGGGCTGATGCCAGGATGCGGTCAGCTGATGGCCGGACGGCGTTGGACTGGGCGGCTCATGGGCGACGAGGGCGGGGCCTTGCAATTTCGAAGAGGCTGGTTGAAGCAGAAGCCAGTGTTGGTGTGTGGCACAAGAGCACAAGTGGTGACGTTCAGCGTGGAGTTGTCGAACATGAATGGCGCAACTGAAAATGTGGAAGGAATGGGGGGCAAGATGAGTGTCATGTGGCAGGCAAGGGGGGCTGGGTGGATATCATGAGAGGGTGAATGCAACTGCACTAACGGCCCGCCCTCACATGATGTGGTTGGATCAAGTTATACCTAAGATGGCGCCTTGTTTGTCAGATTGACAGCTGAAGAGGAAGCTCGTGGCTGCTGAGGCGCTGAGAAAGGACCTTGAGCTCAAGCTCTCACAGTGCAGGCAATCTGCCGGGACAGTTGGTTGACAAAAATACGTAGGAACAGTGACCATCATTCGTTGGTCAAGAAGCAAGACACCATTGTCAACTTCTGTGTCAAACACCCAAAGGAATAAGGTCCCGTCGACGCAGGATCTGGGAGCTGCCACTCGCTTCTTGATAGAATACGTATGTCACAGGGGGAAAGAGTCTAATAAACGTCAGTGGCAGATGCGGATCATGATATGAGCTGGATGCGTCCCGTACATCAGGGTAGGTCGTGTTATGAGCAGCATTGGAGCGGAAGGGGTGCGGCGTTGTCCTGTTAGAAACCCCGGTCCTCATTTTCTGACCCCTACCACAATCTGAATGTGCCCCGGCATGCTCCTGACCAACAAGCATACCAGTATTGTGTCCTGACATCTTGCCGCTCGGCGGCAGGGAGCACAAGGAGTTTCCGTCCACGCTCAGTATGGTAATACTCCGTTGTATGTACAAGCATTATACAATACTAACCTAACTTGTAAGCAGCACGATACGCGAGTTGTCCTTCAATGGCGGACTCGGGGGCCTGTGTGCAAACAGCTTGCTCACAGCCTTGATGCTTCGATTGTCTAGAAACACCATTGATACGACAGAAAGTGAGCCTGCTTTGGAATATGGGACATGTAAGTAAGCATAGTAAGAGTGAAGCAGTTTGCAGGTAGGAGATATCTGATATCTCGGCCGGTCGATCATTTCGTACTCCGTACGGGGAAGTGGTTGTGAAACACAATCAGAAGGGGAAGATGGCTCTTCCCGCCCTGCAGTACTGCGAACATCCAGAAGCAATTTCGAAGCAGTCGAACAACGCGAAATTGCGAAGACTGTTGGCTGCACCGGAGACATTTCCCGGCCATGGTTGGGTGCCATCCTGTGGCCGTCCCCACCGAATAGGGCAAGGCGCGGTAGTAATCCTCGGCACGCGGCCCCCAATCGACCCTTGTCATCTGCTAGACTTTAGCCAACGAATGGGAAGAATTTTACGAGCCATCGGTTCGGGAACAAGATATTTAGAGTGAAACTGCGATCGGATACGATATACTGGTGTACACTATGCGCGTTGTCGTTTGGGAATACTGAGTAAGTGTGACACGTTGTTCGATACGCGAAGGCATGTCGCGTCTTCGAGGACCCCTTATGGTTTTCAGCATTCAAAGCAATGGGTCTTCCCCACAATCTTGGCCAACCCCACAGGTACCATCCGTAATGTACAGCACTGTATACTTGTACTGTGCACGGTTGAAGACAAATGGGGCCGCGGTCCAAGGTCCTGCGGGCTATGGAAAGGAACAGCAAATTTTCCTGCGTAGGTATGCACATACACCACCTCAACTCCATACCTAAATAATCTGGCATCTGCTCTAGGTGTGAATGAATACGGTGTCTGTCACGAACCTCAATTGCATATCTGCTGAGGCTTGTATAAAGTAAAGCAGTATCTTCACGCGGTTATTAGGTACCTTAGTTGCGAACCTTCCAAGGTTCGATGACACGGGAATCATGCGTACAATCTGTAGCTAGCGATGATCATTGAGAGCCAGCGCTGACTTGGCCCAAGATCGGTGCCTCATCGGGGAAGGTGCGGCCGGACAACGCGGCAGGCCAAACCAAACCCGGGCCTCGCGGACCCCAGGCACGCTTCATGAAGTGCGGTCAAGTTTAGCGGGTCCACGCCATCCAGGTCACAGGCCCGAGGAACCCGGCAATATCGGTCTCGCGTCCGCCGATCTGATGAGCTAAATATCTCCTCGCAGCTGTCATCCCAGCCCTCTGGCAGAGAATCTGACCGTTGACCGGCGCACGTTGGACAACTTGCAAGGAACTTCTTGATGGCTTTCGCGCGAATCGGCACTCCCTTTACCCGTGACTAGCCAAGGCGCTTGACCGACGCTTTACCTCACCTTAACGCATGCCGAGCCCGGCACTCGTCACGCTCGAGGCGGGAATGGAAGGGGAATGGAAAGAGCGCCAACGGCGCCAACGGACTCGCTGCTGCTTGGCGGCCATGGCGGCCATGTGCTTCCGGGTTGTCTCCGAAGCGGCGCGCGCTGTCTTGCTCGGGATTACAGCGTGGCGCTGGCGAACAAGAGAGATTGGGCAGCGGCCGCAACATGCAGAAACGCCAAAAGATCACTTGGCAGCCTTAAACCTTAGTTTGAGGTACATAGGTAGAAAGAAGCCTGAGCCCACCAACTCAGCATCCAACAAGAGGAAAACTCCAATATATCTATCACTTTCAGGCTAGCAATCCACGGGGTTCTCGATCCGTGCCTCCCTACCCGGGATTGTGTTTCGTCCGTCATGGTGGGTTATGATGGTGACTCGCTGCATGAGTCTCTCATTTGGCGGCACCTGGAACGTCACCAATTCATCCGAAGTTACAGGCTCGGCATGCCGTGGCATGGGACAAACGACACCCTTTCTAGAGATGCCACCCGCAGATGAACGCTGAAGTCATGGTTGAGGGGCACTTGGCAGCATGGTCATTGGAGGAATTGCTCTTCCAAGCGGCCATGTGGTGGCTGGCGCCTCTTCCGTACCATGGTTCAACCCTTCAGCGAGTGAATGCCAATGTTTCCGTTGGGCCGGTGTCAGCATCCCAGGTTGTCTGGCGTTCACTTCATTACCCCAGACAGTCTGCGCCGTTCCTCCTTCATCCACCTCGAAGATCACCCGGATTCCCTCGCGTCATCGGGGCACAAAAAGTTCGGGGGAGATGTGCGGGCGACGCTATTGGAGCTTGGCTTTTCCGGGGTGCGGAGCGTCCACGAGCGGGCTCTCCGACCAGGGCGCAAAGGACATGACGGTTCCATAGCAAGGTCAGGGCATGAACAAGTGTTCACCGTGACTGCCACTGCCGAGACCGTGGTGTATTGGCTGAAGAACTGTTCCTATGTAAGGTAGCAGCTACCACAGTAGGTATGTACCTATTGCACATATGGCATCCCTCGAATTTTTGAGCACTCGACGGTTCGGTTCCGTTGCGAGCTGGACCAGGAGAGACATCCATGGATGGTTACGGTTGGTCCCTGTAAATACCTCCGTACTGTACCCTAGTTTATTCGCACAACGGAGCAAAATGCATCTTACCATCAAAACCGGAGATTCTCTCGCTCTGTGGGAAGAACGGCCCACTTACGCTACACTTTGCGTACGTAGGCGGGGACTCCACGATGAACTGGAGCCGCGTGGAGGCTCCCCTTTCCTCATCCGAACAGGAATTTGAGAACACTGACCTCGTGAGAACTTAAATCACATTCTCGCCGAGCACGGCGAACTCAACAAAAACCTGTACATACCTTTATTAGGTGCTAGGGGAGGTGGCCTAATACGCCAGGCAGAATGGGACACTTCACACAGATTCGGTACGCTATCCCGATGACCCGTAACTCCCAATATGTTCGTCCTGCAGCTGGGTTGCAGGCTGGCAGGGTAACGATGCCGTGCCGTCCACTAACCCCGCCGCAATATCCCCTTGGACCGTGGGGACCGTGCCAGGCGGAGTGGATATATGAGATCCGTATGTCCGGGATTTATGCAGTACCCTATCACAGAACGCTCCAGACTGGGGATCTTGGGGGTTGGTGGAGGATGACAAGAGCACGCCCTGCTCACCAAGCCCACCTTCTCTCCCATTATGACAGGGGTACGGACCTGTCTGATTTGGGGATCATGGGCGATCGATGTTGCTCTACGCGGGTCCCCAGGACCAAACGAACCGTTGTGTATCCTGGAGCGGTAAACCCCTACTGTCCTGGTCTGGCACCTATATGAAGCCCGTCCCCCCTCGGCCGCCGTCTCACTTTAGTGTTTCTCTTCGGTTTTCTTTTCCACCTCGTGGTTCTCTTTTTCCCCCGTTATACCCAACCGACCGTGCAGTTCCACCCAGGTCGGTCGCACTAGTTAGGATTCGATATCGCCAGTCAGGAGTGACGAGAGCTACGCATTCGACAAGCTTGGTCAACGACAAAAAAAGGCACGATGGCCGACACAACGAATCCGGGCGAGAAGGACACCGCCCACACGACCAGTGCTGCGCCGGCCAATGGTGCGAACACGGCGCACCACCGCGGGCCATGGAACCCGATGGCCAACATCCACGCCGACGACCAGCCGCGGCTGCCGGCCTTCGGCGGTGAGTTCCAGCCCGGTCTCTGGCGGTCGATGGAGCATCGGAAGTTCGCCAACCCCGCGCCGCTCGGTCTGTCCGCTTTCGCCCTCACCACCTTCGTGCTCTCTGCCGTCAATCTGAACGCTCGGGGTGTGAACGTCCCCAACATCGCCGTTCCCCTCGCGCTCGGCTACGGTGGTCTCGTCCAGCTCCTAGCCGGCATGTGGTGAGTGAACCCCCCAGCCCCTGTGATCCGAGTCCGTGCTTGCACAGCTGGGCATAAAACAACCCGTATTTCTGACACGCGCTCGCAGGGAAATGGCAGTTGGCAACACCTTTGGTGCTACAGCCCTGTCGTCTTACGGCGGTTTCTGGATCGCCTACGGCATCCTCTTGACGCCCAACTGGAATATCCTTGGCGCTGGCGGCCCGTATATGTCAGAGGCGGCAAAGGCCGTCGACCCGAAGATGGGCAACTCGGCGGTTGGCTTCTTCCTGACCGGATGGTTCATCTTCACTACCATCTTGCTGCTCTGCACGCTGCGCTCGACCGTCATGTTCTTCTTGCTCTTCTTCACGCTCGACTTGGCCTTCCTCATGCTCGCCTGCGGTGAATACGCCACCGACAACAACAACCCCACGGCGGCCCTGAAGCTTACCCAGGCCGGTGGTGGCTTTGGCATGATTGCTGCCTTCTTGGCGTGGTACAATGCCTTCGCCGGTATTGCCGACAGCAGGTGTGTTCTTTCCCCCATCATCCAGTTCATGCCGCGGGAGAGATGGATTGACTGATGCGATTTCCTGCCCAACAACAGCAACTCGTTCTTCCTCATCCCCGTCTTCCACTTCCCGTGGTCGGAGAAGGGTCGCGAGGCCAGGCTTGCCAAGACTGCCAGCCGCACTACTGCTTAGATCGGTTTGATGATGCTGGGATGCCTTGGGTTAAAATGATCGGTTATTATTCGAGTCTTATTTAGCGGGCGCCTGTCTTGGTTGTGGGAGGGTTCTGTGCCGCGTTCGGCAGTTGGCTGTGCCGCTAATAACCTGGAAGGCCCGCAAGAGACGCGCCAAATTCCTCTCGGTCGGCGGCGCAATTGTGGGTGCAGCTCGGGCAGGCCGCAACGGCATCGGACTTGGGGACTCGGCCGTGCTAGTACATGATATCCATGTTTTGTAATGAAGTTACCTAGGTACACATACGACAGAAGGGAGCCCAAGATATCGGGTTAACAAAGAAGAATTAGAAGTTCTGGGCTTCTAAGTAATCCTCGGTAATGCTTGGATGCATCTCAACATATTCCAGGGCACGTTGGCGCACCTTCCAAGGTCCCACAATTTGGCGCTACTACTACCTTAGGTGATTCGGAAATTTTTAGCACAGGGCAACCAACGCAACTTGAACTCCGAGCTGTCGTTTTTTATGGTACGGAATACTATGGAGGGCATGAGACGACTCAAAAGGTACGCCTTGTGAGGGCAACATGCACGAAACCCGCCGTTCTTTCGCCGTGTTGTCTGCCTGATAGTTCCAGTGCTATACTGTACTTCTTCCCTTTGCTGGCGTTGCAAACCAACCTAGGTAACCATACCTTGGCTCATACATACATGACGCCCGGACCACAGTTGACGAGCTGCTTGTCGGTGGCATGGGCGCAAGTGCAGGACCTTGTGGGCGGTCATGCAATGTAGCTCCCGGTCGTCTGGTTCCTTGTGCTTTGCGACAGAAACGCAAGCTCTTTCTGTTCCGTGGGATACTAGTAGGAGCGTGTACTTGTACTCAGAACGAGCACGAGCGTGTCGCTAGCCAATCCACTGACTAACTTGTCAGGTTGATGATCTTGTGCTCTCCTGAGATGCGCCAGATCTGTGCAGACGATGTCTCGCAAGCCACCTTTTCGCGGTTACCCTACGGCCCAGGCAGACATCCGCAAAGCAATTCCGCCGCATTCTGTTTTGCTGCTGGGCACTGTCTCGGCAACCGGACGGCGGAACGCCCGTCCAAATCGGAAGCTGACGGCCCAGACAACGTTCGACCACAGCTAAACATCACCTGATTCATGTCGAAATAAGTGGAAGAGACAAGGAGACCTACCCCCACGAGGTACAGCATATATTGTTACCTGGTACCTGCTTCTGCATTGCCATCTTTATCTTTCCTTCCCGCTCAATAAAGTTAATAAACTGTATCCTACTGCACTTGCAGACGCGGCAAGGCATCGCTGACCGCCGCCAAATCAAGTCGTGAGGCTCGAGCCCATATGACACGACGTCGTGCCCTCTGCATCTTGCTGCTCAGTGTCATCTTGATACCCATCACAGCAATCCTGTATTACCGTTTCACCCCGGTGCTGTCACTTTTCAAGACTCCAGCCTTCCACATGGCGAGCCCCAATCCGCCCCCGGTCATCGTGGTGGGAGCTGGACTCGCCGGCCTCTCGGCGGCCTACTCGGCACTCCAGGCCGGCGCCCCGTCGGTGCGGCTACTCGAGCGAGCGGCCAAGCCTGGAGGCAACAGCATCAAGGCTTCGTCCGGAATCAGCGGGGCCCCGACAAGGTTCCAAAACGTGGCCAAATACGGGGTTGACCACAGCTTCTGGGACGACACGGTCAAATCCGCCGGGACCCGGCTTCATGCCTCCGTCGCCGAGCCTATCAGAACACAGCGACAAGGTCTCATCTCGCTCTTGACAAACCGCTCGGCCTCCGCCATTGACTTCCTCACTGACCTCGGGGTCGACCTCAGCGTTGTGGCACAGCTCGGCGGACATAGCAAGCCTCGCACGCACAGAGGGGCCGGGAAGACACCGCCCGGGGCCGCCATAGTGACCACGTTGCTCGCGAAACTGAAGCAGGCGGAGCCCCGATTCGAGCTCGTAACCGAGGCCGAGGTCACCCAACTCCTCACCGAGGATTCGCGGGTCGCCGGCGTCGAATACCGCAAAGGCGGCGCCGTCCAAGCCCTCCATGGGCCCGTCGTCTTCACCACGGGCGGCTTCGGCGGCGACACGCACGGCCTACTGGCCAAATACCGCCCGGACCTTGGCGGCCTGCCCTCGACCAACGACCCGCGGCCGGGGACACACACGCTGCTCTCCGACGTGGGAGCCAAGCTCGTCGACATGGAGAGCGTGCAGATCCATCCCACGGGCTTCGTCGACCCGGCCAACGCGCAGACCCCCATCAAGTTCCTCGCGGCCGAGGTGCTCCGCGGCGAAGGGGGGATTCTCTTGCACAAGGGAAAGCGCATTGTGAACGAGCTCGAGACGAGGGAAAGGGTCAGCAAGGTCATTATGGACTTGCTGCCCGAAGGAGAGGGGGAGGGGGAGGGAGAGGGCGGCGATCTGCGCCAGTGGGACGTGCAGTTGCTACTTGATCCTGGCGCAACCGAGGCGGCGGCGGGACATGTCGGCTTCTATCTGTGGAAAGGGCTGGTGCAGAAGAAGAAGGTGAGAGATCTGGATGTGACGACGAGAGAGACGCTGCGGGAGTATGCTGCCGTGGTGCGAGGCGACAAGAAGGATGCGTTTGGGCGGATCGCTTTTGGTCATTGGAACCTCGGTGCTGAGGGTGCAGACATCGACGAGGATGCTGAAGTGTGTGTGGGTCGGGTGACGCCTATCGTGCACTTTACCATGGGCGGCGCTGTCTTCAACGAGCAGGCACAGGTTCTGGCGTCAGAGCTGGGTGAGCCGCAGAAGCCGATTCCCGGGCTCTGGGCCGCCGGTGAAATCACGGGTGGTATCCATGGGGATAATCGCCTGGGCGGGTCATCGCTGCTGGAGTGTGTCGTGTTTGGGCGTATTGCCGGAGAGCAAGCTGCACAGTCGGCTCTGAAGGGAGGAGCCTAACAGCTGTGCGCGACGCTGCTTCATTGTGTGGCAGAGAGCATTTGCGTTTCTCGTTGCCATCTACCATCTTGAAGGAAATGTCGAACCACTCACTGAGCCTCCTAAGACGGCCAAACCCAGTTCCCGGCTATCCGTTATAGGAGGCCCAGCGAGTACCTTAGCCAAAAGCCGTACACGGAAACATCGGTCTCTGCCGGGCTCGCCCTATAGGGGTACAACACAACCACTATTTGCCTTCTTCGCGTTTTTCTGTCTTCTTTATACTCTTTTCCTTGAATCATCGTTTGCTTGAACTACTGTGGTGAGGAGGTTGGTGCATAGGTTAACCAACATGACCTCGTCTGGTAACCATATCTGGTAACCATAGAGGTGAAGAGAAAAGAAATGCAAAAATACTTCCAACCCTATGGGGTTGAGGGAAAAGTTTATGACAAGAGTGGGATTCGAACCCACGCCCTTTCGGACTACGGAACCTTGGAGGTTTGGATTAAGGATTGACCTTAACGTAGCGCCTTAGACCGCTCGGCCATCTTGCCTTGTTGGATGGTCTCTGCTTGGCGACGGTTAACATAATAAAAGACCTTTGCAGCCGCACCAACCTCCACGCGATGTCCTACTCGTTCGTTTTTTTCATCTAGTCTTCTGAGTCCTGACTGCTCATCTCCAAGCTCATCCATTTATATCGCCAGCAGATGTATTTGGGGAATTCACATCACAATAGTCTACAGGATATTCAACTCATACTGGTCCAAAACTGCGCGTCAAAATATCGGTGATGTCGCACCCTGGTGCAAATCCAAGATTGGCCATGAATTGAGGGTCCATGTCAACCGCATCGGTGCACTCAATGGCTGCGAGGTCGTCGAGGAGCGCATCATAATCCGGACCGACCCCGAACCCCGTGTGCGGGCCGAGGGGGTCTTGAGCAGTGAGTGTGGAGGCCACGGACGTCGTGATCCCCGGCGCGGAGGCTACATCAGTACCAAGGTGCATGTGTGTGCTCCTGCCTTGTTGCGGCGACACCGTCATCGAATGATTGTGAAAGGGGCCTTGGTATGATCCAGCCATACTTGGGCCTGCGAAGGCGGTGTACCCTCCGCCGCTCGGGTGTCGCCGGATACGCCGTGCTGTACTCGCCCCATCGGAGAGCGACGGCATGACAAGGGCGGCGTAAGAGTTGCTTGGAGAGGTAAACTTCGGCGAAGCCGTCATATCCGAAAGCTCATCCTCACGTGTTTTCTGGGGCAAGGCCCCCGGGTGAGAACCGAGAATGCTGGAGTGCCTTGCTTCGGAGCCCCTTGTGGTGTAGCCCGACACGAAGTGTCTCAGGCTTTCTTCATCCCGCTCACTACGACCGAGTAGATGCTGTTGGTCGACAAGAGATCCGATGTAGGCCGAAAGAATTGGGGGCATGCCGCATTTTCCGAATCGCTGCTGGTATCGATGCAGTGTGTCTTGAAGCGTAGGTAAGAAGGCCTCGGAGTGAGGGTCTGCGAGAGCGTTGGCCCAGAGGTAGGTGGCCCGCGCAACGTAGGGGGTTGGAACTGAAGCGGTGCCGCAGCACGGTGAGATGACAAAACTCGTGAAGGGAAAATTGGAATCTATTGCCTGGTGCAGTTGCGTCATGAATGCTTCTGATGTCTCTTGGCGCGATAGTCCCGTCGTCCTCGCCAACGTCCCAACGGCGACAACCTTCATTATGGCATAGATCTGGTTGAAGGTACTTAGGCAAAACGCGGGACTTCGAGAAGACCGAGACCCTGTACAGGATGATCCAAAGCCATCGCATGGCGTCCAGGGTTCCCACTGGTCAGGACCACTCTCAGACACCAGCGGCAGGCCAGCGAGGTCCTCTATCCTGAGATGCGGCGGTTTGTTGCATCGAACGGAAAGGACAGTCTCGAGGACGAAGCAGGCCATCCAGATCAAGTTTGTCCGCTCACGGTCTTGGGTGTGGGCACCACGCCGATTGGAGTCGACGTCGTGGAGAATACGAATGGCGGAGCCAGTAAGGAGTCCCGCGGCGGCAAGCTTGTCCCGTCCTAGATTGACTAAGCTGAGCAGGAGAAGAGCGCGAACATGCTGGACAGAAAATGGCCCGCCTTCTGTCGGCACGAACCCACGAGCAATCTGATAGATCTCACTTGGCGACATGGCGGGGCCCGTGTCATTCAGCGATGAGGCATCGTCCTGTAGCGACGCCAACGCCAGAGCAGCCCACAACTCGGCGTGGACCGGCGAGGAAATATCGTCTGGGTTGGCGACACGTCCGGGTTCAGGATACAGATAGGAAGCCTGGAATAGGTCCTGCTTTTCGAGAATCGGCAGCCACGAATGAGTGTAGGAGAAGTATATGTCAAGCAACCGCCAATGGTTTGGTGGTAGCTTTAGGTAGTCCGGTCGAGGTGGAGGACGCCCGGGAATGAGTACCACTGGCGTACCTCGCTGCCACTCGTGGCCCGCTGGGTCGTCGTCGAGGGCATTCGATGGGCGATATCCCGTGGTACCCCGCCTAGAGTCAGGGAGTCTTTGAGGGTCAGCCTCTTCGCCGCCATCTGCCGAACATGTGCTGACGCAGGCTCGAGCCGCACCTCGCTCGGTATCGCTCGCATCCACAGAAGCCGAGGCACCCTCGGGCCCAGGCGGGCCAACTGTGCCGCCGGCCAGAATGCGATCTATGCGCCGATGTACGCGGCTTTCTCTCCAGCGTTTCTGCAGACTGTCCACCCTCCCCGGATCCTTTCCGGTTAGAATCGGGTGCCCCTGGCCGCTTTCATAAGCAAGAAGCGCGCCGAGGGCGTCCTCACTGCCAGGCACCTTCTCGAGGACCCAGCCGAGAGCTAGTTCAAGGGTGCGGATGTAGCCCGTTTGAACCCCTCTCTTCTTGGGGCTCACCTGGTAGGTGCATGGCCGGCTCTGAGAGATGCATGGATAACATTCCGGCTGTTTCCCATCGCATCTCTCCCGCGCGGCACGACACTGATCACACGCTCTTGATACCCTCTGGCGCTTGACAGGAGCCGGCTGGGTCGCGGGCGACGCGAGCTCAGGCCGCCCAACGGGAACTTCATTCGAACTGTTGGAGACGCCACTTTCGGCCGTCCTTCGTTTGGGCGGCATGGCAAATGCGGTGGGGGGCGTCGGGTTGCCGATGAAACTCGCGCCGACGCCGAGGCCCGCGACGTATCACGGTGTCTGCTTCGGAAGCATAGTCTTCCGGCGACGCCGCGCTGGGGTTACTGGGTCTCGGAAGAATGCCAAGCTTGGTGAGCCGGTCGCTCGCTGTCGGAATCGGCCAGGGCTGAAATCAGGAGCCAGCCAACGTTAAGCGCACAAGAAGTCAATCTGCGGGGAAGATCTCGGAAATCGACCCGAAGGTATGGATGGCTTGGCCAGGCGGGCCGGCACTGAATGACCCAGTTGCCTCCTTCCGGGCTACGCCCATCCGTTCCTCGTGTCTCGCTTCAGGACCTCCTTTTGAATCCAGTATGTGGATTCGAACGCGTGCGATTTGCGCGGTCACCTTCGTCCAAGCGCGCCGTTGGTCTTCGAGGTATTCTGTAAGTAATCCGTAGACGGAAAAGCAATCAAACGAGCCCAGTCGTGTGGTGAATTGCCTGGGGTAAACGTTTATCCCTGCGCTAACAACCCCTGTCACTCCACGTGCTCCCCGCCCGAGTCCCCCCGGGCCTTCTGTTTGTTCACCCTAGATTCGCAACCTAGAAGACCACCAAGCACCCGTACGTCTGCATTCCAAAACACGGACACGGCTAATCGGTGCGATTTCTGGCACTGCGGGAACCATACCCGTATTTCCTCTTCATTGTGGGTAGGAATGTTTGGCTGATGTCTGCCTCCACCTTTGCCGGTCAACGACGCGATTACGCCGGGGCGCCGCGCCACACCCGGGCCACACCCGGGCCACAAGAGATCTCAATACCAACTTTGCCGTAGTTGCCTCATGCTCCTTAGGCTGTTGGGCTGCCGGAAGCTCCAACTGCAGCATGGCCTCGCCAACTCTTGCCGGCGTGAAGCGTTCGTACGCCGTGATGGCGGTCGCGTCTTGGGACGGCCAAGTGCCGGAGTCGCACCCAGAACCTCGGCTCTTCTCCGCCGATGGCAGGAACCATGCCTCTCTGCCACCCTTCCGGGTTCCTCCGGCCTTCTCGGATAGGTCACCTCTGAGAGGTACGCCACGTATGTACCTACTACTCTGGCTCAGGTTCTTCACCCCTGCGGAGCAGCTCGACTGACCCCTTCCTAGAGTGCTCGTCCAAGTGCCAGTCCCGACCACAAAATGCCTCCAACCTGCCCGCGTCTCCCTATGATGCAGATGCATCTATCGTCCTTGCTGGCATTCGTGGCGCCGGCAAGACCACCCTGGCCATCATAGCTTCCAGTGCCATGAACCGCAAGGTTGTCGATCTCGAAATGGCGTTCCGTGAGATGACAGGTCTGTCTAGTCCAAACTTTAAGAGGACATACGGCGCTACTGCTTGCCAAAGCCGCCAAGTCAGTGTCCTGCACGACGTTCTCGGGAGACATAGCAAAAATGCCATCCTCGTATTCTCGTGGATTGAGAGGGGTATGCAATCTGTTCTGGAAGAGCTAAGAAGTACGAACCCCATCGTCTACGTCCTCCGCGACCCAGAAGCCATTCGGCTCCATTTGAGGATCGACAGTGTCCAGAAAGCCCGCGACCTGTTGGATGCAAGCAGCACGTTCTTCAGGAAATGCACCCGGTACGAGTTCTTCAACTTTTCAGAGGACCACAGCACGACGAGCGAGTTCTCGAGGAGCCGTCTTTCATCGCCGGCTGCTGCTCTCGACCGGCCTGCGGCGCCATATCTCACTCTCAAGCGAGCCGAGCGACATTTTCTCAAGTTCCTGTCGTTGATCTTACCTAACGGCACCATCCCGTTTATCGAGTCTGCTTTCCCGCTTGCATCTGTTCCTGCCGAGGAGAGGCAGTTTACATATGCCCTTTCCCTCCCTCTCTCGTCGCTCACACTGGAAGATCTCGATATTCAGAATCTTGAAATTGGTGCCGACGCCATAGAGATCATCGTGGACGATCTAGTTACCGAAGACGCCGACCCTTTGCGATCATCCCCAGAGATCGCACCTCACCGAGCCAGTACAATAAGCCGGGTTGTCGCTCAAGTCAGGCGAGATACCGTCGTTCCCATCGTTCTCCATGTGGCGTGTCCCGACGCCGCGCTCTCCAACGAGTCCTGGCAGGTCCTCTACTTATCCTACGTTCGCCACGCCCTGCGCCTCACCCCTGAATACATTACTGTCGATCTGAGGATCGGAAGCCATCTATTCACAACTATCACTCCCGCCAAGGGAACTTGCAAAGTCGTGGGTAATCTTCAGCTGCTCGATCCAAACCCGCCGTCGTGGGATGCCTCATTCTGGCGGGGATACTACGAGAAGGCACAAGCCGGCGGTTGCGATTTGGTGAGGTTTACAAGGAATGCCGTCGCGCCGACCGATAACCTCCACGTCCGGCTTGTCCACCACGTTGTGGAGTCGGTTCCTGGTCCAAGATTACCGCTCATTGCCTACAACACGGGGATCCTTGGGCGGACGTCGGCCTGTTTCAATCAGATTCTGACCTCGGTTGCACCTGAAGGCTCGGAAACCAAACAGGCTGTACCAGAGTCGGATGCTGCCGGCGCCTTATATCCGGCACTAACGGCCAGAGAAGCGACACAGGCCATCTACTCGTCCTTTTACTACCAACCCATGAGGCTCTACGTTTTCGGCGCCAATGTGAGCTACAGCTTATCACCAGCAATGCACAACGCTGCGCTCAGGGCGTGCGGCATCCCACATCACTACGAGCCTCACTCGACAAGCAACATCGCAAGCCTGCGGGAGCTCGTCAACGACCCTCACTTTGCTGGCGCGTCTGTCGGCTTGCCTTTCAAGGTCGAGATCATCAGCCTAACACATTCCCTAAGTCGGCACGCCAAGGCAATCGGTGCTGTCAACACGTTGATACCTGTGCGGGAAATCAATCCCGACGGTAGCATCCCCGACAATGCGTTGCTGTTCCATGGAAGGAACCTAGCAGGCCCAGTGAAAGCGCTCTACGGGGAAAACACGGACTGGATTGGGATCCGAGCCTGTCTTCGCCGCGGCCTCTCTCCGGCCAACGCGGTGCGGCCAAGCAGCAGCGGGCTTGTTGTTGGCGCTGGTGGAATGGCCAGGGCGGCAGTATATGCGATGTTGCAGCTTGGGGTCAAACAAATCGTCATCTTCAACCGAACACTTGCCAACGCAGAGAAACTCGTGTCACATTTCGAGGCATCACTGTCGCGTAATGGTCTGCCGTTGTTCAGTGCTGGTCCTGGATCCAACGAACCAGCACGATTCCACATCATTCGATCTCGTGACGATCCTTGGCCAGAGGGCTACAAGCACCCGACCATGATTGTCTCATGCATCCCGACACACAGCATTGGAGGCAATCCGGCCCCTGATTTCACGGTTCCTGCGCAATGGCTGGAAAGCCGCACAGGCGGTGTTGTGTTGGAGCTCGAGTATAAGACGCTGAATAGTCCGCTGCTCGAGCAAGTGCGAAGAGAGGCTCACAGAGGCTGGGTTGCAATGGATGGGCTGGACTTGCTTCCCGAGCAGGGCTTTGCTCAGTTTGAGCTTTTCACCGGGCGCCGAGCACCACGACGTCTCATGAGGCGAGAGGTGCTCAAGGCGTACCCTGATGATCACGGACGTTCCAACGTTGAGCGACTGCAGCCCCGGCTCGACAACATCACTTCAGAAGACGCTTGATGAATTCCGCCTGTAAACTTGCTGGAGGTTCCTGTGGCTTTTAGCAGCAAGATTTCCCGACAGTGTCATAAGGCACAAAACAATCAGCTAGGTGGCCTCCCTTGCCTCGTCCTCCAAATTAAAGCTGCACAATCGGCGCTTACTGACCTCCGTTACCCGTGAACGTAGATCGTTCCATCAAAGCCTGCATGAAATATGCCGGAAGCAGAAGCCGCTGGTCCTCGACTCCTCGCACTCAAAAGGCCGGGAGAGTATTCATCCTGGGGCAGATATGTTGTCCTAGCGCCCTCCGGGATGTGGAGCCCTCCCGGGGATAGGGGAAGCAACAGCCGGGGCGACTTGCGGGGAAGCATGCTCGACAATGTGCGGGTTCCTGGAAAATAGGGGTTGCTGGGCGGACCACACTTCACGTCTTCCTCTCTTATACACACGGTTCAACATTCTTCATGCGGAGGCGTGTCTTGGCTTCCGCGGATGACGAAGCCATGTGGCAACCCCCATGGGGAAGTGTGAGTGCGCACCGGGTTGCGCTAGCTTGGGCCGACCCCGATGCTTTTCTGGGGTAAAACAAGCCAGCGTTGATCAACAATTCTGCTGGCGCTCCTTGCCCTCAAAGAGGACCGGCCGACGCCAAAGGCTGTTTATAACTGGCGTGTCTATGCCTGCGCCGCCATCGCGTCATTCGCGTCATGATCGGCTATGACTCTGCATTCATCGGCACCACGCTTGCTCTCCCGCCGTTCACCGGGGAGTTTGACTTTGCATCTTACGCCCCTGGTGATCTCGCTCTGCTGCAGGCCAATATCGTGTCGGTCTATCAAGCAGGTGCGTTTTTCGGCAGCCTATTCGCCTATGCCACCAGTCACTTCCTCGGCAGACGCAAGTCCCTATTCATCTTCGCCTCCGTCTTCACCCTCGGTGCCGGCATCATGCTCGCGGCGAGCGCGGGGAGGGGAATGGGCCCCATCCTAGCCGGCCGGGTCCTGGCTGGTATCGGTGTTGGCGGTGCTTCCAACATGGTTCCCATCTACATATCAGAGATGGCACCACTGGCCATCCGTGGTCGGCTCGTCGGCATCTACGAGCTAGGGTGGCAGATCGATGGCCTTGTGGGCTTCTGGATTAACTGTGGAGTTAATACCACCCTTGCGCCCACACGGTCGCAGTGGCTCATTCCCTTTGCCGTACAGCTCATCCCCGGCGGTCTTCTGTTCCTCGGGGTGTTCTGGATCAAGGAATCCCCAAGGTGGCTGTTCGCCAATGGCCAGAGGGAGGAGGCCATGAAGGTCCTGTGCTGGATACGGAACCTCGAGCCCACCGACCGGTACATCATCGAGGAGGTCCAGCACATTGACCGAGACATCGAGACGTTTGAGAGGGAAGTCGGCAAGGGTTTCTGGAAGTCCTTCCTCGCCCTCAAACAGCCCAAGGTCCAATGGCGCTTCGTCCTCGGCGGTCTGCTGTTCGCATTACAGAACGGTTCCGGTATCAATGCCGTGAACTATTATTCCCCGACCGTCTTTCGCAGCCTCGGCATCACCGGCACAAACACCGGGTTCCTGACAACTGGTCTCTTCGGTGTTGTCAAGACGGTCCTGACGGTGATCTGGCTGCTCTGGCTCGTGGATCATGTTGGCCGGCGCCGGATGCTGTTCATCGGAGCCGCGGGTGGATCGCTGTGCATGTGGTTCATTGGGGCCTACATTAAGGTTGCGGGCTCCTCGGCCAGCCAGAGCGGTAGCATGTCGGGCACTGGCATTGCCGCCGTGTTCTTTTTCTACCTCTGGACCGCGCTCTACACCCCTTCGTGGAACAGAACGCCGTGGGTCATCAACTCGGAGATGTTTGACCAGAACACTCGCTCGCTGGGTCAGGCGTCCGCGTCGGCCAACAACTGGTTCTGGAACTTCATCATCTCCCGCTTCACGCCCCAGATGTTCCTCAAGATGGAGTATGGCGTCTACTTCTTCTTTGCGTCGCTCATGATCTTGTCTATCATCTTCATGTTCTTCTTGGTCCCGGAGACCAAATCGGTTCCACTCGAGCACATGGACCGCCTGTTCGAGATCAAGCCGGTGCGGAAGGCAAACAAGGTTCTCATGGAAGAGCTGGGCTTCCAGAATGCAGGCATTTCGGTGGAGGATGGGTCCCTGTCTGCCGACGAAAAGGGAAAGGAGCGTCACTTGGAGACGACGTCAAGCGTTTAGACGGGATGGTGAGACGGCCATGAAGCTCCAGCCGGTCGTTGGGTTGCTAGCTCAGATAGGCTTTTCATGCTGTCCTCTAAGGGGGTTGCGTCCCATGACGTATGACGGCTCTGCGGAAGACCGATTCCAGCTCGACATATACTTCATATCCTGCGCGATTTCACTTTGGCACGCAGTCAAGAGGAAGTACCACACCTCACTGTTCATTTAATTAGGACTGAAGATAGGACAGCCTGGTCGCTTACCTACTTCTCTAGCTTGTATGAGATCGTGTGCTGGTGACAGAGACGTGGTACTCTAAATCGAACCCGGCACCGACCTCACAGCTTCCTGACCACTGTCTCTCACCTGCTCCCGCTGAAAGTGGTGATTGCCCAGTGATGTGGTGGAGCGAGGGATCAAAAGGCTTCCTCTAGATCTGGCAACTCTAACCGTGACAGCCGTGCATTTCTTTTTTCTCATACCCGGCGGTCTCCCCTGAACTTGTGGGCTAAGACGGACGTAACCGATGACCCCTGCCGCCATGATTATTTCCAGTTCTAGAAAACAGCATAAAGCATATATCATCATCATGACGCCTTTGAAGAGCAGCTAGGGTTTGGGGATCTCAGCCAGTCTAGCAGCGATCGCCTCCTTGACCTGGGCGACAGGAAGCTCACTGGTTTCACGGCCGGTCCAGTATTTGTCCTGTTTCGTACGAGAGCCTGTTAGCAACAGTGGAGCAGATAGTCAATGAAATTGAACGGAGAATGGAACGGAGACCGGTCTCACCTGCTCGATCCCCTGCCAGATAAGCGCCTCCGTCCCCAGGATCACCTGCCAACCCTCCGACTCGGCAAGGGCTCCGAGGGCCGTGAAGGGGGAAGGGTTGTAGCACATCTCCAGCATGGCCCCCTTTCCGTCCTTGCGCAGCATAGCCTCGACAATGCACCTCACCGTCTTCTCCCCTTCGGTCACAGGAGGAACGTCAGGAATGCAGGCCACAATGGCTCCCGGGCGCTCGAGCGCCTCGGCCTGCTCGACCGTTTCGACATGCACCAACCGGTCGCCGTAGCCACGTGCGGTGCACTCGGCAATAACGGCGTCCACCTCGTGCTTGTCACGGTTGACGAGATAGATGCAGCTGGCCTTGAGCCATTTGTGGAAGGCATAGACGGCTGACCGGGCAGCGCCGCCGCCGCCGATCACCATGCCCGGACGGTTTTCGTACACGGAGGGATCTGGCACGTTCTGGACGACGGACTCGCGGACGCCAATCACGTCAGTGTTAGCGCCGCAGAAGAGACCGCGGCCATCTGGGCGGTGGCGGAGGAAAAGGGTGTTGCAGGCTCCCACTTCGCGGCACTCTTCTGTCAACTCGTCCAGATGCGGGATGATAGCGACTTTGTGCGGCATGGTGACGGAAGCCCCTGAATAGAGCGGTTAGCATCCTGGCAGAACCCACCCAGTCAAGTCTCCCCCAGACAAGACAGTGGCGTACCGTAAAACTTGGGATGGCGTATCAATCTCAGAAAGAGATCCATATCTGTCGAATCAAGCCTGACCTGCCCCCAGTTCAGGCCAAGACCCCGGTAGACCACGCTGTGCAGGAGCGGCGACATGGATGCTGCGAGCTTCTTCCCGAACAAGAAACCATGTCTGTCGAGCTGGTCGATGCTGGACTTGAGAGTCAGCCCCAAGGGCTGTTCTCGTTGGACTGTCACCGTGGCTGTGGTCGTCATGGCCCCCCGTGCTTCGTCGCTTGATTCTTTGTTTTCGCTGGTGATTCTGCGGGTACGATGCAGTGGTTAAGAGAAGCAGCAATAGGAAGCACTGTAAGGCCAAGACTGGTGGGAGTACATCTACGCTCGGTATAAAGAATAGCAACAGGGGGTGTTGTGGAACGCCCAGATGGTCCCTACCTAGGTATGGTGAAGTGGCATTTTAGATCTCAGTAACCATCCATCACTTTAATTACCCACGCCTCGACCGCCATCTCTCTCACTTGTTGCTTGACTGGCGTCAGACCCGGGGGATCCTGGGGGTCTCAACGGAAATAACGCTACGCCAGAATCCATCTTTGTGGTCCCGGCTGGGCGGGAACTCATTCAGCCAGCCGGTGTCCATTGATGTTCAACGCGGAACAAGATGCATCCAGCCGGCAAACCCCACTGCAGTGACGGCACAGGTTGTGGCGTAGTTGCTGCATCTACGCCGAACGGACAGGCACGCGCGTATGATGGATCCCGGAATGAGAAATGAGGACTGGATTTCAGACAATGCAAAGGACCAGTAGGCTAACTCATGTATGCACATGTTACGACCTGAGTGCAGTCCGCAGGTCAACAAGAAGTCTCCCAGTTGGGGCTAGGTTAAATATTTATCCAGCGGCTATAGTTAACTTGGGCCGGTTTTGGCATTTCCCCACCTTCAACATCATATCATGCCTTCTTCCTGCGCAGCAACAAATGGGAACCTCTCTGACCGGCACAAACCAGCCAAAGAATGGAATGACGACAGCAACCGAGGCCGGCAGCGGAAAGATGCTTCATCCTTCCTTCCCTGTGCTGGTTCAGGAGCTGCTGCACTCGCTTATCTTCGGCCCTGTCGCTAATCTGGTTGGCCGCGTCCCCGGCTGCACAACGCCTGCCAAGGTGTGTGTCACTTCCAGGTCGTAATTGAGTTTGTACACCGCTCAAGGCCGCCGGCCTATCCGCCTCAGGGGAAGGAGCTTTCATGGCTGCGGGAGGAAGAGGCGGTGATGCTGCCCCTTGCTTTGTTTTCCCATGCGGCTGCATCCAGATTTGCCCCGGAAGGGATACAGGAGCCGACGACAGCTTACTCATCATATATCAAGCATCTCACACTGTCTCTTACAGATTGTGATACGGTGTGCGTACGATATTGTAGAGTACTGCCATCTCCTCGAGTTGCCAGCGATGGTTTACAGGCTGCTTACATGTCCGAATTCCGCGCTTACCAACTCTAAAGTGATAAGTGGCTTCCCGCCGTATGTATGTGGAACACGGTCCGGGTAGGGTAGGCACGGGATGGAAGGAAACCTGCGGCAAAGCCATCACGGGCATCACCACCTTAACGGCTACTTCCCTCCTATGATGTCCAGCTGGGCAGGCCCAGTGAGGCCTGTGCTGGTTTCCCCGTCCGTTCTCTTGCCACCTGCCCGATCTGTTATCTGGGAGCCGGGTTCACACATCGTTGCGGGCCCGAGGAGGCCCTTTCGATCCGATCATCCTCGAAAATCGTCTCTCTGCAGATACACTGCGGACCTAACTCTTATTCACCCTCCTCCAGACTCAAACAAAGCCCACTCTCACGACGTTCCTAAGCGCCTCGCCTCCGAGCATTCCTAGGCAACCATTATCATAGAGCTGCTGTCCCGCTTCCTCTCGCTGCAGCATCGAGCTACCCATCACTACCTACTCAGTTCTCCCTACGTTTCTTTCTCCCCTTTGCACGCATCGGCACGCCCTGTTCCGGGAACAGCCAAGATGGTTTGCCAACTTGCAATCACATCCATGTCGCTCGGTCGGTGCTATGCGGGCCACTCGTTTGCTAGGAAGTTGGATGCCGCCGCGAAGTACGGATACGAGGGCATCGAGCTGTTCCATGAGGACCTCGCAGACGTGGCCTACAAACTATCAAAAGAGACCCCGAGCCCATCCGGCCCGTCGCAGCAAGCCCAGCTTGCCGCGGCTCGGCACATCTGGTCGCTTTGCCAGGCAAGAGGCATCCAGGTCCTCTGCCTGCAACCATTCAGCCAATACGACGGCCTGCTCGACCGGGCGGAGCACGACCGCCGTCTTGAGCAACTGCGGTTTTGGTTCGACCTTGCGCGCGAGCTCCACACAGACATCATCCAGGTTCCTGCAAACTTCCTACCGGCCCAGCAAGTGACGGAAGACCTGAACCTCATCGTATCCGACCTGCGCGAGGTGGCCGACATGGGCCTGCAAGCGAGCCCTCCCATCCGCTTCGCCTACGAGAGCTTGTGCTGGAGCACCCGCGTCCACACGTGGGAGCGGTGCTGGGAGGTGGTGCGGCGGGTCGACCGTCCCAACTTCGGCCTGTGTCTCGACACCTTCAACATTGCCGGCCGCATCTACGCCGACCCGACCGTCCCCTCGGGCAAGACGCCCGATGCCGAAGACGCAGTGCGTGAGTCCATCGCCCGATTGGTGCGGCAGGTCGACGTCAACAAGGTGTTCTACGTCCAGGTCGTCGACGCAGCGAAACTCAGCGAGCCCCTTGTTCTGGGACACGCCTTCTACGACCCTGAGCAGCCGGCGCGCATGAGCTGGTCTCGGAAGTGCAGGCTGTTTTACGGGGAGAAGAACCGCGGCGCGTACCTCCCTATCCGGGAGATTTCCGAGGCCTTTTTTCGCGGGCTTGGCTTCCAGGGATGGGTCAGTCTGGAGCTGTTCAACCGCCGCATGGATGACGCAGACTGGGATGTGCCCGACGAACTCGCGCGTCGGGGTGCCATCTCGTGGGCCAAGCTGCAGAAGCACATGGGGTTCAAGACCAGCATGGCACTGTCTGACAAAGAGCATGCATTCTTGTAGGACGAGGAAGCGGAAGGGGAAGCGGACGGGGAAGGGGAAGGGGAGGCTTCGTAGCAGTCTTTGTCTTCCCTTGGGCGTTAAAGCGGAAGGAGCTGGGACAGGGAGCGGATAGAGCATTGCTACGCAGACAGCGTAAGAAAAATAGTGTTGAATCAATACCGCCACAGTATCTGGTCATAATCGACCCGGTGAATGTAAAGAAGTGACCGAGCTGTCTATTCCCAGTCTTCCAAATCTGGCATGCCTCGCCGCAAACTCAACTGCCGCCGTGTACCCCATAGACGCCCATGCCACGAACGACAGCCACGGCCTTGCCGCTCAAGTGGCTCTGCTTCCGGAAAGCCTCCCACGAGTGCACGTTGGAAACATGAACCTCGACGAAGGGAATATCAACCCCCAGCAGAGCGTCCCTGACGGCAACGCTTGTGTGCGTCAGCGCTCCCGGGTTGATGATGATGACAGATATTTTGGGTTTCTGCACCGCCCCATCTTCGGGTGTAGCATTGGGCCCCCAGCCGGCCGCCTCCTAGATGCGGTCGACAATGGCACCTTCGTGGTTGGACTGGAAGGTCTCGAGCTCGATGCCGTGCGAGGCGGCCTGAGTGCGTGCTTGCTCTTCTACCTCGGCGAGCGTTGTTTTCCCGTAGATGTGTGGCTTGCGCCTTCCGAGGAGGTTGAGATTTGGACCGTTGATCAGGAGGATGCGGCGGCTCATGGTGCTGGCACGCGGGAATGGTGGCTACACGGGTGGTTCGAGGAGTGTCATGGGATACCTAGTTGTCGTGGGAAGACACAAGCTAGAGCTATTAATCTCCTGCCGCCTTTTATACCTCCCCCCTCCCCCCCTTCCCCTCCAACAGCGCATCTTGAACTCCTTCTCAGACATGGAACTCATATCACTGCAGCTTCGATGGGCCAACGTTGTTCAAGGGGCTGGCGAACACTTGGCCTTCCCCGGCACTTGCTGCACGCTGGTGATAGCTTTGCCTTCCCGCCACCATCCACATTCCGCACGCACTCCAGAGCCGAGCGATGGAGATAGCCCAGAATATTCACCCAGAAGCGCGCGGTCGAATTCCGGGTTCGGGACCCGTATGTGCGGATCTGGTTCCACTCACGGCTCTCCTCCGTCTGGATAAGGATTCTTCCGCCGTGTTCTGTCGATCTGGGCAAGCGGGTCGGGGTACTACTACTCCGGTGAATTACGTACCTTACGAACACGGGCACCGGTTTCGACATGGCCCGTAATAAGTCCCGTGGGGAGGAGCGCGGAATTCGGCTTCCAACGGCTCTCTATGGCGGAAAGCGAGGTGCCCATCGCCAGGCGTAGTATACGTGACTGGAACCCGCAAGGTGCATTGCACCGTTGAGACTGCCTGGGAAAATGCTCCTTGCCTCAGGAAACTCACGTACCTTAGTTTGTCAAGTGCGAGCACTGGCGTGTCACATTCCTGCACAGTTCTTTTTGCAACTTGGCCAGTGATGATCAAGATGACGACTAAACCGATATCAAAGCCAAAGCTGGATGAGGTCTATGGCTTCGCCATACAGCTCGGTAAGGACGCTGGCAAGCTCCTCCTCGACGCTGCCCAGGCCAGAATCGGCGGCAATGACTCGAGCGGACAAGATTTCTGCGAGAAGGACAGCGCGGTCGACATCGTGACCAAGACGGACGAGGGTGGGCCTATCTGCACATGCCAACCCAACTTACTCTGCGCGGAAGCTGACCTTTTTTTCGGCAGCCGTTGAAACGTTCATTAGAAGACGCATTACTCAAACACACCCAACCCATGCGTATGACTCTTTTTTCCCTCCTGTCCCCAACCCGGCTGATAGCACCCCGCCCTTCCCAAAAATAGCGTAATCCCAGATTTGTCGGTGAAGAGAGCTACTCCAAGGGCTCGTCCCGCGCCTACCTCATCGACGATGCCACGCCGACCTGGTGCGTAGACCCGCTGGACGGAACGGTCAACTACACGCATCTCTTCCCCATGTTCTGCGTCTCCATCGCCTTCGTCGTCGGCGGCAAGCCCGTCATCGGCGTGATCTGCGGCCCCTTCCTCAACCAGCTCTCCACCGCCTGCCGCGGCCGTGGCGCATGGCTGAACGAGACCCTGCCGCTGCCGCTGGCCCGGAACCCAATACCGCCGATGCCCCCGAACGCGCCGAGCCGCTGCATATTCTCGTGCGAGTGGGGCAAGGACAGGAAAGACACGCCCGGCGGGAATCTGCACCGGAAGGTGGACAGCTTCTTGAACATGGCTGCTGAGATAGGGGGTCGGGGAGGAAAAGGGAGCATGGTCCACGGTGTGCGGAGCCTAGGCAGGTAGGTGAAGACTCGGTGTTTCTGAGTTCTCCCTAGAAAAGCGCTTATTCCGCTGACTGCGGATCTTTAAGCGCAACCATGGACCTTGCCTACACGGCGATGGGAGCCTTCGATATCTGGGAGGGAGGGTGCTGGGAATGGCAAGATATCTACAACACTGAGAGTGTTGTCAACGGGCGGATGCTGATGTGCGACTCAAAGGGACGTCGCAGCCGGCATCGCCATCCTCCAAGAAGCGGGCGGCTTGATCACGACAGCAAACCCTCCCGAGGATCCCCCCAGCGCACGAATCGAGGATGCGAAACTGGGGAGTCGCCTATACCTGGCCGTCTGGTGAGTAACCATCCTAGCGCGCACATCTCGCTTCGTAACGCCGCGGCTTACCCCTTCCTTCCTGAAGACCGGCCGGCCCATCAGATACGAAGACGGGAAGAGAAGGGCAAGAAAGGACAGTCCGCGAGGTGTGGCAACGTGTAAAAAAGCTCGACTACAACCGCCCCGGCACTTGAGCGGTGTGCGGCCTGCAGGCAGAAAAACAGAGGCCGGCTAGAACTTGAACAGGTGGGAGCGGGAAAGATGACCCAACGTTCCATGATACCAAGCATACATCCCCGATGCCTCTGAAGGCAGGCAGAGATACCGGGTAGAACTTGTGCTTGGGATAGATGGCAATGGAAGCACTAGCTCCAAACGGGCAGGACACAGGCAACGGTTTTCACAAGAAGTTGGGTAGTAAGTTGGCACCTTGGCCTGTATACACAGATGGAAGGGCAGTTTGCTGATAGAACTCACTACCTTGCACGGCTCCCTGAGCCCAATCTCGACGCAGCCCTCAGGGCTCCTTTGCGCCGGCTTCTTTTGCAACGACATTATCAAACGTCCCCTGCTCGAAAATACGAGCTCGAAACATAGGTAGGCTCTCCAGACCGTCCCTGCTATACACGAGGATCGAACTCCTCTAGACTTGTTTGGACTCTTGAGAACATACAAGATCGCGCCGGAAGTGGAGATCTGGGCCAGCCGCCCCGTACGATGACTGTGCTGGGATGTGTCAGTTGGTGTCCGCAGTCTTAGCAAATCGGCGTCGCGGAGAATCGACATGCTACTGCAGGTTCATGATACAAACGCGGTTGTTCCGCGCATGAGGTAGGCTGCCCCTTTTAGTCCAAACCGGGGAAGGCGACGGTCCTCCCTTGGCCACCTTTGCCCTTCCTCCGCTTCTTCTTTGACTGCTTCTTCGGACGCTCCTGATCACTGTCGCTGTCATCCCCGTCGGAGTCATCGTCGCTATCCGCCGACCTCTTAATCGCGGCGGTTTGGTGCTCCGCATCCTCCTCTTCGAGGCCGTCATCACCCGATTCGGCCCAGACCTTGACCGTTCGGCCACCGCCACTAATCAGCCGGTTCTGGTAGTCAAAGGTCAGAGCAGCCACGCCCTCGATCTCGTCGTGCTTCAGCACAGCCTGCACTTCGCGCTGCTTCAGGTCGACAACGGCCATGCTGCCGTCCCCCACGCCGACCACCACCTTCTTCCCCCATCCAAGCTCGTCGGGTACACGGACAATGGCGTCCAAGCTGTCGCCGTCCCTCTTGCTCTTCCCACCCGCGACATAGATGCGCTCCTGCTGGTCATCCCATGCTCCGCGGTCCCAGAGTGTCAAGACGCCGCCCCCAGTGCCGACAGCCACGACGGCGTTGTTACGCATGCGCTTTGGTCCCAGGCCGGCCGGGATGATCGTAGAGCACAACAGCTCATCCTCCTGGTCTTCCGAGGTCGCAACAATCCCGGCCCTGAGATCTGTGACAGCGAGGGTGGTACCGCCGGTCGACACCCACTGCTTCGGGAAACCAGAAGTGCTCTCGGCCGAGGGCGGGAGTGGGGTGATGCTGGAGATATAATCGGCATGTGGTACATGCTTGCGCACTGGTTTCGGGTTCAGGCTCCCATTCTCGCGGAGGTCGAATATGTACAAGCCGCCTGAGTCGGTGCCGAGAAGAAGGGTTTGTGGAGAGAGCACGTGGAGGATGGCAGGGCAATCGGTGGTGCTGGTAGCGCTGTTTCTAGGAGGAAGCCCAATCTTGGAGATCACGAGGCCGGTCTCGGGTGAGAAATGCTTGACAACGGAGTCGGTGCCCGCCGAATAGAGGGCTAACGGGAGGAGGTAGTAAATGTCAACAATCGATTGGTCTGCGTCCAGTGCGCTATGAGGACCCTGCACTTACCATCGCCGTTATGACTGTAGGCAAGACAGCGGCAGCTCCCTTTGTGCCGATGTGTGCTCCAAATGCTCTTGATCAAACCCTTGCCACTGCTGGTGCTGCTATTCTCCTCCTCCTCGCTCGGCAAGCGAAAGCTCTCGACACGGCCGCTGGACAACCCGACGGTGAGGAGCGGCTCCGACGGGTGCAGCACCTGGGTGAAGAGGTCCGCCGACAGCGGAAGGGTGCAGAGATTCTCCAGCATTGTTGTGCTGCAGGCTCAGACCATCTCATCAGAGTCTAGATTCTGCTCCCACAAGTAACTTTGGAGCGCTGTAGCTCTGCGAATTGGTTGGCGGAAACAGAGCAACCAATTGCAGAGAAGAAAAAGAAATCGGTGAGAGGTCTGTGGGCTCTTTCTCCTGTTTTGGCTAGTGTAGTGATGAGATGTGACCGCCGAACACCAAAAGCTCGGCCACTGCAATCTTCTCCTTTCCATTCAACTTTCAGTGAAAGCCGGTTGAAATCCACGGCAGTCAGGGCATCTATCTGTCTTGCATTCTACTCGAGCTTGATTGAGGAAAGAAGGCCATGAATGCACTGCACGGCGTCCGAGATTTCAAGCAGACACGTACATTTTCGATACTTCCCAAATAGGCCTAGTCGCTTCTCCGACCCGGCGATCTGCAGCCTCCTGGGCCTCACATGGAATGTCTTTCGTCACCAGCCCCAGGGCAGGCTCGAGCCTGCAAGACAAGTGCCCTACGTAATTGTTACTAGTAGTTAGTGACATTCAAGACCAGCAGGAAACATAGAAAGCTGCATACGCCGGGCCAGGACATTCCAATGTAGACTGGAAGAGGTAGACTTGTGCATTTCTCATCGAACTTCTTCTATCCGGCCCAGTCGAATAATCTAGAGCCGCTCTGCTCCCCGTCTGGCCTGCACAGCTGCAGATGTCCATCGTCATCGCGCCTCATTAGATATCTCAACACAGCAAGCCGCAAAGGATGGCATCAATACGAAACATCTGGGCATTGCTTGTCTGCTTCGTCTCACTCAGCCTGGCCGTGAACTTGACCTCAAAACCAGAGCTACGATGTATCATGTACTTCACGGGGTAAAGGATCCCATCACACCCGTCGCCGTCTTCGTGCGTTCTCGCATCGATTGACTGACTTGCTCCGGACTCAGCCAGCACCCCGAGGCACCTCCAAAAAGTCAGCTCCAACATGTGACCCATGTAGCCGTGGCTTTCATGAGCCCCGGCATCTTCAACGAGCCCGGGAGGGCGGACTGGCCGATGTTTACCACCGTCGACGATGTCCGGACCAAGTTCCCCAGGGAAACGAAGGTCCTGGTTGCCATTGGTGGCTGGGGAGACACGATCGGCTTCGCGGTGGCCGCATTGAACGATGAGACCCGGAAGATGTTCGCCGAGAACGTGGCCAACATGGTTGGGGCCACGGGTGCCGACGGAATCGATGTCGACTGGGAGTACCCGGGGTAAGTCGGGGCAATCCGACAACCATCAACTACTCAGTTCCTGACTGTCAAGCGTAGCGGCAACGGCGAAGACTACAAGAAGGTGCCGAACTCGGCTAAGGAATGGGAAATCCGCGCCTACCCTCTCCTGCTAGCAGAGCTGCGGGCGGCCCTCGGTCCAGACAAGATTATCTCGGCCGCAGTGCCCGGCCTGAGGCGGGACATGCTCGCCTTCACGCGCGAGACAGTGCCACGCATCATGCGCCACGTCGACTTCCTGAACGTCATGAGCTACGACCTCATGAACCGCCGTGACACGATAACCAAGCACCACACCGGAGTGGAGCTGAGCCTCGAAGCCATCGACGCCTACGTCGCAGCAGGAGTCGCGCCGCAGAAGCTCAACCTTGGGTTCGCCTTTTACGCGAAGTACTTCATGACAGAGCGCGATGCCTGCGCTCTCTCAAGCCCGGTGGGCTGCCCGACCCTGCTTCTGGAGGACCCAGAGACGGGAGAGGACCTTGGCCGTAGCGGGGCCTTCTCCTGGCACGATTCGGTGCCTGAGGACGTGACCGAGTCGTTCTCTCGGGCACTGGAACACGGGGTGTACGATGACCAGCAGGGGGGGTACTACTACTGGGACGCTATTCAACACCTATGGTGGACTTTTGATACACCCGATGCCATCAAACGCAAGTTCCCACTGATTGTGGACAAGAGGCGCTTGGGAGGGGTGTTCGCCTGGGGCCTGGGTGAAGATGCGCCCTTGTTTAAGCATTACGCGGCGCTCGTCGAGGGGTTACAGGAACATTGGGGCGCAAAGGACGAGTTGTAGACGGGATTTATGCTTTTCCACGTACATACAGGGATTTGGTACTTGCGGATAACCTGTTGCCAGCAGGAGTAATAAGAGAGGCAATTGTCAGACCTGCCTACGAAAAAGCTATCATGCCATATAAATAAGTAAGGTAACCTCTTTCATCCTCGTCTTTTTCATTGCGATCTGCAGAGCATCCGGGAACGGCGCGATGTTTGGAAGCCCATGTCGACTTCCAGATTCGGATCTCTCTCCGCTGGGATGGAGGGACGAAGAATACCGCTACGCATTGGCCGGTTGGCTGTTTCCCCTCCCATCATCGCCGCCGGAGGCATCGCGGGTCTCACCTAGCAGACCGCCTCACGGAGGACCCAGATAGTGAATCGCTTATATACACATTCCATCTTGACATCTACTGTATAATGCCAACCCACACGGCCTGCCGCAGTGGACGTGCTGGTTGTCGAGGCCAGTCCGGTCGACCAGGGCCAGGATGGCATCCTCGTATCCGGTGCCTATGCGCCTTACCTCTACTTCTGGCCCAACCTGGTCACCGTGCCCCAGCCCGCGCTCAACAACTCCTGAACCACCGAGGCCATCACCTCCCAGGTTGTGGGCGGCGGCAGCACCATCAATCCCATGGTGTTCCTGAGGGGCCACAAGGAGGACTACGACGCCTGGGGTTCGCTTGGTAACGCGGGCTGGAGCTGGCAGAGCATACTCCCTTATTTCCTCAAGGTGCTTGGTTCACCTTTCCTTCTCCCGACAGCCAGTTGACCTCACCGGGCCCAACGTTCAGAGCGAGAACTTCCCCGCGCCATGCCTGGTGAAGCGAACTGGCGGAACGCCGCCAATGAAGTCGGCCTTCCTCCGGTCGAAGATCCCCAGGCGGGATTCAAGCAAGGTAAACCGCGAAGTCGGGTTGCTCCGAGGGTAAATGTGCAATATACTTACCATGGCATCCCCGCGTAGGCGTCTTCTGGCTTCCGCCGGCCCTAGATGCCAACACCATAACCAGGGACTATGCCAAGTTGGGTAACTATGACGGGGTGAAAGGCTCCCGGCCACTAACGCCACATACAACGCCCAGCCTGAGGGGATCCTGAACCAATTCGCGAGCAACGTCGGAGTTGGCACGGTGCACTGGGGCACCTCCGACTCGGCGCTGCTCTACCACCTCAAGCCGCTCAGCCGCGGCACTGTCAACATTAACTCGACCGATCCCCTGGCAAGCCCGCTGATCGACTTCCGCACGGCCACCGACCCGATCGATCTCCAGGTCTACACCACCGTGTTCCGCAAGAACCGCGACCTGTTCGCGGCGCCCGCAATGCAGGCCCTGGGACCAACCGAGGCGGCGCCTTCCGGGGCCCACCTGACCACCGACGAGCCGATCAATCGCGGCCGTGATGCGCAATCAAATCTACCCGACCAATGCCCACCAGTGCTGCACGGCTGCCATGCTGTCAGGCAGCTCGACGATGTCGTCTCCAGCGAGCAGAAGGTCTACGGCATCAGTGGGCTCCGTGTTTGCGGATATCAGCTTCCTGGCCTTTCCAGCTCTCCGGTGCGCCCCAGGCGACCATGTAAGCCGCGGCCGAGAGGGCGAGTCTGCCATTTGGTGGGTTTTGCTGCTGTGGACCTTGACTCCGGGACTAACAAATCCCTTTTCCCAGCTCGCCGACCTCCTCAAGAAAGAGCATTGCCTGGCCAGCGCGTGTTAGAGCTATTCCTCAGATAGACAGACCATGATTGAAGGACAGGGGCGCCATAATGGACAGACGATAGTGTTTCATGGATGTATGGGAAGACCTGATATCGTCTCAGCCAAGAAGAAAATGCGCGGTACAGACGTGCTGCCATTTGACAAGAGTAAAGTCTTCCCTAAATGGGACGTCGTAACCTTGAGCCGCGAGGGATAAGTGGCGAGAAGGGCACAGGTCCGGGTGTCTGGTCTTCGGTGGGCTGGTTCGCGAAGTATTAAGAGCGTCGCAGAGAGTCGACTGACATGCTAACGGTGTCGCCAATACCGCATGAAGAGGATCTCGCGGGTTTGTCGTTCACTAGTCCCAAGTGATGCTTATCGAGCAGTCACATAGACTGCCAAGTTCCTCGCAGCCAAATATATACCATTTGACGCATTTAGCCTAATGTCTGCTCAGACGTACACAATCCCCATGCTCGAAGATCCGAAACGCCCTGAACACCGCGCAGTCCCGTGAATCATGTCTGGTGGCCTGTAGGTGTGTCGCCGGAAGTGCCCGATGAAACGCGGGAAAGGTTCCTAAAGGTAATCGTACAACGAAAAAGGGGAGTGGTATGGCGGTTGCTGGAATAGCGCATGTTGCTGGTTTTGGCAGGGTCTGTCGCTTTTCCCGACTTGCAGCGGTCTTTTCCAAGCTTTATTCTTCACTCCGAATGAGTGACTCGGAAGGCTTGACCCGCTGTGCCCATTCCCTGCAAAATATGTGAGTGACATCTCATGACCAGCACCGCGTGAGCCATCGTCAACTCACGTCCAACTCCCGTCGTACACCTTCCTCTTCTCCGGCGGGCCAAATTGCGCCTCACTGAGAGCCGTCTCGAGAACACAAGCCGTGACACCGGTGCCACAACTGCTGATAATCGGCTTCTCTGGGTCTACTCCCTTTTTCGAAAAGACGTCTCTTAGCTTGTCGGCGGGAAGAAACGCCTTGGTCTCAGGGTCGAGAACCAAGTCAAAGGGGATGTTGATCGAGCCCGGCACATGTCCAGAGGACAGGCCTGGCCTGGGCTCCGGCTCCTTCCCAGACCAACGGCCATATGACCGGGCATCCAAGATTTGCACACCCTCGGCACCTTCTTTCTTGTAATCCTGGGCGACCTCCCGCACTTGCTCGAAGTGTGCCACCTTCTCTTCATCCATCTTTGGAATTGGATATGGGGCGCACTCCACGGTCCACACATTGCCCGACTCGGTCGGAAGCCCCTGTTCGACCCATAGTCTGAAGTTGTTCAAGATATGCACCTTTGGGTGGCCAAAGACCTTCATGGTCCATGCGACTCGCGGAGCGCTAAATATGCCCAGCTCTTGGCTGTCGTAGACCACCACCGTGTCGTCATGACGGATGCCCAACTCGCTCATAGCCTCGGCAAAACTTTTCGGGCTCGGCAGCATGTGTGGGTATGGGCTGCGCTTGTCGATAACCTTGTCGAGATCAAAGAAGCGCGCCTTGGGGATGCGCTTCTCGCGGAAGACCTGGATGCCGGTGCGGCCTTGGGGATCATTGGGGAGGAACCAGGAGGCACAAAGAGGGATCACACGCGGCTCGGACGAAATTGGTGAGGGCGGGCTCTTCTTGAGGGCATCTGCAAGCTCCTGTGGGCTGACCAGGTAGCTGGAGAAGGACCGGCGAACTCCCAACTTGGTGTTGGTGAAGCCGGCCGTGACAGGAGGGGCGGTGCTACGACATAACTGTCGGACGCCACGCGGCGGCAGCGACGTCCGCAGCAGATTAAGGGCCGCGATAAAGGCCATGGCGGAGGTCTAGTTGGCTGATGTGCTCCGAGTAGAAGACTGCCCAGAATCAGATTGGGGTCGAATTGATGCACGCTCCGTAGTTTTAGACAATGCAAGTGCCAGAATCCTGTGGCGACCTCAATTCGACACGGTGCGGGAGCTACAGAAGACCACCTCTGTCCATTGAGTTGGTGTAGAGCCGACGAGGGCCAAGTTGGTTCTTGGTGAGGGGACAAAAGCGGTTGCAGAGAGCAAGTGGAATTCCCGAGAGGCCGGGAGTTTGGACCACCATTACGACACGGCTTTCATGCTGCCATGCCAAGACCAAGGTTGTACTTGGACCACTGGCATTGGATGTACGATACTTCCGTACAGTACTGATAAGGCCACTGCAGGCCGATTAGTATGCTGCAGCTCGGTGGTATCGTTGTTATTTGTCGGTACTGTACCGTACGTGCATACAGAAGTTGCACTTGATGGAACTTACTAAACTAAGGTATTGTATTATACCGGCACCCGACACCAGGCGATGCTCCCCCATCTCCGAACAAGCCTTGACTCCGCCGTTCTACAGTACATATTGACCACTTCTCAGCGAATTCAATGAGGGTCAAAATCACCAAGTGGAATGCCGTCGCAACCTGGCGATGGGACATACCTGACGACGACGTTTGTGGCATATGCCAGGTCCACTTCGACGGGACATGTCCCACGTGCAAATATCCGGGCGATGATTGCCGACTATGTGAGTGCGATGTCGAAAGCCATGGTCATGGGTTTCCGCTGACCACGCTGGGTAGTGTCTGGGAAGTGCGGGCACAACTTCCATATGGTTTGTCACTCCTTGTTGTCGGCCTTCCTCCTCGGCAACTAATTTGTGCCTTCACAGCACTGCATCCTCGAGTGGATAAAACAAGACTCGGCCAAGGGCCAATGTCCCATGTGTCGGCAGAGTAAGGCGCGCTTAGATATCCTCTTCTGGAGCCTTCCCTAATGCGATGACGGCGCAGAATTTGAATGGACTGAGCAGACAAACGAGACCTCCATCGACACTACTCAAGCTGGCGCTGAAGTCTAAGAACGCTTGACCACACCGCGAACGAGCTTTAGCATATCAACACCGGACTTAGAAGTTCGACTACCTACCCCCGTACAGTGTACGCTTGTTGGGATCTCCTGCCTGAATTTACCGGCATGGACTGACGTTGAGTAGGGGTGACTTCTGCGAGTCTCACCTGTCAATACTCCCATGCGTAGATAGGTGTTGGAACGAGAACCTTGCTGCCGTCCATGGGGGCATAGCCGGCGTCGGAGTAGATGGGATATAGTAAGGTGAGGTAGGAGCGCAGTCCGGCCACTGCTTGCACTAAGCATGGAGAGAGGGGGAAGCCTTCTGGGTTACCTTCAGGTTGTTTCATCGTGTGTAGCAGCCACGAATATTATGGCACAATGATGTACGGTTGAGTACCTTACGGATGTCCCAGATGTCCCCAGCCTTAAGCATGTCTTGGGCATACTGGCGTTCAGCAGTATCCGTACACCGTCCGTGCATTAGCTTTTTGTACCCGAAGTCCCGGGCCCTGCTGTCTGAAAAGTGTGGGCAAAATGTGCTTGAATTTGTGGAATTGTTGGTCGGTTGGTTGTAAGAGTTCAGAAATCCAGAGTGTGCATTGCAGCTTCCAACATGTCGCAATTGCCTATGCTGTGGGGTGCCCGATAAGATAAGATAAGGTTGGGGCTGCATCAATGCAACCTGGAACATTGCAGCCCGCAACACCACTTGCAGCATTCGGCAACCATTCTGCTTGCTCGAGGTGCCTGGTTGAGTTCAAACCGGCGGTATTCCTTAGGGCCTCGGACCCATGATTACCATCCCATTCAGCTTGCAGCAAATGGTGCAACATGACGTACTGAGACCGAGATACTCAAAGCGCGCCATCTGCAACTGCACCCCAACGATCATCACCAGATCTGCCATCAACAATCCCTATCCGACATCCTCACTATTCCAAGGTCGCATCGTGTGCAGCGGTGTTTAGCTCCGCAATCTGATTGAACGGGCATGGCTGATCCTGACGTTGATCGCCCCGGCTCCCGGGGATACCACACATCTCCCATCCCCCCAAGTCCGCGCCCCTCGGTAGCTAGTCGGGCCAGCAGGTCAAGTCTGCGACGGGAGCAAGAGCGCCAAGAAGGCCCAGTCCACCCTCGACCAGCTTCGATATCATATTCCCGCCCACATACACCCCAAGCAGTCGCCGCGCCTATTGACGGAAACCCTCGCCCTCCGGCGTCTCATCCGCCATTCCAATCAACCCAGTCGTTGTCGTCGCCCTTTTTCACTCTAATCAACTCCACGTCGCACTCCTCCAACCGGCAGACGGTGCATTATCCGACTGTACAATACGTGTTTGCCGATGATGACCCAGAAATATTGACTGCCGCCTTGGCAGCACACCACCGGGGAGACTACGAGGGAAACGGCGAGGAGGGCGAGCGGAATGGCCCGATTGAACGTGCTATTCTCCTCGACTTGGAACCCACTGCTGATGGTTCCCGCTTTGAAGTAGCGTGGGCTAGCAGTCTGAGCCCCGACTGGGCCGTGACGTCGGCGCGCGTGAGTCGGATGGAGGGCGGTGGCGGGCCAGTCGCGGGGATCGACGACAGTCTGATGCTGAAGATTGAAGGTGTGGGCGTCGAGCCAGCTTCCGGGCCCTTGGGTAAGACGCCGACACCCGAGGCCGATTTGCATGCTTCTATGGCCAGCGCAAGTCGGCAGCAGCCGCCAGCGGCTGCTGAGGAGTATGGGGATTTGCTCCAGGACTTCGAGAAACGCATGGCGACGTTGCGGAAGGTGGTGGAGACCGGTGCCGCAAGACAACGAGCGCTGGCGGAAGGTTCGGCATTGGAAAATGTCGCCGCTCCTCTTCCACCGGGGACTCGCGCCGACGATGCACAGCAGCGCTGAAGACCTTGACAATAAGTCTCTCTGGAGGACTGACTTGGCTATCCTCTACCCTTGATACCGAACCGTGTGCGATCCAGGACAACCGCTACTTTGAGAGGCGTACTTAGGTAATCATCCGCTCAACCACCTTGACTGGTGGTGCATGTATTGTACCGCAGAACGAAGGTCCCGGGCTTGGTTTATGCTGGGGGGAGTTCGTTCCCGGTGTGAGGATACATTTCCGCGCCCAGCCATTGAAGCCCGATTCCATAGCTGGACAGATGGTGGATTCACACAACCTGACAGGCACTTTGGCTTTTTATCCAGGTTTGCAAGACGCAGGCGGAATCCCATGCGTTGGGATCAGGAGACAGTACTAGTAAATGTGCCAGAGGCCGTGCCACTCAAAGGAAACTCGCAATGCGATGTGGATTGTATTACAACGCTTTATATATGAGCACAGAAAATCACAGAAAACTATCTTCCAGGTCCCTTGAACGCCTGGATATCCTTTACCAACGGCACGCTATGCTCGTATATACTCCGCCAGCAGAAAAAAAAGCCAACTTCCGAATCAAATAGCCGGAGCCCTAGACAAGCCGGCCTCCTCAGGTTGGCGAGGAAAACCCGCATCACTGGGGCGGGAACGCCCTTCCGACATGAAGGTTTCCAGACAGATCTAGGCTAACGGGGACGGGCCAGTACCAGCAGCCACATCTCGTCCCTTGAAGCCAACCTCAGCGCCGATCGCAGACGGAACCAAATACGCCGATTTGCATCCGCCTTCATTCCTTGGCAGCGGCGCTTGCAAAAATCAACCCCTAACATCCGCAACGAGCAAAAGGCGACGACCCGTGACGGGCCTGGGTATGCCACACATTGCTTCAATCATCGGAACCCGTAGGGTCAGCGCCTTGCCAGTCGACCACAAAACGCTTCACATGTCCAGGCGCCACTGTCTTGCCTCGTGCCCTGTTGCTGCGTCGCCTTGAGAGACGTAGGCTCGAAGCAATATCGGCATCTGGGGAGCGGGGGTGCTGACCAGCCGGAGTCGGCTCGGTGGCGATGTTGACGGCGCGGCCCGTGTTCATCTGCAGATCGTCCAGGACATTTCGTTGTAGGAGGCCACGCTTCTGAGCACCGGCGTTGCTGTTGTTGTTATTCCCACCGCCCCCGCCCCCGCCGCCGTTTGCGGCGCGGTTAACCATGACATAGGCCACAACGGCAACCACGATGATCACGATAATGAGAACTATGACCACACGTTAGTTCAGCAAGCGTATTCGGCTGGTTCGTACGCAGTGACGCACCGCAGATGCCCAGGCAGATCCACTTTTTCTTTCGTGTCTTCCTCGCTGTCGTAACGGCGACTTCGAGTTCCTCATTCGCCTTGCCCATGTCCTCCGCAGCCTGCTCAGCGTGGGCATCGATCGCATTGACCGTCACTTCCTGCTTCACCAAGAGTTGATTCATGTCATTGAGGAGGTCTAGGAGTTCCATCATACTCCTCTCAATCTGCAGAATTTCCTCATGCCGTCGTTGGACGGCACCGAGCACGCGGGTGGCTTGCTCCGAACGACTGCCCATGACCGCTTGCTGAAAGACTTGAGTATTGCCCGTATCGACGGCTTCGCGGATTTCGGCTTCAGTGGCATCAGGGCGGACAATGCGTAGTTGACGTCCCAACCGGTTGTTTGTCTCCTGGCGGTATACTGCTTCTTGTTTCTGAAACTCCTGAATCGCGTCCCTCAGTCGCCCTTCGGCCCGCTCGACCTGGCGAGCATACATGGGTTGACGGCTTTCTGGTTTCGACTTGATTGTACGAACGCGGTCTGCCAATGCTCGGTATTGGTCCATGATGTCCTGTCGGTACAAATCAAGTCTTCGCTTGGCTTCGGAATCGGCTGAGGTATCCGCATCGGCGAGGCACCGCTTTTGTAAAGCGGGAAGCTCCCCAAGCATCATCTCGACTTTTTGGATCGCATTCTGAACTTCTCTGCATTCACGAAGAACCGCGGGCTCGTTTGCCTGAGGTGAAGCCATTTGCTGCGGCTCAGCTGCTCAACCGTTGCTGGTCAGAGACCGTCCATGTTTTTTCGGCTGGAGCAGACCAACGTCTACTTACTTCCGTATCCCTGTTGGCCAATTGAAGCCATCTCGTGCGCGCCGGCTGCTCGTAGTCCGTGTTAGTATTCGACCTCGTGTTCAGGGGGTTGACAGGTGCCAGCTCACCTCCATACCCGGAAGCATTTTCGTCACCGAACGGATTAGAACTGTACCCCCTATGAGCATGCCCGTTAGCCTGCCGGCCATCGTAGTAGTTTACTTTGCTCGTTCGGCCCGAGCCGGTGAAAGTGGTCGGTAATCGTTGCCTACCTGCCGCCGCTGTTATCACTGTACGGGTTGTATCCGCCGTACTGATACATAGTTAGCGACAAGCTTCTCTCGCACCGAGCTGAAAACCGGGGCCGCTGGAAACACTCACACTCATCCTGAAAGAACAGCGAAGCGCGGGAACACCAGTAGAGGATACTTTGGGAATGCAGAATCTGTGTTAAGGCCTGAATTGTCGGGGTTCCGGGACGGAAAAATGCTGTGCAACACAGAAGTATTTGCACCTAAATCAAGACGTAAAAGTGTGAGAGGAGAACGGAGAACACAAGGCTGGAAAAGAAGTTCAGGAAGAAGTAAATGAACGCGAGCGGGATCCTCAGGAGCCCTGGCCCAATCGAGGTTAGGGCCTTGTGGCGCGGGTACAGGGGGCAGTTCGAGATGCAAATGCTTGCCCAACCGGACAGCTGCCCCTTTCTGCGACTGTTCTGCTGTTGGTATATCGTACCCATATTGCACAGCCAACCGCCCACAGAACGATCTGGCACACGAGCCGTTCGTCCACTCGCGATTGTCCTACCTAATCGAGCTCCGAGACTAAAGAGAAACACTCGGCTGGGTCTGGAAGCCTTGGGTCTTTGAAGGGGTCCAAGTCGATTGGCCGGCAACTCTTTAGCTTGATGTACCTACATACAGGCAGGTGGACCTTTCACACAGAAAGACGGGTCCCTCGACCGGCTCCAGGGACCCTGGCTTGGCGGGCAACCGGCTTCAGGCAGAGTTCGGATCAGGCCCAGCAACAAAAAGCCGTTTCAGAACGAGGATCTTCAGGCACATCCACCGGGGTCAAACCACACGTGCGACAAAGGACAATCGCGCTGTGTATTGGCCTCCATTGAAGGACTGGGTCAACTTCCAAAACGTTTCGCAGCCTAGCCATATACGTACTGCTAGATATATCACAGGAGTAGGTTACCTTCTCTACCCAGGTGCCTTACACCTGATAGGGGCTGGATTATCAATGTGGCTTGCCCAAGATCGGCCTGCTTCGCGAGGATTCGCCTTCTGTGGTACTGTGTACACTGTACATACAATACCTACCTTCGCTGGTATGTATGTACTGTACTATGTACTTCGCTGTGTACTAAATCTTCAGCTTCGGGCTGGAGACTTTTGCGGCCACGGTAACGCATAAATACCTGTAGGTAGTATTCCGTACACACGGTATCTATCGCTGTGTATGTAGCAGGAATCCCGCAAGAGCATCTTCTTCAGTTGACTCGAGTACCGAGGTCATCGTCCGCATCGAGTCTTCTGATCCAAGGCCATCGATATTGCTGTTATCATGCCCTGGGCTCTACTTGGGCAAATGCGCTGTCTCTATCAGTATCCGCAATCCATATTCACCTAATAGTGGATTGCAGAGCAGCGACGTCTAGCTCAAACATCGAATAGCCTGTCATCCATTTCCCGATGCATCTGACTTTCGTCTAGAATGCAACCTACCACCGCGTCAGAAACATCACCCCTCATGACCTGCCCAACCGGCACTACGTCGCCGTCGCAAGGTCACCACCGTGGTATGTTTATGCCCCGGCAAATGCGACTCTCAGATGATAGCATAGGCCGATGCATAGCTCACACTGGAGTCCAAGGCTTCCTTGACCAGACTGCTCCTCTGATACTGGACGAACTTGAACTTGCCTTTACCCTCCTCCAACCCCTCCTTTTGCAGCTCTTCCAACGCCGCCATGGTAACTCCGATGGGATGTCTCCCGCAGACGGTGTTTTGAGTCTCTTGGACGACCTTGTAGAACCGACTGTGTGCGCCATGCTCGACCGCATCCATGGCCATCTGGTCCAGCGCCTTGATGACCTCGTGGATCTCTGGGCTCTCGGGATTGTCGGCCACATCGTTCCAATCCAGCGGGGCTTGTAGGTCTCGCTTATGCCTCGGGGCATCCAAATTACGGATCACGCCTTCGCGGAAGACGGGTCGGTAGCTGAACCGTGGTCCCCAATGGCAAAAGTCGGACGAGACTACCCACGCAGTTTCCGGGTCCTTCAGGTACCGCGAGAGGAGCTTCCCAAAGGATTTCTCCTCTTCTTCAGATCCATCACCCACGAGGATAGGGACGATGGACGGGTAGCTACTGCTGTCGTGGCCAAAGGTTTGCTCGAGCCTTTTCCACAGGTACGGAATATGCATCTCAAGAGAATGCTCGTCTACGTCACGTCTCGGCGGCATGTTGGAGAACCGGCCAGTCTGCCTCAGCTCGGATATGGTGGCCTTGTCGACAACGAAGTCTCCAAATGGGGTTTCATATTTGTCAAACGTCGTGAGAGCACATCCGCGTAAGTAGTAAGTGTGAGACGGGCCGAGGATGAAGACCCGTTTCGCGGACCTAAGATCAAGCGACTTATACGCCCAGGCAGCACAAGGCCCAGAGTACGTGTAACCGGCATGTCTGTCCCCAAGATCAGAAGGTGGATCGTGGGGTTGACAAGGGAGTGATGGTTTGACCTACGGAGCGATTATCACCCTTGCACCAGGAATCGGAAGGTCGCTGCCGTCCAGGGTGGCCGGAACGTGACCCAGGAACTTTTCGAGCTGCGATGAGAGCTCATTCGGATCGTCCTCATACCAAGAGCCGGCGTGGCTAGCCTCCCGTGTTCCCATCTTGGTTGTGCAAAGAATTGCCCAGGGAATTGCGCACTTTAACGTAGGACAGTCAGCCAATCAAGGTTGGAATGGAAGCGGTGCTCAAGTCTGTCGATGAGAGGACCTGAGTTGGTTTGGAGGGTGAAGAGTCAGGTTCCCATCCAGGTGAAGGCGGGGCATTAGCTAACGTGGGCTCTCCGGCACCCGGCCCCGCACCTCGTTGATCTACGGTAGGTACGTTGGTCAGGTGTGACGTCGTTGCCCAATACAGCTGAGAACCGCATCCAATCTAGCATGCAAAATACCCTAACGACTCCTTTGCAGCGCGGGAGCTGCGAAAAAAGAGTAGATTGAGACAAAGCATATCTCTAGATGGACAGAGTCCTTGGAGGCAAACCCCACGCGATGCGTCCCTGCGCTGCCGCGACTGTAATACACACCCCTCCTTGTTGGTAACCAAGCATACTGAGTCCAACTCCCATGCCAACCCGCCGCCCCAACTAGCTCCAAAAAACAATATTCCAACAGCACCTGAAATCCCCCTATCCACCCAGCCTAGAAACCTTCGTGACACCTTTGACCTCAGCGCACAAGTACTACAAGTGCCTTGCCATCCAACTATTCCCGCCCACTCGTCCCTTAGGCCCGACACAGACTAGGCATTGCCGATGCTCGCCGAGATTGCTCACAGAGCAGCTAAAACAAACTGTCTTCCCGCACGCAACGCAAGTGTGATCTTCCACGCCCAGCCCATAACCGTCAATGTCCATCATCACAACATCGTTGTCGCCAGTGCCTAGCCCGGTGCCGCAGTCCTCGCAGTTCGTCGGTGTGCCTGGGGGTGTCAGGGTTGGAGATGGAGGCGCCATGGCGGATGAGGCAGGAGAGGATGTCAACGAGTCTGTTGAGGTCGCCGGCACAGGGAGGTTCCAGAAACTGTGCAGTGAACGCTGCTGGCCGCGGCGGCGGATTTGCGTATGAGCTTCAGTGGGAGCTTGAGTGCCTGTTATCCTTGGGGACCGTGGCGGCTGAACGCAATGCGGTTCGTGGTCTCGACGCTGCGCGGAGTAGAGAACATCTAGGGTATGTTCTGCGGGCAATCAGGCGCGTGAGCGAGGTACGACAGGTGAGGTCTGAGTCTGGGTTGCCATACGATATACCTCTGATTCTGACGGCCTATTATCGCGGAACCGCTTCATGGTGCGAATTGGTAGATGCGATGGCGTGGGCAATCGCGGGACGAAGAAACCGCGCCTAGCCGTGTCCATTGCTGACATGGCATCAAAGCTGAAGCGGCTGCTGCTTAGCGATTGTGTCGACGAAAAGACTGCAAGCTCGGATTCCGATCTTTTGCGCTTGAGGCACATTTCGAAACTGGCAGCGCAGGGCGATTGTACTAGCAATGTTGGGACGGGTACCGCGATGGCCGAGGGCTTTGATAGCGAGTTCCTAGGTCAGTTGAATGATGATCAGGGGAGATGGGTCACCCGAGACGAAGGTACAGCTACACAACGATTGAAGAAACACGGCATATACACTCGGGACAGACCAACGGTGAGGAACCCGCGACGCACCCGCCAAAAGACGCGAAACAATTAAAGTCCTGGTTCGTTGCATTCGCGTAATGCTACCTAAGAGGTACCTACTCAGATAAGCTCCATTGGCTTAGTAACCTAGCTTCGGCATCCCGTGACTTGGCGCAGTCCACGTGGGGATCCAACACGATACGCGAGACAACGACGCGTTGGCGCAACGTCGTGAGTTGACAGCTTCAACTACAAAGTTCAGCCTTGCTGCGTGTGATCTAGTTGCTATATTGTCATGATTTCCAGGCTTACCTTTCGATCACGTCGCAGAATATGCCGGATACGCCTGCGGAAATGACCCCAGAGGCGCAAGCGGTGCTGGACGAGAAGTCGTCCACTCAGAAAGATGGAGCCAGCGGCAACTTGGCTGATCATGCCTCACTGAAATACTCTCTGTTGGGTCCATCCCTGACAAAGGCAGGCCAGGACTCGGTTGATCAGGCCAAGGCACGATGCTCTTCTACCATAGCGCAACCCGACCTCGCCTGTTTCCATGCTAACAGGAACGCTCGCGCACCCTTGCAGGTATCCGAAATCATCTACAACGCTTCAAAGGGCTCCAAATTTTTCAACCATGAGGAGGCGCGGGACAAGTCTCTAACTGCGAAAATCGACAGCATCCTCGCCAAGAAGCGCCGCCTGGAGACGCAGGATCTCTCACGGGAGCTCCGGGCAGCGGATACCTTGCTCGCGCAGCTTGAGCTCTCCCGCGACCTGACACAGCACATTGTGCACATTGACTGCGATGCCTTCTATGCCGCAGTCGAGCAGCTGGACCGGCCTGAACTAAAGGACCTCCCGTTTGCGGTGGGCGGTGGCGTTCTCACCACCTGTAATTATATCGCTCGCACCTTCGGATGCCGCAGCGGTATGGCCAGCTTCGTAGCCAGGCAGCTCTGCCCTGAGCTGATTGTCCTTCCCCTCAACTTCGACAAGTACAATGCGAAGGCAGCCGAAGTACGGGAGATCCTAGCCGATTACGACCCAAGATTCGAAAGTGCCAGTATCGACGAGGCTTACCTGAACATCACCGAATACTGTGCCAACCACGACATGGAGCCTGCCGACGTGGTCTCGCAGATGAGGAGGGAGATACACGAAAAGACGCTTATCACTGTGTCCGCAGGCATCGCCGCGAATGCACGCCTCGCCAAGATCTGCTCCAACATGAACAAGCCCAACGGGCAGTTCGTCTTGCCGCGCGAACGAACCGCCATCATGGCCTTCATGCGAGACCTCCCTTGCCGCAAGGTTAACGGCGTGGGGCGGGTGCTGGAGCGCGAACTGGCATCTGTCGGCATCAAGACGTGCGGCGATATATACACTCAACGGCATTATCTGGATCAGCTGTTCGGCCACAAGACGTATGAGTTCCTCCTCCGCTGCTATCTCGGCCTAGGGCGCACGAATATACAACCTGCTGAGGAGTACGAACGCAAGAGCGTCGGCACCGAGAGCACGTTCCGCGACATGGGCGATCCCATTCAACTGCGCGAAAAGCTGAGGCGGACGGCGGAGGAGCTGGAGTCAGACATGCGCAAGGCTGAGTGCAAGGGCCGCACACTCTGCTTGAAGGTGAAGTTGCATACGTTCGAGGCTCTGACGCGCCAGGTCGTTCTTCCGAGGGCCATACACCTTGCGGATGACTTGTACAACTACGCGTTGCCCATGCTGACAAAGCTGGAGCAAGAGATGCCTGGATTGAAACTGCGCTTGATGGGCCTGAGGTGCACCCATCTCGTGAGCACCAAAAAACCAGATACGCTGGCCTTCTTTGGGTTGAGGCCGCAAAGATCCACATCCACTGAATCGGCAGAGGCCGACAGTGCATGGAACCACGAGTTTCGGGGAGAAACGAAGCTTGATCATGACACAGCTCCCGCCGAAGTCTCCGGGAACGCACCCCATCACGGTCATGGGAAAGAGATTGTTCCCAATCCAAAACGGGAGCGCTCAGCGACGGTGGAGGATAAACCGTGGGACTGTCCCGTGTGCGCCAGGCCACAGCCTGCGGACGAAAAACAGTTCAATGAACATATCGACTTGTGTCTGTCCCGGCAAGCCATCCGAGACACTGTTCAGCAAGACGCCATGAAGCAGCAGCGACAAGTCGAGAAGGGCGCCCCGGATACAAAGAAGGCCAGGGAAAAGAAGAGGGTACGGGAACCGGCACACGTAGATCCCAGGCAGAAGAGGCTGTGTTTTGGGTGAAGTGATTCGACAGCAGCCCCTTGCCGCAAAGTATACCATTCTTTAAGCACAAATCGATATCTATCGTCAAACAACATCTCGATGCCATCCCATCCATACCTTTTTATCGCACTAGTGGTCCTCCCGTTTCTCTAGCTAGTAGTGGAAAGCAGAAAGCAGCACAACCTTTTTACCGATTGCCACCTGCATGTCGCCTAGACATCAACACTGGTCCGACGGTGCGTCAGGCTCCTCCGAATACGGTGGTCCTCCTCCTCCTCGTCGTGCAATGCCTCTCCCGGTAAGCGCACAGCTCGGTCTAAGGCCACAGGAAGGCCACGGTGGCGACCGCGGAGCATGACGACGCAGAGGACCAGCTTGGAAGCAGTAGGCCAAGAGCCGCAGAAGCTGAAGGCGTCATAGGGTACGCCGACGCTAATGCCGACGCAGCCGTACGCCGAGACAACCTCGAACATCACGTTGAACACGCTGAAGTTGACGGGATCGGCGAGGAAGTTGCTCGTGTTGATCGTAGCGATGACGAGTACGGCGAGCACAAGCCACCAGATATCGTGAGCCAGCTGCCCGTGTATCTGCTGGCTGATGAAGCTGATGTTGGACTCCGGGCTCTGCTTTGACGGAGGCGCTCTCGCCCCCACGCCTTGCAGGGTCAGTGTCCGACTAACAGCTCGCCCGAAGATCGCTGCGATGCCGCCATCTCCGCGTCGTCGGTCCGGGACCGACCGAGGGGTGGCCGTTTCGGGATCCACGTCGGCAACTTCGTCTTCCGCGTAGATGCCGAGCGAGCGCTCCTCGTACACATTGGAGTGCCGCATGGTGATGACGACAGGGTACACCGAGATGTACATCATGACTACATACAGCACTTGCAGCCCGATGTACATCGACGGGATCGACACGACATAGAATCCTCCCGAACGCACAGCTAGAGCGGCAATCAGTATGCGATCTGTTTTGGCAGGGGTGGGGGGAGACGGCAACCTACCTAGCGCCTGAAACAGCCCATCCAAGACGCGAGAACCACGCGGGATGCTGTCCATCGACGGGTTGCCGAGGTTGAGGAGTTCGAACGCCGCCCAATCAACCGAGTTCAGGAGGATGAGCATGAAAAGCAGCCACCAAGTGGGACGGGCGGGGAAGAGGTTCGTATACACGCGGCGGGGGTATTGAAGAATGAACTTGAAGGTGTCTTTGAGCCCCGAGTACCCGTCCCGATTCGTACCAGGCGTTGGGAATTTCGAAAGAGACCAGATAATGAGCCTCAGGAAGATCGGGTACGCCGTATTGCCCGCCAGGATCATCAGACCCATCGTGATGAGCACAAGGTATGAGTTCTGGAAGGGTATCATGTTGGCATCCAGCAAGGACATGCCCGAGTTGTTGAAGGCGGATACGCCGTTGAAGATGCCTAACCACCAGGGGTGGATACCATTCCTGAGTGGCGGCTCCGGCTGGTTGTTGTTGATCCAAGCACCCAGCACAAGGCAACCAAGGAGCTGCCACAGAACGAAGTATAGCGGCACAATGACGGACAGAACTCGGATTGCTCGGTATTCACAACCGCCAAGATGCTCCCGCTCTTCGACCGTGAGGCCATGAAACTGAGCGTTCCTCCCGCCCGATCTATGCGCGAGAAACTGACGCATACCGAACTGGTACTTCTCATATGGGGAGGGATGGTCTTCTTTAGCCCCGGCGTTTCTCCGACTCAGTTGGTTCTCGGAGCGGTGCTGGGCGGCGGTGGAAACAGCGTCGGCGGCACGGGGGGTGTCAACAAAGATAATGCGGGCGGGGCTTAGAGGTCTCTCTTGTTGAGCTGCAGCCGCGGCCATCGTCGGGTTAGTAACACCGGCGACGAGAGCACCCGCAGGCTCAATCCGGTCGGCAGCGGGCTGGGGAGCCGAGGGGATATCCATTTGCTCCGTCCGCTCGTCTCCTCGGAGGGTCGGAGGATTCTGGGGCAGGGCCGCCGTGGAGGCCTTCCGGAGTGAAAGGAATCGCTGCAACCTAGGGAGGCTGACTGCGCTCCCAGGCCGACTTGCCCTGCGCATCCGCTCGGCACGGACAATGTCTTGGAAGCGCTGCTCAAAGGCGCGCTTGCGAGCCACCACAGTCCAGATGGAGACCCATATGGAACTCCCCAGAATTATGAGGAGAAATAGTATCGTCTGCTGCCATGTTGTCATCCGGCTCAGATTGACCGTGTTAAGCCCTGCCTCGGTCATGGCGCTGACGACTAGGAACAGGCTGTCCGTGTAGCTGATACTGCGAGGAGGGTCGGACGAGCCCCAGAAAATAACCGATGCGACTAGGCATACCACGATAAAGTATGCATAGTGAATTGTGATGAAATTCAAGGGTGGAAGCCACGCCCGGGTTGGCAAATGCGTCGAGGCATCTTGTGAGTGTCCATCATCGCGATCGTGATGCCATCCGCGCATCCTTGACAAGGGCGTAGGTGGGAGGAAGACGTGAAGTGGAGTTGAGCGCCGCACGACGGCAAGAAACGTGCTGCTAGTGAGACGCTCCGTGCAGGATAAGTGACTGCATGTTTTTGACCAAGGGGCATAACGTTGTTGTTGTTGTTTTCGAGGCAGTGGAGCTGTTGGGATGAGAGATGCCGGTTGATACGGTAAATCCGAGGTGTGAGACTATGGAGGGTCCGGGCCAAACTCACTTAGAAGCTCGGACGGATTTGAGCAAGGGTTGTCCAACACCACTCACACCCATACCGTACCGGAAGGGGTGGGCTTTAGGAAACCGTCGCTCAACACGCATCGCGATTTTCCTGCTGGCTTTTACTAGTAGTTGACGCACAGCCAAGAATACCTGGTAGTCTTGGCGAACGTTTAGGCAGAGGAACGTTTAAACGCAGTTTCGAACTGTGAATAAACCGTTCTTCAACTCCACTTAGACGTACTTCCCTTGCGTTGAGCAATGATCGAGATTTATTTCAACGTCCACGTAAACGTTTGCTAGACCCCGCCCTTTCCTCTAAAGTATTTGCATTCTCCGAATTGAGACCAAGTATGGGAGTGGAGAACATCAAACAAGAGGTGTAGAAGTAGTGCAGTTACAATATTTCGCATATGTCCTCTCCTTGTGCGTATAAGGCTAGAAAAAAAAACGAAGAAAAACCCAGAATATCGTCTACTTGTAGTTCCTGATCCTAGTGGTCACACCCTTGTCGTCCTCTTCTATACGGGAATCAATCGCAGCTTCCACCCGTGACTAGAATGAGAACTACCTAGTGGGACTGCACAGGGCGAGCTCGCGAGGCTTGGATACGACACGAAAGAATATCAAGCAAACTAACCGACAAAGATATAATCGGGCTAGCCGATGCACTTGAGGATTGTGATCAGGAGGTACATAGTAGGTACCTGTATTGACTAGGAGGCTCTGTTTGGCGGTACAGGAGTCTCTTGGACGAGTAGGCTGGCCCCTGCTAGTGACGAAGTCCAACGCTACAGATAGCAGGTCCCTCAACGAGTCCTGGCCCTCAAGCTCGGAATTCAGCCTCAGAGCTCGTTGTGCTCTTGTACATCGTCGGTGTCGGCAACCACCGTCTTCACCGCCTCGGCCGCTCCACTGACCGCGCCCACCACCTTTTCGGCTACCTTCTGGCTTGCCGAAGACGCCGGGCCGTCGGTGGACCCGGCGCTGGATTTGGTGACGATTGACTCCGGCTTGGGCACACCATTGATTCCCATCAACTCAGTCTCGAAAACTGCCCAGCGACAAATGTCAGTTAGTCCAGGGAGTGAGAAACGCGAGCAAGGGCAGATCGCAAAGGTCGTACCCAAAGTAGAGCCGGCGGGAATGGGCCCAACACTCCGATCTCCGTAACCGTAACTCGGGGCAATTGTCAACGTCCGTTTCTCGCCAATGCACATGTCCAGCAAACCCTCGTCCCACCTGCTTCTGTCAGAATCAATGCAAGAGTGTTATGGGGTCACAGGTCTTGGGAGTTTACCCCTTGATCACCATACCCGCTCCCAGCTTGAAACTGAAGGGCGTCCCGCGATCGTAGCCTGGTGTAGTCACGCAAGTCAGCGTCTATTCAGCGCCCGCATTCGGGATCCACAGAAGGGTAAAGGGGCGTGTCGCGATGCCGAGGACTCACTCGCATCGAATTTCTGGCCATTGGATTGGAGTGTGCCCCGGTAATGGACATTGATGGTGTCTCCTTTCTGTGTTTTCCGTTCGCACTCCACAGGAAGCGTGACATCAATCTTCAACTCATCTGAGGCCAGGGCGCCAGCAGCCACCGAGGCAAGCAGAGAAAGCGACAGCAGGACGCGTTGCATGTTGGGCGAGGGCGGGGTCTGGCGAGAGACAGGCACGAGGCTGGGAAATTCGGATTGGGGCTGTCGGAAGTGCCGGGCAACAGGCAGTTAACAAAAGGCCGGTTCAAGGCGCGTGGTTGTCGGAGGGCAGAAAGCGATACAGCCAGATATCACCTAACATTAACTACCTTAGGTAGATACCTGTAATCCGTACATCTGTACACTATACATCTTGCCCAGTTGTGGAAGCGCCGATGAAATGAGGCCCACTGCGCTAGTTCTTATTTATTAGGGTCGGGCACTGTGTGGTTTTCCCCCCTGGGCCCAATGCACGCCAAGGCGAGCGGGTACATAATTCTGCAAGCATGCACAATTACGTTATGTAAGGTACATACGGATATTATGTACCTAGTGAACTTCCCGGCGACGAACCAGTGGGACCTACCTTACCTTTGCAAGAACTCGCTGACCTATTGACGAGTGATCCTTGCGTAGGTGAGCTCGCGATGGAAGTCGGGGGAGTTCCTGGCTGATATCATCCCGAGATCGAAGTTTGACAGTTGCCCTACTCGTTCTTCAGGCCCCCAACTGCCCAGGTGCCTGACGCTGTTGAAGTGAGTCACGAGATTATCCTGGTCGTCTTCAGCCACACAATAACAAAGGAACCGCCCAGCTTCAAGTCCAGACGTCTGGATCTTAAGGCAGCAACAAGCCGGCGAAATAGTCGGCCCCCCTAGGACTCAGCACTTGGAGGCCTGTGTGCTTCGGTCACAGGCCATGATTTTGCTTGCCCGTGTCATTTCTAGACCGAAAAAAGGAGAGGGCTGTGTTTCTGCCCGGGCCACTATCATTGCACAATGGGTATGGCATTCACCGTCGCCACTGCGACACTTGTACCCGAGCTTGATTCTGCGTTATCGCCCGCAGATGCCCTTGTTCGCTAAGTGAGGACGAAACGCTTGGGCAAGCAAGGACGCTTTTGCAAACCGGCAGTGTATCTCACCTCAATTGTCCACTGGACCCCAGACACCCTGAAATGTTGCAAGACTGACCGATCACCGAGGACCTTTGACTCATTGGATTCGCTCCACTCCTGCGTTTCCTGGCCAAAAAGGACAAGAAAGCAAGGCATCACTGGGGGCTCCGCGGTCTGCCTAGTGAATTCACCGAGAATTGCCTTCGCAACAAGTTTGCCTCGCCTTGAGGTCGAGAGATCGGCCGAGATGCCAGCAGTGAGAAACAGAGAATAGCTAGCATGGTCGCCGTCAGTATACATATAAATACTCCCTTCCGTCCCCTACGGTGTTCGTGCCTACTGTGTCTCTCACCCAATTACGCAAGGTTGCCCCCCGCGCCTTCTACCACAGCTACCAGAGCCCTTTCCCCCGTCCCTGCCTCGGCTCAGAATGACCTCGCGTCACAGCTCCGGCATTGTCCTCGTTCAGTCCGGCAGCCGTCTCTCCTCTCCTTCTCCTTCTCCTTGGCTCTCCTCCGGGAGGAATCCCTTCTCAATGGACTCTACGGGCTCGTCTCGCTCTTCGAACGAAGCACAATACCGTTCCGGCGCTGCAGGTTGGCCCTTTCCCGCCCGCCAATATTCCCGTTCTCAGGCGACTAACAGCTTCATAGCTGGGTCGGACTATTACAAGCGAGCCAAGGACGTCCCGAACCCCCGTGGTGGACGTGGCACTGTGGTTGTCCATCACAATTGTCCCAACCCCGACCGGGACGAGCCCAGGTCTTCAGACTACCCCTTCTCTGGTGGCTCCTCCAGCAGGAAGGCATAGCCTGGAGGATGGTTGCTTTTGAACTGCATCACGGGCGGCTTATTCGGACTCCTTTTTCATGTTGTGTCAACACTGGCGTTGTGTTAGTTAGTAGCTCTTGGCGTTTAAGGATAGATGGGATTACAGGGCAGATAGAAACCAGCAACGGCGGGGTTGGTTCATGGGCGTTTCTTTTCGGTTTCGCGGGCAGGTACTTGGATGCCATCATTTTATGGGTGGCTGTATGTCCGGTTAGCACATGAGGGACCGTGGTGGCAAGCTTGGAAGTCCCACACAATTGATCTTTAAAAAAGAGTTTGCATCTGAAATCTGCCAAAGTGCATATAGTCCCGTGGTTACAGTTGTGCCGGTATTGTTGCGTATTCCCGCTATCCGTCATTCCGGTGTCACAGGATGTCGGCCTGCGCTTGGTATCAACCGTACGGGAGCTCGAGAGACATTCCCCTGCGTCATGTCTTGGAATCGGACGACTTACTTAAGCCGCATCGTTGCAGCTCCAGTTCATGCATGGCGTGCACAAATCGTTACTGGACGACAGTTCCGGATTCAGTTTATTGACAGGCTGAAATAGGACTGATCCCGAGCCCTATTATGGATATGCCACAATATGAAAATGCCAGCGAGACGCCATTCAGTTGCGCAGGTAGGGAGTCTGTTATTTAGCACTTGTCCAGCTTTGTATGCAACCCAATCCTCAAGGGCAATCTGACGTTGGAGACAGCAGCATGTGCCGTTAAGGAGCGTTACCCATTTCCAGATAGCAGCTGAATAGATATGAGACAGCAAACATAGTTGGTCGCCAGGGTATGGATCTAGAGAATGCGGCAGTCTACCTAGACCCAAACTGTGCCAGCTACTCATGTGTACCCGTGTAGCGAGGCTGCCACTCAAGCACCACCTTCCCTCTTGGCGTATTCCTCCTCAATAGCTTCAGCATATTTATCCTCTGGTGAGCGCGGGTCCTCGCGCAGGACGCCCTCTTTGATTAGCGTCTCAGGCGAGGGCCGGTGGGCAATCTTCTCATTCAGTGAGTCGGCACGCATGTGCTTCTCGAGCTGCAAGCGGCAGGATCAGAGTCAGCTAGGACCGCTCGTGAACCGTGGCACCCGAGAACTACTCGCCTCTTTCTGCTGTGCTTGGATTCCCGGGGCAGCTGTTGAGGCAGGGAGGATATTCCCTGATAGCATAGAGACAAGGTGAGCCCTGGAACAAAGTCAAATAAGCGGAACAGGTAATGGCACGCACTCTCAACAAGCTCCTGCCGCTCTGGCCGGTGTGACAGATGATACTCTAAGGAATTCTTCCTCGCCGGATCAGGCCGGCTGGGTGAGATGGGAGTCTCGTCTATGGTGTTAGTGACGTCCGTCTTGTCGGCCATGATGCAACCACTGTCTCGGCGGTGTCTTCGTCGTCTCGTGTGTCAGTGGATCTGTTGGAGAAATTCCCGCCAGGTAAAGATACCGCAGCTTCGCAGGAGACAAGAAAAGATCGAGCGGGGTTGGATTGGAACCTTTATTACAGTGCTTTATTATGTTGGGCAGAAGTTGGCGACGACCAGCAGATGATACCTTGTTGGACAATGATGCGTGCATCACCCCACACAACTGGGCTCCTGGTCCAGTAACAATGACGCATCCGGCTGCGGTGAGGGGTAGTGGAGACCAAGAATGACGGAACCCTCGAACCTCCTACCCTTAGTACTACTACGCAAGTACTGCCTAGGTAGGTACGTACCTACCTACATCAAGGAGTAGGTAGCTTATACGCCAAGAATAGAGGCTCGACCTGCCTGGCTACCGATTTTCGCGGAAGGGGTACATCCCTACGTAGCACTTACCTTTATATACGCCCCAGGAACAACTTCCCTCGCAGTTTGTCCATCCCGATTTACGCGTCTGCCGTAGCCTTCCTGCAGTATAGAGCCTAAACTCCTCGCGAAGGGAGGTACATGCATGGCTCTCAAGTTCGGCTGGGTGACGAGGCATATCAGTAAATGCTAGGTCCTTCCCAGGCTGATATTTAGCTGAAGATGGGGCAAGCTCAGTCAGATGAGAGGTCCTCTCCCCCCTCTCGTGAGGAGGTCAGCCGAGAGCTGGTGAGTGTCAACTCACCTTTGCCGCCAAATCTAATCCCGACCAGAACCGCAATTTTGATCATCCGATCTTCCTAGGCCGAGAAGTTTGCTGAGCAGTGCTTCAGCCCCATCGAGCTGCACTCCTTCAAGGATGTCTTCACTGGCCTCACCGACAAGGAGCAGCACGCTCGCCATCTGAAAGAAGACACCCTTGCCCAGTTTCTTGAGATTCCAGATATACTCGGTGTGTCCGGTGTGCTATTTCGGATGGTATCATATGTCGCTGCTTTCCCATTCATTGAAGATGCGCCAGCTGTTCTCGGCCTGGGGCAAATGGTTATGGTTGTCGCCATCCTAACGGGGCGATATCGGCGAGTCTTGACAGGGAGCGCTACAAACCAGAGGAAGCTGCTCTTCGCCAGTCTGGCTGTTCATAATTGCGGACTCCTTGGGATGCGCTTGGCTGAGAGTGAGGTTGCGGCCGAGGAGCATGGCCGGGAGGCGGACTGGGACGCCAGCGCTGCGCTTGCCACAACATCGCGTAGGGAACAAGTTGCTATCGACGAGCCAAAGGGTGACAAAGGCTCGGGGCCCGACGACGACGACGACGATGACCTTGACAAGTTAGTTCTCGCGGCGCTCCACTCTTTAGGTTACACCAGCGGGTTCAGGCATGGGCGGTCATCCACCATCCACAGCGCCATGATTCCCACAGATAACTGGCGGAGAATGATCATGCTCCTCCTGTTGATTGCGCCACTAGATGCGCAGGAGCATCTATCCGTCTATTCAAACCGACTAGCCGGCGACGAGCTGGAGAACCTGAGGGTGGCAGCGGACTGTGTGCTTGCCTCTTTTCTGGACGTGGCGCAGGCACCGGGCATCGAGTTCCCCCGTTTCAACCGCGTGATAGCAGCATCAATGCCGTTTATATTCAGCGGCCTCACTGCTCTCTTTGAGCACTTCTTGTTTTCGAAGAACCTCGGCTTTCACCGGCGCAAGGGCGAAAAGTCTACATCGATAAACTTGCCGACTGAAGGGGCTCAGCCGCTGTTGCAGGAGACCGGGTCAATCATGAATCTCACCATCATGTCCCAGATATCATTCTTCATACCGAGTTCGTCGCTCTTTTGCCGACTCCGTCTATTGTATGCTGGAGACGAAGATGGCTTCAGCATGGGTAGTTTTGAGTCCAAGGTCTTCCACTGGAGAGCGCCGACCATCCTTCTCGTCAGCGGAACCCGTCTCGGGGAAGGACTAGGCCATACACATACCGGACCTGCTTCGAATTTCTTCGCCACCCTGCCCCCACAACGTTTCGCTTCCAGTGGGTGCACGGACGAGAGGCTCACGTTTGGTGTTTTCCTGAGCTCTCCATGGAAGCACACCCATCGTGAGTGCTTTGGCAACAACGATACCCTTCTGTTCCAGCTCCAGCCAATCCACGATGTCTTCCGTGCATCCACCATGAATAATGATTATGCATTATTCACCAAGCCGTCAGCTTCCGCCCCGTTAGGAGGAGTATCATTCGGCTGCCCTCCACCGCAGCAGACCAGTCAAGCGCACCGTCGGTCCAATATCATGTCCCTCGGGCCTGTCTCTCTCGCTCTTGACGACAGTTTTGAGTTTGGCTGCTTCACACACAGCTACTCGTCGCAGGGTGGCGCATTTCAAACAAGCGTGGTAAGGAAATTCGACTTCCAGGATCGCTTTGAGGTTTCCAGTGTCGAGGTATGGGGCTGCGGTGGGGACGACGAGGTCAAGTATCAGGCCGAGCAATGGGCCTGGGAAGCGAGAGAAGCCGAGGCAAGGAGGAAGGTCAATCTAGGCACCGGCGACATAGAAGCCGACCGCGCCTTGTTGGAACTGGCCGGGTTGATAGGGGGGCACAGCAGGGGCGGTGGCAGCATGGCGTAAATGCGACAGCTAGATACGGTACGCCGCACAGTCGTGTGGCTGCACCACTGCCAGCCGATGTTGGCGCTGCCCCCTGCTTTGTATAGTACTTAAGCCTAGGCATCGATTGCATTGTAAATAGCACTCGGGGCCTCCTAGCGCACGGAGCCAGGTTAGACGCTATTCGTAAAATCGACAGAGCTCCAATTCCCATTCATATCGTACGCGTTTTCCCGCCCGTTTGCGTATACAAACATACCAGAGGCAATACCACCTATGTCTCAGATCCGGATTTCAATTCCCTTCAGCTTTGGAGCCGAGCCCTTTTTGGTTGTCCAACTCCTTGGTCGAGGCGTCTGGCGCTTTGCTAGATCCACCGAACCAACCTCCCAGAGAGCCCAAGACTCCATTGCTGGGTTTCTTTTCGCTTTCTGCTGCTTGATTCACGAACCCGGTTGAGTCTCCTCTGCTGGCTGCACTCCCCTTGGCTGCTTTTGCCTCCGCCAATGCGGTTCTTGCCTGCGCCGCAACACCCTCCGTTCCCGTCCCCGCCAGTGCGCGCTCCCCCATCCGTTTCCGTCTTTTCTCAAACTTTTCCTGAAGGGCCTTCTCTTCCTCGTCCCGCGCCTCGAGTTCCCTGATCCACTTTTGCCGCTTCTCTTCGGCCTCCTGCTGCTGCTTGAGTTTCCAGAGCTCCTTCTGCTTGTTGCGGTCTTCGGCGTAGTACATGCCGCCTGCTACCATGGCTAGTACGGTAAACCCCTGCGCTGCAACACGGGCTCGGAACATGCGCTGGACTTTGTGGTGGTCGCCACGGCGCATCGCTCGGTAAGCATTAACGAAGGCGGCAATGGTGAGAATACAGCCGACTGGGATTAATGGTTCCTCCTTCAGGCGCCGGATGACTTTATGGGTCCCAGATTCATTGTAGAAATCACTGCGCCGGCCCTGTGTGAGCCCATTGGGACCTCGGCTTGGCAAGGAAGGGAGAGCAGGATGGTGGCTTACTCGTTGTCGAATGACGACGGCAGCGGCCGTTGTGAGAGCGGTCGGTCCGACATTCTGGCCAGTTCCCTCGACTCTCGAGGGTGTCTTACACCTGAAAGGATCGGCTAGTTGCGATGCAATGGGAGGGAGCTGTAGGTCGAGATAGACGGGGAGCTGTGGTCTGACGATAGGATGTTGAAGCGAACAGAGACGGATTTCGTCACGCTCTATGTATGACCTAGAGTAGTGGAACGTTAATACCGTGGATACTGGTGCAGTAAAATCCACATATGTAGGTACCTGTATAATACATACTGAGCTAAGGTAAGTGGGGTCAGCAACGCCAGGTGCCTTTGCCAGAGGTACCACATGTGATCCTCGGACAAGACGGCTTTGTTACACACGGCGGAGTAGGGTAAGGTAATTAATTGCCAGAGTGATAATATTATGGCGACTGGAGACAGTACCTATACGATTCCATACTAATGTAGAGATCACGCAGAAATTATGGTAATGTTAGTGGTTGTCACGGCACTAAAGAAATACATACATCGTAGTGGACAAGTACATGTATGTAATGTAATGAAATACAGTATACTGTACGGCGGATCGTCATGAACTCCGTACTTGCCTCAGCAAGTGGACCAGGTGCGGTTCCAAATTCAGATGCCCCACCAAATTTTAAACACGTCTTTCCGAGAACGGAACTCACGCCTCCCTCCATGACGCCGTAACAGTCAAGTTAGAGAACCAAGCTGTCTCGCCATAAGTATGGCTTCCTTGGAGATGACTAGCGATTGCCTTGCAAACGGCGTGGACGACGCCTCTACGCCCAATGGCACGAGCGGCGCTGCAGGAACAGCAACGCAGACACAATCACCAAGCGACGGGCCGCTCGTCAGGACATCGTCATTGAGCAACTTGTCTCTCACCGAATATAGCGCTCAACCGACCCCGTCGAGTGAGGATAGGAAGACACACATCAAGAAAATAGTGCCCGATGAGTTCCTCCTGCCGAACGGCAACCCGGACGTGAGTCAGACGGTTTCTTTCATCAGGCTCTCTCGAGCGGTGTATTGCTAGTATCAGCACGCATTGCCGTCGTTTGACGTGCCAGATCTCCACCGCGTACCGCTCAGTGCCATTCCGCGTACCTACTAGGCGGCCCATGAAACTAAAACCGGCCACAGTATCTGCGTCTCATCATCACCTCGTACCCTCGGGTCAGGGAGGTGTGCAACGAGATTCCGCTTGTACATGCAGTCAACTTAAGCAACCGTCTCGAATGCAGGGTGTTGCTCAAGCGCGAGGATGAGCAGCCTGTGTTCAGTTTCAAGCTGCGGGGCGCCTACAACAAAATGGCCCATCTGGATCCCGCAGAATCCTGGAGGGGCGTGGTCTGCTGCAGCGCTGGCAACCATGCCCAAGGCGTGGCGTACTCAGCCCGGAAGCTAAAGATCCCCGCGACAATCGTCATGCCGAAAGGCACCCCCAGCATTAAACATCTAAACGTCTCCCGGCTGGGAGGCCATGTCGTGCTCCACGGAACGGACTTTGATGAGGCTAAGGAGGAGTGCGCCCGGAGGGCAAAACAGGGTGGGCTGATCAATATCCCGCCCTTTGACGACCCTTATGTCATTGCTGGCCAGGGTACGATCGGGATGGAGATCCTAGCTCAGACGAACTTGCAGAAGCTCCAGGCCATTTTTTGCTGCGTGGGCGGTGGCGGCCTGATCGCCGGTGTTGGTGTCTACGTAAAGCGCATCGCGCCCCACGTGAAGATAATCGGAGTCGAAACCTACGATGCGGACGCCATGACACAATCCCTAGCCAAGGGCGAGCGCGTGCTCCTGAAAGACGTCGGCCTATTTGCAGATGGCGCAGCGGTCAAGACGGTTGGGGAGGAGACGTTCCGCATCTGCCAGGAGGTGGTAGACGAGATGGTCCGCGTCACAACTGATGAGGCGTGCGCGGCAATCAAAGACATGTTCGAGGACACCCGGTCTGTTGTCGAGCCAGCTGGAGCGTTGGCAATTGCGGGGCTCAAGAAGTGGGTTGCCGCCAACCCGTCTAGTGACCCAACTAGGTCAGTTGTGGCCATCACATCCGGCGCCAACATGAACTTCGACCGGCTGGGATTCGTGGCTGCTCGCGCTACCTACGGTGAAGGGAGAGAGGCCCTCCTGGCAGCCAAGATCCCGGAGAAACCTGGTGCATTCGCCGAACTCATCAACGCAGTCATGCCTCATGCTGTGACCGAGTTTAGCTACCGATATGCCAACGAATCGGAGGCCAACGTTCTGGTTGGCATCTCTCTCACTGCCCCGGGGAGCCAAAGAGCCCAAGAGCTACAGAACACCATCAGCCGCATCAAGGAATCCGGGACAATGGATGTCACTGACTTGTCCGGGGACGAGCTCGCTAAAAGCCACATCCGTTACATGGTGGGTGGGCGGTCCAGGGTTCCAGATGAGAGGCTGTTCATGTTTCGATTCCCGGAGCGACCTGGCGCTCTGGAACGTTTCCTGCAGACTTTGCGGCCGAAGTATAACATTAGCCTGTTCCAATACAGAAACTACGGCGGTGATATTGGCCAGGTGCTGACGGGGATCTTGTGTCCTGACGAGGAGATCAACGAGCTACGGCGATTTTTGAAAGAGATCGGATACCCATGGGAGGATTGTACAGAGTCGACAGTGTTCAGGACTTTTTTGAGAGCAGACTAGACTTATGCAGAGCTTGGTTTCTAGACTTATGGAACCGGGCGGGTTTGTTGCTTAGCAAAAGACTGCGTGCTTGGATGTTTATACGGGCCTTTCTCACAGCGCACACAATATTTAAGGTAGTCTTTAAGGCATAGACTTTACTCTCGTGAGCGTTGCTAGCCGCAAGCGGCTAATAGGGCGGATACACCGCCGCAAGCGGTAGTATAGGTCGCTGCTGCATAGCCATATAGACTAGGTAGTCTCAACTGCTCAGACCAGCTGTGGCGCAGGTGATGTACCGCAGGGGCCCACTACCATGCTCAGGGAATTCCAACCAATCAGAACCCCCACACAACACCAGCGTGTCATGAATTAACCTGCAGAGGCCGGTGGGGCCGACCTGCATGGTCCGCGGGCGGCGCCCGCATCCAATCATTCCGGTCCAGGAACGGACCAATCAGAAAAGGATCACGCTTGGCGTAGGGAAGGCTTGGTGATCTAGCTATAAGACTTATAGAGGATCACTGGTGATCCAGGGTGATCCAGTATGAGGGATCGCCAGAGACAGGCAGTGAGCTATAAGAAGCCCGTAGTACATAGGCCAGCTAGTCATTTATTCTAGAGGACTCTGGAAGTTCTCCAGTGAGCAATTACAAGCAGTAGCCTTCATCTACTATGTAGATATTGCAACTTATATTATTATAAACCTTTTGGCTTTACCGAGACCTATAGTCCGACTAGCAGTACCTTTGACCAGCAAACTCTTTTAGAGGCAGGACTACCTATGGTTACGTTATACGTGGCTTACATTCTTTGACTCTGTCATGGTTTAGATCGAAGATATTACCGACTATTATAGCGCCTTAGATACCTAGCACTCTAGGCTCCTAGAGCTAGACCGTGACTATATAATAGATATAACGTATCTTATAAGCGAGCGGGACATATAAGCAATCGGGACACTCTCCACCACTCTACAACAACCATCCTCAATTGCAATACAATAAGACCATTAACCAACTATAATTACATCAGAAACAGCTGAATCAGACCCTTCTACAACCTCCTGGCACGTACGAGCATTATGGCCAGGCTTGCCGCACACACCACAGCACCGAACCTTCATATGAGCCCCCCCTGCACCACTACTATCCGGCTCCTTTTCTTGCGCCATCTCCCCAACCACGGCCTTCTGGTCCAGTAGATCCTTTGCATCTTATACCGCAAGCGATCCTCCAAGCTGCACGCATGTTCTTTTGGCTCTCCGGCGCTTGCTGAGTGCCTTATTGGCCTTGCGGAGCGAAGAGACCTCGGCGCGAAGAAGAGCCATCTAGTGCATTATAGCTATTGTACCCTTGGCCAACTGGTCCACAGCAGCCAACATCGAGGTTAGGGAGCTATTTTGATGGTTGGCAATACGAGTCTTGATGAGTGTGGACTGTATATTAGCTTCCCGGGAGTTATATAGTGTCTGGAAGACCCAAGACTATATAGTGCTAGGCTATAAGGTTAGGGATATTAGTATACGAAGCTTGATATCCAGCTTATAAAGTACCCTCTCTGGATTGTACGGCATAAGGCCAGCACCTATAAAGCCATCCTATATATTCTTCTCCATCATAGAGGTGAAGAAGGCCTCGCAGACAGTATAGAGGAACTCGAGCTTGCTTATATAGTTGATATGCATTTGTATTAAGTCCTTGACCTGGCAACTGTACGCCTGCTTCAGTGGCCTAAAGCAGCCAACATCGAGTGGCTAGAGGAGGTGGGAGGAACATAGAGGTATATAGAGTATGATGATGTAATGCTCCTAGCAGTAGAGCTCGAATTTGGTCGAGTGGTGGCTCTCGTGGCCATCGAGGATCAATAACTGATATTTGCCCTTTGTACGGGGTGCTGTATGGAAGTCAAAGTGCTTGATCTAATCGAGGCCTATAGCATTGGTGGTCCAGCCGTTCTCGGTAGTCGCGATACACCAGTCGGCTAGGAGGTTGCACTCTTGATACCAGTTGGCGAGGTAGTATTGCGCGGCTAAGATAATGAAGGGTGGGATAGCCCAGCCGAGGGCATTAACTCCCTAGATTACCGTAGCCCACTCGCGGTTACTAGGCTGGGCCAGCTTTGCCTTGCTATGGCCATTAGAGGTTGTAACTACCATGCCTGGGAAGATAATACCTATTATGAACCTAGTCTCGTCGAAGTTGTAGATATCATCATCTATAATGCCGTACTTAGCCTTGACATTCTATACGAGCGCAAACCATTCGCCAATAACCTCTAGGTCCTTGTACTTGGCCCTCTGGTAGTCGTATCGACGTGACTAACACGTACGGAGAGCGGGCTGGCGTTTAACGAAGTTGTAAGCCTAGAGCTTGCCAACAGGGGGCGCGTCGTATACGCGTAGCAGTTAGTTAGCTATATCTTCTATACTATGTAGCCTTGGTGGAAAAGCTCGCTCAGATAGCTCAGTTATATACTAGACTATAGCCTTCTCTTCTAGATCGGTAAGCTTCCGTGAGTTGGCTGGAAGATCGCATCGTATAGGCCGGCCAGTACGTCGGTAGCCAAGAGTTGAAACTGGCACGTTATAGAGCTTGGCCGCGGCTCGGAGGCTTAGTTTCGTATCATTTTCAAGAGCTTTGAGGGCCAAGGTTACCCTAGCTTCCTTTGAAGCGGAAGACATCTTTAGTTATAGGAAAAACGCGTTGTTGGAGGTAGATGAAGAAGGACGCGTCGTGCCAAGAACTTAGTGTCCCGCTCGCTTATATGTCCCGCTCGCTTATATGTCCCGCTCGCTTATATGTCCCGCTCGCTTATAAGATACATTAGTAGGTTATTAAAGCTCTTAATACGAGAATTGTCTAGCTTAAGGCCTAGAACGATAATACCTAGGTCCTTAAGACTCTTAATACTAAGATCGCTTAGCTTGAGGCCAAGACCAGCAATATATAGCAACTTGTTAACGAGGCCTATAATGGTAAGCCTAAGGACAAGGCCAAGCTCGAAGTACCCCCTAAGTACAGAGGCGATAAAGAAGGACTTACTAGATTCCTTACGTCTATAAGGGCCTATTTTAAGTATTACCCAGATAAGTTTACAGATGAATCTACTAAGGTTATATTTATTTCCTTACGATTTAAGGGAAAGGTACTTCGATAGTTTAAGCCTACCCTTAAAGATTGGCTAATTGTGACAGCAAGTGCGGCCTGCGGGGTGCTTGCCGTCAGGGAAGATATAATCCACTGAGTCGCAAGTTCGAGAGACTTACGATTCCGACATCCTTTTCGGAAGGTATGCATAGCCGAGTGGGTTAGGTTTATGCTCTACCGTCATACTAACAAATAGTATAGATACTTAGGAAGACTTTACTATAGAAGTTTTTAAATCTTATAATAAGTTTGAACAAGAAATCTAGAAGGTATTTGGAGACTATAATAAGAAGCTCTATATATAGGAGCAACTTATATACCTAAGGTAGATAAAGTCGGTGGCTACTTATATTATATAGTTCTGCTAGGACTTATTTCGGTATAAGATTAACGATAAAGGTCTAATGTAATTGTTTTATGATGGCCTAAAGAAAGAGGTTAAGGATAAACTATATTAGAAAGACCAACTTGATATGCTTAATAAATATATTACTAGAGCTAACGTACATTATCAGCGAGCGGGACACTCTCCACTACTCTATAACAACTACTCTCAATTGCAATGCAACAACACTCAGAACCAACTATAATTACATCAGAAACAGATGAATCAGACTCTTCTGCACCCTCCTGGCAAGTGCGGGCATTATGACCAGGCTTGCCGCATACACCATAGCACCGAACCTTCGTACGACCCCCCCCAGCACCACTACTATCCAGCTGTGTTTCTTGCATTGCCTCCCCACCTATAGCCCCCTGGCTTACCACCTCCTGTGCCTCCTGCACAGTAAGTGATCCTCCAAGCCGTATACGTGTTTTTTTGGCTCTCCGGCGCTTGCTTAGCGCCTCGTTGGCCTTGCGGAGCGAAGACACCTCTGCCTGAAGGAGGGCCACCTGGTGCATTATAGCCATCGTACCCTTGGTAAGCTGGTCTACAGCAGCCAACATCGAAGTCGGGGAGCTATTTTGATGGTTGGCAATGCGAGTCTTGATGAGCGTTGACTGTGAGTTGGCTTCTCGGGGGTTGTGTGGTGTCTAGAAGACCCAAGATTGTACAGTGCCTGGCCGTGAGGTTGGGGGTGTTGGTGTACGAAGCTTGATATCTAGCTTCGAAAGTACCCTCTCTAGATCGTACGGCACAAGGCCAGCCCCTGCAAAACCGCCCTAGATATTCCTCTTGGTGATAGAGGCAAAGAAGGCCGTGCGAAAGGTACAAAGGAACCCGAGCTTGCTTATATGGTTGATATGTGCGCGCATTAAGTCCTCGATCTGGCGACTGTACGCCTGCTTCAACGGCCCAAAGCAGCCAACATTAAGTGGCTGGAGGAGGTAGGAGGAATGTAGAGGCATACAAAGCATGATAATATTGTTCTGCTAGCAGTAGAGCTCGAACTCGGTTGAGTAGTGGCTTTCGTGGCCATCGAGGATCAACAACCGGTATTTGCCCTTTGTCCGAGGCGCTATATAGTGGTCGAAGTGCTTGATCCAATCAAGGCCTATTATATTAGTAGTCTAGCTATTCTCGGTAGTTGCAATACGCCAGTCGGCCGAGAGGTTGCACTCAGTATACCAGTTGGCGAGGTAGTACTACGCCGCTAAGATGATGAACGGAGGGATAGCCTAGCCAAGGGCATTGACGCCTTGGATTACCGTCGCCCATTCGCAGTTGCCAGGCTAGGCTAGCTTCGCCTTGCCACGGCCATCCGAGGTTATAACCACTATGCCCGGGAAGATAATGCCTATTATAAACCCAGTCTCGTCGAAGTTATAGATATTGTCATCTACGATACCATACTTGGCCTTAACATTCCGTACAAGGGCAAACTACTCGCCAATTACCTTCGAATCCTCGTACTTTGCCCTCTGGTAGTCGTATCTTCGTAAATAACGCGTACGGAGCTCTGGCTGGCGTTTGACAAACCGATGCGCCTAGAGCTTGCCGACAGGGGGCGCATCGCATACGCATAGCAGTTGGTTGGCCATATCTTCTATACCACGTAGTCTCGGCGGAAAAGCTCGTACAGATAGCTCAATAATATATTGAACAATTGCCTCCTCTTCAAATTGGGTAAACTTCTTCGAATTGGCCATTATATCGCGTCGTATAGGCTTGCTGGCACGTCGCCAACTT